TTTTTTTTTGGATGTTGTTTACCCAGCAGCCCAAGCCGAGCACCCGCTAGCTCTATTCACTGCTTAGTGTTACACCGTCTTATTGTTGACGGCCCCATTCGTAGCTGTTCGATCTCGAGAACCTTACTTGGTGAAGGCAAAACAGGAAGCTCCGCAATTTGCTATATTCCCCTCGCTGGACAAGGATCATCAAACGCAGAAGGGTCTTCGTTCTTCCGCCCTTGCTATCGACGGGACCCTCGCGGAGCTGCATGAGTAGAATACTGTATATCAGTAGACCACCAGTCCACCATCACACGTCATAGCCCACAGCCACAAGTAATAGATTAGATCTGCGGCAGCCGACAGGCTGGCTGCGTAAGGAGGAATTCGTCGACGGATCATTGTCGGCGCCGGACGGAAACTGCCTGAAGTCGAGACTAGTGCAACATTAAGTCAAGTCTGTTTCTGGCGCATTAGCAAGGCTGGCAATGAGTAGGCCAAATGCTTGCCAAGCAGCTCCATACACTGTAGACTCGCAGGACAGGGGGTAGGCCCGCGAGTAGTTCTTGTCCAGAATGGTGGCGACGCACCGGTCGAGAAAGGAACAATGGCCCGCCTGGTCCGCTTTGTGGTTGGAGAAGCTGGCTGGTTTCTTCAAAGTGGATAATAAAGGCGTGGTGGGGGCTATATCGTGGCGACTGTCACGAACAGGCGTGGGGGTATTCATCCGGCCTAGTTTCTGGGAAGCTCAAGAAGGTCGAACATCCGGACAGTGTGACTAAATGAGTCACCGATTCGAATAAGGGTCACGACGCGTGACGAGATGTCCCGTAGACTACCTGGACTCGGGCAATGAGATGGTGGTGAAGACGAATGTGCGACCAACGGCCAAGGCGACGCCGCATCTGGCATTTTCCTGCTAAGTAGCAAGTGTTGACACGACTCACAATTTCGCATCATCAAGGCATTGGTGCTAGCTCGATTTTTTTTCCGGCAGTCGCAAGGGTACCGATCTAGCTTTTTCTCGTCTAATCCGTACTGTTAGCCAGTTGCTGCCAGGTGAACGCTGCGAGGGCATCTGAAGAAATTGCAAACGCATCAAAAAAGCACGCACCAGCTCCGGTCCCACCTACCTCCATCTAATTAACCTGCCATCCAGCTTCCACGCTGTTCATTTATCTCTATTTAGACGCTCAACTAGAAGTAACGACGTTTTTTCCTCCCTGCTGTTGCTCTTCCCGCAAGCTCCTGTACTACAACTTGCTACATCGGCCCTTCTTGCCACCTTGTGGCTTTGAGGCTTACATTTTAGCGGCTCGCTCTGTTGCGCTTGGCCGGAACCAATTTTTCCACTGCTTCGTAATACCTTCCAGCTTCAGCACAAACACGACAGAAAAGGAAGCCCTAGTATTTTTCACATTGTACAGGAAACATCGCTCCGATCATCGGTCATAGTTCATCGCCGTTGCGTCCACCTGTTGCTCTCTTGGCACATGCACAGCGTTGAACACCACGACTAGGCTAGATTGGCTAGCAAACACACAGACCCAACCCAACGTCACTACAGAGCCAAGAGCGTGTCAGCAGCCGCCCTTTGCCCGTAACTAACTGGTCTCCTACAGTCCTACCAACCTGCAGAGGGAATCCCTGCAGCTTGGCTCGCCCATCTTGCTTCCCACGTCACCCAGCTAGGTAGATCGCAGCCAGCACAGACACGCGGCACGAGATACGGACGGCGCAAACCACAACTCAACTCTGCTGCAGCACCACTTCCCGGCACCACAAAACCTACTATACCCATCGGCTACGCAGGCCGGTTCCGCGTCCTGCATTGTGTTGCGCCTCCACGTTGACGCCCGTCTTCGTTTGCGCTGCTTCATGTAGCTCCCTGCTGCTTGCATCTCGCATTTCGCATCCTTCAGCAGGGCATCTTGATCTATCCGCCACCTCGCCATAAATACCTGTCAACCGCCATCCACAACAGCCTCTTAGTTGCCCGCCGTATAGGCATCTCGCTTGTGTCTGCAGCTCCTGCATACCGCACTATTGTACCCCCGCGCATAGCCATTTAACGCAATTCGACACGCTTTGCTCTAATATCTGGCCTTTGCTCCACCGAATCCCGCATACAGCTGCAGCTGAAGTAGTGCGGCTTGCCATCGTCCCGTTTTGGCTTGTCCCATCGTGGCCCTGGTTGGCTGGCCGCCCATGTTAAGACGTTGCAGAGAGGCTTGCAAAGACGATTGATAAAGCGAGGCTGGTCGCCGGGTACTCTTAACTCCTCTCCTCGCCTCGCCACTATCAATCTCAACTCCTCATCAGCCGCACGCCTGCACATCTCAATGCCAGCCATGGACCACTCATCCCTGCCCTCTATCTGGGGTCGTCATGATGCCGAGGATGAAAATGTCCTCGAATTCCTCAACCATATACCCGACGAAACAGGGGCTTTAAAACGACGCAAGCAACTTCCCACCAATTCGCCCAGTCCTCCAGGATTCACGAAATCCAATGGTTGCTGGCTAGATCCGCTCAGAGGTGAGTCAGGTCCGTCAGTTGTTGACACTCAGATGTCTGCATCTCAGACCGTTTGACTGCATAACGGTGCGGTCTTGCTGCCGTTTTCAACCACCGCAGGTGCACTCAAACGTCCACGCCATAATCTACCCTGCTAAATCAGAGGCAAAAACCTCGCAAAGAGTTTTGGTTGCTGACACGGGCTTGTGTAAGAAAATTTAGACGACTTGCTCAATCGATTACCTAGCGATGTGCCCCTGCACACGCGGCAGGGGACTAGCATGGAGCCGCATAAAAAGGAAAATGTGACACCACTTTTGAACTTACCTGCAGAGCTCCTGCATGCAGTATTATCCTACCTTGCCCCCTTGGATCTCTTGAGCGTCACAGCAACTTGCCGCACCCTGCGCGAGTATGCTGTATCCGAACTCCATTGGCATCGCTGCATCCAGCGCAACGTCCCAGGTGTCTGGCTCTCGACCCCCGGCCCATGCAAAACTTTTCGGGAACTATATTCTGCTTTCGACAGACTATGGTTTCTGCCACGATACAAAATTTGGTTTAGCGATCGTGACCTCATGGGAAAGCTTATTCTTGCGCGGTACGATCAACGAAGAGGCTGCATAGAAGCATATCAGCTGCTTGCCGTCAGTCGCAGAGATTCATACGATCACTGGCCCGCGGACAAGGAGGTAATAATTCATGGATTTGATCCCAAAGTCAGCCTGCATCTGGACAAACCGGTTTTGCAATTCAGGGTGCAAGAAAAGGGGAAAGCGGAACGAGAATTTCACAAGCGTCCCGGCGGTAACCGATTCGCCGACGAGATGCCCATGACTCTAGATGACCGATTGGCGGGCATGTACAGCAACTTTATGCTGACGCGACCACTGAACCCTGAAGAGGCTGACAGAGGTCTTTCGGGAGATTACCCTTACCACGACATCTGGCCACCACCAGCCATCCCGGCTAGACACCATGTCGCCGGCATCGAATCCGGGCAAGCCGCTGTCCGAACACCCGTGCATGACAGGCCTCGCTGTCGGTCTGAAGTGTCCGATCAGACCTTCCGCATACGGCAGTGGATGGAGCTCCTCGGAACGGCTCCGCTACCTTTGCCCTGGGCTGCTGCACCTTTACCGAACAGTAACGGCGCTGCGGCCGCCATTGGCGTGCATATTGGTGAAGAAATTGTCACCTACTCCACCTTGGATCCCACGCTATACACACCGACGGCTACGAAGCCGTGGCGTGGGATCTGGGTTGGCGACTACAGTGGTCACGGCTGCGAATTTCTATTGGTGAACCAACCAGATGATCCTCCAGCCACCGATCTCGAGCTTGGGCTGGAGCGAGACGACAGCGAGACCGAGGACGAGTGGCAAAAGAGGAGACTCGACGCGCGGATGTACAGAGGCCGACTGGAAGCAATCAAGCTGACGGGCGACCCGAATATACCTCGCGGCGAATATACTTTTGTGGCTGATGACCTTGGCCCTGCCGGATATGTGGGCGATGCCCAGGACGAGTTGTTTGCTGGTGCTCGCATGGTTAGAAGCAAAGGGCATGTGGCTGCAGCCGGGTTCCATCGGGGTACGTCGCGCACCATCATAACCCGCTAATATGCGCAGTGCAGAGAGCTAACAAATTTTTCTCGCAGACAAGTTTGTTGAAAGTCAGCTTATACTATTATCGCATAACCGACTGGCGCAATACTGGGTTGGGTTTGGTCACATAAGCTTTTTCGAACGTGTACATATTGACGAATTCATAAAGACATGATGTGATGCGACGTCGGACATTTCGGAGTTATCTTGGGGCTCTTTTTGTCATAGTACTTGTGTCTCGTGTGATCTGTCGCTAAAGTGTGGATGGCAGAACACTCGCACCGACTCGTATCACCACGGGTGGCTCGAGGTAGTTACACCACGCACATTTTTATACTAGTATACTCGAACATTTCTCTGTGTTGCATGCTATGCTATACAATTCTCAATTCATAATCAGAATACTGTCTGGTCAAATTTGCGCCTTTGCCTTGGCCTCGGCTCTCTGCTGCCGAATGGCCGTGCTGCTAATCTTGGCTGCAAAATCTTCCTCCCTGGCCCCGCCACCATCTTCCACGATGCCGCGCGTGTCCAGCACGTCGACCTCGTAGGCATCGAGCGCGTGCCAGCCCTTGGCCGCCCTCTTCTCATTGACGGCCCGCCCACCGCCGCGCGTCTCCCCCGACACGCAGATGGCGCCAATGGGCTCCTCGTCAACCGTCGGCCCAAACGGATCCTCGAGCACCGTGCAACGCACCCTCACCGCGCCGTCGGCGTACACGGCGTGTAGCTCCGGCCCGCCCGAGGGACCTGCGACGATGCGCTCCACACGGTAGCTCGACGGCGTGACGGCGGCGGTGGCGGCAGTGGCGTCCCCGGGCGGAGACACGTGCAGGGTGGTGGCGAGAAAGGCAAGGACGCTCCGGGACCGCGTATCCCAGCTCTCGAGCTCGTCGGCAAACTTCTTGTTTTGCAGCATGGGGTCCCCGGAAACGCCAATGATGACGGTGCTCGGCGAAGACGCTTGGCCTGGTTTGGGCAGCTGCAGGAGCAGCACGGTGCCGTGGAGGAGCAGCTTGTGGCCTGGGTGGAGGTGGTCAAACGTGCCGCCGAGAATGACGGTGTCGTAGCTCTTGTGTTCCTGTGTGTCCACCTTTCCGTCCGCTTCATTGCCCGTCGTCGTTGTCGTAGTCGTTATCGCGCCCGTGGCGGCGGCGGGGGAGATGCTGATGCCGCCCGGCACGGGCACCATCTGGCCCTGCTTGAAGACCTGTCTGTCCTCTGCGAGCAGCAAGTACGCCTTGAGCAGCTCGTAGCCCGACTCGCTGCTCGGGTGAAAAATCTTATCCCAGGGACCCCGCACCGTCGTCGCAAAGCCTGCAAGATCCAGCACCGCGGTGCCGTTGTGCGTCTGGTAGGATCCGTCGGGCGCGCGGCGGTACGAGCGCCCGCGCTCGTGGTCGACCAGCACGACGCGCGCGTCGACGCTGCCGGCCGTCGCCGTCGGCGCAGATCCCAGGTCCGTCTGGACGCCCTGCTCAGCGCACAGCGCGGCGATGATGGAGTAGACGCCCGCGAGGAGCGACTGCGCGGCATGCCAGCGCACGACGGACGTGCTGCCGCCGCCGCGGAGGGAGCTGTGGGTTAGGACGGGCGCGGCGACGGCGATGAGGAGAAGCGCGGGACGGCGCGTCTGGCGGGACTGCGCGGCGAGGGTGGCGAGGACGGCGGAGAGGGGCGCGTGGTAGAGGCTGTTGAGGGCGAGGCGGGTGCTCGGCGAAGGAGGTGGCGGGAGCAGCAGCAGCGCCGGGGGTGGCGGGCTGGGTGTGGGAGTCATTTGATTTCGGGCGGGAGGGGGGTACAGGTTTCTGGAAAGAGGAGGACGAGATGGTGGAGTTTGGGTTCGGAAAATGTGTTTTATTGAAATGATGGTGAGATTAATAGAGTTGAGAGAGAATGGTGGCGGAGATGGGACATGCTGGAAGCTTTCCCCGGGTTATAATGGCCTTTCTGGGGCCTGGCATGGCGGCCCGAGGTAGAGGGGCTCTTGAGCAGTTCCAGTGGACCCCGCCATGGAAGGAAGGTGTGCGACGCTGTTATAACCTGCGCGTGAATAAGCAGTAATGACAACAGCGCTCATTGCTCTCATGGCTTATTTTTCAAGATATGCTGGGTTCTCTTTCGGTGTATTCTCCATTTAAATATTTGCATGTAGTATGCTAGCTGAAAGGCTCAGTCGAAAGCTGTCGCCGCAATGACCAAATGACGTAACCGTGTCCGGAGTACGGAGTACTGTCACAGTCAACAGATGGCCACTATAAGAGGCGCTTCGTTTACACGTAACAGTTCTACACGACAGTATTGAAGGGAAATTTGGAGCAAAAAGATTTACCTGGCCCCTCCTTTCCTTTAGGCCTTTGACGACCCAGCCTCCCATCCAGGGACGTAAAACGCCGTCGTCCTGTCGCCCGCCTCCTTTGCCCACGCCTCGTCCTCGCCGCCCTGCACCGCCGCCTCTCGCCACTTGTCGCTCGCCCTCTGCGCAAACACGGCGGCCTCGTCCGACGCCGCCCACTCCTCGTCCGAGGGCTTGGCCATGCCCCGGAAATGCATCGCCAGCCCGAGCAGCACCATGTCCCAGCCGACGCCTCCCGCGCCCGGTCCGTACTTTTTCCAGTGGGCGTCGACGGGGAACGTGTGTCGCAGCTCGACCACCGTCTTGCCGTCATCGCCATCGGAGGAGGGTGATGATGATGATGATGATAATTCGAGGTTGACACGCACGGCGCTAATGGTGTCGCCAACTTCCCAGGACAGGGCAAAGCCGTGGGGAGGGTGGCACTCGGTGACGGTGCCGCTCGCGTTGCCGGCGATGCTATAGCGTCCGTTGGTGCGCAAGTCGCCCGAGACGGGCGCGAACCACGTGGCGAGGCGCTCGGGCTTGGTGAGAGCGTCCCATAGGGCGGCGCGGTCGGGAGGACGCGGCGTGGAAAAGGTCTGGCGCAGGCTGATGGTGCGCGAGGGCTGACCGCTGGCGAGCGTGAGGACGTCTTTGCAGACGGCGCGGGACACGGCGTCGACTTGTTGCGTAAAGTCCATGGTGGAGGGGGGGCGGGCGACTTATTCAAGGCGTAAGGGTAAATGGGATAACTAGTTGCCAATTCGAAAGAAACAAGTTGAAGATAGGTAGAGGAATTTCGGGGACGACGAACTGAGATGCTGCTTTGCGCTACCGATCTTGTGGGACCGAAACGCATATAATGAATGCTGGTGACGTCGCCGTGCTTCTTGGCAATATGCGGGGGGAAACAAGGCTGAGCAGATTGTTCACGTCAAAAAGATAGAATAAATAAAGGGTCAGAGTTCACTGGGCGGTAACAGGGCGTTGCCGCCACGTGGTATACTTTCCGGGGCTTGAGTAATAAAGTTATCGCTAGTAGGCGTGGCTGTTCATTTATTAATGAACATAAGCTTTCTGCTTTCGAGCGCCAATCTATACCCCTCGGGAAGGCGCCTTTGGAAGCCTCATCTGTGGTGATGATAGACATGTACAAGTAAAAAAGCATTGAGCCATGATCTGATGAGGAAGATCAAGGCCTAGGACTCTGAAACAGATCTCGACTAGCGTTAATGTTGAATTGATTTGGTTGAGGCCTTTTGGTGATATAGTCTTCCGTTGGCCGTGATGAACAGTTCATCCTTGTCCTCCCTGACCAGTCTTCTCCAAGTCAAATGTTGTTTAATCTATCAAGTAATCTCTATATTGACATTTACGTCATTTCTTGACAAGCCAACGCAGAGGACATGTTCTGATAGGCTGTATATGCTTCTGCAGCGCCACCAAAACGCCAGATGCTAGGCTTCAGTGTAAGTAAGCCATCAACGCCAACGCCAAAATCAAATTTGACGAGGCATTCCGGTAAAACTTTTTTCTATAATGAAGATGACAACACAAATCAACAGCTTGTTTCTCTTTCCCTCACTCTTTTCTTCATCTCTACACTCGTCTCTTCTTTTCTGTCTTTGTACTCGCACGCTGCCTTTCCGTCGTCCGCCTGCCCATACAGTCTCGCAAAGCTGACTGTCAACCTTTCGAGTCAAAAACTACAAGATAAAAACTCTACAGAATGGAGAACAAAACAGGTAAACCAGTTCAAGGTATTCAAAGATCCTCAGCCGACTCTGACCTTTCACCAAGACCTTTTGAACTCTTCGACGCCTCACCACGCCCACCACCTTGGCAACATCACCCAGAAGCACAATGCCACCAACGGCACCCTCGACAACCTGATGAATCCCCTCGTGAATGCTACCGGCAGCGCAAAGAACCCCTGCGACATCTGGATAGCGGGCGTGATCCTCGGCCTCATCTTTGCCTTCTTCTTCGCCATCGTCGCCATCGACATGCGGGCCAAGTACCGCACCGGCGAGCTCCGCGATGACATGCTCGGCATCAAAAACGTGCTTGTCCTTGTGCTCAAGGCGGTGCCCATGCTCCTCGTGGCTCTATTCTCCAAGATTCGCAGCTTGGTTTCCCGCAAGCAGGCCGTGCCCGCCGAGGCCGACGGCGAGGCCGCAGCCCAAAAGACGCGCGAGTCCCAGGTCATTGTGCAGCGCCTCGCCGCCAAGTCTGAGAGTGAGGGCACAAATTCCAGCGTCTCCTCGGCTGACATTGCCCCGGTCAGCGTCGCTCCGGGCAGTGTTGCCCCGGCTAGTGTTGCCCCGGTCAGCCGCGCCCCGGTCAGCCGCGCCCCGGTCAGCGTCGGCCGGTCCCACGTCTCCACGGTCCACGACGACTCGTTCGGCGGCGGCTCGTTCGGCGGCGGCTCGTTTGGCGGCCATAACCGCAGCTCAAGTAGTAGCAGCTCAAGTAATGGAAGCTGAAGTACCCTGGTTCATTACTGGTTGCATGCTTCTGACGGTAGACACTGCACTCTCCGAGCGTCTCAGCCAATGCGTGTCTGATCAACAGTAGTTTACAGGAAAAGAAGTCGAGCTGCTTACTAGAGCAAAGTTCGAAAAGGTGTCGAGATTTCTGAGAGGCGGATGACAAGACTGGTATTGAGTATCTGGCAGTTCTAGGTATAGACTAGAAAATGGTTGCCCTGGACAATCGAGCACAATCATATTTAAACGCGTCTCTTGGACTAGCTGCCCTTTTATGAGCGCGTCATGATTATCGTGTGAGATATGTCCCCGACAGAACAACGTGGACTCAAGGTAGAAGATTGCCATGTTTCGTTGAATTGACCGTCATCTCATCTTCACAGTAGTGCAGTGTCGCTGCTTTGCACGGCACAGCGCAGCCCCTGATGCCGTTTAAGCCTAGGATGCAGTCTGTTTGAGCTTGGCAAAGTTATATCTACCACCACCAAACAACGATCACTAGTAATTTAATGGGCAGAGAAACGGAGACGAGAAGCACGTGCGGTAAGACGCTGTAGTTGGACGGAAGTCGGTCGACGGCTCGTCGAGAGGCTAGGGTGGTCGCCCGACGGACCGATGCAAGTGGATGCCCGACTTCCGTCTCCAAGCCGTGTACCTGGATCTTGACCAAAATAGCATCAGTCAGATGCATGGCCAGATGCAGAGCGTATTGAGCTTGGTATGCTTGAGCGTAAAGGCACAAAATGTTGGCAACTATCCCGTTCTAGACCATCAGGACGCCTCTGTACCCGCGGAAGTGATCTACAGCGCACACAAGTAATAATAGGTAGGTACTGCAGGGAGTGCCGTTGCGACCCCTCAATAGGGCACCAGGCACCAATTCCTCAGGGCAGCGGCGCATTCTTGCAGGCATGTAATCCTTTTTTTTTTTTCGGGATGTTTTGCGCTGCCAGCTGGCGGCCGCTTGCCAGCTGTCATCTCACTCCTCCGGAAATGTCCCCGTTTGCTGTTACCAAGCATTACTCTTGTATCTACCTTCGTCGCCATGCTTTCCTTTAAGCAAAGCCCAATCAATGTTCATCGTTGGCTCATCAAGAAAATATTTGCACGCCGACCGTCAGTGTGCCACGCCACCAGCCTTGCATTCCGGCAGCCGACCATGCAGCTCTTCTCCCCGGAAACCAAGGGCCACGCTGCATCTGGCCCACACACATCCTGTACATTGGCAAATTAGTACGGGCTGCTAGCACCAGCAGCGCCCCTAGACAAGTCCCAACCCACCCTATTAGCCTATCATCGAAGAGGCAATGAGCCTAGAAGATCCCTCAAAAAGATCACTCCGGCTCGGCTTGAGTGCGCTGTCTGACGTTAGCTGCATCCTGGTCCCGGCCGCACGACGGCAAGCATCGGCGAGCTGTGCTGCAGCAGCATTGCCACTTTCGAGCGTCACCCGGCCTCCGACTCCCGATCCTCATCTCGCCTCCCTGCTCAAAATTGTTTTACTCCATCTTCCCCCCCATCTTAACGCAGCGCGTCTTTCCACAAACCGACACAAACTTCTACATTCGCTTGTACATAGGCTCCGCACCGGTCAAACAGCTAATGCTGACCGTTGAATACGGCCAGCAAGCGTCATCGGCCTGTGGACACCTCGGACTCTGGAGCTGCGAAATTGACGGCACCACTCCGATTCCCTTTTGCGCAATCAATCTCGCGCTTCTCTCCCGCCTCTAACCCATCGCAAATCACCACGTTTCTTGCGATGCGATAAAGTCTGCAAAGCGATTCTGCGCTACCTGTCACCGTCTCCTCAAGCTATGGCTGGCCCGTCATCCAGCCGTTGCGCCCAGCGCCTGCTGCTTCACCTTCATCCCAGACCACAGCTTGCGCGACAGGTTTTGTCGGGATGCCAAATACGCAACTTTCACAAGTCCGCCCCTCGATTAGCGAAGAATATATCGGCTCCGCAAGCGCTCAACGCTCGGTATCGTGCCGCCATGGCCCTAGCCGCAGGCTTCGCCTCTGTCGCCATCGGCATCTACTTTGCGCCCAAGGTCTCATTTGACTCGACCACGACTGTCATGGGCAACTTCAAGCCATCCATCGAAACGCTGCCCCGCAAGCCGGAACCAGAGTTTCTCGACACGAGAGATGCTTCACTCCCACGATATCGATTGTCCGAGGTCAAGGAACATGACGGTAATTCGGAGCGGCCCTGGGTAATTCATGGCGACAAAGTCTACGACATTACAGAATGGGTTTCGGCCCACCCTGGTGGCTCTGTCATCTTGAGGGCAGCTGGCGGCTCTATTGAACCGTACTGGAATATTTTTGCCATTCACAAGAACCAATACGTATACGACATTCTGCAGCAATACTTGATTGGTTTCGTGCACCCGGCCGACCTAAAAGACGGAAAACCGCCCCAAGACGCTATCGAAGACCCCTTTGCCGACGATCCCATTCGCCATCCCGACCTCATTACAAAGACTGCCAAACCGCGCAATGCTGAAACGCCAGACGAGGCCATGAGCGCACAGTTTCTGACCCCAAACGAACTCTTCTATGTCCGCAACCACATGTGGGTGCCCCGTATCGCAGAAGACGAGGCGGACAACCATCTGCTATCCATCGAGTTGCTCGACGGCAGCGTCAAGGAATATACGCTATCCGATCTCAAATCAAAATTTCCCAAGCACCAAGTTACGGCAGTTTTACAATGCTCTGGTAATCGCCGGAAACACATGTCGGATGGGTCCGGGCGTGCGACAAATGGTCTTCAATGGACAGCCGGGGCCATTTCAAACGCAAGCTGGGAGGGCGTTCTTCTCGCCGACGTGCTCCGCGACGCCGGGTTCGAGAATGATCAGGGCATGAGCGGAACCAGCGAAGTGAAGCACGTCCAGTTCAACGGCATGGAAGCCTACGGCGCGTCGATTCCCATTCGCAAAGCTGTCGATCCCCAGGGCGACGTTCTTCTAGCCTACGGCATGAACGGCAAACCGCTGCCGCGCGATCACGGCTATCCATTGCGTGCCATTGTGCCCGGCCACGTCGCCGCGCGATCCGTCAAGTGGCTCAATCAGATCACGCTAAGCGAGGACGAGAGCACGAGCCAATGGCAGCGTAAAGACTACAAGTGCTTCGGCCCCAACCAGACCGAGGTCGACTGGGACAAAGCGCCAGCCATTCAGGAACTGCCAGTGCAGAGCGCCATTACCGCGCTCAAACTCGGCGACTGGGTCAAGGAGCCTGCCGATGCCGCCGACGCCAGCCAGGACGAGCCCGCCGCAGCTACCGCCGACGCGCGGAAGCTGACAGTCAGCGGCTACGCCTATTCCGGAGGCGGTCGCTCCATCATCCGCGTCGACGTCTCCGTCGATGCTGGCCGCAACTGGACTCAAGCTTACCTCCTCCCCGACTGCGACCCCAAGCCCGACGCGCCGTCTCTCTGCCATGGCCACGCCGCGTGGGCCTGGAAGCGCTGGATGTACAAGGGCGTCATCCCCGCCAGCGTCTTCCAAAATGGCGAGCCCGAGACCGTCCCCGACGACACCGCCGTGTCCAACAGGAGCCCCGCGGACACTGCTGCTGCCGATTCCTCCGCAGCGCCGACCAAGGAAACCGGCCGCCGCTGCACCACGATCCTCGTCAAGGCCACCGACGAGGTGTACAACTGCCAGCCAGAGAGCCACGCCGCAACGTGGAATTTCCGCGGCAACCTGGCCAATGCCTGGCATCGCGTGCAAGTGTGCAGTGAGTGTGCGCCTGGTCAGAAGAAGGAGTAGAACAAAAATCATGATAGACGGCTTATTCACGTCTTTCCTTTGTTTCCGGGATTGCTCTACTTTGGGGGTGGGGGGGCCTAGTTCAACGACGCGAGGCATCTAAGAGACGCAGGCATCGCCTTGTTAGTATTGCATATTAATATCTCTGTCTTCTCGCTGCTTCCAACGCATTTTGTAGCCTTCATTCTTTAGATTGCATCGCATCACATGTAGCGGCACGCCAGTCGCCATCGAAGCTATAGCTTCTTTTCGCATCACATAATTAGTATGCCCAATACGAATATGCAGTCATACTTCAAAAATCAGATACTGTACATTGCAAAGAGATATGTTATCTAAACTTGAAACATACTCCCCGTCACGTCCAACTCATCACGTACAGCTCCGGCCCGAGGCCTCTTCATCGGCTAGTATATATCTAATGGTACAGGCGAGATTCGCAGCCAGTGACTACTCTAAGAGTATCCTCGACGCCAATTAGCCGAGTTGCACAAACGGGAGCGAGCAACTTATTCAATGTCGCTGCTGTCCGTAAAGTAATCAAACTCGTCGGGCACCTCGGCCTCCTCGATACCTTCGCCTTCGTCGTCCACTTCGGGGCTGTTTCTTTCTGGGTGGCCCTGAACTAGGCCGGTGCCAGGAGTATAGACCTGTCGAGAGGGAATCTCGCGCTCCCCACCGCCCAGATTTAGGCGTCCTCCGCGAGAGAGTAAGTCCAGCATGGCATTCGTGTCCGGCCCGCGACGCGAGTCTCCTACCAAGGTCTCGAGGAGGCGGGCGTTGCTGGTTCGATTGCCACTCCGCTGAACACCAGCGACGGGGGCGCGCTCCGTGGTCACCTTCTTGAGCTTTTCTTCCAGGACAGACTTGCTCTCATCTGGCTGTGTATCATCAAGCAGGATGGGACCGCCAGTAGGCTTCTTGACCGGCTTGTATCGGCCGGCTGGGAAGGTGATGTACTTGAGTTGGCTTGGGAGGACCCTGCTCATGTTTTCGATTTCGTAGCCGACCTTCTCCTTTTCAGGCTTCTTTTTAGTTTCAGTAGACTCCTTCTCCTCCCCCTCCTTGATTTCCTTGGTACCATCTTTGGGTTTCTCGTCGTCGATATCCATCTTGTCACCATCCTTGGGCGGAGTAGGGTCCATATCCATACTCTCACGGCGCTGGGCACGCTCTTTCTTCTGAGCTCTGCGCTTAGCCTGGGCAGTTGTGGACAGGATGGCAGTGGCGATGAGTGCCGGGCCCTCTTCGGTCTTGACCTCCTGCTCAGGCGGGTAGTCAAACAGGCTTTGGCGAGTGGCACAGTGGAACTTGAAGTCGGGAATCTCGAGGTCATGATCCAGGCCAATGATTGCAGTGGGGGAAAAGCTGAGGGACAGGAAATGCGTAAAGGGGAACCAGTACCAATACTGGGTGAAGACAGCCATACCAACAATGCCAGCCATGTTAAGATTGCCGGTCTGGGTCTGGAGGCCAATCGTGCAGTTGCGACCACCTGCATCAATGATACCAAGGGCAAGTGCGGCACCAAACTTGGTCATCGCATCCTCGTGACGATCTCCGACAACCTTCTTCAGCGTCTTCCGAATGGAGGCGACCTTAGGGTTCATGATCTCATTCTGCTGCACCATAATCATCGCGAGAGAAATGAGAGCACCTTGACGGACAAAGTCGGTAGGATCCTTCATCATGGGTTCCAGGAGGTCGATGGCCTCGTCCAGGCCAGTGCCAGCACAAGAGATGCCCAGAGCCATGGCAGAGCCGTAGCGAACGTGAGGGTTGTATGACTCAGAGAGAAGCTCAACCATGCGTGGTACGCTGCCAGGCTTGCGGAAGAGGATGAAGCCCAAACTCATGACGGCGATACGGCGAACATCATCATTGACATCGCTGACAGCCGTGTGGAGAAGTTTTCTGATAGCCTTGTTGCTTCCGGTACCACAGTAGGCCATGGCCACAGTCATGATGCCACCGTAGCGGAGAGTAGGGTCGGGATCGTTGAGAAGACCCTCGATCAGGACATCAGCACCCTCCTGGCGGCCGTACATGATAAGAGCCATTCCAAGAGCGACGCCACGAACAATCTTTTCGTGAGTAGTCTCATGAGAATAGTTGATCATGTCCTCGAGAGCCTTCACGTTACCGGTACCCAGCATGATGAGGCCCATGGCAACGCCAACGGCTTCACCGTTGAGAGCCGAGTCTTGGTAAAGAATGTCCCTGAGTTTTGTGTAAATTTCTTGGTCGCCAGTGGCCATGCCAGCAATACCAAGGCCGAGGGCACCACCGTGCTGGACAACCTCCTCCTCGGCTTGGCTGAACTGCGTCTTGAGAAAGTCCAGTGCATCAGCGCCGTGGTTGGCGTGAATCAGGCCGTAAGCATAGAGGGCACCACCCTGGCTAAAAATGGAGCCGCTGCTAAGGCCGCCCTGTCTCGGCAAGTAAGGCTCGAGCAGCTTGCGTGATTGCGACAGATTACCGCGATGGATGACACCGAGAGCAGCAGTAGCAGTAAACTTGGACCAGTTCACGGCCTTGCCAAGCCACTCTAGATTATCTCTGAAGAACTTGTCGTTGGTGGTTCCTTGGTTCATAAAGGCGTTGCAGAACGTGACGGCAGTATGGAAGATGGAATTGCGACCCTCCAGGCTGTCGCGAACCTTGTTAAGTATACTTAGGTCCGTATGGTTGTTGCGATAGAGGAACTCAAGATTGAGTCGGATAGTCTTGGAACCGTCGAGGATGGATCGAATGTTGCGGAAGGCAACGTCCTGGGGTGTTTCACTCTCAGGCGATTCCTGCCGGTTCTGGAGGAGGGAGGCGCTCTCGGTATTGTCCTCGTTTTCCTTGTCCTCTGGGTTGGGTGGTTCTTCAAAAGGCAGTGATGAGATGACATTACCTAGGAACTCCTGAGTGCCGTTGTCGTAGAGATCGAAGGCGATTTGATAGGCATTGGCAATGGATGTGCGATCGCCCTTCTCAATGAGGGAATGGAGCATGTTAGAGGCTTCCACATCGGCATTGAGGTAGACAACACACTTGGCGATGGAAAAGTAGTCTGGGTCAGGAATTTCATTGAGGAGGTCGAGGATGAGTCGCAGAATTTCGGTGCGAAAGCTTCGCTCCTGGACAATGTCCATGCACACTCCGAGAGTATACTCCATGAGATCTTCTGCAGGGCCTGCAGCGCCATCCTGAGACTTGGCAGCTTTCTTCTCATCTTCGCTCGCGCGTTTGATGACCTTGCGCAAGATATCGAGATTCTTGGATTCGATGGCAATGCCGACGACTTGGCGATAGCGACCTTGTTTCAGGCAGCTTTCGAAGAGGCGCTCGATAATTCTCTGCAGAGCTTTCTCGGTGGCGCGATCCGGCAACTGGGCAACAGAGCCGGAACGTCCCTCCTTGAGGGGAAGTAGGCTAGCCTCAATGGAAGCGTCGTCGAGGGAGGCGCGCGAAAGCAAAGACTTGGGAGGCAGCGTCGTCTGCGAAAAGGGCGTAGTAGGAGACATGACGGCGCTGTCGGACGGGTTGGAGAAGGTAGTTGTCAGCTCGGGAAGATCGATATTCTTGGCCGTCTTGTGGGTAGCATGGCGGGCGGCGGTAACAGAGATGTACTGGTCGATGCACTTGGAGACAATGGTTTCCTCAAATTCGCCGGGGGCGTCGAGCTTGAAGAGGTCGCCGGCGGCCAAAGCAAAAACCATGCTATCATTGTAGGCCTGGAGATGATAATAGACTTTGGCAAGCACGAGAGCAGCCAATTGTCGCTCAGGAAAGGATTCGTCCTCGTAGAGGGCTTCACTACGGGCAGAGGGTCAGCAAGGAGGATACGAGGGAACCGGGAGGCATACATCTGGCTCAGTGCGTTGGCGACTTCGGTCCAAATGGTATCTATGTCATCATTCAGAGTCTGGAGGGCGAAGACCTTGAGTTCAGGCTCCTCATCAGCGAGGAAGGCGAGGACGCCTGTTGCTGACACGAGGCCTGGCATGGTGAGGCGCTCAAACGCGATGGCGATAGACGAAGAATGGCGCAGAAGACGAGGCAAATACGAATTAAAAGTTGAATGAGAAGCCAATTATGGGCCTCCAGAAAAGTATGTCAATGGGCGAGCAGCGGAGGAGCTCGATGAGGGCTGATTGCTGAAGCCGTCGTGATGGAAGGCGAACGATGTTTTGCGCAGCAGCAGACACTCAGAGTTGCACGAGTAATCAAGAGCATACACGTCAGGCACAGCTTGCCTAAATTTGGCGCCAGCTTGCCTGCAGCTACCCAAAACGAGACCCACCTGACAGAGGCAGCGCTGGCAACAAATCGAAGAGTGCTGAGTAAGGCAGCACGTGACTGCAAAGGGCTACGAGAGAGGAACCTGTGCTTGGGTGGGTCAGATAGGTTTGTCAGAGGTATTGATGAGGTACTGGCCGCACAAAGAGTACGATTTGGCAGAGACAAGTACTGATTTTCTTGAGATAACACCAAGAAGGTACTTATCAATGCTCCAGCTTGCCATCGTCGTCTAAATAACTAAGTAAATGGAGGGAAAAAAAAGAAAGAAGCCTCGTCCCAGGCTTGGGTGCTAATGACGGGATCTGTTACTTTGGCCCGGCAGCTCTAGAACAATATGTACAAAAATGTCAATTTCGCAAAATGGATCAATTCCTCATTTGCGACTTCCCGGGCTCTTCTGGCTGTACTAGGCCGTGCTCCCAATGCCCTCTGCCACTCTCAATACCCAATTACGCTGGTTGGCCCTGCCCGCCAAGTGGGCCTCTCCAAGGTAGCAACACGTCTCCCATCTGGCGCAAACGAATCTCTAGAGCGGCCTGGGGGAAAAAAGAGTCGTCGACTTCCCAGCTTCAATTCACCACGAAACAGCCCGAGCCCGCGCCCCGTATCGTGTCGTACGTTGTCTTGGCTGACGAGAAGACGCCTCTGGTCTAGCACCAACCCTTGCGTCTCCTTTTATTTCCAACGCTGATCTCGCTTGCGCGCCCTACTTGACGTCTTCAGCCCGCCCAACACAGCGCGTTGTCTCCGACTCATTTTTTCGCATTGTTAACATGATGCGTCCAGCGATTCGCACGTCATCGTTTGGTTTGCGCATTTAAGCCTCGTTTATCCCATCGACGATTTAATACGCGACTATTGAAGACGTGGCAGATGTGCGTCCAGCCCTGAGCCAGGCCACGTCTCTTCATCGCGACTCTTCCTCGTCCTCGAGCGCCTGTCGCGCAATCGCATCCTCGAAGAAGCTCGCGATAAAAGTTCAACATTGCAATAATGGATCTTCGTTCGGTTCTCAATACTGCTGATAATGGGGAGCGGTCTGCCGCCAACGCCCCGCCAGCGCCGCCGCAGCAGCAGCAACAGCAGCAACAGCAGCAACAGCAACAGCACCCTCCCCAGCGCCACCCTCATCAACCTCGTGGGCCGCCGCCAGCCAATGCGCAGTACGCCTATCACGATTATCCTCATCATCCAGCTCCCCAACCTTCACCTGGAAAGCCGGGAGGACCAGACTACCAACACCACGGCGGCCAGTACCCGCCCGGCGCGTACCCTGCCCCGTCCCCCTACCAAACCCAATCTGCGTATCCTCCTCGAGCTAGTCACCCTGGTTCGTTTGCGGACCCTCGCTCTCCTGGCAGCGCACCTCCAGTACAATCACCCTATCGTCAGTCAGCGAGCTCAGCGCCTGGCCAAGCTCTTGGCCCGTCTCAAGGCTACTTTGCAAATCAGGCTCCTCACGAGATCCGAAGCCCAAGTCAACGGCATCAATACCCCCCGGCGCAGTACCAGCCTCAGCCCCTTCACGGTCACCAGCAGCACCAGCGTCACGATAGCCATCCTTCGCAAGCTCAGCCGACGACGCCGTATCTGCCACACCCCTCCATCCCTCAAACGCCGCCGATAGGCCACCCAGGTCAGCAGCATAGCCAGCGAACCCAGTCCGCTCAGTCTACTCCGACGCCAACATCTGCACACTCACAACATCCATACGGCTTGCCGTTTGCTCATGGCAGCCCTGCTTCTCAGCATCAGCATACGCCTATAGAATATCGTCGTCAACCTTCACAGCCTCCGGGACCTCCCAGTCAACCACAAAGTGCGAATCCATCGAGTGCTAATTCGCAAGGGCCTCCCCCTTTCAGTCAACCTTCGAGTCCTTACCAACATAAAATGCCATTTACTGGAGGGGCTGCTGTCGCACAAGCCCACTCGTCTCCAAACGGCCCGCCGCATCCGCAGCAACCACAACATCGCCTTTCCCACCCACGTCCTCCTTCTCAGCACGCCCACAACTCGCCACATCCCGAAAGCGCCAAGCGCAGATCAACCAGCGAGCGAGAGCACAGCATGTCTGTCAGCCCCAAAACATGCGTTGGCTCTCTGCCAAGCAATTCGGAACGTCCCCCATCAATGTCTGGGGATGACTCTAGATCAGCCACAGTCGCACAGCCCGCCAGCATGGTAGGAATCAAGCAGGAGCATCCTGTAGCGACACCAGCCAAGCGCAAACTCAACGATCGCAGCATGAGTCCCAGCGAGCTCGAGCATAGGAACTCGAGACCTCCCCCTGGAGAAATCAATGGAGCACAAACCGAGGCGCCGCGAGAGGCACAACGGGTGACGATCAAGGAAGAGCCGGTCGAGGAGGAGCCGGTGAGGGAAGATTCGGCCAGAGGAGGTTCAGTCAGGGAAGAGTCGAGACCTGCGTCAGAGAGACCCGCGACACCTCCGCGACCGGAACCAGATGAGGACACTGTACGCACGTGTTGGTCAGAGCCCCCTGTCTGGGCGCTAAGCCTTCGCACACTGGGAAAGGCCCTGCCAAAGCATGCGAATTATGTTCTCTCAGATCGCCCTCATTCGATCCCACCCGAAAAGAGTCGCGCACCTTCTCACGAGACGTCCAACATTAGCGAGACTCAAGAGCAGCCCGAACCTCGCGGGCCGCAAGAATTTATTGGACCCTGGGAAGCCAGCATCACTGGTGTCAAACCATATGAAGAAATGTCACGAGCGGTTGCGGATTTCCTCTTCATCCACGTTATCAACGCCCAGGATGCGCAGGAAATTAGCAGCAGAGGCATCGAATTCGAAATCGAGGCAAAGCTGGGGACGCTGATCGACAAGGATACAAACCATCGTGTTGAGAAATTTATCGAATCCGAATGTGTTCTTCGTGACACTGGTCGAGTAGCGTTCAAAAGTAGCATGACTGAGGTGAGTCAAAACATGTTGTGCCTTTTTTTGTGCGGCACGAAGCTGACATGAGACAAGGCGCACCACAAAGCTTTCAACGAGTTCCTTAACAAGGCTGTCATACAAACAGATCCGCGCTCAGCACATGGAAAAGGCCGCGTGCAGGTGCACTACAAACACCGGCGCGAAATCGACAAATACTTTGAGCTCCCACTCGACATGCAGGCGCGAATTCCAGGCTGTGTTAGATCCCGGCTGGGCACGCGCAAGAATGTGAAAGCGAGAGTCACGTATGACGAGAAAACTGGAGAGGTCCTGAACAAGATTGTCAAGGCCCGGGTAGCTGATATTGACCTCCACTTGCCCCAGTGCCCCATGGACTGCCGCATCAGCATTAATCTGGAAATGGACTGGGACGGCCCTGTGGACGAGCTAGAGCAGCTCGCTGGAGCGCCGACGCAAGGCATTACCGACCGCCGCAAAGATCGCTTAAGCTACAAGCAAGGCAATTATCAAATTGACCTCACCCAGGTCACCATGCCCGGTGGGCAGGGAGTAAGTTTTCTATTGTCCCATCTCGGTGTGACGTGTACTAACATGTTGTCCAGTCAGCACGCGGCGAAAAGGAGCACGAGCTCGAAATCGAAGTGTCCGGGGCTGCCGTTATTGAGCAAGGCCGCCGCGCCATGGCGGGACAGCCACATGGCTATCAAGAGCTGATTGAGGGCTTTTTAGACAATATGCGTGTCCTCGCTCGCAAAGGAAAGGAATTTCAGCGATAAAGGCAAACAGTGCCAATTATTGACATCATGTGATGCTCCCAAAAAAAGCCTCTCATTTTGATGTATGTTTGCCTGAACTGTTTTGATATCACTTTTTTTCATCGGTTTGGTTTTTTTTTATCTCTGTTGTGAGGGTTGCAGTGGCTGGCCGGGGTTATGGGGGGGTTATTCGGCATACATGGCGCTTCTTTTTGTTACCCGTCTGATTCACGGAGTCTTGGGCGCTTCTTTCATTCTAATGTTCTGTATTATACAAAGAAAAGAGGTTGACACGAGAGAGGCGCAGGCAACATCTTGGATAGTACAAATGCTTTTCATGAATAATTCGACTGGAGCCAAAAGATTTTGCAGTTGCAACGCAACAGTAAGAAGTCAGGATTATAGATTCTGTCTGCATGCGTAGGATCCCGCAGGCACTGCCCTGTCACCGGGCAGAGAAAAGCAGCATTCGCAAAAATCAAACAGTCTATCTCGCGTCTACATTATCGTGCACAGGTGCCTTTACTTGGTGCCCATTGACAGGTTGCTCAAGATCCGTCTCGTCGGCATCGACGTCTTCTTCCAGCTCCTCGGGGAGTGTCAGGTTGAGAATCATGCACACGGCCGCGGTGATGGCAAAGCCGGTCTGCATGATGAGAACAATGGCATCATAGAATCCCTGGAGGGACTTGTTGTCGCCCTTGTACGTGAAGATGTGAGAAAAGTAGGTGGGCACGAGCGTGGCGCCGTAGCCGAGCGACAGGCCGGCGGTGAGGATGAAGCGGTTGCGGCGCGTAAAGACGACGCCGCGGGCGATGATGGCGACGCCAGAGACGGCGACGGCGGTGAAGAGGAAGGTGGTCATGCCGCCAATGACTGACGAGGGGATGGAGACGATGGCGGCGGCCAGCTTGGCAAACACGCCCATGACGACGAGGAAGAAGCAGCAGGCGTAGCCGGCACGGCGGTTGGCGCAGCGCGTCAGGGCAATGACGCCGTTGTTCTGGGCAAAGGTGCTCATGGGCGTCATGGTCATGAGGCAGGCGAGCAGGCCGTTGCAGCCGTCGGCCAGGACACCGCCCTGGATGCGCGACTCGTAGACGGGGCCGTCGACCTCGAGCTTGGACACGTCGCAGGTGGCCGTGATGTCGCCAATGGCCTCGCACGCGCAAATAACGTACACGGCGAGGATCGGCAGCACGAGCGGCCCGTAGAGCGACAGCGGGAACGTGTGCATCCAGACAAAGGAGGCGACGGGCGCCACGTCGATGCCCGAGCGGTCAAAGTAGCCGCAGGCCGCGGCAATGATGCAGCCGACGAGCAGGCCAATGACAATGGACGTTGACTTCATAATCGGCGAGCCGAAGCGCTCGCAGAGCATAATGGTGATGAAGACGGAGAAGCCGAGGCCGAAAAACTCGGCCGACCCCCAGGGCAGCGGGTGCGGCGCGGCGGTGCTCGGGCAGGTGGCGAAGAGGCCGACGGCAGTGGCCGGGTCGGAGCAAGGGCCGGAGCCGCCCATCCAGTCCTTGAAGCCGCTCTCGATGAGGTGCACGCCGATGAGCATGACGGTGGGGCCGGTGACGATGGGCGGGCACATGCGCAAGAGGACGCGCGCGGGGATGAAGGAGATGAGGATCTCGATGAGCGCGCACAGCGCCGACGTGCCGATGAGCGCGCCGTAGCCGCGCGGGCAGGGCAGCGGCGCGCCGTCGGGCGTGGACGGGCAGTAGCCGTTGGCGTACATTTGCTGGAAGCCGCCGAGGGCGACGGGGATGAGGTTGAATGAGATGCCGACGACGGAGATGACACCAGTGCCAACGTAGTAGCTATAATAAAGTAGTTTTGCATGCAACGGTCAGCAGGGGAGGGGGGATTTTGCTTTTTGGTGGCGGTGGCGGGGGGGGGGGGCTGGGCTCACGAAGATTTAAACAGACGAAACCGGGTGATTTGAATCGTCGACAGGACGCCGGAGATGATGAGCGCCGTGGAGACGAGGTATTGCTGCTGGTGCACCTCGAGATTGGCCCCCGACGTGCCGCTGAGCAGCAGCGGCGGCGTGATGATGCCCGCGAGCATAGCCAGCGCGTGCTGCAGACCGAGGAGCAGGCTCAGCAGCACGGGCACGCGGTCGTTGAGGCCGAAAAAGGGACTGCTCGAGGCGGAGCGCCGCATGAATGGCAGATTGGGGCGGAAGAGAAAGGCATAGTCGTAGTCGCCAACGAGGCCCTTTTTGGTGGTAAAGGCTCGCTTCACGGCGCGGAGCCGGGAACTCAGGGTGCGGCGGCGATGCGGCGAATGTGCGGGGGCAATGGATTGAGGCCCATGATCTTCATCCATCTTGGATAGAGGAAGAGAGAGAGAATAAAAAAGAAGATAAAAACAGGAGAGGGGGTTATCGTTTTCAATTCATGTACAAGTTCAAAGATGGGATAGGGTTTTCGGGGAGCGGTTATGATCAGGCGAACCTGCTGAATCCTGGCGGTTGTTGGGGGCAAACCTGCTGAAGCCGATTCGTGAGAAACTCGATAATAAGGCAAATGTCGGGCCGGTTGTTGAAAGTTGGCAAAGAAGAAGTTGTGCAAGGCTGCAAGGCAAGGCAAATCATATTACAACCAAGACCATTGATAAGAACCCACTTGAAGATTTTCTTTGCAGCTCGGGTGGGCAGTAAGTGGAGAGGACCCTTTCTAAGAGATAACGCGGAGCCGTTTTTAATTTTCATTTCCATTTAGTCTAGTCATCGATCGCGTATTCCTCTTGATTTCAAGGTAGGCTCGTACGTTGATAGACCATCATCAACGGGCGGGCGGAGGACGCCGACGAAAGGACAGTGTTGTTTTACCCCGTACGAACAGGCAGGGCACAGTGAAGCAAGTTGATGGAGCCGGGTGGCATTTTTTTCCTCGACAACGGCAATCCCTAGTTAGTTGCTGGTGACGGCAAACTATATAATTGCCTAGTCTGTGATAGGTCATCGGCGGCCGATCATGCTCCGGTTGCCAGCATACACCTGCTCTATTTGACGGCACTTATTTCTTATGTAGAGGATCCTGTCGGCACATTGAACAGGACAGAGGAAAACAAAGAAAAGTCAGCAATGAGTTAAATGTATTCGTAACTCTCAAAGTAGTATCTCGCAAAAGCAAATCAGCTTCCGTAGCTCAATTATCCTTCTTCATTGCCCTGCGTCAACCACCAATCCCCATATCCAGCTCCGTCACCGCCAATTCATCCTCTCTCTATCCTCTTCACCACCACTAGCACCATCACCCTTCATCCCCCCGCCCCCTCTCCACAAGACAACACGTCCGCATTGTTCTTCACTCTGCCGCCCTCTCCTCGTCATTCTTCTTCTTCCGCTGCGCCGCCCGCAGCTCCGCCTGGTAGTTGCTCTGTAGCCTTCTCCGCGCGCGCCTCCGGAAGCAGTAAATCGCCAGGCCGCCGAGCGCCACGCTCGCGGCGACGAGCGCAATAAGCAGCCCCACGAGGATGGTGTTACGCACGGCATCGACCTCGGTCACGATGCGCTCGACGGGGATATATGTCATGCCGTCCTGGCTGTCAATGGTGGCGGATGCCGGCTGCTGCTGCTGCTGCTGCTGCTGCTGCTGAGACGTGGTCGGCGATGGAGAGGACGACGAGGAAGACGAGTCTTGCGCGGTGGTGGTGGCGTAGAGCTCGTGGCCGATGAAGCCAATTTCCATCGTGATGGGAGTAGACTGGTCGTATCTGATGACAAGTTTTTTTTTGATCAGGAAAAGAGAGAGAGAAAGAGAGCGTTTTGCTGCGTGTGAGGCGGCTTGCTGAAGCTCGAGGTTTTGATGGCGAGGATGACAAAAGTGAAGAGTGCTCGATTCTGATGCAGCTCAAATAATTGCGACGATTTCTTGATCCAAGGAGATGCAGAGACCCGTATTGCAGGACATTTCGTGCTACATGGTGACACTTGCGATTGTTCTCGCAGAGTGTCGGCGCGATGCATCACACAAACGCAAGAACAATCGTAACCGGCCCGTTTGCTGCTGTTGCATGCCGCAGGCAGTGGGCTTCGTCAGCAGTGTACTATGCATGCATTGTGTCACATTCACCTGATTACATTTTTGCATGGCACTCGTCTTCAATGGGGAATAGTCTTATTATTGAATACAGTATATATCTAATATGCAAGGGAAATAATGTAGTAGTAATATCTATACAAGGGAAAATAAGCCGTCTGTGTATACAGCACATTGGGCATTTGTGCCTTTAGTTGCGTCGGTGTTGCCCGGAAATTGCGAGTTTTGGTGAAACAAAGGGAAAAAATATTAAATCCGGCGAAAATCAACCGACGTATAGATGCGTGGCAAACATCCTTTTTCTCCTGGTTTCCATCCAGTCGTGCAACCCTCATTCCATCAGTCTGATACATGTCGTGAGACGTTCATATTCTATTCTGTGTAATCGTAAATTTCGTTTCAGACAGCTCTCAGAGACGTCGACCAGTGGTATTGGTTGAGGGGTAGGGAGGATGCCACTGGCCATTGTCAAAAGTGTGAGTCCATTGGCCATCATCAACCGGTGGCGTGGCCGACGACGGCGCATCGGTGGTCGAAGCAGTTCCTGCCAAAGAAGTCGTGCTAGGTCTCGCACTGGAAACCGTAGAGATCGCTGTCCCAGGAGTAGTCTGTATGGCCGTGGGCTGAGAAGAGTGACTGGCGTGGGTGCTAATCTGGGTGGCAGACTCCGAGGATCTTTGCGCGGGTGCGGTTTCTGTCCCAGCAGGCTTTTCACTAGAGGTCAGAGACTTGGATGTAGTCAAAGTCGTGCTATCCTCAGCGGTGGTAATGGTTTTCGAGGTAGTGGTAGTTTCGTGAGCAGCGGATGAGTTGCCAGCGCTGACGGTGGTGACCGTGACCAACGTCGTGGGAGTAGCGGAAACGACAACCGTAGAAGGCTCAACGACGGTAGTGGGAACAGTAACCGTCTTGGTATCGTTCTGGATGCCCGTAACGACTTCAGATACCGTGACTGTTTGAGTGTTGTTCACAACCTTTGTAACAAAGGTTGGCACAATCACCGTCTCAGGGCCAGCCGTGACAGTTTCCGGATTCGTCGTCACCGTGATATATTTCGTGACAGCGCCTTTCGTTTGCGTCTGCGTAACAGTTTCGGTCACTGTCACAGTTGCAGCGCTTTGCGAATGGGGAGGGCTGCCACCGCCGCCAGTAGCGGTTGGACTGCTGCCACCGCTGGTGTTGCTGCCATCATCTCCAGAGTCTCCTCCCGTCTGCGTGGCGGGGCCGGGCTCCAGGGGCACGACCGAGTACGAAGGTGCCTTTTGGTTGACATTGACAGCGTGGGCGAGGATGGCGTCTCGAGCTGAGTTGTAGATGCGGATACGAGGAAACGCAACCGTGGTGGCAATGCAGCTTGAAAGACCGACGAGGAGAGTGGCGGAGGTGCGCATCTTCATTGAGATCAAGAGGGTAAGTGTGAAGGAAAAGAGTGAAGAGAAAGATACAGTGAAGACAAGAGAGGAAGGGATGGGCAGCTCGATGCCGCTGAGGCTGTCGTGGTACTCAAGTCCAAAGTATGTAGTGACAGTGGGCAAACGAGGCGTTTCCAAGTAGTCAAGACTGTGAGATTTAGGTCGGTGTCAACGATCAGCGTAATGAGAATAAATTCGTATATGCAAGAGAGGTGAGATGAACGATTCGCACATGCATGGGCGCGATGGCCTTTTTGCTCTGCGGTCCATGATGGGGGCTGGCAACGCACAAGCGGTTTGATGAAAAAGGGTGCATGAAGTCGGTGGCTGGTAAAGCCAAAATATTAACTGGTGGTTGGGTGGTGCCGCTGGAGCTGGCTGGAAAGGGAAACTCTACAGCGGGAGAGAGTGGGGCAGGGCAGCTCAGCTCAGCTTCAGGGACATTTATCGGTAACGAGTGGGGTTGAATAGCACCAACTACTGTTTTTACAGCTCTGAGCACCTTTGTTCCAGCGTTCCAGGCGGGTTCCATTTGCAGTCTCGGACCCCTCCTTGCCTCCCCAGCCACTTCTTTAATATCGTCTCCCTTGTCGCTGCTAGCGCCATTCGAGGCTTGCAGATTTGAATGCACGACATTTTCGGCCGCACTGATAGAAATCCCAATCGTCCGATCCTATTCTCGCTTTTCGCATTGTCTGCATTGTCCATCGCTACCGCATTCCCTGCCGTAGCCCCCAACTTCTCCGCAACAAAATTGCGCTGATCAGATTGCGTTGCAAGTGGCAAACTGGCCACGCCACGCTTCAACGGTCCTTGTGGCGGTGCTGGAGGAGACGCGGCATCGAGTCGACCTGGTGTGCCAATGTGCCTGGCCAGGCCACTGGCCCGCCATGACATTCCCAGACACTATGTAAAGGCAAAAGGGAAGCGGCAATCGAGACAGTCTCAATTGATAGAAGCATGTTGAATTGGTCTAGAAGATCTCAACTCAGAGCTGATGGGAACTGGCACATTGTGTGTGCCTGGTGGGGTGCCACCGATCTTGGCGACATTGACATGGTTTCCCTGTGCCACGCAACGTGGTGGCCTGCCATCCTGCCTACCTGACACAACCATAATTGACAGCAAAGCCATGAACTGTGTGCAGTAGTCAATCGTGAAAAGGTTCATGTACTAGGTCTTTGTGTCTTCAAGAACTTGTCATCATTGCCGAATTGCCTGTTCTGCCTGTTCTACCTCTTCACGAAACAGATGAATGGCTTGAAAGCCAAGGCTGTCCTCGGTGACGTGGTTCGACAGCTCCGCCAAGGCGCACCACCAAAAACTGCAGAAACCGACCAAGCGATCAGGGATCAGGAATCAGGAATCAGCCTAGTCAAGACTCAAGAGTCTCAAGTCTAAAGAAAGGGTGACTGGCTAGAGGCCAAGGGCGTTTCTTGCCCCAGAAATTATGCTCAGCCTGTTTGGACGGTCATCTGCCAGTTGCAAGTGGCGCGGACCATCTCTTTTGACAGTAGGACCGTTGCCAGCACCTTGATAATTATTTTTACCTCTGTAATAAAGGCCCAAAGCCCTCGTCCGGGCCTGCTGGACCACCAAGAACCACCTAGCCGCAGCACTAGAGGGGCACAGCCGAAGCTTGAGCCCATCGTCATCGTCGTCATCGTCCACGTCGCCATAATTTTTACTTGGCCTTTTCCACATTACTTTTTCATTCAATACACCTAATTTCTAGAGTAAATAAAGGCCTCACGGCAGCATTGTGGCATCCTCGCGCCCCGTCGCCGATAATCACCAAGATCGCATCTTCTACCCCTCACTCGCAAATGTCGTACCAAGGTTACGGCGGCCAAGGCTATGGCGGCCAGGGTTACGGTGGTCCAGGCTACGGTCGTGAGTCGCACCCAGCTCATGAAACGCATCAATCTACTGACAATGCCTCGCAGAACCGCCTCCTCAAGGTTACGGACAACAATACCCCCCGCCTCAGGGCCAACATCCTCAGTACGGCCAGTATCCGCCCCAGCACCAGCAATACCCTCCTCAACATGGCGGATACAATCAGCCGCCGCCCGGCCAATTCCCCCCTCCCCCCCAGCAGGGCTACGGCCAGCCTCCTCCTCCTCAGCATTATGGCCAGCCGCCTCCCGCCCAGTACGGCGGCGGCCACCACCAAGCGCCGTCCTACGGCGCGCCTCCGCCGGGTCAATACGGCGCTCCTCCCCCTCACGCGCCGCCTCCGACGCCGCCTTCGCTCGGCTACGGTGCTCCGCAGATAATCAACTGGGATGCGTCGGGCGATGCGCAGGCTCTCCGAAGCGCCATGAAAGGCTTCGGCACCGACGAAAAGGCCCTGATCCATATCCTATCCAACAAGGACCCTCTCCAAGTCGATGCCATTCGCGAGGCCTTTTCTCGGAACTTCTCGCGCACACTTACAGACGATCTCAAGTCGGAAACGAGCGGATACTTTGAGCTTGGGCTGCTGCAGCTGGCCCGCGGCCCCCTCCTTGCCGATGTCTACAATCTGTTTGACGCCATGTCCGGCCCTGGCACCAACGAGCTCCTGCTAAATGATGTTCTGCTGTCCCGCTCCAACGCTGATCTGAGGGCCATCAAGCAGGCCTACTACAAGACCTTCCGTCGCAGTCTTGAGGACGCGGTCAAAGGCGACCTCAGCATGAAGACGGAGCGCCACTTCATGATGGTCTTGGCCGCCAACCGTGCTGAGGACGCGGCACCTGTTGTTCCCCAGCAAGTCGACGGCGATGTCATGGAGTTGTACAAGGCAACAGAGGGCAAGATGGGTACCGATGAAATCCTCGTTTGCAGCATTTTCACCAGCAGGAATGACAACCAGCTGCGCGCCATTGCCCACGCCTACAAGCAGCGCTTCAACAAGGATCTCGAATCAGTCGTCAAATCGGTATGAAAAAAGGCCTTTCCAGTTTGTGATGGCGATACTGACAATTTTTGCAGGAATTCTCTGGACACATGAAGGAAGCCCTTCTTTTCCAGCTCCGCCACGCCGTCGATAAATACATGCATGCCGCCCAGCTCTTTGAAGACGCCATGGCGGGCATGGGCACCAAGGACAAACTTCTCGTCGGCCGCGTCGTCCGATACCACTGGGACCGCAGCGAATTGGCGAATATCAAGGGCGCTTACCAGCAGCGCTACCGCCGCAGCCTCGCCAGCCGCATCAAGGGTGAGACATCGGGCGATTACGGCCGTCTGATGGTTGCCTGTATCGGCGAGTAAAGACAGGCGCGCTTGGAAAGGAGACAGAGATTTTTGTTCAATGGTTTACCTTCCCTGTATGCTATCGATTACTTTGATTATAACCTTTGGCTAGCAAAATGATAATTTGTGCAGCGGTCCAAAGTAGGGCCAATTCATTCGAATATCAGATTTACATTCACAGCGCAACACACGCCACTGCGACTTCACATTCTATTGAGCAGAGCACCACGTGATCCTCCAAAAGTACACTTGTTGGGCATGACTGCAAATTTGGCCCAGTGAATGACAGGTGAGGAGATGAGCTTTGGATAAGGCAGGTACAGGCCACCAAGCGATTTGTGAAGCTCGCGCCTGCTTCCATGCACGTATAAAACTTCACCCTACGTGGCCATGCTCTTCAGACAAGCTCTTTTCTGCGCCATACACCATTATGCACAACCATATTTACCTTTTGTTGTAAAAGTATGCAGTTGACGCTTGCATACTGACACTCTTTGCGGTATTCAACATGGGCGTGGCACAAGGACCGAGCCTGTCAACCACGTGCAAGTCGGGCGACTGCGTCGACACATCCTCTCCTTGCAAGGCTTTGAAGTCGACTGAAACGTTTTCTTGGACCGAAGCAGACACATATTATACCAAGCTGTTCAGAGCGTGGGACAATCTTCCTATCCACGATGCATCCACAGAAACGGAACTACTGCTAGAGCTAGACCACATCATTTCGCTTTTCGACTCGTACATCGGGCACAATGACCTTGGGTTTCGGGCATGGGTGAGACGCCATCAGCGCGCCATGGACCTCGGGTTGGTAGAGACGCCGACGTGGCCAAAGCTATACAGACTGAAGGGTGGAAAGCAGAAGTGGCGAGACGAGGCCTGGGTCAGTCGCTACAGTTTTTTGGTCAATCAGCGCGACATAATTACGAAAAGCAGACTGCAACGCATAACTTGCTGTGAGCTTGCAGACAAAAAGTGCTTCTTTGGGCTCTCGTGGGCGTATCCGAGACAGACTGTCCGAACCGTCCAGTCCACGCAGCCTGCGCGACTGCGGAATCGTTGGTACGAGCCGCTGGACAATTGCCTCGCCAGAATGGCGGCCGAGTCACACGGACGATTGGACTTTTACGCGCTTCATGCAGAGTTTTGGGGGACTGGCACGCCGGCTGACACGGTGGTGACGGCGGGCGACTGCAAGGTTAAATGCGAACCTTTGGAAGACGTTGATGTGAAGCATGTCGGATGCATTAGGAATAAAGTCTAAATCGAGACTTTCTGGCTGGCGTTGGAAGAGTTGAAATTCTCGTTGCTTTGTTGCTTTGTCTGGTTCTCATTTTTACGAGTCCATCAATATGTTGGCATTGGCTTTGTCTAGACAGTTAGCGTCTGTATGAGTTAGCATCGCGTTAACAATGCTTCAAATTGCTATGTGAGAATCCCCCTAAAACTAGCATGGATTAGGCAGGTAGTTAGTTAGATCCAGTTAATTAATTAGCCAAAGCTAGCGAATGCAGGAGGGGCCCACAAGTTTTGGCCGTAAAAAATTGGTTACCCTTGTGCTATTTATGCCTAAATATCCAGGCAGAAATAATTATTAGGGGGATATAATTGGCGAATGATGGAACACGCTAGCATCGTGGATACTGCCTTACTTGCCCTGGCGACTGGACGCGACAAGCATCACCAAAAAAAGCATCATTGGGCACTGAAGTTTGGAGCGAAAGAGTCAGTCCACGATCTTGCACGCATCAGATTTCTGGGTCTTAACTTTTCCACCTTTGGTTGGTTTGCGGGCCAGATCAGGATCGGAAAATTGCTTCATGTGTTTGAGCACGGCAACCTTTACAACGTGAACGGTACGCCGCGCCTCACTCAGCAGAGGGGAACAAACGGCGCAGCTTCATTCACTGCCACTTGGCTCACCGAAGCAAAGCAACGAAGTAACTCACATCCTTTTCCATATTCCGATGCGCATGAAGCACCAACTTCACTCGATCCCAGGATTCCTGCAGAAACACACTCCCCTGTGAGGCTTCTTTGCGCGCGTTGGCCGCCAAAGTCGTTCTTTTTGCGCAACACAACCTCCAAAGCAAGCCTTTGGTTATTGCAGCAGTCGGTCAATGTCAATCGTCAAGTTTAGACTGGACACGAAACAACCTGCTATCAGAGAGACAACGACCGCTGCAATGGCACAGCAGAGGTCCCGGCCGGGGCAAGCGGCGTTCAACTTTCCCTCGCCCAACATGCAACGAGCACATCCAGATGCATTCCAAGATGCCGTGATGCATGCCAAGAATGCGATGAGAGCTTACGAACCTGCTGTTCTGCGTCAAGCCGTCCGTGAACTATGGGAGCTGACCCTGGTCGGCTCCGAGTACCACAGCTCCTTTATTGTAAGTCTTGAAAACGTACCGACGAAGCGCGAATATCCAAGGGTAATTTTCTGACTGATGAACTGGAATGCAGTGTAGCACAATGCTTCACAGGGCTCCTCTGGCCACACTGAGCCGCTCCATTGAGCAGCACGGAGCTCGCGCTGTGAAGGCCGCGACGAGCGAGATTGCCAAGCACCTAACGATGGAGGGCCTGGATCTGGTGGCGCCTATTCTGCTACCCAAGTTGAGTCTCCTGTTTCTGGACAAGGCCCTCGGACTTCGCCTCGAGTCCATCGGGGCGCAGCAGCTCGTCAACGCGCTCGCTAGGGCGGAGCGTTTAGGCTACGACGTTCGCGACATGGTGACGGGGACGGGAGCGGGGACGGGGAACCATACTGGCCCTCCGCGGCAAGAAAAGGTGATTCCCACGGCGAATCCGATCCCCGCACCGCCGGTCTCCATGCTGCCAGGGGGGTCACAGGCAGGGCCGGGGTCAGGACCAGCCTCATCTGGGGCAGTCCTTCTTCCGTCTGACCAAGAGATCATGAAACTTGGCATTGCCTTTTGCGAAAATTGCAACCGGCCCTGTGCAGGCTTCAAGGCGCTGCTGGCGCACCGGCGCAGCGGGCTTTGCGGAAGGCCACCAGCTCCGCTTGATAGATTGGGAAAGGATTACTGCTTGTTTTGCGGACAGCACTTTACCGGAAACGGTGGGCTGGCGTACCACATGAAGAACAATGTCTGCGGCACCTACACATCTGAGCATACCGACGCGTTGACAAGACTTTTTACCGACGCGGACCAAGTATGGAAGACGAACCAGTCGCAGGCGAATACACCAACCAGGGAAGCCCCCATCATCTCGAGCCGATCCACCCCGCAACAGTCCCAGAGATTCGGGACTCCCAAGACTGACCCGTACAGTCAGCTTGATGCCAACAGCCGCCTCGCGTTCGACGCTGCCATGGCCAGGATCGAGTATCAGTATCAGGACGGGCAGAAGAAGGCGGCGAATATGCCGCCGATGCTGCAAAAGACTGAACTGGCTCGGCTGAAGAACCTGTACAACAACAAGCAGAGCACGACGCGCAAAAAGTTTGGCATTAGACTGCGTGAGCGTCGGTCCAAGTCTGAAATCGACGAGGAGCGCAACCGCATGCTCAGCGGCCGTCCGGAAACGCCGGCATCGACAGGATACCGACGCGGCTCGGAGGTGGAGTCGTCGGCATCGACAGGATACCGACGCGGCTCGGAGGTGGAGTCGCCGGCGTCGACGAGAAAGAGAGCTCACTCGCAGGTGGACGGAGCCTCCGTGTCCGCTGGCGACCGTGACAGCGTGGGCGGACAAAGAACGCCAAAATGGGGTCCTGCCACTGAGGTGGGCAGTGATGTGCCTGCATCGCCTGCGAATGGCGCGACAACTGGTCCGACTTCAAAGAGGGCGTCTCCGGTGCTTTCTCAAGCGAACGCGCCGTTGACGACTAGTGTCGCGCCTCAACCAAGCGCACCTTCAGCCAATGGTGCCACGTCGCGACCGATGCCCATGTCAATCGCCGGGTCGTACACGGCACCGATCCGCACGGCGGGCAAGGAAACGGAGGCGATTGAGATTGACGACTACGACGATGACGAGGATGAGGAGGACGACTTCGATGACGATGGCGGTGAGGAGGAAGGAACTGCTAGTGGCGATCAGTCCGACACAGAGATGGGCGGATGAACAGGGGGAAACGGAGCTGCGGTGACTAAGGGAGGAATAGCGAGGATGCGAATGATGACTTGCAAAGCATTTTGCGACGGGGCTAACAAGGAGATGCAGCATTGGCGCATTGTTTGGCTTCTATACAACTCTGGCTGCGAGACATTGTCTGGCATCTATACAACCTTTGACTGCATGACACATTGGCCAAGCGACTACAGTACGCTATGTGATTTTTCGATTGATTGAAATGTCGCGCCATTTTTCTCTACGATACCTTTAGTCCTTTCTACAAAAAGAAGCTCGGGGGTGCAATGCAACTATATCGCAACATGGGATGGAAAGGGTAATGCTGGCACTCCTTTCTTGCTATTATTATCGGCTTTTATCAAAACAAAAAAGTGTGCAATGGCGCAAAAATGGGGGCATTTACAAGACCACACATGGCAATCAGGGTTTTGATTATTCATGGGGGGGGGGGCCAGAGGGAAGCATTTTCGCTGGATCAGGTCGATGGGTGATGTAATGGCTAGCATGGGAAGTAGGGTAGTACTATTTATTAGCTTTGCAAAATTGAAGATTTTCAAAAACATGTTGCTCTCAAGCATCAAGATGCGAGGGTTCGTAAGGGAGATGAGCTAGAAGAATGGCAGGACAAGGTGACAGGGTAAGTTATCAAGAGGATGCTAAATTGGTTGATGAGATGAAAGGATGCAGGTATGTATAGTAGGTGCAGCTAAATCTGGTCAGGCGGACGGATGTGAAACACGTTAGTGGCGTGCAGTGGTCGTAAAGTCGTAGCCTAGCCAGGAATTTGTGTTGGTGATGGTAGTGATGTGAGTGATGAGGCAGATGGTGGGTGTGAATGAGGGGGGGTAATGAGATGTGAGCTGTGATGATGATTACATTGCCACGTCAAATTCCGTAAGTCAGGGGGGAAATCGATGCACTGGCCTTTCATCGTGATACATGCGCCCAAGTTTTTTTTTTTTTTTTTTTTTTTTTTGCATTCTTTTTCTGGCTGTGGGCGTGCACGCTGCCTCGAGCATTGACTAATCCGTACGAAGCCCGGAAACAATACGCAATGTCTCTGCCATGAATAATTCAAACTACCCTAGCCCAGTTGCCCAGCAAAGCAATGGAGAGCGAGATGGACGGACGGGGCGATGGTGGTCAGATGCCAATATGCTAACCCCGTATCCATATTTTCCTTCCATATTTAACGCTGGTCACTATAGCCTCCGAGCTTTCTCACACATTAGTTTTCTTGTGATTCTAACCATCCATGATGCGGCGCTAGCGGCGGCCCCCCCGGTGTAAGGTTGAGGCGACCACACAGACACACACTGCCTTACGACGGGGGATCCTTGGTGCAGCAGCGGTCGATGAAAGTAGTTTTATGAAAAGATGTGCTACTCAGTATAGAGTAGTAGTAGTAGTAGCAGAAGAAGAAGTATCGGTATTTGAGTGTTGGGTGTTGAGTGGGTTCCACGCACATCAACGTCCGCGCGCGCGACGACTGCCGAGACAATGGTTACTTGTGCCCCGCTAACGGACATGTTGGACTGTTGGACTTGTGTTGATTCCTTTGAACATTTCAGTTTCCCGAGTTTAAAGATATATTTGCTTTGTATAGTTGCGACACATTTCTATATACAAATTTTCTACATTGGCAGTCCAATAATGGTAAGAATGGCGACAAAAGAAATCAAGTCAAAAAGAGAAAAAGAAAACGTTTAGGTGGGCAATCACGAAACAACAATTGCGCTAAGTCGTCTTGATGAAACACTGACAACTATCCTGGCTCATTAATCTGGATAGGTTACCTGTCACAGAAGGTGCGGTCACTGCGTCGAAAAACTGTGATGAGTGCGCTGGCATTTTCCCTATATTGTATTCCAAATACATTTAAAAAAGAAAAAAAAAGGAAAAAAAAAAAGGACGTTTGTAGACCTGGCACACGAGTTGATTCATTTGAAGAATCATTCGCGCGATGCCTCGTTGACAGCAATGACAACTTCCAACTGCTCAACAGAGCGACCAACTAACTCTTTTTTTTCTCATTACGAATAAACAGTTTATTTACAACTCCTTACATTTCTCTCTTCTTTTTCTTTTTCTTCTTCTTCTTCTTCCTCCTCTTCTTCTTATCATTATAATACCTGTTACAACTTCTTCCGCGCAGCGCCAGTAGTCTCCGAACCGGAGTGCACGGCGCGATGAAACCCGCTCACGGACTCTTTGCAAAGACGGCCCGTGGCGCCGCGAAAGAGACACGAGTTTTCGGCATGTCGTACATTTTTCTCGATGGAGAATGACATTGCGGTCTACGTTTTCCATGTTTTTATTTAACCAGGAAGAGTTTTGTAATTTGTTAATGTTCTCGCGTGGAACTTGCAACAACTTTTTGACTTGGGGGTTGAGCCACCAAAGAAGCCGCGCCGAGCATGTTAAAAGAGGAAGCAAACCAAAACGGATTGCAAGCCTACAAGTCAAAAAGAAACTGAATCAAGGAAAACGCTCGTCTCCGTTTAGAAACTAGTGCACGTTCATTGCGGACACGCCCCTTGCGAGAAAGAACAAAGGACAGCCTTGCCGGAGCCCGGTGCCTCTACACCCTGCAGCCTTTCCTCTCTTCCTTGAAATTTCCCTTGTCCTTTTTTTCAAATTATATGCCCGTTAGTACGTCTACTTGAGACGTTCGCTATCTCTGCTAGATCCAGAGAAACTCTAAAGCAGAAAAAAAGACATGATCAAATAATAAAATAAAAGGCTAGCCGGTAATCCCTGCGCAGCGCGGCGGCATGAATCACAAAACAAGAAACAAATTTTTGACATGTTTCCCCCAGCCCTCATGTAGATCGCAACCAACTCTCCAAAGACTACTTACTTATCCATATATATGCGTGACTAGCAAGGGGTACCCTTGTCTTTGCCCTCTTTTTTTTCTTCTTCTTCTTTTTTTTTTGTTGCTTATTTATAGTTCATCTTGGCAAAGTTCCAGTGACGATTTACCCCGGGCCGGGCGTGTGTCGACTTGGGGCCTTTTCTTATCCTTTTATCAAAGTCACCGGCTATCACATCATTGACTAAAGAGAAGAGGAAATTTCCGCCCATTTCCCGAGACTAGAAATAGATACCGATGAACGCTTTGCAGCGGACTAGTCTAGTACCCTACGGTAGGCGGCTCTTGTGGCATCATTCATCGATTTCGGTTGCCGCCTTGTCATCGGCTATCGGGAGCCCGTTTCACAATCTCGGTCCTTTATATACACACACGCTACCCCTTCTTTTTTTCTTTTTTTCCCCTTCTCTCTTGCGGAATTGATGTGGAAAAAGGACACACCCCCAAAGATGCAGCCGGACAGTAATAAAAAAACCTCCTACCTTACAAGAAAGAAACATGCCGTGGCCGCCGCCCCCATGGAACCTCGATTCAACAACAACAACAACAACAACAACAACAACAACAACAACAACAATAGCGTCCGTCACCATCATCGCCACTCTCGCTCGACGCCACCCTCATTCTCCCGCAGCCACACTACCGCCCGCGCCCTCTCCCGCAACAGTAGCTGCCTCTTCCGCAGCACCGCTCCTCCAGCCCCGGCCCCGGTCCCGGCCCCGACACCGACTGCTGCTGCTGCTGCCCGTCTGTCGCAGCACACCCGCAGCCACACTACCGACGGCACTCTATCCCACAGCTGCAGCAGCAGCAGCAGTGACCTTTTCCGCAGCGCCGCTTCGCAGCATGCTCGCAGCCAGAGCACCCCGGCCACCATCGGCGAGACCACCACCGTGCTCGTCGGCCGCTCACGCAAACCCTTTACTGTCGACCGCCGACTTCTCTGCGCCGCGAGCCCCTTTTTCCGGGATCAGCTGCAAATGCCGAATCGCTACGCCTCGTCGTCGCCGCCGTCGTCGTCGTCGTCGCCGCGGCGCAGCGACGACCTGTTCACGTACCGGCGCATAAAGCTGTGGCTGCCGGGCGAGTCGGCGACCATGTTTGGGCTGTTTGTCGAGTGGCTGCACGCGCCGCGGTCATTTCGGTCATATCTCGACGACACGGCCGCCGCCGCCGCCGCCGCTGCCGCCACGCGCGACCCATTGTCGTCGTCGTCGTCGTCGCCGTCATCGTTGCCGTCGTCATCTTCTTCAGCCTCGCCCGCGCACTTGCTACACTGGGCGCTCGTCCGACTGCACCTCTTTGCCGCGCACCTCGGCCTTGCGCCCCTGCAGGACCTCGCCATGGACGCCCTGCAGGACCTGTACCTCTGCTGCGACTGGGACATTTCGCCCGGCGTCGTCACTTACCTCTACACCCGCTGCGAGACGCGGCCCGCGGCGCGCTTGCGCCGCTGGGCCGTCGCCATGATGGCCTTTTCCCTCGCCGTCGCCGACTGGCACACCACAAGCAGCGACGACACCCGCGTGGTCGCCGCTACAGAAGCAGCAGCAGCAGCAGCAGCAGCAGCATCAGTTACAGCTACAGACGCGGACACGCGGCTCCGCGGCTTGATTGCCGCGTTGCCGGAGCTGGCTGCCGACTATGCGACGCACGTGAAGAGTATGCGCCGCGCGGCGCTGGACATGCGCTTCAAGAACCCGCAGCTGCGCATCCCTGCCAACGCGTTGAGCAATGAGAAGCGCGCGTTTGGCTTTCGAGAGTGCTCGTTTCACTCCCATCGCAGGGCCGTCGGTCAAGGCGCGTGCCCACACGCGGCGAGTGGGCTGCGGAGAGCGGAGACAGGGTCGAGGCTGGATTTGAGAACGGAGGAGAAGGTGGAGGAGGAGGAGGACGACGACGACGACGACGACGATGACGAGGGGGATGAGGACGAGGACGAGGACGAGGACGATGATGATACGAGGCAGTGGGAAAAGGAGTGGGCGGATGAGCTTATGGGGTGGGAGTGGGAGGAGGAGGGCGAGGATGCGTGCGTGCCGACGACGAGTCTGAGACGGCCGCCGAGGAAAGGAGCGTCGGGGCTAATAGAGAAGGGGTGATGATGGTGGTGGTGGTGGTGCGAGTGCGACAATGTTAAAGTCAAAGTTTGGCAGTTACAGGGCGAAATGCCCGCTACGCAAGCTGACGTCACGGGACAGCAACTTGCTCCCTGCTTCTGTATGATATACGTGCTTGAAGCTGGCTTAATTCGACGAGATTCTGAGTACGCCGATCCTCGACAATATATAATGAAAAATGAGCTACAAGAAGATATCACTGGATTGATTTCAAAATTTCAATGTCAATGTAGAACCGTGAATGTATTTGATGCTGGACTTTGCCAAGCCAGAGCCAACTATGGACAATGATATATAAGGGAAGAAAAAAAGAAAGAAAACTCGTAAACATCATAAACCTCATCAAGCAAATTCTTTTTTTGCCGGTTCTTCTCTTGTTGTTGTTTGCCTTGCCCAGTCCTAGTATATAATAACAAGGAAAAGAAAAGGCATGTGTAAAAAAAGAAAAAAAATGAAAAAAAGAAAGCATAAAAGCCAACAGGTACACCGACACCAAGTTGCTCAAGCTCGGTTCGTGGTAAATGCTGCACATTAAGCAGAAATAAAAGCAGGATCGAAAAAAATCCAACGACAACACAAAACAACAATCGCTCTTGTATAGAGAAAAAGGGCAAAAAATAGTAAAAAAAGTCATGGTTCAAAGTCATCAAAGTCGTCATGAAATGTGAGGTTCCTCCGTTGCTGCTTGCCCACCAGAGGCAGCATTCAAAATCTTCAATAGTTTCGAGAGAAGAAAAACATGGCAATACCAAAAGGGACAGAGTAGTGATTCCCAGTAAATAGAACAAGATCCAGTGTAGCCACTGGTACAATTTGTTGAAATGGTGAGGAGGTAGATGCAGGTGTAATGCAGATTGGTCGCTTGCTGCAATGTCTATATGTCCACATGCGTCAAGTCGTTATATGATGGGGTTGATATGTATAGTGCGTCATGTATAAATGTAATAATGTCAGCAGCAGAGTATTTACTGCGGCGACTGGGAGCGGCGTCGCTCCTCTTCCGGGCGGTTGATCGAGCGCAGACGCTCGTCAATGTACGCAAGACGATCTGCCAGCGAGGCATTGTTGCCGCTGCTCTCAGCGGCTCCTCCTTGCCGGACCGTCGCGTACGGCCGGCGGAGAGCGCTCATCTCGATGCGGCCCGGGCTCGAGAAGCGGTTAGGAAACGACTGGCTCGTGCTGGCCATGACAAAAGGGGAGCCGAGCCGCGCGGGGCCGTCGCGCCGAGTGGGTTGCGCGCTGACGGGGCCGCCGAGAGCCGCGTGCGTCGCCGAGGCCGATTCGAAAAGTTTCTGGATGTTGGTGCGCGGAACGAGAAGACTGTCGCGATCGCGCGCAGGCGTCGAGCAAAACTCGGCAAAAGAGTGCGTATCGCTGCGGTGGCTGTTGCTGGACGGGTCCGTCCAAAAGACTGTCTCTAGGCTGGGACGCTTACTACGGCGCGGCTCCAACATGGGCTGGCGGCGCTTCTGAGAGTTGGGTCGGCTCTGGACTAGCCGAGCTGGCGACCCTAGTCGATTTCGAGCGCCTGCCGTCTGATTCTGGCGCACCGGCGCCTCGGACAGGCCAAAGGGGTCCTCGAGCGTGGCCACGCTAGGGCCGCAGCTCTTATTCACAAATGGAGAGCCCAGCGGGGGGGGTTTTTGAAGAGGTGCAGGTTCAATGTCGAGAGAGGGTGGCGCGGCGGCAGCGCTAGATTCGTATTGCAACGCGGCTAGTCGAGCCAAGGGCCCATCGGGTTGCATGGATTCACTCGTGCTCATGCTCAGAGACATGGCCAAATCAGAGCCTGAAAAGACAGAGTGTGGTTGATTGGGTGGTGCTGAGCGCCGGTTCCGGTAGCGACTGGCCGTCTTGCCAAATGGCGTCGGACTGTTGGCATTATAACGGTGGTTGCGTGCGGCCGACCCGGTGCTGGTTTTACAAAGCTCGCGGAGGTGACCACGGGTTGCGGCGCAGGTATGGGGCCAATGAGAAACGGGACGGAGCGCATCCGCCGTTGGCGTCGTATTGCGGCTTCTTGCTTGCGCAGAAGGCCATGATCGCCGCCAACTTCGCTTAGCTTCACGGGCGACTCTGAGACAGACCCCGTGGGGGGGGATGCCGCTCTTGCCGATGCGAAAAGGAGTTACCTTGGGATCTTGCAGATACATCATATAAGTCGTCCACAAGTGCTGGCTCATAGATCGAGTCCAGGGCGCTTTTCTGGATTTGATGGATGAACGGGGCTTGCTGGCGCGATGCGCATCGTTTGCGGAGAGGAAGCTGCCAAAGCGATCGGTAACTTCGGACTCGGGGCTGACGCATTGGCTCAGCTCCTCAGAGGCGACTGAATATCTGCTGAAAAGCGAAGAGCTCGTCTGCGTCGACCGCGCGGTAGACGGGCGGCTGGATTCGTAGTCTGGGCTGGATTCCAGGCTGCTAAGGGTACTGTCGAGAGTCCAATCCGGGAACTGGTGGGGTTCGAGAAGAGGCACCACGCCCGGGGCGGGTGTTTTGGGTGGTGAAAAAGCACGACCTGAAAAGGCCTGTCGCGCAGAATGATAATAGTCGATTGGTTCGATGTGGCTGGAAAAGGGGGGGTAGACAGAGTCAATCATGTCTTCGTCGAGCACGCTAGGCTCTTCGATGCTGGGTATGGGCACATCAGCAGCCGCGACAGATGCGAGGAATTGCTTGGTAGGTGCCAATAAATTGGAAGCAGTTCGCTTGCGGAGGCGAAAGCGTGGTTTAGCGGGCGACTGTAGAGGGGGAGGAATCGAGTCTGCAGGACCTGCGACGGTCGATGGCTCGGGGGTCCTGGGATTGTTATTTGAGCGCGACGGCTGGGCCGCCGACGGGCGCAAGGAGCGATTCATGGCGGGGCTTAAGGTGAAATGGTATGAAATCAACGCAAAAGTCTTTCGAAATTGGTTAGGTATGGAGCAGGGACACTAGGTGTCGCGCGACGAGACCCAAGTCCACCAAGTCTGACGCAGGTGTCGGAGGAAAAAGCAAGGCAGAGAAGCCAGACTATGGGTCGTAGAAGCGCGCGGCGAAGAAGAAACCCGTCTCAGAATGTGCTTATTCGGTCTACAGCGCAGCGACGGTCGAATTGAAGCGACGAGAGCTGAGCGACAGCGACTGATTGGCGGCTGAAAGGTTGTTGTTCACAGAGGCAGTCGGGGATAGCGCAGCTTTGGTGAGCCTAAGCAGCGGCGCCAGGCCCGGCACACCTGCGTGTATATTTACAACGTCAGATATATGTGTCGCGATGATTGGCGAAACGGTTTGAGGATTTTTGGAAAGCGCAAGCCGAGGCGCTGTGTTGGTAGAGGGATGCGCCGGTCCAAGGTCGAGTCGTGATAGGGTGGCGCGCAGTGAGGAGATGGTGAGCCTAGCGCTGGCAACGGTTCGGGATGGCGCAGAAGCGAGCGGGAGTCGAAAATAAAGCGAAAATCAAGCGCCGCGATCGCAAATGTGTTTGACAGCAAAAATCGAGGCGAATCAGCACTCCACAGAGTTGTTGGAGTCGTGGTGATGGGATGGGCGCAAGCAAAAGAAGGACTGGAATGGGGTGTGTTTGAATCGAGAGGGGGGGGAGGAGGACGAGGAGGAGGAGAGGATGGAGGAGGGACGGGGATGGGTCGTAAGCGCAGGCGAGCGGGCATGGGCGAGGATACCTTGGCTTGGGCAGAAGGCAAGTGTCTGTCTAGGTTGAAAAGTGACTTGCCTGGCCTCGGAAAGTGACTTGGGCAGTGGCTCGTTGTGACAACGCTAGGTGCTGGCTGTTGTTGAGGACGCGCGATAAAGGTAGAGGGCCCGCTGCAGGATCTGACAAAGCAAGAGGTACCTAAGGTCCGTCGACGGCGTACTCATCTCTACCGAACGGGGTACCGGTACTTCAAGTCAATGAATGACCACAACCACGGTGACCAGGGTCGACTGGCTGGTTAGAATTTAGGGGACATGGGCATTAATCTTGGTCCTTGGGGTGTTTTCTCTGGAGTCCTGCAGCGGGTCTAATCCACTGTAAAATCACCTAACAAGGCCACCAGTGCCACCACCCACCGCCATAGTGCCATAATAATAAACAGCGCTGTCGCCCAACTCGAAATCATCAGCCAGGTGCCAGGCTAGCAGCAAAACAGTCCAAGTTGGCCCACCAGAGGCCCCCCCCCTCTCGCTAGTCGACCTGGCACGTTGGCTCGCTGGTTTAACCTCGTCTCTCACCAGCACTCAAGAATACAAACAAAAGACGTCCCAGCCTCGCCTTTTCTCACCAACCCACCGCCACCACTAATAGTCCTTTGCCGGTACTCGAATACTTCTCCCGCCGCCCCGATTGCTCGGATACTTTTGCCAGCTTCACCAGGAAGTTCAGGAACCACCCGCCGCCAGGGTCCTCTCCTCGCTAGCGCTGCGCCATCTGGTAATTGCGGTGAACCGGGTTCCGGGCTGCAAGCCTGCAAGCCTCTTCTTCCTCCTTTCTCCTCCGTTCCCCGTTCCCCCCCAGCGAAGTCACGAGGCACAGCGATGAACAAGACATTCAATCCACACAGGTCCTTCCCCCAGCTCAACGTGCATCCTGCATTCGTTCCGGGGACTTGCCGCTCCAAGAGGATCCTCCCGCCCGCCTCCGAGGTCCCTCTCTTTTCGCGGGGACCCTGAGAGACCAGACACCACCTGGTCAACACCTTTATTCTGTTACTCTCGATCCAATCCATCCTGGTACAGCAACGAACGCCTATTTGAATAGATTGGTTTTTGCATGAGTACTGGTAGATATTTAATCCGTACTCCATGGCGCTATACTAGTATTATTTGTTGAAAGCCACAATAAGGAGGCTAGACAGACCATGATCCTCGACTCCCTCTACTAACACAGGTTGACAGCCATCTACAAATACCAATGCCCAAAGCCTCACATAATTTCTCGCCAAATTACGCACACGCAATGGGCCATCCTCATCTCATATTCACCCTCTTGTACATTGATACCAAATAGTCAATAAATCACCTGTCAACCCCATGGGATGCGCTCCCGTCCTTCCCGCCCCATATCCCACCGTTCATGCCGCATGGCGCCCAGCCGGAACGTGCGCCACGCCACACAAGACGGCATCATCTGATGCAGCAATGGTCAATTGGAATCCGACGACGCTCATGCCTCTGCTCGTGAGGTTCTGACCACGGAAACGAGGGGCATCTCGCCTAAGCAACGTGGCAACCTACTTTCACCATCGTGCTACGCCAATGTGTATAACTTGTAAAAGTCTTGGTCAATCGTCTGTGGCGGTGAGGCGCACACCGAGACCACAGGTCTCAGACTACAGAGAGGAAAAAAGGCACGAGTCCCCACACATCCTAGAATAGTCGAAGACGACTCGGCAAATGTGAACAGTCGTCTCTGGGGGCATTGCTGCTGTCGCATCTGTCGAGCCACTCGTCGTGCTTTTTCCCGCTTCCCTCGTGGTTGGCCATGAGCTGCCGGCGGACCATATGTCCTGTGTCTCATCCCGGGCAGCGGCACAGCGGAACCGTTGTACTGGAATAGAAAAGGGTGCACCAGACCCGTGTGCTCCGTAATCTATACGCAATGGGTAACTAGTAACTTCCGGCAAAGAACAGAGAACTGAAGGTGGGTGGCTGGCAAACTGGCTGGCGTTGCAACCCACACGATGCCGCCCCCCCCAACAACTCTCATTGCCAGACTGGCCAGACAGATTGCAGCTTTTGCATCACTAGTCGGCCCTAATGAAGCATTCAGGCGTGGTCTCCCACTGCGCCATCCCGCGATGCACCACTGCGACTCTGACTTTCTCCATCTTCTGTGCGTGGCAGCTGCTTCGAGAAAGGGCGTGGTCGGACCGGGCGATGAGAAAACAAACGCTGTCGAAAAAAAGAGGACTAGTATCTAGGACTGCTTGTTTGAGATATCATCAAAAGGGGCGTCATCAATGCATTGGCAACCTCGACTGAAAAGAAAAGGCCCGCATGCGCACACCAGAGAGATAAATTCACATGGGGGGGATGTGCTTCTCTCTGAACGTTGCCGTGAAACGCGTCTGGCGCGAAAGCAACGCGTCATTAACGCGAGTGGTGAGCAGAAAAAGAAGCGTGAAGTGGGGTGACAGAGCCACTAAAGAAAATGGGGCTCGACAACCACCTCAGCCAATGCGGGCCGTGCCTGGTCACGTCCTCGCTAACCCGAGTATGGCGTAGCTGCTGAGCAACGCAATACGACGCTGTCATTCTCACTCAACTGCGTGCACTCATCAACGACAACGCTCACAGCCACGGCATTACGCAGGCTAGTCTTTGCCCGTTGAAACACGCGGACAATCTTGTCTCGAAACGTGGGCGGTCTGTTATTGGACCGGATCCTAGGCTATAAAAGATATCGGCTCATTAGCCTGCTTCACGGAGTGGGAGAAGCACCGCCCAGTCTGTCGGCCGCGTGCCATTCATTTCACTACCAAATGAGCAATTCAAAACTCGTTTCGGCATCTGCTGATTATCAACGTGGTTGCGTGGCTCTACATACGAATACATACTACTACCCATGTGCCGGACTACGTTTGTGCTGTGCGCGCCGCCAACAAGGTGATTGGACACGCTCTCGTCACAAAGTGACAGCTTCATCCCCCCTGCAGCCATTCACACCTCGCTTCTCGTCCATGCGGCGCGTACATCAATACATAGACATATACTGGGACCGCATAGATACAACTACCACCAAATCTGCGGGGTATGACGCCAACCATCAAGTGCAACCATCTTCGAACCCTGTGGCGTGAGGATGCAAGCTAAGCAATCAAGCCCTCTTTGTTCCCCCGCCCCGCCGCGTGACAATGCAGCCGTGGCGTCGCAATACGCAATTGGCCGATCAAAAAACATGGGGTGTCGAGGACAAGAAGGGAAAAAAAGTGAGCCAGCTGGCATGGCATCTTGGGTTCCCAGGCCTTGGGGGGAAGGCTGTGTCTAAGAGTCCCGCTCTCGGGCATGCATGCGTGATGTAAACGAGGTTGCAGTGCAAGTTCTAGATTGAATGTTCCAACCCGTCATCACGTTCAAGTTCAACTCGGCAAAACGGATATCCATTTATTGCCGGGCCTTTGGCGAGAGGGCAATGAGCCGCTACGAAACTGTGTACGAATAAGCTCATGGTATTGACCATGATGGGCGGCGCTAGGCGCATGGCCCGATGTATCTGCCCACCGTCGTTGCGTCATGCATTTCACACCGAGCATCAAACGGTGCGCTACCCCAAATGTTCGGCTGCAGCTCGACGATAGATTTCATCGCTTCTAGCCTACCTAATTCGTTGGCCTGCGACTTAATGGAAGTGCCAGCCTCGGATTCTTCCACGAATTAGGGAGCAGGCCACAAGCCAATGATTTCCGAGGTTTCATAGGTGGCTGCAACTCTTGTGCTCTCCTACCAATCATACGCAGAAAAGAAATCAGCCAGGTCTCTTCCATCTCTCGCGTTGCTCAAAATGTAGAGAGGCTAGGTCGAATTGGCGAATCAAAATGCAGGACGGGCTGCAGCCAACGTAACCTCACGCTGCATTGTTGCACTAGTTAGGTGAGGGCTATTACATGAGCTGCCGAAAAAGAGCTGCGCATGAGTTTAAGAATAAAAGAAGATGAGAAAGGATAAAGGAGATAAAGGGCAAGAAGATGTATCACTGAAGTGCCTAGAAGAATCGAGAGCATATACGAGTAGTTTTGATTTTCAAAGCAATTGTTAGGCTCCAGCTCCAAGTAGAGCAGCGCTCATCTTCGTCACCCACTCGAGCTCTCATCTCATCCGCAACTTGTTTCACCCACCGGCGCACAGCCATTGGTGTGACGTTTGTCCTACGTGTTGCGCGAACCTGTTGTGCTACAAAAACAAAAACAAAGGCCATCAGAAACAACAGAAGATTCCGATTGCTCGTAGTCTTTTCTGTCGCCGCGGCAATGTGAGCAAATTTTTTGCGCGTATTGGCCAACACTACCAGACACACCAGACGACTTTTTATTTTACAAAGTGTTTTCGATTTATTATTTGCGGACCTCTTTGTGCCAGGGGTCCTTGTCATCGAAATAACGATTAAATAGAGCGCAGCCAGCAATATCACTTGAGCCACGTAGCTGTTGGCCCGATAATCGACTGGGACCTGCATGACGAGTTGTTCTTGCGATCTGCCAGGGGTTTTTTTTTTTTTTTTAAATTCTTGAGCTCGGACCAAGACTTGACCTGCAAAGATATTGTCCTGTCAACAGCTGCTCCCCTGCTTAGCGGCAAGGTACCGAAAAGCAATGTTTTTTCCAAGATCGAAACAAGACGTAAAAACATGCATGGGTTAATGCAACATGAATATGTGCCAGGACGCGCGCGCCTCTTCATCTCGACGTGAGCCCACCCCGTGTAGGAGCGGCCTGCATCTAGGCCCGGCGACACGCCCATTGACTGCAGCTCTGTGCTAACTAGTTACGGCTTCTGATCCAAGACTTTTTGCTGTCCCAGCCGTGTGTGCGACAGAAGTGTGGCGTGTGAGTGGTGGTAGACAAAATTTCACCGCGCAGCCCAATGGGCTGACCCCTCTGAACGCCGGCACGAGCCGGATCTTTACGCGCTGTGGCGCAGCAGACGGCACAGAGAGAGACAGAAAAGGACAAAGAGAGAAAGGGGAATGGAATGGGGAAGATCATGCAACTTGGCTGATGGATGCAACCGAACTGCGTGCGAGTGGTGATTTGTGCGCACCCTTTCCGATGCGTGCTTCCAAGGTAGGTTGTCGACAATGAATGTTGACAGCTGGAGGGAAAGAGCAAGAATGTAAAAGCAGACCATCTGTTATTACAAGTAAATATCAAACAAAGAAAAGATGTGGCGCCACGACTGTATTAGAATGTCTTGCCGTCGCCGCGCTACTAGTATCAAATGCTCCCGGTAATCATTGGTAATAACTCTCGAAATGCGCCTGAGCGGGACATACGACTAATTCTCGATATTTGATTAGCTGGTAGGTTATATAGATATACATCTTTGATGTTTTCACTCAATCGTGTGGGCGACTAAGGGCATCGATTCTGTGCGGGGCTCAGATCGCGGGGGCAGCAACAAAGCCTTCTTTCCACATTCTTCCATAGTTTGCTCTGCTACATTCACTAGGGATGTCCGGGTTTTATTCATTGGTATTTACCGATTAGATTTGACACTAGTTTCGAAAGAATTTTGAAATGGTTGTATACCTTACAGGCTTACAACTTTAAACACAGCAGCGTATGAGTGACGGCTCCTTCGCTATCCACTTTCGGCCTAGCCCTGGCGTGGTTGGCAGCCCGAACAAAAAAAGCAAAATCTACAACGTAACGCGACGCTGGGTTGTCCACAAAGAAACTTGGCCCAGATAATCGTTGTGCGACATGTGCACTGCCAAAGTTTGCAATTCCGCTACTGCACACTCATATGCATGTCATACAGGTAGCCTGTAATACCATCTTGTCTAGAAGCCCATTTTGGTGCCGTATTGGTGCGGGCAGACTTGTGATAGCTGCGCGACCCGCATTTCTTTTGCCAACCGCAAACGGGAGCTTCACCACCTCGTTTCGGTCAGCAACAGACATAATCTGAACAATATACTCAGCCTCGTGCCAGTTTTGAACCCTGATGCTGCGTGCTATTGAGCTTCAATTATCTCTGATATTGTTCAACTTGCCGCTGTAAGCCCTTGACGCAATGGCAGCCACCGACATTGTCACCATCGACAACCTGTCGACAAAACTGCCGCAATGGCGTCCTGACGCAGCCAACCACCTATACGCCATCGTAGACATGGGAAGGTAGGCATCTGCTTTCAAAATCATTCCTATTGCTCTTCGTTGCGACGCTAACCCCATCACCAGCAACGGCATCCGCTTTTCCATCACCTCGCTGGCCCCTCCATTCTCAAGGCTGCTGAACCCTCTCTTCTCCACGCGCGCCTCCATCTCGCTATTTGACGCGCTCAAGCCTTCTTCTTCCGGCGGACTTGAATTTCCTCAGCAGACCGTCGTCGACGTGGCTGAGGCAGTGGCGAGCTTCCACCGCGTCGCTGTCGCGTACGGCGTACCGCCGTCACAAATGTTCATCTTCGCTACCGAAGCCATGCGCCGCGCCGACAACGCTGGCGACGTTCTTGACGCCATCAGCGCCGCCACTGACGGGCTCGGCGTGCTGATCCTTGCCCCTGAAGTCGAGACCCTCTGCGGCGCCGTCATGGGCACCCGCAGCAGCCTCGTCGGCGTACCCGGCGGGGCCCTCTTCCTCGACCTCGGCGGCGGCAGCGTCCAGATGACGTGGGTCGACACCGCGACCCCCGACTACATGGTCGAGGCGGCTATCGCAGGCTCCAGCATGCCGTACGGCGCGGCCAAGTTGCTTCGCGTCCTCGAGCAGCAGTCGGCGGCAACGCAAGAGGTCGAGATTGACACACTTCGGACGGGCATCCAGGCCGCGTACCATGGCCTCTGCGCCAGGTTTCCCGCACTTCAGGCTATCAGGGAGGCGTATGAGAGGGGCGACGAGGCCACTGTCGATGTGTACATGTGCGGTGGCGGTTTCCGGGGCTACGGTACCATGCTCATGCACGACGATGCCATCAAGCCCTACCCCATTCCCTCCATATCCACGTACACCGTCGAAGGTACCAAGTTCAAGGAGACACAGCGTATGCTGAGCATCAATACCGAGTACGATGGAAAGATTTACGGATTGTCGAAGCGTCGCCGCAAGCAGTTTCCAGCCATCGTTCATGTCGTGGAGGCCTTCGTCAGCGCAGTCCCCAACATTGGCCGCGTCACGTTCAGTGGAGGCTCCAACCGCCAAGGTGCTTTGCAGATGATGCTGCCGCCCGAGATTCGGGAGAGTAATCCGTTGCAAGTACTAGCCAATATCGCTCCCACCGACAAGCCCATCTTTGATGCTGGCCTGGACCTACTTCTGTCCAGCCTGCCGGATCCATCCATCGTTTCTAGAATGCCTACCATCCTGGCGCCAGGCCTCGGATATCTCTTCATCAAGGAACTGTGGACGCGAGCCGGCCACGAAGCAGACACCAACGCCTCCATCTCCCTTCACACGTCCATTATTCGAGATCCGGGATGCCCTGGTTTAACGCATCTGTCGCGCGCTCTGCTTGGAATCGCGCTTGCGACGAGATGGGGCTCGTTCCTTTCGCCGGCCGACGCACAGCTCGAGAAAGGCCTCATCGCCATCATCAAACGATACGGCGCCGAGACTCTCTTCTGGACAAGGTATCTGGGTGCTATCGCCGGCGTAATCGCCGAGATCTTGCCATTCTCGCCGGCCTCCGCCGAGGAACTCGAGCGAGCAGTGTCATTCAAATCAGAAATCGTGCAGAAAGAGTACAGCCGCGTCGTCAAATTATCCATCGGCATTGCCAGTGACCTTGCACGTCGCCTGGACGAAGAAGCTCTCATCGACCACATTAAATCGGCCACCAAAAATATGGGAGAGGAAAGTCCGAAAAAGGTCTCCGTCGCGATTTACAAGCGCGAGTGATTGTGTCAGAAATCAATTCAACAAAGCTATTAGACCACTGGTAGGTCACTAACTATCAAAGTCACGCTATCGTTGTTCGTTCTTCGTCTGTTGGAACTCCCAATCAAAAATCATCAAATCATTCAAAGTGGAGATGTCTCTCCTACTCGTCGTCATCATCACAATCGTCATGTCGTGAGCCCTTGGACTTGCTGGAGCTGGACTTGGGATTCCGCCGACGAGCATTGAGCTTCTTGAGCTCATGGTTGACAACGAGAGCAGCCAGCAACTTGTCAATCTCGTTGGAAGAGCCCTGGACCCGAGAGTAAAAGTCCTTGCGAGACTCAAAGAGATGCTTGGCTGTCATTTGAAGAACCTTGCTCTTGCACGCCTTGCTGGGATACTTGGAAGAGGAAAGCCAGTCGAGAGAGACCTCCAGGCTCTTCTTGGTGCGGAACTGATAGTGGTAGAAGGTGGTCATCAGAGGGAAGACCATGTCTGCCATCCATCGGTACAATCGACCATGCTCAGCAGCTGCAAATGTGTCAGTCACTGTCCTCAGGGAATGTTTAGTTGGCTGATGCTTACCGATGGGGTCAAATTCAGTGGAGCTTTTGGCAATTCTGCTCATGTGCTTCTTAAAGGTGGCCAGCGTCTCACGGTAGATGAGAATAAGCTGCCACAAGCTCGCCCAGATGGCGAGACGCTCGTCGGGCTTGGTGGAGCCTTGCTGAGCGAGGATCTCATCCAACTCCTTGAGGATGTCGTGCTCGATGAAGCGTGCGCCCTGTCGGGCAATGTTTCTCAAGCGCGCCTGCACGGAGAGGGGCAGGCTGACAAACTTGTTGGTCGGGTCACGGCACCAAAATGCATCAGTCTTCCAGATGCGGAAGAAGCAGTTGAGCTTGTGCACATTGCTCACGAGGCGATGCTGTCAAGTGTTAGAGGCAGGTTCGCAACAGTTTGGAAAAATATTGCGCTTACTCTTGGGAGACCTTCGCCATCTTGATGGTAGGCAAGCATGAAGCTTTGGAGAGCATAACGAAATTTGGTGGTGTGCTCGCGCTTGATCTCTTCTTCGACCCACCCCTGCAGTTGCCCGTGGCTCGGGACCTCATCGCGGGGAAAGTCGGCCATACGGAGGCCTCCACTTTCATTGGCATCTTCTTGAGGACGGTATGCCTGCACGGTGACCCGAAGGGGGGCGGAAGAAGAGTCCTTGGTCAGGTAGAGGAGGATTTTCTTGGGGTTGCCAGTGTGAAAGCGCGGGCCGTGACACATCATCTCTTCCTCGGCAGCATCTTCGGACCAGATGTCTGGGAGCGGGACGGGTTAGCTGTGGGGTGCTTATCGGTGACAGGGGGGGTGCGGAGCCGATCCGTACCTGGGATTCTTCCAATCACGGGCCATGTCATACCGGGAGTGACACGGTTGCATACGAGGTGGGAGTGCTCGGGGAAGGCCTTCCGGCACGTGGGACACACACCACTTTCATGACACTGCATCGGGGTACAACGGGCGTGTAAGTCAGCAAAGGTGGCACACGATTGGATTTTGGGCAGCAAAACAGATGGCTTGCATGCAGGCGGGAACGGGGGCGACCAATGACTTACACGAATCTTGGAGACACGGCAGGGTACGCATGCACCAGACTTGCGGACGTCTGCGGTCTGCATGGGATCCTGAAGCTGGCGGTGCCTCTTCTCGACCTCATTACTAGAACGACGACGCTTGAGGCTGGCCGCGGCAGCAGTCTCTGGCGACCTTGCATCATGCAACTGGACGTGGCTTGGGTACCCAACAGGCAGCTGCTTGGGGGAAAGCTCGCCTTGAGGATAGGTCCACTCGTCATCTCGCGACTTGGCCTCGCTGAGGGCGATTCTGGCATAGTGAGCATCGTGGACCGCATCGAGGACCGACGAGGACGAGCCAGAATGCTCCGAGGGCGAGGTGCTGCCGGCGGCAACTAGCTCGGGTGGGGAGTGGCTAGTGGTGTAGTCGGACGGCGGGGACGGGGCCTCATCGTCCTCGTCGGAGCGAAACGAGGCATTCATCCTGTAAAAGTCGGATTGCAGGGCCTCGAGGGAAAAGGCATCAATGGGGTACGACTCGGCACCGGCAAACTCCTTGGACAATTGGTAGTAGTCTTCGGGCAGCTGCCAGTTGGACTGGTTGACGGAGGATGCAGAGGGAAAGGTGCCAATGTCTTGGGTATCCTGGTAGTAGGAGTTCCAGTCAAAGACTTGGTGGAAGAGCTCGTCCTCCTCGGAGGCAGGAGGAGAGGAAGGGATGCGGGAAACAGATCTGCTACCTCTATACGACTCCATTTCTTCAGAAAGAGCTGGGACCCGGGGCAAGCCGCGTGTGTAAGTCACGGGGGCCTAGGCGAACGAGGGTAGAGGGGGGGGGAGGGGTGTGTGGACTATTCCGGTGGAACTCTGTGTCTTTCGATTGCGCCGCAGCCGTGTCTTTGCAGGCCGTTTGTGCTTTGGTTCCCTCGTGTCTTTCTTCTTTGGGACACAGAGTGGTGCTACTCCTTGCAGTAGCCTGGCTTTGCTTTGCTGCTGAGGAGGGGGGGCGTCGCTCACCGAGAACGACACACAGCAGGAATCCTTGCTTTCCTTGCAAATTGGGGAAAGGCAACTTGCAGGGTGGCTATAGTAAATTGGTGGTATGGCACAAGGACAACCACCGTTTTGGTGTGTGGGAGGGTGTGAGTGGAGGTGGCTGTTGGGTTGTATATGGTGATGGTGTTTTCAAGCCTATTGGTGTCAAAGAGGCTATCAAGATGGTTTCAGTCTTGGTCTTTCTTTGGTCTTTTTGCAAAAGTGAAGTCAATTGAAGTACAGCTTTTAGAAGGAAAGACTTTTGAAAAGAGGAGAGGGACGTAGTACTATACCACCCAAGGCCCGGAGGCCGGGTACCCTCCTTGGGGCCCTTCTTTTTAGTTTCTCATTCATCATTCAACGCTCGTCCCGCTGTCATGCCCGTTCGACTTACACCATCGTCAGAAAGTGCATTTTCGGTGTGGCAGGCCTGGTTGATTGGCTCATTTGGCTCTTGGCCCACAGTTTTGGGCCAATGAATCATGCTACCCTCACCGATTTTGAACATTTCGAGCCGGCCTCTGATTGGTCAGTTTTGTAAACCGGCCTCGTCGCATTCTTTGCTCCTTACATGCTCAATTGAATTGCTGTCTGGCAATACTGGGTAGAAGGAGATTGCGTAATGGTCGTCAAGGTGTTTTTTTTGTTTGCGCCTGGTCTTATCGGGACGCAGTGCCCTGCGGCCGTACAGGGTGTCGGAGTTGGGGCGACCCGCTGGTCGAACGTCTTTTAGGATCATCGCCGGTTTTGGGGCAAGAGGAGGAAGGACAAAAGGTGTTTGCTGGGATACGGAGAATATAAGGAAGAAAAATAAAAGAAACCTTTTTTTTTCTTGCTTCGAATCGCATTCTGCACTAAACTAGCGTAACAAGTTTAAAGAAACGGAAACCAGATAACTTATCCCTGTCCAGCTCAAGCAGGTACGAGATTGAGAAGGGGGAAGCCAAGACTGGGCGATGACGAGAAAAAAGAGGCCATTACTACCAAGTTGTGGCCCGGGTCTGCGTGCAACGCCAACACGAGGTGGTGCCCCGGGGGTGTGCGCGCGTATCGGCAAAAGAGGCAGAGAGGAGGAAGAAGAGGTATGGTGGCATGGGCGAGATGGGATTGGGGCCATTTGCTCAATTCCAAGCCCGACAAGAGGAGGTATATGGATGGGAACCACTTACTGAAGGACAGCAACGACGAGGATGGGGTTCCGGATACTTGGGATTCGGTTCCGGCGTGTTGGCTAGCTGCGCATTAGCATGTTTGGGCTTGGTCTTGTACCCGAGCTAGGCATGGGGTTGGCCAAGCTACGCAGGTCTTTATTTTTTTTTTTTGTTCTGTTTTGCGAAATTTGTATTATTGACATTTGTCTACGTGGAGAGACAGATGTTGCAACACGCAGCCGGAGGATGGATGAACGGTGCTTTGGCAGCCGGCCATCCGTCTGGGTTTTCAGTCTAGCGGGCGCGGAGAAGATATCCATCTACATACAGGATTTATAACGGTTGAGAAAAAAACGATTAAAAATTGAAATGTTTAAAAGGCCCCGATGGCCAGTGATCAATAAGAAATCGTCAATCGAATAAGAATAGAGGTTGGTAAAAACAAAAAATGGAAAAAAAAAAAAAAGGCGTCGCCAGGCACAGGAACCGAAAAGTGTGACCGGGGGGGTCCTGAAACCGAAAAGCCTCATGCACAATTTCTGCAAGGTCTTTAAGAAAAAGAAGAAAAGGGAAAAAAAAGGCTGCATGTTGTAGTTAGTGTACTGATACAAAGTGTGACAGGGAGAACCAGCAGGCCGGGTTCGTTTGAGGGCGGGCGACCCCACGTTGTCGGGACATGCATGGCGTTTTTGGTCTACATGGATGGGCTTGCTTCTACACACCCCGGCAAAGTTTTGTCGAAAAAGAAAAGAGAAGAGCAAAGAAGAGAGGATTCAAAGAAATATAATGATTAAATAAAACAGAAACAGACAGAGATGAGCACGCACATTTTGCACGATTCAAGCTGCAGAGAGCGGCCGTCAAGGGAGGAGGGGTGGACCAGGTCCTACAGGTCCTACAGGTCCTACAAGTTGGTTGAAAAGCATAGCCTGCCTCTGACCACTTTGTACCGAGTACACTGTGGTTCTAGCTCACAGCATGTACATGGCGGTCAGTAATAAACAGGAGTGACAGACAGCAAGGTTCTGTGCTTTTTTTTTTTTTCCTTTTCTTCTTTTCTTCTTCTCTTGTGACCTCGAGATCCCAGCTACCGTTGCCGATCGATCCGTAATAATAACGGTGTACCTGACATGATTTGACACATGATTCAAATGCATGTACGTCTTCTTCTTTTTTTTCTCGGGCGCGCCTTGTTAATAATAATTTGTGTGTGGCGTGTTGGCCGACTGCGGAGGGACCTGCAGCCGGTGTACTAAACGTTTTTTTACAAAAATTTTGGCGTGATCCAGGGCCGACAGTGCAGGGAGGAGGGGCCCCCCCAGTGTTCTAGAAGGCGGCAGATGGAAAGGTTCCGTTCTGTTGGCGCAAGGTCCCCCAAATGCGGTGAGACATTGTGGCCCGGTTATCGCTGGTGCATTTACGTATTATGGCCTAAAAAAGAAAAAAACTGCCATTGTGATTACTGAATCATGGTAAAATCTCATGTCGGCACTTGACTTGTTTTCTTGACTGATTCATTTATTTCTTTTCTTTTCTTGTCTTGTCTGTTTTGTTTTGTTTTGTCTTGCGAGCGCTCGGACTTTTGGCGCACCTGGAACAACCAATGCGCATCTTTACGTTGTTTTTTTTTTCTGCTTTTTACTCTTTAAATCATCATCTTGTTATCATGTTTCAGCTCAGACTCAGCCTAGATGTGAGGGCGAATGGAACGACGAGAATGTGATTGGGAAAGCGTTTAGTTTAGGAACTTCTTTTTTTTTAATTGTTTTCTTGGTTGAGGGGGAGGGGTGTAGAGAACCCCAGTCGGCCGTTTGCTCCCGTGATCTCCGGCTGATGCGAGCGAGGCCGGAGGGGTCCGCGCCACGGTCCGTGAGGGAGGGGCGTCTTTTTCCCAGTAGGTGCGGTTGAACAAGGACCCCGGGGAAAAACAAGTTCAAGACAAGGTTCAAATTGGCAGAAAACCAAGCTTTTTGCACTTAAAACAGACAATAGTGACTACACGGCTAATAATGCGAAAATCTGAATTGTGTTTCTACTCTTGGGCATGCATACAATCAGCGCCCGTCATTGGCTAGATTGGTCGTTGTATGTCAACTAATGCGGCGTTACTGCAGTCTTGATGTGTGTAGGCCTGACCTAGCGCAGAGCCAGATTGATGGCGGCTGGCGGCCCAACATGGCAGCAGCAATTAAGCAAGTTGCATTTTTATGTTTTACAGCACTCGCGGATCAGGCAGTTCTTTGTGACACGCCAATTGCCAGTAAGTTGTTGTGGGCGGCGAGCCGAGCCCGACTTACGCCATGCAAAAGTCACTTTAGGTACAGCAAGAGAGTGCTCTAGCCAGCTTTATAAGACAATCAAAGCTTAAATGGAAGTCTTTGTGCATACATATATGTGTCTGTGTGTGTATAGTAGTTTATTGGATGACTATAAATGCTCCCTGCCCTTCAAACTTGCCTTGATCGACTTTCCTCAACACTTTCATCACTCTCGTTGGTTTTGTTCTCGTGATCCTTCTTTGCTTCATCATCATGGCAATTGATCCTGTATTGAGTCAATATTGATACATGGCGCAACTGAATGTTTGCTGTATTTATTACTGTCGCGCGCTCTTTGGTGCGACTCGTCAGCAAAGGCTGTGAGACTACATGTGGCTGCCACGCCTAATGCCAGGAACAGAGCGAACGGTAACGAGTCAATATACTTTTTAAAGACGCACATCATGCTATCTTCAGGGGAGCTTTAGGGATTCCTACTCGTCGTGCGAGGGTGATCCCGATAATGATATCGAGTACACGGCCTAACTGTATCGCTCGGGGCGCTGCCGGGCCTTCACACTAAGCAGTGTAGAATTGACATTTCACGCGCCTTTCTTCATGGTAAAGACCAGCTCTTTTCTACTCTTTGCGACACACAACTTCGACATTGTTGCCCATCGGATCAATTACAAACGCAGCGTAGTAATGAGGACCAAAATGCGGCCGAGGACCCGGCGCTCCATTGTCCTTGCCGCCCGCAGCCAAAGCCTTTTCGTAAAATGCGTCTACCTTGCTGCGCTCTAAAAACACATCACATATCCTGTCAGCGAGGGCACAAATGATTCGAGAGACCCTAATTGAGAATACTCGCCGTCAGCTGCAAAAGCCCAGTGTGCGTAAATCTTGTCCGCCACCGCCGACTCGACCATGCCCGACAGCCAAAAATCCGCCCTGTTCGCCATGGGGCTGTTCTTGTCGCCTAGAGCGACGAGCTTGTCGTCAAACATGGAGATGAGCTTCTCGTAGCCGAGCGGTGCGAGAGCGGCAATGTAAAAGTCGACGACTGCAGGGTACTTGTCCTGCGGGACTGAGAGGGCGACGTGGTCAAACATGTTCGGGGGAACGAGAAAAAGGTGTAATGTAGAAAATTGTAATTATTTGGATGATGGGATTGAGGGGGGGGGGGTCAATTTATGTCTTTTTGAGTTGCATTGGGGCTTGGTCTTGGGACGTGTGCAGATCGAGAGGAGAAAAGAGGCGTACGCTGGGTGAACTTTGTAAGAACTAGTTCACGCCAAAATTCACGACGAAGCCTGAGATGACGTGGGGCACTGCAAAAGTGCAAAAAGGGCTCGGTCTAGCTTATGACTGGTTGCGATGATCCCATACAAGGAATCTTGATATGACTTGGTGTCATTGTCTGATGCACACTTGACTTGGTGTCGTCTCGTGTCATCACCACCTGCACAAGATAACATCGAAGCAGCTCTTCACTCACGCAGGCTCTGTGCATCTTGGCTTGAGTGAAGATGCTGCAACTGCATTAAATTACCAAGTTTTGATGGTTTCATCAGAAATGTCGAATCTGCCAATCCGTTCGCGCTCGATGGCGTATGCAATGTTCTTTAACGGATCGAAGCGATTGCCCAGCGGCAACCACGTATCAGCAGCATCTACCGCGAACACAACAAGATGATACTCATCAGGGTCTTCCTTTGTGTCCTTATCTGGGCCGTCCCTCCATCCGGAGACGAGACGACCTGCGCCACCGGTAGTCATTCCTGGATTGTCCTTCAATTGCCGCTCAAAATCGGGCCGTAAGTGCGGCTTGACACTAAACCTGTGCAGCTCCAAAACGCCAGCGTCTGCCATGACACTGTCAATGCAGAAGTGGTGATGGTCGATCCATTCAGAATCACCGAGTTCGATAATGTTTTCGACGCTCTCTTGGTCCACGTAGACCTCGTCGAGCGACTCGAACTGGCCCAAGGCGTACGAGCAGTCTCCCCACCGGCCTCGTTGAAACCACGAAAACCCGTGATCCGCAAGGGTGACCAGGCTGGTCTTTATCTTCTTGTGGCGAGCGAGTTTCTCAGGAATGTCTCCCGTTTGGTCTGGGTGGATTCGTATCCGTGCTATCACAGATATGGCCATTCTGAAGATCTATCGCTTGGCAAATGCTGTGGCGTGAGAATGGTGGATAAATTGCCAAAGCTGCGATGGAAAGCTTCAGGTGACATTCTACTGTATTTACAATACACCCGAATGGTGTATTGGCATCCTCTTCGACGGTTGCTGACTCTGGAGAACAATCAGGTTCGAGGCGCGCGCTATCTCAAGGGCTTGCCTTTGTCAGGACGAACAGCCTACTCACTGATGACGTACTTGATGGCATCTATAGGACCTTGCGATCTCGTCGCCTCGATTCATCCATCACATGCATGTTTTACAACAGCTTGCATGCTTTGTGATTGAAAACCTGTCGCGCGTCGCCGTTTTCGACCCCGTCAGCCCAAACAACTGTGTCGCCTGTCAGGCGGTGACTTGTGTAACACAGGTGTGTTCCCATCACTCTTCTCTCCGACGCAGTATTTCAGTACCTCGTGAGACTGCTCCTGGCGCATGCTGACTAGTACAGGAATGTGGCCGCTTGTTGAACTGCTGATGATATTCCCGTCACTCTTCTCTCTTACGCAGTCTTTCAGTACCTCGAGAGACTGCTCCTGGCGCATGCTGACTAGTACAGAAATCTGGCCGCTTGTTAACAACTGCTGCTCATGGCACAGGAAACCTTTGAAGCCGCCTAGAAAATTGCCCCATGTGATGCAAAGTGGCAAGCGGGTATCATTTATATCGAAAATAAGCGCATACCTGTTTGGGGCACTGCGGGGCAACAGTTACGCAGCTTCAAAGTTTAAACCGACTTTATAGATTCCTAGGCGGGTTGCTGTGGGCATCGCCAACCGCCTAGAAAACTAACTGCCCGGCCAACAAAGTCAACAATACGAGGCGACCAATGTAATCAATATTTACCCGCAAAGTCAGTCGAACCTGAGGAAACGGGGTTAAAGAGACTGCCAAGTCTCATGACACAGACAGTCCCCATCTGTTTTGCCTCGCCACACTGGCGGCATCCACTGGGTGACGCTGTGCGCCCACAGAAAACCTGTGGGCGTAATAGTTCTTTTTTTAACTCGTTGTCGGTCTGCAGATGGGGACCATTGTACCCATGCGGTTGTACCTGGCAAAGAGTGACGTCGCATCAGGCTGTCTGCTTTATTTGGAGAGTCAGCGGCCATTCGCGCGTGGAAAAAAAAAATGTTGGGAGAGCAGAAACTGAATCTGGCCATGGCCGAGACTATTTTCCGCGGGCCTGGGCGCATATTTGCTATTTGGCGCTTTGTGAAACAGGTCATTTCCGCCTAGGGCTCGCTGTTTTAATATATAATACCTGCCGAGTATTAAATAGCATATTCGTCTGCGTGTCCTTCTTTCAGCCAGCCCCTTGAGAAGTCGCAGCGACGAAAAGGCACTTGAGAACAGGAGAGCGGTCTAATATTCAGGGGTTTCACAAATACGGAGTAATAGCATGTTGAGAAACAAGATTAGATCCTTGTAATCCGAAAAGCTGGTGGAAAAAGCCGGACCCTCATAAATCATTCTCAGCATAATTGACCAAAAGAGGTGATGATGAGCGGTCGGCGTTCCAGATAATTGATTGCTAGTTTGCTAGTTGGCTCAGACAGGCGAAAAATCTCCGACATGCTGGACGCTGGCAACAGAAGCCGCGGAAAGGATGCAAATCACTCCATACTCTGTAATCCAACTTTTAATGGTGTTGCGGCTTGTTGCATCAATGAGGTTTATTGTTCGAGCCGTGGCTGAGGCTGACTGATGAAAATGTGGCGGCCCTGGAACTTGTTAGGCAGTGAGGTTGCCAGCTGGCAGCAAACGGACATGTGATTAAAATAGAAACATGTCTCGTAGCCCTTTTTCACCTCCTTCATCCTCACATGTCTTCTGCTTCAGTTGGCTTCATCTGAACCGTTTTTCGCTCGTCCCGCTCTCAGACACAACCATCACCGTGGTCGACAGCATCGCTTTTCTTTCCCTCAGTTCTCCCTACCGCAACGTCCTACCGCTAAAACGTCATCCTGTCCCCACCGTATCCAACGCCAACCCCGTCCGCCCAAGATCCATCCAGCACCGGCGCTGCGAGAACGAAAGCACAGCATTTCTCGACTATTGTACGTGCGCTGCCTTGCCTTGCAGAGCGAACCCCCCCTCCCCCCTTCTTTTGCCGGCCATCCGGTTCCCGATTTGGCGGCCCAGCCTGTGCAGCACTGCTCTGGTATGCGTGCGTCTAGATATGACGGAAGCTCCTCGTGTGGTTGCTTGGCCCTTTCGTCACACGACGCGACTCGATCCGTGTTGCATGCACTGGTGCCACTGTTGCTAATGCGTGCAGCGTGCCCTGACTCTACTTTTCCTGGCCGGCAGCTAGCAGCTGGTGGTGGCCAAGGGAAAGCATTGTTGGAGTTGCATGCCTGTCGATCAGCCCAGTACAGCACTGCCCCCCCATTAATTGCTCGTTGTGTCTGACTTATATTCCGTGCTTCTATTGTTCTAGGAATCTTGCTTGGTCTCTTGAATTTTTTCTCCTTTACCTGTCATTTTGCTTGAGCCTTTTTGCTACATGTTTTTCTGCAGCACAGAGGCTTGGTCATAGTCGCCCATCATGACCTCAAGTAAGTTTTTTCGAGCAAATTCGCTCCCTTCTTCTCTTTCTCTTTCTCCAGCCAAAAAACAACAACTGCCTCCCTCGCCCGCTGAATCCGAGAGTCCCAAGAAATCACCAGTTCGCCGCAGACCCGGCCACGACCTGTTTTCGGGCCGCAATCTTGGCTCACCTACACGAACGAGCCAGGTTGTGACACCAACAGATCGACACGACCTTCCGAGAGCACCGCCATCACCTTCGCCCCCCAGAAATCTTACCAAGACTAAGGCGCGGAAATGGGGCCAGCGTCTTTCTACCTTTCTGCCTCTGCTCACATCTTCAGCACCAGATTTGTCCTCCATCAGCATCCGCCGAAAGCCAGTTGCCTTTTCTGAGCACGGCAAAATCTCGCCAACCGAGACTCCTCCTCCACCTTACAAAGAGTACGATGCGAGCCATTCGCCGCCCATAGACCCTCTCGATACTTCTTTCGCTGCCGACTCCGGGCAGGGCCTAGCGTCAGCGCCTCTTTCTGGAGGAGATATTCATCTTGACAACACTCACGCGTTTCCCGCTCAAGCAGACCTGTCTCAAAGCAGCATTAGGTCTGTTCTCCAGACCGAGGTTCCGCATAGCGCATTGGGCATGGACGAGCAGCCTCAAATAGCCAGCGCCACCGGCCCCATTGTTCAACCTAGCTCTGAATCGCAAGTATTGCCCCGCGAAGAGACCACTCCTCAGGAACAGCCTTCGCGAAGTAGCTCTCCTGATGAGGCTACCGGCGATCTTCGCGGTCCACGGAAGCTGCGCAAAAGTTCCGACAGCGCAAAGCGACCTCGGGCAAACTCATACCAGGCTGGGCCGTCCGTTCCTGTTCCCATCATCAGACCTAGCTCAACTATGCCCATTCCTGAACTGCGAGGTCGAAGTGTCTCGTCGCAACCCACGCTATCGGTGACGGAGATTGGCGCAACGTCTTCCATGCCACCACCTCCTGTCCCTCGACCTACTTCCCGTATAGCGTCACCGAAAAATTTGAACCAAAGCCCAAGCAGAGGCCGCCTTCGCAAAAGCTGGATGCCCGGTGGCCGATCACGATCAAATTCTGTCGATGTATCGTCGCCAAGTGCTAAAATGCAAGCTTGGATCATGACTGATGAGACTAATTCCGAGTACAACCCTTCGTTCTTGAAGAAAGGGGAGAAGGTGAGATTGGATGACATGACCAAAATGTGTTTCCATACTCATATTGTCTAACTAGGTTCCGGAACTATGGAATGAAATCGGAACTGTGCTAGTCTATTTGTATCCGAGAAGTAGTGGTTGCGGACCCAGCTTCAAGGTGCCCGAGTTCACCGTCAGTTCATCATATCTCTTCAACGAATTGCTGGCTTCAGAGACGTCCTCAACGGTTGGCCACCCCCGTTCAAGGAGCTTTGGCGGCAGAGACAGCTTGTCTGTTGATGATGCTAGTCGCATGCATTCTCCGCCGATGGGCCCATCCGAGGACTTTTCAGGTGAGCTGAAACTGTACCTTCCGGTAGCGCGTCCTTCAGCTTCGACGCATCTTGTTGCACCTGGCCAAGGTGGCGACAATGAACTCGATCGCCTGATTGCCATTCGCAACTTGTTTGCTTTTCTCACTGGCCAACCCCTGGTTGGCACGAAGTCCAGACCTACAGTCTTTCTGGCCTTTTTGGAGATTGCAGATCTCTTGGAAGAATACAATTTCACCGGAATGGATGGCACGGGATTTGGAAACGCCGTGGATATGAGCTTTGGCTTCTATTGTGATTTTCTTGGTCTGTCCGACTGTAGACACAGCCGGGAAAAGACTGTTGAGGCTCTCATCCTGGGCGAGCGCATGAGAAATGTTGACCTGTACAACGAAGCATTTGCTCATGCCGCGGGCAAATACTCAGCCATCATCGATCTCCGCCTTCCGCTGTTCGAAAAGATTTCTCCGCGCACCCGACAACGTCTCGAGCGCGCACACATCGATCTGGTCAATCGGCAACAAAATGTCAACGACTACCTCGAACAATTCGAATTCCCGTCCATATTCGCCGGCATTGCCAACTCGACATCGATTTCTGAAATGAAAAACATTCGATTTAAAGCTTGGCGGAATTCGTTCTCTAGGATGCGATCCTTCATGCTTAGCTACTACAAGTCGGCATTTGGCAGTTGGCCTCCGAAAGCTAGCAGCAAGAAGAATCCTTTCATGGAGAGTGGCCTGAATCGACTCGTGTTGAAGATGCTCTACTCGGACATGTGCGCTCTGTACGATCTGCTTGTGGATAGAACCGACTTGACGTCTAGAGTCATCGATCACACTCCGGAGCTGTCATCCGACCCTGACAAGATTACTAGGTCGGCTATTCGAAACATCATGTCCGAATACGACCGCTCTAGGCCGCCTGTTTTGCCGCCCATCCCATTTGACTTGCCTCAGCTCCCGACAGTTCAGGCTATTCACGAGACGTACTCTAACTTGTCTGCGAAGAATCAAGCCAAATTCGACAAGAAACTCAAAGAACACGAGCTGCTTCTCATTCTGAACAAAGCCTACAACTACGATACCAATGCTATTCAACTCCCCTTTCTCGAGCAGTTCAAGGAATTTGAAAGCCGAGAAGCAAAGGGTAAGATGAAGCAAGATATTGTTGATCAGCGCATCGGGTATTGGATATTCCTCTATGCCGTACTCCAGTCACTTCCTATGCTGGTAATTGATGCACCAGGCCTCAAGCATACCGAGGGAACAGAATACTTCCTGTGTCAGCCTCCGATGGGACAGCCCCCGTGGGCAGAAGACGGCCAGGTCCGCAAGCTATGGTACGAAGTAGCCGGCGGCGGCGGCGTGGTTGAGCTTTCCGCAGATGCTGTTATGTACAGCGTCGAAGCCACGTACCACCGCAGCCACTGTTGGCTGGCCGCCAAGCAATGGGAGGGGCTGGATGGGGTCGATCAGGCGCCCCCCGAGCCAGTCATGTCACCACTTGAGCCGCCGCGATCCATCTTTGAGAGCAGCGACGGCACCCTTGGAGGGCCCCCTCCAGTTCCTGGTCCTAGTACGCCATCGCCGCCGTTGGGAACCCCTCCGCTGGCAGCCCACTCGCGGACTCTTTCGCCAGGTGGTGCTCGTGCAAGTAGCGCATTCCGCTCTAGCATCCTCATCGGCCTGGAGCCTCTAGCAATAGACCCGCCAGCCAGCGTCTTCGGCCCGCACCAGAGAAGCAGTTCGCTTGGTCCGCGCCCTCAAAGTGCTTTCGTGGGCCACAGTTTTTCTGGCTCTCATCTCGCTGGCATGAGTACGCCGAGAACAAGCACACCTAGCACAATTGCTCCGACCTCTGGGGCTACCTTTGATGACATCCTTGCCGGAGGAAGCGATAATAAGGCAAAGAAGGAAAAGGAAAAAGAAAAGGAGAAGAAGCCTGCCAAGAAGAAGGGCTTCTTCTTCTAGCTCAAAGCTCTTACACATTTGGTACATTTCTCTTGGAGTTACTTTTTTTTGGCATACTTTTCTTCTCGATCTTCCAACATATAGCATAGCATATTCGACATTTTAACCCGGCGCGGTAATAGTGCAATCTCATTCTAATGTAGCCGAAATGAATCATCACAAAAAAACCACTTTTCACTATAACATTTCTGTCAATTACGCGTGTCTGACGAAGCTCAACGATGAAACGACAGCCACGGGAGCTGTCTATTATAAGCTATAGGTATTATTATAACGCGTTCCAACTAAAACTAGGACAGTGGTATCTGGTGCCTTTTTCGGCTATAACTAATATAATAATGATGATGAATAGGAAATATGCGTCATGCAAATTGTTTTGGCCCACATTAGACCAACCAATATTCGTATTCTATGCGGGTACCTTTTTTCTCCCTCTTCGTATTCCGCTCGAATCATTACGACGCCTCTTTCTTTAGTCGAGTCGTGGGCGAACCCACCGTGCACGCTCCGTGTGCCACCACGTTTCCTTTTCCCTCTTGTCGGCCACGACGCCCTCGCGCCAGTTCCAGCTACCAGTGCAGCCAGAAACGCCGCCGCTATTACCGTAGCCGCCCTCGCCCTCCTCTTCGTCATCGCCGCCGCCGCCGCCGCCCGGGCCGGTCAGGTCCGAAACGTCGACGAGGCCGCCGCGCGCGTCAGACGAGCCCCAGTCAGGGTCTAGCGAGTAATGTATGGGGCTGCCGACGGTGCCGACGTAGCCGCCCAAGCCAAAGTCGTCGACCAGCTGGCCCTCGTCTGAGTGTACCTGGACCTGGAAGCGAAAACGCGGCCGCGCGTCGTCGAGGCGGGCCTGTGCGGCCATGCGAGCGGCGCGGAGGTCGGTGCCGTGGGTCGCTGGCGGGGCCGCTGCAAAGGGCCCGCCGGTCGGAAGTGACGCGGCCGTTGCCGACTTGGGTAGACTGGGCACCGCGTGTCGTCCCATGTTGCTGCTGCTGCTGCTGTTGTTGCTGCTCAAGCTGCCGGTCCGATGGCGGCTGTGGCTGCTGCCGCAACGCCCGCCGTTGGCCCAGATGCGGTCCGCCGACGTGGCAATGACCTCGCGCGGGCGGCACAGCTGCTGAAAGATGCCGTCGGGGTCGCTCGGTGCGCGGAGCGTGCGCAGCGCGGGGAAGCCGCCGGCCTCGATGCTGCGCGCCAGAATATCGTCGGCGTCGCTGACGGCGGGCTGCACTCTGTGGTGATGGTGATGATGGGCATGGTGGTGACGCGCGACAATATCCCAGTGCAGCCGGACGAGCGTGCGGCTGGCCAGGTACGGCATCATCCACAGCGCAAAGGCGTCGTCGCCGTCGTCTTCGGTGGGCATGAGCGGCGCAAACTCTTGCACGAGCGCAAAGGAGACGAGGCTGGGCAGGTGGGAGAGGAGCCGCGCGAGCGCGGGCAGCGACGTGAGCGCCGTGTGCCGGAGCTGCAGGCTGCGCAGCGGCTGGCTGTTGGGCCGCGTGGCAAAGGCGGACAGGCCGCCGGCGGTGACGCCGGGCAGGTGGGCGAGCGTGAGGGAGCGCAGCGCGGGCAAGGACAGCAGCGCGGCGTCGCCAAAGGCGTTGCCGGGCACGCGGCTCAGGTGCAGGTGCTGGAGCGAGGGCAGGCAGGTAAGCGCGCGCTGCAGCAGCGTGTCGGGCGCGAGCGAGGCGCCGGGCAGGCAGTGCACCGAGAGGCTGGCGAGAGAATGCCACTGACGGTGGTGCCCGAGGAAGCTGGTCTCTTGCGCGGCGTTGAGCGGAGGCGGAGGCGGCGGCAGCATGCAGGCGAGTGCGGATGAGAAGACGCTGCTGCTTTCGCGGTGGGATGCCGATCCCGGCCGAGCGACGAGGTCGTTGCCGGATCCGCTGCTCGCTCCGATGCGCCAGTTCATCGTCTTGAGGTTTGTGCGTGTGGATAGCGCGTGCGTGATGCGGTTAAACGTGTCGTGGTCGTGTGTAGCCCCGGGTCCCACGAGAACTTCGAGGTTCGGACAGGCCATGACGAGGGAAGCCACGCGGTTCTCGTAGACTTGCTTTGGCGACAACCCTCCCGCCGCCCTACTACTACTACTTGGCGTTGCGTCACAGCTGTCGCCAACAGGCATGGGTAGCTGCAGCGAGCGCACCGCGGCCGCGAGGTGGCTATTGGCGCGGAGCGTGCGCCGCAGCAGCGTCATGCGGCAGCCCTGCGCGAGCTTGAACCGCTTGCGGTGCGCGGCCGAGTCGTCGCCGACGATGCGGATATCCTGGTACAGCGCGAGACGGGCAACCTCGGACCACTTGCGCGAGGCGAGGCAAAGGCTGCACAGGTCGCGCGCCCAGCACGTTGCGCAGCTTGTGCTCGTGGAAGAGTCGAGGTGTACACTTTGCAGCCACTCGAGCACGACTTGGAGCACCTCGCCGGGCAGCGTGCCAAAGAGCGCGTTGGGCTGCTCGGGCGGAGACTTCTGCTTCTTCTTCCTCTGCTGCTGCTGCTGCTGCTGCTGTGGAGGGCGTGGGAGTATTGACAATGGCGGAGATGAAGATGTTGGCGACTGGTACTGGATTCTGTACTGCTGCGAGGTCTCGTAGGACGGGCATTTGGGGGAGAAAGGTGAGCCGTCGCGGCGCGAATACGACGTGGAAATCTTGCGCGGACGGTTCAGAGAACGCGGCTCCTGGCCTCTGCGGCTCATGATGGTGGTTGTGGGAGGACCGGCGGTGCTGCCGGCGGCGGTGATTGCTGTTGTGGTGTTGGTGTTGGACATGCCGGTAGTGGAGGTGGTGGTGATGGTATTTGAAGCCGTCTGTAAACCAGGATACATGGGATATGCCAGAGGTAGCGCCGTGTCGAGCGGCGGGAGCTGCGACGGGGCGGTGACTGTTGTCGGCACGGCGGACGAATGCTTGCGGGCCGTGTTTCGCGAATGCAGTGACGATGGCGACGCAGAAAAGGAGACGGAATTGTTGCAATTGCTGGACGTGTTGGCGCCGCTGCCGCTGCTGGTGTAGTACTGGTACTCGAGGACCGGGGCGAGCTCCGGGATCGTCTCGAATGCTGGCGGGTGGTGCATGGGCCTCATAGCCAGCGTCGGGCTCATTTTGAAAGGCGCGCCAGGCCAAGGGGGAGGGGAAGGGGGGGTGGTTGATGTGAGCTCAGAGTAATTAAATAGTAAACGTGTGCAATTATGAAGAGACGTGGTTTCATGTGCCGGGTTTTCGTCTCGTATTAAAGAATTGGAGCGAGCCGGTGGACGTTGGGGTATGGATGGGTTCTTTCTTGTTTGTTGGATTCGATCAGTGTCATTTGCCGAAATGATCCTTGTCAAGTAAGCTGGAAGTTGACCAGGAGATTTCGAAAAAGAAAATACAAAAATGGAAAAGGAGGTAAAAGGCAAAAAGGACTTGCTGAACAAAGACGATGATATCTTTCCAGTGTAGTTAGAGAAACTTTTGCCAGCAGTGAATGAAAGGGGAAATGACAGAGTCGCAGGGGTAGCCAGGCCATGAGGGGGGGTTTAAACATTAAGAAGTGAGTGAGTGAGTTTTCTGGCAAAGTATTACTCGAGAAGGGGGAAGAAAGAATCATGACTAGGTTTCATTACGTTCCTGTGGTGTACATAATAGGACGAGACAGTCGCAGTTGGTCAATAAGAGCCTGATGACCAATATGGTGGGCGCAGCTTGCGTCGGCAAACCAAAAAAGGCCAGCCACTAAAAATTGAATTGTCCATCCATATAAAAAAAAGGACAAGAAATCAACTCATTTGGCAAAAGCTTGGCCCCAAGACATTGCGCCTCTTGCCGGTGGGCGGGCGACCCCGGACCAGCCTGTGGGTAGCCCTCTGTTTGAATACCGTTCCGTATGCCCGAATGCCCGTCAATATTCGTACATGAATAAATGCCATGCAGAATGGGACGCAACGAGGTCAAGATGCTCGCGCTGGGGTTGATTAGGTTGTAAATTGTAATAGCGATGAGCGTTGATGTGGTCATCGGCTGACGTCCCTGATGGATACACGCTAGGCCAACTTGGCAAACCGGCTAGCATCAGCTTTTCCCCTTTTATTTCAATTTATTCCCCTGACTAGTTGGGGGCAGTGACGTGCAATATGGGGCCCAAGAGCAAGGGGAGCAGTACCGGAATGTTGCAGGGCGGAATTGCATTTCGTTGAATCGTCAACTTTGACCATGTCGTTGACGAAACCGCAGACTTGTTCTCTCTGTAGGAGGAAGACGAGGAACAAAGCAGTTGGGAGAACCACGACAGAAAGCTGCATCGATTCTTCCATTTGTGCATTATCTGGACGTCATTAATTGAAAGCCTTTGTGTAGTGAATGAGGATACTACCAGGACACTGCCACTTCATCTAGACTCTCGCGGCAACACGCCACCATGAACGATCTTTTCTTGGCCATGACTGGGGGGGAAAGCGCACCACTAAAAAGCACAGACAACCCCCTCCAGGGTCCTGGGAGGAGGACTATCACCGCATAGATGGTCCACATTTTCTTGGGCCGCAGAGTCACTGGAATGCCCATTGCGTAAATAGTTACTGATGTTGAATACATTGGACGCCATTGTCGCTCATGACAAGTTGTGCAAAGTAGTTGTAGTATTAGAGGGGGGGCAAGAGCCAAAAAGCAACCATCATTGAGAGAATAATTAAAAAAAAAAAAAGGCACAAAAAAAAAAAAGGAGCAGCGCCCGCTGGCGCTCAGAACATGTCTCAGCAGAGCCTTGAGCAGCGGGGCCAGGAAATGTGCCGCGAAAGCGCATATTGCGCATACAAACGACGATGAAGCAATCAATCTACATTATGGCCACGTGTATACGATTCTGCACACGAGATTACCAGCTGATCGCTCCGAGACCAAATGCTACACTACGGAGTACATGCCTTGTATTGCCTTGGTCACTTCTTTGCTCCTGAGCCTCTCTGCTTGATCATTGCTTCTTCATTCGATTAAAAAAAAATATAAAAATGAAAATGAAAAATAAAACCGAAATGACATACAAACTCTGGCGGTTAATTATTATGCTGAGTGGATAGTCCAAGATTGTCGAGCATAGCTGTGTTGATGGTTGGTTACGCCCTCATTCGGGCGCGTCTGCAACCTATCAAGCTCATTGTCAAAGAGTAAAAACAAACTACTGCTTTCTCAGAAAAAAAAAAAACATATACCGCCCATCACATAACACAGGAAGATGGGGATTTCCTTCAAGACATCAGCTAGCATACAGGGAGAGAGAGGAGGGAGTTGCCACTAATAACCAGGCATAATGGCTAGAGAAGTTACTCGACAGCGGACAAAGTTTGGCCTCTGTGGAGGCGACAAATTGTACAACAATAGAGCATAATCTATCTCATCTCTTTTTTTTTCTTCTTTTTTTTTAGAAAAAAAAAATAAGCACATCAACGCCAGAAAGACTTTGTAGTTTATATTTTATATATAGACTATACAATCCAGTGCCGCCCTTTGCAGATGACTACTCGCCCTTTATCCTCCCTTGCGTCGTCCACCCCCCGCGACCCCTCTGAAGGCCTGCCATATCTTCAAGCTATTAAATATCCCGTCAGATCTCGAAAGAGGATCAGAAAAGATGGAAACCAATCTTTATCCCTCCATGCCGGCCATTGCGGACACGCAACAAAACCACGCAAAGGTGCAGCAGTCAAAAGAACGCCGTGTCTATCCGAGGCAACGTCATGAGCACGCGATGGCATAAAGGGGAGTACACCCTGTAACATGGAACTCGTCATTCCTTCAGCTACGCGCTGAGATTTCTTGTTTTATCTGTAACTTATAAAATAGCTTTATTCGGCTCGAAATACCTCTTCTGGGATATCGATACTGGCTCGTCCAGTCAAAAAACTTCACGCCAAATCTTGATTGGTCCTTTGCAACATCATGACTCATTCCGTCTTTTTTTTTTTTTTTCATTTCTACAAGTCCAAATTCAATTTTTTTTTTCTGCATCATAACAACGCCACGGGTTTTGCACCGCCTAGTGATGGAACAGGCGGATGCTCTGCTCGACAAACGTGATGCCCAGAGACTCGGCAGTCTGGAAAACGGCAGCGTCGTTCTGGCTGCCGGTAGGCGCAGCAATATACTTGACGCCAGAGCGGGCAGCGCGAAAGACGTTGTCGATAAAGGGGAACTAGAAAACACCTTTGTCAGTAACGAAAAATCCAACAGTACAAAAGCTTACGAGTATATACGTACGAATGCGTCGCTGGAGACGGACACGCCAGTCAGCTGCTTCATCCAAGCATCGCGCTCCTCCTGGGTAAAAGCAGTAGGGACCTCTTCAAAGATGGCCTCGAAAGCCTCGCGCTCCGCGCCATCCTTGGGCAGCTGACCGCTGACGAGCAGGTCGATGGCGTTGGACTTGTCGGGGCGCTTGGCGCCCTTTTTCCACTTGATGCCCAGCACGCGCTGGTGGAAGCGCATCCACCAGTTGTCGGCCTTGTCGCCGGCGAGGCGGGTGCAGTGGATGCGCGACTGCTGGCCGGCGCCGAGGCCAATGACCTGGCCGTTGTAGGCGTAGCAGACCGAGTTGCTCTGCGTGTACTTGAGCGTGATGGTGGCAATGGCGAGGTCGCGCGCGGCGTTTGCGGGCAGCGACCCGTCCTTGGGGGTGATGATGGTGCTGAAGCTCTTGCTGGCCGATATTTCCACGTCGTTGCGGTGCTGCTGCAGGTTGATGCCGTAGACGGTGCGGGTTTCGGTCGGGCCGGGGTTGTAGTCCGGGTCGATCTGCAGCACGAGGTACTTGCCGCCCTTTTTCTTCTTGAGGAGCTCGAGCGCCGCGTCCTCGTAGCCGGGGGCGATGACGCCGTCCGAGACTTCCTTGGAGATGATGCTGGCGGTGGGGACGTCGACAATGTCGGAGAGCGCAATGACGTCGCCGAAGCTGCTCATGCGGTCGGCGCCGCGCGCGCGCGCATAGGCCTGCGCGAGACCGGACGTCTCGATGCCGGGAATGTCGGCGACCATGTAGACCTTGGCCTCGTCGGCGCTGAGCGGCAGGCCAATGGCGGCGCCCGCTGGCGAGACGTGCTTGAAGCTGGCGGCGGCAGGCTTGCCGGTCGCGGCCTTGAGCTCCTTGACGAGTGGCCAGGCGTTGAGAGCGTCGAGCAGGTTAATGTAGCCGGGGGCGCCGCTGAGGGCTTTGAAGGGCAGCTTGCCCTCGACAGCGTAGGCGGCGGCGGGCTTCTGGTGCGGGTTGGCACCGTAGCGGAGTGGCAGGTACTGATCGCCGGCGCCGGCGTACTCCTTGCGGAAGAAGTCGGAAATGGCCGTGTCGTAGTCGGCCGTGTGCTCAAAGGCCTTGAGCGCGTAGCGGTTGCGGCTGGCATCGGAAATCTCGCCCTTTTCGAGCTCCGTTAGGAAGCCAGCGTAGTCGCTGGGATCTGAGAGGATGGTGACGCGCTTGTGGTTTTTGGCAGCGGCGCGGATCAGCGTGACGCCGCCAATGTCCACCTCCTCGACGGCTTCGGCAATGCTGACATTGACCTTGGCGACCGTCTCCTTGAAGGGATACAGGTTGCAGACGACGTAGTCAACCTTGTTAATGTTTTGGTCGGCGAGGTCCTTTTCGTCCGACTCGAGGTCGCGCGCGAGAATGCCGGCGTGGACAGAAGGGTGGAGGGTCTTGACGCGGCCGCCAAGCATCTCCGGGGCCTTGGTGATGGCGGAGACGTCTCTGAATTAATCAGTTAGCTTTCGAATGGATTTGTAAGGCTCGATTGATAATGAAGAGGCCACCAGAGAGAAAGACATACTCGACGGGGAAGCCAGACTCGCGAATCATGCGCGAGGTGCCGCCCGAGGCGAGGATCCGGACATTCTGGGCGACCAGGCCCTTGGCAAGGTCCAGAAGGCCCGTCTTGTCGTAGACGGAGACAATGGCAATCTTTTGAGAAGAGGCCATGATGAAGGTGATTATTTCCCTTTACTAGACCCGAGGAAAAGCTCAAGCTGCGCGGCAACGAAAGAGAGCGTTGAGGCGGCACTGCGAGGGGAAAATTTCTGGCGGGGTACTTTTTATTTCGCAATCGCGGGGCAACAATATTCGAGTCGCCGGTTGTGGAGGCACAGTAGCTCAGCCCGTCCGTCTTCGGCGACAATCTGCGGCTCAAATCATTTCAATCAGTGGGCCAGGCGGAAAATAGAGCTACGCCATCTATCCGTTCTACTGGCCAAGATTTAATCGCAATTATCTCAATGGTGGTTGGCTCATAATAGCTGCAATTTCTATGGCACCGGCTGGTTCACAACTCCACGCAGCGAACCGGCTGAAGTAAGTGTCATGAGATATTCGCCATCTATTCCACAGTCATACATACAGCAACTTCAGACGATTCTATAAGCCACGCTAATTTTTTCCCTCATCATCACTCAAGGCGAATCCGACTCTCCTGTAAATCGTACACGTCTCGCCAGTCGCTGTTCCGTGTCTCCTTCTCGCACACGCTTCTGGCCGCTCGGCGCCCATGTCGCAGCTCGATCCGGCAATGCTGCTTTGGGCGCCACGGCCTGGTCCTTGACCAAACCCTCGTCAGGGCCAGCCAAGCGCCCGAACCCCTTGCCAAAGATGGGCAGAGGAGTCGCCAGCGGCACCATCTGAGCAGCGTGACTATCGCCCGCTTCTCCAACACGCATAATCTTGGCATTTCTTATCCAGTCCTTGATCAAAGACACGTCTAGGATCGTCTTTGCTTTGACATGCTCCGCCTGTGTCATGTGCTCTTTGCGATCCAGTATGACTTCATCGATGCTGCCTTTGAGCACCAGCGTCTCGACCGAGACACCCCTGTGCTGGCTGATGCGTCGTACTCGAGCAATGGCTTGGCTTTGCACTTGAGGGTTCAGCACGGGGTTGATAAAGTACACTCGCGACGCTGCGTGCATGTCCAGCCCGAAAGCAGCCTTTGATATGTCCATCAGCAGAACCCTAAACCTCTTGTTGTGGTGAAATGTTCTGACGTACTCCGCCCTTCTATCGGCGCTAATCGTATTAGAATAAATAAGGTGCTGAATTTCCAGCATATCCAACATATTCGCCAAATACCAAGCAACGTTTTCGTTTTCGTAGAATATAATAATCTTTTCATCGGCTTGGTGCTTGACGATACTATCAAGCAGGTACGAAAGCTTGGCAGATACTGTAGACACAAGTTTCGTCTCTGCCAAAACAGAAGCAAATGCCTCATCGGTTACCACTTGTGCCGGCTCAGCACCATGAATTCCATGTCTATACCGGTGAAGCGACTTAGGTTTGTCGTTGCCGAGCTTAGTGTTGCCGGCCAAGGTCGTCGATGTCTTGGTTGCTCGTCGAATAGACTCTGCTTCAGTTTCGGCCCTTTCTCTCTCCAACAGGCCGTTTTGTATCAAACCACCGTTCAATAGAGAATTGAGCTGCCCAGGATCATCAACCGCCTTACTCGCTGCATTATAAAGCATTCTTTGAACAGTGAGCATCATGCTGGCAGATGTGCAAATGAAACCATTTTCTTCTCCGTCCAAAGACCAGTATCTACCAGCGCCCCCAGGAATTCCTGCAACGCAGACTGGCATTTCGTGGAAGCGGTTGCTCAGTATGCGGAGCTCATTCTTCAACACGAGGTGGCCAAAGTCTATTGCTGTCTTGAGAAGCGCCTCGTCTTCGTCATTAATCTCGACTTCTTTCTTTTCCAGAAATTCTTCGGCTGTTTGTACAGCCTTTTCGATTTCTTCGACACTAAAGAAGGATCCGCCAAAAAAGCTCGATTGCTTTAAATTGTGCACAATTTGAAGCAGACTCTTGCGTTGCTTGGCGTGAAAAAAGTAATCTGCATCAGTTCGTTGCGACTGGACTGAATTAAAGATGATCATCATGGCAAAGATGTTGAGTGACAGCATGTCCTGGTACGACCCATCGAGAAGCACAATCTTTTCGTCCACGGGTGGCAGTAAATCAAGCACCTCGTGTAGCTGATGACGTAGAATGAGCGAATTGATTGTCAATTTCAGGCATTTCCAGCGTCGTACCCATCCAGAGCCAGAAGTCGGTGAACTGAAATGCGCTGCCCACTTTGCCACAGTATCTCCCATCTCTGAAGCCTCCGAAGCCGAGGTGGCCCATGGTCGTGCTTTCAAATACAGTGCTGCAATGGCGCCGAGCCGATCAATGTCTTTTCGTTCCTGTGCTGCTGACATTTGAGTCATCGATGAACTCTTGAGCGTCCCTTTTTGCAACAGTGTATCACCGCTGCTCTGGCCAGACGCTCCATATAAACCACGGGATGGTGTTCCAGTCACGACCCACCGCGAGGTGAATTGCAACTCATCAAGACCCTGCAGTAGGAGGCTTTTGTTGGAAAATTTTGAATTACCCAGAATATGTCCTTCGTCAACGATGCAACGTTTGAAGTGAATGGAAGCGAGAGGTGTTTTAGAAATGCCCTCACTTTTGACCACCTTATCAAAACGTGACCGGGAGAACAACAGAATATCGTACTTGAGCAATATTTCGGTTCTGGGAATGACGTCGTGTTTAGCCAGCACAAGAACCTCGAGATCTTCCGTATGCTCGCTAATTTCTTGCTGCCATTGTGAAAGTAAGTTCTCAGGGACGATGACCAGGCTAGTGCTGCTGAGGTAGATCGTCCTTGGCAGGCCCAAGTTGCTTCCTCCACGTGCACGTTTCCTCGGTTTGGCGCCAGGTAGGGTGTAGGAGCCAGGGTTCCGTTGGATCGCATTCGCAATGGCAGTTCCCCTAAAGTCATTCTTCTTGGTATGTCCGTAGTAGCTTATCCAAGACTGTGAGTATCGGTTCGCGCACGAAGCTGCCATATCCATCAGAGATCCAACCGACTTGCGTACTGGCAGCGCTGGCGACCAATAGACTTCTGGCGTTTCAGCAGGAAACGCCCGCGTAGCCAATACTAGCGCAAGGCATATGATTGTTTTTCCCGTTCCCATTTCCTCGGCCAATATGCCTCCGGATACGGCATCGTAGTATCTCGCATCTCGTAAGACGGTTTTTGCGACGGGATCTACGTACCAAGAGTGACCGTCTCGATCATGCAAATGCACAAGTCGCGGATCAAGCACACTGCCAGGACAGGCCTCTTTCTGTATCATCAGTGCTATAGATTGCTTCTGATATGGAAGAAGTTCGGATTTCAGACCAGATATTTTGCCCTTGATAACGTTTTCTGTGGCATGGTTCAGAAGCGGGTCCGTAATAATAGCAGTGTCCGGTGCAGGCGAAGGAATGTTATTGAACAGTTCCAGCAGAGACGTAGGAGCATCGGATTCTTCCAGGGTATTTAGCGCGAGAGGATTTCTCTCGTTCGGAAGAGGCTTCTCCAGTCCCGCCCAAACTCGAGCAGAACTGTCCACTTCAGTCAGAATCTTGAAGCGATGCTTGTTTGGAATCTCTAGAGCCCTGCTGATGGAACTTCTTAGAGCATCGTCAGCAAGAAAATAGACTCTCACTACTGTCGTGTCATCAAATTCCGGAAAGGTTCTATATTCGAATTGTGCCCAACGGGCGTCCAACAGCTGCGAGACCGATTTGGCGGAATGAAGCAATGCCGTTTGCGTTATCGACCTTGTGCCGCCATTGCGAGCCGCCTCATCAGGTATTCTGTCCGACTTTGAGCTCTCTGGGCGTACAAGAGGCTTCCAAATAGCGTCGTCGGCTTGCCATAGCGAATCCTCGACGATGACCTCAGAGCGGGGGATCGCGAGACATCCGACAGGGATATAATGGGGCGACCGAGGGGACATAATGTCGGCTATTCTCGTATTAAAAAGCCATGGTATGCAGGCAATTCCTGCTGAACGCTTCGAATCATGCTGTTCAAGCCCGCTCAAATTGCAGATTATGACCACAAGTCATTCGCATTCTCAGAACATCATTCACTGCGCGCAATGTCGGGATGAAAACGCCGGGGATAAAGCCAGGCAACAGCCCCACAGCGTCGCAACAAAGTGTGGAGCCACATTTTTGCAGCGACAGGGATTAGCTCAGCGTATTGAGGCATTGATGCGGACATTATTAATAACACTATGCATATATCAAGGTTCGAGAGATCCGGTCATATATGAATCTTGATCATCGACTTTGAAGCGACATTTCTCTACAGTCGTGGGCTCAATCTTGCGGATGCTGCTTGCTGCCAAGTTTTAAGCCTAACATGACAAAGCGGATAACTCAAACACAACCTCTACTTCGTTAGATACAGCTACTCCGTAGTGTTCTTTTAAACAGCACTTGAGCTGCTCATGGGAGGAAGCAAGGCGCTTACACGTAGGGCTTCGGCTATTTTGCAAGCATTTGCAACGGTATCGCAGCTGTAAGCCAATGGCTAGAGTATCGCCCACGATTCCATCCCTCCCCATCATTTCCAATCAATAAACTCTTTCTATTCCTATCCTACGCTATGGTCCCGCTCCGGCGGCTACCACACAGGGCAAGTGATGTATCCTGCCAGCGGGCTGGCCCGGAGACCCCTGTCTGTGGCTTCAAGCTGACATCGACCGCCAGCCGCAGCGGATAGAGAAGCAGCTAATCAACAAACTTTCTTTCACCAGTGAAAGCGCCTTGCTGACGGGCTTTGCCCCAACCTGGTTTCTCAGCGGGCGCTCGCACAGCTTGACGGCGTGGGTTGAGAATCACTAGTCGCAATTTATAAGCACATAAAGAGTTCTAATGCTGCCTTTTCCGGCAAACCTCGATATTTGTTGCATCATCTCGAAAACAGGATTGAAATGCGGTCGGCTGCTCTCCTACTTGGTCTCTGCGCCTGGTCGGCTGCTGCCGCCAAGGCAACGCACTCGACAGTCCTATACCAGCAATTCTTTCCGGCCTGGGACGAGATGCTAAAGGGCTACCTGGAGCACAATTGCCAGGAAAACATCACCAACTACCGAAATGCCAGCTTCAATGACACTCATATCAGCTACGCCGTATTTGACTGCCTGTTGCAGCAGTTTCCCGAGTTTCGCAAGGTTCGTCGCCCTTTCTCCCAAATCACTTCATAATCCGAAAAGACAACGTCTTTGCTAAAAGGAAATAACACTCGGTAGTCAGAGTTGGGTGCTGCAGCTGTTGTTCTTGGCCTCGCTCCGTCGATTCTGCAAATGGTCAGCCCTACGCCTGCCGATACTGCCATGCTCAGCCTCCGCCGGCCCGTTCTCGCTCTGTTGCTCAGTGTAGCTTCACCCGCGACCATCTTTTCCACGGCTGCAATCTATGCGGATAAGGTGGAGGCCTTATCAAAACCGCTCTCGAGGCAAGCGCGCGGCAGCTTCCCTTATACAGCGGGCAGACTATTCGGCCACGGCTTCCTGACCCTGTTTCTGTCCGCGATGCAGTATCTCCTGGCACTAGCGGCCGTGGCCAACAGCGCGTACCGTACGTATCAGCTGTGCGTTTGGACCGTGTGCTCCTTCTCGCCCATCACCGTGTTCCTCCCCGCACTTTGGCATGGAACGGTGGTGCTGCTGCATCTCAGCGGCTGGGTCGCGCTGCGCTTAAACGTGCAGAGCGCGGAGAGGGTCAGTGATGCAAAGCGCGCAGCGGGACACCACCGGCAAGACACAAAGGCTGGATGGGCGAGCCGACTCAAGTCATGCATTGAGAACGAGACCACACCCTCGGCATTCGCTGAGAAGTTGCCGGTGGAGAGCCGAGCGGCTGGTCCTGCGCCATTCTTTTCTGCTGTGATAGCAGCATTGTACGCTGGTGCACCTGTTCATGTAAGCGTTCTCAAACCTCCGCTTCACGTTTCCTTTTCCTCTTCGTCATCATCTTCGTGCTCCTTGGAACCATGACTTTGCGAACCACACCTAATTCGGAGCAGCTCTTGTATGGCACCCTAGTGCTTTCAAGCCTCACTTTCATCAGCGCTTTTGATTCCATCGCCGTAGTAGCCTTTTACGCGATGAGCACAATAGTGAGTAAAGCCATTCTGTATTTTGAGTGCGCGGGTATCCAGGCCGTTGCGAGCCAGGATTTAGAAGCAACGACCGAGGGAGAGCAGATGAATGGGTATTCCACGCTCTAGGAGAGAGGACGGTGTAAAGACCATCATTTCGAACGTATTCTCAAAAAGAGAAATGTCCTATGTTTTCATATGCCTTGAATAGAACGGGGCGCAGACGGCTCGAGTCGGATCATTCCGCTCGCATAGAATTTAGTGATGGCCGTGCTGTGCTTTAAATAATGAGAAAAAAGGGGCAAGCTCGGCTTCGCCTCAGGCTGGCTGAGGAACCCATCTTTCAAGCAGACCGACTTGCCACTCCTGAAATGATCGCTCAGATGATGGCAACATGTATTTGCTGCATGTCAGAGTTTCGCGTGCCACCTTTATCGCTTGTGCTGGGAAGTTGACGTCTTGGACGTCATTTGACAAGGATTCCACCAACTCGAGAGCCTCCTTCTCCCCAATCTCTTTGAATAGCACTTTGACTGCTGATGTCGGAGTCGATTTCTGGTTGCCGGTAAAGATGACGTTATTGTTGAGCACCCAAAGCTGCAAGTGACGCAACGTGTTATCTGCGGGTATATTTCGCGGCATGACGACAGACTTTGAAGAACCGGATCGAGCTATCGTGGAGAGAAGTGTGGCAACAAGGCAGTCGGAGCTCGACGGTGGCTTTTGTACCGAGGATATCTCGCAAGAGATTTGCCATTTGTAGAAGGCGACTGTGGAGGCGAGGACACTGAATGTGCCAACTTCGGTAGCGCAATTACTGCAGCTGATGGTGAGAAACTTTTCCTCTTTGGTAGCTTGGATTGCGTCTTGGCTGCTATCAAACTTTTCAAGCGGATTTGAAGATGAGAACTATTAGAGTTAGCTTGATGAACCTTGCTGTTGCAAGAACAAATGGCCATGTGTCTCGTAGGGTAGCCCAGACGATCCGCAGCTCTGAAAAGTCGGGTGCAAAAGAGACTGCCCAGCCAGAGGCGTCTTCCAGAAACCCATCCTTGTGGAGGGTACTCTGAGAGGCGCTGCATCAGTCTGAAAGGGCAATGAATCAATCTAGGGGAATTGTATCGATGACCATGACATTGGGGGCTATTGCCCTGACTTGGCCACCTTCTATTTCCCCACTGGGTGAAGAAGGGGAAGCTAGCTCACCTTTATCGAGCCGCAATCTTCCTCTGCAAACAGGAGTGAAGTTATGTCAACAAATCCTACTCCGGGCTGTGCTGTGATGGCGCTGGCCGCACCATACCCACGATGCTGGAGGTCGCCATCTTCGGCCGTGTCGTGGTCAATGGGTTTATGGCAGTGCCAAAACTCCATCATTTCGGCCCAATTTTCACTTGGCAAATCTTTCCACGTCGTGACTGTTGCACTATTGATGAAGATCTGCCCACATGCTCGACAGGAGATTGGAGAGCCAGGCTTGATCACTGACGCTGGCCATGGCAGTGGTTGGTTCTCGGGAAGAAACTGCCTCTCCGGGACGCGAGCCGGTTTCAGAGGAAACCTCCATGTGACTTCAGTAGATCCTTTATGCGAAAGCGGTAGCGTCCCTTTTACGGGCGCGGTTGCGGGCAGAACGGCCTCGCCAGAGGTGCCATTGTGGCTGATGCGAAATTTGCGACCCTCGTCCAAGATTTCAGCGGTGGTGGTGTGGTCGGCGGGCGTAGGCAAAGATGCCTTGATGGTAACCTGACGGATATTGGTGAGCAGCTCAGCGTAGATGAGAATATCGTTTCTGGATGGCGGCGCAACGGCGGGCATGATGGAACAAGGAGTTGAAGTGCTGAGCGGCGAGGTTTTGGCTGGCATAGGATACACGATGCGAGCATGTGAAGCCAGTGCTGATTAAAGCTGAAAACCACTGTAGTTGGACGTTACAGCGGCACCAGAGCGCCAAATGCCAAAATTTAGCTGCATTCAGCACTCGTTGGGGCGCATCATCCCACTAAACTGGTCAGCGCTGGCCCGCCCCCACATTGTCCCAACATCACACCTAGCTCAACGAGACGTACGATCCGATTCCATTGCCCTCACCTTTGCCACCCTCGAGGCTCGAGCTCATCTATAGGTTTGCCTGGCATGCTTTCGTTTGGATCAGTTTCGGCGATCAAGGCCAAGCCCAACGCTACTCCCGCGACTACAGTAGCCGTCGAGGCGCTGCCTGTTCATGACATCGAGACTGACCAAGAGCGCCGAGGCCGTTCACTCAAGCATCTGCTCAAGGCCAATCACGTCAACTACGCCGTGGTATACAAGAACCTGCAGCTTAACAATGTCAATTCTCACAACTTGAGCACAGCTTACATTCTTGGTGCCAACGAGAATGACCTCAATACCATCTACAATGAGCAGATCAAGGATCTGGAGCCGTGGACGCCCTCACCCGCCGAGGTAATAGACGAAGATTGGAGAGACTTTTTGGGCGACCGCAATTACCAGCGTGCCTTTGTCGACTATTACGAGGACAAGCTTGCCTTTAAATTTGCCTACGACTGGAAGCAAGAAATGAGGCACGTCTTGACCGAGGGTGATGAGCCTCTCATAAACTGTCTCATCGGCGCTTGTGAGTACTCTTACCCTGCAAACACGATCGAGAGACGCTTCTAACTATGCTTTAGTTGGCCATCCCCTCGAACATCTAGCGCTAGCTTGCGAGATCAACAGCAGAGCGCTTGCCATGGAAGCTCTAAGTCTCACTTGCATCCACTACAACGAGTTGCACAAGTACCTCGATGAGCCAAGCTACACGAAGCCCTCGACGCTACCATCCTCGTCTTTGTCGCAACTTATCTCAAGACTCGCCAAAGGAGGAGGCTCTCAAGTAACTGTGACAGCTGACAAGCACGACAGTCTTGAGTCGCTCTTTTCGCAGCAACAAGAGCTAATATTGGATTATTGGAATGCCTGGCACATTGTCGACGCGACAAAGCAGTTTGAAGAGCTACAGCAAATTGCGGTGGCCTTGTTTGCATCATCAGGACTCGAATCGTTCAGTTTTCTTGCTGCCCAGCTTTTATCCGCCAGCAACTCGATACGAATTCTCCTGCCATACATTCCCGCTGAATATCACGTATCGATGCTGCGGCAGTGGTGGCTATTAGCTATTGCCGTCTGTTTGCTGACCGGACGGCCCGAGCCAAACTCAGCCAATATTCAGAAAGACGCGAGTGGCCGAACATGGAAGCACGTTATCGACAAGGCAATCAATGGCCCTTACTTGGCAGACGCAAGCTACATGAAAGGTATGTAGATTGTGGCTTTGAAAGACACACACTAACGTCTCGCAGCCGTTCGTGCCATCAAGGAGGCATCATCAACGTGGGGTGACGCGGACGACCTATACCTGCGCTCCGCTCTGACATTTGTAGATAATTTTACAGAATGGTCAAGCTGACATGCTCGCCCGATCGAGAAAGCAAAAATAGCGATATTAATCTAAAGTCTTAAGCCCGTAGAGGAAGATGTTTTAAACGCGACCCATTGGAGGCTGGACGGCCTGTTTGTGTGGGCCTAACGCAGCTAGCTCAAACTGCCTGTCATCCCAGTGCGTGAAACCACACTTTCCATCTTCAGCACTCGGCAACCCCAACAGCGGCGCAATCTGCCATTGAATCATGCTGAGTTGCCAGCACGTCCTGCCGATGCCAATCTCACGGTAATGGCTCCGCCTGCGAAGCGCCGCCGGCGGAACACGGTTGATTCGGCCGACGAGCACGATGACGACGCCGACCATCAGCCCTCGCGCGCCAACACCCTTAACAACTTCCTCCTCGCCTCCCCGAGCTCTCCCAGAAAATCTCGCATCGCCACGGCGTCCCCCAGTCCGAGCAAGGGCCGAGGTGTTGCCTCCAAGAACGGCACCAGCCCCCGCAAGAGCTCGCTCTCCAAGAACGGCGCCGGTCCGAGCCCCCGCAAGTCGAGGGACGCGGGTCGTGGTGGCAGCGATGAAAAGGGAAAGAGCGGGGATCTGAAGCTGCTCTTCTCCAAGCAGGCGCAGCGTGCGTCCAAGGCTCCGTCTGCGGCCGGAGGCGACAGTAGGACGCTGTCGGTCGACGACATTGTGAGCGACCCCATCTCAGAAGACGACGAGATTTCCGAACTCAAGGCGAGCTCGTCAAGCCTGGTCGGCCAGCACGCGCGCAAAAGACAACGCGTGTACAGTCAACAAGCATCATTAGATGCGACGACATCCAGCCAGCGATTTATGAAGCCGCCACGGCCGACCAACGCCGACGACGACGATCTCCGACCTTGGTCCGAACGATACGGCCCGCGGAACCTCGACGAACTCGCAGTACATAAGAAAAAGGTGGCCGATGTCAGACGATGGTTAGAAGAAGTCGTTAGCGGCAGGCTGCGGCAACGGCTGCTCATTCTGAAGGGTGCTGCGGGGTCTGGCAAGACGACGACGATTCGTTTGCTGGCTAAGGAGATGGGCTGCGAGCTTCTCGAATGGAGAAACCCTGTGGGAAACGCAGGCACTGGATTTGTCTCATCTTCGGCACAATTCCAGGATTTCCTTGGTCGTGGAGGCAAGTTTGGTGCTCTGGACCTTGACAGCCCGTCATCAACATCTACTGCGTCCAGCAACGCGAATACAGACAATGACAAGCGAATCATGCTTATCGAAGAGTTTCCAAACACCTTTTCCAGATCTTCCTCTACTCTGTCATCCTTTAGAGGAGCGTTGCTACAGTTTTTATCTAACCACGTACCGTCACTGTCCGTTTTTTCGCAATACGGTCGGAGGGAGCCAGTTAAGCCCGTCATATTAGTCATTTCAGAAACACTTCTCACAACCACATCAGCATCTGCAGATAGCTTGACTGCGCATCGACTGCTAGGTCCGGAAATATTGGGACATCCAGGTGTCGGCGTTATTGAGTTCAATGCCATTGCCCCATCATTACTCGCCAAGGCGCTTGAGCTTGTCGTTTTGAAAGAAGCACGAAAATCAGGTCGAAGGCGAACACCCGGCCCGATGGTATTGAAGAGGCTGGGCGAGATTGGAGATGTTCGCAGCGCAATTTCATCGCTCGAGTTTTTGTGCCTCAAGGGAGACCAGGTGGCTGACTGGGGTGCCAAGGTCGCGTTCACGAAGCAAAAGAAGAGCACCAAAGATGGCATCGGCATGACCCAGGGCGAGCAAGACAGTTTGGAGCTAGTTTCCCAGCGAGAAGCCAGCTTGGGCATATTTCACGCCGTCGGCAAAGTCGTGTATAACAAGAGAGAAGAAAAGGCATCCGGCGATGAGGCAGAAATCCTGCCCCATTATCTTTCCCAACACTCGCGACCACGGAAATCGCAAATATCAGTCGACACACTGATCGGAGAAACTGGGACAGACACGCATACCTTTATCGCAGCTCTACATGAAAACTACATTCTGTCCTGCGAGAGCACTGGTCCAATGGACCTTTCTACACCGATGGACTATGTCAATGAATGCATCGAGCATCTATCGCTCAGCGATCTCATGTGCCCTTCTCAGGATGTCTTTTTCGGTGGGCGAGGCGGCTTTACCGGCCGAGACTCGGGCAGTCATGTGCTTCGGCAAGACGAAATGATGTTTGAGGTGGCTGTGCGCGGCATGCTCTTCTCGCTGCCCAACCCTGTCAAGCGTAAAACAAGCGGCATGGCTAGAAGCAGCGACGCCTTCAAGATGTTTTACCCCGCAAGCCTGAAGCTCTGGCGAGCCAAGGAAGAGATTGGCGGTCTTGTGGACATGTGGTCATCACGGATGCTCCGGGGAGAGGACCAAATCGCTAGGAAGGAGATGACGGCCGGCGCCAATGCGTTTCGTCGCAACCCGAGACTGACCGCATCAGCAGCGCAGTCGAGCCAGGCCCCACCGACGAAGCGAGAAGGTTCCAGCGCAGAGGACGACGACAATCAGACGGCTATGCTGTCGCTGGGAAGCGCGGCACGGCGAGAGCTGCTGCTCGAGAGGCTTCCCTACACGGCGTTGATTGCGCGTGCGCGGAAAAGCGGACCACGTACGCGCGAGCTGGAAAGAATTGTGTCGTTGAGTGGCATTCCTGGCTCCAACGAGGAGGAGGAGGATGTGGATGAAGAGGGGGGCGCGGCAATGGGCGAGGCGTGGGCGACGGACAAGCCATCCGAGGAAGCGAGCCCGCGGAAGAAGCGCCAGGGGATCAAGTCGGGCGCCGTGACGAGCATGCTCGCGCAAAAGCTGGTGCTGAGCGATGATGATATTGAAGACTAGAAAAAAAAAGGGCATTTTGCATGAAGCAAGAAAACATTGTGTATAAATACGAGCTTATAATACTGTTTGGGCTTGGAATTGCAAACGGTTGGGTTGCAAGAGGATATCAGGGGGCTGGGGGCGCATGTAACTGTACTGGACATATACCATTTGCTATTTGAAGACATGAAAAACTTTTCATCCATTGCCTTGCGTAGTCATGTGCCACTTTTGCCGTGTAACTTGCGGCGGCTGTCTGTATGCAACACTCGTGTAAACCATGAGAAATTAGACATGCGTATGCACATCTGCATCGTAACTTTTCTAGGCATGTTTCCTTTCCATCTTTACCAACCTCGACCCCGACTCCGGCTCCGGCTCCGGCTCCGGCTCCGGCTCCGTCCCCCACAAAATCGGTCCCGGTCGCAACCCCTACACTGCGCTGTCCACTCCCCCCCCCCGCAGGGTACGAGCAACGAAAGGATGCTGTGCTAGACGGGACGACGATTTCGGTCGAGTGCTGCCCAGAAGCGCGTGGTAGTATGATGGTATCCTGCAACGCCTATTCTAACTAGCGAGTAATCCTACCACCTCAATCTACTTGGATTCCACGGCGGTGGAGGCGACCATTATAAGCGGGGGTTCAGTTTATTTTCGAACCAGAGAAAAAAAAAGGAAACGACAATCATAAGGCGCATAGCACGAAGCTGTTGTATTCGAGGATAGCAGAAATAGTGAAAAGCAGCAGAGAAGATGAGCAATGTAGACAGGTAGGGTTTGATCACTTCATTCGTTGTAATATCTACCTGCGAGAGCCACTACCTTTTGGCCATGGCGCGTCGGTGAAGATGGATGCTGTCTCGGTTGGACGATGTAATAGTCAGTCGCTTGGAGCGCCGGAGAGCAGTGCGTAAAGATCACTCCTCGTTTGGCACGCAATGCCCGCCCTTGAAGCGCATGGTGCGGCCGTCGACACTCCGCAGCCAGCTCGTCGATGCCCACGTGCAGCGTGTAGTGAATGATGTAGAGACGTTGATGCATCTCTTCCGTTCTCCGAGATCAAAGTCTCAAGGGAGCGGGAAAAGCGTTCTCCGATGATGTCGAGGACCCAAAAGGCTGGCATTGTAATTGTACTGTGTCGTAACTTCGGCCGTTACAGGAATGGTCCGCAAAGGAGCATCGGTGTTACCATGCTGCGCGATGCTGCTTTCCAGTTATAACCAGGCCCGAAAGCTTCAAGTGCCATTGCGCGGCCTCGAATGTGCCCGCGATGAATCGCACATGAACCACGGCCGAGGCAAAGTCTGCTGTCAGCCATGGTGGCCGTCTTCTTGCCAAGTCTAACAAGGAGCAGAGATTTCTGCGAGTTGACACGTCAGCTTGACGAGCTCGTCAGGTCCGGTCGAGTCGGAGAACCAGGCGGGCTGGTTCGGTCCGAAAAGTATGCCGGGTTCGACGGGTGGCGGGCGACTCGGCTTTCGTCGCCTGTGCGATCGGGGAAGAAGACGAAAGCTTTCATTTTTCCCATGCAGCAAAAGTATAGATTGCTTTGTCTTGGAAAACCGGACGTCTGTTACTATCTTGCATTTATATACTGACAGTAGGGGAACTCGCACCTGTAAAAGTTTGTTGTGGCGTCGAGCCTTGTGGATGATGATGTTTTGGGGAAGTCGGTAGCTTGTCAAAGACCCCGAGCTACTGCGGGTATCTGAGTCTCTGGAATTGTGGTATTACATTGACGGAGCCTTTTAAATCCTTGTTCATAAAGCCCTTGAGTATATTCCCTCGAGCGCGCCGGTTTTGTGGAAAACTCGCACATCTGACGACAGCCGTCATAGTTCTGTTTTCTTGGCGGCTTTCAAGATATATCAACTGATCATGGCCGTCTCATTCAAATCGCATATTTCGTATGGTGTTTGTAGGCTTCTTACAGTGCTCTGATCCAGGCGAGTAGTGCTCTTCAGCTGGTGTTCCTTGGCTGGCGCTGGCACTGGCGCCCTAGCACTGATATTCCAACGCTGATTCTTCAGGCATCTTCTATTCTTTTTGAGGGTGGCTTTGGATTTTATGAGGGCCATCTATGTAATAGCTACAGCTGTGAGACACGCCTGGCGAGAATGTCTCGTGGACGTTCAGGCTGTTGCAATGTACCAGGTACCTGACAGAGCAAGCGCGCATTCAGCGGGTATAAACTCTCACATCTAGTCTAGAAATTCGAGATTTGAGTAGTGATAGGGGAATTACTTGAAATGCAAACATATAGCATGTCTACTTTGATCCTCGGCCACAACTCTTGGCGTGCATGTGTGATTCGGAGTGAAGCTTGGCGAGCACCAAGTGGCCGAGTAGGAGGCTTTGTATGAGGGCGTTGTATTCGGTGCATTTCTTATAATTTCAGTTCCCGAGGGAGGACTAGATACATATCATTTCATTCGTTTAGCTATTGCTATATTCTCACAGAACCCATACTCAAGACACAAAGCCAGTGGCTGTGGTGGCAATCACTGTGAGCCATGTGTCCATTAGATGAACTTTGCAGTCCCAGCTACTAGGCCCTGACTGCAGTCGAGAGGGTCGACTTTTGTCCTGCCCCGCCATTTCCTGGGCCGGATCGAGGGTTTGGCATGTACGACTGCTTGGCCTGAATCACAACCACACTGGGGTCGTCGATGTTTTTCAACATGATGTTGATTCTATCATCGCGGAGCTTGGCCTGTTCATCGACAGTGAACGAGCGCTTGAAGCACCGCTTACTTATTGCTAGATATTAATGCCAGTGCCACGTCTTTCTTGGCAGAGTTCAGTTGACTTACTCGACGATGCAGCCGTGGTCGGCAGTCATCGAAACGTTGGACTTGGAGGTCATGTCGAGTGCCTTGTGATGGTCTTTTGAGGAACAGAACTTGGATGAAGAAAGAGAATGAGCTTTTTGAACTTTGAGCGCAAGCTACAAAATGCTTGTTACTATCGAAGGGGGGTTGCTCCTTTTATGCCTGTGAATCGACTGCGAGAGTTTACCATACACCACCTGAACATTACCGCAACGGATATGAAACGCCTGATGAAATAACCTATCGCGACCCTGACATCTTTTATGCACCAATAGATGGCATTTTAAAGCTTTTAACTGCGTAGCAATGACGACGATCCTCCCTGCCCAATACATGCGCGCAAGAACCGACCATGTCAGGTCTCCATGGCAATGCTCGTTGCATGCTACGAGGGCTGCAGGTACACATGAATCAGATTTTCCAAATCAAGTATTGGTGCGTTAATTGAAAGACAGGGCTGACTTGCTTGCCCCTGACCATCTTCAAAGGAAAAGCCCGTCGTGACCGGGAGCTGTGTGGGATTCCCGTATCCATGGAAGCAAAAGCTGGCGCGCCCAGAAACATGGCACAGTGCGAACCACTGCGAGCCATGAGAGACTGTTGACATGTGAATGAAAAGATTTTGAGAGTGGCAGATTGAGGGTGGCTACTCGCAGAGCTTGGGGAACTGGCAAGGCGTTCGATGGAGCTTTGTAGAATTGAAAGGCAACCAGCCGCAGATATGCAAAGATGCTGTCCTCTGACGTGTGGCGAGTGCGTCGTGTACACACGGAAGCTCATGCCAGTGTGCCTAATTAGCTGTTCAAGTAAAGGATGACGGGCTCGAATCAACTGCATGCAGAGACCAGCTACTTGGCTATGCTAAGGTGCCATACGATACACTATGCATGGAAAGACAGCCTCGTGGCCAATTTTCAGTCTGATCCAAAGCACCACTCTGTATCTGGATCACACCTTGCACACCTCACGCAGGCTGGTACCAGTAGTTCCAGCGCAACCCTCCCGAGTAGTCTCTGCCAAGCCGCTTTTCGGGTTCTTATGGCCCGGTCCCGTAGGCCATCTCGGTTATGAGCGGGTTTCTTCCTCATCAAGACCTTCAAGCCGAGAAACCATCAAGTTGTCTAACGAGGAGCACGCGATACACTCAGAGCGAGCTGGCCTTTCGTCATCCTTTTTTTTTTTGCTTATTCCTCCGGGTTTGTGCTCATGCAGGCTGCAGACGGAGAGTCTCATGCACGCCTCCTTCAGCCGGCGGGGGGTTCGAGCTCGACTACAAGAGGCGAGGAATCTGCGGTTGGGGCCAGCCATAGAAGTAAGCGGCACATGAATGGCCTGACGAGGTTTGTGCTTGCATCAGGCAAAGCAGGCACATCCCCGCGGGGCGCCGTTCCAGAAGAAAGGGTCACAGCAGATCGGGACTCGTAACCCAGGTCTCTTCATTGGGCAGAGACATGTACGGCAATATGCGAGAAAAAAAGACCCACAGGGCCTATCCGACAGAAATTGTGCGAAAGCTATGTACAGCTGATTGACGCCCACATTAGCTTCTCCCGGAAGGCTGGCGGTACGTGGCCGGACGGTCATGCTCTATATTACAGTTCGTCTACAATCAACAGCCACGTCGATCAACACGCCCACTGGGGTATCCATAGAATAAGAACACTCAAGGGATACCAGTTGAGGTCCACGTAGGAGATGCTGATGCCATACTCGACGTACATTCATGACCCTGACCCTCTCTCGTTGAAGAGAAGAGATATGTAAATAAAGTCAGTCAAGATTAAACAAAATTTATCATAATCAAAAAGATGGATAGCTTAGTAGTGGATGGTAAGAGGCAAAAGCCCTGGAGGTTACATAGCTCGTGTGGGCTGTGCGTTGACGGCTAGCAAATCACACGGTACGCCATGGGTTCTCTGTAGAGGGTTGTCCCCGATCCCCTATTGCAGGATCACGAGCAATGCTTTGCAAATTTGACGTAAAATGGTGACGGGCAGAAAGCAGGGCGAGAGACTCTGGAAAGAAAAAGGGCTACGAAAGCAATCGCCGATGATTTGGTGCGTCAGTCATCGTGATACAGCACAGAAGACATGGAGCCGGCCCGGGCGGAAAGGCAAGGGAGCAGCATGTGCTGTAGAACACGTGACCATACAGGCAGCAAACCAAAAGTTGCTTTAATTACCTAGTTATCGCGATTGCGAATGACGCGTCGCCCCCCTTGCTGACCTCGAGCAGTGTCGATATTGCCCTCCCTCGAAAAAGTTTTTCGGGTGGTGTTGCAGCTTTGACCGTTGGGCTGCTGAGCACTAGTTGGAGTAAAAACGCCAAGCATTATTTGACAGCGGATAGATGTAGAAGTGGGTGTGGTTGAGCCTGCAAATTATGAGCAGGTTCGGCTTCAAGGTTATGGGAAGTGGTTTACTCGGGCCGTCATCTCGTGGGCGGATTGGGAGGGGTGGCGGACGCTGTCAGGCACTGTGTGTGATGGTAAAAAGGCGCATCAGGATTTAGCTCACTACTTCTTGGTAGTTTATACAGTGCGTAAGAGCGGATGCTAATGTATAAGAGTGGCTTGTATTTATAAATGTATGCCATGTCGTCCTGTATCGAGCCGCTGAGACACCCTGTTGCCCGGTCTTGCAGGAAAGCCTCGAGTCTAAGAGACGCAGTCTTTGGTGGTACGAGAATAGTCTGGAGACCGGGAAAACCGAACTGATTTTGACGACACCATCTGCCGCAAGGGTTGTTACTGATGAAGCCTTTTTGACTCTGTCCTGATGGCAAACGAACACACAAGAGTGGCAAGCCGCAAGACACTCGCCCCATGACGTCAGTCTGCTTAATTTCTTTACCTGCTAGGCATGATTCTCTGCCTCATGCTCCAATTTCCCAAGATTCTCCATCCTTCATCTTGTACATTTCGGGCACACGGTCAAAACTCGGACGTGAGTTGGTTGCACTGCAGGTCGATACCATAGTTTTACAGTCAGTAGCTTGGTGGTTGGGCAGGAAGTAATTTATTCACGCCCAAAAGATTGTTGTGTAATCTAGCCCAAAATAGGAAAAAAGTAACTTACAGACGCTTCAACTTGTTTCGAGTTTTTCCCTGGACCACATCATTTATGAGGTTTTAACTCATATTTGCTTGTTTGTAAAATGCCCAGCGGCAAGCAGATTATTGTTAATATCATTTGTAGTTTTATTACGGAGATAACCCGCGATGGCGACGCGAGCATGTCCATGGTCACTGTACAAATAGTTCTTTTGTTTTACAATTTAAACACTATTGTAATGAAAATTCTCAACGAATTCCTCCTTCTTTTAGCACAAAAAGCTCTAGAAGTGGCATATTTCTTGGTCATTGCATGCTTGCACACTAGCCTATGATGAGATGTCGCTAGTGAATGGCTGCCCACTAGCTAGTTGTTAGCCAGTCAACCAGTACAGAAACTAACATGCGAATCACATTCTCTTAAAAGTTGGATATCTGATCGGATAGATAATCGCTCCCTAATCCTAACCCCAGAAAATAAATTGTCTTGGCCTATTTCCTTGCGCCCGCACCAAATCCCTTGCGTTGCAGAGACGTCGCCATCACCAAGGACAGACAGACAAGTTCCGTTCCCCTCCCCCACCAAACGCAGAATCACGAGCCTACGTTTCACCACCTGCATGCACACTCAACCGCCCACCCAACCGCCCATTTAACCGCTTATCTTACCGCTTCATCCAACCGATTAAAACGCCTTTAACAGATTCAATCTAGTCAAAAGCCGGTCTCTTGTTTCTTCGGGCGCAGCGTGTGCATTTCTCACAGATATATACATTCAAAGCTTCAGCAGCAGCAGCAGCAGCAGCATTCGTTGCCAAACACAACCATGCCCCTCAAGAAGCCGACGACGCTGCGCATCCTCTGCTTCGGCGACTCCCTCACCCAGGGCTTCCACTCGTTTGGCCTCGGAGAGCACCCGTACTCGGGGCGGCTCGCGCAGCGCCTGCGCGAGGCGCTGCCCGAGGGCATCAAGCTCGAGATGCGCACGAGCGGCGTGCCGGGCGACGTGGCCGCCTTTCCGAGTTTCCGGGAGCGCTTCACCCGACAGAGTGCGTGTTTTTTCCCCGTGGTTCAAACAATGAATGAAAGCACAGAACTCTCTGCTGTGTTACAAGACACGAAGAACAAGTAATGTACTAAACAACTTACAATGCAGTTACGTTGATGCCCTTTGATTGGGTCATTACGCTTGGTGGCACAAAGTAGGCAACCCCCCCCCCCCCCAAAACCTGCTTCCTGGTATCACCTTCGCCCGCGTCCAACTACAAAGTGCTTACACTCTGTGATTAGCGATATTGCAATGGGATGCCGTGTAGACGATACTTTCAAGTCGCTGCAGGCTGCGTGGCAGATTGCTCTCTCACGCCGCTGCAATGTTCTCGCTCTCACGGTGCCCGAGACGGCTGGCAACTTTTCTAGCGTCACTGCCAAACGCAAGGACCTCAATACGCGGATTCTCAGTTTCAAAGCCGAAAATTAGTACGTTGTTTCTTCTCTCTCTCTCTCTCTCTCTCTCTCTCTCTGTGTGTGTGTGTGTGTGTGTGTGTCTCCCCCCTCTCTATTCTTTCGTTTTTGTCTTTTGTTTCTGTTTTTGCAATTCGACTAGTTACTGACGACTACCAGCCACACACTCGACCTACACCAAAAAATCCCATACAATTCTCTCAACGACTCGCAACGCGACCTGTACTGGAACGACGGCGTGCATCTCACCGAGCAAGGTTACGACTGGATGGCCGATCACATTGCCGACGCGCTCATCCCGCTCGTCCTAGGCGACATGGCGCGGCTCGACGAGGAGGAGGAGCACCCAAAAGGTATTACCAGAGGCTATGTGGCGGTGCGCAAGTCAGACTTGGACTAAAGTCTGTGTGAATTAATACGAAGCCAGTCTTTTTGTCCTTTGATAATTTTGATTTCCTTCTGCTTCATGAATTTTTAAAAAAAAACGATACTTGAGTTCCATGCCTTGATTTCTTTTCCTCTTTTTGGGGGGCCAAATTACGGCAGGTATATATGCTAATGCTAATGGCCAAAATGAAAAAAAAAACGCCGTGCCCCAGGTCCATGATGCGTCAAGAACTAAACCGCCAGATGAGTAGCAACAAAATCCTAGCAAACGTTAGCTGAAACGAGATGAAAGTGTGCAAGAGTGGCTTTGACCTACCGGAAACTCCTTTTGCAGCGAATTGGTGACTTGCTCGACCTGCTGTGCCAGGCTCTCGACGTTGGCGTCCCACTTGCGCGTCTGCTTGCCGACCGTCTCCTTGGCATGGGCGCTGCTGCCCTTTTCGCCCCCCGTGGCCTCGCCGCCGTCGAACCAGACAATGCCGTCGAGCTGGTCGATGCGGCCGACGAGACGGCCCTGCTCAATCATGCGGGCCGTCGTCTGTTCGGCGGCCGGAGCGTCGAGTCCGAGCAGCGCGCCGAGAGCCTCGAAGCGGATATTGTCGTAGAGGCGTGAGGCGCCGCGCAGGTTGTGCTCGACGACGGCGCGGTCCAGCACCGTGGAGCCGTCGGCCGTGGTGGCGAGCTGGTGCGGCGGCAGTCCGGCGGCAAACGCGCGCACCTCGTCGGGCGCCAGCAGGCGGTCGAGAAACATCTTTTCCAGTATGCCAAACTCGGCGAGCTGCGGCGCGCGGTCGTCCTTGTAGAGGCGACCGAGAGCGCGGCTGCGCATCGGGCCCGCAGGCGCGAGAATGGCGCACTTGATGGCCATGCCGAGCGTGTGCAGCCGCTCCTCCTCGGCAATGGCCGGCGAGAAGCTAATCTCGTGGTAACGGCCGGCAGCACCGAGAAAGTCGCGCTTGGCGTCTTGGATGCGCGCCTGCGATAGCTTAAAGTGCAGCGTCAGATCCGGGTCCAGCACCGTGTGCATCATGTTTTTGAGCTTGTTGAGGTACGTCTCGGCCGCGAGCGAGTCCTCGACCTCGAGGTAGTTGCGGACGATGCGTATCCACACCCTCGCGCGGTCCGCGTCGTCGACCTTGCGCTGGGCGCTGTCCAGCGGAATCTCGGCGAGCGTCTGCGCGGCCTGCCGAAAGTCGTCGTTGCTCTCGTGCGCGCCGGCCACGAGCTCGCCCAGCTCCGCCGCGGCGTCGGAAAAGGACGAGGGCTGCGCGGCGAGCAGCGCGAGCGTGTGCGAGCCGACTTGGATGCAGACGTCTTCGTTTTGCAGCGTCTTGAGCGTGGCGATAAAGGCAGCGAGCACGGTGCGTGTGGACACGACGCCCAGGGACTGCCGGAAGAAGGAGTCGGCGATGGCGTTGAGATCGTCGATGGCGGTGGCGGGCGCGGACAGCGTCTTGATGTCGGCGAGGAGGGACTCGTAGAGGGGCGCCTTTGCGTCGGTGCTGCTCTCGGCGCGGGCAATGGCCTCGGCCACCTTGGGATTGGGGGCCATGGCGAAAAAATCAGGTGGTGATGAGTTGATGATGGAAGTTGGATCGAGCTTGGAGGTTGGAGCTTGCTGTGGTGGGGGCGGGGTGTCACGGCAGGCAGTAACGTGCAAACGAGTGTACAGAGCTAGGCAGATGGCAGATGATGATGGCATCTGACTACAGAGTCCAAGATTAAAACAGACTAAAAGTGGTTCTGCGTAAAACTATTCATTTTTTGGACTTGAATTTGTCATGAAATCTTATTCTCATAGCCAGGTGTAAGCTGCATCTCGGCCATTGGCGATGGCATTCTTCGGGCTCGGCCTCGGGTTCGCTGTCGCTGTCGCTCTCGCTATCGTTCCGCGCTCAGCCAACAGGTCAGCACCAGTCCAACCAAGTGCACATCATCAGCGACAAATATATATATCTCACCAGATCGGCAGTCTTTTAGAACTAACCAGCATTATCTTTTTCAGTTTCTTCACGTCCAAAATCATCATCCTCTACAATAAAAAAAAATTCCCTCTTCAAACCACACATAATAGCCAGTCCACGTACACCATGGGTCTTGTCAAGAAGCTCATCCTCGGCGGCACCGTCTACGGCGTCGCCCGCGAATTCAACAAGAAGCGCGACAGCGAGCCACAGAGCCGCCAAGCCGCGCCAGATTACAATTCTCAGCAGCACTCGCGGCAGCAGCATTACTGCTATCATCCTCAGCAGCAGCCATCATACTGTGCGCCGTCGCAGCAGCAGTACCACCAAAAACTACCTGCGTACGAGCAGCACCAGCCCGCACCGTCCAACTACCAGCCCCAACGAGTCTGGGACGAAAAGCGATGAATTCGCATGCTTTTGGGCATTGTAGGATTTGAAACAAGATTGTAATTTAGAAGAGAAACACGGCATCTGGTTTAGACTTGTGTTGCTAGAAATCACACATTACTTATATCCCATGTCTTGATTGACAGTCTCGCAGTCAACTGAAGAGTTGTCAGTGATATCACTCGTTGCACAACTGTATAGATTCGATGGGTATAAGGTTGATCTTGTCCTCGTGTAAAATGCTAGTGTAAATCTTTGCCCATGACAAAACTCAAAAGACACAAAAACATAATGCAACCACAACTCTATCAAAACGCCTGGAAACCAAAAAGACCCGATAAAATGACATACACACCAGTTTATATATCGACGACGACGACCTACCCCTGCCAGCTATCTCTCTCTCTCTCTCTCTCTCTCTCTATTTGTTATGCCAGACCAGCGTCCGCAGCGATTCCCAGCTGTCGCAGTCCTTGTAAATGTACGTCATGCTGCTCCGCAAGCTGCTCTGCAGCTCGTCCGGGTGGTACTTGAACAGCAGCATGACGGTGCCCCACGACAGCGCCGCAAAGACGGGCCACGCGGCGCTATTGATGCGCGACCGCAGCGGCTCGTCGGCGACCCAGGGCAGCGGCGTGGCGCCGGGCTTGACGGCAATCTTGGCGAGCCCGAGGCAGACGCGGGCAAAGATATAAATGACGATTTGCTGGCTGACGCTGGAAATCTTGCCGGTGCGCGGGGAGCGCTGGCCAAAGACAAAGTAGCCGCCGACGAGGCCGGCGAAGAAGGAGTCGTAGGGGCCTGTGTGTGGAAAAAAGGGGAACGTGTTAGCAGTTATTAGCTCTAAGTTAGATAATCAGTGAGGTTTCGCACCCTCTTTGCCAGGCGTGGGACCGTAGTGTTTTAGAGCTAGTAGGACGAGCTTGTAGATGGTGGCGAAGCGTGCCAGGTTGGAGGCGTGCTTTTTGGTGGCGCGAAAGACGAGCTGGCATTTTTGTCGGAAGCTATACGTTTCTCATCAGCATTCCCAACCCCCTATCATATTGTCTTTTGGTCGATGGTGGGTTGGTGTCGCGAACTCACGTTCCGGATCGAAATAGAAAGACCATGCTGGTGGGGGAGGGGAACAAAGTTAGCAAGCGACGACAGACACTGGGGGGAGGGGGGGAGGATGAATGAAGGGCCAACATACACGAGCGCATGTGGAAAGCGGACCTTGGCGCCGTAGACGGCTCCGTTGCGCGCCGTCTTGACGAGCGACAGCAGGTCATGGTATCTCGGATCGAGGATGATTTGCTCGAGCGCGGCCTGCCGAAAATTTGTCAATTGAGGGCGTGCTCGCTGCAGATGAATACGTGGTCGGAAAGTCTGCGCGTACCTTGAGCGACTCCATCGTGGATGCCATCGCTGCTGCTGCTGCTGCTGTGGTTTGTGGATTGTTGTGGTTGAAGAGGTGAGCAGACGGGGGAGGAGGGCGGCGGCGATGACAGCTTAGGTTCGGCCTCGGCTCAACGGACGATGCTTGATGCGCTTTCAGTGGGTCGAAGTGGGAAAATCCGCCGTCACAAAACGACAAAGACGGGAGAACGTTGGCCAGGTCAGAAAAGAAGAAGGAAAGCAAACTCAAAGACACAAAAAAAAAATATGATAAAACGGCAGAAAACGTGTGTGTAAGAAATAAGAATGAAAAGTAAAAAAGGTTCGCAGCATGGGACGAGCCTCGGTGCCCGCCCCCCCGGCCGTTGTACCAAAAGCTTCCCACTGGCCCGACCGACGTCCGCGGGGGTGGGAAAGCCACTTTTGCGATGACGTGCCCCCGCAAATTTAGCGGCTCTTCAGATTTGGGGGGGGACCAGCGGCTCACTCAGTTCACATGCCAAAATTACGCTGACAGCTGGCTGTGACGGGCCAAGTTTACATGTGATTTAAATCTGTGTTTTCCCCAGACGCCATCTGACAGTTCCCACCGGCAGCAAGCTTTTCAAAGCAGATTCGTTAATTATGGGCTTTTTTTTTGAATTCGCCATCTAGTAATACACAAAATACAAATCACATATTTAGGCCCAATATCTAGATTATCTCACCCTAACCCACCCCTCCCACTACCACCAACCAACGTCCGTCTGACCAACCAACATCCCAACCAACAACCAATGTCCCAACCAACAACACATCAACACCACCGCTCCGTCGGCTCCCTCCACTCCACCCCCAAAATCTCAAAAATCCTCCTCTCACACCTCCCCTCCACCAGATCCCCCTCCACCGCCACCATCCCCCTCCTCCCCCTCCTCCCATTTTCACCCGCCGCCGCCGCCGCCGACTCTATCCTCTTATACAAACCCTTCTGATTCAGCCTCATGCCCCTTTTTCGCGCCAGCAGCCTCAAACTCCTATTAAACACATCATCCCCCGTAAAATAAATCAACGCCCCTCCCATCTCCGTCTCCGGCACCACCAGCAGATCCATCCTCCGAAACCTGCCGCTTCCGCCCGGCAGCACGCAGCACCCCTGCCAGATGCTGCTGCTGCTGCTGCTGCTGCTGCTGTCGCTTCCACCCCCGCCCGCGAGCGTCGCGACAATAAACCCGCTTCTCTGCAGCCGCGTCACCAGCTCCCTCAAAAACGGCGCCAAATCCGCCGCGCACGTCGTGTCGGGCCGGCTTAGCATCATGTCCACGTCGCCTGATACAGGCGCACCTCGGCGGTAGCTGCCCCCAATGGTAATCTCCACCGCCGCGTCGATCCTCGCCGCTTCCGCGCGCACCACAGCCGCCAGCGCCTCGACCTCGTCCCGCGGAATCTTTGTGTGCAAGTCCTCGTACCGCTCAATCCCCAGCCTCTGACCCGGCGTCAGCCTGATGCCGCTGTCTTTCCTCACCACATCCTCGAGCGTCCTCATCCCCCACGCCGCCCACTGCGCCGCCAGCGCCGGCCCCACGCCGTGCACACCTAGAAACAGCCGCAACGCCGCGTTTGCTCCTCCTCCATCATCGTCATCCCTTTCCGCGTGCTCCAGCCTCTGCAGCCGATCCGTCGTGGCAATCTCTTCAATCTTGGCTGCGAGTCGTTGCCCGACGCCCGGCAGCCGCAGCGCCTCCCGCGCAGACGAAATCTTGGTCGGCTGCCGCCGCAGCGTCGCAATTGCCCGCCGGTACGCCATGACGCGCCACGTGTCGCTCGTGCGCTCATAGTACGACAGCATGGCTTGCAGGACCTGCACGGTACGCGCGTTGGCGCTGCTGGCATGTGCGTCGAGGGAGCCGGCGTGCGCGCAGGCGAAGCGCTCCAATGAGGGGCCCGCGCTGGCTGGTGCTGCTTTCTTGGGCGCCGGCGCGCGGCGCTGGGATGCCCGGTCGTCTTCGGAGCTCGAGTCGTGGCTTGCCGGAGAGACTGTCTCCTCTTCATCGTCATTGTCTAGAGGCAAGTCTTTAAACTCTTGCATCATGTCAATCACTTCAGTCAGCTCATCGCCCGGCGCTGTGCTGCGTCGCTTCGCGCTTTCCGTCTGCGGTGCCTCGCAGGCTTGTGCTTCGTCTCGCGCCGTATGGACATCTAGCACAATAGGCTGCGAGTCAATGCCAGGCGACGCCTCGCTCGCGTTGGGCGGTGTCGCTTCTGGCGCAGTATTCCACTTCTTCGGGTTCCGCGACGGTTCACTGAGCCGCAGCTTCTCCTTGGCACACACCACTTCCTTCTCCCCGGCCTTTTCCACTTTAGCCTCCACCGTCGTCCTCTGCTCCCCGCCAGCCTCCTCCTCCTCCGGCTGCCCGGCCAGCATGTACCGCTTCTGCTTCCCATCTAGCAGCGCCCTAAACTGCACGCACTCAATCGGATAGTCTTCATTCACAATCACCACGCCGTCCCTCTTCCTAGCCACCGCCTTTTCCGCGTCTCGGTACCCGATGTCTCGGTCCACAATAATGTGCGTCGCCTGCGCCGCATCGCTCGTCCGCGCTGCGCCGTACTCGCGCGCCTTTTGCATCCGCAGTCTGCGCGCCGGCGCAATCTCATTGTCCGGGACGTAGTAAAAGACCAGCCCCCGGAAGATTTGCTCCCCTTCAGGGCGCATATTCACCTGCCCTTCTTTGTTTCTTTTTCTTGTCGTGCTCGACGACGACCAAGATTGAAGCTTTGGCGGGGGGCGGCACGGAGGTCGACTCGGCTCTGCGCTTTTCGCAGACGCGCGCCGTCTCTTCGTAGCATCGATCGGCGTCTCGCCAATGAACTCGACGTCATCGTCTCCATCATTCTGCAGTAAACCATCGACGACGTTTCTATTCCTCTTGCTGCTTGCCTTTGCCGGCTTCTTCTTGACTGCAGGCGTCGCTTGCGCCGAGCTCGTCACCACCACTACCACCACCTCGTCACCAGGTGTCTCCTGCACTTCATCTCCCATCTCCTCCTTGCTGTAATATTCCTGAGCGCGCGGGTCCGCTTCTGAGGCAGCCGCTTCGCGCGGCGACGCCTTGCGGAAGAATCGCCGGTGACGGTGCCGCATGCGCTGCTCCCGCGGGTCTAGCTCGTCGTCGTCCACTTGGCCCTCTGCGTTGGCATCAACGGCATCTGTTTCGTCGTCACTGTGCGGCAATGGCTTCCACTGTGCAAAATAAGTCTTTTTGGCCTCGAGCGACGGCTGTTCCTGCGCCATGGTCAATCACTCAATGGGGTCACCGTGAAGATGCACAAGGTTGCATGCATCGCGGCATGCGCACAGAGTTCAAATCTTCTGCTGCAAATCAACGACAGCTTTCAAGGTCACGTCAACGTAGACATTTTGCGTTGGCTTTGGTCGAGTTAGGCAACCCCGTTGTGTTTTTATCAAGGTGTGTAGGCAAGGTGTGTAGGAAATGTGCGTAGACAGTGCGACTCCAAGTTCACGGTTACCTAGAACAAGTGGGCCTTTTAGGTTCACGCAGTGACAACCAACTTCATCAACATGCGTCAAGTGGTTCACAATAATATGTAACTCTATCTATTTGTTTGGTTCTTCCAAGCTATCAACTCGACCATCCGTCAGCGACGCGATAGCCTTTTACTATATATAAGGGTGTAAACAATACTATTATGCGACATGAACAATTATGCAGGTGTGCTGTGATCACCTCCAGAAATGATGCTGTGTAAACCATCAAGAAAAAAACAAACAAGGCCTGAGCCAGAGGTGTCCTGTAGCACCAGACTGGAAAGAAGAAATATTTGCTGCCCGCCCAAATGTTAGAAAATAATTATGACTGGCAATTGTCCAGCGCATAGCAAAATAAACCAAACTCCGCCCAAAGCAACTCCAAAGCTGCTCATTTTTTGTCACGTCGACCCCGTCGACCCATAGAGCACACTTGCTCGACATTGCCAAGTGCGCAATATCTCTGATAATCGAAAGAGAACTCCAGTGTATGTGTAAATGCAATCGTATCCGCTGAAATCATCGAAACATGTCCGGCTTGATTCGCTTGTCCCTCGCTGCTGGCATCAAGCCGGTAGACAGGTTCACGCACCAACGGCGAGAGATTTCAAGCGTCCAGCAAACGGGCTAGACTGCTCCTGTTTCAGCATGCCTTCAAGACGTCTGGTCTCGCGAACGGCAGCCTCGCGCTCCTCTTGGAGGTTCATGACTTCAATCTGCGCAAGGCTCATCTTATTGATGACTTCCTGCATTTCTGTGTCTGCCTCTGCAAGGGCCTTCTCCAGCTCAGCCACGCGAGCACGGAGCTTCTTAATTTCAACCTCCTCTTCCAAGTTCTTGGGGGGGAGGGCGCTGGCAGCGCGGTTGAACAGGCTATTGGCCGGGTTGAGCAGAGAGCCCTTGCGGGGACCAACGATGCCGACACCACCACCCTCCTGTAGGCGGCGGAGCTGCTCGTTGTGAGCGTCCTTGAGCTTGATGACTTCCTCCTCGTGGTGAGCAACGCGCTCGTCAGATGAGGCTTGGGCCGTGACCAGTTGTTCTTCCAGAATGTGGAGGCGCTCCTGTAGCCCCGCAATACGGTCCGAGTTGGTCTTGCGGTCTGCCTCACTGCGAGTGACGGCGTCGTTCAGACGCTGGCGCAGTTCAGAGTTGGTGGCAATCTGAGAGCGGACCTGAGAGGCAAGCTGCTCAACACGGGCGACAGACTCGCTAAGCTCGTCAGAAAGAGCACGCTCCGAGTCTATGTTCTTGGCCGAGAAGCTTGCCAGCTGGTCGTACTGGCTCCGGAGGCCATTAGCGTCGCCACGCGCAATGTCGCGCTCGGACAAAGCAGCATTGAGGGAACTCTCCAGCCGTTGGAGAGCCTGCATCGTCTTTTCATCGCCAGGCAGGCCGTTCTCGAGCTTCTTGATACGCTCGAGGGACTCGTTATACTGGGCCTGTAGAGCCTTGTACGCATTCTCAAGCTCCTCAGAGGTGACGCTGGCGTCGGCAGATGAGCTTGGAGTACGAGCAGTGAGAATGTCCTTTTCCTTGAGCATGCTGCGCAGCGAAGTGACTTCTTCCTCGGCTCTATCAAGGTCCATCTTCAGGCCACCAAGACCCTTTTCTACCTGCCACTTTTGTTCCATGGCCTCCTCGGCGCGACGGCGCAAGACGTTGACTTCTGTGCGAAGATTGAAAATGTCCTTTTCGAAACCGGCCTTTTGCGGAGATTCGGAGAGTAGACGTTGGCGCTCGCTTTCAAGAATCTTAATCTTCTTTTGATTTTCGCGGTTCTGGAATTCTTGGCGCTCCAGCAGATTCTTTAGGGCGCTGTGCAAGGCGTCACGCTGGGCTTCAACGTCCTTGAGGCGCTCCGCGAGAGCCTCGCGGGATTCGGCAGGAGCATGCTTATTAGCAACGCTATCACTCCGCGAGATGGGCTGTTTTTGGCTGCGGAAAAGGGACTCTGATCTTGCGAGGCCACCACGAGAAGCAATCTCCTCAACGCCAGCAGCCGAGTCACGGAGGGAAGAGTTCTCTTTTTGCAGGGATTGCAGCTGATGCTGCATTTTTGTCGATTCATATGTCAAGCTAGCGTAGCTAGCGGCTTCAGCCTCGAGACCCTCGACGCGAGAGCGCAGCTGAGGCACAACTTCGTCACGCAGGTTATCGCGCTCGCTGCAGGCGCTGCTCAGCTCACCTTTGAGGGCAGTGAGCAAATCCTCAAAGTTGCTCTTGGAGAAGCGTTCCTCCACAAGCTTCCTTCGAAGATCTTCGCATGTGCTTTCGAGTTCTTTTAAGCGACCGTTGGCATCCATATTGTTGATTTCAGCAAGATCAATGCGGGAAGCTCTCTCGGCGAGCTCCTTGACCTGGTGGTCGAGTGACTTGATCTTTTGGCGCTCATCTTGGAGTTTGTTTGTAAGCTCCAGTCGTATCGATGCCTTTTCCTGTTCGGACCGACGCTGGATCTTTTCAATCTCATCGCGAGATTGATCAAAGTCGCTGAGTTTCGCGGAGCTGTAGCCAGAGTCGGAAAAGTAGTCGCTGGTGCGCTTGCCTCCGGCCTGAGCATTGTTGGCCTGCTCTTGCAAACGATCCACCAGGTCCTCGAGATCGATCTCTCGACGGATCGAGGCCGCTAATTCAGAGCTGATGGCCTTGAGTTCGTCCTCCATCTCTTCTAAATGGATGTATGAGGACGCAACGAGAGGCGGCGGTGTAGACAGTTGTGTTTCGCAATATCCGAGTGGGTTAGCGACGGCGGCATTAGACTTTGGGTCTCTAGATAAGGTAATGGACGGTGGCGGACGAGTGGAATCATCTAATAACCCAGCACGACGAGTAGGGGTCTCGGGTGACGGAATAGGTGAGTAGTCGACGCCGGCCGCGTTATTGGTGCTATTGCCCCAGCTGAACAAGGCGGAAAACGGCGAGGTCTGGCCGCCAGGTGACTTTGGCAAAGGCTTGTCGAGTTTAGGAGGTAGAGCGGGGGATTCTGAATGCGAAGAGTCGTGGTTTGTGTTGTGATCTGACTCGGCAGGCGATGACTTATCCACAGTTTCTAATCGTAGGTGAGGAGGCGTCGGTTTGTGCGCAAACATGAGAGTGGGTGAATCTGTGCTTGCAGAGTCGGAACGCTTCCGGTCAACGCCGTCGTAGGAATCGTGGCGTCTTAGAGGGTTGGCGTGAGTAGCGGGGGAAGCAGCATCCGGGGTGGAATCTGATGCGGGGCCTCCGTAAATGGAGAGAACGTCGGAGAGGTCGTCGTCTGCACAGGTTGCAACTGACTGGGCTTCGGCTTGGGGAGTGCTGCTGCGCGAGCTCAAGGTGGCTGGTTGGGAGTCTCGGTGCTGGCTAGTATCTTCCAAGGACCTGTCGAGAGGAAAGAGTGGTACCAGTCAGCAACGAGTAAGTGTCTTGGGCTATGTATGATCGGCGGAGCAAAGGTGTCAATGACAAAAGGGAGCGGGGGGGGGCACAACGGGGCAGTTCAAGAGCAATCACGAAACAAACAGCCATACACCCACCGGCATACAAATACTAGAGAGTCATGCAAAGTACAAAGAGCAGACGTGGAAAGTGGGTGCGAGTAGAGAGTGAAGTTGGGTTAGGATGCTTACTGAAACAAAGGCAGCTGTCCTATAGACGTCGTAGGTGGGAAGTGGTAGAGGGTGGGACTGTCGACGGAGGGTGGTCGTGCAAAGCGCGTATTAGGCTCTGGCAGGCCGACAATGTATGAAGAGACAGTAGTCAAAGGACGGGTTGTCTGTTGCGAGCTGTTCCGAGATGGCACCGAGTGGGCGGTTACAGGAGTGTTGGTTGCAACGGCATTGGCAGCCCCGTGAGGCAGCGGCGGGACAACGGGGGTGACGACGGAGCTGGCGGCGGTTGAGGAGGCAGTAGATGATCTTTGAAACGCCGTAGCTATGGATGAAGCGGTGGCAGACAACGGTTTCCTCTTGATGGGACTGGCACTGGCGCGAGCGGTGGATGCAAAGAGCGGAGCGACAGACGACGAGGAGTGGGAGAGCGATGAGGTTCGAGGCGGGTGTGAGGAGTGAGACGAGTAGAGGCTAGTGGCAGCGCTGGCGTTGCTCTCGATGGATTTGAAGCGAGAACGACGATATGAGGGAGTCCTAGAGGCCGAGGAGCCAGTGGTAGGGTAGCGGGCGTCGTGATGGGATTGAGATTGGGATTGGGAGGGTTGGTTGTGGTGGTTGTCGGGGTAGTCTGAGTCTGGGAAGTGGTGATGAAACCGGTCGTCGACGAGGGAGTCTAGCTCGTCGTCTAGCAAGATGGAAGCAGTGGTGGCAGACGAGAGCGGGCTAGACAGGGTCTGTTGGTGATGCGTGGTGTCGAGGTCGGACGAAACAGAGACAGTGTCAGTGTCAGAGTTGTGCGGAATCGACACCTTGTACGGCGATGCCATGGCAGCCATGGTGTTTCCAGTTTGTGCAAGATGCGGCGTAGCATGTACCAGGACGAATGTACCCCAGGGCAATGAGGGAGTTGAAGAGGAGCCCTTGAAAGTGCCCAAGGGAACCGGCCTTCTCCTCTCAAGGGAATAGACCGGGGGGCGTGTGGCGCGTGCAAGGCCTGGGACCTGGACTAAATGTGAGTCTTGTCCCAGATTGTCTTATGGCTGGAGAATCGTTAAATTGGCCATGGATCGCTGGGCTGCGCGAAATTGATAAAAGGTTATGAGTAGCCAAAGACAATCGGCACGAGGTGGAAGGGGGGGCAACACCGCCAATGTGACCTTGGTGATGATACTTGATAGCGTCAACGCGAAAAGGCGCCCGGGGGAGGCTGGGCTAGACTCTCGAAGAGCAGGGCAGGTGGGGGCGTTTGTTTAATTGGCGAAGGATGTAAATGGGCCAAAAGGATGGCGAATTGGATATTGATGGCAGCCAGTGATTGTGTGGACGTAATTGACTGGCGAGGACAAGGCTGTGGGAAGCAGGCAGAAGGAAAAAAAGGGGGCGCGAGTCGTTGGCTCTCCTACCACTACTCAGTACAGTCGGCGATTTTTAGCGATGCAAGCAGCCGCCGCCAATTGCCTGCTGGGCCGGCCAAAAGTGGCTCATAGGTTCTTTTTTGCACCTTTTTTTTTTTCAGGGGTGGCTTTGCAGGGATGACTTGGCAGGGGGGGCTTTGCATGGCAAATGGTTGCAGGGTTGCAGGGAAACAAGGGCAAGGGGTACCTAGCATGTCCGTTAAAGGCTCCGCGCTTAGCTCCATCAAGCCTAGCTCAGGGCCACAGGGACACTAAAAATCTAAAACCAGGTACGGTACGGAGTACGGATTACGGAGTGCGGAAGCCCGCTGAAGCGATTTGGACGGGGGCGCTTTTCAGGTGCGTATCCACTAATAAATAAAGGCAAAGGCCAACCGTTCTAGTTGTCGTGGTTGCGTGGCTATTCTTTCCATGTATTATAACCAAAACTTGATTGGCCATCGTCAGCCCTTGCAAAAAAAGGTAGCTGCTGAGCTGATAATGATGGCTCGTGAGCGCATGAGACTCGTGTCGGTACATCGGCACCTCGACAGTACATAGGTACATGTCCCACCCCTGATTAATGATTAATGATTGGTTCAGAGTTCTTGGTGGCTGCTCGAAGCCTCTAACTAAAGTCAATATCCGTATTTTTAGGCCAATGGGTAAAAACGATACGCATCTTGGAAATATGAAGAGACACTTTCTTGTGTCGTGATACGTACTTATAAAAGTGTTTTACTTAACACCTGTGACGCACCTCCTCATACATGACCTTAGCCCCGCAGTGCTTGCCACGCTCTTACATGGAAATAGTTACTACAACTCCCATCTTTTTACTCCGTACTGCTTCTTCTAACTATGAAATTCCAACACTCTCAAGGATCGCGTTTTGCTTGCACATGAATAGTCCTTTGGCCCCCCTCCTCACGACCGTAATCAAACCATCGTCAGGGGCCTCGAGCTCGCCAGCCAGTCGCTTCGCGCCTGCTGGAGACCACTATAACCTCTTCTCCACCCCCAATCCCTCCCGACCAGGGTGCTGGCAGCAGCTGCCCATGGATTCGTGATATTGATACTGCTTGGCAAAGAAACCAAGCTTTTCTATTCGGGGTCTTCTCCCTCTTTCGCCCAACACCGCCTTATCGTCTGGCTCCTACTGCATTTTGCCTGGCGCTTACGAATACCCCGTACGCGCTGCGCCAATCAGCGTGACACGACAGCTTTTTTTTCGTGAACCCTCGGGCCAAAAAAAGCCACAACAGATCCCAATTGACTGCCGTGCAGTTATTCGCAGATGCTCAGCGGCTAAAACTCCTTTTTGACCTGGCATCTGCTGGCCCATCTCTACCTCGGCAGTTGACAGTTCTCTCTCCTTTATGCGTGCCGCCTCCGTCACCAACTATTTTTAATGAGGCCAAATTTCCCATGTCTTTAATTCCCCGATAACGCTAATAACAGCCCCTTTTGCTTTTTATTTCCCTAGATTGATGCGGCCCCGTTATGGTAACGGTAACATGCACTATTTCGTCAAGACACTGCCAGTCGCCTGACACTTCCTTTAGACAAAAATAAAATAAAAATAAAAATTGGCATTAGACGTCCTCATGTGCAAAATAGACAGCTCTCCTGCATCTTGTTTTGTGAAATCGCAGTTGTTTAGCAGCACATCTATCTAGTGCATGTTTCGCCCCTTGTCGCATCATGTCAATCGGATACACGAACCCGCCATCTCACCAAGTGTCACCATCTCTGACACCAACCTTCTTGTCTCTTGGCGCGCGCCAGCCTTCTCACTGCAGAATGGGGGGCTCCTAAAACGTTGTTTCCTTTCCGCTTCTCCTTCAAACACATTCCGTAAACTATCCCACCACAAATGCGCTCTTCAGTCATGCAACTGCACATTGCGTGCGTGCATGGCGGCCTCGTATATCGGATACATCGGATACCTTTGAAGAAAGCCCGATTTCCCTCAACTGGTGCAAAAAAAAGTCGTTCATTTCATCGATCGAGGCTGTGCAGCCACCCTGGCTGCCCAGGTCCCCCCGTCACCCACGCTACGTTGCCGAACCTGCTCTGGGCTTGAGCCGAGATGAAGCCCCCCCCCCAAAAAGGCCCCCATGCGACTCACCAGTCAATTTGCCATTGGAAACAATCTTGTTGTTTGTCTCCGACTCACCGCTTGTTTTCGAGTAACATTCTGCCAGGTACCAGTTGTCGCCGTACGAAGTAGGCGGTGCTCAGCCCCTGTTCAGTACATAATATCGTAGGCCAGGATTCATGAGAAGAGCAAGAGAGGGCAAGGGGAAGCAATCACTAGCACTTGAATACGGATTAGAGAATCGAACGTTGTAGTCTAAAATTCCCCCCTAGATCTAGTGATTGTCAGTCAGGCTACATACACAGCGGAGCCTCAAGTTGGAAAACCCAGGGTACTTTGTGGTTTCTTATATGTGTTCGGATAGAGTCACGATTTCCGCATGACTGACGTGACGGAACGATGCGTCGTCCAGCCCGCATGAGACACACTATACTTCACAGGCTTATTTCTATGGCCATATCAATACCGCACTAATGTCAGTCGCTGTAATCGCTGTAAGCCGTGATATAGTCAAATAATAGTATTCAAACAGTGTATTTTACCCAGTCAACGCAACGCCGGTACAATCCAACCCTCCCGATAACAAATACCGTTTCGAAAAATGACTGTCCAACAACTCGCGCCTTGCCTACAGGCCATACTTTGCACACACCAACTACAGCACCATCTTATCCTTGGTCAGCAAGCCCCAGCTGCCGCCACATGAGCACTTTCTCTGCGGCGCCAGCACGTACGTAACGCCTGGTCGGTTCGGGGAGACGTCCTCCATGAGCGTCGGGCAGCGCACGCACCGCCTCCACGGCTTCGCTCCCCGCGTGCCGCGCTGGAGCTCAATGCGTTTAAACGAGTCGTAGTACGGGCCGCCGCCGTTGCGCGCCGCGCGCGCCGCCAGGCTGGCCTTGTCGTCCTGCACGCCCAGCGCCGTAAAGTCGGCGAAGAAGAGCGCGGCCGGGTCCAGCTGCGCGCGAATGGGACCGAGGTCATCGACGAAGAGCTTCTTGACTAGCGACATAAAGGCCGGTGGCACGTGCCGTGAGAGAAGCATCACAACCTCCATCTGCGCCTGAGACGACTTGATGCGCATGTCAATCTGCTTGCCCTGCGGCGGGTGACTAGCCTGCCTGAGCAGCGCTGGCAGGTACACGGCATAGACCTGATTGATGTCGTGGTTCAGCGTGTTGAGCATCTTTTCAAACTCGGCCACTGGCACCAGGCTCGAGCTCGTCACCTGCTGCATTCGCTGATACGCCTGCTGCAGCTGTCCACTGGATAGCCGAGCCACGCCTGAGCGCTCCGCCTCGGCCGCCTGCTGGCGATAGAACTCGAGCGTCCTGGCGCTGACGCCGTCCAGGTGCGAAATGCGGCGGCACAGCGCCAAAAGGAAGCTGCGTGTGGGTGAGCTCAAGAGCAGATGCAACGCAACGTCGTTGCGCTCCTGCAGGTATTCCGAAGCGGCGCTCAGTTTGCCGTTCAGATGCTGCATAAACTGTTCATCATTCGAGAGTTCAAACAGGCAGTCCATGATCCAAGCAAGCAGATCCATGCCCCATTTGAGCTCCCCAGCCAGGGCTTCCACTACCTCTGTGACTCGGTTAGGAAGCGTAGGTATAGTACATATGTTTCGCAAAGAACTTACCTGGTTCGTCCAATGGAGACATCTTATCCCTCGCTTGTGGTGGTGTATTGCTAGCCAATGTCGCAAGAACAACAATTATGCGCACGTTCAGGAAAATGTAGGCAAACTTGCCCTGAAATGTTCGAGGCGCATTCTCTCCTTTAAACCCGAGGCTATTCATAATACTCATGCAGAACTGGAGCGGAGTGTTACGCATGAGCGACTCATGGTGACTCTCCTGTGTATAGTCAATCTGCACCTTAAGCATTTTGATCAGTTCTTGAATCCAGTCCGACGCAAACCTCTTCTTCTCAGCCAAAGGGTGTGCAATAGCCAATAAGTCGTCAAAGTTGCTTTGCGTGACAATGCAAGGTGCGGCAGCAATTGTAAGTCCTGCTACAGTGGCACTGTATGCACTATCGCTATTGGATTCTCCAATATCGCCTTGCGCATACTGAAGCTTCCTCCAATTCAATTTGCCGTCATCGCCCGTTTGGATGATGGAGCACTGCGTAGGCGAAAAGGCAGCTTGGTAGCAGGGTCCGTCCTCTGCGAATGTCCAGCCAGCTGCTGCGAGACTGCTAATTCTTGAATCGTCGGTAGTGGTGTAGAGTTGTTCGAATGTGAAGCGGTCTCTGTGCTCAACTGATCCATCCGACATGACAAGTATCAGCACCTTACCGTACTGAGAGACTTGCATGCTGATCACAGTCTTGTTGATCGTGATTGGATCTAGACGCTTCAGTCTTGTCAAAACAGGCAGCTCTTGGGTGGTGGACGCGCTGTTCCGACGGCTTCTCATCTGTTCAAACGCCTTCTGTATCGCTGGCTTCTGCTCAACACATTCCCAGCGATCTATGATTGTCTGCATCATTTCAAAACCTCCGATGCCCGAGGATCGGGCTCGAGCGCCAATGATAAGCGGAGGACCAGGAGTTCCGATACTAGCGACAATGGAAGGCAGAGCTTGTAAGCTTGTAAACTCGGGCAGTGATGGCTCGTCGACCATCTGAAGCCAGTCAATAGAGGCAAGATGATCCTCCACTAATGAAGGGTTTAGGCGCGCCGTAAGAGAAAGCTGCGTCTTTTCCTGCACCGCTCCAGGACCAGCCCACTGGATCTCCAACTTTACTACCTTGAGTTTCTTGGTGGCTGTCGTGAAAACAATAATGAGGTATCCTTTGAAAGATTAGCGACTTCCTGCTCGTTACAAGTTGCAATGCACCAACTCACTCTTGTCGGTAGCCAACGATGCATGTGTTACCAAATCGTCTGAGGAACAGATGCTCTCCAGCTCCATTGTCGTCTCTTCCATTCTGCCATTATTCTGACTCCAGTACATCTTCAACATCCCACTCATGGTGACGCAAAACAGTGCACTTTTTGACGTGTGCGGGTGATGGGGCCCCATTGCCTGGACAAAAGAGTTTTCGTAATGGTACGAGCTGTTGGGTTGGGCCTTGATGGCTGGGCCGTATAGGACATTAAATGTTTTCTGGAGCTATTAGGCACGCTGTCATGTCTCTGTTTGTATGCTGGTCTTCAACTCACCTGTGATATAGGAGGCACAGGTAGCCAATGACAGCCAACGATGGCATTCATGTCGTCCACGGTATCAGCATCCCACTTGCGATTAGCGAATGGGGCATTCAAGGAAACCGGAAAGTTTATAATCATAACACGCCCTGTAGAGTCAAAAATAGCAAGATCGGGAGCAGTAGTAGTGCTCCATTCCAGATGTACGAGGGGATTGGTGACGGTGCCTTTGACGAGATCCGTCGTGGTGGGCTCGCTCATTCCCCAGCTACCATTGGCTGGGTGCGCACGAAGCATGCGCAGCTCCAAGCTCAACCCGTCGGGGGTAATGGATGCAATTGTACCTGCCCTAGACCACGCGATTGTTCTGTGAATCTGTTAGATGGGATGCGCCCCCAATGGTACAAGGGTGTGAGTGAGATGGCACATACTGGCAGCAACCGCGGTTGCGTAGGTCATCCAGCCGTTGATGAAGATGTCGACCTTGCGTCTTGGAAGGCAGGGATAGAGGCACCTCGTCTCCGAAGAGGTCGTCCACGCCACCGAGGCCGACAGACATGGCCGTGTCCAGCATCATAGGCATATCTTCCGCCGTCGTCATTGAGAATCAGTCACAGGTTCGAAAGACGTTTTGCAACTTCTCCCCCATCTTCTTTTCAGCACAAACTGAGTGTCTATAAAGCTGAATTTTGGTTTAAAAAGAACGCGCGCAGATAACAAGTTTCTGATAAATTGATGAGACAAAGGTTCAAGGTGGAATGGGTGCGCGGTCGATGAAGGTTGGTCCTGGTGAGTGTGACTTGCCGAATGCGCCCGCGCTACCAAAGGTCGGCTAAACCACGGGTGACTGGCCACCTTATGGTAACCAGCCAACCAGCCAAACTTACCCGGTATTTGAAATCATAAATCAACAAATCATGCCAGCACTGCCAAAGTAACAAGTGGACAAAAAAAAATTCTCTTACTGGGCTTTTGGTTCTATCTGCCGATTTTTGCCTTATCCTTCTCGAGGTAGTCAGCATATGTCGTTGCTGGAGTGACTGGTATCTACCCACGGGGTGTGCCACAGGTGTAGAATGAAGGTTGTTCTGAAAACCAGTGAGATGAAATACAATATTGATATACTTAGTTGCCAAAAAGCCCCTTATTAACTCCTAGCTTCGCATGTATGTCGCACAATGCGTATCTCAACCCGAGATCAAGTCAGCTCAATTAGCTTCTCGGCCAGTCATCGCGGCTAGAGCCGCCGCACAAAGACAATGTAAGAATAGTGATGCATGTAAAACTTTTGCAGTATGACTACGCTGTGGTCAGAGATCTGGTCTTCTGCCAACTCGACCATGGCGCACCGTACGTCACAAACTTTGATGGCCAAGTCGATAGGGTACTCCCGTGCATGTACGTAAACCACGAGATGCACCTGGTGATGCATTGGGATGAAGCATTTGTTGACTTTATCTACTTTTTGAACTTTAAACTACCTCTAGCCGGCCATTCAATTCTATAAATTTAAAAAAAACAAAACCTGGACAGTCATGTCGTCTCTCACATCCCGCGCAAATGGTGGTCGATAGGCGAGCCTCCCCCTCAGAAGTTCTCGATGGTTGGCACCACACGCGTTTCGCAGAAGATGAACCGCGACGTTGTCGAGGTCCTCAATGACGGCCCTTTCCTGTCGAAACCTGATGTCGAAATCGTTCCAGCGCTCAAGAAAGTCAAAGCCCGCGGGGTAGTCTGCTTCCGCTTGCGGCTCCTTCTTCCACCATGCAGTCTCTGGCGTGATTTTCAACTTCATCTTCATCTCCTCCAGGTTGCTCTCCGGCTGGGCCTCCAACCATCGCACCACAAGCTCCACCGCCTCGTAATTTTCAAAGTTATCCCATATGCCGTCAGACGCCAGGATGAGAAAAGCCGGCTGCTCGGCCTCTAGCTTCGTGATGGTCACCACAGGCTTGGCGATAAGGTACGGCGGGGTGGGAATTTCCGTCTTTTCCTTCGGCTTGCCCTGGATGAACCTTTTGCCAAGCTCCTCTTGAACCTCATGTGATGATTTCCATGGAAAGTTACCAAAGGCACGAGAAATTGCCAAACCCAAGACCCTATTACCATGTGTGATAACTTCCTCGTTTGGATGTTCCTTTCTAAGTCTGGCTACCTCTGATTCGGTTGCACCGGTTTGGTCTTCGGAGAGGGCCAACGGCTCCCACATACCGTCGGCAGTCTGCTTTCCGAGTACTGCTCTCGAGTCACCCGTGCAAGCTGTGTATATGGTCTTGGTTTTGGGATTGTATAGCACGAGTAGGGCACATGACCCAGCCATGGCAACCTCCATGTAGGGCACCTTGTGCTCGAGGGCCATGTCCTTGTTTCGCGCGCAGTCTACATAGCCCCTGATGATGGAGTCGTCAAGCTCCTCAAAGGCTGTTTCAATAGCGTGCTGGATGGATTGGTCGGTACGTGAGTCCCACTGGAGTTTGTTCAGTTTGGCTTGAACGGCTTTCAACAGCTCCTTCTCAAGGTGGTCTGCAGTCTGCCACCCATAATGACCATCGAATATTGTGCTTGCTACCCAGCTCTCGCCTTCCCAGACAGTGAGTGACTGAGAAAGGTTATAGCGGTCTTCACATGGGTTGTTGGCGGGCAGTTGTGCAGCATCAACTCTTTTGACGCCCAGAGTATGCAAAGAGACTGAATGCGCATCTTGAGAGAGCACATGCCTCACGTCATCATCGGAGTGTTGCAATACAGAAGCCATTGTATTATTTGCGTGGGCGTTTGAAGGGCTTGGGGGGAGCCTGTGGTGAAGATGCTGTTTGGCTCCAAGAATATTGAGGGGTAGAAATCTCTGAAGTGAGGCGGTGGTGTCTGTGTAACGTCGACAACCTCGACAACGTCGACGCGTGACTTGCTTGTGTAGCGCTGAGAAACCACGTTAGAACTTACGAATTCGCTCTATAGCGTGATTCATATGAAAACATAGTTTCATCAACTATAGATATATACTGTTTTCCTGATCTTTGTCTTGCGCGCTTTCACTTTTCTCCAACAACTTCAAGAGTGCTCTTCATCTAGCTGATCCAGTAAGCTAGGTTCCGCTTTTACTTGTATGATATCTTGTTTATCTTGTTTCTCCAAGAGATTTACTCCACCAGGCAATATGCCAAACGCTGAAGGACCAAGAACACCTTCGCCCCAACCTCGACCTGAGCCAAACACTCCTCCACCGGCTCCCCAGAAGCCGCCGAGGAAACGTTCAGACTAACTACTTGACAAAGAGCTCAAAGTATGCTGCATTCCTCCATGATTGTTACAGACAAGAGAAATGGACAAAAATGAACAAAGCCAGAGCAACCGGTTGAAACACAAGTCGATGAGTCAAAACGCTGAGCGTTTGCCCTTCGGTACCTCTGTTGGAAGTGGAGAATATGAAGATGGACGCGGAAAAACTGAGCTACTTTCAGCTGCAATGAACTCGGCCTATCACCAGATGCGCTCAGGTGCGTGGCGGATGCAGACGGATCGCGTTGGCTCACTCTCGCACGTACATACAATAGCCAGCCATCTACGTTGATTTTCTGCTGTAGCGCTGGATATACTGTGAGGTAGTGGTAAGAATCGATGGGTGGCTATAACGATAATGGAAAATTATTTGTTTGTTTAGTGAACTACAGAGATAGTTGCGCTTGGATAACTTGAATAAACGGATTTAGCGATGAAAGCTCGTAGTCTCTTTACTGCTGCTATATGCAACCACTGACTTGATCATCGTAGCTGTTTAGAAACCAATCAATATTGGATTATTTTCGTCGAGGTCTAAAAGAATGTCCGACATAGTCTTTTTGGATATTCTAGACCCCTTGAAGCCGCTGTATTAGCGCCCATGACTTGCGATAGTGTGCCCTGGTTCTCGTCGTAGCTCCAGCACAAATCGAAGATTCAGATAATCAGCACAGGCTGCAAGCGAAGGGTTTCCATGGGGCAAGCCGGTGCTGGAATGTAGCAAAGACCAGGGGGGCTCTTTGATGCTATTTGATGTAGTTATTGTCACGCGATAGCCCGACCACCAGTACCAGTACAACTTTGTAACACCGTTCTGAGTCACCTGAAGGACGGCACCTCCCATGAATCATAAGACGTGGAAATCACGGTGAGTCACGGGGAAAATGCGTCTATTAATTATGCTGGTGATGCTGGCAATGCTGGCATGAGTGCCGGGATCGATGATATCAACAACTGGATACGCATAACTATAGCCCTCTTCTTCTCTTCTCTTTACTTGGGTTCCAATCGGCAATTACAACGACCGGCGATCCCGAGCATGCGGGTGGCGGACATCGGTCTTGACAGGTCGAGCGACAGCCGAATGCATTGGGCTGTTAATAATACGCAATCATTCCTGCTGAGGCTGTGCCTATATGGGCTATAACTTATAGCGACTAGGGCATCTAATTCAAAGACGCCGATCTGCTGGATACTAATAAAAACACCAGATGAAGCATGCATGCCCTGGTTGCCTAGCGAATTTCTCGGCAGGCAACGTCAGCAATATGCACTCGTGGCCGAGGAGTTGTTGGCTGATCCTCAGTTGTGTAAACTAAATAAATTGTACGACTGTGAGAAATCCCGATCTCGGTGTTTTGCGTCTGCAACGCACATGATGTTATCATAAACAATACTGCTCACATTCTTTTGGTAGAGTAAATGGAATGTTCTAATCATACTTGCTGGAATGCGCATGACGTAACTAGCTACCTCTCGGTATCCCTCGAAGTGTTCCAGAACAAATGGAGCAAGTCATGCAACACACTGACTCGATTGCGGAGAGTGCTTCTCTTTAAAATTTTGCAGAAAAACGTTGGCAACGGGCCAAAAGGGCAATGCCGAGCAATGACAGGGATTGGGGGTGGCCAGCAGCAGAGCGATCCTTGAAGTCTTCGGGCAAGAGCCAAAGCCGTTGTCGCAGCACAAAGCCGTCGACGCAGCTGCCATTGTTCTCGTTATCGATAGCACGAGGAAACGTGTGAAGAAATGCACATTGTTCATCCTTTTCTTTCAAGGCGCAAGATGCGTGCTGCTTGGCACAGGAGTCGAAACTCCATTTACAATTATTTTATTTAATTAATTAATATCATCAAAATGGCAACGACGAGGTAACAGTGCAACACCTGGTCCGGTTGTTTATAAACATTTTGCTTGTCATTTTGCAATTATAGAGCCAAGACATGACTATTGCCTGGTGGCGGAGCGCTAGTTAAAATAAGAAGCCCACCCAGACAGTCAGAATTTGTAGGGCCTGAGAGGGCACTATGAAATCGACAGCAAGCCCCTTGCCATGTTCTTGTTTCATCGTCAGGCCGTGCAGCGTTGCATTTGCCACTGGCTGGATGCCGGTGGGATGGGGCTGGACATTTTGGGGGCCTTCTGTATTCTCCCCTGTACCAGCTAGTCCCGGGCACAGACGATGCAGTCTCGGGTAATAACCCGCTGGAGACGAAAGACTTTGGGCAACTTTCCTTGGACAACATAAAGTTCTTGTTCATGCAGGTGAATGAGTACAAGCATTCGTATGCACTGTATGCCGGGCGGTCGGAGCTTCGCCTTGCCGTGTGTCGGATGATAACCGGCATATGCAGGTACTCTATTATATTGGTTGGCATCTATATTTTGCAAACTTGGCATGAAGCATCACGTAGCTGAATCGTCCGCATAGATCAGCCCTCGGCTACCTCCGAGGGTGTCTGCATCGGAACCGCACAGCGGAACATGATGGAAAGAGCCACCATTTCCGTACAAAATATCTATGGTTAACTTATGCTGTGCTATAATAGTGCAGTACGCTAACTCTTTGGCTTTGCCAGAGGAAGTGAGTCGGCAACATGAAGCCGCTTGGCCGCCTCTCTGGTATGAGCTGGCAGTGTTTAAAATGGGACGACATGGGCAGGGGCATGGATGGCATGGACCGAGGCGCTTTCTTCTGGAAATGTTGGATGAATTGCTTGGCACTGTTGGCAACTAGGCGGTGATGCGCGCAGCGTCTCTGACGAGTGCCAGTACCCAACAGCCTTTGACAGAAGCTTAGATTTCTAACTGTGTGTGTGACTTGATTATGACAGTTGCGTAGTAGTTTTTTGTGCTAATCAGGTGGCTTAGTTATCAATAGACAGCCTAGCCGGGCCCATGTGGTTCCTGACTAACTGTAACAGCGTCACAATAGTGACTGAAGAAATTTTTTCTTTCCTAGAATAAAAGATAATTCATTATCCTCGAGTATTGATTTATTAATAGGACCTTGTCGAGTGGCGCAATGTTTATCGGTTAAGTTCTCGTGACGGTGAAACCTGAAACGAACCATCTCGCCACGGCAGATCAGCAAAAGGCTAATCGTTGACGGGCATTTTTGAGCCACGTTGGACGAGAAGCTTGTCCATGTGCCGAGTTGAGAGCAGAAAGAAATGGCGTTGACCCGCTCCGTAACTTACGTTCAGTCTCCCCTGTTACCATCATTTTATTAGCAAATCGTACTGGTAATTACTGAGGATTCTACTTTGTATTATCGACGAGTATCCGTATTCTTCGACGCCATCTGAGCAGCCCGGCCAGCAAGGGTCATATCAGCATTACTACGTAATGTCTCCAAGCCTGCAAGTGATCAGCGAAAAAGCCACAGAATCCACAGAATCTACGGAGCAACATAGGGGGCACATTTGGCGCCTTGCTATTTGCCATTGTTTCTCTCCGGCCTCCTCTTGGCTTTTCCAATCTCCAGCGGTGCCGCCGCCCACCTCCCCACCCATCTAATAATTGGGAGCCTGTAACTATCCGTAGGCTGTAGAATGGGGCCAAAATGAGCAACTCGGCAATTCAGTCACCTCAGCGGCTAAGAGAAAGCAACCCTGACATGATAATGGGTGTGAATTGGGCGCTTCTGCACAGGGGCCTCGCAAATTTGGACGACGACGCAAGCTTGGCGGACTGAAAAGTAACCCATAATTAGAAGTCTTGACGACCAGGCAGGGGTCGAGGCCAAGGCTACGGGCAGGCAATACATCTTTGCTATAGCTCCGTCGGCGTGTATATGTGCGTATGACTGTACATGTTGTCAATGGTTGAAAAAAATATCGTGGGATTCCTGCCCGTGGACTCCTTTTCACGTTCTTCTTCTCACCTTGTAACTATCACCACCAGAACAAAACAAGACGGACCGTTGGAGACAATCACCTCTGCAAAGAACACTAAACCCTCGTCATTAGTTATACTTTGCAAGGGCGTCCTTGGCTAGCGTCAACCTGTGTTCCTGAGATAACAGCAGTTTGTTGTTGCGCAAGAGTTGGGCATTGCGTTTGCGTTTGTTCAAACGGACCAATCACACGTGCCATTTTCCTCAGACCGTTCATGCGGCGGCCCGTACTTTACACCTAAACACCATCCCGAGCCCCTTCTTCTCTTACAAGCACGACGGCAAGCTTTCGAATCCCAGCATTGAAGTGGACGGTTTCCTTCCCAACGCTCCGGATCCAGGAAGGTGAAAACCAGGGACAATGATCATGGCGACCGACCGCGACGACCACTTTCACGGCTTCGGGACGAGACCAGCCGGAACAAACACCACGACGGTCACGAACGACATTAGCAACCACCACAATCGTGCCGGTGGCCGCTCAAAAAGCAGCTCCCTCCTACCCTTTCGGCACCACGCCTCGAGCTCTTCGGAGGACGGCTCAAGCTACCGGCACAACGGAGGGCGCTTCCACCAGGGCCGCAAGCTGTTCGACCGGACGGCCAAGACGCGAGGCCATAGGAGCATGGCTAGCAGCGGCGAGGGCGGCGGCGGCGTGTGGCGAGAATACCGCCGCCATGCTCGGAGTCAGTCGTCACAAGGCTCCGGCAGCGGCACCGACGAGCACTCGCCGACTGACTTGACGACGTCGTTTTCCTCCATGACCAAGGAAGAATTCGAGGCACTACCCGCCACGATACAAAGAAAGGTGAGCCGAAAATTGATTTAAGCGTTTGTCATTTCCTGAGATTTGTTTGTTTCTGGTGCAGCCAAGACGACGGCGATGCTCTCTCCTTTGACCCCTCGTGCCCTCTAAGGCTTGCGTGCTTCTGCCGCCAAGTGGCAGCGAAGACAACAAGTGTTGAAGCGCGAAGAAACCAGGCGCGAAGTGCAAGAAAAAGAAGAGCACGGAAAGAAAGAAGAAAAAAAGCAGAAGGCTTGCATCATGTTTCAAAGGACTGCTGCACGACTTTGGCGGGCAAACACACAGACACTAGCGAACGTCGCTCAACCAGATTGTGGCACTGGGGGAAACGAGGAAAAAAAGCAAAAAAGAGGGAACCCTTTTCCGCGGCACCTTTGCTTTTTCTTGTTCGACTAGCGAGTGCTGGGCAAGCATAAAAAGAAAACGCCTCGGAGCTAGGCATTGTCTGCATTGATAAACTGCGTTTCGGCGTCATCTAGCTCGGCTCGAGTCTTTTGAAAGGGTCAATTGATGTGACAAGGGCGTGCGTGCGTGGGCAAGGGATCGATCCATTGCGCCTCTCGGTGACAATGATTGTGATGGCGGCGGCAGGGATCGTCGCGGGGCTCGCATTCCAGCTTGAGCGACGTGGCTTGACCAGCGCGACTTGTGGTAATAAATTGGCTTTTGCGACCAAAACATGACGGACTTTTGTTTTTGTCAGGAGCTTTATTGCCGAGCAAGGGAGCGATACCAAGTATTACGTGCCAGTGCTTCTCCGCACGCGTCGTCCACGTCGCAGTCACCGCCGGCGCCGGCGCCGCAGCATGTACAATCAATCAGCCACTCGACCTACTTTTGCTGCACTTGCGCAGCACCAATCAATTCGGATTCATCGAATTCCGTGAGCACATATACGTCCGCACAAGTGTGATTGACGGGTATCCACGGAGCACGTTGGCCAAAGCAAGTATGCCGCCGCCACGTGTAGGGGAAAAAAAGAAACGACTCGCCGGCGCGCCTCACAAGACAACAAGTAGTCTGTCAGTTTTTGCTTCTTTTTGCACAAGTACTGCCAGCCTCGTTTGATCAACGTGCTGCCCAAAGGGTTGAGGCCACCGTATTTGTGTGCTGATGCATTCGGAGCGAGACGAGGCAAGAGTGCAGGAACGCTATCAATTGCAGGAAACCTGCTCGATCGTGGCATCGCGACCTGGGACGTACAGCAAGCATTCGGGCGGCGCGACATGTCAGCCTTGCCTCACCACCTGTGGATTATAGAGTTGTTGTTTTTGCCCCCGGAAACCACAATATGGATTACTGTCCTGGGGACCACATTCGCGTATCGATGCCCATTCCAGCAAACGGCCTGCTGCCACGTCCGTTGTGGGGTGAGAGGGCGTTGGTTATTTCTTTTCTTCTTTTCTACTCCGTATCCTTGGCGGCGTCCACGCAGTATTACCAAGACGGTTCATGGTGGACTGGCCCCCCTGCATCTGCTCCCTGTGCGTGCAGTCTAGCAACAGCCACGTCTCGTCAACATGGTTGATGTCAAGAAAACAAGAAAACAAGTCTGCTCCGAGTGGTTGTGAGCACTTTTTTAATTTATTCTTTTTATTCTCCGACTGCGGCTGCAAGGTGGCTCCGCATGGTTGCGTCGACAGCAACAAGACCCAAGCAGAAAAAGGCCTCTAAATAGGCCGCATGCTGTTGCACTCCCCGTGGGGCGACGCTACAGGGGCCGAGAGCCTTGGCGTCCACTGTTTGGTACCTGGAGCTAGCGTCGCTCTCGGTTTAAAATGCGTTAAAATGCGCTGAAACAGACCGTTAGGTTCGCACCGGGCTAAGGGTGCTCGCCCTAGACGGCAAAGCGCTGTATCAGTACATTCAAAGCCTGGTTAGCGGTGTGCCCCTCCTGTCCAAGCCCACCATGACCGCTGTTTTCTACTGGAACTTGGGGGTACTTTGTTCACCAACAAGTTCCTGGTAATTACGTCCTCCAAACCCTCACAATTACCTCCACAGCCCTCCTCTTTCGTTCCAGTATCGAGACACGCCATTCCTCTTGCAGCGCAGGCCCGGTTCTGTTTTATATTGCTAGACACGCCCATTTCCTTATATCGCTTCATCCCTGCCCGTCTTTTCTCCCGCTCGTTTGAAGCGTCACCTTTTTGTTCTTGCCCCTCCCCGCCGTCCTCTTCCTTCCTCTGGCATAAGACACCAAGCTTGCGGGAGCACCACTCTAACAAGTCTTTGTCCTTAATTACTGACAATTGGCTTCTTCTCCTTTGCCTTGCAACAGTACTTTTCTACTCTCGAACGTCTACGATTCGCCCAGGATTCTGACACCGAAGACTCGGATTCTACGCCCTCAGTTTCTATCGACAATCTCCCCAAGCTCCATCCTAATATTAACCCTGCCGCCTCTGCCACCGCAACAATCACTCCCTCGGCCGTCGCCGCTTCCACGACTAGATCACTCCAAGACAGCCGCCAGCCGGTTCGTCTTACTGTGCTCTCCAAGCTGCCCTCCGAGTCCACCCCCTTCGCCTCGCTGCCCCGGCGTCCTAGATCTGCCCTGATTCGCCAGCACTCCAGCCCAGCCTTTGACCGACACACTACCACCGCCACCAAGCTTGGCTTGGGCATAATAAATAAATCCAACGACGACCACCCTTCGTCGCTGGCATCCTCCCTACACGGCGTCATTCTGGATGCCACTGACCAAGCCCTGATCAAACGTGGAAAACGTCACGTCCAACTCAACGCCCGCCAGACCAAGGGTCACTTACACGGCGCCGCCTCCTTCGACCAACTCTCCCACAGGATGCATTCCCGCACTCCCGATGCCGCCTGGATGGACGGCCGCCTCAAGGAGACGGAAGTCTCATTGTATAACAGCTTCCGTTGGCTGGAAGACGATACCGACCTCGATCTGCGTCTCGACCTTGACGACTATCACATCGGTCTTCGTGAAGACCTCACCCACCGCAAACACCGCCCCGCCTCCTTCCGCCACAAGCTCTCCATTTCCTCCAAGGCCACCTTCAGCCGTGCCTCATCATCGCTGAGTCGTCCCACCACAAATGAGGCTTCTACGCCTTTTGGCGGTTCAGTCTTGTCACTCCAGAACTCGCCTGGCTACGGCCATGTTCGCAGACGCTCGCGGGCTCTTTCATTGATGTCTGTCACCAAGCAGCCACCGGCCGAGGTTACTACCGCCGCCTCTCCGCCGCCCACCATGGATCCGGCCGCCCACTATCAGGACCCCGAAGCCCGCATGAAGCTCCGCGTTTACCTCGCCTCGGCTCACAAATTTGATGAAGCCGTCGAGTTTGGCTTTCCTTCTACCGAGCAACAACCTCAGAGCCCGTCCAGCCCGCCTCAACGCGTCGATTCGCTGCCTCGCAACGCAGACCGTGGCGCTCACCTCCGCATGCAGACCCTTGTCGAGGACAAGCGGTGTTCGCTCTATAGCGACGAGGCCACCACTACGGAGCCTGACTCGCCTCGCACCCCCGATACGCTGGAGAGACCCTCTCACCCGTTGACCACCACCGCAGACCAGGATCGCGAAACCGCCAAGCTCGACTATACCCAGGCGCACGCTTACTCGCGGGAGATGACGCTACGCATGACCCTGACTCGGCCAGACCTGCGCGCCAATGAGGCCCATATTTACAGCTGGCAAAAGCTCGCGTCTCCGACCACATCGGAAGGCCCCCGCTCGCCGCCCGGACTCAGGACCGAGGACGAGCTGAAAAAGGACAGCATCGAGCGACAACTAGCCGCCATTGACCAGGAGAATTTGCTCTACCCCGAGCAGAGCTCAATGAAGCGCTTCTGGAATCGCGTTCGTCGCTCATGATTTCAACAATCACGCAATTTGCTCACAGCTTGGTGCATTCCCGCACAAGACATTTTGCTCAAAACACTGCCACCGATTCACGCACTCACGCACACACACGCCCACTCACACCACACTTGGCATGACCACACACATTCTTATTATGCAAAGGAAAACTGTTTCACTTTTTGCACTTTAGCGTCACAATCGGAGAGAAATCGTCTTGATTTCCCTTCACATAAACTCTATTTCCATCTTCTGTTTCACCATCATCTTCATTTTGTTTTACACTCTTTCAGACTGCATTGGGCGGGTACAGACATCGTTTTCTGTTCATCTCTATCATTTGCGGTTAATGACATTCATGGCCTTCAGGGGTTCTTTCTTCATTAAACAAAACTTTGGTTCTCCTGTTGTTTCTTGCTTTATACCCATTACTGTACAATTTTTACCATAATCTTGCTCTCTTTTGAATCCACTTTGGTAAGAAAATAATACAATACATATACCGAAAGCTACACATGATTCATGTTGACGTGAATGGGTCAAAGCCGCATCGGAGGTAATGTCATGCAGTGTCTGAGCGCTGTGAAACATGTGAGAATGTGTGGTCGTTTGGTGCATACAGAGATGAAAAAAGGAAGAAGGATGGAAAGCGGGGAAGTTGAGAGGGGAGAATAAGAGCACAAACGCTCCTCTTGACGAATTGGCAAACATCTTGCCAAGGAAGTCGATGCTCGAGAATTGTCAAGCCAGGCCAGACTATACGGTCAAGCGACCCCTTCATGCTGCTGCGGCGTGCATGTTTTCACGAAACTTCTCTCTCTCTCTCGCCCAAGTTTAGGTGGAGGTTGTCGGTCATCTCAACAGTAACGGGCGGGCGGGAAGAACCCATGTGATCGGCACACATCTCCTCGAAGCGGGGGAGATTTATGCAATCTTTATTTATTCTCTTTCCCTCCCTCTTGTTTCGGGCTGTTTCCTCCGAAACAAAGACGAGTCACGAGGCACATTGAACAACTAGGAGATGCCCTTGCAACGACGACGACGACGGAGGGTTTTGGAGACGCTCAACGTGAATACATGCAAGTATGTCCGACAAAGAAAAGAAGAAAAAAAGTGCAGGCTGCTCTGCGCAGCGTGATTCCCCGGATAAGACGGCCTCTGTATCTGTATAGACGGGCGTGTTATGTTGTAGAGGGACATTTGACATTGTTGGTCAGTCAAGGCCTACACAACGCAACAGACTGCATCTTTTTCAGTGACAATGAATGATAATGATGTAGGTTTATATAAACGGCTGAAATTACATTCCCGCGACGGCAATTTCTCCGTAGGCATCGTATACTCCATCACCGACCTAACCCAAATACTCATTTCAACACTTCATACAAAAAGAAACAGGAAACCGTTTTTTCTACTACATACACACTTGCCAACCTGCTTCTCAACCACTTCATCTATACATCCTCGTCGCTGTCCTCGCCCAGCAGCTCCCCATCATAGTCTTCGACGCGCGAATACTCGCCTCCGCGGGCAAAGCTCTGTCTCGTCGTGAAGCGACGATTCCAGCTCCTGCCACCTCCGGCACCACCACCTCCCGCGCGCTGGTATGCACCAAAGACGGTGCGCCACACGCTGGCGGCCAGCACCGGCAGCGCCGCGGCCAAGGCGACGACGGCGGAAATGGCGATGACGGGATATTTGATCCACGGCTGGTCGCTATCAAACGTCGCCGCCGACGACTCGCCGAGGCGTATCTGACCAAACTTGCCCGACCAGTTGCGGTGCACGTACCAGCCGACCGCGAGGGCCGCCGCAATCGGAATCACCACGGCAAAGAAAATGGCCACGCCCGACGCCTTGCGCTTCCTGGCCACCTCCCCTTCGTACCCGGCGCAGTCGTGCTCAGTCGACGTCTTGTCGTACTCTTTGCCGCCCTCACACGTCGTTAGCTGCAGTCGGCGGTAGCCCGTGGGCTCAAAGTAGGTCGTGGCATTATTCTTTTCACACCACTCCTTGCCAGATAATGGCTCGAGGCCCTTGACCAAGACGCACTGCCCGCTATTGTCCATTTCAAAGTTGTAGGCACTAAAGAACTAGTTAGCTTATTTGACATTCAATGTTGCATTGCGGCGCATACCATTCATAATCGCGTCGACTGCAAGCGCAGTTCTCCTTCTTATACAGACGCTGAATGTCCTGCCCATTGTAGCAATTTCGGTCCGGCTTCTTGCGCAAATATTTGGCGACGTGACCGAATACACAGTCATCGTTCAGCATGGGGTGTTTGGGAGACCAAAGGTCATAATCAGTATCGCCGCCCTCCTTTCCAAGGCTGCCAAGCTTGCAAACCTTGTCGGTGAGGCCAGTAAAGTCGAGGTTGACGGTAAAAACTTTGCCCGACTCTGATCTGCACCAGAGGAGAAAATTCCGCGAGGTGCCAGACGAAAGCGTAGTGATGTCGAGCACGGTGACTTTGTCGTCTGTGAACTTGTAGTCCGTCCATGTCTTGCCCTCGTCGGTGGAGTAGGATACAATGTTGGTGCTGGCTTTATTGTCATGTGTGGCACGTTCTACTAGCACAATGATAGATCCTTGGTCGCCATACTGCCAGGTCCAGTGTCCTTTCTTGACGTTGCGCCAGGTGATACCGCCATCGGCAGTCATAAACGTGTCTGCCTCTTTAATGTCACCGAGGATAGAGCCGACATTGCCGATGCCAAACATGAGTCCGACAGCAGTAGCGGCAGCAAAAGTCTTGCGCTTGTCATCGCGCTCCGTGTAATGGTGAAGGTGGAGGGCGCAAGACTTGTCACCCTTGGAGCTGCTGCAAGAGTATGATTTGCCATCGGCATCCTTACTCGGAGGAGCCAGGTAGCCCCATTCGGCACCATCGTTGCGAGAAATCTTGGTCTGGATCTTCTTGGTCTTCTCCTCTTTGCCAGGATTGGTAACAACGTTTATGAGCTCGAATCCTTCCAAGCCTGCAACCTTTTCAAAGTCGACGTATGGCGTATCATCGCAGTTTACGTTGGAGGCGCTGAGCACAAAGGACGTGCCATTGGAATTGCTCTTGATAATGGAGCCGTATTGGTGGTCTGCGCCGTCATCCGTCTTAACAAACAGATTGAGAGCATGCGTGGAGCTGTCCAAAGCTGTGTACTCGCTTTCGTGGCCTTCTTGGAACTTATAAGGGAAGTGCGCATTCTCAAAATGCTTGCCATCGACACTGACCAGAGGCTTGACGCCTCCGGTCTTCTGGTCTTTCTCAGCCAAGATGATGTATTCGCTCATTGTGATGAAGTTGCTTACTTCATTGTCGAGCATGATTACGTCCTCATCGAAGAAGTCATCGCTGGTGATGATTGTCAAGGGAGAGTCTTCATTCTCCTCGCGATGAGCGAGACAGACAATTTGCTTCTCAGCACGGATATTGTATTCGGAATTGCCGGTGAACTCGCACTTCTCGACATACTTACGTAGCGTACGCCAGTCGTCGCCACGATCAGTCGAAATAGAGGCTTTCAAGTAGCAGAACTCTTTGCTGCCTACCTTTTCGCACGTCTTGCCAACCCAAAGGATCCAGTCCTTCTTGTCCGGGTGGAAGCTGAATGGGCCATCCTCGAATGGCTCTGAGGGAGCCGTGAACGGGTGAAAGCTTTGTCCTCGATCAATAGTGTAAAAGACTTTGCTATCTTCAACGGTAGTGAAGTAAACCACATCGTTAAAGTACTCGTGAGGAAAAATGTTCTGAATTCTCTCTCCCTCAAGGATGCGCTCCCATTTCTTGCCGTGGTCAGGCGATCGCCATAAACGGTCGTCGACTTTCAACTGGCCACCGCTACCCTGCTCAGCAGCGCGCACAATGACTGTCTCATCCTTTGATGAGCTCGCTTCGCCGCGCTCGAGATAAAACTTCTGAAAGTCGTTCAGGTCGGTGTCAAAGTCATTCTTCTTGTGGGAAACGCCGCCGCTAGAAGGGTCGGTATCGTCACCCCCATCCTTGCCGTCCTTGCCATCGTCTTTGCCGTCGTCCTTGCCATTGTCCTTTCCACCATCCTTGCATTCGCGCTCAATGGCATCGTCTTTCTGCTCACCGTCTTTCCTCTTGCACGTGTTGCCGGGAATCAGTCGCCAGCCCGAAGACCCCTTGAACGACTTCTCATCTCCCTTACACGAACCTTCCGGGATAACCAATGATCCAACTTGCTTGCACTTGGTGTGATCTTCGGAGTCGCGCTGGAAGTTGAAATCGCATTCAAAGTCGGCATCGGAGCATTCGCAGTCCTCCGTCTTGGCTATTGGCTCCTTGAACTCGCTCTTGATGAAGCAGTCTGCCGTCTTCTTTCTGCGCGTAAAAGACTGTTTGTGACCCATGATGCACTGTGGCTTGCCATCAGCATCGACGCGTGCATGCCATTCCTCCATGTCATCATCGCCACACTTTCGTTCGTGCAGACCCTCGAAATCAATGGCAATGCTGTGATATTCTCCCTTATGAGAGCCAACAAGAAGAAATTTGAGACTGGTAGCATCCTGCACTGATGTGAGAAACTCAGGTCTTATCTTTAGATCATCCGGGAAAGAAACAGTGTTCCATTTCTCGCCATGATCTAAAGAAAACGAGAACTTATCGATGTCGGGCTTGTCTGAATCTTTGACGGCAACAAGAATCGAGCCGGAGTCGCCGAACTCGTACTTGTGCTGGCCTTCAAGCGCCTGCTTCCAGGTTCGACCAGCATCGTCGGAAACGTATAGATTCGACTCCGAAGGCCTTTTGAGCGATTTGCCAGTATTTCCATTGCCCATAACCAGACCAGGCGCGGGGCTGGAAAATACACGGCCAATATTGTCTAATTCGGTGACCGAATGCAAATGAATTGTGTCCTCTCCGGCTTTGAGGGATTCAAAGGTTCTGCCGTCGTCGAAGGTGATTTTGCTGACCAGGACCTTTGTTTTGCCGTGCTTATCAACATCTGCTCCGTTTTCAACGGTGTTGACAAGGTAGACGCCCTGGATCCCGCTGACATTTTCGAAATCGACGTGGCCCTTTCTGTCTCGGTTCGTGTACGGCATGTTCTCGGTAAAGTATGTGCCATTGGAGTTGCTGGTGAACAAGACACCCATGGGTCTAGAGGGAGCCGAAGTCATGACATCGACCTGGATGCTGTAGTTTGTACTCTCCAGAACGGTATAGGCGCCTTGGTTGATGGCATGAGAGTGCTCGTGGGAGTCCGAGCTAGGAAATATGGCGCGATGCCACTTCTTTGTGTCATCAGTCACATAGAGAGCCATCTCGTCGCTTCCGGCCGAGCTCGTCGCAACCAAAAGATAGCCCTTGATGATTGCTATATTGTTGACGCCACGAACGGGCTTGGTGATGTCGAGATCGGGTTCAAATTCTTGGATTTCCCCTTTTTCTTTCTTGAAGAAGTCGTCCGAAACGACGAGACGCTGTTCTTGTCTCCGCGGGGAAAGCTCGTCACGGATAATGCACAAAATTCTAGACTTGTCCAGGTCGTTGTCGCCGGTGCTAAATTCTAGCGACGATTTGGCCCACCAACAGCCAGCTGTATCTTCACGTAGCTTGTCAACAGTCTTGAAACCGTCGGTGGTATAGATGGCCACTTCGTCGCAAAATATTTCGTCGCAATCCATGCCGTTGAAAATTATGCGCTTCGGATCGGCGGCGTTGAAAGTCAAGACTTCAGGCTGGAATCGACTCGGAGGCGCTTTAGAGTCGAATTTGGACCAAGTTTCGCCGCGATCCTGCGTCATGTAATGCTCTTGGTGAGCAGTCAGAATAAAGGCCGTCTTGGCTTCGTGAGGATGTATGATGAGCAGGACGGCTTTGCCCTCGTCGACGTCGCCGACCCTGGCCCACTGAACGCCAGCATCCTTGGACCAGAATATGTTGCCGGTATCGATGTTATGCCATATGACCGAGTCGCTGTCTTCGAAGTAGTTGATGTTGCGAGGGTAACCCTCAATTTTGGAGGCGGAGATGGTGGGCTCGTCCTTAGCTAGGGCAAATGTCCAAAGCCAGGAGAGCAAGAGGACACGCCACCAAGGCGCAGCCAGCGGGCCGCAGATCCTCATTGTGACAGAAGAGCTGGGTTTTGTTCTAACATATAGTTGTGTGAAAGGCGTGTGTTTATGAGTAGTGATTGCACTGGCCGATGGGAGCAATCGAGCCGATCATCGGGGAAGTCGGATAGAAAAACGGCGATGCGGATTGCGTGTCCAAGCCTAACTTGAAGCTCGTTGCGTCAGAGGACGTTTACTGATACAAGCCAGTGGACCTGTGGCTTGCGCGGCTTTCCTTGCAGGCAAGCACACAAGCACAAGGCAGGGGCGGGAAGACGTGGCGCAGGTGGTACTGTGGCTAGCGGCTCCACATGAGCTTCTTAGCGCTTTGGCCGCTGAGGCAATGAGGACTCGAATTAGGACGAGGAGGACGCGGGTATAAAGATCAACGCGCAAGATTGAGTATATAGACTTGTTGATTGATTCTGTTTACTTGAACTCTAGTATTCACATATATTCTTTCTGCCTGGAGAATATGACATGCTTCTGTCTTCGTTTGTTCACCTTGCTTCCGCTTATTTCTATTCTCTGTTGTCCTTGAGCCGACACCTCTGTTACCACCCCTAGCACAAGTCGAACACAGGACGGAAATAAAGATTGAATATAGACATGGCTGACTGATGCATTGCTTTAGTGCCAGAGTCAGCGGAAATGTTTACCAGTACAAGAGATACTTAGCTTCCCTACGTTAGTGGCAGCGTAGTCCATTTTGTTCAGGCTAATAATGTAAGTACGGATACCTTGGGCTTATACAAAAGTAAAGGCGGCGATCTGCCAGTGTGGCGGGTCCCTACCTACTAATAACTACGACATCGTGGTAGGCGATAACCCGAGGGTGATGATGATTGTGAAGAAGGTATGCTACGGCGATTTCAGGTAACATCATTACTTGTACGGAATTCTGCAAGGGCTTCCATATATTTAGTTGCGCACTTGTATCTGTATAGCCCAACTGCTATGAGCGCAGGCGGCTGTTGTAAACACTTATGTGCACATATCATTACGGAGTAACTATACGGAGTACTTGCTGATAATATTTAGGGCAGCGAGCAACAACTGGGTACCGTGGCAACCAGCAAACGCGGCTGGCCAAAACAAATGCCGATACGCGCTGCAGAACAGGACAGGCAGCGCAACAGCCACGAGACGGACATGAAATCTATCTTGCTGCTTGCGACTTATATGAAATCGGAAGATTGTAAATCGAGACTTTCTATGGCGTAAACACTGGAGGGATCAACACGGAAGAGGGAGGTCATGTGTGCAGGTTGGCATGTGCTGGTACTTTTGCGCACCATGCATTTGCAGTGGTGTGGGCGAGCACATTAAGTAGGTAATCTGTAGGGAGAGCCTCTTTCCAGGGGTTGTAGCGGGACATTGCCCCCTCTAAATTCCCCTCAGCAAAGACGCCTTACCAGCGCAGGTTTGGGCCCACTGCTGTACCCCTCGTCAGTAATTAAATAGCTGCCCAGTCCCTGAGACTCCTGGGTGGGCCACGACCGCCGAAAGCCTTCTGCGCCCACGCTTCCACCTGGCGCCTCTGTTTTGATGTTTTGATCCCTGTTTCTCTCCATCTCTCCATTGAATACTGCCTCTGGCTGTTCGTTTCACCTTCTCCCTTCAAGACTTGTCTGCATTCCAAAGCCAATACGTGCGCAACTTCTTCAAAGCTCTGTCCCGCTTCGCCACGAATTGCTGAGGTTTGCTCTTCGCTCCTCGAGCTCCCGCCATCCTCCTCGTTCTCTTCCACCGATAGCCCCCCTATTCGGCATACACAATGGCAGCCGTATACAAGCAGTTTTTGGCCTCGCCGAGCTCTTCCCTGCTCGCCGACAATGCCTCTCTGCATTACATCACCACCCTGACCAACTTTTCTTGTGCTACCGACATCATCAAGCACCTAACGGCGCTGCGCAAACAGGTCACCAAGAAGCAGGAGGAGATCCTCAGCCTTGTCGAGGGCCAGGATGCCATTGTTGTTGAGGTCAACACGGCTCTTGAATTCATCACTAGTGGTGGCGTCTATCTTCCCAAGCTCGATGACAACTTTTTGTCGGATCGCACCGCCTACGTTCCCATTGTAAGTTCTACTGCCTCTCTGACGGCTCAGGCTTGCCTGCTGACGCTACCCGCTCGCAATCACCTAGACACACTTTGTTTCCTTCGATGCCGACGGCAAGATTGTTCAAATCAGACAGCAGTGGGACCAGGGTGCTCTCCTCAAACAGCTCGACATCGTTGGCAAGACTGGTCGCAACTGGCCCATCGAGGACAGCCGTGAGCAGCTTCGACAGCTTCAGTCCTGCCTCAAGACCGTTGGCAAGAGTGCTCAGCAGGCCTCGAGCCGTAATGATGTTGTCATTCGTACCCGCCACAACTCAAACAACGCTGTCCGCGACCCCCATGCCTCCCTCAACCTGTACGGAAGCAGAGAGGAGCTTGAGTCGACCCCTCTGAAGGCCGCCCCCATGCCCTACGGCGGCCATCGTTTTAATCAGCGCTCTGTCGTTGATATAATCGGCGACGAGCCCGAGGACAGTGAAGCTGGTCACAGTCGCCACCGCTCTGTTTCCCCCAGCAAGGCTGGCTCCGGCAAGAACTTCCAGCCCTCCCGTATTTTTGATGGCAAACAGGACCCCGAGGAGGTCGAAACTCCCAGGAGGAGCGATAAGTTCATCAAGCCTCACCCTACCAAATACAACCACTTTGACTTTGTCGACGGCTCTGACCCCAAAGACGCTCCTGTTCGCGGTGTTGACCTAGACCAGCGCCCTAAGTCCAAGCACGATAGCCAGTGGTCTTTCGACGACTTTGTTACCCCTGCCAAGGCCACGGCCTCCAAGGGCATGCGCTCGCAAGATGTTCAACACTGGAACCCTGAGATGCAGTTCTCTGCCGATCCCGCAGAGCGCCACCCCGCTGGCAAGGGTCGCCGTGATGCCGAAACTCACTTTGAGCTCCAGGATGATGGGGAGAAGGACGCCCGCCAAGAACGCGTTGGTCTTCCTCGCGGTGCCATGCACAACGAAGGCCAGAGTCTTTACAATGATAAGCTCTTCGATGAAGTTGACCCCACCCCCGGGCCCAAGCGAGCTCTGCAAACCGTCACCAACCTCAAGGATCGCAGCAAGGACTTTGATCCTCATTTTGAAATGGCTGACGAGTCACCATCTCAGCCCCCGCGAACCCAGAATGCTCCCGAGGGGAAGAAGAAGATGGCCAAGATGATGGACCACAACTGGGAGGTCTATGAGCAGTCGCCCCTCCAGGAGAACAACAGATCTCGCCCTGTTGCGGCCTCTACCGGCAAGAGCCAAAAGATTCACATTGCTGGTGACGGCATGGGCTCCAGAAAGGGGGCTACCCACGACGAGGCGGACACCAAGATTCACATTGCCGGCGATGGTATGGGTGGTCGTAGGGGTACTTCGCGCGCCTGGATGACTGGCGGTGATGAGGACGAGAACGAGCAGCCCAAGGCACAGCCACGGGGTCGCGGCGCTGCGAAGATGACGGAGGGTGTCTGGGACTTCTAACCGCGCCGCCTCGCAAAAAAAGTGTTATTTGATTTGGCAATGGCAATCCCCTGATGCCCTGCATCGTCGCTTTTGCCTCTTCATGTGCCTCACTACGAATAATGTCTTTAAAAGGTGGGCGCCAGCACTTGTTTGTGATCAAAGCCTGCCTGCTGTTGGAATTTACTATTGTCTTTTTGTAACTCCGCTACCTGATGGCACGTTCTGCTAAAAGCAAAGGCACGCCTTGACCTTTCCCATTTCACTACCTTCTTTACTTGGCTTATTTTCTTATGTTTTCATGACTTTTGGCAAGTCCCCCTTTTTTTTAATTATGATACATAGCCCTCAACTTTGACTAGACTGGTTTTGATTGTTTTTTTCCTTTCCTTTGCTTTTCTTTTCGTTTCACTCGCAAGAGGTGTGAAATATAGGAGGAATCGTTGCCGACAAAGATGCTACTTAACAAGGCTCTGGCCATTTTTAAGGCTGCTGTTTCCCATTACTCATTTCTTGCTGTGACGAACAACCGACGCCTACGTCAACAGTAATTGACGTCTTTACGAAAGACTCATACATACGTAACCAACAATCGATGGCTGCTGCGATACCCAACCAACAATATGAGGAACCCAAGGCTTAAAGAAATCAGATGCGTTAGAAAAAAAAATGCCGTCCAGAAGAATACTTTTCAATGTGGTATCAATAAGAATGAAACAAGTACTGCTGAACTATAGATATGAGAGGGATTAAAAAGGCAGACGGAATTAGCAAATGAATTTGTACCACCGTTTCCACTTCGGCCACGTCATGCGCTCTTCCCTCTCCTGCGCTACTAGCACGGGTAGATTCCAGTCGCGCCGTCCCGTGTCGACGTCCATGTCTCTAATGCGGACGTACCGCGTGCGGTAGTACACCTTGTGGAGGACGTAGAAGACGACAATGATGGGCGCGCTCATCCATTTGAGGAAGAGGTTCTGAGCAATATTGGCGGACGACATGGTGCGCCAGCCAATGGGAAATGCGGCGACCCAAAACTGGGCGACAACGACGACGATGTTGAGGGCGAGGCCGAGGTAGGAGCCGACGACGCCGACCTGAGACTGGAAGGGGAGGTGGTTGACGGGACGGCCGTGGAGGCGCCAGGCGCGGCGGAAGCGAATATGGCAGAGGCAGATGGAGCCCCAGGTAAAGATGGAGGAGAGCCCGGACAGGGCGAGGAGCCAATCAAAGACGGAGCCCTGGGAGTTGGCGTCGGCAAGGAAGGCGAGGAGGCCGACGGCGCCAGCGACGGCAATGGCGACGAGCGGACGGCCCTTGCGGTCGACGTAGCCGAGGAACTTGGGGGCCTGGTGCAGGTTGGCGAGGGCGGCGAGGGTGCGCGAGGATCCAAACACGGCCGAGTTGCCGACGGAGAGCACGGCGACGAGGATGACGGCGTTCATGACCGAGGGCAGGATCTGAATGCCGGCTTCTTCAATCGCAATGACAAATGGCGATGCCTTGGCGTCAGCCTTACTGTCGCCGCCGAGCAGCCGCGGGTCGTTGTGCGGGACGAGGAGCCCTACGAGGGTAAGGGCGACAATGTAGAAGAGAGTGATGCGCCAAAACACCTGCTTGATGGCGGTGGGGAGGGACTTGCGTGGGTTCGCCGTCTCAGCGGCCGCAAGTCCGACAAGCTCCGTCCCGGTAAAGGCAAACGCGGCGGTGACGAAGACGCTACAGAGGCCTTTGAAGCCATTATTAAATGCGCCGGGGTCACGCCAGTATTCGCCGCCAATGTAGCCTCGGTCTGGAGTGCCGCCGCAGTTGAGCACAATGCCGAGGAGGCTGCCGAGGGTAATGTGTGAGCTGTGAAATACATGCGTGGCTGTAGAAGAGTTGCGCGCGCGTACTTACATGAAGCCGATCACGGCAATGACCTTGACAATGGAAAAGAGAAACTCGGCTTCGCCATAGCCCTTGACGCCAAACATATTAATAAGGACAATGGTGGTGAGGAAGATGGTGACAAAGATGGCTTTGGTGAGCTTGTCATTCCAATAGCCTATGGTGAGCGAGGCGGCAATGATTTCGAGCGGTAACACAGCGAGCCATTGTAGAGCATAGCTAAGACCCAGGGTTAGCACATTGCGGGAACGGGATGCGGATCATCCGTGTAACCTTACTTCCAGCCCATAGCAAACCCCCACGATGGATCGAGAAACCTTGTCGCCCACGATGAAAAAGACCCTGCAATGGGAAAAAGGACGGCGAGCTCGCCGAGTGCCTGGCACGTCGAGTATAGCATAGCACCGATAATGGCAAATGCAATCAGCAGCGACGCGGGCCCGCCGGCGTTGAGCGCCTTGCCAGACACGACAAACAGCCCCGTGCCAATGGAGCCGCCAATCGCAATCATCTGCAAGTGTCTACCCTTGAGGCTTCTCGACAGTCCGATGTGGGCATTCTCGAGCGTGGCGAGGTGCAGGTCGTAGTAGTGTGAGCCGTTGTGCTGGCGGCGCGCGATGGCCGGGTCGTGGCCATGGTGCTCGGCGAGGAGGAATGTCGAGTTAGGGTCGCGGCGAAAGGTATCGAAGAAGCGCCCAATGCGCGAATTCGGCTCCTCGTACGCGGCAGCCTCGCGCATGCTGTGTGAACTGCCGTAGGTGAAGTCGTCTTTGCTCTTGTACGTGTTGGTAGGCCCGAGCTCGATATCGTCGCTTGGGGACGATGCCATGTTGAGGTGGAGAGAAGCAGCCAAGAGTAAAGAGCAGTCCTCTCCCGGGATGGAGGGGTGGGGGGTAATTTGATTTGTGACGAGTTTGCGGCTTTGATGTTTTGTTTGCCTACAAATGTATCACGAGCGAAAAAGCGAGGCGGCACGGTACGGGTGGCTGGGTGGTGCGCGCTCAACTGCAGCCCGGCGAGGCACTGTGCTTGAGCTCGAGCACAGGTTAGAAACGTCTGACTATACTGGTGATCAAAAGGTTGAGTGAAAAAAAAAAGTCGTTTCTGCTTGGCGCCCAGCTTGAGGCTTTCTCATTTGCACATCCCGCAATGACGTGGGTTGTCTGGGGCCCCGGAGTGAACGGGGAAGGTAAATGGGTTGTTTCCACCTCACGCGGGGAAAGAGGTCCGCAGAGCACGATGAAGAGCTGAAAAGACTGGAATCGACGAGAACCGCAGATTTTGATTATTTGAGTTCGTGTGCAGAGAATAGGTAGTCACTGCGAGTCGTGAATTCGGTGTAGGATGGTAGCGGTGTCGGCCAACGGGCCCGCTACATTGGCAGTGCGCTGGCTCTCACGCGGCGACGGCAGCAACGCAACAAGGTGCTCCGTCCATGGGAGCTATGTGGATGTAATTGAGGGAGAATGTAAAGATGTAGCTTCGGGAAACAGCAAAGATGCGCTGCAGGCTGGGAAAAGAATCGCGCAGGGGTGGCGTGCCGCGGGGGAGAGGGTCTGGAGGAGGGACATGACTTGCAACAAACGCAGGCGGCCGATCTAGTTCGAATTGGCTGCGAGGAGAGGAGACAAGATGGATGAGGCTGAAGCTGGTGGCTGAAGCGATGGCGCTGGTAGCTGGCAGGCTGCAGCTGGCACAAACGGAGCAGAGGCAGTCGGCCCAGCAGCAAACGCTGGCCAATACACGTCTGGAAATGGCGAATCCCTAGAAAAAGGCATCTTTCAAAGAGGCAGCGAATTAAAAGTGAATAGCTACGTTAGAAACGATGCAAAGTCGCCAGCAACAACTTCGTTGTGTGAATGTGGCACGACAAGGCGGACCACTTCACGACTCCCTCGGCAGCCCAATCACTCATACTGCATTGTTTCCCCGCTGCGTGCTCTAACCGTCGACGGATAGAGGCACTGGTCTAAACTATCGGACACATACGCTAGCAACGAAAGCTATCTCCACCCAGTCTACAGATGTAACTCGTAATATCGCATTTTCGATAGTCTCCGGGCGCTGTCCGATAACACCCCTGTGTCGGTTACATCCCAATATCTACCTACCTATGCTCAAGTACCTGCAGTGATGGGCGGGCAACCCGGAGGGCGCAGTACAAATCGGAGGCCAGGTAATCTATATCCGGCACACCCTTCTGGGCACTTGGCAATCATGCCCGAAATTTGCATAATCAACAAGCAAAGTGATTTAAATGAGTTGCATTAGTGCTCATTCTACCAGTCCATCCCGAGATAGGTTATAGTGACGGTGATAAGACATGGTAGATAATCATCAATTCATGAGTTCAATGCATTATACATTTCTCGCATAAATTTCGCCATTTTCTCATCTCTTCTTTACATGATTCTTAGATTTCTCTTTCTTCTGTCGTTATCAACCGCGGGCCCTGTCCTACCACGCCCGTATTTGCAAACGGCACCAACATTGAAGCCCGTTGCAACGGGGCGGGTGGTATTGCCAACGGCTAGACTAGCCTCATCGAGCGCCATACGACATACGAAGGCGAGATAGCGGTTGGTTGAAGTATCAACGACGAGTCGCAGAACGAAGAGGGCTGGAACAATAAAGCATACACATGCTTTGGTAGCAACCAGACGACGGCGGCGTTGAATTGCTGTTGCTGCCCACGTTCCCAAACCTACTGAGGGCTTCACGGTATAAGCAGTCACCTTGTTGTGAATGAGGAATGAAAGGTGCTGGGTATACCGAATGTCTATTGCATGAGTATCTGAGGTCCAAAGGCACAAGCAACAGTGATTTTTCCCCTCAAGTTGACTTTTCAGCTACCAAATTCCCAATCTGTTCAGAGTTGCATCGCCTTTCTTCCGCCGCAAATCCATCCGTATCGATACCACGTAATGTCAGCCTGGATTATCTTTGCTTCGGCCGAGTCTACCATGAGTAGAGTAGACATAACTGCTGCAACATGCTTGTCAGCAATTGAATTTCATCAAAGTGAATTCTTCAGGTAGAGGTACATACCCAGTCGTGATCAACGTGTGCGCCGACGAGGCAATCCCACTGTCCAGAGAATGTCGAATCATGGGATGAGCATGGAAACCAGCACCGCGCATGCTACCTGGCACGCCGCGTAGATGACGGGAGCAGTAGGGCCGTCCACCCGGTTGGCCGAGCAAGCCGAATGGCAGGTTGCATACGTCGCAGGCCCAGCAAGAGCGAAGCCGCCGAGGCCAAGGGCACAGAGGGTAGTGGAAAGCTTCATCTTGAAAGTCTCGGGTATGGTATGAAATGGTACAAAAGATTTGTGTTTGAGTGTGTGCGTGCGAGCGTGTGTTGATGAGGTTTGTCAATCATTCGTGACGGGGAACACATCCTCTCTTATATACACCTCTCGAAGCCATCGTCGGACCGAGAACTGATTTCTCGAGTACAAAACAGGTAATCAGGGGCTGTGAAAGTCGCGAATTCGCTTCTATTAACGACGCAAACAGAAGAAAGTGAGATTAAGTACCAAACACGTAATCAGGGGCCGTGAAATTCGCGACTTTGCTCTAATAATCAACGCAGCCAGCCATCAGCTTGCCAAAATCTGCTTGTGTGACGCTATTTACTGTGACGAAAAACGACAGCCTAAAAGGGTTCTTCCGCACAGGACCCGGAGAAAGAAAGCAAAAAGATTCGACAACGCAGCCGCCGTCGAGAAACGTATACTTTCGCTACGTCCCTCGAAAGTGCGTTGCTGGGGTGCATAGGTTTGACGTTTGAGTGGCTGTCCGGCCGAGAAGCAAGGCTGATTTTACTCTCATGAGTGTTGTCTTCTCCTCCACCTTGCGAGTACGATTCTATGGGGGAAACTTTGAACTTTTATTCAAAATGATAAAGCAATACATGTGTCGTCTCCGGCCTTCCGATATTTGGTTCGGCACGACACTCCAAATTGATGCATCCTATGTACAAGATTATAACAGCAGAGAAAACAACAACGCAGAACCAACCAGTGACGTCTTTTACTCCGCCGCTGACTCGGTTGCCGGCATCGGCTGCACCTTGCCAATAATCTTTCCGTCCTTGTCGCGCGGCTTTCGCTGCCATCCCGTCGAGAACAGATCCCCCATGTCGAACCGCGGAAACGGGTGCGCCTCGGTATTGAGCACAATCTTATCCAGCGGCATCAGGCTGTTATCCGAGAACAAAAGGTACATGTACTTGAGCGTCTCGGCCTATTCACTCACAAGTTAGCCTTCTCATTCCACTTCATCTTTCATAGATGCATGTATGTTTGTCCACTTACCAGCCAAAAGCTCTCCATGTTGTCGCGCGTGCGCGGCGGAATCACGTTGGCGTCATCAAGGCTCGTGAAGCCGCCCTGCTCCTCGACGGCCGTGTAGTTCATAAAGGACGTAAACATTTCCCAGCCCCACTCGCGGTACTTGACGTCGCCCGTGATGCGCCACATGTAAAACAGACTCTCGACTGTTTCGGGGCGCTGCAAGTTGTGCGCGTCGTTGGACTTGACGCTGTAGTCCTTGCGCCAGGCCGCGTGAGGGTCCTCGTCAAAGTCGGCGGGCGGGCGGTGCGGCGGTGCGTCGGGGGCGGCAGGCGGATCGGCGACGTTGAAAAAGGTGATTTCAGCTGACAAGCCCGTGGCCATGTACTTGTACATGCCCCAGCACGTCTGCATCAGCTCGCGCGCAAACTTCATATCCTCGTCGTGTTGCGCCGTCCACGTAGGCAGCTTGCGCGCCTCGGCCTCGGTAAGACCCTCAGTGGCAGCGAGCGCAATGGTGCCCGGCAAGAAGCAGACAAGGTGGTCCATCTTGGGCAGCAGAGCCTCATTCAGGCCGTTGGGTCGCTCTCCAACAATAGTAAAGCCAGACGGCTCACTGTAGGTCAGGAGATGCTTACGAATACCGGCCATGGATTCCTTCCACATGTCGAGATAGACCTTTTCTTTCTTGTTGGTTTGGAGGTACTGCTTGATCAGGTATTCGTAGTACGAATCGCCTCGGCTTCCCAGACGGATATTTTCGCCGCGGAACTCGCCGTTGGCGGGGTATATGTAGATAGGCATCAGCCCATCAGGCATGTTGTTGTCATCGACAACAGCCATGACCTTTTCTACAATATCCCAGTAGTTGGTCTCGCCCGTCAGCTTGGCAAGATACTTGAACTCCAGTTGCAGAGTAGTAGCCTCGGCAGTGGAACTGGCGCCCATGTCGCCATGCGACGGTATGCCCTTGGAGTCGTCAAGCCGAACACTAGCATAGGGAATGCCCGATTGTGTGTCGAATGCTCCTACAAGGCGACCAGCCAAGTCGGCAGCTTTTTCGAGATACAGGTCCTCGCCTGGCTTGCCGGGGTCATCTTCTTTGATCGGGGCGAGTTCAGGGTACTCTGTCGAGAGGTAATGGGCGGAAAGCAGGCCGCCCAGCATGCGGATAGTCGTTTCGAATGTGTTGACGTCTTGGTGCTGGTCCCAAGTCAACGAGTTCGAGATCCATTCTCTAGCGTGCTCGAGGCGCGACGTCAGGTTCATGAGCATCATTGTGTCGAGGGAGTCGATGATGATCCAGCCCATGCCCTTTGGTGCCATGTATCTTCCGGTCTTCGAAATTGGATGAAATTCATCGTAACCTGTGTTCAGAATCCATTTGTTAGCGTGCTTTGGTATTGCGAACGAGAGCTGGCATACCCCATGCGTAGCGCTCGTAGGCGTCCCAGCTGAGCTCGAACGCTTCCACCACTTGCGCCTTTCGGTGGTTCCAGTCGACGGCCTCATTCTTTGATATCCCCATGAGCCCCCACGCGGACTTGCCGCGCGCCGACTTGGGCCGCGCCGATTGCCAGGGCAGCCAGCCCAGTATGTGGAAGAGGATCACAAGGACGAGGGCCAGTGAGCCAACGACACGCTTCTTTCGATACCATCGTCTATGCCGCCTGCCGGTGTAGTATGGCTTATCCTTGTACATGGGCAGTTCGTCGGATTCAAAGAGGCCGTTGACACGTTGATGGACGTCCGACAGCAGGCCGCCGCCGCGTCCCGAGACGCTGGCCCATGCCTTGTCTTCGAGGCGGCGGTGGGGATCCTCAAAGTTGGGGACGTGTTTCGGTATGGAAAAGGGCATCTTCAATGCATTGGCGCTGACCTGGGCTGCCGTGTCTCGTATGTTTTCGGCAGCGCGCAGTGCTGTAACTTGGAAGAGGTTCTTTCGGTGGATGCCAAACGGGTCGCGAATCATTTGGGCTCGAGCGCTAGTGCTGTCGACGGTTTTGGTGGCTTCCCCTGTGTGATGTGGCGAACGAGAGCACGGACGATCTCGAGGGGCAGCAGGCGCACACAAGCGAAGCTGAATCAATGCGGTATATTCAGAGCTTCTTTAAAGTGACATTACCAAACCTATCAGTCAGGTTTCCAACTTTGTCGGTATAGAAACGAACTTCCTTCCTGCACCCCGTTGGTATTGTGGAGCGGTCCCTGGGATGGAAGAGGCCATGTAAGCCTCTCTGCTTGTCGGCCCAAACAGTTCTTTTTAGCGTCATCAGGCTTGGCCACCAACTCCACTGCAAAGCCAACGGGCACTGTTCGGGGTTCATAGCTCAATATTCTTCCCGACTTCTCCATAGGAAAAAGTATCGAATTTGGCCAGGTAAATGAAACTGATATCGTGAGGCGTGATTGTGAAGTGCGAGGAAGTGGCTTTCTTGGCGTTGACCTAGGTGGCTCAACGCAGCAAAGCAATCTCATAACGGCCATCCACAGCAGACTCGCATCCAAGCCATCATGACGGACATAAGCCATTTCCCAAACCTCAACCATGCTGAATTCGCAGAAGCCTGCCACCTACTAGACAGCAGATATCGCCAGGCTACACTTGGACCGCTGCGGCGAAGATGGAAGCTCAATGTCTGTACTGCGCTGGCCACGTCGTTTTCGCACGACAACGACGGCCACACTACATACATACAAATCGTTCGCCCGCTGGAAGGGGATGTTGATCTGCCGTTTGACCTGGGCGGCTTTTCAATCTCCGAGAATGCTACTGAGAACTTGACTAATTCACTCGACGCTGAAATGTTGGAAACGGAAGAGTCAGACAAGGTTCGGCAATCAAAGCCTCAAATCTTTTCCCATGATGCCTCTAACCGGGTATATAGCATGTCATTCCAACCCGAAACGCCGGCCCCGATGTTGGCTATGTAACATATGAGATTCACCTCCATCCTACATATCGTGTGCCGTGCCTGTGGTTTACTCTGCATGGGCTGCCCGAGTCCGAGTCAGCCTTCAGCATCGACACCGTTTTCCGCCGCTTGGTCCCTGATAGCTATAAAGAGACTCTCCGTGCCGGCCTGGGCATCGGCGCCATATCAACAGACGTAAGTATGCAGATTTGGCTCCATGCACCACCACGAGCTGATAACAGGCTAATAGCACCATCCTGTCACTGGGCTACCGTCCTTCTTTATCCACCCCTGCCAGCTAGCTGAGGCGATGACGCCGTTTCCATGTAGCAAGCGAGATTATTTGATCATATGGCTCGGAATAGTCGGCGGCTGCGTCAGTCTCTGGGCGCCCAAGGAACTAATGGTGCAGTGAGCCTCACCCCCGCTGGCAGCAAAGCTCAACAATTACAACCCTTCAGTACACCACGCTTACTCGTCGTCGCTGTCCTCGTCCATGGCCATGTCTTCGCCACTGTCCTCGGGCTCGCTCTCGTTGTCTCGCGTGCGCTTCTGCCCGCGGCTTTCGGGCGAGCCACTGACGTCCTTCATGGCGTGGTCTACGGCGCTGGGGGGTTTGGCCTGCGTAGCTGTCGTGCTGGTTCCGGCCAGGGGTGCGTTGAATATGCTCTGTTGCAGCTCGGTCTGCTCGGCGGCGGCGGCGCCCTTTGCGGGGAGGGCCAGGCTGCCATCAATCTTGCTGATGAAATGAGACTTGGACTTGGCGTATTGGATTTTCTACAGGCACGACTGTCAACATCGGCGCTATTTGTATTAGCGGGCAATTTTACACTTACCATGGATCTTCCCAGGAATTCGTCACCATCCAACGTGCGCATGGCTTGCGTAGCGGCCTGGATATCTCGGAATACAATATGTGCTTGACCACGCATGGCCATGGTCTTGAGGGCGACAATGTCGAGGACGGGCCCAAAGGTCGAAAAGAGCATGTAGAGCGCTGTTCGCAGGTCGTCTTTTTGTATCTTGGCAGAGGGTAGATTTGTGACATAGAGACTATAGAACCCGTAATCAGCACTGGCACATGAGAACCTCTTTTGCGCTGAGAAGACTCACGTTTGGTTTGGCGGTATGCTCTGGACCTTGGCGGGGAGGGAAGAGCTGGGCTGCAGCCCGCGTGATGCTGTCGTCGCCATGGCGCTCGGGGGTGTTCGTATTTAAACTGTGCGGTATATATTTTTTCGGATCGCAATTATCTGACAGTGACTGCAATCACTGTGTCGAGTCTGAGAATCGTCGAAAAGATCTGTTTGCTGGTCGTCAAAGATGAAAGCTGTGGAGATTTTTCGCGCCAGCCAGCTCGCTAGAAAAGGTCACTTCGAAGTGGGCCAAGCAGCGGGAAGCTTGCACAAGCACCACGAACAACACGGGGGGCATGATGCATTTGACTACTCCGTACTAAGCACTGCATTGAGCCTTTACTAACCGCATGATGGGTTCTACTTGAATCAATTTGCAAAGCACTGTAGAAAAGAATCCGCCCTCCTGCATGTGAAATTTTACACTGCCGCGGTTCTCCTTCCAACGGCTCCCGCAGCGTTGCCTCATTGGGCGCACCCTTACGAGGGCGTCAACAAATACTTAATCGACGATATCCTTGCCGATATCCTCAACCATTCTCCCAAAAGTGACTTTGCATTAGTTACAAATATATAAGTCGCATTCGATTTCGGGGCGCGGGTGTCTCGGTGACGCGCAAACACTTTCTGTCCACTCCCCCCCCGCCACCCGGTTGTGGCTGCGCACCAAAAAAAGCCCCCGAACCAGGCACCAAAAACGCACCGAAAAAGGGAAAAGCAACACGCACACGCAAACCGTACACCGCAGCCATGGGCCACGGTCATCACAACATCCGCTATGATGGCGATCCGTTTGCTCTATCGGGCGCCTGGAGCCCGCCGACGAGCCGGGCAAAGTGAGCGCTCTAATGGAATTGAACACGGGGAGCGCGAGTACTGACGCGTCGCCCAGCTTCTGTGAGGAAGACTACGTCTTGACCTTTTACCTGGCCGAATTCATCAATTCAGTCTCGAATATCGCATATGGTACGTCGCACGGCGGTGGCTATACACTGCCCTGCTGCTTACTATATTTGCCCACCCCCGGGTGCTAATCATGACAAACCACCACAGTGTACTATGCGTTGCAGTACATGTACGGCCCGGGAAGCCGCGGCCTCTGGAGGCCAAACCTCGACTTCATGTCAGTCACGCTCTTTATTCTAGGCGTTGGCTCGTTTCTCTTCCATGCCAGCCTCCGTCAGGCACTTGAGTTTGTCGACGAGCTCTCCATGATGGGGCTCATCTGGTCGATGCTCCACGCCACTCTGACTGTCCGGCAAACGCCCGCAAGATCCAAAATCATCTCTGCTATTCTGGCAGTAGTCTTTTTATCGTTTACCGCATTCTATCTGAACTCGCCCCTCATCATCTACCAGGTCACTGCCTTTCTCAGCGGCGTCGGCGTCGTTATCCTGCGCGTGCTTTACCTGTTTCACTGGGTGCAGCCCGCGCTGCCCAAGGCCAAGAGCCGCGAGTGGCGGAACCGGGCCGTTACTTCCCTCTTTATTTGCATCGTCGGGTACGGCATCTGGAACATTGACCTCGAGTTCTGCCAGGTCCTGCGGGACATTCGCCAGCGGGTCGGCCTGCCCTGGGCTTGGCTGTTTGAGTTTCACGGGTGGTGGCACGTCCTCACGGCTATTGGCGCGAGCCAGTTTATGACGGTCGCGAGAGAAGTGCGCGAGGAAGTCAAGCGCGAGCAAAAGAGCGATTAACGCGAATATCAATATTCGTACAGAAGGAATTGTCCTGTCCAAGGCTAGTATAATACAGGTTGGATAAGTCCGCAAAAACAAATGACAGCTCAAAGCTAGAGCTATAGAACAGTCTAGAAAGACGTAACACCAGACTAGAACGATAATTCAAATCACCCTCTATTCCTCCCCGATCCTCACAGTAAAGGCTGACGCTCGACTGTGCAGAGAACTCGTCTCATCATCCTCCCTCGACCGTCTATGATTGCTGTACTTGTCACTGGCCTCTTCAGGAATCATAGATACAACACGTGGCTTGCTTTCCGGTTGGCTCCCGGGAGCGGGTCTGCTGTCAGATCGGGCCGGCCAAGGAGACAGAGACGGCTCGCGGCGCGGAAAGGCGCGGCACATGCTCGAAATGCTGCTCCGCGGCGAGTTGGGTGACGTCGGCCGATGTTTGAAGTGCGCCTCGCCTGTCGCGCGGGACAGGGCATCAAGGCTGAAAAACCTGGATGCCGGCATGCCATTGTTCATGCACGGTCTTGGTGTCCGCTGCGCGCTTGAGGCATGCTGGTTGTGAATCGCCTGCGTAGAGCCACCCTCCAGGGGCACAGGCAGGCTGAATTCCGACCGCAGGTACCCGAGCGTCTCTGATGACCGGCGAGGCCGCATCGCAGGCCGCTCTGTGTGGGAGGAATGAGTCTCTCTTCTCTCCTCAACTGCAAAGGCCATGTCGGACAGGCCAGTCCCCGGCGCCGACGTGGCACTCCCGGGACGGCGAACTGGTGGTGGGGCCGGGGCGGCAACAGGTGGCGCTACGACACCAAATCGGCGAGAATGCCAGTCGTTGTCGTTGTCGTCCACAATGACAACCATCCACACACCAACTTGGCTGTTTGCCCCAGCTAGCGGTGTGCAGTGTAGCCACCGGGGTCTCCCGGCCGGCTCCGGCTCGTAGACTGTATCGACATCGTCATCAGCCTCCAAGTGAGCCTCCAGAGGGTGGTTAATATTGGCCTTTTTCGCGGCCGGACGGCTGCTCTTCTTTCGTCTTGAGTTGAGCCACTTTACCTTGGCCGTCACACCCTGCCCTGCCGCCAGGGCATCTACCAGCTGCTCGCGTACTCGCACGGAACCACCAATGCGTTCCAGCAGAGGAGACTGCAAAATGCCTGGGACGCGCATCGACGGGCTCGCAAAGAGAATTCGCAGAGACGGATACGGGCGAACAAGAAGATAGTGCTCGTATACGCCACTGAGGCGTCCGTTGTGGTTCAGAGTCAGCGATGCCGCCGTGGGCTGGGACGTGTGTGGATGCTGATCTTGATACATGGACAGGTTCTCCTGAGAACCGCCATCGCGGATAACGACACGACCTTTGGTGTTGCGTCGATGGTGGCCAGGCTCGTATTCGTTATTCTCGATTGTGCCGGTGGCTTGCGTCTTTTCACACGACTGGTGCTCATTTTCAGCTTGTAGAGGAAGGCGGTGCATGCTTCCGCCGTGAGTACTCATAACTTCAAGCTCGTTAGGCGTCAATATCTCAGCCAACTGGGTAGTTTCGTCTTTTTGGCTTTCTCGGAGGGGCTCGTCGGCCTTGAGATCGGGGGTTTCTTCAAGCAGGCCACGAAGCGCGCCAAGGTCATACGAGCTCATGGCCAGCCCTGATACATCAACTTGCGCGCCGATAAAGTAGCGAATAATGCCTCGACTATCGTACAGAGGTGCAAGCTATCAAAATCCATTAGAGTAACTTCTCGCCTCTGAAAAGTGCGGTAACGTACCATGACAAGGTTCATAAACGGCGTTCCATCGCGTCTGTAGTTAAGAAATGTCTCATAATGCTCGATTCCAGCTTCCAATTTCTCACGGATGCGCTTTACACTGAATGGGTTTGTGCAAGGTCCTTGAAGGAAACGGCAATTGCGACCAATGACATAGTCAACGCCATACTGCGTGGTACGGTTGAACTGCTCTGACATGAATACAATTGGATTATCTGGTCTGGAAGGATCTGTGAGACAGAAAACTTCGGCAAGGCCTTCAGAAGAGTCGGAACTGGTTCCCATGACCCGATGCCGGATCGAGATTGAGACTGTCTGAATCCACACATGGGTAATGTATGCGGGCAAGTCCTCTCTCGTCAGGACTTCAAACGCGTTGTCCGCCTTCTCTTTTAACTCTTGATTGGTCGTATCCAGCGCTTGGGTAGATGTGTGGGTAAAGTCGAACTCTGGCAGGGAATGCATCTGTCGAAGAACAGAGTTGCTGTAGTTGATGGCTCTCAGAGCCTTGAGCGCCGACAGGTAGTAATTGAGCAGCACAACAGACGATGGGCGGTATCTGTACAAGAAGTTTGTGAATCGGTGTAAGTGGGCCGAGTCTGCGAAGATGGCGTGCAAGTGGTGTTGCGAAAAGAGCAGCTCCGATCGTTGCTCCAACTTGTACTTGCCAACAGTCGCGGTGGCGTCGTTCTCGGCAGGCATCACAAGATCGAAGCTGCCTGGATCCAAATCATCCTCTGCGATGGGATCAAGGCCATCCGGATCTCCATTCGCAACTTGTAGCGCGGGCAATCCCGCACTCTCATTGTGCAAGAGCTTTTCTTGGAACAGGGCTCGTATCGGCAAGGCGGGTGATGAGGCATGTGCCTCGATCTCATCTAGGCTGCGGCTACTCTGGCTGATGACGATGAGCAAATATCCGATTTGAAGCATCTATATCGGGTTTCTTGGCATACCTGGAAACGGGAGAGAGAGGTGGTACCGCGTCAAGGCCGACTGGCTGATACATGATGCAAAATAGCTGAGACTAGACGCAACTACCAATGGTGCACAGACAGAAACGGGTAGTTGGTGGAAGCTTGTGATTTTCAGTTGACGACTCGAAGAAATAGAATGATTCTGTTAAGACGCCAACAGGGAATTCGATAAACACTATTCTGGAGTCAGAGAATCCCATATATTTACTTTGAGCTACCAGACTATCTGCTTATATATACGCCTACCAAACATTTGCAATTCAGTCTAGCTGCCCATCTTGGATGCCGCCACGCACGATGAAGCCTTTGGTTGCGATCTCAAGATTCACGCAAGGATAATCAAAATCGGAAAATTATTTTTCGTCTACTCACCTCCCTGGCAAGATCGGGGTGGCCGTCCCAGGGTTGATTTGAAGCGGGGTGTCATGAGGCAACCTTGCCTCGATGCACCGTTTACGCCACATTATAACGAGCAAGAAACTAACTATGACGAGAAGAAGCAAAGATGCTCCACGCTGGCTGCCTGCGTCGATCCAAGAAGAGAGGCTGAGCGAGTCCATGCGAGTGTGGCGGCGGTCTCGCCTTGGCTAATCACGCGACGGAGAGTGTTTTCCTCGATGGACTCTGTGCAGCTCGATATGCAAACCAGTTTTCGGGGCTCATATGTCTCATTTCACAGAAAGAGCAGCTCTATTCACGTGGAGAATAGGCCAGGACACTAGCCGGAACACTGGCCGGAACACTGCGCCGAAACCACATCACGGCGGCCGCACTAAGTACGGTAGGGCTGTTCAACGTTGAGACCCGGGGACTGCAAAGGTTCCAACGGTTGATAAGGGGAATGACACAAGAAAGTCTAAAAGAATGGGAAAGGGTGTAGATTCATTCTTCTCACCTCAAGTCCGCTATGTCATGGCTAATGAAGAGCAATTACATGCCATTTTGAACTCGCACGAATATGCGCCCGCTTCCGACAAAATGCCGCAAATCCCTGTACAAGGTCAGGGGAAAGAGAAAACTAATTACAAAAGCAATGACTTTGTGTAACAGTTGAGAAAAAACGGCCGACGAATGGCGTTCATGGTCAGCCGTGTCAGCTAAATACGGCTTATTAGACAAAAAAGAAAACAGTCGCGGGGAAGTGTCGAGTTCAGCCGTCGGTTCCACTCACGCACGGCCAAGCACATATGCGACATGTCACACAGGAGTCGTCTGAAGCCCTCACCGGGTGACAAAATAAATGGCCTCTAACGAGAGTACCGAAGTTTAGTAATTCTGGATAAACCGTAGAAAATGTTTATCTAGTAAAAATGAAGACGAGATTAAAGTTTAGTGCCTTAATCATGTCTCCTGTCTTTTGTGAATTTTTATCAATTTTCTATTATTTATTATTCTTTCAGCCTTTCGTTAAGTATTATGCGGACGCCTTGCAAGAATGGGCCAGCTTTCATGTCACCCCCTTGGCCCTTTTGCATATTTTGCATCAATCCGCAATGAAAAAGGAGTCGGGCCCCTAAAACTTCTCTGTCATCGTCGCTGAGGCGTCTGCAGTCGGCTCACCGGTGAGCGCTCCTCATCTCCTCCCGGACCTGCAGCAGCCGCTCGGGCGCGCCATCGGCCGGGTTCTTATCCGTCAAGTCCGTCGCCTCTTTTTTCATCTTGTGTCGGCTGCAGACAGCTCATCCCCCCCGAGTCAGCATCTGTGCGGCACGAAGAGCGCCTTACGGCGTTTCCCGATGGCAAATACCTGAGGCACAGTATCCAGGGCAGATTCTAGCTGGCCCTTGTTGCTTCTGTTGCCGAAATCAAACCGCCACAGGTTGTGCAAAAACTTTGACTTGAGCGAACTCGAATTTGAAATATTGTCGGCTGGAATACAATTGCTTCTATTGGGTAAATTTTTCACTGAGCCCAACCCATTTTGTATGTATTCTCTACAATGTCCGATTATTGTTTGGCTTAGCAATTGGATTTGGGTACCCTCTGCAAGCACTCCGAACAATAGTACTTGTCAGGCACGCTCCAATCTAGCAATGGTGGTCGTCTATTCGGACTCCTAGCCACCTCGGCATTCTCCGTGTCATGATCCCTGGGCGCTTCAGGGGGTCCCCCGTTCTACCCCAGAGTTGGTCATCGCGACATCCGGCTGGTACAATTTGGAGCGGGCGGGTCTCGACGCAACTGGATCGAAGTTCCTGATCGGTCATAATTGTCGGCTTGCTCTGGTATGTGAAAACGCAATTGCTCATATCGGGGACATGAGTAGACAGATGGCCGGCCAATTCATGACTTTGTAGTTCTCTTTCCATCCATGCTAGAAACCGGGCATATTGGTCGGGTTGGATTTGCATAAACGGCGTGCACCTCTGACATGCTGCCCCAAAAGTAACTTTGCTCAGTTTATCATTCGCCAGAATTGCTGAGGGCATCTTAGAAGCAACCTGGGCTTCCAACAATGTAAGCTCGTGCGATTGCTGGCTCTCGAGAACAGTCTGCACTGGTTCGACAGGCAGGCCGGGCATCATATTACTTAGCTTGGTGGGCATGCCGGAGGAGACGCTGCTGAGACTTCCAGCTAGCAATGCCTTGTAACGCTCTGCATTTCCTTTTCGCATGATTCTGATGTCATGGCGGTCTTGGGTGAAGAATTGTCGATTACCCGGAATTGTAAAACGACCGCGTAGAATATCGCTGAGTGTTTTGTCTGAGCTCTGGACGAGCAAGTCAGCATAGACCTTCTCCAAAGCCACGTAGATCAAGTGTGGGATTGGGGCTCCTTCAAAGTCCATATTTGCTAGTTGAGATATGTCTTGCCAAGAATGCGCCAACATTCAAAAGCCACGAAGCTGCAGAACATCACGTCTTATGTGCATGTAAGATATGGGGTTGCCCGGGCGGTCCAGGCACAAACATGAGAGTTTTTCTTTTTTTTGACATCATCATGCCTCAACCGGCTTGTGCATTAGAACCTGGTCATTGGAGGTGACGCAAGCGTCGCGGCGCGTTTTGACAAGGAAGCGGCCATGGCGCCGCTGAGCTAGGAAGCTGCAGAAACAGGAATTTCGGAGATGCTCGAACATAGCATTGACAGTTGGATACCAACTCTACCAACTCTTCTTCAAAGAGTCGAGAAAAGTCGTTTATAGCCTGGACAATTCTGTCATGACCGCTTCTAGCAAACGCAAGCTTCCACGCGCTTTCATTGTTTATTACAAGGTCCTCAAAAATATGTATGGCATGTCGAGGGATTTTTCTCAGTTTTTTTGGAAGCACTTGCAGTGGCCATCCATAAGCATTGTGGCAATCTACTGTATTGGGAGACACAGTAATGTGCTGCACGCTGGCGAGATGCATCACCTCGCTAACAGAAGTGAGCGACGCCGCCAATAGCTGCGTCATATATTGACGCTGTTGATAGCATGTTTACGCTTCTTCGCCAGAGTCAAAAGATTTGTGATCTTGCTCGAGCCTAGGCCAGTCTGGACGTTAACGAGTGCTTGCTTGATCGGTGGCCTTCGTCCAAAACAATGCACATCGTCTCGTACTGACACTTTGTCAATGTGGACTCGTAGCTCACTCAATTACGGAGCATAATATGTGCAAACTACCTCTGCGGCAAGCGCCGCTTGCTCTATGCAAAATATTGTCGTTGACAGAGTTCGTATTGCGTTGCGCGTCTGGGGTTCGACAAGCTTGTAGACCTTTCTACATCGCAGGCCCCATGATATGTACCCATTGGGTGTCAGTCTCGCTTGCCTCTGCTTTCAAAATCGCCCCAATTTCTTGATACATGTTACTTCAGCGCATTGCACTCCTTTCTAGGCTCACTTTGGCCATTTTCGCGGCTCTTTCTGTAGAGAAGCAGTCTCGGGTCCATCTATACCTGAATGTGTCTTCTTGAATTAATAACAAGAGCCAACAAAGACCCATTTCCACACCAATTGCCTCCTTCTGCAGCTGGTGGTGAAGCTGTCCGTCATCTCTCGAAAGTTTGAAGATGCAAAACCCTGGAAATTAAGTGATGAATCCATCAAATACAGACGAGCATTGCTTGTTAGGGTAGGAGCTGGCGCGAGGAAGAGGTGATTATCTGGTCGGCTCTATAGGCGGGTTTCTCTCAGGTCCTGGTATCTGCAAAGTAAAATCGAGTCTCACAATCCATTCGATAAGAGATATTCAACTTCGAGCCTCTCACCTTCTTTGATACATGATGTGACTACCAAGTCGTTTCGTGAAGGCTGTAGCTGGGCTCCGGGCTGGCTGAGAAAGTAGAGCAAGGCGCACGCGACTTGCGCAGCTCATAGAGAGTAATTAGAGCTCATCTTGCATACAACCGGCCGCGTGGCCTAATGGTTAAGGCGCTAGATTTCGGCCCACCGTATCGTAACCTCTAGAGATTCCAGGTTCGACTCCTGGCGTGGTCGCACTTTTTTGCAATCAGAAACTTCTTTGTCTGATTATCTTTTTAATTCTTTTGCTTTTGCTCTACATTCGTCTGAAGTTGTTTGCGGGGGAGGATGCGTATGATTCGGGCCGGCTTACAGCCCCTGCTAGCAGCAGTCCCTTCAATCAGGCAGTAAACGACGGCTGTTCAGTAAAGCTTTCTGCTACTGGGTCTTACAACACGTAATCATCCCCATGGAAGCGGACCTGGACTTTCAATGGTCATTGCGAAAGGTACAGATAGCGGCCCGTACATGCAGACTCGGCGGGGGCCTCGCGACGTGACTGCTGCGAGGTGACAATGCAGTTTGCGCGAATCTACGGGGACTGATATGCTGCCATCGAGCAGGGTTTTGTGGTGATTGGAGACAATGGCTTGGCCCGACAATGTCGCCATTCTCTAGGCATACGCCATGGTTGGGTGAGTGGATGCGGACCCTCGCTGGGCCAGAGCAGGACGTGCTAGGCGTGAATTGGCTCAAACCACTAATGAATGATGCCGCTATCATGGTGTTTGGTTTAGAAAATGTTTAAACCGGGTTCCTGGCCGGAAAGGTGATCAAGAAAAGGGAATTTGTCATCATGTGATATTCAGGAGCGGAACTATGGTTTCTTTGGGCATGTGTAACCAGACAGCCCGCAAGCTTTGACGAAAGCACACTGTCACTTCGGCGACATTCGATAATACATCAACACTTGAATTCCACAAAACAAGACTTGGTACACGCAATTTGGCGAAGCTCTTTTCTACTTGGCCGGGCCCTCGGCGCATGGAGGGGTCGTCCTCCGCAGCCAGCGGAGCCACACCTCGCCGACAAGCCGGGCGCGCGGGGCTTGTCGTTTTTTTAGCTCGCAGAAGCGCCTATTGCGTCAGAGAAAGCGGGATGACAAAATCTCCCCCCAATGGCCAATGAGGCGGCGTCGCGGGCACGCAATCGACACACCATGCCTTATTTGGATGAGGGGAGGTTAGAAAAAGCCCAAGGTACTTGAGATGGAATTACCGAACTGTGTCGAGAAAGGATGGCTTGCTTGGATGGGCAATCATGACCCCGCCAACGCCAGCAATAGTTGATGAGGAGGGGTTTTTGGGGAGGTTGTGGTGGAGGGGCGGGACGGCGAGCTGAGCGAGTGAGTGAGCAGAAAAAAGAGCTTTGCGACTGATGAAGACGGGCGTTTTTTCTCGGCGCACGCCTGGTGGGAATGTCGCCATGCGTAAATCTCCATTCTGCGAAGCTTTGGAGCACACCGTGTGTGGCTAGCTAGCTGAAGAGCAATTTCCACTGTAATGGTGTGTGCCAGTTCTGTGTATAAAGTCTAGACTCGGTGCCACTCTTCTCCAAGCTCTCTCCCTTCCTTTCCTGTCCTCTCTGTTTTTGATCTCATCTTTGCTATACCAACTCGACTCAACCTTTACCTTTTCACCAACAAAAAAAGACACGTCACACACGCACACAACTCTCACAATGGCTGCTACCACCACCACCACCGCTCCTCTCCGCCTCGGCTCCAAGGCCCCCAACTTCACGGCCGATACCACCAAGGGCAAGATTGACTTCCACGAGTTCATTGGCGACAACTGGGTCGTGCTCTTCTCGCACCCCGAGGACTACACGCCCGTGTGCACCACCGAGCTCGGTGCCTTTGCTAAGCTCGAGCCCGAGTTCACCAAGCGCGGCGTCAAGCTGATTGGCCTCTCGGCCAACACCATCGAGTCTCACGACGGCTGGATCAAGGACATTGCCGAGGTCACTGGCGGCAACGTCAACTTCCCCATCATTGGCGACAAGCAGCGCCAGGTCGCTCTGGCCTACGACATGTAAGCTTTCTTCCGCATCCCCCCCCCCCCCCTTGCGGCCCTCGTTGTAGAGTGATTCACCGAGTGCCGTTTCTACGAGCTCTAGAAGCTTGGCCGAGTGGGCTTGGTAGGCTTGTTTACCGGCGTTTCGCGGGCTCTTTTCTTCCCCGCTGGTGTTGCAACGGCTACAAGCCTGTTTGCGGAAGCGGCTCTTGAAGCTCGCCGAAGAGCTCCGCTCCACAATCCTCTCAAGCTTGTAGTGAGCTAGAGCGCGGCCTTTGAATCAGTACCATTTCCTAGGAAGAGAAGAATTGAGCCCTTGGAACTCACTCCCGTCACAAACCATTAGTGTCGCGATTACACTAACACTCAATCTCCAGGATCGACCACCAGGACGCCACCAACGTCGACTCCAAGGGAATCGCCTTCACCATCCGCTCCGTCTTCTTCATCGACCCCAAGAAGACGATCCGCACCATCCTCTCCTACCCCGCCTCCACTGGCCGCAACGCCGCCGAGGTCCTCCGCATCATCGACTCCCTCCAGACCGGCGACAAGCACCGCATCACCACTCCCATCAACTGGGTGCCCGGCGACGACGTCATCGTCGCCCCGCCCGTGTCCAACGAGGAGGCTGAGAAGCTGTTCCCCGGCTTCCGCATCGTCAAGCCCTACCTCCGCTTCACCAGCCTCCCCAAGGCGTAATTTATTTCTCAGGGAAGGAAAAAAAATAAAGGAGGAGGAAAATCCCGAGCCGCGTCGCCGACGTTTGGGTTACCACCCCCGAGTTCCGCTGTAGTGGGGGGCGGGGTAGCTGGCAACTCTAGTGTCCCCAAGCCGTCGTATAACATTTCGAATTGGCTCGGGCTTTGAGGAGGTGAGCCGTGGATTAAAAGTGGTCAAGTTGATAATGAATGATACTCCAAAGACGAGGATGCTTGTCTGAACCTTGATGGGCCATCGAAGGGCCGCAGTCGCAAAGGGCGCTGCTGTCACCGATTTCTTTGTAAGAAACAAGTAGCGAGATTTAATACACAAATATCTACTCCAGACAACATCCCAGCATGCTGTGATTTGCGCAAATTCTTTTGCGCTTAGTTAAGTCATGACTTCAAAATTTAAACGGACTCATTCCTCGTTGCAATGCATCGATTTCAGAGCTCAGCGATCAGCGATGCTGTCGTCGTCGCATCTTGTTAGGGTAAGTCGGCCGACAGTGCGGGCAGCAGTGGTCCACGCCCTGCGCAAACGGCGAGCCGTGCCACGCTCCTGCATATACGGCGCAGTTTCAGGCAAAACGATGATATGCGTTTTCGTTTTGTGGCGAGCTACTTGGCATGTCAGCGAGGCGCAGCATGTTTGAGATAGTGTAAGCGGCAAGTGATTGGTCACTACTACAGCGATCACGTAACTCATGGCCGTATCTGCCTTGACCTACTGTTTGACTGAAATGGTAAAGCAGACCTACATAGGCGACGACGTAGATATAGAAATTCGAAATCATAGGACCACGTTCAGATTTGAGCACATTTGACATTGGTACTAATAGGTTTTCAAACATCAAAGCTACCGTATACGCCCTTGTTTCGTATGCCGCGTCGGCCCGTTTCGCTGGTCTGCATGAGGCGAGTTTAAACCGATGTGCGAGTTCCAAATACAGAAAACGAGCTTACGATTAAGACTTTTTTTTTTCAGAGTAAGACAGAGAAACAGACCATGATTTAAATCCTCCCTTTTTCATAAGCTACAATTATATCACTAAAACGTACGGATAGAAGTGGCGTCTTCCACCACTATCACTTATTTAGTCGTAATATATATTCTGTTTCAGCTTTCGACTGGGGCCCCACGTGCTGCAACTGCCGGAGCAAGATGACATCGCCACAGAGAAGCTCTTTGCAGCATAAAATCTCGGTACTTGCTCGCCGAAGTTAATAACTGACATGTAATATTGGAACAAACAAAGGCATCTGGCTGCCAATGCGTGTCTCCGCCCGTCATAGCTTTCGGCTTGGTTTCAATAGTTGTGCCGTCCTCCCTCCTCATCCGCGTATCGAGCCGGGAACTTTTTGTATGGAATTGATTAATTAATTTAAGGATTCCCTCTTTCCTTTTCGTTGGTCCCAGTTATTTGTTAGTCAGGATGCAAGGCGCTGCAGGATACCGTCGGAGCCAAGGTACGTTAGCCTATCATACGAATCGCCGCCACGTGCCAGAGCGGTACTTCCCCAGCTCTAATTACATTCTATTCTAATTTGAGACGGCGTTGCCCTTGCAAGATCCATCATCCCATAGTTAATACTTGCAGCGTGTAACTGGGGAGCTTGGGCGGTGCGGTGCTGGGTAGGCAAACGGATGGTGATGGTTGGCCCAAAGCGTTGGTAGCGTGAACAATGGAGGTCGTCTGCATCCGTGCAACCGTGCAACGCCCGGTGCAGCCGTGTAGTGATGGGATCGGTTTTCTGCCGACGGAGGCGTGGTCGAACGGCCTAGTAAATGCCACGATGGGCTAAGTGTTCTCGTGTTCTGGCTACGAGAAAATGTATGATTGGTGAAGATTTTGTTTGCAGAATCTCAGCCGTTTTGTTGTAGCTGCCAGCCGCTGCCAGCTGCGAGCTGCCAGCTGCGAGCTAACGACCTTACCAGCTATCGAGGTACGTACAGGCACGTCAACACCGAAATAAATGACTTCCGTCATGGCAAAGAATGTTCGAATTCCATTTTCCGCTGTCAAAATCGATTATCGGTCTCCCCGATGAACGCTTGGGCTGTCTAGTTTGTGGCGCTCACTCTCTCTATCATAGATGGTAAGTTGGCCCAGAATTTCACCCACCACTGACAAGCCGCACGGGCTTCTCCTGGCCCTCTCAATACTTCTGGCGCCGCAAGGCCCTTACTTGATGCGTCGCGGACAGCTTCCGCAGTCAACTTCCTGGATTGAACGATTCTCTGATACAGCGCTGCAAATTCCAATCTCACTCGCTGTTGATTGAGCATGCGAAACAGAAACGAGCTAGCTCCATCAAATTCGTCGTCCAACGACAACCGCCAAGTGGCACCAGGCTAAAAGGCCAGCCTCATAGGTAGTCGAGGGTCAGGGCAAGAAATCCACCAACGAGAAGCAGCTCATGCTGCGCTCCAGCCCCTCTTCAAACTTCTGGCGACTCCCACAGTCTGTGCGGCAAGCCAAAGTCGCCTCTTCGAGCACCGCCAACCGACGGCCCTCCGTTACAGACATACACACCATCCCGCCTCTGCTGCGTGAGCCACATCTTGCCGCCCATCCATTCCTCCCAGGCGCGATAAGTTTTCGCTGCTTCGACTCGTGTCAGTCGTCGCCCGACAAGACCCCCTCTTTGGCGTAAGATTTGCTCCTGCGCTACGCCCAGTGACTTCAGAACGGTACGTGCATCGTTGACTCGCTCTCTCCTTTTCATCCATCCATACCATCACCAGCCGCCCTTCGTCCCTTTGTCGACTGCATGAATCGTCCTCAACCCCCCGGTACCGATAATCTTGGCCCGGTCTACATCCATTCCCCTTATCCTTGCACCGTCCTGCTTCATCTCCTCAACGCATTAAACAAGCACGCGTATCCCTGGTCGTCGGCTGCTTGGCCGGCCCGTTCACCCCCGCTGCCTTAATACTCTTGGGAGCTGTCATTTATCCACGCCGCAGCCGCGCCGCCGCCGTTTCTTCTCCAAAAAAGAGATGGACCGACCCAGTCTTCTGCCTAGGTAGACCCATCACGTTGTCAACCTAGAATCCTTCTCTCCCTTCATCACTTTGCAGGCAAATTGCTCGTGAATCATCTTGGTCCCGCTCCCTGCAGTGCTACGTCCACATCCGGAAGCTCTTCCCCTTGCCTACACCGTTTCCGTCGCGACCCAGCACAGGCTAGAAAATCTTGTTCCTTCCTTCACCCTTGTGCGATGCGATAGACTTCTCGAGATCTCCTGCTTCTGCATCCGCCTAGCGGTGACGAGGCTGCCCACGATGCCGCCTCCAGGCAAGCTGACCGTTCCGCAGAGCTTCCAGCGCCCTACTGACGACAATCGTCCCGAGCCCGGCCAGCAACTATCCTCTTCCGTTGACCGATTCCAACAGGGTGGCCTCGGGTCCCTGTATCGCGGTGTGCAGCAGCCGTCATCGTTGCGGGTGCCACGATCAAGCTCACTCTTGAACTTGAGAAATCCACCCACGCCAACTTTTAGCAGATTCAACGACCAATCGCAGTCACAGCTCAAGCCACCGTCAGACGGCTCCTCAAATCCGCAAAGGCGGCAGCATGCAAGAAACCTGAGCCTGCAGCACAGCCTCGAGAAACCTCTACCGCAGCCGCCGCCCGACGAATCGGAGCCCGACGCCCCATCAGCCGCCTCCCAAACGAATGCACCACAAACCGAACCACTACCATCCTTCAGCTTCCCCCCAAACCCTACAGTGCAGCACAAACTGGGCAGCATGGACCCTAGCACCTCTGCCAATTCAACTACCATGTACGGCAGCCAGGACCAAAATTTACCAGATATCCCAGGAAGCCTGAGCAGCATCAATACTGATGTGCGAGATGCATTCTCTGCGAGACACAACGGTCCAGGCTCCTCTACCGCCTCACCTGCGATTGCACAAGGCAGAGGACCACCAGTTGCTGGTCCATCCCAAAGCTCCTCTGCCCATCTCTCGGGGCTCATGTGCAATGTACACAGAACTACTGGTCGGGAGCCGCCTCCCTTGGTCGGCGCGACGACAACGATTCTCGGCGACAAGTTATACGTGTTTGGCGGTCGAATTCTTTCTCGCAGCCGACCCGCACCGCTCACTTCCGACCTGTACGAACTCGATCTTATCCGACGCCATTGGACGAAGCTCCAGACTGCCGGCGAAGTTCCGCCGCCTAGATACTTTCACTCCATGTGTGCACTAGGAGATACAAAGATCGTATGCTATGGTGGTATGTCGCCATCACCGAACCAGTCTATGAGCCAAGAGCAGCAGCAGCAACCTGAAGTCAGCGTCATGTCCGACATTTATATTTATGACGTCTCATCGCGGAAATGGACCTTTATCCCGACTCCGGATGCCCCGCAAGGACGATATGCCCATTGCGCATGTATTTTGCCTTCGGCTGCTTCCTTCTCTTCTGCACGGGCACCACTCACCGCCCTCCAGCACAATCCTTCGTCGGCGAACCCCAACGAGGGCCGCATCGGTATCAATATTGACGGTTCAGGTGGTGCCCAGATGGTCGTTGTCGGTGGCCAAGACGGAGCTAATCACTATATCGAACAAATAAGCGTTTTCAACCTCCGAAGCTTGAAATGGGTATCTACCCAGCCTCTTGGGAAGAGCTGTGGTGCATACCGAAGTGTTGCCGCGCCCCTTCTGCCTTCTGTATCCGCCAAGATTGGAAGAGCTCACCAGACCGGTCTACAACGCCAGGATGGCATCAGCCAAGAAGCGCGCGAGGCCGGCTCATCTATGCTTATTTACTCCAATTACAATTTTCTGGACGTGAAACTCGAACTCCAGGTTCGGTCGCCCGATGGTACTCTTAGCGAGAAGCCAATGTCTGGCACGTACTCTCCGCCTGGTCTTCGATTCCCCAACGGCGGTGTATTGGATACCCATTTTGTTGTATCTGGAACCTATCTCACATCTTCAAAGCAAGAGTATGCTTTATGGGCATTGGACCTGAGAACTCTTACCTGGAGCCGAATCGATGCTGGGGGCAGTGTTTTCAGCCAAGGCAGCTGGAATAGAGGTGTACTGTGGAACAGGAGAAATACCTTCGTTATCCTTGGTAACCGGAAGCGAAGCTTGGTTGACGATTATAACCATAGACGCATCAACTTTACGAATGTGTGCATGGTTGAGCTCGAGGCCTTTGGCTTTTACGATAACCCTCGCAAGACAAGCCCCATGTCTGGTTTCATATCGGCTAGCAGTCCCTACTCTGGACCTGGACTGAGCTTGTCAAGAAAGGCGGGTTACACTGCGGGCGGCCGCTCTCACTCACGAATCAGCGAGGAACTGGGTGAGAGATTCTTAGCCATGCGAGAGCTATCTGACATGGATATTCTTTGCATTGGTGGAGAACGAATTCCGATTAGCTCTCGTATTGTCGCACGGCGCTGGGGCCCCTACTTTGTACAGTTGCTCAGAGAAGGTGCTGCTTCACAGGACGGCGGCGACGGCTTGACGCTCCGTTCAGGTCTTGCAGGAAACCCCCTCCGTGCCTCTGCCATGACGATAAGACCGCAATCCCGAGCCGCAACTGCCACGCCAATGTCGACTGCTAGTACCTTGGCTCCCACGATTGTTGACCTTTCTAGCGCAGACGGATCGGCGTTTGGCGGCGGCGCTGCCAGCCAAGACGACGATGTCAATGCGATGACATTGAACTCTACGCCTACACCACAGACGCTTCCACCAAATACGCGGCCCCGCTGTCTTTACCTCCCACACACCTACTTGACGGTGCAGGCGCTTCTGCACTTCTTGTACACCAGCGCCTTGCCACCTGTGACGTCGCCTCTCTGCACACCACAGATTCTGTGCTCTCTTTTGCAGATTGCACGGCCGTATCGCATTGACGGCCTGCTCGAGGCCGTCGTTGAGCGTCTTCACTCTCTGCTCGACAGTCGCAATGCCGCCGCTGTCTTTAATGCCACTGCGATGGCTGCTGGTGGCGGACGTGGTATTGATGGCACCTTGAATCCCAACTTTTTCGTGGACAGCCTTGATCCCATTACTTCTCCCGCTGCTTCGGGAGACTTTACACTGGGTGGGTCGACTGCCAACGGCTCCTTCACATCCGATCTCGCCTCACGAACAGCCACGCTCAGCATTAACTCTAGCGTACCGGCTGCCCGCCCTAACAGCGGTGAGCTGTCAGCCTCTACTAGCGTGAGCGGCTCTGAATGGGGCTCAGAAATAGACGGCAGTGACAGAGATAGCAATGCTGTTTGGAACGGCGAATTGAGCAGCGTCATTGGCCTTCAAAAGCGTGGCCTTCGCGGCCTTATGGAGGGGCGAAGATTGCGTGAGAGAACTGGTACAGGCGGAGCTTCCTCGATGGCGAATGCCAGTGCGAATGGCCAGTATCTTCAAAGTGGACAGCGAGTCGGGCTGGGCATCGGAAGTTCCTGAGCCCATGGGCGGTAACAAGCCGATGTTGATGATTTTGGAAGACATGTGTATATACGAGAATATGTGTAAACACGAGAAACATTTGTGGGGTCATGATAATGAGTAGGAAATGAGAGGTTGGAAACTATACATGAAACAAAGAGTACCTTGAGAATACACTCGAGGGAGCTTCACAGCCGAGAAACAGCCGGTCGACTGAATTTATATGATATTGTCTAAATCTGAGCTGTGTATTTACATTCTGACTCTGTTTACTGTGCGCGCGAGAAGCGTACTCGTGACTACGTTGGAAATAATGCAAGGTAAACAAACAAACGGTCACCAAACATGAAAAACCAAGAGAACACGTAGTAGCTGCTTCCATGAGCGGACTGCAAGGTCACCTCTTGTCATGGCGATTCTATAGCTTGACGCGGCCCCCTTGCAGATCCTGCCACTCCTTTTGCCCAAACGGCACATACGTATCCCCCCGGAGCCAGTACAAGGTAGCGCCGTCGTTGAGGGCGTCGGGCTTGACGCCTGCGTTGCGCAGCACCGCCTTTTGCTGCTTGTTGGTGCCGGTGGTGGTCTGCGCGCCGGCAATGTCCTTGACGACGCGCAGAAACAGCGGCACGGCGTAGCGCGGCAGGCTCGCGCGCACGTGCGCGGCCAGACCGCGCAGCGTCTCGGCCGAGGGCGGCGGGTCGGTGGTAAAGTTGACGGCGACGCAGCCGGCGCGGCCGTCGTGATGGGGCAGCTCGACGCCGTAGACGTTGGCCTCGCGGACGGCCGGGTAGGTGCCGACGGCGTGGGCGACCTCGTTTGTAGACACGTTTTCCGACTTCCAGCGAAAGGTGTCGCCGATGCGGTCGTTGAAGGCGTAGCGGCCCTCGGCGTCGAGGCTCATGATGTCGCCGGTGCGGTACCAGGCGTCGCCGCGGGCAAAGACGTTGCGCAGAATCTTGGACTCGCTGGCTTTTGCGTTGTTGAAGTAGCCCTGGAAGAGGCGCTTGAGGTCGGCCGGGTCGACACGGTGGATGAGCTCGCCAGGAGAGCCGGCTTCCACGCGGCGGCAGAAGCCGGTGGTCGGGTCGCGGTAGGGCGCGTCGGCTTCGTGGTCGTAGGCGAGAAAGGCCATGTCGTTGCGGAGGAGGAAGCGGCGCAGCCAGCCCATGCGGCCGACGGCGCCGGCAAAGAGGTCGTTGCTGCTGAGGTTCCACGCCGAGCCGGCACCCTCGGTCGAGGCGTAAAACTCGGCAATGGTGGGGATACCGAAGCGCTCTTTGAACTTGTTCCAAATGTCCGGACGCAGGCCGTTGCCGACGGCGACGGTGACCTTGTGCTGCTTGTCGAGGTCCTCACCGGTGACGGGGTCGCGCTGCGGCGGCGCGGCGAGCAGGTAGCGCAGCGTCTCGCCGACGTACTGGATGCCGGTGGCGTTGTGCTTGCGGACGTCCTGCCAGAAGGACTTTGTGGAGAATTTGCGGCCGAGGGCCTGCGTGCTGCCCGAGACGACGGTGGCGCAAAAGGAGAGCAGGGCGGCGGAGCTGTGGTACAGCGGCATCGACGTGTACATGATGTCGCCGCGGCCGCGGCCGAGCAGCATGGAGCCCATGGTGCCGCCGGCGATGCACTTGGCCCACGAGACGATGGCGGCCTTGGGCAGGCCTGTGGTGCCGGACGTGTAGATGAGGACGGCCATGTTGGAGAATTCCTCCTCTGTGCGGTCGCTGTCGGGGAAGCGGATCGGGGTGATGCTGGCGGCCGCCGCGGCGACGTCGGGCGTCCAGACGATAAACTCGACGCCCGCCCCGAGGCTCGCGCGCACCTCATCAGTGACGTTGTGCGCGATGGCGGGGTCCAGGATGCACTGGCGCGCCGTGGCGGCCTCGATGCAGTGCGCGAGCGACTTGCCCGTCAGGTTATAGTTGATGAAGGCGGGCTTGGCGCCAATGGCCCAGAGCCCCCACCACAGGAACAAAAACGTGTCCGAGTTTTGGTAGTCGAGGGCGACAATGGCGCCGGGCTTGATGCCGTGATGCGCGCGCAGGTAGGCGCCGTGGCGGAGGACGGCGTCGTAAAACTGGGCGTACGTGTAGCGGCGGTCCTCGAACAGCAGCACGTCGCGGTCGGCGTGGCTCTTGCTGCGCGCCCAGTCCTCGAGGGTGTAGAAGAGCGAGAGGCGGTCGTTGCGCACGCCGCGCATGAGCCGCCACATGCTGACGAGGCCAATCTTTTGCATGGTCAGGTCGTACCACAGCCCGGACTTGGCGTTGAGGTAGGCGCCGGCGGCGATGGCGGCTGGTGCCGCGACGGCAAGGGGCACTGCGGTTGTGAACATGTGTTAGCGTCTTCTTTGTTTAGATTGAAGAAATGGAAAAAGAAAAAAAAAAAAAAAGGTTGTGAGTCTCAAGGATGGCTTTGACTTTGAGGGCCTGCATACCGGGCATCTTGGAGGGAGCTGCGTGCTGCTCTGTAACCGAGACGCGGATTTCGGGATCGGGGTCGGGATCTGTAGCTGGTGCGAGTTGAGTGAAGTGATGATGCGGTCACTCTACGATTTGGCGGGCGCAAGCGTAAAACGATTGATGCGCGCACAACGAGAAAGATCGGGGGCAGGGGGGGGGGGGAGGTAAAGAGGAAAAAACGAAGAAGGAAAGAAAAGGAAGTGATGTTACAGAGGGGGACAAGTTGACGCTCTGACACGTAGGAGCCGCTTCTTTGCCATGTCATCATCGGCACTATACATCAATAAATGCAAAGAGAGCCCCGGTCGGACTCTATCAATGCCGGCCCGCGCCCGCCAGGTTATTTTGCAACAAGAGGTCGTTGAGTGGCAGTGGGTTGGCTAGCCTCGGCTTGTTTCGAATTGTGGGAAAGGCGAGTTGACTTGGCGGCTAGTCTGGCAACTGGGTTAGCTCTTCGAACCTTCTATTGCCTGCACAAGGACTGGTGTCTTCGCCTTCAAATCTCTTTTCGCCGTTCTAGACGTCATTCTTGTTCTGAGAGACCTGAACTGCCCCCATGATGTGTCCATTCAGCCATTCTTTCGAGAAGCCTGTTTGCTGCTGCCACACTGATTATCAGCCATGCTCCCTTTCACAACCCCGCGGAATCTCCACGTTTGGTCACGCCCAGAAACGCCACTTATCCGAGGAAGAATGGCTAAATACCGAACACTGGAGCAGGCAAAGAACACCGAACCCTGTCGAGCCAGATTGAAACTTGACTTGACTGGTACGGAGTTTCCGATCTGGGTTCTGGCGTCCCACCCCAGGCCCGATGCCCTCGACCTCATCTTGCCCATCTTCGCTACCCCAGATATGGGCTGGAGCGGAGACTTGTTGCTACCGACCGGGCCGTATGCGACGTGTCACTGTACTGTGCTACCAGTACAGATTAGCGGAGTAGATTGCGACATGCTGGTCGTAAATCCAGCTGCGATCTTGAGGTTCCGTTTCCAATGAAGAAAAAGTTAAAGCTCGCCAGATGTAAACTGCGATAATGTTTCGTCAGCTTTTTGGCGGTCGATTGGCTGTGTCGCTGACTTACTCGTTTGGGCGACACCTAGGTACTTATTAGTGGCTTCGCCAGCAATTATGCAAAGTCCTTGAAATCGGGCCCGATACATGGGGCGATCACGACGACGGCCACCATCAACCAAGATATCGTGCCACCTTGCCGCAAGCAAGCCTGATAGGGGAAAAAGTAGACAATCAAGAACATGTCATGGCCCTCCACATCAACTTCAGCTCTGCGGCAAGTACCCAAATAGGTCTTTTGATGCTTTTGCATAAATCGTGCACAAAATGATGCACGTGACTTGGTTCCAAACCGCTACAATGCCACGCCTTGCCCTGGACATGTGCATGTAGCTGTGGTTACAAGGGCCTCTCGACAGCTTCCACGTTGCCAGCCAAAGAGCATTGTCTTTGATTATGGCCAACGAGGCATCGGCAGAGGCGGCTGCCTCGCCTACGGCCGAAAAAGTTGTAGGCTACACACCTCCTCCTGCGGAAAAGCCCTCCGACACTCGACGACGAAGCTACATTGTCTGGTCGTATTGGCTGATTGTCGTGTTCCTGGGCCTCCCCATATGGTGGCAGACCACGGCCATACACCGCGCACACCTGCCACTGGATGGCATGATGCGATGGGCAGATGGAAAGGTATTTTCTTCGCCAGATAACTGAGCAATTGCGCATCGGTGGCTGACTCGCTGTGCAGGCTTGCCGACCCGTCTTTCCGCTCCAGATTGAGATTCGCGCTGATGCGCTGCAAGAACCAGAGGCGCAACACCTCGTGCGTCTGACGCAGCACGCCCTCGACGACCTCAACGAATTTTCTGGCCATCACCTGCGCCTGCAGCTGGCCCCGAAAGACGCGGCGCCCGGCGCCCGCGACGATCCCGAGCCCGCCCTAACCATCAACTGCCGACCCGGTGACGCCGCCACGTCCTCGCTTAGCCAGGAGCGTCCGTTCCTCGACATCACGTATCCGCCCGGCGCCGCACCGCAGCTCAGCTCGGCGGCGTCGCCGCTCGCGACTCTCATCACTAACGAGCTCCGGTCGACGTTTGCCGAGGAGCAGTCCATCATCGCGTACCTCTTGTCGACATCGTCCATGGCCGCGGGCAGCCGCCCCCCTAGCTTGACCCCCGAGACGGCCGAGGCGCTGTCGAAGCGCACCACGCGGTCGCTGCGCTACTCGCCGACCTACCACCTGACGTTTTCGCTCTTTACCGACCGCGGGCTGCCAAACGCGTGGGACATTGAGGGCGCCCTGGAAGAGTACATAAAGCCCATGCTCGAGGTGCTCAAGCCCATTCATAACTTTACGATTGATACCCAGGTCCAGCTCTACGCGACGCCGGGCGACCAGTCAGAGGTGCTCAGCAAAGAGAGCCTTTCGTCCTTTATAAATGCGGCCGAGTGGCCCTTGTCTCCTTCGATTGGCGGCGCGCCTACCGTCAACTTTTTGCTTTACGTTGGCAACCAGACCATACGCCTCGACGACGGCTCCGATACATCGCAGTCCTGGATGATTCCTCAATGGGGCACCGTATACCTTTTGCCTCTTCCCAAGAACGAGGCGCACATTCCCCTGGCCACGCTAAAGCAACCCATGCTCACCTTTGGTGGTCATCTGCTATCTCTCCTCGGCGCCCCCGTATCGGGCTCTCTGCCGCTGCGCCTTTCCTCGCTGACGCGCATCCGGTCCACTGATTTGCTACTCCGCGCGTCGTCGTCGCTCGGATCCCTGGCACGCCTGACGGAGAAGCTGCCGTCCATTGCTATTCCCCAGAGCGTCGCCGATGGCGTCGAGACGACGCTGCATCACCTGGAGCAGGCGTGTGCCAACCTGGGCGGCGTCGAGGGCCTGACGCACGCGCGCATCGCGGAGCAGGAAGTCGAGCGGGCCTTTTTCGAAAAGAGCATGGTCGGACAGCTTTACTTTCCGGATGAGCATAAAATCGCAGTGTATCTGCCCCTGCTGGGACCAATGTCGGTACCGCTAATCTCGGGGTTAATCACGGAGCTGAAGAATTGGATTGCGAGACGTAAGAAGAAGGCTGAAGAAGCCAAAGAGAAGAAGGCACAATAGTTATTATGATGCATTTCAAATTAATATTGAAGATCACAAAATTGTAATATTATTCCCTGCTAGTGATGCAAGAAGCCTTAGTGGTGCGACGGTGGCTTGTGAGCGTATTGCATTTACAACTTCGTGATTTTCTACCGAGCGTTTCTTGTTGACTTGAACAGCCCTGCGACATTGGCTCATCGTTACGATCGATTCCGAGGTAAGAACTACTCAGGAATCAGTCCATATCTGCTAACAAGTGCATACTTGAAGCAGTGATGAAGATGATCGAGACTGTGGCCGAGACTCGGAGGGAGCACGCGCTGTATTCTCGCCGATGCTCTGTACGACCTGTGAGAAGAGCTTGAGATTCTGCAATATGTAGCTACAAAGGAATAGAAACAACTTTAAATACGATTCAAATTCTTTCGTGGGAACTCATATCAACAGGGCGTATTGACGCAAAGCTGTCTTTTATTTTTAGCTTGCCGATCAAGCTAGGTGTAACTCTGCTCTAAAATGGCTGACTCGACGCCTCTCGCGTCACTTAGCAAAAACTGTTTCCACCGTCGGCATCACGGCAAACAGCGTCGCACAAGGTGACAAAACGGATATCCCCGTTATCGCCGCCAAGACAGTAAAATAGCCCGCGATTGACATGGTCGCGGCTGGTGGCCAGCCCTGCATTGTGAAACGCATCGTCAATCTGCGGAAAATATCCTCCTAATGCCACAATGCCTTAATGAAAATCTTTTGATGGAGGATATTGTGGGGGTTTTAATCATGTGTACCTATCTGGAGAAGAAGCCATCCGCAGTAGTACAGACCGCGTGTGCAGTTGTCGGCGGCAACTGGGACAACAGCGGCCGAGAGAGCGGCCAAGACGGCAAGGATTTTGACCATGATTGCGCGGAAAAAAAAAAAGGGAATAAGATTGATAGAGAGTGAGTCGTGATTCAAATTATGATTTCTTGAAGAACAATACAATGCGAGAGGGTAGAGAAGGGAATGTTTGTAAAGTTTCTCCGCACTCAATGATATGCGTGAGAAGGGCTGCAAAGCATCTGGCTGACTTGTTTCGTTATAGAACTGGCATTATTACCCCTCTTTCTGCATTTGCTACACAAATTAGACGATCAAGCTTACTCCGTACGTCCTGCATGACAGCATCAGATATCTCTTATGTATGTACTCAGCTGTCTATGCAGCCTACGCTGCCATGGAGGGGTCCTTTTCTTGTATGCATTTTCGTTCTGACATCAACCCTAGATCATTTAGAGAAGAGCACTTTGTCCTTGTGGTCAGATAATTTAGTGTATATCGTAAATTGGCGTCAGTGATCTAGAATACATTCATAACTCGCCCAATCATGTTGGGACTTGTGTTCAACGTGATGGAGGGCGACTCGACTGACCACTGCAGCCGATTATCGTAGCAATTGACGAAATAATGGAGTATTACAGTGCTAGCCAAGAGATTATAACACCAAGACGCAAAGACGATTGATGATCATTTGTTTAACAAAGCATTCCTCTCGCGCGTTCACCACAAGCAAGAGGCGCCCGCTACGACTTTGCTTCTTCACGACGTGGTACCCTCTAAAAAGGAAGCAGTAATATAGCTTCACGGTATCAGTCAGCTGTTTTGTGTTGCAGTGGCACTGGGAATATCTACTGCGACTGGATTTGCCTGTTGGGTCATGGACGGAAGCACGAAAACAGATTGCTTCTCCCAGCTTACCTCTAGTAACCCTGTCGTCTAGTGCAGCTTCTTGCATTGAGCGTCAGTCTCGGCCACTTTATTGTTCACAACGCCTGACAATAAAGACTTGCTAGTAGTGCTGTCGGGTGAGACTGGGCCCTTGCCCGTGCAAGTCGCTTCACCATTCGTAGTGATGGTTTTGCATAACGGCAAATTAAATGCAGAAATGTCGCACAAAATATTTTCTCTGGTTCCAATATGATGCCCTTTTTGAGAGAGAATTCAATACTTTTCCCAGTGACTCAACGTCACATGTATTGTGGCTGTTGATCAACCAAGCGGGGCCGTGATGGCGATTTGGCGATGGATGGCGATCCCGCCGTCCACAAGCTTGGTCCTGACCGCATAGCGTCTCAGATTTTCCCTTCTGCATCCTCTCTCACGGCCGCACAGCCGCACAATGCCTCTACCAACATGCTGCCCGAGCCCGCGTTGACCTTTACGATCCCCAGTGTCCACGACGGGCTTCCTCTCGATTGCCGCATCTACCACCCCGCGTCGTTGCGGGCCAGTGTGCACGCACCGCCGCCATGGAAGCGACAGGCGGTCGTGCTCGCGCACCCGTACGCGCCACTGGGCGGCAGCTTTGACGACCCTGTGATTGAGACTGTGGGGGCCAGCATGCTCAAAGAGGGCTACTTGCTCGGCACGTTTAATTTTCGGTAAGGATTGGAGAGGATGGGCAGCTGAGGCGCAGATGGGAAGCCGGCCGCCTGTGCCCTGATTGCCGTTGGACGGCCCCTGATTGACATTTTTTTTTCCCACGCAGAGGAGCGGGTCATTCGGCGGGCAAAACCTCATGGACGTCGAAAGCAGAACGAGCCGACTTCCAAAGTCTCATCGGGTTTCTGGCATACTACATTCACCACCTGGACCACTTTAAGCGCGCAGACGCCGTGGCCCAAGGCAACAGCGACGAGACACCCAGACACAACAATGTGGCCAATGGAGAGCCCATCCACAAGCCTGTTCGTAGAAGGCACGTGCTGGTTGTGGGCGGCTACTCGTACGGATCGCTCATAACAGCACAGCTTCCGCCGCTGGAGACGGTTCTCGAGCCGTTTGCGTCCCCGTCAAGCGCATCCAACGAGGCGCAGATTCGCTTGCGAGCAGCAAGCCTTGCCGAACAGCAAAACACACTTGCTAGGCTTACCCGGGACGCGCTGCTGGAGATGAGCGCCAAGCGGAGCCCATCGCAGCGCGGAGTCCGCGTCGGCGGCGACGAGGGAAGCCTGAGCCCAGGGCGCGCGCGGCGTAGCGCAGAGGGCTCCGGTGGCGGTCGTCGCAGCCGCAGCGTATCCCGTGAGCTGGAGGAGAAGCTGCATGAGCTCGTCTCCAAGACGAAATCCAGCGTAGCAGCGCGCAATCTACACCACAGACACATGCCCGCAGAAACGACGGCGACGACGACAACGACGACGCTCGAAAAGGTGCCGGAAGAAAATGGTGACATGGCCCCAACGGTCAAGACGCGACGGGAACCGGCGGCACAAGGCCGACTGCCCCAGATTGCGGGCTTCAAGGTGCCGCAGCAGGCATATGTGCTGCTGTCACCGATTCCAGGCCTCGCGTCACACCTCGTTACGCTGCGGCTGCTGCCCGGCGCGCTGTCGCGAGCGCGGCGGCCTGAGGATGACCCGGCTGAGGCCAAGCTCCTGCGGCACCCGACGCTGGCTGTCCATGGCGACGCGGACTCGTTTGTGCTGCCGTACAAAGCGCGCGAGTGGGTGGCGCGGCTGGCGGGCGCGCAGGGCTCGCGATTTCGGGGCGTCGGTGTGCCGACGGCAGGCCATTTCTGGGCCGAGGAGGGCGTACTGGATAAGATGCTGGATCTTGTGGGGGAGTTTGTGCGTGGCTTGGTGGTGGATGATGGGGATGGGGAAGGTATTGAATGAGCTTTTACGCAGCGAGATGGGGGGAAATGAGGAGGAATGAAGCAAGAAATGATGGACTGCTTCGACAGCCCGGAGGGTCATGATATCTTTGACGGTCAGCTTGGCAGCCTCAAAGGCCACTTTACCAGTCTGCCAATCCTACAATGAGAAAGTTTCACGAACAAAACAGAAGTACGAAGAACAAATCTGAAGTCGCGGTGACGGCCAGTCGTCTAGCACAGGTAGCCGAGCTGTCAGCGAAGCGGCTTCACGACCGGGCTGCTCATCGGCCGAGTGTCCGAAAATTGGTGACCCGCCCCGATTTGGTGGTGCCGGTCTCCGGATGTACGCTCTGCTTACACAGCTCTACGTCTTGCCTTTGTGTCGATTGCACCGAACTGTGAGCTACTTTGGAAGTTCAAGCTGAGGAATACTTTACACAAAGTCGACTCCGATTCGCGCATCGGAAAAGAGATAAATGAGAGACGGCACGTTGAAAAGCTCGGCATTTGGAAATGTCAATTCTCAGGGAAAGGTCACGGGGCCGATGTAGGAGTGCAACAAGTCGAGACGATATCGCAGAACCGGAAATTTGGGGTAATGATTTATCTTTCTTCTCTTCCCATTGTCGCCGCGCTCCGACGAGATGATGATGGTCACATAGCTAATCCATTGAGAGGTGGAAGTCATTCCGCCATGGAAGTCATTCCGCCATGGAAGTCATTCCGCCATGGCGGACCACGCGGGCGACCGAGATGATAACGAGGGTTGGGGGTGTGGCGAGCGGGTCAAGATACACCCACTCGCCCCGCATCCGTAACCCCCCTGTCTGCACAGTAATCTAGCGGGCACGCAGTGGAGTCGGGGCCGCGGACAGCCGGCGCGGCGTAGATAGCTTGATAGCTCCAAAAAGCTCCATTATCCCATCATGGTGGAGGGCAAAGGGCATTTCGCGATAATCATCCACTTTGCAAAGTCTACTCCGATGCCGATATCGAGCGAACCAAACCACCCCTCTTCCCCCCGCCCTTGATGCGCAGAGATGAATGCCGTCTTCTACTCAGCCGCACGATTGTCTCGGCAGCTTGGAACCCTCAGAGCGTGCCGCCCCCGACGCAGCCCTTTCAAGGTACGTGCAGCAGTGTGCCACTGCGTCCCAATCCTTGCCCTTTTCCCGCATGTCTGTCACAGGCGGCAGGCTACACCGACACGCATGGTTCGCTGCAGTCTGCTGTGACTATTTGCATGCATAATCAGTACATACTATCAGTGGTCGATGGTGTGAGCAAAAGCTTGACCTGACGTCCTCCAACGCTCCAACCCACCCCCTCTACGCCGTTTGCTGCCGCCCCGCAATCGCGTTGGAGTAGCGAGTAGCTATGTCGCGGGGTGGTGGCGCTAGCTTGCTACCTACTTCACCTACCTGACTACACTCTCGAGCTTCTCCTCTTTCTGCTGCAATCTTCATCTTCTCAAACTCATCATCTCAACCTTTTAGCCCTTTGATACCATCTTCCGTCCCCGATTTATTTACAGCATGGCTCTCGAGACCCAGCTCAAGGCCCCCAACGGCCTTGACATTACCCTGCCCACCGGTCTCTTCATCAACAACGAGTTTGTCGCCTCCAGCTCTGGCACCAAGATCACCAGTGTCAGCCCTGCGTATGCTACTCCCCTACTGTTCCTCCTTCGTCCCCTGCTAACAAACGCCCCAGTGACGGCAGCGAAATCTGCTCCGTCGAGGCTGCCTCCGCGCAAGATGTAGACGCCGCCGTCAAGGCTGCGCGCGCTGCCTTTGAGGACCCCTCGTGGGCTGACTGCGCCGGCCGCGATCGAGGCGCCCTCATGCACAAGCTGGCCGATCTCGTCGAGCAGCATGCCAAGGTCCTCGCCACCATCGAGACCTGGGACAACGGCAAGCCCTACACCGTCTCGTTCAACGAGGACTTGCAAGAGGTCATCTACACACTCCGCTACTACGCCGGCTGGGCCGACAAGATCCACGGCCAGACCATCCCCACCACCCGCGCCAAGTTTGCCTACACTCTACGCCAGCCAGTCGGCGTCTGCGCCCAAATTATCCCCTGGAACTATCCCCTGGCCATGGCTGCCTGGAAGCTCGGCCCGGCCCTCGCCACCGGTAACTGCATCGTCCTCAAGCCCGCCGAGCAGACGCCGCTCTCCATCCTCTACTTTGCGACCCTTGTCAAGGAGGCCGGCTTCCCGCCCGGCGTCCTCAACATTGTCAACGGCTACGGCCGCGAGACGGGTACCGCGCTCGTCACCCACCCCAACGTCAACAAGGTGGCCTTTACCGGCTCCACCGCCACCGGCCGCGAAATCATGAAGATGGCCAGCGGCACCCTCAAGAACATCACACTCGAGACTGGCGGCAAGTCGCCCCTCGTCATTTTTGACGACGCCGACCTCGAGCAGGCTGCCAAGTGGGCCTACATTGGCATCCTCAGCAACCAAGGCCAAGTCTGCACGGCCACCTCGCGTCTCATTGTCCAAGACTCCATCCTGCCCAAATTCCTCGAGTACTTCAAGACGGAGATCAAAAACACTGCCGTCACCGGCGACCCTTTCTCCGAGGCCACCACCCACGGGCCCCAAGTCTCGCAGGTGCAGTACGACAAGATTCTGTCGTTCATCGAGGGCGCCAAGAAGGAGGGCGGTAAGGTGGAAATGGGCGGCGCCTCGGCCCAGGCCACCGCCGGCCATGGCAAGGGTTTCTACATTGAGCCCACCATCATCAGCAACGTCACCAAGGACATGACCATTTTCCAGGAGGAAGTATTCGGGCCCGTCGTCGCCGTCACGCCCTTTAAGACGGAAGAGGAAGCGCTCAAGCTCGCCAACAACTCGCAGTATGGTCTCGCCGCCGCCGTCTTTAGCCAAAACATTGAGCGCGCACACAAGGTCGCCGAGCGCCTCGAGGCCGGCATGGTCTGGATCAACTCGTCGAATGACAGTGACCCGGCCGTGCCTTTTGGCGGCGTCAAGCAGAGCGGCATCGGCCGCGAGCTTGGCGAGGCGGGCTTGCACTCGTATCTCGAGACCAAGGCTGTCCACGTCAACCTGGGCTCCAAGCTGTAAAAATATAGAGTGTATGCAAAATATAGTAAAAAATATCTTCTTGTTAGCCATGTATGACGAAACCAATACTACCTGACTGACCACTAAGAACTGCTTTTTTTTTTCGAGATTCTGCTCACTGCGTTATAAAGCAACCGTATGAATTCTGCTCAATGCAATTATAAAGCGGCCATATGAGCAAGAATCATGGGTGCCAAACGTGCTCAACCTCTCTGGTCCTGGTGGATACCAACTCTCGCCCGTCTCCCTCTTCTTAAATAAAAGACGGTCTCCCCGCGCACCCCGACGTGACTTCCTCCCAATCCTTTCTGTATAATGATGAAGGAAAGAGACAAAAAAAAAAAAAAAATCAAAAAAAGAAGAAGAAGCGCCGGGCCACGTGCAACTCGTCCATCGAAATTCGTGATCAAAGTGGCGCCATCTTCTTCTCTTTTGATTCTCGCTGGTGGTGGGCCTTTTCTTGTGTCGTCCGTCTCGGTGTCCGCATGCCCGGGCGTTGCCCACTTACACCCGCCAAAAGTGGCTAACTCGCATCACTTTGCTGTCCCGAACACGCCATTTTTTGAATTTTTGAATCGCTGCTGGCGAGATGTCCGGTTTTCCTTCTTTTCATGATGAATGTCGGTTGAATTCAAACTGTTACATACCAGCATCACGTATCTAACAACACTCATCAACATCGCTGATCGACACCACTCATCCAACATCACTCATCCAACATCGGTTCTTTCGACATCAGTCACGGCGGCAAAGGCAACTTTCCTTACGTGGATACATATGCGTTTTACTGAAATGAACAAGTTGAACAGACAATTGCTCGCATGGTTTCTAAAGCAAGCAAGATGACGCGGTATCGCTGTACGAATGAATGACTATGTGCTATATTTGGTTTCCCACTATCGGTATCGGTATTGTATATGCTCTCCTTCTCTTTCAAATCCCCATCATCCTTTATCTCAACTGCCACCAGTCTATATACTTGTCCTTTCTCGAGCCAGCACGGCCGTCCGACTCACCTTCACTGCTCTCACGACAAGCTAGCTCGACGCAGCTGCTCCACTACGAGCCCCGGCCGACGACGGTCCGGCAAACGATGACTGCGACGAATAGGCCGAGTCAAACGTGCCATACGTCTCGCGAGCGGCATCACCGTCGACCCTAGATCGGTTTCTTATCGTCAGGATGGCTGGCTATGAAGTGCGCAGTCGTAGGGGAGTGGGCTGCATCTGCGTACAGGATGGTCTCGGGCAGGTCCTGCGTATCCATGTAGGTGCGTCTGCCCTGCAGGAACCAGAAGCTGATGGAAACGACGAGCATGATGCCAAAAACGGCAATGGCCCAGTTCATGTCGGCGATGCTCGGGTTGGGTGCCGAGGGAAAGAAGAAGAAGACGGTCGACACTGTGCAGTAGACGAGCGAGATCCAATTGAGGGTCGGTCCCCATTTACCGAGGTGCAAGGTGCCGCCGGGAGGGAGGCGCTCGCGGCCAGCAAGCATGAGGGCAACGATGGGCATGGCGTAGGAGATGGTGAGGGCAATGGTGCTGACACTCAGAATTGCCTGCAGAACGGTATCGGCAAAGAGGTATAGGAGGCCGACGACAGACGTTATGGCAGTTTGCAGCCACAGGGCGCGCACGGGCATCATCCAGTACTCGTCGACGTGGGAAAAGTAGCGAGCAAAAGGAATGCCACCGTCTCGGGCAAAACTCCAGGTAAGTCGCGAAGCAGAAGTCATGATGCTAATGCCCTGGCCCATGCCATTAAAAGTGAATAAGGCGACAAACACGGCGGCGCCTTTGAGGCCCATGACGTCTTGAATGAGCTGGATAAAAGTCTGGCCTGAGGCCGGCTCCTGGAGGTTTTCGATGCTTTGGACGCAGAAGAGGCACACGCAGAGGAAAATCCAACCCGAAACGGCACCGCAGATAACAGCCATGTGCATGGTCTTGGGCACCAGCTTGCGGGGGTTGGGAATCTCTTCCACCATGTGAATGACCGAGTCAAAGGCGGTAAGACCATAGGCTGACTGGACGAGACCAAGAAACCAAGTGACTCCGTCGTTCCAGCCGGTGCTGTTGATCCAACTGCCAAAAACAAAGTGTGCTTTCTGGAAATGCAGCTCAGGCTTGGTGCCGACGGCGATGGGCAGGCCAAGTATCAGAGCAAAGAAGAGGACAACGAAACCAACGGCAACAAAGTTATTGAAGCCGGGCAGGACCTTTTCATTGCGGCAAGCAACATGATTGAAGGCACTAAAGCTCACAGTGATGCCAACGTAGACGAGAAGCTTGACCCATCCCTTGTTGGCGCCGTCCCACTCAGGATCAAACATGAGCTTCATGCCGAGGAGAAACTGGGTCATGAAGGCATTCTGGGAGGCAGTGAGGGTCCACCAGCCGAAGGTGTTGATCCAGGCACACATGTACGAGGCACGGCGTCCCCAGGGTGTCTCCCACAGACGAGAGATCCAAAACGCCTGGCCGAGGGCTGTAGGCATGCTGCTGCAGAGCTCACCGAGAGATAGGGCGACGCACAGGTTACAGAAAAAGACGAGGACGAGGCCCCAAAGGATAGCGACCGGACCGCCGTTGAGAAGACCAATGGCCAGATTTTGGGCGCAGGTGCTCCAGGTGCCGAGAATACAGAAAGACAGAGCAAGCATGCTCCAGATATCGAACTTGCGAGTGAGCGTCTCAACATGGCCCAACGCGGCAAGATCGCCCGCATCGAGGGCAGCCTGGTCGAGCTGGTCGAGGTTCGCCTTGTCGCGGTCCATCGTATATTCTTTTCTGGGACTGTAGGTGGTTTCCTTTCATTCTCTAGCGGACGAGGTACCGTACAACGACGGGGAACTAAGCGCGATGGGTTTGACGGCGGGTATTTAGCGAAAGCTTAGGCGTCGAGAGAGGAACAAAGGCAGATGGAGAAAGTCAGTTTTGAAGAGGTGAATTGCAACGTGGTGCCAATGATGATGATGATGGCCCTTATCAGATGCTCAGACCCTGTGACTCGATCAGAATAGAAGTAGGAGCAGAAGTATGCAGATACTGGAAAAGCACTTGTCGACTATGTGAGGATCGCGCCGACCTAAGTAATGTGCCAAAGACCAGGGGCGCTTCCGTGACCAGCACCTCCATCGGGCAGTGCGATAACTACCTAGAGCTTGAGAGGCCCCTTGGGGCGTGGATGGTAAGCAGTCCCCGGGTTGGCAGATGATAGGGGATGACTGAGATAGATGGGGACAGAATGCGCCCTACGGCTAGGAGAAGCCTAGTTTGACATGTAATGCTGCTCCAGAGAGACATACACAGCCAGCAAGCGAGGTGTGCGAGGAGAGAGGGAGGGGTGGAGGGCCTTTCGGAACGGCAATCAGCGTAATTCTGGGGAAGCCTAGCAGCGCCCTTTGTCGCGTGCAATAATAACGTAGCAGCGGAAAGGCCAAGAGAGGCGAGGATCAGTTAGCTGGGGCCGGCGTTCGGAGAGAAGATGGCGCACGAGGCCAGTCAGGCACAACAAGAGTTGGAGAAGTGGGCGAATGCTATTTCGTGGCGCTGGGGTAATGCAAGGACTATGCCGCTCAACGCCGTGACTATGAGGGACTCTCGACTGGAACCAGGATGACAGTGTTGGCGACGAGCAATGTTGGAACTGGACCATGCAGAAAATGAGGAAAAATCTGGGGATGGCAGAGAACATGGGGCTCCCCCAAAGTGAAGCCAGTTGCCAGGATGCCCAAAGTGGGGTGCCTCGTTGGGCGCAGGGGAACGGCTGAGGAAGATATCAGTACCTAGGTAGTTACTTGAAAGGTACTTTAGCGGCCCATCGGTAGTGGCTAGTTGCTACAGTTGTTACCAAATATTCATCATACATGATATTGGCAACGAGGTAGACTGGCTGGAAATTCATGGGCAAGTCACCAGGAAGACTCTGTCTATATCGAGCCACCCCCTTGTTTGACGAGATAACAGTCGCATGGACCGACTGGTATCTGGATATCGAACGGTATCAGTACACACGGTATCGGTGTTGATAAGACATGACAGCGCCCCGCGCAAAAAGTGGACTTGGTATCGTACATCTTCGCGGGGGAGGCCGAGTTGCTGAAGCACCTGCTGATACTAAATCGCATTTAATTACAGGGATGGTTCAGGTGGCATTTGATTAAAACTGTGGCGTATCATGGCAGTGCTGTTGCAAGATTCGCGTCATGGCATCGAAAGCGCCGTCAGTGTCATGGACAAGCTCGTTAACAAACTCTCTAGCCACCTTGGTAGCTACAAGGGCGCTTGCTCTTTCCGTACAACAAACTTATCATGCGCGAATATCAATCAACCCTGTGCCTGTGTCAGTGCCTTAAGGTGGTTCGGCACAATAACAGCGTAGTAATGTGTTGTAATGAGATTCTCATTCAACTGCTTCCTGACCTCTGTGCGTTGCTTGCGCGGTGGCTACCTTGGAAAAAAGGTAGGTCTATAAGCGGGTACTGCCCAAGTACCTCGCCAGCTGCAACATCTTGGCGGTCCGTCAGAGCCTCATTATGCAAACGCAACCACCCAAACCCAGTCAGTCATCGCCAGTTTTGATGCGCATAGAATAACCTCATCTCTTCATCCTGACAAATTTCCTCTCATCCATCACCTTGGACTTAAACACTTCAGTTTTTTCTGCGCTGGTCGGCCCGTCGTTGCTTTATAGTGTTGCACTGCGCCCCCGCCGAACAAGGTCGCCAAACAAGTTTCTTTTTTGGAACTTCAGACGATGAAACCTCGTTTTGCACCATTTTTACCTGGAAATGGCACGGACTCCTCGGCGATCCAGTAAGTGATAAACACGGGCACCGTTTCGGGGGTTCGTATAAAGCCCATCCCACACTGTTCGGTCCTAATCATTCCGTAGCTTCCGTTGCCAAACTCTCGTCTCCTCATCGCGGATCGCGGACAACGAACAGCTAGTTATTCACATCCAGCCATTACGCACTTGCGCACCAAGCATCTCCTAATCTGGCACACGCCATAACCCCAGAATCCAGTCATGCCAGCCAAGTCCCACATCTGCGTTCCAAGCGGCCATCACCGCTGCAGCCATTCGCCATCGTCTGAGACGCGCCGCCCCAGAATTTGAGGCTAGAAATAAGAATGCCATCGCCCGCACGCCCGCGGACGCCGGACCCGCACCAGCGACGGCGCCGTGATGGGGCAAACTGGTTCAGGGCAGCGGCGGCTGGTGGACGGACGTGTCTTCCATTGCTTCCAGAATAGCCATCTCTATCTTGATGTGAGCGCTGTTGGATGCAACGCCGATGGTCGGCCGGCAAGTGAGGACCAGAATCTTTGGCCGGCAATTGCCTGTTTCCTTTTTATGACAGTGCTGCAATCAGGGCTATCAAGGTCGCGCGCTATCAGTATCGCGCTTGTCCCGACCAGCGCACCGTCTTGCAGTGCCTGTTTACCCGTACAGGGTGGGGTTCACGCTGCCGCCTTCTTCACGATGCAGTGTGACCACTCGACGCTGCAATCTGTGTGGACAGCCGGTCAGCCTGCCGTCAATCTATCTCCCAATTTTGCAAGTGATGACGTCTCTTTCTGCCCCGCCCAAAGGATTCGTGCAGCTCGCTTTGTGCTTCTCTTTCCCAAAATGCAGCGGGCGCTGGCCACCCAAGCCAATACTGAAATATCTATTGCTGGGACCCGAGTCTGTTCCGCTGCATCGTCTGGCTGCCTACCAATCGCGATATTGTGACAAATTAATCTGCATGCTCGACAGGGAAAAGAAACTCCTCCGTCCCGCGGACCGCCGGTCTGGGACCAATACCATGCATGCATCTGTTCTTTGCAAAGCCTCTTCTTCCAGCACAACTGTCAAGCTTTCCGGCTTACCCAACCCGCAGCATTCGCCGCGCCATCTCTCAACCGGCCGACAAGGGCCCACGCTAGCTACACCTTCACGCCTTCGGGGTGGTCCAACTTGCTCGGCCGCCGAAAGGGTGCGGATGGATCTTATCCCACACATTCCACACCCCCAAACTAAAACTTTTAGCCTAATCATGCCAGACCTCGTGGCCTCATAAAATTCATGCCTGTTTGCCAAGTCTCGGTCAGGGTTCTCCAGGCGTGCATATAACTCGACACACTTTGCCAGCTTTGCCTCATTGATTCTTCCTCTATTATTCTTGACACTTCAAATCTCGACGACTTGGCAAACATTTCCTCTCACCTTTTCCTCGCCTTGGATATACTTTTTTTCTCTTCATACTCCAGCTCCTAGTCACAGCTTCCAGAAGCAACCGCCACCATGGCTAATCCCGCGTTACAGCCAGATCTAGATCTCATAGCTGGCTATGAGGTCTACCCCGAGCAGACATATGACCCCAAGACTGCTGCCAGCCTGAGACACCAAACACATCCCCTCGACCAGCTTTCGATGCAGGAAATCTCCCACGCGGTCAAGATGATCCGCGACAAGGCGAGCCCTGCCGAGGTCAAGTTCAACTGCGTCACTCTTCGCGAGCCGCGCAAGGCCGAGTACGCCGCCTTCAAGGCCGGTTCTGGTCCCCGCCCGGAGCGCAAGGCTTTCGCCATCATCATTCAGCGAGGCAGCAACAGCTGCGCTGAGGTGGTTGTCAATCTGACAAACTCCACCATTGAATCGTGGAAGCCCGTCAGCGAAGTTGCCCCCACCTTGACACTCGAGGACCTCGATGTCATGGAGCGCATCTCTCGCAAGGACCCCCGCGTCATCCGCGCCTGCGAAGAAATTGGCATCACCGACATGTCCAAGGTATACTTGGATGGCTGGGCCGTTGGCTTCGACGACCGCTGGGATTTCAGCCGCCGCTTGCAACAGGGTCTTGCCTACTACCGCCACTCTCCCAACGATAACCAGTACGCCCACCCTTTGGATTTCTGCGTTGTCGCCGACACTGAGACCGAGGAGGTCCTCAGCGTCGACATCCGCTATGTCAATGGTGAGCGCACGCTGCCTCCTCTGGACCAGCACAACTTCCTCCCTGAGTTCATCGAGCAGGGCTATAACACCACCAAGCTCAAGCCTCTGGACATCACCCAGCCTGAAGGCGTTTCTTTCCAGATTCGCGGCAACGAACTCTCGTGGGCTGGCTATAAGATGCACATTGGCTTCAACTACCGCGAAGGCATCGTCATCTCCGACGTCCGCATCGACGACCCTTATGAGGCTCGTGAGCGCACTCTTTTCAACCGAATTAGTGTTGTCGAAATGGTTGTTCCTTATGGCAACCCCGACCCCCCTCATCACAGAAAGCATGCCTTTGACGTCGGCGAGTACGGTACCGGTCTCATGACCAACTCGCTGAAGCTCGGATGCGACTGCAAGGGTGCCATCCACTATATGGACGGCATCATGTCTACTTCGAGCGGTCTCCCCGCTGTACTCAAGAACGCCATCTGCATTCACGAAGAGGATAATGGCATCCTCTACAAGCACATGGACTACCGCGACGCCAGCACTGTCTTGGCGCGCGATCGCAAGCTCATCATCTCCCAAATCATCACTGCCGCCAACTACGAATATGCCTTCTACCACACATTCACCTTGGATGGAACCTATAAGCTTGAGATTAAGCTCACAGGCATCCTCAACTCGTATTGCCTACACCCTTCGGAGACTGCGGCCCCTTACGGGACCGAGGTTGCCCGTGGCATCACCGCCCACAACCACCAGCACATCTTCTCTCTTCGCGTTGATCCCGAAATTGACGGCACCAACAACACGGTTATTCAGAATGATGCCGTTACGTCAGAGGCGCCGCTGGGCTCGGCCGAGAATCCGTACGGCAACGGCTTTTACTGCAAGAAGACGCCGCTGCGCACGGCCAAGCAGGGCGCCGTTGAGTACAAGCACGAGACGAGCCGCAACTGGGACATTGTCAACCCCAATGTCATCAACGAGGTGTGCCACAAGCCCGTCGGCTACAAGATTGTCAACACGCAGTGCCCCGCGCTGCTTGCCAAGCCTGGCAGCATGGTGTACAAGCGCGCCGGGTTCGCTACTAAGAGCCTGTTTGTACTGCCCTACAAGGACTATGAGCTATTCCCCGCCGGCGACTACGTCTGTCAATCCACCGGCGAGCCTGGCCACCCAGACTCGTCAGTCATTACCGACTGGGTCGAGCGCGACGAAAATATAGAAAACACGGACATTGTCTGCTACGTGCAGTTTGGCCTAACGCACTTTCCCCGCTGCGAGGACTTTCCGCTCATGCCCGCCGAGCCCGTCATGATTATGATTCGCGCGTCGAATTTCTTTGTGCGGAATCCGGCGCTGTGGGTTCCTCCCTCGACTGTCGTCAAAGATCTGAGCTCGCGCACAGCATTTCTCACCACAAGCAATGAGAGCAACGGCAATTGCTGCGTTGGCAAGAAGACGCCGGATTCACACCTGTAAATAATCAAGAAGCCAAGATGAAGGAAGAGGCATTGTTTTGACTGGGATCAAAACGAAATCTCATGATGCATTAGTCTAGCGAGTGTGAGTGCTGCAGCCTGGGAATGCTCTGTTGGAGCACATACCGGGTAGCGGCATGGATGAATTCTGTTGAAATTATTGTGTACAATTGCGGAATGATAGCTTTATATATAATGACAATTCTTCTGACCATGTTTTTACTCCTGCAACTCGCAAGTCTTGCGGCTTTTAATGGCAACAGGTCTCCGGCCGTGTTGTTCGGCCTTGGGCGGACAGGTTGGGGGCGACCTCGCAGGCCGGGTCGGCTCTCAACAAGGACCGTATTGTTTCCGAGCACTTGCGTTCCGCCACTTACTTTCCCACCCTCCCCAATTCTGACAAACTTGAAACAGCAACACTATTCATCTTGCTCATGTTCGAGCGTGGGGTGAACTTCTACGCGCCGGGCCCGCCCCCCTTGGTTCATGTGTACTTTTGTAACCATCGTACAAGTTCTTGCGACTGCACAAGATCTAGAAAACGTGGACGAAAATAGAGTTTCTCATCTGATTACTGCAAGCCAACGTGAAATGAACAAAGGATAGACGAAACCCAATTTTCAGAAGCGCACATCATCTAGCGTACATCATCTGGCGTACATGAAGCCGCCACAATCGCCTCCTCATTCTTACTATTTGTTGGCATTGGCGGGAAGGACGGGGGGGGGGGGGACTTCTCCGAGCCAATGGTGCCCGGCAGCCGTACAGGGTTTCGAAACAGGGCTGGCCAGAAATAGAATTCGACCGAACCTTTTGACCTTTTTTCCTTCTGTTTCCCACGTACCTTGACAGCATTACCCCCCCCCTCATTTTGGTAGTCTTTTGTGCGGCGTCCCAAAGAGGCAATTGTTCGGATCGAGGCGCGCGCTTCGGCCGGGCGAATGAACCAATCCACGGCGTTGTGGTGGAGCCTGCCCCCCCTGGAGGGCCGGTAGCCACGGACTGGTGGCCAACCAGATCCGTCTCTGGCCCTCTTTTCTGCTTAAAATAATTGAAAATGAGACGGGGTTATTTGACTTTTGACACTGACGAATTTGATATTAGTTTCTTCTCAATTTAGCATATTTTCCCGGCAATTCGGTGCCCTAGAGCTCCTTTAGTCTAGCTTTCCCCTCCCCTTTGCCCCCCTCTCTTACACACAACTCCGCGCTTCTAGAGAGACAAGCATATACCTTGCTCCTCATGTTGGATGCAAGGCAACGACCCTTTCCCATTTCCTTCGAAACGGGGCATCTTATTTGCTTGTTCTGGCTTAGAGCAGAACTTGACCTATTTTTCTGTACCTGCAGCATCTCTCAGCGCGCGGTCCTCCCCATCCCCCCACCATCCCAAGCTTCGGCGCTTGATCGAACATTGGGCTTTACCATTGCGCCAGACAAGTCCGCTTCTAGATTAGCCGTAGCGACTGACATGCATTGAAACTGACGCAGGTACACACACACACACACATACGCTTTCCCCCCAGCTAACACAATTCCTTCCTACCACGCTGGCGGTTACTCCCGTAGCCGCCCACGGGTTGAGATGGCCCCCTCATTCCCCCCACCCTACCGATCCTGGTGCTTTGCATTCTTTTTCCTTGTTCCGGCCAATACCAGCGCCTCAATCTCGCTAGCCTCGCTCTTTCAGACACATGCACCTTGTTTCACTGCCATTTTTGGAGGACGAGGGGGGGAAAAACGGGCGGGCTTGTTTTCTGTTTCATCGGCAAGCGCCCGACCTTTTTTTTTTTTGCGCAAATCCTCAACGTCTAAATCGGGAGTTCTGTATCTGGTCCGACGTTGAGTTTTAAAGATGAACCATGATCCCGAATTCTTGTGATACTTGTTTCTAAAGTCTCTAGTTTTTATTTTATTTCTCTTTCCTATTGTCAACATTCCTAGACGGTTGTGCTTGTTTATTTTCAATTCTCGATTTCCTTGGAGTTTCATTTCCTCGAGTCTTTCTCCTACTGTCGACTTACAACACAGCTCACTCATCACCCTGTCGTTTCGTCTTGATCGCATATTGTTGCACTGGTGTGACGGGTTCTCCTTCGATTACTCAAAAAGCTACTCTCATCGCCGATAATATCTAATTCCCTGTTTCACAAACCTTCATGTGACGAGGCCACACACACATACACACACACACACACACATACTTACACCCCCTCGTCAATACCCCACGAACTCACACCTCTGTGAAACCATGAAGGCTTCCAAACACTCGCGGCAGCAGAGCGACTCGGTCACCTCATCCCGGCGGCGCGAGGCGCTGGCCCGCAACACCCTCGCACAAGCCCAGGTATACCAGCAGCGCCTGTCCAACACGGCCGCCGCCGCCGCGTCCGCGTACTACTCCATGCCCAGCACCGAGGCCGACGTCTACGATGCCTACCACGCCAGCGCCGTCATGCCCCAGCAGCCGCAGTACCAGCAATACCAACAGCAGCAGCAGCAGACGGTAGACCAGCAAGGTTTGCGGCGCAGCGCCAGCACCGGCGGCTGGTCCATGCAAGAGGAACAGCCACAGCAGTCGCAGTTTCACCAACACCACCACAACTTTCAGCAGCAGCAGCAGCCGCAGCCGCAGCAGCAACAGCAAAAGCACAAGCTGTACAAGCAAGCCGAGGCCAAGTCGCTGCTCGAGGCGCGCCACCGCCCCAGCAGCGGCGCATGGTCAATCCGCGACGATCAGCAGCTCATCACGGCACGCAGCGACGGCCTCAACTGGAGCCAGATCCAGGAGCGCTTCTTCCCGAGCAAGTCGTCCAACGCGTGTCGCAAGCGCCACGAACGCCTCATTGACAGCAAGGGTCGCGGCAGCGACGAGGCCGCGCGCATGGAGCGCATCGCCACACACTACGTATTGATGCGAGAAAAGTTGTGGCGACCGCTGGCGGATTTGACTGATGAGAAGTGGTCGTTTGTTGAGAAGACGGTACGTGGAGATTTTACCCTTTTTTTTCTTTTTCCCTTGTGTCTTCTTTCAAGATGCGAGTGCCAAAAAGAAAAAAAAGGAAAAGAAAAGAAAAAGAAAGAATGAAAACTGACAAAACGACATGTAGTGCCTCTCCAGCGGCCTCAAAAACTTGCAAGGCGTCGCCAAGGCCGCAAACCGCCGGCAGCGCTACGACGCCAACGCCATGGCTGCTGCCGCGGCGGCAGCCGCAGCGGCAGGATACGACGACGACAGCGGCATCTCGGGCATTGGCCTGACGCCCGTGGACGAGAATGGCACCGCTGCATCCGCGCTCGCCGCGTACCACAGCAGCCCCGTGCCGCCGCCGCCGAGCCCCCACGGCGGCGGCAACAGCAGCGGCAGCGACGTCGTCGTGGGCCAGTCGTTTGGCTCGACGACCTCGCAGGCGGCGTCGGCGACGACGACGACGACGACGACAACGGCGTACCTTGCGCACCCGCACCACCTTGCCCAGGCGCACTTGCATCCGGCGTATACAAACATCATGTACGGCAGTGGAGGCGGCGGCACAGCGACGCAGTATCATCCGCAGCACGCGTACTCGTCGAGCATCAGCTCCGAGGGCAGCCTGCATCCAGGTTACGTCTCGCGACGCGGCAACGAGAGTGCTTGATTTGGGGGTGAGGGGGAAAAAACACTTTCCAAACCTGGCTTGCTCTCGTACTTGGTATTCTCATCATGTTTTTTTTTTCTTGTGCTTTTTCTTTCATCACGGCCCTACTCGCCAGTCACTGCAACGCCTTCTGCTTCTTTTCATTCTGGCCATCTCCGGAGCCTTCCCCCATCTTCTTTTTCTAGTCACTCCTTTAATCTCCTTTGTGTGCTGGCGACTGTCCGTTTTCAATTTCTTTTTTTTCGTATTCATGATATAACCGTGGGGGGTTTAAATTGGCGTCTTGGATTTCTCAATCGTGTTTTATCTTGTTCATTTTCTGCCGTCTTGCTCAGCATCGTCTTTTTTTTTTTTGGTTACGAATTTTCATGAATAACTGACTCACCTTTCTTCTGTGCTGCCTTCTGCGAACCGGTTCTGGGATTGCTCTTGATTTATTGATGACGGTTTGCTATTATAGCCTGTGTTGTTTTTCGTGTACTTATACACACATTTGTTCGATAGCTTGACGAATTCCCCTGGTAATGCATCGTTCACTCAAGCCGTCCAGATGAACAAAAGAAAAATAATGATATTCTATCCATGCAATGAGTTGTATACATCCTTTACAAGACCTGCATGTCCTACAACGACAATGCCAGGCCGCCCCAACCGACCAAAGAGCAGCGCTATGCTCCTGAGTAGACGTCCATGATAAAACAAAAATTGCAGAAAAAAAGTCGTATAATTGTACAACAGGTATCACAGCATGGCATGCCATCACCTACGGGGGAGATCGAGCGCCTTGGCTGCCTCCTTGACGCGATCGGCCGTCATGCCAGCCATCTCCTCGAGCTCTTCCTCTTCCCAGAGGCCCTCTTCGCTTGCCGCGTCGCCAAAGAGGCTGCGCCACGCCCTGCTCCACATGTCCTTCTTCTGCAGCATCGCCAGCATGAGCACGGCGGGCAGATGCCAGACGCTCGCCCAAAAGAGGCCTCTGGCGCTGCCCTTGTGGCCGTCGTGCTTCCAGAAACGCACCGCCTCGCGCGCGAGCCAGAGATTCACGGGCAAGCTAGTCACCGCAAAGGACCATTCGGTGACGCCCGCGGCGCACAGGGAAATGCAAATCGGGATAAAGACGAGGCTGTATCGCAGGGCCACGCGCGAGTTGCGCGCCGAGTTGGTCCAGGCGAGCATGCGCAGGCCTGCGGCCTTGTACTCGTCGCGAATGGGCCAGCTCAGAGCCATGAAGTGAGGGAATTGCCAGGCAAAGAGCAAGCCCGCCAGCAGCCAGCCGCCGATGGAAGAGCCGTCACTGGCAAGAAGCAGCTCCTGCCAGGAGCCATCCTTGGTGGCGGCTTCACCAGCTGCCGCCGCCCAGCCCATCAGAGGCGGGATGCCGCCGACAAGGGCGCCGACCCAGGTATTGAAAGCCGTAACGCGCTTGAGTGGTGTGTATATCCCAGCATAGAGCACGATATTGGCAACACCCAGAAAGGAGACGGTCGGGTTTACGCCAAAGTACAGGCCGCCCGCGCCGACTGCACCAGCCAATATGGCAAAGAAGGCGGCGCTCCGTTTCGGAATGAGCCGTCTCACAAGCGGCCTGTTCCTTGTTCGCGTCATCTTGGAGTCGGTATCGGGCTCGTAGAGCATGTTGAGTGCGTTTGCGCTGGCCGAGCACAATGCCGTGCCGGTTGTGAGGAACAGCAGCGTGAGCGGGCTCAGACTCGTCGTGTCGGTCATGGACGGGGTCAGCATCTCGGGCACGGGGTAGAGGGCGTAGGGGACCATGGCGGTCAGCACCACCAGGAATGTGAGTCGGGGCTTGGAGAGCGAGAGAAAGGTCGAAAAGGTGCGCCGAAAGGACTGCGCGGGTTGTGCGGCGGCCTGCGTCGTCAGGAGAGACGAAGCGTCGGGTGGCAAGGGCGCATCCTCGCCACTGTTTTGTGCAAGCTGTTGCTGTTGCCGTTGCTGCTGTTTTTTTAGTTGCCTCCGACGATGCGGCGGTAATTGCTCGAGGGATTGGCCATCGGAGACTGGTTGTGAGGACGGGCTGTCGGTGGTGGTGGATGCGGCTGTCGCGGTGGATGTCGCGCGCGCATTGCCGGTGAAGACGAGAAATTCGAGGCACCGCGAACGCTCAAACGCCCGATTTGAAAAGAAGAATGTCGCGCCGCCCATTGGTAGCGAAGCGGCCGAGACGCGGGGCGCCTGCGCGGTCGAGGTTGCCGAGGACAGCCATCTGGCCGCTGCCGCAGGGCTTGCTCGGTGAGCGACGGCTGCGTGGCATTGTCGTCGAGATGCGTGCTTCAAGATGTGTACAGACCGCATCTTAGTCGTCCTCGGGTCATGACGCGAACCGCGAGAAGTCCAATGCGTGTCGAAAGCCGCCAGAGCGAGCCGTGGTCTGCGGCGAATTCAGGTCCGAGGTGATGGTGTCGCAAAAGTGACAAAAGTGAAGCCCTGGCTGGAGCTTTTTTTACGCTTGGCTGACGGCAACGCTTCCGGCCCATTCCGTCATGTGACTGGGTCCGCCTGGTATGTGTGTGGATGGGCAACGAAAACGGCTGACATGGAATATGAGATAAGATAAAGTCGACGTGACTTTTATCATATTGCGGCTTTGAGATGTTGATTTGGTTTAATGATTTATGGTGTAGTTGGGTTGTGATGCTGGTGCGTCAGCATCCTGGGGGCAGACTCGATCCGTAAAGCAAATGCACAAGTTTGAAACCCAAAATGGTCAACTTTATTCTATTGAGGTGTTTATCCAGTCTTGAAGAAACAAAAGCGCGCCAACATTAACATAGAAAATCAACAAAATGGCCGCTGCAAACGCCGGTGCTATGCTTCTAGAGGCCATGCTGCCTCCTCATCGACCGCCTCACGGTCAGGTTTCTAGATCCCAATGCTGGTCTGATGCAGGGTAATCTATAGAGATGTATATAAAAGGATGCAAAACGGCCATTCTACTCCCAGGCTCCATTCCCGATTCGCCCTCCGGGACCAAACATGTTGCCATCCTTGACTGCCTCGCTGTACTCGGGCGGCGGCGACTCCCATTTGCTATCGTATGGATCCGGATCGCTCTCCTCGCTGGCCTGGTCAATGTCTGCGTCGCTTGAATGGCCCTGCTCGCTGGTCTCTACGTCCTCAATCGGCGACTCTTGTTGTTGTTGTTGTTGTTGTTGTTGTTGCTGCTGCTGCTGCTGCTGCTGCTGCTGCGAAGATGAGCGCTGTAGCCATGAACCTCGTCGTGCGGGAGAGGCCTTGTCTTCAGAAGTGCTCGCGTACGGCGACGCGGCGTCTGTCCTGGGCGGTGGCGGCGGCGGCGGCTGCGTCTCGCTGGGTAGCGCGAGGGGCGTGGAAAAGTCAAACTCGGCAAACGGGTTGCTCGTGGCAGCGGAGGCAGGCGTCGCGGGAAAGGCGGTGCTCGGCCGCGCAATGTGCATCTGGCTCTTGCTGGCCCTGTGCAGACGCGGCTTGCGCACCGTCGCGGGGGAAGTGCCGCGGCTGCGGCGTGAGCGCATCTCGAGACGCTCCTCCTCGACTGTGTCGTCGTCGGTGACGTCGCCCGGCATGCCAAACGTGTGGGAACGGTCGCCCAAGCTGCGGAGGCATCCGCCCGAGCGGCGTCGATGATGCGGCTGTACGGTGCCTGCCGGTGTGTCGCTCCCGACGGCAGTTGGCGGGATGCCTGCAGAGGGGGCCGAGATTCCGGCGCCGAGCGAGCGCAGGTCGCGCTGGCTCTCGGAGAAGACGACCCTGGTGCGGAGACGGTGCACGGCGTGGTCGAGCGCGAGCTCTATCGCGCAACGGTCGCGTATGCGGCTGAGCTTGGGCCACGTAGCCCTCTCGCCAGCGATGCTGGAGCGCAGCATAAAGTCGGCGCTCGGGTTGCTCAGCAGGCCAGGCAGCTCGGCGAGGCCAATCTCGGGAAGGATGGTAATGTCGCCAAAGTACTTTTGGCTGAGGATACTCTGGCACTTGGTCATCAGGTTGGGGAAGATGCCCATCTCGGCCATGAACTGCAGGCGGTGCAGGGCCTCATCCCTGGCCAGCGTCGTAAACGTGTTGAGCCAGTCAGATTCGTTGGGGAGCGGCTGCTTCGCTTTGCGTAGTTTGGCTCCGGGAGACAGATGGTCGTCCTTGGGCAGAAATGGGACAACGTGCGGGTTGACCTGTGACACGATGAAATGGTTGACGTTGAACATTTCGGCGAGTCGAGTCATGGGGAGATCGTTGTCGACGGAGCCGTCGATGAAATGCTGCGGCGATGGGTTCCAGCGGTGATGCTCGCCAGTAACCGGGTCCTTGACGAGCAGCGGGGACGAATGGAACACAAAGGGAAGGGAGCAGGATGCCGTGACGGCGGACCAAATCATGACATTGGGGGCGGTGACGTAGTTGAGCAGTCGAGGTAGCTCGTACATGGATTCTGTCGAGACGCAAATGTTGAGGATGCGGCGTGTGCGATTATAAGCTTCCTGAAAGGTCATGTCGCCCATCATGGTGCGCATGACGCGCTTGAGGTGTTTGATATCTGACCAGCTGCCCTCGGTGAGTAGACGACGAACGTGGTTGAGCGTGCCAAAGTCGCTTTCCTCGTTGCCAAACACAGCGAGGTCGCCGTGGGGAAAGTCGCGGATGAGGGCGGGAATCTCCTCGTCGCTGCGGGTGCAGAGGACGGCGCAGACGATGCTGCCCGCGCTAGCGCCTGAGATGATGCGCGGCAGCAGGTTGGCCTCGAACAGCGTCTTCAGCACGCCAATATGGGACATGCCAAAGGTGCCGCCGCCCGAGAGCAGCAGCGCGCTGCGGCCAAAGCTCTGACGCGAGAGCAGCATGCTCTCGAGCAGATCGCGGGGCTCTATATCGTTGTTGACGGCGCCGTGGATGACGACGGCATCAATCGTCTGCAGCGCCGAGTCGACGTAGCGCTCAATCAGCGTCTTGGTGCCCAGATAGGAGTGGCGGTAGAGGTCGACGTTGCCCATGCCGCCCAGGTCGCGCGACAGCTCGGTGCGGATGAGGTGCATCATGGTGAGTAGGTCGCCGTTGGCGCGGGCCTCTTCGAGCGCGGTCAGCCGTTCCTCGATAAGGCACGGGTTGTAGTCGCCGTCGGAAAAGTCGCGCTTCCACTCGTCGTTGCCTTCGAGCAGATCTAGTTCCTCGGCGGCACTCTGCCAGTGTTTTAACGTTTCGGCCTGTTGGAAGGGCAATCGGTCAGCAAACGGGCACAGTACAGATGGAGGAATGAGAACAAATCACAAGAAAGGGGAAAAAAATCGAACAACGTACGCTTTTCATGCGTAATGTTAGAATCTGTTTGCGTTCTTCCTTCTTGCGCAGCAGCGCTCTCTCATCGGCGCTCAAGCCATCCTTCCAGTACAGTAGCAGGTCGTTCGCGCCTTTGATGGTCTTGGAGACTTTTCCCACAATGTTGGTCTCGGAAGGAACCTGCAGTCGCTGCCAAGGAGCGGAAGACGCATCTGTCCTGTGCGAGGACGTCGACTTTTTGGGGCTGCTTGGTGCGCGCGCCCTCCGGGGGAGAATGAGGTCAACCATGGCGTGGTGGGGGGCAGCTTGGCGGCGCGTAGTGAACGGTCAAGACCAGTATATCGTTATCAATTTTTCAAATGTTTGGCCAGTTGTACTCCATGCTGTAGACGAGAAGAAAAAGGGCTGCTCAATCAAATAGGCCGCGCTGTAGACAAACGCTCGATCGTGACGGTTCGGAATCGGCGGGCGACTTTTGTAGTGACGTTTTGGCGGGACGAGCACCCCAATGCCGAGGAAGACTGGGGGGGTTCTTGGTTGAGAACTCGAGAGTGCCAATTTAAACTTTATGCTGGTGGATATCAAATAACACAGGCTCAGCGGACTTGTAGGGAAGGATGATGGCTAGGGGAAAGACAGAAAGGATAAACGAGGAAAAGAAAAGAGATGAAGAGAAGATGAAAGAAACGTTGGGACTTGCCCCGTGTTTTCAAGATGCAAATTTACCCAACACGGCGGCATCTTGGCGTGGGTTAGCGAGGGAGCCACCAAAAAGTAAACCCGTGTTTATGACATGTTATGATGAATTATATCTGAACCAGCGCTGGGCCTAACTAGCGCTGGCATGTGCAGAGGCCATCTGACCGCCCCCCCAGCCAAAAAAGGTCCAGGTGACGCTGCTGGCAGACTAATACGCTGATTCCCGACTGGTCAGCGCCGCGCCCTCAAAAACTGGATACAGACAATTAATTACTGCGGGAAGATCGTGGGGGGGGAGGTCATCATCCGAGACAAGGCATCCATCCCCCAACAAACACGGGGAGAGATGCATACATTTTGAATAAAGATTTTCCTGCCGCTGCCCTTGGCCTTATATATGTATTGCTGACTTGGAGAGCCGAGAGCCTGTCGGAGCAAGATCCGATTACGTTACAGCCCATTCTTGCTTTTCCAGCGCATGCATGGCTTCTGTCTGGGCTGAGCTGAATGCAAGACAGTGGATTGTCTTGATTGGGCCACTCTCGAGTCACGACCCGAGAGCCTGACGAGAACTCTTGTTGTATCAACAATAATAATGTCTCATGGCCCGGTTGCCTTCACATGCCTGGTTGAGCCATTTCCTCATCATGTCTGCCCGCTATAACCCCCACAAGGTGCTTTGCTTACCTTACCTACTACGTGGCTGGCTGAATGGTGATCGCTCCCGAGCAGCCACTAGAGACACATCAAGGTAATGAAGCTTCAGCGTAACAAGACACATATGTAGATGAGATCATGGTATATTTGACAAAGTAAAAAAGTCCCCCCTCCTTATGATGCGCCTGTAAACAAAGTAGTCGCTGCCGTCAATGCAAAGATGAATGCTCCGTTTTCCTCCCTACCCCGCTGGCAATCGGCTGTGCTAGTTGCCAGCAACGGGCCCCTCCAATCCTGTCAGACAAACTGACAGGCCACCATCCCATTAGAATAGCTGTTTCGACCTCGTCGCCCGTCATAAAATATCGATATGCATGCTCTTAATTCAATCCACCACTGATGATGTGCTTCCTTCCTCAGATCGACGCCGCGCCTCCGTCACAATTGCGGAGACCCCATCCATGTATGACAATTCCGATATCTGAAATTATGCTTTTACATATTTTCGGGTTTGTCCTCCAGAGCATGGTTCTTCCGGCCAACGCCATTTCGATTCGCAACATTGTTTCAAACGCTGTTCTATGACTGTATTCATGACACTGCTTACCAGTAGCGTGTCGACTCGGCCACGCGCCCAAGTGATATAAGACGGGCATTGCTCTTCTGACATGACAGGAATGCCCAGCTCTACTCTCAATCCTGCTAGCCCCCGTCTTGTAGCCCCAAGGGAGCAGCTGAAGTAGCTTGTTGGATGGTGCTACCGTTGTAGCTCTGGCGCTGCATTTGGCTCGATCGTGACTTGAGCATGTATACGTGCATTGAGAAATGCATTGCCGTATATGCATTGCCATTGCCGTCTTGCGCTGTCCGAGGTCCTTCATCTTATAGCAGAGACACGCTCAGCATGCAGCCTTGCCGCCTCGGTACCGTCATCGCGGGTGCTTTCCTGGAACCAAGGGTGCCGAAGCGCTTCCCTTGCTGTGATTCGATTGTTTGGGTCAAATGCAAACATCTTGCGCAGCAGATCCAAGAAATTGGATAAGAATGGATTTGTTGGTGGTATGATGTTCTGCCACTGTGTTAGCAGCCGAGCCGAAATGATTGCAGCTTTCGTTGTGAGTTGTTACAAACCTCCAGCTTCTTCATATTATTCACAAATCGTCTAGATGCTCTGGTCGTCTCTGTTATCGGATACTCAAGCTTCAGACGCTTGAAATAACTGCATCATTGTTAGCTGGAGCATTTCAAACTTGGCTTGCAAGCCATAGGCTCATGGTAGGACTCACTTGATGGTTCCGGGCTTGGCTGTCTTGAAAGCTTTGTTTGCTCTTTGCACCAAGCCTCGGTCAATGGGACGCCCGCAAACAGCTTCCATCATGGCAAGGTGTTCTCTATTCTCATGTGTTTGGAACAAAGCATCGCCCGTGAACAGCTCAACCAAAATGCACCCAATACTCCAGATATCGCAAGGGTACGACCAATCTAGGCCAAGAATGACCTCTGGGGCTCTGTAGTGTCGAGTCGAGACAACCGAACTATGGTACTCGTCTTCGAATGTTGCAGAGCCAAAGTCAATGAGGCAGATGTCCGGCTTCAGGAGGACACGTCTTTGTTTTACTTGGCGACAAGTTGCTGTGGAGACTGAAGGGATATTGCGGTTATATGTAAAAGCTTGATATGCGCCGTCGTGAAGAAGGATATTTTCGGGTTTCAAGTCTGTGTGGACAAGCTTGAGATCATGCAAAACTATTCGAACAAGTCAGTTTTGCTCTAAGCGGAGCAGGTGAAGATTTCTTACAAGCAACGCTAGTGAGCAGCTGATGGGCCATGTTTTGAATGTGGCTGTTGGGAAAGGGGGCAAAGCTATTCGACTTGAGGAAATCGAATATGCTCGAGTCCAGCAAGCCCATGGTGATGCAAATATGACCCTTGTAGTCAAAACTATCTCGGGGATGAATGCATCTATATCGGTTCGTCGGGTCATTTTTTCGTAGGGTCTGTAATACTCGGAGTTCGATTCTCGCGGCGTCTCGGTATTTTTGTATCGACCGAATAATTTTCAAGGCAACGTGCTCTTGTCGAACCATGTCGTAGGCCTTGACAACCTTGCCGAACGTGCCTTGCCCGAGAAGTTTCTCGATTCGATCTGGAAAATTACTCGTTAGATATGTCGAGTGTCTTGGGTTGAGCAAATTCTTACATTGCCGTCCGACACGCTGCTCGGGAATGATGATAAAGTGCCCGTCCTCGTCGTCAACAGAGGCGGCGCTACCGTGGCTTCTCTCCTGCGTATCGTTAGGAAATTGGCTCCCGTTATTCTGAATTCGAATATTTGGCAACATACGTCGTGAACAACTCGAATATCGGCGGTCAAAACTCTTTGAGTCGGAAGACGTGGTGGTTTGTATTCGTCGTATTTTGGTCTTTTGACAGACGCGGCACTCAGACTGGAGCTAGGAGTGCTGTCAGGAGGGTCGCCAACCCTTCGTCTTTTCCGACTCAGGATTGACTCGGAATGGCTTGAGTATATGCTTGAACCATTCGTGGTGATGTTGCCGACCGAGCCGACGTCCGAACGCTCAGGTGCTTTTCGCTTTCTCGCGCTCGAGAGGCCATTCTCGGCGGCCGGATCCGGCAGCACTGCTCTGGTGGGAGCATGGCTAGGTGCAGGATCGGGCGAGTCCTCAATCACAATGACCTCTTTTGGCAGGCCATTTTTGTAAAAAGAATTCCAGTCGGGCTCGCGAGGTCTTCGTCGAGGCGCGCAATCTGAAGCGCCGGGCCGGTGCTGCGGAGCGACGGCTGCAGACATGGCAACGAACGCTGTTGTCGATTATCGAATCTTTTTTTCGAGGGTTTTAAGTGTTGATCATGGTGAAATGGGGTTTCTCGTTCCAAAACAAAAGTGCACAAGTGAAGCAGGGCTGTGGTCTCGCTGTATTGGCTCGTCTATGGACAAGCATTGGACCATGGGATGGTACTTTGGAAGCGAGCGGATTAAATATTGACCCGCCACGATTGCCAGTGTTGACGAGCTAGGGGTGGCGCGGTGCACGAACGGACACAATAAAACTTGAACTATGCAACACTGAATCAGCGCAAAAGAGGGGGTGAAAAAAGTCAAGTGTGGCTTTGCCAGAACAAGTTTCAATCGACAATTTTTATCTGACTCTTTTTTTTTAGTGTGAATCCACGTTGTAACAACTTTTAAAGATATCCCCTGGCGCGGATACACGCGGGCCTGCACAGATGGCCTGCACAGATGTTATGAGACGGTTTCAAGCACCTGATTTGCTGATCAGAGATTTGAACAGGAGCAATGGCAACGCGAGGCATTGCCTCTCCCAAAACGGGCAAAGGGCATCTCTGACCACCAAACTAAGGAACAAGGCGTCAAAACCTTCTATTACAGTTCAATCACCATCTTGATCTCAAGTAGGCCAGAACTAATCCCGCTAACAAAACGAGGGGTGGCTGCAAGGCTGGTGATGATGACGTGTGGGGCATGCGCAGGCTAACTGATCATCGCACTGTGACCAGACTGGCAGGATCCCATTTAGTTATGCCAAGAGTAAAGAGTACACATTTCCTGGTAAATCTTGAATCGTATAGTCAACTGGAAAACGAATTTTGCTCATCCCGCTACAAAAGACCGACGGCCACTTTGGCTATCTTGAGCTATATCGAATAAACATAAATACCGCCATGACTTTAGTTTCTATGTGTGGCTCTACTGCATTCATCTGCTTAAATTTGGTTCCCAAGCCCTCATTATCTACACGTTGAATTTACCTACACCCTTTGATTCATCATTTGTCCTAATGCTCTTTTTCATTCTTGTTTTCTTTCTTTCTATTTCTCGTCAAGTTTCTCCTGCGTGCTTCTCCTGCTTCAACTAGTCAGCACCAATTTCAGCGTGGCCTCGTATTGTCACAATTTTGGGCCGTCACCACCATGAACAGCCACAAAGGTAATTCCCAGTCACATGCTGAAGGATCTGGTCAGCTCTATAAACAAACAAACACAATGCCTAGAGACCACTTTTCACTGCTCTAATGTTCGGGATTGGCATCATGGAGTTTGCATCTATAGCATTCTCTGCGTAAGGAGCCCATAAGCAGAGAACGTCTTGGCGCCTGGACTTTCTGATTTCTCGCATTGTTACTGCGTCATCAGCGCTCCTCTCCCTTGCCATGATCTCGACATGCGATATGGAGGATAGCTGTAGGCTTCTCAACCCGCTGTCGTTGCTGATATACAAGCCCACGCCAGTTTGTCTGCCGCATGACATTCGGCACAGAGTCTAGATTGGTTCACGACCCCTGTGAATGTCGTCTTGCAGCTATATTTGGTCGCTGGTAGCCTTGCAGCATATTCATCGTCACCCATTTGTCGGGAGTACTGCAGTGATTGCCATTCTCACTGCTGGTACCCTGTTCAAACCAATTTTCGGTCTGGGGCTGCTCAGTTTATAATAAAAACACTATGGTTTTCCGGTTCGAGATCATGGGTTACTGGTCAGGGGGTAGTAGGAGCGACAGGCATGCCCTCCCGCATGCCTCCTCAGCCAGAACGACGAGTCAAATGTAGAACGAATCCGTTATGGGCATGAAAACCATCACAGGCTGTCCTGTCATAAGTGGTAGCACCCAAGTGGCTATTGTAAACAAAACCTGACAGGCTTCAATGATGGCGCCTCCACGTACAAGTTGGTATCTCGTGAATTTCATTTCAGACCTCTAACGATGTTCCTCTCGCGTCTCATCATGAACTGCCAATTCTGCTGCGTAACTTTGCCGTGAGGGCTGTGCCCCAATGCTACCCGTCGCAGAGCCCACACTCATGCGAGGGTCGGCAACGCCACTCTGCAGACTTTGCGACCAGCGAGGATCTGACGGCGTCATTGATGACCTCTGTGAATTCTGCATCCCGGGACTGGGCTGCGGCGAAGAGAAACTCCCCGAGTTTATGTACCGGTAGTCACCGGGGAGCTCGAGCACTGTGGACTGTTCCTTGGGAGTCCCGGGTGGTATATGGTAGCTGTTGGCATATTGTTGCGTAGATTGTTGAGGGGGAGGAGGCGGCGATTGTGGATATGGCGGTGATACGGGATTGGCACTGGAATACATTGAATTGTGGCCCAGCCGGGGTGAGATGAGGCTGGCTGTTGGCGAGAGCGCTGCTGGCGAGAGCGGCAGGCTGGAACGATCATTTGGGTTGACAGTTTTGAGCTTTCCATTTTCAAACATTGCTTGCAGGACACCAGAATCCAGTAGCTCAGCCTTTTTGATGATGCGATCCACCATGTCCTTGCAGGCCTTTTGCATTTCCGACTTGACAAAGCTCATCATGGCAATATTGCATCTAATCTCGGCCTCTTGGCGCAGATACAAGCCGCTCGAGGGGATCCCTAGACTTTCCATGCCAAGTTCGCGCTGCTCCAGCGGCTCGACGCCAGGCTGGTTGCCGCCGATGCGGTATTTGTTGCGCAAGTCGACGTTCAAGGGCGCGTAAATGTGCGTTTGCAGGCCCCAGGGCATGTCGTGGAAGCAGCCGTTAAAGGTGATTTGGCCGGACCCCATCTTGCCCACGCCCGGGATGAACTGCACCCTCTGGGTGATTTCGTACCAGGTGCTGTAGTATTCGTCGGCGGCGGCATTGCGAGGCGCGGGGATTGGCTTGTGGCTCAGGACCAGCGGGTTCAGCGAAATGACTTCGCTGTGCGATTGCAGAATGTCGAGCGCTAGCTGTCGCGGAATGTAGCCCGGTATCGGCGTGACGACTGTGTAAGTCTCCTTCTTGCAAAGCATTGTCACGGGAAGCTATGCGCCGTGTAGAGCGAGCGCCCGGCAACTTCTGCAATCGCCGTATTCGACTCGACGGGTAACTATCGATCAGCTCTGGGGTCGTACCGTGTCGCAACTAATTGCCCTTTTCGATACCGTTTGTCGGCGGCTTGTAAAATCGTTGAATCTCGCGAAAATCGTCTCTTTGCTGGCTCATAGCACTCGCTGTATTTATGCGTAATGATGCGGAACAATAATTGTCGTGAAAGAAGAAACAAAATGTCTTTCAACTCTAGCTAGGTAGTTGGTGACACGGGGACCCTCAGCCTTAAAACAACCTTGCTTGGGTGACCCTAGATGCTCCAGCTAAGGAACGGCAGCACTCCAGTACAGTGAGTTGCGTGGATCCCTAAACAATCATAGGTAGCCAAAGAGCTTCTTAATTGACTAGTGGAAACTTGGAGTCAAACTTAGCGCCCTTTCAAGCCAAGCCTGCCATTACTCTGCCCCAATTGCTCCAATAACAGAAGACAGCGTCGCAGCCTGGTTATGCTCAGCCCCTCTCAACTGTGAGCTTACAGATGGGGGGCAATCCAAGGAACGAGCCTGACTCCAACAATTGTTGATAACTAAGCATCTCCGATGATGTGCTGGTCATAATGGAGGGTGGACGTCACTCATTATTCGCCGGTTATGCAAGCCCGAGGCCGCCGAAACACGCAATCAAAGCTGTGATGGCATACATGGCCGCATCATCAAGTTTGTAACGTGCGGAGGTTCCCAAGGCTCCGTGCCCGCTTTCCAGCCTACGTAACTATTTCAGCGTATGACTCTTGATTGTAGTCTTTCTTTCTTTTTCTAACATCATTATTAAAATATAAACATAATTCGATTTCCATCAATTCGAGATGAAATTGAGCACTGTCGCCCTCTCTCTATGTGCCACTGGCGTTGCCGCCACTCCGCACAAGTCCGCCCAGGCGCATGAGCCCAGCACCGAGGACTTCTTCTCCTCTCTGTGGTGGAAGGGCGTGGCCTCACTGGAATCATTCCCGGGCGCCGTAAACGCAGTGGCCCAAGACATTCAGCACACCACGGTGGATGCCACTGCTAATGCTGCACAGCATATCCGCCACCAGGCGCTCCAAGCGCTCAAGAGCCTCGACCGTCCCAAGCACGGAAAGGGCCCCAAACTCACCATCTACCAGACCCTGCAGGAGCTGGAGGGTGCTAGCAAGTTTGCCAAACTCTTGGACGACTTTCCCAAGCTCGTCGACACGTTGAACAGCACCGACAGCGAGCACACGCTTTTCGTGCCGCTCAACGGAGCCTTTGATAAAATTCCCGACAGGTTCAAGGACCCCAGCAAGGAAGTGCTTGACAAGTTTCTACACTACCACATCGTCTCTGGTACCAAAAAGGCCGTGGACGTCGTGACCAGCTACACTCTGGAAAGTGAGGCTCGGGAGCGTGGCCTGGGTGGCGATCATCAGCGAATTCGAGTCGGCGCTAGCCTGGCGGGAGTCACGCTGAATGGCTACTCCAAGATCAAGGCTGTAGACATTGTAGGTTTTTTCATATCAACATCTTGGGGGAAAAATCAACTTGTTTGAATCGGATGCTAATTAATTAATGTCTCTTTTGCTAGAAAACTACCAATGGTGTGATTCATGCCATCAGCGACGTGCTCGCGCTGCCACCACCAGTTGGGCCAATCCTCACCTTCTTCCCAGCCTACTTTTCGACGCTGCTTCTGGCGTACGAAAAGACCGACTTTATCAAATTCATCCACAGTCAGCATATTCAAGGCAGCACCTTTTTTGCACCCAGCAACGAGGCGTTTAAGCGTCTGGGTGCCAAAGCCAACGCGTTTCTCTTCAACACGAAAAAGGGCGCCAAGTACCTGGATGCGATTCTAAAGTACACCATTGCTCCCAATGCGACAGTGTATAGCGACGCATTCTACGATAAGAGAACGGGCTCGGGCTCGAGCAAGGCGGCACACCAAGATCACTACAGCTTGGAAACATTCCTGCCTGGTGCGTCAATTGGTATCGACATTGCCACTGTTTTCGGGTTCCGTGTCATCAACATCAACGGCTTCACGGGCGTCAGGTTCCACGACGCGATTGGCAGCAATGGCGTTCTCCACGTGGTGGACAAGATCATCTTCCCGCCACACAATGGAAAGCACGCCGAGACGTCGGATATTAGCGTCGATGAGCTGAAGGAGACGCTCGCTTCGTATGTGACCGAAGAGTCGGAAGAGGCTGATTGGGAAGAGCTATAGTTTGAGTTCGCTCTGCCGCTGCTGTAGGAAGTGTCTGGCAACACTGGATTCACTAGGTACACAGTATCAAAGTCTCCCCTCCATGCTTCAATGAGATGCATTTTATGCTCAGCTGTCTTGCTTGGAATATTTGAAACAAGACTCCAGGCTATTATTCCCCTCCTTTAGTCAAATTCGTAACAGTACTGCCCTATCAAAGCCTCTCTCACATTGGCGATTGTCGGATGATGGTGTGTGGTGGCTTTTGCTAGCCAACTAGCATGCGCGAAACAAGCCGCCGCCACTGTGTACTTGATCAACTTGACCGCTCTTCCTATTTCCTGTTTGGTATTGACTATTTGAATGTCGTAAACCATCGGAAAGTGTCGTACGGTCGGGATTCATGCCTACTCTCCCAAGCAATCCTCTAGCTCCAGCTGCGGCTCATGCCGCAGCCCACAGATGCATGAGCAACTAGCCATGCGGCTGCAGAAGCAACTAAATCCTCGTTACAAATCTATTGGCAAAGAGGATGCACCAACCGATGCCGCTAAGCCTCCACCCATTCGAGTTCAGAAAGACGGTTCGGGGGGGAGCGAAAGAAGAAATGGGCCCCGCGGACCAAGACGCGATGTATGACTTGCCGGTGGGTGTAAAGCAGTATCTGATATTAGTTTGGCGACGGGATGCTGGGCAGGCCGATTCAAGTACAGCTCTGACTTTCTGTACAGTATTCGGCGCGTCAACTGCAACGAAGCAAGACCGAGCTGCTCTCAGTGCAAAGTCAAAAAGTCAAACTTTGAATATTTTCGTCTCCAGTGACTGATCTTGATACCAGGCGTCTCGACGAGGCGTGTATCTGAAAAGGAATATAGGCTGGGAAAAGTCAGCACGGTTGTCGTTTTCATAGAATTTGAGATTTCGTCAGTCCGCATAATTCCAGCATTATTGAAAGTGGCTCAAATAAAAATTCTCAATTTCTTTCTACTGCCAACGAGAGTTTCTGTAGATTTTCCTGCAGCTCTGCCGCGCTCTTTACAAATTGCTCCTCCAATGCGGCACCAGTGTACGGACCTGGTAGCCACCACGGTGCAATATTGTCCGCGACACGCTCAAGGCAACGAGCCGTCTCCCAAACCGATGCGCTTATCCCCGCTGCTGGAGTATCTATGCCTTTGGCCTCCAATTCCGCCAAGTACTCGTTGTACAGGGTGTCGGGCCAGTCGCCCTCGTTGCCGACAGCGTCGTTGAGAAACTCCTCCACGGGTGCGAAGAAGCCCGCAAACTCAAAGTCGACTATTCCCGAAACCTGGGGAGGCGAGCCGGTCACGAGTATATTTCTCGGTGACAAATCATAGTGTGTAAATACGAATTCGCCTAATGTGTGCTTGTGTGGGGGGGTCAGAGTGTGAAGTTGTGGCAGTGTATCTTTGATGAATCTTTGTATCTCGGGAGCGAGGTGCCGATTTCGAGCATAGTTTTGGGAGCTTTCAAGTTGCTCGAGCTTCTTCTCAAGCTTGAGGGTATACTGTTGCGTGACGCTGCTGATGGGTGTTGCGATTCGCAGCTCATCAACCAGGATGCCTCGAACCACGAGATGATGTGGCTGAGGGCCAGAGTTGGGCACAATGGAGAAATCTGGCTCAGACGCGTGCAGTTCCTGATGAAACTGTATGTTGCCGAGATACCTTTGGGCAGGAATACTAGTCCTCCAGCTCGCGGCCATGCCCGCAAGCTGCCTCATGATATCCAATCTTGCTGCTTCGTCGAGGTCGCAAGCTGGCAAGGGTGTTCCGGGAAGTCGTGACATTAAGATCCATCCTCCATGATTTTTTTCATTCTCTGGAATTGAAAGAATGACGTCTTTCTTCTCCAAGCCGCATGGATTCGACAGACTAACAGTAACGCCATCCTCTGACCAAGCAAACACAGTCGGTGTTGGGATTCCCGGGCAATACTGCCCTACAATTTGGAGACAGCCAACTTCATTCTGAACCTTGTCGGCCAAGAAGAACTGCCCGTTGGCCTTGAGGACAAGCTCCCTCTCCGTGGCATCCGTGTCGCGGAAAATTGAGCTCTGCCATTTACGCCGAACTTTGACAAAGTATAGCCGATTGTTATAGCCTTTGTTTATTTCGAGTTCGGAATGCGATATTAACTCAACCCCGGGGAATGCATTGTCGATGAGCTTTTCTATCGTTCTGGGTGCAACGTGAACGTTGTACCTCGGCTCATGCGGAGGAGTCTGTGGCCGCGACATGGTCCGTGATTGCATGTGCAAACTTGTAGAAGGATCAGGGGTTTCATTCTTCGCGTATGAGAAAACATGATTGTATTTGTGTCGGAAGCACACTATTTACACTTCTGCGCATCGCAACTAGTTCTGCGCGTTCTGCGAGGCTGCTTAGCGTCTGTCTTGCAGTCGGCATGAGTCACGCCGTAAACAAAGCAATGATTTACACATAACCATAGAATTCAAGGACAATATTACATTCTTATATAGCTATCGGTCTGGAAGCAGAACTTGATCCGTCATAATTCTTCATTATTTCAGTATTCGCATGTGCAGCTGTTTTTGGTTGTGATGTATTCACTTTTGACGCTCGAGCGACATTCGAGTAGTACAGCAACCTCACCCTAGGGAGCATCTGGATCCGGGTTATTGAACCATTTCCTCTCGGAAAGACCTTCCGCAGAAAGCTTCATTTCTGGCTGCGGCTCCAGTTCCAGAAGGACTACATCATTCTTCTCCTTCAATATGCTTCCCGGAACATAGAGACTCTGCTGGGGACCAACCGTCCAGTATCTTCCCATATTCACACCATTAACCCAGAGAACACCCTTGACAGCGCTGGGTACGGTAATGAATGTATCGCCACTGGGATCTGCCGAGGCTCCCTTGGGCATGCCGAAAGTGCCAGTGTAAAAGACTGGAGTGTCATTCTTTTTGATCGTATGCTTCTTGTCCAGCCCTGACGGCAGCTTGTCCAATGGAATCGAGTACATGGCCCAGTTACTGAGTTTTTGGCCTCCAACTGTGACGTTTCCGACGATCCCCTTGACCTGCTCCTTGAGACGTTGGCGCACATCGACACGGCCCAGGTTCTCAACCAGAATATGAAGCGTGTCGCCCTTGTTCAACGCTACCGTGACAGTTGCAGGCGTCTTGTAAATTGTGTCCACTACACCAACACGCACACCATTGACATATATCATGGCACGGTCACGAGCCCCATCACCAATTGTGACATTGCCCTTGAGCTCCTTTGTCACTGCATATTCGTAGAGAACGTAACCGTATGCCTGCTTCAAAGCATCCATGCTAATGGGGTCGTTGGCCTTCTTAGTAGGTGCGCCTTTCAGATCAAATAGGGCCGCCCCCGATTGGAGCTTGAATGCCGGGACTGACGCTCGCTTTGGAGTGGTAGGTACATTCGGAATACTGCCTGCGGGCACGTGCTTGGAAATCATCTCTCGGAGGCTGTAGTAGACATCTGTGGGACGACCACTCTCATCTAAAGGCGCGCCGTAATCGTAGCTGGTCGTCACAGCGGCCAAGGGACCATCATCCCGAATCCCTCCGTTTTCAAAGCCGAAATTCGTACCTCCGTGAAACATGTAGATGCTAAAGGAGTAATTCCCGGCCAGCGTCCAATCCAAGTCTCCCACAGCCTTGTCGATCTTGGTCTGCGAGCCCGAACTCTGCTGGTGGGAGTAGTCGCTACCCCATTGATCGATCCAAGTTATGTAGTATTCTCCGTTTAGCTGTGGGCCGAGGCTTGTTGGATCGGTGACATATTTATCGCGAGCTTCGAAGCCGGTTTTCGAGTCGCCGTCAATGACAGCCAAAACGCCATGAAACTGTCCACCCTCGAGGTAGGATTTGCCACCACCGTCGTTGGTGTACAGGAAAACGTCAAAATTATCGTGAAGCATGGCTGCCAAAGCGGCAAGGTATTCCTTGTCCGTGCCGAAGCTACCGTACTCATTCTCGAGCTGGGTCATCAGGATGGGCCCGCCTTGCGTAATTTGAAGGCTTCCCAGCTCTTTGCCAACGCGATTGATGTACGACTTGGCAGCGTCGAGAAATGGACCATTGTTCTGGCGCACCGCCATCCCCGGGACTTGGCTGAGCCAAGCCGGGAAGCCGCCCCAGTCGCGTTCGCCGCAAATGTAAGGACCGGGCCTGAGCACCACCTTGAGACCTTCTTCCTGCGCCAGACGGAAAAACTCGGCGACATTGTTGCGGCCTTGGAAATCCCATTCGCCGGGGCTGGGCTCGTGCAAGTTCCAATAGAGGTAGCTGAAGATTGTGTTTAAGCCCATGGCACGGGCCATCTTCAGCCGATGCGTCCAGTATTCGGGCGGGATTCGCTGAGGATCCATCTGGCCCCCGATGATCTGATATGGCTGTCCATTGAGAAGAAACTGGTGGCGATTGTAGCTAAAGTTGCCAGGAGTGGAAGCGCCTCCAGCAGCCACAGCCGCTGAAAGTGCCGAAAGGGCAGCCAGGGCTCCCAATAATAGTTTCATAATGTGTTCGTGACACTGAGACGTAGAGTGGCTGAATTGTTAGTGCAATTTTGGGCAGCCACAGTATTGACAAGCAAGGAATTCGAGATGGCGGGGTGCAATGGCTTCTTTTTGAGTAAGCCTAGTTATATACTCCATATCTATCCATAACATAAATTATGTAATAATCTAAGGAATGTCGCCTCCTGTATCTCGTGACGCATCGTAGCAGTAAAGCATCGTCACCTTCCCAGTTGGGTGGCAAGGTGGACGCAGACACTGCCGAAGGAGACGGCAGCAACTAACTTAGTTATTAACTACCTTGGTTGTTTAACGGTAGATTAGGATGGTTTTGTGGAGTTTGGCGAACCCAAAATGATTGCCACTCCAAGGTCCCGTTCTAAAGCCGTCGGGTCAAGTTGGGTATCTTGCTGCTCGGGCGGGGGGGCCGCTATTAATGCCAATTTGCGGATCGACGGGTCACGATCCCTCTTGAGCAGCTGCCAAGAAATCTTGCTGATTGATTTGAGACGCCAGAGCATACATAATAGTCGATCAATTTGAAAGATATAATCCATACAGTATCCCCCAGCATTGCACGTCTGCTGTAGAGGTCCCGCACTGGAAGCCATGTAACCCTGGCGTGTTAATGGTTGCATGCGCATTGCTCCATCCACCAAGATATAGATGTAACAATGTCACCAGCCTACACGACAGCCTGCAGTTGCCACCGTAATCTACTGTCGTAACCGGAAGCCAGGATGAGCCCTTGATGTTACCTTGGAGACAGGGCAGAAGCCGATAAGCCGAACACATTGACAGTCTGTGTGTCGCTGCCCTGAGTTCCACTTCCAGGCGGCAGGCACAGCTGTTTGTCCACGGCAGAGTGACAGGCGATCAGCAAAATCAAGTTCAGACAAATTCGCTAGTGCTGGCCACGTTGATAGATAGAAATCAGATGGACCAACTCTATAATTGTAGGCGAAAATCAGATATAAGAAGGGTAAGCTTCCTTGAGAGTAAGAGGAATGAAATGGAATGCCAGATGTTTCTAGCATCTTATTACATGTGCCACGCCTAGCTATATAAGTGCCTAGGTACAGTAGCTAGCCAACCAACGTGGCCAGAACAGTGGTACTAGGTTTTTAGGTACCTAGTTAGCTAGAGGGTTGGCTGGTAGGCTGGCTGGTAAGTCGCTATAACGTACTTACTGTGCTTGAGTGGCCTGGCACTTAAGTAATCGCCATAATTAGATTGCTGCTCGAATATACCTGGAGGCACTAGGGAGTATTAGGTACCTGCCTAGGTAGTGCCTTTTCCACCCAATGCTTTCAATCAGGTAATGCCTTATATTTTCGCGTGGGGGTTATGGTTCGGCCTGTGCAACTGGAGTTCCACACATATTAGCTAGAAGCCATCCAAAATGTGTTCAAAGTACAAACAAGTCAGCGAGGTGTTGCAGCTCTGCGTTTGAAAAGCACCGAATACCTGTAAATTACTTGAAATCCAGGCGATGGATCATGACCATTCCGAAAGAAGCGCCCAGCATGTCTGTCACGTGCCGCTGTTGCAGCTTCTCCCAGTTACTGGCTTAATCAAATATCCCATGCAGGGCTGAATTCCCCCCCTCTCTCTTGTCAATTTCCCTTTTGCCTTCCAAACATTCGCCATTCTTTCTTTATAGAATCCATGCATTCATTAGACATAGCCCCGAGAGAGGACTACACAGTTGGATGGGTCTGTGCTCTGCCCGTTGAGATCGCAGCAGCTAGAGCGCTTCTGGACCATGTTCATGGTGAGCTTCCGGCGGATCTGAGCGAGAATGACCCCAATAGCTATGTGCTGGGAAATATACAGGGCCACAATATCGTGCTCGCACACCCGCCATTCGACTCTTCCGGAACCACATCCACCGCCGCGGCTGATGCGCAGATGCGTCTAAGGTTCAAATCGATTCGGTTCAGCCTTATGGTAGGCATTGGAGGAGGAGCACCAAGTGAGAAGAATGATATTCGCCTTGGAGATGTTGTTGTGAGTAAGCCAACATCGACTCGGCCTGGCCTGATCCAACTCGATCTTGAGACCAAGTCCGCGGGCAATTCGAATACCGGCAAGGCTGCACTGAGCAAGCCATCAACTTTGCTTCTCGCCGCCGCCGGCAAAGCTGAGACGATTGCTATCCTTGGGGAGAGTATGATTCCCTGTTACATCGCCGAAATTATAAACAAGGATGCCCTCACTTTTACGCGCCCCACGGCAAACAAGAATGTCTTGTGCGACTCCCGTTGTGAGCGCACAAGCACCGAATCCGCGAGCGGAGAGTGCAATGATTGCAACGCGAATGAAACCTATTACCGGTCACCACGGCAGACGCAAGTCAATAAAGTCCATTATGGTCTAGTTGCTTCGAGCACCCGGCCGGTGTGCCATGGCGCGACGCGAGACAGCCTAGCTCGTAAGCATAGCATCCTTTGTTTCGAGACTGAGGCTTATGGCCTCAATGGCACTGATCAATGCCTGATTATTCGGGGTATCTGCGACTATGCCGATTCTCACCGTTGCAATCATTGGCATGGATATGCAGCAGCAGCATCAGCAGCATATGCCAAGGAGATCCTGTTGCAGATTACCGAGGCTCCGACACTAGTATCTGTGGAGGCCGGCATGCATGCAGCGGCCGCAACTGTTCTAGATGCTTTGCTCTTGACCAGACCTGAGGTCGACCGAAGCTCACTCATTGCGCTGAAAGGGCGGAGGGCGGAAGGAACCTGCGAATGGCTTGTACAGCACCCAAGCTATCAAGAATGGCTTTCAGGCGCAGATCCACCGCTGCTTTGGATCTCGGGTGGACCAGGAAAAGGCAAAACTATGCTGGCAATCTACATCACGGAAGCGCTTCAACAAAACGTTGCCTTATCTAAGGATGTTCTACTTTACTACTTCTGTAGTAACCGCGACAGTAATCGGAATACGGCAGTGACCATCATGAGAGGCATCATTCATCAATGGCTCACTTTTCATCCGCAGTTGGTACAGCACATTAAAAAGTATTTTGAAGGATCTGAGACAACCAAGTATACCCTTTCGACTTTTAGTTCACTGTGGAGATTATTCTTGATTCTCATGCAGCGAACTCCATCTCGTCAGGTGGTATGTGTGCTCGATGGCCTAGATGAATGCGAAAGAGACACTCTAAGGCAACTTCTCGATGCCATAGGTGAGTCTATTTCGAAGCATGGGGAAGCGACATCGGCACATCTAAAAGTCATCCTCCTCTCTCGCCCACGACCGGAACTTCTAGAAAGCAAACTCGGGCACTATCGGCGGATTAAACTTGACGATGCGGATGTAGAGATTGCGCAAGATGTTGAGAAGTACATCTTTGCTAAAGTTGCGGAACTTGCATCCGAACAATCTCTTTCCGAGGACATGCTGCTTCAAGTTCGACAAAAGTTGATGGCTGGCGCCGAGGGAACATTTCTGTGGGTGGGGTTTGTTGCAGATGAGTTGAAAGGGAAGAGCTGGCACAAAATCGTACAGATTCTTCAAAGACTTCCCAAAGGCCTTGGCGGCATTTACCAGCGGCTGTTACAGCAGGTCGAAGACAAAGAAAAGCTAGTTCCCGTCCTCGAATGGATCGTTCTCGCGGCGCGTCCTCTTACCGTCGATGAGTTGACAGCCGCAACGAGGACCACAGCATCAAATGATTTAACGTCGACCGAGGTGATGAAGAGCCAACTAAAGTCATGCGGACTGTTGGTGAAACTTGAAGGGGAGGTAGTGAATCTGGTCCATGAGTCGGCAAAGGAGTTCTTCCAGAGCGACCAAGTCAACGTGGAAGGAATCAACATGTTTTACATGAACCACGCTACGCATCAAAAGCTAATGCGGGCCTGCCTGAAACTCATCGAGGAGAGTTACACGTCTTTGGATGGCGTTAGCGACAAAGCTGTTCGTACTGCCCTCTTACCGTATGCTAGCGTGTACTGGCCAGAACATTTCCGACATGTGAATGACAACTCTTCCGAGCTCTCCCGTCAGTTCTTCCAGGCTGAATCTCTAGTTCGGAAGCAATGGTGGGAGTTGTATTGGGACCAGGAACAATATGGCGGAGCCCCTCCTTCGTTCACTCTCTTGCATTTGGCTGCTTACTTTGGAGACATATCCTGGGCGAGAACCTTGATTCACCATTATGGCTCCGACCGGACATCTCTCACAAACCTTCTTTCGAGAAAGGATAACTATGGCCGGACGCCCCTTTTTTGGGCCGCTACCCAAGGCCACAAAGATATGGTGGAACTATTGCTGGATCATGGCGCTCGAATCAATTCCAAGGATCGAAGTAAATTGACAGCACTCCATATCGCAATCACTGGTGGGCACAAGGATGTCGTTTCCGTGCTGCTAGACCGGTCCGCGTCGATCGAGAGTAAAGCCAGTTACGGTGACACGCCGTTGATCCGAGCCATCCAGGCCAACTCTGAGGAGATTATTGAGCTTCTTCTCGAACATGGTGCACGAGTTGATGGACTGCCCAGCTCACCGGGATTTCCCCCCCTAAAAGGGCCGATGGATCCAATGGAAGAGCGTGTGAAACAATTGCTGGGGCTTCAAGAGCAGCTCTTTGTCGCGAGATACAAGAATTCGTCGAGACTGGTTGGATTCGGCATCAGAACCCTGACACTTTCCTTTTACTTACCACCTCTTCTCAAAGTAGTGAGATTCTATCTGAGGTACTCCTGGATCGGACGCTGGGAGGTAATGCATGTCTTGCAAGACCTCGTCAAGAATGGCAAGACGGATAGACTACGAAGATGGGCCGAGGCATTCATCAAATTCGGCACCCATATAGTTGAGACCGAGAACACTAAAAACTTGACGGTGATGACGGCACTGTCTGTCCAGATCTTCGAAGTGGTTTCTACTGCAGATCTGAAGGCACTTCTAGTGATCGGGGTCCTTGTAGGGTCAGCCGTCATTCTGGCGGCGGCTCAGCGCGAATGGAGAGAAGGTGTAGATATTTCCGCCAGGACATTTGCACAATTTGCTTCCATGGCCTATCACAGAGACGCCGGAGAATCACTGCACTACGGGGTTCGTGAGTTCCTCGTCGACTTCGACCGCTGTATTTGGAGCGCAAAAAGAGATGAGACTGTGGCCCGAACGATGGTTCTCTTTACCACGCACTTAGCCATCCTCGAGACTCAAGATGAGCTTCCGATCCAGTATTTTTCGACAGTCATCGCTGAATATTTCGAAAAATTTATCGGCGGCGGCCATGAAGAAAAACTATTCAATGATGCGAACCAGGCGTGCGCCAAGGAGCTCAAGGCTATCAGCAAAGGCTGCGATTCTCACAGACTACTTCTTTTTCTGACTGCTATCGTTCAATTTGCGCAGCGCTCGAGGAACAAGGGAAAGGATCGATTCCTGAACTTGCCTCCCGCATCGTGCCTGATCCTTTGTCAAGGTGAACCAAATGCCCATCGCTGGCTGATTGCCGAGGCAGTCCCGGAAACAATGGGTAAGTTGCTATCAGAACAAGACTCAGGACCCATCAGACAACGGATCTTTCAATCGCTCGTTGAGTGCCTTGTTGTTGGAAAGCAATATGGCTTGACAATGCCTGTCGCACAGCGCGAGAAGGTGAAGCAATATCTTGGCGTGATGGGCGGGGCAGATGCAATGCTCAAACAATTCCTCATGTCAGAGCTCTCTGAGAGCCATGAATTGCTTCACGCAGTGTGATTGGGCGAGACTTGGTTCTGTAGATGCAATCATCTTTAGCCAAGCAACTGCGCATGTTCAACACGCGGGAGATGGCGATTGCCAACAATGACAATTCAGCCGCGTATTACAAATACAAGCAAAGATTTGATAGAGAAAGCCGCATTCTCGGACTAAAAACAGAGAAGTTATTCAGAGACGTTCAGGCTTTTACAGTAGCTGATCTGTGTACCGATTGACGGTCCACTGTGAGGTTTCTATGCTAGTACATTGGGTGACAGCTCCACACAATTCCATCTCTTAACCAGAATTTGCCGGTTTATCCAATATGCCCTAACGTTGTCCACCGGAAGTCATATCCATCTACTATCTCTAGCCTGCTTTGTGCGCGGCCTGGATTTTGCAAATGTCCAATGTATGGCACGCTGTGAAAGCCTGCATTAGGCCAAAAATATGTATATACATAGCGCACAAGATACAGAGGTGGAAAATTTGATGAGAGCTGCACCAAATATCAAATTTGCCAGGAGCAAAGCGTTCGGGAATTCGCAACTAAAGAACAAGTTAAATCACAGGATGCATCAATAGAATACACATCTCTAGACTTACCGCATAAAAAGCAGTTCCACTACCGTAGATAGCTAGCTCAAGCAGATACCAGTTCATTCCCGAGTATTGAGTCATATACTTGAGACCATATAGCTGAGATCCATGTGCTAGTGGGATAAGTGCCGAAGCGCCAAGTGCGACGTAGGCACCAATTTTTACCTTTCGCCAGCGAAGCGTTCTAAAGACAGGTATACAGATCAGGGCAGCTGTGGAGGATCCCGAGAGGATAACCTAGACAAATTTAATGTCAGCATGTGGCCAGAGTCAAGTGTCTAGCGGCGAGAAAGGAAGTATTAGGGTTAACTAACAACAGACCAGTGCAGTCTCTGTAGGGAAAGTTCGCAGAAGTAGATGTAATAAATTCCCGGAATAAAGGTGCCCATCGTCACAATAACAATGCCTAGCAGGTCCATGCGATGCCAAAATTGCTCAGCTTCATGCGAGTGTGCGCCAAACAGGTGAAAGGCCGTGCTAAAGAGTAGACAGCACTCAGCGGTCCAAAAGAAGATTGCAAACATAGTGTAGTCTGTTCCTGACACGACAGAGAACTGAGGCTGTGAGAGACTCCGCATGACAGTGGCCGCGATGAGCGGCAGAAGCAGTGCGCCGATTAGGTGAGTGTACACATTGCATGTCTCGTTGTGCAGAAACGTCAGGCTGGTGAGGATCTCGAGATAGTCAGCTTTTTCGCGGCGATAACCGCTGAGGATGTACTTGTTGTCTCGCTGCCATTCAGCAGCTTCGTACCACATCAAGGTTCGACCGCCTTTTGCGGTTAACGTGACGGAGGGTGTCGAGGGCGGCTCCATGGTGGTGCTTGCGCCGGCGCCCGTTGTGTGACGTTTCTTGATGTCCGTTTGTGACATTATCTTGCTGTGTACGGGCTAGGTGCTCTGGTTCGGACCCCTAGGACGGTGCGGCAGATCGAGAGAGATATAATCTGTGGGAGTCTGTTGGTAGGGAGGCGTAAACCGTTGAACAGGATCGGACTGTGCCTGGAGCTAGCTGGGGACTAGGGGTCAGGCCCCAAGGCTCGTCTGGCGGATACACGGCACGGTTGGGCAAACTATTTACCCCGCTCGCACCGTTGTGTCAAGTCTCTGGCGGGCCGTGCCGTGATGAGCCGAGGGCGAGGCCAAGGCTCTAATACTGGCGGCGCCCATGTGTCGCAGCCTAATCACGCGCCTTTCTGTTACGGACGAAAGTTTCCGTAGGCTGGCACGCTGGTGGCTGTGGCTGGCAAGTAGTGGACATTGTCTACCTACAACCACCACTAATCACGGTCGGAAAGCAGTGTAGACCCACCATAACTTTTTGTCCACCAAGTGGCTGGGATGTTTTTATTAGACTTGAAACTAGCCTGCAGGCGATCAATTGAGCTACATCCAGCTGCTGACATCTATCTGCACACTGCAGTCTGACTTGCCAGGATGGTAGTCGGCTGACTGTGTGACTGGGTTATTGCCGCCGGCCGAAAACTCGATTTGTGATCTGTTTGGTTCTCGTGGGTCTGAGCATTTTATTGATCCCCACCCGACGCCGGGTGATTGCTGAACCCCAGACTTTTGTGTTGTCTGTCCCACCCCTTTTCCTCCCTAGCCTCTTTCAACATCGCGCTCTGCATCTCTCACAGCTTGCATGCCTTGTTCTACCAGTGCATCTGATTTCCTGTCTCAAAGTACGATAATTTTTGTAACAACAACACATCTTGGTAATAGTGACCGCACAAAGCAAAAGACGCGGCCGGGGCCGGACAGGGGGCATGGTCGGGAGTGGGGGCTATACTTCGTCAAGGGCTATAACCAGCTTATATTTAGAGACCAGCCAGAGTGCTTCGCTGACCACTCAGCCATCCTGCCAAGTGAGACACCAGTTATTTATCCGACGCCGAGTATGCACGCCGGGAAGCTGCAACCCCTCCTGCATATCCGTATTTATATGTCTATTCGTATGACTATGGCGAAAGAACACCGAGGCCCCGCAGTTGTTATGGTCTTGTGCCAGTGCGGGCCTCTACAGATGCTCTGGATCCGTACTGATAGACTATCCAATATTACCTAGTCTCCTTAATTTGTTTCATTTGCCAATCTCGTTGCTTGCGCTCTATTTTGTCGAAGCACTGTGGCCAGTTCAAGTTTGCAAATTGTCAACTAACGAACATGGATCCCGACGACTCTCGAGAACTGTGGAAGACTGCGCTGGGTTACTTAGCCAGCAAGCGACCCGAAAAAACGTCATCGCCCCCATCACTGAGGGCGGAGAGGGATTCCGCCTGGATGCGGGCTCACGCATATCTGCGGCATGAAGCTGTAGATGAGGACGGCCCGAGTTCCTCAGAAGACATAGAAAGAGCACTCGGTGTACTGGAAAATGTCATCCAATACGATTTTGCTGACGACTCGGACACTGTCTGTAATTCCTTTACATAATGGCTATGTCTTTTTTTCCTCTGTTCTTCCACGGCCGGCCGACTAATACATCACTCATGCAGAACATACCCAACGCCGTGCCCTACCCGAAACTGCAAACGATCCGTAATATGGCCAAGCGTCCAAACCGCGAAAGCCATTCTACTCTTAACTCAACTATTCGTGTCAGCAAACGTCAGCGAGAGAATGAGGCAGTCATCCAAGAGCTTTCACGCTGGGAAGCAGACGCAAAACGACGCCGAGTTGTGACTCGTGAAGAGGCAAGCGTTGTTGATGACATGGAAGAGCCTGAAGTGGGCTTTGCCATCCTATTAAGACGACATTCTGAATCGTTACATCAGGGATTACGAACACAATGGTCCTGTGTCTGTCAAAAGTGCTCTGGCCTCAGCGTCGGGCTTGCATTGCCCCTTCGAAGAACAAGCTGTAAAGAAGAGACCAGCTTTGAGATGTTCTTTTGCGTACGTTCTTTCTCCGAGATTACATTGCAAGAGGCTAGGATAACGGTCAAGTAAGTTTTACAAGTCTCGTTGACAGAGAGTGACCGGTTGACAATATGGTGATCGCTTATCAGAGATGTTCGGAGTAACAAGTGCATGAGCACCTTCGAACCTGGCTGCAATTCTTTGCCTGAATTCGCGCACATCTGCAAGTCCATAACGGATTCGCTCTCTCAGAGCAACCGCTTGCATCTTCTTTACGACGGGGACAGGTTCAAGAGACTCCGCCCGGAGCCAAAGAACTTTGGCGGCTACCAAATACCGCAGGCAGTGTCCTTGTCGGTCTTTTTTCAGCGTCAACAAGAGCTAAGGGGCGGGTTGTCAGTTTTGCCACTGAAAGCGAAACGAATACTGGCAGTCATTCTCGCCACGGCCTTGCTGCCATTCTTAGAGACGCCGTGGGTGCAGCCCTCGTTTAGTCATTCCAACATTCTATTCTTTCAGCCGTTACAATACGGAGAGTTACCGAGCATTACCAAACCATTTCTCGACATGGAACATGTCCCGCTCATTTCAGGCAATCAGGCAGACGATGGCGGCGCACACGCCGACCCATCCATTTCCAGGCACATGGTACATCCCAATGCCAGTGTGTTGGCGCTAGGAATTCTCCTGTGCGAGCTCCACTACTGCAAACCGGTGAATGCATGGAAAAATGAGGAAATGGGGACCGGAGACGTCAATTCTAGCTATTATGCCAGCATTGATATCTTAAAAAGTTTGGAGCTTGACGCTGGTGTAGATTACTACCTCGCAACTAAAGCGTGCTTGCAATGGGAATATTTCCCTGCAGGAGAACTGACCAGTTTCGAGTCTGTTAGTGTCCAGAAGCTGTTCTATCAGAATGTCATTAAGCGACTCGAGTCCGAACTTTTCAAGTCATGGTGTCTCAGGTCCGAAGATCTGAGTTGTCTTGATGCTCGCCAAGGTCAACAGTACTGGGGCGAGATCGGGCAAGAGATTCTCCGCCAGCAAACAACCAAATTCGGCTCCTCTGCCAAAAGCGACCAAAACTTTGCAGTTTCTTCTCCTCCGACGTCCCTGCACTTTACTCCGCCGAACCCGAGGGCGCAAATGCCACTTCAATTTCCTAGCCACATCCCAACTAATTCACAAGTTGCGAGGCCCTCTACCGAACGCTTGTATTTATTCGATGCAAGCCACCAGAAGAGCTCTGAAAACGAGTAGGCTACTCTAGACATATTTTCTTCCATGGTTTGCTAAAACTTTATTAGTACCAGCCTGTCTGACAGGTGGATGGATGATCTCATCTCCTCACTTCATCCCCATGTTGATGCGTTTGATGCTACTGCACACCCTCCTTATGTATCTAGCAGAAAAATTGCCAATGCACCCACCCCAGTAAAAATAGCGATCCTAGATTCTGGATTTGACCCTGAAAACCCTCTCATACGCACTGATGGCCATCAACTCGACCCACGGATCAAGGACGCGCGAAACTTTGTACAGGGTACAGGACCCTACGACTATCGAGATGAAATTGGGCATGGCACTCATGCCCTCGGAGTCATTCTTAACGTTGCTGCATGCGCTGAGATTTATATCGCAAAGGTTGCAAATAAAGAGGATCTCGGCCGCGAGAGCTATGATGCCATCACAAAGGCAAGGTCTCCCCGCTGCGGAGCAGTCCGCGCGATACATGCTAATGATTGGAACAGGCTATTCATCACGCAGTGACAGAGTGGGACGTGGACATTATTTCCATGTCATTCGGCATTCGTGAACACAACGAACCCATGACCCAAGCTGTGGCGCTCGCTCTACACAAGCAGAAATTAATGTTTGCTGCGGCTTCAAACGACGGCGCAAATTTTGGACGAGCTTTTCCAGCGAAATATACGGGGGTTTTTTGTATACACTCGACTGATGGAAATGGAAATCCGTCTGCCTTCAATCCTACAGCAGACGAAAAGGACGTCAACTTCAGCTTACTCGGTGAACATGTCCGTTCACATTGGCCAGCCGGAAGGAGTGGTCATCATGACAGTGTCAAGGTCCTGTCAGGAACTTCGGTAGCAACCCCCATCGCCGCTGGCCTTGCAGCTATGATCATGACATTTGTCCGACAACAAGACCATGGCTCGGATGCACAAAGCGACAGGCTAGGGCCTTGGTTGAAAGACGCACATGCCATGGATGCAGTGCTCAAGAGCATGGTCAGACAGAGAAGAGGAATGGGCTACGACTATATCACGCCTCACCTACTCATGGATGCACAGTCATCTAGAGAGAGCATTTATAACAAGATCAAAGACATAAAAAAACACATGTATCACTAGATAGGTTGAAATCGTCAATTCTCGGCTTGATAAACTTTGGTCAATTATCGAGGGCCAGAATATGGAAACAACCTTGGCTAAGCCGGGACACAATAAACATGACCGTCTTCGGTCGCATCGGAAACAACATTTGCTTTCTCAAGAGTAGAACCATCTACATCGTCCACCAAGACGGGCTCGAGATGAACGTCCTTCCTCTCGTCTCCATTCGCCAGGAAAGCGCCTTTGCTGTATTCTTCGGTGCTGATTTTCCGCCCAATCCTAAGCCTTTTGACACGGAAGGCAAAGATAAATTCAGACTCGCGACTAAACTCTGTCTCGTCATCGTCTGTACTCGACCAGCGGCCCTTCGGCCCAACGGTGAAGCCAAGCTGAGGCACGTCCACACCTAGGTTCGCCGTGATTGCAGTACTACCGGACAATGAGTATTTAATTCTGGCGCCGTTGACGAGTTTCATTCCCGTCACGAGGAAAAGCGTTACGAGAGGGGAAAATCTCTGCCTTGGCTCCCGCAACCAGGCCTGCACAGCCGGTGCTTTGACGGCTTCTTCCACGTACTGCGATGTCGGCTCAAAGGATAGGGTAGTCATAGTGTCAAAAGTGAATACATTCACCGCGTGGCGGGACCGTTCAACGTCGACTTCAGGGCCAATGCCTGATCCCCCTCCCATGGCCAGCTGCAAAAACTGCGCATACACTCCAAAGCCGAGTCCCGTCTCTGCCGAAACGGTCTTCTTCCAGTTCGTTTCCACCTGGGGTGGGTTCGGATTTGCCACGGCAACGGCGCTTGCCTGGTTGAGCGGAAGTTGCGGCGCAGATGTCGAGCGGATTATAGAGCCGAGGCATAGCGAACCCGCCGGTGGTGGGTGGATGAAATCAGAGGTTGGGCAAAGAAAATAAGTCTTGGAAAAAGACATAATTGTCGGTTGGAGTCGGATCAGCGCTAGGGCCTGATTTAGATTCAAATATTGGGGCCCGTATTACGGAAGAGGCACACTTCTCTTCTTGGGGGAAAGTCACAATGCTGTCCTCTCTCGCTGCGCTGTCAGGGCGTTTGGACAGTTCGGCTGGTATGCCTGTGTGCGGGGCTGGTTAGATATATACTTCAGGTGAATCTTCAATAACAGGTGGCGCGCGGGCAGATGCGAGGGCATCCCGCAGCTAAATTACTAGCTAACGTTAGGTCGTTATAGTGCCCGCTCTTCCGCTATGCAAACAACCCACAAGCCACGCAATAGCAAAACGCCTGCACGTCTATCGTGAGGTCAGCTACGGAATACATTGAGCATAAAAAAAAAGCGGGGGTTTTAAATCCTTCACTGTGGTCTATCGCTGTGGAAGCACCTCCATTACATAATGGATAGGATCATGCTTTCAAGTGAAGCGATAAAGAAGAAGGAAAGGTAGAGAAGACAGGCTGAACAAGTCAGGCAGTTAATCTGGCTCTCGGGAGATGACAGCGATACCTCTTCTGAAATACCCTGTAAATTCATGCCACTCAAGAAAAGTTCTCAATGGTGTCGAATGTAATGCCCAAATGGGCCTCAAGATGCTTGTCCCATTTCTACGGAGGCCAAGTCAACCACTGGCTCCGTGGTGGTTGGTCGCTACCTGCATGAGGTCAGCCCCTTTGTGATACATTGCTTCGCAGAAGCGTTAAGAATGACAGTCTAGACTATTTAAAGGTTACACTTGACGCGAGGAGGCGAAGACTCCGCTTATCGAAAGAGCCGAACGTCAAGTGCAACGTGGTGCCAGCGTGGCTGGGCTGACCTGCGGCCTCCCTACCTGCAGGACCGGCAGGAACAAAGGTGCACATTTCTCTGTCCATTTCTCTGCCCGACAAAAGGTATTTTCCTCCATATCATCCACTTATCCTTCAACCATCTTTTCACCACATACACAAAAACAAGCACCGCAGGTCGCGTTTGCCGCCATAGCTGTACGCCGGCCATCCCTGCATATCTGTGCCCGAGAAATTGCTGGCCGCCATGGACCTGAATCCCGCCGACGACGTCTTTCTCCAAGACGACAGAGGCTTGACCATAGCCCAGCACGCGCGGCGATGCAGCCAAGCATTTGAAACATGTTTGGCCGCTCCGCAAACCACATACGATCCAACGATTATGGAGGATCAAATGGCACGCTTCACTCTATGGGCGTCCAACATGGATGTTTTTGGGCCACCCAACGTCTCGTTGGACTACCGGCTCAGATACAGCCCCACAGTAGTAGACATTCTACACCAGCTTTTGGACGTCATTCTTAATACCCTGATATTTCGTAAGTCCCTTACCAGGCCTGAACGGGTTAGTCTTGCGTATTTGTCTAATTGAGGTGCTCACGGCAGTGACGCCATGCGAGAAGTCAGCGAGAACACCTACAACTAAGAAGCGGCGTACATCAGAATCAGGCCGCGCGAATGTCACTAAAACTGTTGATTATTCAAGCGAGACCGACAGCGAAGGAGATATAGGCGAAAGAAACGTTTACTTGACCACCTATACGATTGGTGGAACAGTGTCGCAGCTCTGCCTGCTGTCCAACGCAGTTCGGCGGTCCGCCAAGATTGCAAGGGCAGATAAGATAGCAGGATATAAAGCCGACGAAAAGACAAATGACGCGATTCAAGAGTTGCGTCTTTACACAGAATGTTACATTCGCTTTCGATTCCCTCACGCTACAGAGGCCCTTTGTTCTGCGTTGGTGGAGGCAAATGCGCTGAGACTTCGACGCTTGTGTTATCAGAGGGAGCATCGCAGGCGTGTTGCTTTGAGCGTCCAACATCCAACGGCGGCTGCAGTAACAGCTCAGCTACCCAAAGGAGTGCCTCGCGTGTCGGTCGTGCATTTTGCTTCCAACATGCCACCGAAGTCAGGAGCTTTCCACGGAAAACCGGCGCCGCCTCTTGGTCCCCCAGCACCTATAACCCATGCGACAACTGCTCAACAGACCGCAGTACGTGCATTCTACGACAGTAGCATGACAGAGCTTCCTCGCGCCAAGTCCGTCGCAGTGAATAGTAAGTTATCTCTCCCTGCTGCGCCAAAGACAAGTGAATGTCCGTACTGCGGCGTGATTCTTGAATTCAACAGTGATGTGAGGTCCGAACGCTGGAGGCAAGTACCGCTTTCCTACTTATATCTCCGACAAGCAAAAGCTCATTTGCCTCAGCAATCACCTTCTTCGAGATCTAGAACCCTTTGTCTGCGTTATTGGCCATTGTACCGGATCAGGCGCTCTGAAGCCAGGCTCGTTGACATTTGACACTTCAAGGGCCTGGTTGAGCCACATGGAAAATGCCCACGGGCATGTATGGGAGTGTCGAGCTCCATCTCATCAACCCATCATCTTTCAGAACGAGACCGAGTTTCAGGAGCACTCCCGTACAGAGCATGATGTACCCGAGGCGTATGTAGGGACCCTGAGCGGCGCAGCCCGAAGGCCAGGCTTGCAGAAGATTACTGAATGTCCCTTTGGTGACGACTTTGCACCTACCGAAAATATTGAGTCGAATACTGTCTTCTCAAGCGAGGAACTACAGTTACACATTGCCACCCATCTGAAAGAAATATCTTTGCTCGCGTTGCAGAAATTGCCTTGCGACGATGACGACAGTTCACAGTACATGGCCAGCGACCTGCTGTCAGAGACCGAAGGGGTTGCAAAGCTGCGGGATTCTATGTACAGTGTGCTGGATGACGAAGCTTTTGACTTCGTGCATGAACCGGATGATGAAGTGATGAATCATTCCGAAGAGGTCATTGCATCTTCCGTGAAAGCCCTCGATTTGGAGGACAGGGATGAGACTGGAATGACACCGCTTCATCGCGCAGTGTGTGATAGAAATTTTTCTATGATTAAGTCACTGATAGACCATGGCGCCAGTCTACGCAGTAAAACGCACAGCGGGAAGACAGCATTGCATTTTGCGTCAGAGCAAGGATATCCTGAAGGGCTGAGATTGTTGTTGGACTATGAAACTAGAGATATCACCAGTCTGAAAGACAATCTTGGTCATACTTCTTTGCATTACGCTGCGAAGAAAGGCTTTGACGAAGGAATAGCAATGTTGGTCGACTATGGGGCTTTTGTTGATACCCCAGACAAATATGGGCTCTCTCCATACCTCTGGGCCGTCATTGCAGGCCAAATCAGCACTATAAAAGAATTCATGGTTCTTGGAGTTGATGCAAACTCGCTCAGTACAGATGGAATATCTGCCTTGGCTTGGGCGGCCTGCCTTGGCCATTTGACTGTTGCCAAATTACTGCTAGACCACACACCGGATATCATGCTTTTGGCGCAAAGCTCACAATTGATGGCACTAGAAGAAGCTTCAGCATGTGCAGATCTTCCCATGGTTCGACTACTACTTGATCGCGGTGCGGATGCAAATCGTCGTGACCGTGATGGATGGTTGGCTATACATCGAGCGGCCGAAGAGGGCTATCAGGATATGTGCACACTTTTGTTCGAACACGGCACTCGAATCGACACGACCAGCTTATATGGTACTGGGCTGCTTCATTGTGCTGCGAATGGAGGAAATCTTGACACAGTGAAGATGGTTCTCCATTGGTTTACGTTGCGTCATCAGTCAACAGACCCTTGTGCATCAACATGTCATGGCTGGACTCCACTGCATCATGCCGCTTTCATGGGACATTCGGATGTGGTACGTTTACTTCTGGCCATAGACAGACGGGATCGGACAGACGACTTCTACAAGGACAATCATGGCTGGTCAGTGCTCCATCTGGCAGTCTATGGAAGGCATTTGGATACTGTCAAGCTCTTGCTCGAGCACCCCCTCGTGTCGAAGACCCGCCTCCAAGGCGATGAGAATGGCTTCACCGCAGAGGATTGGTTGGGTTTCGAACTTGATGGCCATTCCTACAGGACAATTGGCGACTTGGCTTTCCACAAATCACGCTGTTGTAGAACAGTCACCAGACTACGACAAGCTGCTCGAAGCGGCAACGTTGCTTTGGCTGAACTTCTTCTGCAACGGGGAGACGATGTCAATGGCTCAAACTCTGGCAGACGGACTGCACTATACTATGCCGCACAATATGGCCACACGGCCATGCTGGATCTCCTCCTGCAAAAGGGCGCAAACCCCAACGTACTTCCCATTGGACGCAGAACCTGGGAGAGCTTTATTTCAAACGACGCAGTATTACAGAGACTTCGACAATTTGGGTATAAAAAGCCGCCGCCCAGCGAAGAAATCGATCAACAGATAAGACTCGCGCTCAGACAGCAAGGACACTCGAGTTTCTTCCGCTCGTCAGACGCTCAGGTCGTCTTTCAAGAAAGCAGCTCGTTGGCGCGTGAAGTCGCTCAGGAAAGCGGAGAAGAAAAGGCAACAGCCAAATCCGATGAAACGAAACGCACAGGCGTTAATAAGTTATGGAAAAGATTGAGAGGACAGTAGAAAGAATCGCATTAATGCTCATGGCCAAGCTGTCCATTCGATAAGCTACCAGCTAAGCTACGTATTATGTAGGATGCACATCCAGTTGTGATGGGTTCTCGCAAGGTAGGAGTAGGTGTCTAGATAGAAAGTAGACTCGACGTCTCGCTTTTAGGGTAATGTTCAACTTGATTAATATAAATAAGCGCCTGCTGATGAATATGCAATCGGCGTCCTGCAGAAATATATCTATATTCGGAGGCAGAAACATCCGTCACAGTTCGATTAATATCAGGAGAAGCAGAGACAAAAATAAGCGTTCTGATGTCACTTGCACAGTTCGAGAAGAAAAAGGCTCACACATAGTGTCAGTATGCCCTATCCAATACTGTAATAACCGCAATGTGCAATCAGCCACTTTGCACGCCCATTTCGGCTTTTTAGCGTCAAGCAGCCCAAGTTTTAACAGATCTGCAGCGGACGCTAGTCATGCTTGAAGCAATCGCAGTTTAGCAAAGCAGACCTAGTGCTGTTTTAATCAAGTGTTTCAAGTATTATGCCGTAGTATCAAGTTGAAATAAATTCTAGATTTGCCTCGCATCTTTTGTATATATTTCCAGACTTGGCTCCTGCAACTCGCCTTCCTCGCACGCACGGCATCTGCGCACAACCTCTTCACCAAAGCAGCGCACATCGTCCACAATGGCCGACAACATCCCGGCGACTCTCCGTCAGCGCCTGCGTGCCATGACATTCAGCGCCTCGGAGGCCCGCGATGCAATCAGAGGCGTCGCCGTCCCAGACACCCTCGGCCGTCGGGTGATGCGTCTCTGCGTCATTCGCGGCATCCGTTACCACGAGGAGTTTGCCCAAAGTCGTGAGGCTCAGGCGCTACGCGCATGGCCCGAGTTTGCACGCGCTCTGAATGCGCGTGCCATTATGAGCAACAGTGTTCCAGACATGGCGCGCGACGACGACGTTCCCTACTGCATCTGGCACCCGGACACGGCCACAGAGGATACCTATCGCGAGCTTGTGCGACGATACCCGCGCATGGCCTACCAAGTCGCCCGTGCCTGCGCAGTGGCCGGATACAGCGAGCTTTACCGGGAGCTGGAAGACGGGGGCAGCATCCTGCCAGATGTGGCCGTTGCCGAAGAGGCTAGGGCGTGTGGCAGCCAAGACATCTACACGGCCATTACGAGTCAGCCTGTCAGGTACCGTGTCATGGATGACTATAGCAGATCTATTCTAGCGGACCCGCAGCCGTCTGGTCTTAACGGAGATACTAGTATACGACCTATGCTAGATGTGAAGCAAAAGTTTACCATTCCTCGCGGCGATGAGGACCGCGTTCTCTGTGCTGGCGATTGCGACGGTGACGAAAAAGACTTTGAAGATGGCAACGGATCAGATGACGATTTCTTCAGCATGATTCCCGAGCCTGGCTTCAAGGAAACCATGTTCAACATCACCGAGGACATGAACATTGATGAGTTTGCCACACCGGAGCCCGACGACGCCGCAGACCTCGCCATGGCGGAATACCTCGCTAAGCCGCTGCCGCCGGATCTACCCATGGGCAACAAGGACATTTTAATCCTCGCGGCAGCCTACACCGGTAACGTGGACCGATATGCCCGCCTGCGCCGGCCCCAAATGGTTGACCAGGAAGCCGGCTGCGTCGTGCGCGGCATCTACCACTGCCCTTTCTTCGCAACTTGGTGGGCAACCCAGGCGCTGCCTCAATGGCCTTCCCGCCACGCCGCCTGGATGGCCCAGGCCATCCATGCGCGGATGATTATGAGCAACGATCTTAGTCGGCTGACGCCCGATGTGCCGCGAGACCACCTGCCCTACCTCATCTGGTACCCGGCCGTCGCGCAGCCCAGTACCTACAAGGAAGTCGCGCGACGGTGTCCGACCATGCGACCGGCCGTGCTGCGCGCCGCCATTTACGCCAAGGACCGCGCGCTGTTTGACGAGCTGCTCGACGACGTGGAGCCAGACCCCTACCTGGTCGGTGAGGCGCGAGCGCACGACCACGACCACGACCACGACGAGGATGGGGACGAGGTGCGGCCGTCGTACTTTACGAGACGCCTGCTGGCACGCGCAGAGAAGCTGGGATTAGCGGATGAGATGGGTAATGCGCGCAGCGACCGCTGGGGCGGTGCGGACTCGTGGAAGCGGTTCAGTGTGCGCAGTGGCGGCGGCGGACCTCACGGCATGCCCGAGAGCGGCAACTGGCTCTTTGGCGGGCCGTCGATTGTCGGCGCGGCGCAGGATCCGGGCATTTACAACGGTGTGTGGGCAGACGCCTCTATAGCTGAGCTCTTTGCGTCTGCGCCGGAATCGTGGCGGCCCAAGGACGGGGCGGGTGTGCAGATTGACTACGAGCAGTGGCCACAATGATGGGGACTCGATTCACGTTTTTGCCATGTTTTCTTTTAAAACTGTATACAGATTATTATAACCAAATACCAGTATAGAAGTGAGTTTTGACCAAGTTGTGATTTTTTCAAACGCATATAGAGCGGTGCGAGTAAAGGCAGTCAGTGTATTGGCTGACGTGTCCCAGTGCTTGAGCCGTCTAGTTATATACAAATCTCACCTCCTGCGCGGCCTTTGTAACGTGTCACTAAGCCCAACCAGTGACTGGACATGGTTAACCAGAGGCCATCGTCTAAACAAGAAAAAGAAGTTTGCATTACACGATGACGTCAATATGGTGATATAAAAAAGAAATCCGGTGCCAAATGTGGCCGGTTTGACCATCATACACTCGATACGTGTGCAATCACCCTTGCATCATTTAATAACCCTGTCTACGAGTCCTTTTCATTGTATGTCCATGTGGCCGGCAGTTGATTTAGAAAGATCCCCAACGCAATGAGCTTTAGACATTACTCGCGCTCCAACGGGGCCTACTCTTCTTCCGTCTCGCCGCCCGCGACTGATCAATTAGTCGCGGTGCGCGGTCGCAGCACTTGTGTTCCAAATTTGTCATGCCAAGAAAACGGCGCGCTGTGCGGAAAATTTCATCGCGATAGCCGGCGGCCGGACGTTTAGAGCTGTCATGCCCTCGTGTTTCACTGGTTTCGGAACCCCCCCCTTTGCACAGGGCAATGGCCGATCTCGAGATGTGGCGCTTCGGCAAGTCATCCGACAGCACTAATGAACGGATACAGATGAATCCGGGCGCGCGACTGCCGAGCCTTCTGAGGGCCCGCCCTTTGGAATGGGGGAGACCCTTGCACTGATTAAACGAGATGGACTCTGACTCGTACCTGGATCCCGCATCAAGGCTATTCACTTCATGCAAAGCAGACAGTGGATCTCGCCCGCATAATCTGGGGGGAGGGGGGGCAAGATCGAGAAGATTCTGTCCAGATTGGCATCATGTCATGATCCTGGTTGGGACAAAAAGCCTAGTGACTCGCAACACAAACGAGTCAAGACCGGGCTGTTGACCCTTCTATATTTGTCTGTGTTTTAGATCTGTGATTCCGGAAAACCCCAAGTATCTATCGCCAAAATAATCATGGAAGTGCATAAAGCAAGTACACGTCAAATTGTGGTTCTGTCTTTGATGTGTGCATGCGAATCCTAGCAACCTAGTAGAGAGGTTGTCTGTCTATTTTCAGATTCATGGATCCCGCCAAGTCCACTACTTGACATGAGACAGCTAGGATTCCTCTCACTCTAAATTCCCCGTCCATCTTTGACCGAGTTGGCACCAGCCATTAACTACTGCATAGACGCTGCAATCTCAGAACGGTAGCCAGAGCTCGAACGGGCCAGGGTCCTCTTCAGCTTGGCGGGCGGCACTTCTGCTACGCCGTCAGCGGCCTCCTCCTTCTTCCTGAGCTCTTCAATTGCCGCAGCCCAGTGAGCGTCAGACTCGCCGACCATGTCCTTGAGACGCTCCGCCAGATCCATAATGGACTGGCCGACGCTCACCACTTGCACCCTACCGAGCGCGTCCGCATTGTCCCTGAGGGTGGCGACAATGGCGTCGCTCAACCCGGTAACAAGGGAAACATAGGTGTAGGTATTTTCAAAGTCCTCCGTCTCCACAGGGACAGGAGGGACCTGCGGCTGCGTGAGGAACTTGTTGACGCCCTTGATTTGCTGGTCGGGGAACCAAGCAGTAGCACCGTGAAACTGGCGGCTGGCCCACTTGAACTTGAGCTCGTCGTACACTCTGCCAAGCTTGAGAGCAACAAGAGTCTGGACGTTGCGGGCATCTTGGGCATCCTCGGTCGGGGAGACTGTAGAAAGCTCGTCTTCGGTAATCTTGCCGTTGAGCAGGCGTGCGACCTGAAGCGTGTGATGGATCGTGTGCAGTTGGACTTGCGTCTCTGAGAATTCTGGGGCCCCATCTCTGATGTATTCGGAGACGGACAACGTGTTATTTTCAATAGAGAGCAGTGATCTTGACTGTCCGAGGATATAGGCAAGGTCAAAGTACCTAGGCAGCGCCGGAGGTGTCTCGCGGAGCTTGTCGCCAAAGCCGCGCAATTTAGCGCGAATCTCTCCGGAATCGTCGCGCTGGGAGTCGGGCACCTCGGGATCGCCGGGGTAGATTGTCCTGTACTTTCCGACCATCTGTTCCGTGGTGATGTTCTTGATGAACTCGGCATTGTACTGGTCGGCCGTGGGCTGCAGCGACATGTCGTGCTTCTCCTTCAATTCCTTGGGCATGTCAATGAGGAGTTTGCGCTGCCGGCGCACGATTTCCTTGGACATGGCCTCATGGAGTTGCTCTGTCGCGTTCTGGACGCCCCTCTCCATCTCGGCTTTCTTCTCGGGACTATCAGCGGCCTCCAGGTCGTCTTGAGCACTGGCCTCTGTGTGGCCAATGGTCTGGGCGCCATTCGAGATGACTGCGAATTTTTCCATGGCAAGAGAGCTTTCGAGCTTCTCCCTAAACGTCTTTTCCTTGGAGCGTCGCGGGTGACCAGTAGCTTCATAGTACGATTCGTGCGAGTAGATGTAGGTGTAAATGTCATCCTGCAGATATCTAGCCCAGGTCTGATCGCGCTGGCTTTGAAAGTCGGCCAGTTCAGGCAGTTTCGGAGGCTTGAAAAAGCTAATGATGGCTCGCACGACGTGGATAGCAATGCCCACAGGAAAGGCCGGCGTGAGCAAGAGCCCGTCACCAAGGAAGCACAAGGCCGAGTCGAGTCCATCCACGTCGCCCTTCTCCGCCGCGGCGGCCGTTCCGACGGCACAGCCAACAAAGGGCACAATGGCTGTCACCGCGGCAGCGCGATCCAGCTCCGTCACATTGTGGGTAAAGGCAGAAACAACACCATGCACCCATAGGGCACCGCCCACGACCGCAACCGCACCCGCGCCGATCGAGGGCGCCTTGAAGCCGCCGGCACCCACCTTGGGAGACGTGGGCTTGAGTGGCTCGTACTTGAGCTTGGTGCGGACGTCCGACAGCGACATTTGCCACTTCTCCTTGGCCAGGGTGTCCAGGCCACGCTTGGCAGCAAGTTCAGCAAACTCCTTCTCCGAGATTTCCTCGGCTAATTTAGCAGACTTTCCGAGCTCAGATGGAGTCTTCTCCCCCTTGCCAGGCTTGACCTCTTCACCCTTGGGGGGACCCGCGATCTCATCGCCTTTGGGGGGTGGTGTTGCCTCCTTGATACCCCCCAGTTGGTCCTGGATGATGGTTTCTCCGCAGAGCAGGCCCTGTCTCTTCATCATCCGACGACTGCTACCAGCCGGGCACACAAGTTCCTGTGCCAGCGTGATACTCTTTTGGAGATTTGAGAGATTTTCTTGATGGCCGCCAGCAATGTGTTCGTTCCAGGCCGCCTTGATCTGAGCTTTGGTCTTTCCGGGGTTGGCCTTGACTGTAGCCTCTAGATCAACGCTTTTGCCTCTTCCTTTTTCCTTTTCAATAACCTTGAAGGCCTCGGCTTCTTCCGGAAACGGCTTGAATGATTCCACAGCAGCTCGCATACGTTCGTTGTAGACTCCTTTCATGGCCTCGTAGACTCCTGCCTTGGCCTTTTCAAAGTCGGCGGCAAGTTCAGGGCTCTTGGGGCTCGAACTGAGCTTGCCAACAACGCGGTCTCCCACCTTCTGCAGAAGACTGGCGTAGTTGTTCTTGGCATCCTTGACGACCTGACCAATTTCAATGACGCCCGTCAGACCCTCATCGGCAATCTTCTGGGCAGTCTTGACGACTTCGGGGAACGGCTCAGTGGAGATTGAGACCTTGATATTCTTGTCCTTGCTGATGTGCTTGATGAACTGATCCAAGTTGCAGTCTTTGCAGCCCGGTGCAATCACTTGATTTCCCGGCGTCAAAGTGTCGAGCTTGTAAGCGTAGTAAAAGTACATGCGCTCAACGGAGCCGGCAATGGAGTAGCCAGCCGCGAGGCAGGCAAACCCCAAGAGGGCCAGCATTGGTTGGAATAGAAACATTGAAGTGGTGATGTAAGCAATACGTTTGAGTGTATTGATCAAAGAATGAAGGTATGATTGAAAGAAAGAAAGAAAGAAGGGGTATGAAGGAATGAAAGAATAAAGGAATGAGTGAGTGTAGGAAGTGTGAGGAATCCCGATGGGAGGTGGCGGCAGCACACACGCATATATAGCACTTGCTATGATTCTTCCTATCATGGAGACCCAACAATTTCAACAAAGATCAGCTCGTGACACCGGCGGTAAACCAAGCAATTGCCCTTCTTTATTCATCATCGTTCTCTTGATCGACGGACGCTGACATGAGTCGGCAGCATGAAGCGTCACGCCCTACTCAGCCACGCCATAAACCGGAATGCGCCGACTCTCCACGTTCTGAAGCTTCCTGACTCGTCATACAAAGAGGCATAGTAGAGTAGACAATTTATGCCGTCATCCTCTTCTCAGAATTCATGTGCAATGGGTGGAGTGCTAGGTTAGCCTTGTCTCCAAGGGCGTTGATCAAAGGTTGTCAAAGAATCTCTCCCAAAACGTTGAGCTCTCATCTTTTGCACGTGAATTATAACGGCGACGGTAAGCTTATTCAATGGCTGATGTATCCACACATTCTATCGACTATCGTGAAATGTAATATCAGCAGCAGTCCTATCGTGATGGCGAAATCACTCCTTTGTACCTTCCTGTCTCCATCGCCGATGTAAACCCATGCCAAGCCTCATGTAAGTGGTAGCTTGATTCCTCTAAAGTCGATGCAAAGCAGTGCCAAGCCTTATATAAATAATGCAATGCCATTTCAAGGATACCATACTCATCTTCAAATCGTTATCGGCACTCGCTTCCTCCGTTAAAGTTCACCCCACTAATTGCGAAACTGTCAGGCAAAAGGCAGTGCCTTTCATCGTTACGCTGGTCATTCAGGAACACCCACTGCATAGGTGCTATACCTTGCGCAATATTCCTTTTATTTTTAACCACGACTCAGAACTATCACAAAACTATTAATATCCATCATGCTATACTATACATTATCCCACTCAGTGAGCGTGTGGCTTCTTAGTCTATTTATTGGTCGGCTCCAAGTGAAACGGACCCCACAAATAACCAGTCGACAACACTACTGCTGCTTACAAGGCTGCCCAGGGATCTTCTCAAGACTCATTTTGTATGAGGACTTTGAGGCTATGCACTGAAAAGCAGCATCTTTCTGGCCGAGTCAAGCTCGGTGTTCTAGTCGGACGAGCTTCCGCCTGCTCCAAGATATAAGACTGGCTAGACGCCTCTAGTCAAGACAAGAAGACCAATTCCAACCAAGCACTCGTTTAGAACTGTTTTCAACTTCTCCAAGTTGGAATTATTTCATCCTCACAAATATTTCAACCAAATTTACTCGTTGTATTACCATCTCACAACTATGGTTCGCTTCACTGTTGCTGCTGTCTTGGCTTGTACGTCTACACATCTTAACCTCTGTCCCACCACTCTGGCTAACAAAAAATAGTTGCCTTGTCTACTTTGGCACTTTCGCCTGATGGCGCTAACGCCAATGCGGCTGTTTTGAGCACGCGTCAGGAGGCAGAGGCTCCCCCAGCTGAGGAGCCCAAGAAGGAGACGCCTGAGGACTTCAAGAAGTGGCTGCAGACAGTCGCGGAAGCTGCCGAAGAGCTCAAAAATATGGTGGAGAAGGTTGCTAATGGAGACTCTGGCAAGACCAACTAAGGAAGTAAAGAACGTGCTAGATGATTGTCGTGTTGCTGCCGTTCGCTGCAGCTTTCTGGTCCTTGGGGCCTGACTTGACCGTTTACAGCTCGTGGAACTTTTGTATTGTACTTGGACCCCATAGACACTTGCATTTGAAACATTTTCTCATAATTGAATAAGTGGAAATCCATAAAAAGAGACTCTTCGTAGAACAGGCTAGATATTAAACCAGTGCATCCAACAAGGGTTTAGTAGAACTCGCTTATAGCCACGCTTTATCCCATTAATGCTGTCATAAGAGCATCAGTTTTTAAGCTGTGAGACTACGTACTGTTCTCATAAAAGAAGCAGCATACGAAATCTCGGCCTATTTGTAAGCCCGTAACCGCGATGACAAAGAACGGTCAGAGGCTAGACAGGGTGGCGCCTCTCAGTTACCAGCACTACACTTGATGAAGTATTATTACTAGAATGTTTGGAAGTCTCTGATTAGGGAGAAACATGAAAAAAATTATGTAAAGAGCGAAAAAGTTAGTTTGTATTCTCTATAGGGTACTGCTTCCTTCTCACTTTAGCGCGATCCGCGCGTGGCGACTAGAGGCCTGACTTACCTATCATAAGACGTCTCTATTCTCGAAGAAGTTTGAATTCCGCATAATTTAATTGACCTATGACCAAGATACAACGTGAAATACATCGATTTTAAACACATTTATCGATTTCGGTATGAGCTTTATTGCGAAACCATGTTCGTTGACTTTCAGCCTATTTGTTACACTTATTCCGGCAGGGGCGCCGTCAGCAACGCTATACCACCTTACATATCGCAGCGGTCGCAGTTATCGCTTTTTATAGGAAGCATACAGACATGGGGGGAACTTCCCGGGCGGCCCGCATATCAAGCAGCTTTTATTCATTCATTGAGCTTAGTAGGAGGCAAACATGAATACCGAGTATCATCCGAAGTACTTGAAGCTCCGTCGTACAGTCGTGGCTATTGTAAAGAATTGGCAATATATGCAGGTACAGTGGAGTTCCAAAAGCCTGTCACCAGACGTAATTGACACCTAAACACACCTCTAACACTCCTTTATATTTCTTCTAGTAATGATAATTAAAGTTAATGTGATGTTCGGGGAGTAACTGCAAAATCCCACAGGGTCACATGCCACACAAAGACGCGTCTCATGGGTTATAATATAAATAAAGTTATTGTTGTCATGTTCGGGGAGAGCCGCAAAAAGCCCACAGCAGTAGCTGCCACACACACAAGACCGTCGAGTCGTACGCAACACCACTTTGAAGATATCGTCCCCCTAAGGGTATGTGTGTGTATTAGATGCGAATGTCGACTGTTGATCAGGACCTTGGTGTAAAGGAATTGCCCGTAAAGAGGCACACTGTAGTATCGTCGTGCGAAGGGTCGAAGAATCGTATCGGGTCAAGACATCGTCAGAAATCAAGAGTAGCGTAGCTGAGCTCCAGATCATAAGACGAATAACAGAAATTAAGTATAAAAAAGGCAAAAAAGTTATTATAAAATACTATAGGGGACCTAGCCCTTTTATCTAGGCTAGTAAAGTAAGGTGCACTAGAACGGTCGATTCTAACTAACATATTAACCTAATCTTATAATAAAAATAACTAAAAATAAATTTAAATAATTATTAAGTAATTATCTATATTATACTCTGTTTAGAAGATTATTTTACTTAACGTTACTATAACTAATAATATATAAAGTTTAAATAGGTGTGTTTAGGTGTATATTTATTGTGGTGACAGGCTTTTGGAACCCCGCTGTATGTAATAAAGCCAGAGGCCAATCGTGTCAGCTATCCCTACCGAAAGCACCCGACGGCTAACACGGCCCAAAGGCAAAGGTAGTCTCCGATGTTGCCTTGGACTCGACAACAAGCAGGCACCAAAACACCAAATCTGACAAGGCAATTCTAATCAGGAACTAGCGGATATGGTGCACGGATGTTGCAACGTTACAAACCTTTACGAGAACTACTGGGACCATGGCCGATCAATCTGAGCTGGGGGAGCTCCAGGGAATCCCCATACTATGACGAAGCTCGAGAGATCCACTTCGATGTAAATGCTCATCAGTTGCCTGTTTAGGAAGCTGCCTACGGTTGATCCTATCGACTTCTCCGCAGCTCTCCAAACGGGGAGCTTGCTTGACACATCTAAACCTGTCTAGATTGTGTTGCTGTTCTTGATAAATAGACCTTGGCTCCTTTGTATAGCTTTAATGCTCGCAGTCTGAGCCACCATCGCCTTTTTGGCCTCGATTGTCACACACGAAACTCGCAAAACACGATGAAGTCTCAATTGGTTCTTGCATCGGTCGCCGGCCTCGTCAGTCCGGCCACTACCACCAATGTTGACCTTTCCCTTCCCCCCATGGGCTTCAACAACTGGGCTCGCTTCACAACACACATCAATCAGTCCATTTTCACCGATGCTGCCACTGCCATGGCTTCCAATGGCATGCTCAAGGCCGGCTACAACCGCTTGAACCTCGACGATGCCTGGTCCACCCATGATCGGGCCGCCAACGGTTCCATGGTTGCCGATACCACCAAGTTTCCCAAAGGCCTTACCTGGCTTGCCAGCTTCATAAAGGAGAAAGGCTTTATTCCTGGCATCTACACCGACTCTGGTACCTTGTCCTGCGGTCGGTACCCCGCCGCCTACAATCACGAGGCGATTGATCTCAAGGACTTTTCCGACTGGGGCTACGAGTACCTCAAGCTCGACGGATGCAATGTGCCCGGCAACAGCGAGGCCGCTTACCGTCATCTCTATTTTGACGTTTGGCGCAATCTTTTGCTCAAGTTCCCCAAGCCGGTCGTCTTCTCCAACTCGGCCCCTGCCTACTTTTCTGGTGCGGACAACCTGACCGACTGGTATAGCATCATGGGCTGGTCGCAAAAGATGGGGCAGCTCGCCCGTCACTCGGACGACATCATCAACTATGACAGCAAGGGCAGCGCGTGGGACAGTCTGATGACCAACTACCATCAGCACATTCGCCTGGCCCGCTACCAGCGCCCCAACTTCTTTAATGACCCCGACTTTCTCAATACCGACCACCCCAACTACACCTACGAGGAGAAGAAGACGCACATGGCTCTGTGGTCTTCATTCTCTGCCCCTCTTATCGTCAGTGCTGATATCCCCAACCTCAAGAAGGAGGAACTAGAGATTCTTCTCAACAAGGACCTCATTGCCATCGACCAGGACTCGCTTGTGCAACAGGCGACTCTTGTCAGCTCCTCCCCAGACGTGGATGTTCTCAGCAAGAACCTGGCCAACGGTGACCGTATCCTCACCATCCTGAACAAGGCCAACAAGGCCAGTGATTACACTGTCTCTTGGGCCAGAATCGGTATACAGATTGACCGCATCAGCCCTGACACTGCGCTCAGCGTCAAGGATCTCTGGACTGGCAAGACAGACAAGGTCAAGATCAGCGCTGGTGGCATCACCGCCAAGAATGTCGGCCCTCACGGTACCTTTGTCTACCGCATCTCTGGTGGCATGGGAGGCTCCAGCCATCCCATTGTCTTGCCCACAGGATTGATCTTCAACACGTTTTCTCTCAAGTGCCTGAGCGATGATACGTCGGGCAGGGTAACTTGGAAAGCATGTGATGGATCTGATGGGCAGACTTGGACTGTCAGCGCTGAAGGTCACATAAATAGCTTGCTGCGCACGAATGAATGCCTCACTGAAGTAAAGGGCAAGCTACTGAGCCGTCATTCAGGCTGTCGCACCGACGCCTGGAAGTACTACAACAGTGGCAACTTGATCAATGGCAACTCGAACCGCTGTCTGACCGAGGAGGCTGATGGCTCTGCCACCATTACTGACTGCGGTTACGTGACCAATAGACAGGTTGTCGGCCTTCCCATCGGTGCCAAGGTAATCGAAGTTGATTACTATGACAATAATTAGAAGATCCAAGAATTCAAGAACATGACATGAACGTATGTAATTTTGGCGATAATATTTAGATGGGTGGTAGAAGATCAATTATGCATCAAGTTCCACTGTGTACCAGAGATGATAATTTCGTACTCGTGATTGACGTCTAGCTTTTATGCCTCTGCATCTTTGAAGGCGCCCAGCTTAAATAGCTTCTTGGCGTTTTCACGGCCAATTTTTTCGACATGAGACGCATCCTTCAGCTCGACCTTGTCGTACCAGTTGCACGCATCTCCAAATGACTCGAATGGATAGTCAATAGAGAACATGATGCGATCGGCGCCCATTTCCGTGATGCAATACTCGAGAGTAGGCGTGGAAAAGTGACCACTTGTTGTAATCCAGATATTCTGAGCAAAGTATTCGCGGATAGTCTTTTTGCAGTCCAGGCCGAGGGGCTTCTTGACGTCCTCGAACCAGTGGTTGATGCGCCACAGATCAAAAGGCAGGTGCTCGCCCAGATGACCGATGACGACCTGCAGCTTGGGATGGCGATCGAAGACGCCGTTTGTGACCATGCCCAGCAGGTGAAGGCTGACTCCCTGGGCAAAGCTCAGAGGCGGGCCGATGAGCCACTTGCGCTTCGCCCAGAGCTTTTCGTAGATTGTGCCGGTTGGGTTGCGTGGGTGGAGATAGAAGGGAACGTCTAGATCTGTCACGGTGGACCAGAAAATATCCCATTCTGGGCCGTCGTAGAAGATCATGTCGTCGCCGTCGGGTCCGGCGCGCTGGGTGTCGTTGACCAGGGCTCCTTTGAATCCAAGCTCAGTCACGCAGCGCTTCAGCTCAGCCGCGGCTTCGGCTGGATCATGCATAGACAGAGTTCTGTCCCAAGTCGTTAGTAAAAAAAACTAAAGGCGTTGAGTTGGTGCTGCAAGATTGGGGACTCACGCAAAGGCGCCGAGCCTGTCCGGGTGAGGCTTGATGGTAGCGGCAATATAATCGTTGATTTCTGTTGTCAGGGCGCGCGCCTCGGCGGCGTCCCAAATATCCTGGACACCAGGGGCGGTATAGGACAGGATAGTATATCCAACGCCGTATTTGTCCATATTTTGGATTCGCGTCTCCGTAACATCTGTCATCTCGTGGGCATGCTTGTCGGGATCGACGGCGAAGAGTGACGCCCACCATCGAGTCTTTTCATGTAGACGGGGCAGGGCAAACGCCTCTTCAAAGGCTACTTTTCCACGCATAGTGATGAAATTGGAAATATCGAGAGCAACTGTTTGGGGGTGAGGGGTTCAACGATTAGACCTCAGTTGAGCTGGCGACGGTCGGATGGCGCGCTTTTGTAGTTTTGGTCGCATCGCCAAGTCCACAAACTAGCCCCCCCCCGGATTCCGTGCAACATCCGCCGCCACATCGCGCAGCTTTCTCCTCCCTCCATATCAAGATCGGTCGCTAGCCGTGGATATCCTTGGCCTTGCGGCGGAGAAATCTACCGATGGAATTGGGGTAAGAGTGGGCGTACAGGGTACATTGCCGAACAGTGCGAATAGCAGCAACGTGGAGAGAATCAGACTTTCGCACTATGCAATCCTCTCACCTTAGCAGCCGCACCATGCCATCCATGCATGACGAAGCTTTGGTTGGGCTAGATATGAGTGAGCGATAGGCGATATGAGCAAAGTGTTCTAAATTCCAAAGTCCGCTTTCAATTCCCTCAAGAGCTTTTTCTACTGCGAAAGAACCGTCGATGCTCTGGTAGCCTGGCTTCACGCCGTAAGCGATTAACCCTCTTGATAAATGCGCGAATGAGCGTCAGTTTATAGCTTTTGCATCGTCACCATGCCGCGACCCAAGGTTCATCCCAGTCAGCGAAAGCGCGCGGCAGAAGCATGCAACTTTTGCCGCATGTCCAAGAAAAAGTGCAGCGCCACAGTTCCTTGTACCGCATGCCAAAGACGCGGAATTGGCCACACTTGCTATCTCACACACAGCCCACGAGCCTCGCGCTCGACGGCGCACAGAGTACAGGCGTCTCTAGGAGATGGTTCTCCCGCGACAGATGCGCTCAGTGCTGGGCGTCGTGCGTCTGGAGCCGAAACCGTCTGGCCGCCCGATGACAGCGCGCGTTGCTGGGTGCCGCCTGAGCCAGTCATTCCGTTGGACCCAGACACCTATCAGCCCATCTCCCCATCTGATTCCAGAGCTGCAGCAACCGATACAAACAACATGGAGTCTGATACGTCACCGCTACTCCACACGGCGCAAAGAGAGAGTCGGGCGCTGGGGAGAGAGTCTCATGCGCGCATGTTGCTGAATCTGAGAGGAGAGCGAGGCAAGCCCGGCGTCCTATCCGTATCGCGGAAGCTCGAGCTAACACGGTCCTAGTATATATTGGAGGGGCTGCATCCATATCTTTTCTACAGTTTGTCCGTGACACTGTAGCAGCTCAAATCGGGCCATCGCAATTTTCCCACAATGATCGGAGCGAAACGATGCTGGAGAATGAGCCTGCGATCAACGGCTCCAATGTAGCGACGCCCGGCTTGATAGAGCTAGATGAGGACCAGCGCAGCTCTTATATAGACTTGTTTCATGCAGCTGTAAGTTCGATGGTTATACCTCGGCCGTGCAGTGCGCACCATACTGAGAATAGCAGACTGGGGGCTTCTTGGATTTGTTTTCCCGCGAGGAACTCAAGCAACTGTCATCAGTCCCGAGTCCAGAGCTATCTGAATACAGATACCGTCACATTGAGGCTGTTGCCTCGGCTGCAATTGCGATTGGGTCGCAATGCAAATCATCGCTCGAATCGCAGCAAACCAGCCAAGCATACTTTCGTCATGCTCAACGAAAAGCTTTCTCAGGCATGCTAGAAGATCCAAACATTGACATTGTGCGGGTTTTTCTGCTCATGGCATATTATATGCTCGGTTCGTGCAGAAGAAACTCTGCATTCATGTATTTGGGAATCGCGTCACGCGCCGCAGTGTCGCTTGGACTCCATAGCAAGGACACCTACGACGACAATAGCGCGCATCGCAATAACCGGTAGGTGCAGCGTATTCTCATTGCACGCCGTTACTGATTCTTTTTCGAAATTCAGATTGAAAATATGGATGAGTCTTTGTAATTTAGACATGACTGTGAGCTCCCTCCTTGGTAGGCCTGCCGCAACATCGGGCCTCAGAGCCGAAGTGGACGAGTCACATATCAGTGCCCTTGCCAATCACGAGGAAGAAGATACAGCAGCTCTTTTTGCTGTGTACGGGATTCTTTCTATAACAACTGACGTTGTGGAAAATCTGTACAAGAAGAAAAGACCGTCGGTGGCGCTGATTGAACGAGCATTTGCTAGGATCGAGGACTGGAGTCGAGCAATACCCAAATCGATGCGTGCTAGGCCGGACCCAACATTGCGCGACACGGCCAATCGTCAGGATGTCTACAAATTGCATATATCTTGTTTATACTATTTCGCTGTGACGCTCGTCTCACGGCCGATTCTCATATCACAGCTTACTTCTCAGTCGAATGCGTCCTCGATTACGCTGTCGCCGCTGGCATCGGCGTGCCTGGATGCGGCAGTCTTTCTTGTACAAACCTGCACAGATGCTAAAAAATCAGACAACTTGTTTGGAAGTCTGTGTATCATCAAGTAAGCAATTTCTTTTCATTCTTTTTTTTTAACAAACTCACGACCTCCACGATGCTGATGACGCCGCTTTTGTAGGGCTTTGGTGTTTGCCGCCGGGCTGATTCTTGGATTCGACATGTTTGCCAAGCGCGAACTGGATTTCGAGATTGAAAGCGCGTTTGCGGGTGCAAGAGAGATACTCGACTTTATTGCTGAGCAGAGCTCCCAGGCGGCCCATTACGCCGAGATACTTGGGCTGCTGTCCAGCGCGATAGCCGAGCAACGCCGTAAAACGGCATCGCAAGGTCGAAGCAAGCTCGTCAGTCGGCTATTCTCTTCCAGTGGAGATGATGCAACCGCTCAGGGTGATGATGTTTCATTTCGGCCATCTGAAGGTACGTCGCAGCCTGCTGGTGATCGCATGCTGCCAGATGGCACAGGGCATTGGCTCTTGGGACAGCCGCCGACGCTGTCTGCCGAGTTGGAAAGTGATTTTATAGAAGGATTGGATGTTTTGGATCTGTCGCAGTGGGATAATTTCCCATTCAACAGCCCTCGGAGTTTCGCAAACGAGGGGTAGGAATTGGCTACAGTATAGCGAGCAGGGTATTCTAGCTGTTTGAGTTATATGAGTATAAAGGCGAAATTTTGTCACAATTGTGCTAATGAGCTATGAAACGATTGCTCTGCCTTTTCTCCCTTTGTCATTTCGGCTGCATCTGCCGAATAACATCGGGGACGCTACATGACATCAACGCCAGGGCGGCATGTCGTCGGGTAACGCACCACACCCGCGGCTACCACCACAGCCAACACATCGCAGGTGGCAAAGTGAAAGCTTTCCGCCCCTATCCGATAGATGATATCAATGATTGGCAGTCATTTAGTGCATTGAAGTGTTGACCAATAAAAGCATGGTCATATGCTCTCATACATAAATACGCAGCTTTGAAGCCACTATACACCCGTGTCCAAAGAGAATCAACTCAACAGCCCCTCAACCCCTAAGCAACCACTCAAACAAGTGAAATATGGGCTCCAACACACCTCAAACCTGGCACCAGCTCAATGTCGGCGTCGTCGGCGGCGGCATCGGCGGCATGTCCGTCGGTATTGCCCTGCGGCGCGCCGGCCACAAAGTCACCATTTACGAAAAGCACGACTTTGTAGGCGAAGTCGGCGCATCCGTGTCGTGCGCGGCCAACGGCACACGATGGCTCCATGAATGGGGCGTGGACGTCGCAAAGGGCGATCCGGTCGTGCTGAAGAAGCTCATCAACCGGGACTGGAAGACGGGGGAGCCCGTCAGCGTCTACGACCTCGACGACTACGAGGAGCGATGGGGCTACGTGTACAATATGTTTCACCGGCAGTACATGCATACGATGCTGAAAGACTGCGCCATGCAAGAGCAAGGCGGCGGCATTCCTGTCAAGCTGGTGGTGAATCACCAGGTAAGCGTCGTCGTTTGCAAAACAGCCAGCCCCAACGATTTTCTCTACGCAAGAACTAACACGCACAACGCCTGAACAAGTGCGATAGTATAGATTTAGAAAGCGGAACCATTACGTTCAAGAATGGCGCTTCCGCGCCGCACGATCTCATTATCGGCGCCGACGGCATCGGCTCCGCCGTCCGCGGGCAGCTCGGCATCCACCCGGAGAAGCGGCCGTCGGAATCCAGCTGCCTGCACGCCAACGTGCGGACCGAAGACGCTCTGCGCCTCGGGCTCGTCGACTACTCGCAGCACAGTGCGCTCGAGTACTGGGGCGGCCAGGAGGGCAAGTACGACAAGATTGTGCTGTCGCCGTGCAACGGCGGCAAGCTGCTCTCGTACTACTGCTTCTTTCCGCGCGAAAAGGGCGACTACTCGACGCAGCAGTGGGGCGGTGCGGAGAGCAGCAGGCCGGTCGGGGAGCTGCTGGCGCCGTATCCGGAGCTGGATGCGCAGGTCAAGGCTCATCTTGCGATTGGGACAGAGATTCAGCCGTGGCGGCTCTGGGTGCAGTGAGTTGTTGTTTTTCCCCCCCCCCTTTTTTTTTCCTTTTTTTTTTCTTTTTTTTTCTATATATAGGAGGCTATTATCGACGACGGCAGCCGACTAGCTAATACGGGGTCATTACAGTCAACCTTATCCGTACATTCAAAAAGGTAGAGCGTGTCTACTTGGTGATGCGGGCCACCCGGTAAGTAACGTTTAAAGCTTGATAGCTTCTTTTTTTTTCTCTCGATCAATGTACTGATTTTGGGAAATTTTTTAGATGATGCCGCATCAGAGCCAGGGAGCTTGCATGGCTATTGAAGACGCCGCTGCGCTGGGCATCATCTTTGACAAGCAGCACTTTAACGGCGACATCGCCGAGGCTCTGGCAGTATACCAAGATGTCCGGCTGCCCCGCGTCACCAGAGTGCAAGCTGCAGCTGCCAAAGCCGCATACAACATCAACGAGAGAATAGGTAAAAAATTGCCCAATGGGGGGACGGCGAATGATGATTGACAGCTTTTTTGAGAAAAGAATACTGACACATGGCTTTTTTTTTGCAGGATTTTCCGAGAATAAAAATTGCAGCACTTACAAGGTTGAAGACGAAAAGAAGAAATTGACGATTGATGAGATGAATTCGTATGAAATGTATAAAGATGTCGATGAGATGCTGGCCAAGAGACGGGGAACGGTGTTTGGCGAAAAGTTTAGTCGTGGTCTGCCGCTTGGGCTGAAGCTGCCGAATGGCGTTGTGGTTGGCGAGGATATTTGAGCATATACTGCAATCTGAGTTTTTTGACTACATTTTTACACTTGTAGTAAAGTGAATAGTTCGCTTCAATATGCTGATTGCGCAATTATATCTCATCTAAAAAGGCCCTTGCTTAGTTGGAGTTGGAGCACTGAAGAGTCGACCCTAATCAACCGTCGCAAGGGGACCTCAACTACACGTAGTTGACCAAAATTCACTCGTCATCTGCATCATGACAAACTAAAGCATAGAGAAAATGTACGTGAGATTCATGTCAGTTCATTAAGAATTTAGGCAGCAGCAGCAAGCTTTACATTGTACTCGAGATCCCACACCGCCTCAGGGTCGTCCTTTCGCGGCACAAAGTCCACCGTCAATCCATCCTTGACAGCAAAGACGCTGTCGTTTGTGAGGTATTCAGACTTGCTGTCGAAAATCTGCGTCGTCAAAGGTTTATATCCATCTACGGTTACCTGATTTCCCACCGTCAGTCTAGTTAAGTCCAATAAAACGTAGGGCAGACAACTTACAATGAGATGAATGTGCGCGGGCCTGTACTGGTGTCGATCGAGAAGCTTCAAAAGGTTGCCGGCAGGGCCGTCCATAGGTACTGGATATGGTGTTGGGCGCAGGCAGTAAAAGGAATATTTCCCCTCTGCGTCTGTGATGAAGACGCCTCGGAGGTTGTGATCGACTTGCTTCTCATCCTGCTGCTCGTAAAGACCTGCAAAGAACATGAATGAGCATATGATCAAAAAGTATGCAGTTTGTTATTCCAGCAAAGCTTACCGTTGGTGGAGGCCTGCCAGACATCAACCTTGGCATTGGCGAGGGGCTTGCCAGTGTCAGCGTCGGTGATTTGGCCGTGCATAAAAGTGACTTCTCCATCGCTCGGCGTGTCAAACGTGATTGTGCTGCCATTTTCGCGAATCGGTGCATCGGCTCGCCAAAAGGGTCCGAGGATGGCGCTGGAGGTGGCAGGCTTTCCAGCTTTGGTGGCTGCACGAACGGTAATATCATCGATGAGACTGGCAAATCGCAAAAAGGTTAGACAGATGTGCCTCAATTATTCAGAATGCTGGCGATGGAAAAAAAAAAGAAGGAGTATAAAAAGTAATAGCATACGATTCGAAGCCGAGTACGTCACACAGTAGCTGGCCCTCATTGCGTCGGTCGTTGCTCATCTGGCCCGCCCAGTTGATCATGTCGATACCAGCCAGCCACTCATCCATGGTAAGGTTGACTTCGCGCGCAAAGTCGTGAAAGTGCTGAATAAAAGCCGACATGACGACGCGCATTCGTGGATCCGCGTTGGGACCCGTGGCGTCAATGACGGACTTTGTGAATTCTTGGCCAAGCGGCTTGCTTTCTTGCTCGGAGCTCATGGTTGCTGTGTGATAATATGTTGTATTAGGGGAAAGTAGTAGTAGTAGGTTTCTCAAGAGAAGCAATGCAGGTGTACAGGTGTACTCTAGACTGGTATCAGGGCAGTGTTGGGTGAGACTCGGTGATTATATATAATCATCGAGTGCGGCACAATGTGCTTTGCTGACAACAGCTCCAACACGCGGCCTTCCAATCAGCTCACTTTCATTTTGTCTGACCCTTTGCAGCAACTAGCTGTGGAACTTTTGTCTTGGGCGGCGCAGCCGATCGTCGGCAAGTGCACCTAGCTCTAGCTCAGCCTCGACCAGCGGTCCCGTTATTTGTCGACTGCTTCCTTGCATTACCATGATAGCATGAAAATTATATATAGTGAAGAAGATGGAATTGATGATTTTCTAAAGATCATTTAACAAATTACGGGCCCCCAAAGCTTCAATCTGGTTGATTCGACAAATACGGTCGGGCGGATTTCAACGCCTCCCCCGCAATTTGTCTGCAGATTTACCCCATAATAATTTGTATACGTGTGGCCTGTGAGCAGGCAAGGGGTGGAAGAAATACATCGCTGATCCACGGCCACCACTATTATACCACTAGTTTATAGACTCATTAACATCTACTTAGCTAGGACAAATTAGAAATTTCTACTTACTATAGTATAATTTAGTGTCTTAAGTATAATATCTAATTTATACTATATTTTTATTACTTTCCTAGAGGTAGTTATTAGTAGAACTATCTAGGGGCTACTAATGGCCGACTCGTAGACCGGCCAGGCAAGACGAGGCTCCATGGTCTGCCGCCATGTCTCGGGCGCGCGAGGTCCGTTTGGCCGCGATTAGCCAGTATAACATGAAAAATTTGTCTTTTCAAAACCGTCCATCTATACCATTTTCTCCTCTACTTTCTATAATCCCCATCTATCCCAAAATCCCACGTAGGTGCATCCGTCCCATTCGGTCGGCTCGCCCGCTGAAAGCTTATATCCAAACCCTCGATTTCCACCACGGGCTTGACAACCGCGACATCCTTTCCATACGCAGCCGAGTACCAGTGATCCATATACTTGCTGTTATCCACAAACTCTGGATACACATTCCGCATCCGCCGCAGCGTCCTGCCAGAGATTTGGTCCACGCTGTTGGCGTGCCGCAGCGACAGGACCTCGTCGCCCATGGCGGCGCGGAGCTGCGCCTGGACGTGCGCGGGCAGCGGACCGGCCTTGAAGAGCAGCAGGTCGTAGTGCAGCAGCGACGCCTTGCCGTGCCACGAGCCGCCGCGGGTTGTGCGGTGGTATAGGCCCACGAGCGCGGCGATTGCGCCGATGCAGCCCGTGCCGTAGTCGGAGATGGGAAACGGTGGCACGACCGGTTCGTCGAGGCCCATGAATTGGCCCTGCGCCCATGCAACGCCAGTTACCTGCGCGGGAGGGGGAAAAAAGAGTTGTCAGCATGACAAATATGGAACGACCCTTTGCTGTCAAGATACTTACGCAATCGGCAATCTGCTGCCATCCGGCCCTATCCGCCCATTCTCCCTCGTAGCCAAAGCAGTTTTCGTTGACGTAGATGATACCTTTGCCCCGTTTCGCTGCCAGCTCAGCGAGCTTCTGCGGGCCATAGCCGAGTTTGTCAAACGCGCCCGGGCGATACCCGTCAACCACCACGTCCACGTCCTCTAGCAGCTCTTCGAACAATCTTCTGCCCTGAGGTGTTTTCAGGTCAATGTCGGTAGCGTGCTTTCCCATGTTGCCATCTACCTGGAAGAACGGCACGTCACTGAGGTGGGGGCTCGTGACCTTGAGCACGTCTGCCCCGTACTCTGCGAGGATTCTGGTGATGACGGGACCGGCAATGATGCGGCAGAGCTCGAGAACCTTGATCCCAGAGAGCAGTCTGACTTTTTGTGTTTGAGGGAGGGCGACTTTTGGTGTGGTCGACTCGAGACTCTCGACGGACCATGGAGGCAATGCCATATTTGTTTTGCCCTAGAAAGGATGTGAGTCGAGGACATGTAATATCATCAAGAATTCCTCAGGTGCTTACGTGTGGAGTTTTGACAAAATCGGCGTGTTTGAATGCCTTGACTCCAGCCTGGCGATGCTCCTTGTTCTTGGCCTCCAACTCATCCACGGTAAACTGTTCCACAGCGCTCTCAATAACCTCCACAATCTGTTCATGGGTCTCGAGGTCTGGCCGATGCGACTCCAAACCAATCATTTTCAATGTCGTAGAAGCTTCCAGCGAGCCATGAATGTGATAGTATTCACCAGGCTCCTTGGTCTTGTACAGATTCGCCGACATGCGTCTATACGGGTTTGACTGCGCCTGAAGCAAATCGGTATCTATTTTCCACATCAGTAAATAGGTCTCCCATGACAAAAGTACCTACCGACTTCCCTCACCTTTGAGTAATTCTCTGACTTGCTTGTCCAGCTTGCCCAGGCCACCCACCCGCGCAAGGTACGCCTGGAAGAGAAACGCAGTCGTCTTTTCCAAGTTTACGTGCACTCTGGCATCTTTGGCGTTTCCATTGCCGCTCGTCTCTGCTAGTAAAGCGGCCACGGTACCCTCGATTGCCTTGAGCGCAGCCGTCGTTTCAGTCTCTTTGAACGGAATCGGGAAATACGGCTGGTCGCGCTCAGCTGTGAAGTCAATCTTGCCTTGTCGAAGAGCTACCTCGCGTGGTAGTGAGATGGGATCGAAAACTCCTAGTAAATTTTGATAAATACGAAAAGCTTCGTCTTTGGAAGAGTATCGTTGCGTTTGAGCGGCCATTGTCTTTGCTCCCTAGAATGCTCGTACCCTATAGCTGTTGAAGAAGGTGTTTTCGTGATTTGCTGCGACAAACGCATACTCAATACCGGCGTATTGTCTCTCGCTCAACCGGCTTCTTTGCAAATGCCGAACTCCCACGCCGTTCCCGCGCCGTCAAGGTAAGGTGCCCATCGAGGTGGGGTTCACAAAGCGGTGCGTTATCCGACGGTGCCGCATCCGACCGCCACCTCAATGGCGTCCCATCTTTGCATACGAGCCTCGAGTCTGCGTGTTTTCCATGCTGCGGGAAATGGAGTTGAAATACACAAAAAGTCTGTGTGTCACTGTTCCGAGTGCCGGTTTCAGGCGGCGGGCACAATCTGTTTGTGGATGCGCCGAGCACCCCCTTGTTGGTACTCCGGGTTTTGTCCGAAAGTAACTTCACTTATCACTTGTACCTATGTAGCGAGCACATCACTAAGCGCCTACAAAACGCAGCATTCAAAAAGGAAATCAACGCATAGACGGAGCCGATAACAGCCGACAAAGCCTTATTTTTCCCAGTCACCCATATCTAATATTTTGGCCTTGACAGCATAAACCATTCTCATCTTGGTAATCAACCACCGCGATGTTATTAGTCAATCCGTCCCCATGAGAGACGGCCAGATGGAAGTCGCGTCTGCTGCCCTGGCTCGGAGCTCTTGCTGCTGTTGATAACGGCGAGCTGCAATGCCTGGAGTAGTGCGGCTGAGGACACTCTGCAAGATGGCCGTCAACAGCGATTCAAACGCGAGTCCATTCACCTCTGCGCTCGCGGGAAGCGGTGAATGGCCCGGAAGTAGACCGGCAATCGGGTTCACCTAGATGATTCACAAATGTTCAGTTCTCCGTCGGCAGCGTCAGAGATAGGGACATGTCAGCCCAAACTCGCCTCGAGAACGTTTGGAACGGCATCGGCCTCTTCAGTGTCGAAACGAATGTCAACGCGTCCAGCGTCGCGGCAGCCCAGCGCCGCCCAAGCGTCCAACGCCACTTGGCTGGCAGCCTGTAACTGAGGATCGTCCATGTCATGCACATCATTATAACGCAGCCGACATTCGTTACTCAGCTTGCCCCTCCAGCTTGCAAAGTCTTCCAAGTCATCGTCATCCGGCCCGTTCCGCTTAAAAAGGTGCTCCCTAATGCCGATGACGCGGCCGTCGAAACCGGTCCCCAAGATGCTCACCGTCAACTCCCTACCGGCCAGGAACCTCTCCACCAGTATGTCTTGGTCGGGGAACGTGGTTCTGAGCTTCTGGATGGCCAACTCAAGCTCAGCATCATTGTTGACTTTGTTGAATCTGTCGATTCCTTTCGAGGAGCCCTCCGCGACGGGCTTGGCGAAGAGAGGGTATTTTGGGAGGGATACAGTAGGTATGCTTAATTTGTCTCTTGGGATGACCGTGAAAGGCGCGGTAGGTACACCGTGGTGGTTCAAAACAATCTTGTTCCGTTAGAAAAGACCCGGGGAAGAATGCCTATTACAACACTGGCCTTTGTGTTCCTCTTGTCCTGGCACAATGCCATGGTTGCAGTGTCAGAAAAGGTGTGCGGGATCGAGTAGGCCTCCAGCAGAGCAGGGACGTGCGCCTCTCTCGCAGGTCCGTTGAAGCCCTGTGCCAAATTGAACACTAGATCCCAGTTCTCGAAGCTCCCAGTCACGAGGTGCTCGGCCAGGGAAGGCAGCCCCAGAACGAGCGTGACATGATGCCCCAGGCTTTGGAGCGCGGCCGCAACGGCATCAATCTCACCTTCGTGGGTAAGAGCTGCACATTCCTCATCACTGTAGTCAAGTTTGAGATAGTGTGATCTTCGCTCAGCAACGAGAGCGATATTGAGGCGAGATGAGTCCTTGATAGACATTGCTGCGTTGAGGAGAGGGGTTTGCCAATGACATAGACCCCGCTCAGCGACGACAGAGGCATGTATAGCTGCTTTAATAGTGCTGCCCTCTCAGAGCTGCAGCACCGGTCAGCTCATCCATGCGTCGATCACATAATTGTAGCTGAGATGCGGCTGACCGGCACGCGCATGCTGCAGCTATTTTGCTTTACTATCAGCTGCGCAGGAAAAGGGGTAGAAAAAGGCAGAACGAGGTAGATGGTGAAAATTCAGGCTAAAGTCGCGATGATAAACAATGAACCAAAGTTGTGATGCTGCAGCACGAGTCGTGCAAGTTGTATGGTGATGCTTCATTTCTAGTGTAAAGTCGGTCATTCATTAAAATCCCAACAACATGACGATAAAATGCAAGCGAGCCTCGCCAATGGCTACGAGCCGACACGCCCAATTCTAAATCTGTTAGATCTTGGACAGACGCTTCTCTGATTCACGAAGCTGCTTTCGCAGAATCTTGCCACTCGGGCTTCGGGGCACAGCATCCACAAAGACCAATCCGCCACGCAGCTTCTTGTAGTCGGCGACCTTGCCGTGTACATATTGTATCAGCTCCTGCTCCGTGACCTTGCCCTTGCTGGCTGGCGTCAGCACGACAAAGGCTCGGGGCGCCTCTGTGTCGTTGTACGGCACGCCAATGACGCCAGCATCGCCAACGGCGGGATGCGCTTCCAACACACCCTCGAGTTCGGCAGGGGCGACCTGCAATCCCTTGTACTTGATCAGCTCCTAGAGCAGGTTAGCGTTTTGAGAAGTTAAGAGCAATACTGGCTTTTTCCGGGTTGTATGGCTTATCTGGCTTGCCTTTTTGCGGTCTACAATGTGAAAGAGGTTGTTTGCGTCAATCCGCATGACATCTCCGGTTCGCATCCAGCCATCCGTCGTAAACGACTTTTCGTTTGCTTCGGGATTTCTATGGTAGCCTTGCGTCACGATAGGTCCCTTGATGAGAACCTCGCCGGGCTGCCCTGGTGCCACATCGTTTCCTTCCTCGTCAACAAGGCTTTCACACAGTTAGCAACAATTGAGCACCATATCAAACAATCTCAAACGTTCGGAAAAGAGGCAAGACTGTACCGGACGGAAAGATTCGGCAGCAACGGCCCCAGACTGCCAGCATGCTCCTGCGCATTCACAGCCGTGCACGTCGCCGCGCCCGTCGTCTCGCTCATGCCCCAAACCTGTCCGATGACGAGATTCGGCATCTTCCTGTTGGCCTCTGCGCGCAGCTCGGCGCTTATCGGCGCCGCGCCGACCGTCGCCTGCTTCGCGTGGTGAAACTGCTCCTTGACGGCCGGGTGCTTGGCAATGGCCAGGTAGATGGGCGGCACGGTGAAGAAGGTGTTGATCCGGAGCGCCTGCATGTGCTTGACAAACTCGCCAAACTCAAACTTGGGCATCCAGTACGTCGTCGCGCCGCTCACGACCTGCGCGGCAAAGTAGCTGACGACGCCGGCAATGTGCGCCGCGGGCAGGTGCGCGAGCGTTCGGCCCGTCCACGCCGGCTGCTTGTCCCAGTATTGCCGTTCGCGGGAGCCCATGAGGAAACTTTGGGCGACCAAGTTTTGATGCGATACGAGCACGCCTGCAAACGGGTTTTGCAAATAATCTCATTAGCCGTCTTCTGCCCGACCAACACAAAAACAGTACCAGATACATGGCGGAGCAACAAGCAGGGGGGGGGAGGGCGTTTACCTTTGGGGAGCCCGGTGGTGCCTGAGGAGTACAGAATGCAAATCTTGCTCTTCTCAAGCTCGCGCGGGTCTTTGATGACTCTCCAGTCCAGCTCGCCGCGAAAGTCGCACGCCACCGCGCCGTCTGCGCTGTAGAGCTTAATGTCTGGGTGCGACTCGAGAACCAACACGTGGCGCTTGGACAGGCCGGCCTCCGTCGCCGCCTTGACCGTGCTCTCCAGCGCGGCGTCGTCCTTGCTGCACACAACCACCTTGCCCGGGCCGTCTCGAATCTGCCGCGCAAGCTCCGACGGCGTGTTCATGGGCGAGCCCGCCGAGTAGATGCCCCCGGCCGCAATCACGCCGTAAAAGAGACAAGGAAGCGCAGACTGGCCCGACGAGACGACCATGACCACGTCGCTTCCCTCGCCGTTCTTGCCGATGCCATACTCGCGCCGGAGAAAGTGTGCGAATTGCTTGGTGAGATTTCTCGCGTGCGCCTTGGTGATGCCCTTGGCGGGATCGCGCGCTTCGGCGTGTAGAAGAGTGTCTTCTTTGGAGCGCGCAAAGCTGTGGTCTACGGAGCGAAGCGAAAGCCCGCAAAAGTTAGCATGGGAGGCGGCCGGTAGAAAAAAAAAAAAAAAAAAAAAAAAAGTGCGAGAATGAGATTGCCGTCTTCCTCACCAAAAAGAAACGTCAGGAGATCGACCCTAGGTATTTCCAAGGACTCTGCGCTGTTGTAGATCATGATTGCTTTTTGTCGTCGTAGTCTAAGAGCTTGAGAGGGCGGGGGAGGGTAAAACTGTAAGAAGAGCTCAAAAAATCCTCTCAAGAAAATATATTCCTGACCTACTCAAAAAACAGGAAATGTTGGAGGGACGCTGAGCAGGAAGAAACGGCAATACGAGTTAGCTAAATACCCATCCGTTCTCCTCCCCTCGGCGACGTCGGCGAGATTGTACCCCGGGTTTTTATTGGGAATAAGTGGGCTCCTCCACGCCCACGGACCAAGTGCGAAGCTCGGCCCCCTTCGAACAAAAGGTCTCGTGAGATTTCCACATCTCATTTGCTCATGCCAAGTCTTGTAGGGCTATCATACTGGAGTTGGCCAAGCCCAGTTAACGGACTTGAGATGCGACATGCTCGGAAAATAATTCCCGGGAAAAAGCCCTTGTTCAGTCGGTAATGAAGAGGGCTTCCGGCTCAATGTTATGTATGCAGCTCCAGCATCCGATTCGGCTGCATGTCGCCTTGATCGTGCCGAGCATAAAGCCGTCGATCACTAGTGTACTCGGCGACTAGTGAAAATATTTGGTGGTTGTCTTATGGGTTTATTTTAGCCGGCCCTGTTCCACAATCCGCACTACGACAGTTGCTTACAACTGTTCAATCTTCCGTAGTATAGTGGTCAGTATGCAAGCTTGTCACGCTTGAGACCCGGGTTCAATTCCCGGCGGGAGAGATCCGCCAGCGTCCTCAGGATGTTCTTTTTTTGCCAGTTTTCCTCCCTTTGCAAGTCGTGTCTTTTCAATTTTGATATAATGTGTACGTTTGATTGCATTCTTCTTCTTCTTTTTTTTTTTCATGAGGCCACTCGTCAAGATCAAACTACCATTCTTTACATAAAAGTAGGGCTGTGCGCAAAAAGTGCCTGAAAAAAGCAATCGTACAAGTATAATGAGATAGCTAAAATTCATGGCTTGAGTAAAACACCGATTTAATGCTTCAAATATCAGATGATTTCATGCTTGCAATATCAGATGCCTTTCGCCATCCACTCCTTTCGCAATGCCTCCTCCCAATCACCAAATAGCTTGATTCCCGAAACCTCCAAAATCTCACCCGTATGGAGAGAGCGATTGAGGGGCGGCACAACAAACCACTCATGATCACTTCGACAAACGACGTTGCTGCGCTTATCGCCAGTCTTGTTGCCCGGCACTGAGATGACATTCTTAATGCAGCGGATACAGAAACACTCCATGCAATACAGGCAAATAGAAAAGTCGTCACTGCATGAAATGTTGTGCAGGCACTGACCACAACTGCGGTCCGACAACTGAATGTTTGGCAACTTGGGCTCCAGTCGCTGCAGAATAGGTGAATCGCTCTGCGTAGTCACCATAGACGCATTGGGGTTGACCCGGCGCATAGACTGGCCCAAAGCCTTGGCTCGGCTCACATCTCCCGCTGCCGTCATGAGCCAGAGAAGGTTGTCCAAAGCATATACATCATTCTCCGGCTCGGAATCAGCAAGCAGGTCCAAGCTGTCTAAAACCAGTGGTTTCAGGGTTCTGTTCGCGGCCTCTTGTTTCCCTGTGAGGCGCTGATGGAGCCCGAGGTAGACTGCTGCCATGTTGATATCGGAGCCTCGCACATTCATGGGCGTGTCTGTGCTTTGATGATGATCTTGCTGGCGTCTCACCTCTTCCAGTTTGCGGATCCAATCTGCAGCCTCGCCCGAGTGTATTCCTGCGTGCAACAGCTGCCGTTTGTACAAAGCTGCTAGTCGTTGAAAAGAAATTGCATGCGCTTGCCGAATAATAATGGTTCCTCTTGGACGGTATTCATCGAGAGAAATCCGCTCCAAGTCGGCCGTTGCACGCTCGGCCAAGTGACTGTAAGCGCATACAGCAGCGTAGGCAAGCCGCAGATACAAAACAATGACCGGATCGCGCAGGTCATACGCAGTCGCAATAGACGATTCCAGTAAATCCAATACTAATTCTGCCTTCCCCGTGGTACCAGCAGCCTTTGGAATCCAGTCGAGGACGAGGCGTGAATTAGCCTGCGCTAGGAACATTTCCACCAAACGGCTCCCTCCTTTCGTCTTGGTTGCAATTTGCAACGACAGCTGCTCCACAACTTGCATAATTTCCATGTGCAGATTCTCATTGTAGAGAGTCTCTAGATAGCCGACCTCGGATTGAAACTGTTCCGACGGGTTGAGCTTAACAGCCGCGGCAATTTCAATGGCCTTGCGGTAGTATTCAAGCGACTCTTCGACTTGGAATGTATGGTAGTAGCACTGAGCGATGAGAAAATAATCTTTGTACAGCCGCCATTTGCTGCGTTGGGTCGCGTCTGCGGCGAATTTTCCGTCAGCAGCGGCTCGCTCCTCGAGGACCACACATTCCAGCGCCATATCAAGGGCCTCTCCGTATCTTCTATCCTTTGACAGGCAATATGCAATCCTTCCGTATGTGAGCAGTTTGTTGTTATCCATTTCTAATGCCTGGTTATAATGTGCGAGTGCATCGTCGTGTCTGCCCAGGGTCAAATACGTGCTCCCAATTCTCCTGTGCCATACTCCTGTTTCGGGATAGCCAGCCCATGCAGACGCTTTGGCAATTCTGTCATCAAGAGACTTTTCAAGCCAATGCTTCTCGTCCCCGGTACTCTTGTAGCCAGAAGCCATGAGTGCTGCACTTTGCACGATATCGAAGCAAAACACAGTCGGAATGTAGCCCTCATAGTCTGCGCAAAGCCAGGCTTTCGCATACTGACGACCAATCGGCTCAGAAATCTTGGATGGGTTCTCTGCCAGAGATGAGGCAAAAGCTTTCGCAGGGCCAGTCAAGCAACCAACCACATCAGCGTCAGAGAGCCAGCGCATGATGCCCAGGAGGTTGGTTTGGTTCAGTACATCCAAACCTTCGTTGTTCTTCAAGTAGAGAAAGGTCCATGCATTAATGGTCGCTTCATCTGCAAGCATAGCAACGATCTGCGGTGCCAATTCTTTCTTGATGCTGATATCAACGGCAATCGGGTCCAGCGCGGCAAGGTGGTCTTGCCAGTACCACGCAGCATACTGCTTTATGGCCGCCTTTCCCGGACCAAGATTGAAGCTTTCAAACCATTTCGTATCAAAGAATATCTTGAGACAGGTTTTCACAATGTGTAGCCGTGCTTCAACATTGTCAAAAGTAATGCTTGGTTGAAATGAGGCCTCGGCCATGTTGGTCGAAAAATTCCTGAAAAATTCGCGAACCGTGCTATGGAAGAAAGTGACAGAAGTCGTGGATTTTTTCGATCGGTACTCCATCTCAGTGGAGGTGACAGCCAAGTCAATACTCCGCGTTGGACTGTGCGGAGAGCTCTCACCCGATGACATGCTCAAACGACGCATCGCTTCTTCATGAGCTTTGGGTCTCAGAGCACCCCGAGCTGCGATAGCTTCGCTCATAGTGACACGCCTATCGGGGCTATATTTCATTGCTGGGCTGGTGTCTCTCCTGAAAATTTGCTGCTTTCTTTCGAATTCCTTAATCAGGTCATCGGTTGTGAGCCCATCTTCCCGTTCGAGTTCGAAGAAGCAGCCATATTGGCCTCGTAGTGTCTCTTCAAGTCGGAATGGTGGATCTCCAAATTGCAGAATGAGAACTGATTCAAGCTGCTCCAGCGATAATGCCTCCTCTGCGCAGACGATCCAACGCAGCATCTCATTGAGGTCTTCTGCTTCTTCTGGGGATATTGTCTCAGACAGGCTTTCCAGGGTTCGTAATAACATGCCGTCAATCTCTTTGGGGAATGTTTCGAGACTTTTCTGGATGGACCTTGGATGACGCTTGCGATTTACTTCGGCCAGCATGAATTTCGCAAGGATGAAAAGTCCGTCGACCTGTTTTTCCATGGTTTTCATGACCTCTTCTCTGAATAAAACAGGGGTTCGGGCCAGAATTCGAGATTGTGCGACTCCATTCGCGATGTAAGCCGCAACATCACTAGCGCTTCGGTCCGTAGTGATCTGAATTGTGCTGAAAACATCACCACGTCCCTGAGGGTCCAATTTGTTGGTGACATTTTCTGTCATGTACGATCGTCCAACAAGAGCGATGAATATATTTGAAGAGTATTCGATTTCCGCGTTTTCGTCGGGAGCAAGCTGGAACAATAGCTGGTTGATATCCTCGTGATACGCTTCATCGATTCCGTCCAGAAATATGTACGTTGGTGTGGTTCGCGCGGGATCTTGAAGAGGTTGAACGAGCAAGCGCCGAAAAGCACTCGCCACTGTCTTGATTTCCTCGGCGCTTTGAAGACTGTTCATCAAAGCTTTTGCGTAAGATGCGTCGCTTTCGCTCATTTGATAAGCAATGTCACGAATTGCTTGAACAACTGACTTTGTTTCAGGATTGTTCTCGCGGAAGAAAAAGTAAGCCATATTTCCAAGATTCTCCATACCCCACGAAACGAGACGTGCTGTGAGGTAGGACTTTCCAGTGCCTATCGAAGGATTAGTGGTCGGCTTTCTATCAACATGCATGCTTTAGTTACCTGGACTTCCGCATATCCACAGATACTGCTTCTCGCCCTTAATCCAGGATTGCAGCGTCTCATCTTGCAAAATCCAGTCGCCAGTACCTGCAATTCTAGACTTTATAAAGGCCGAGTAGAAGTCTTCCGCAAATGGCGACGGCTCTAGAACTGCCTTGAGTTTGTCTCTTTGGTAGAGGTCAATTTGTCCAAGATGATCGAGTCTAAGGTTCCTCACGTTTTCGTTGACGAGACTGACGAGGTTCTCTACCCTTTCAGTCGTGTCGTGAAGCGTTGATACGCTGCCATATGTTTCCGCCAAGACCAATTTCTCTTCTCCGGTAGTAAGGGCCTGCAATCTCTCCAAGGCTTCCTTGATAGGGCTGCCCATTCCGAAAAGGCGCTTGAAGTAGGCTTTGAATCTGCCACGACGGACTTCTTGCGTGGAAATAACCAACACTTTGAACAAAGTCGCCAGGATGGTTGTCAGCTTTTCTTTGAGCGGCGGAGACAGCTTATACTGAATATATATATTTAAACGGGCAGTGAAGTCCTTTTCCGGGATTATTAGCATTATTCTTTATGTGTTGGGCGGAACTGTAGACGACGCACATGTAGTTGCTCAAACAGTTCAGTGATGCCATCGTACATTGCGCTGGTGTCCTTGGCGGCTTGGATGAGGTAGACGACGGCGCTGAATACGCTTTGGGCAGGAGGGAAACCTTTTTCAGCAGCGCCACCGATGATTTCCCCTAATACCTCGACCGGCCTCATTGCTGTGGCCATGGCACTAAATACAGCGCGGCGTTTGGCGCGAAACGCCGCGAATTGGGCATTTCGAAGCTCGACTTGTTTGATGACTTCGTCAACGGTCTTGACTGTTGGCGATGTGTAATCATCGAGCTGTATTTCTGAGGAATTCGAGTATCGTTTAGCAGCGTCTGCGGCAATCGCCGCAAACTGAGCGTCCATGGTTGCAAGTCAACAAGTTGTAACGTGGTGGTGAGCTCGGGAGTGGCGCGACGCTACGATCGGGGCGGTTCAGATCTACTTATGAGCCTTTGCAGGACTTGTCGAGTCTTTTTGAAGAAAAGGCCTTGAATGTGGCAAAGAGGTGTCAGACGGCAGATTGCGCCTGTTCTTGTTTAGACGCCTTGTTACCAAGTCAGGTGCCGAGTCTCGATGGCAGCCTTTTTGGCAGGTCATCTGGGGCTGAGACGGCTGACAGGGGCAAGAGCCACTAACTAGGTAGCTAGCGAGCGCCAGGCAGCGCCCGAGATGGTCGGGCAATTCGTGACAAATGTGAGGAGACGTGGAAATAAAAATCCGGCGCAGTGAATTTCTTTGTTACGCGGCACATTTGCCTTTTGCCTTTTTCTAGTGCGCTGCGTCTCCCTTGGCGACAAAGTGACGAGGATGCTAGTTATGCCACTTGTCGAGTTAACGTTGTCTGCCTACAGCTAAGGCTTTGACCCAATCTTAGGCGGACGCCATTCCCGTTCCCGTGCACGAACAACAGATTGCTGTTAGCTCATGCAAATAGTGGGCAAATCATCGCTGCGGCCCGTGCTCGGTGCTGGAAATACAGATCCGCAGGGGGCAGCATTTGCGATGCCTGCCTCTGGGCGCGGGGCAACTTGTCTGATGATCGGCCTTTACTTTGTGTGTATGCGTCATGTCTGTAGGTATATCTGTCGCAAGATTTAGAAAGACTTTGCTTTGCGGCATACTCATTGGCTGTGTCCAGCGTTGCAGATGTGCAATGTTTAACGCCTGCTGCCTATTGCAACGTCCGATGCTAACTAGCCAACTAGCCAAAACTAACCAATTACTAACGTGCTAACCAAGTTGTTTAGTTTAGTGTTTCAGCCTTGCCGTGTTGGGCATACTGGGCAGCGCAATTGTGCCTTGTTGTAACAAGCGCCCGCGCTTTAGAGCTTCAAGCCTTACTTGTCGGCAGTTGATTCCCTAGTTGTTGGCGTGTGAAGCTGTCAGCCTACATTTATTATAGATGAATTCATGATGAGTTGAAGTGATAGTCGCTACGTGCGCTGGCTGCTCTCTGTTGCGGCACGCGCAGGTCCAGTTAATAAGAGGGCTGCACGTGTTGACTTGATTTTTGCATTGTAGCATCTCTACAGTCCCCATGCCATTTGTTGGATATTGGTGTCGTATTTTCAGTGTCACCCAACGATATGTGAAGCTATTATACTTCCGATAAGTGGGTGGCAACCCTGGCCATCTGACTTGAACTTACCACTGGGTCAAAAAGTGACGTCGGCGACAAAGGGCCTCCCGGAAGACAAGGTGGAAGCAGACCCAAGCAGTGTCAATACATGCAGATGATTCAAACTCGATGCACCAAAATGCTCTCGCTTTGCGCATCGAGGCAAAGTGATCGGCAAAGACAAAGACGAATAGACAGACAAAGTACCTGACAAGAATGTGGGGGAAATGACAAAAGGGTGATATTAGTTGGCATTAAGCTTCAGCGGCGGGATGCTCTTGTCGCAAGGTTATTATGATGCAGTGGCAGCCACAATTGTAACCAGGACTTGCTATCAGGCACCGCCCAGACGCAATTGGCTCCTTTCCACCATTTCCACCACAATTATACGGATACTATCAGATTCAAAAATTCCCCGTCTGTAACAAAATTGCACTTGTGCAGTGGAGTCGAGTTTTTTTTTTTTTTTTTTTCGTTCTGCATCATGATTCATGTCGCAGGCCCCATTCGGCATCCCGCTCTGCGCCTGCTGCGCTGTGCTGTGCTGTGCTGTGCGGTGCGGTGCGCCTGCCATGCTCGCGCCTGCTGTCACACTGTAGGGACCGACCGTTATTAGTGTAGCTTTTCCTCCGCAGATCTCTCAACACTTCATCTTATTTTACTTTTCATCTTTCAGCCTACACCTTTTTTCTGCATCCCAAATCTCTCTCCCACAGTTCATCAAATGGCCTCGACATCCCCCTCGCAGCAGCCGGTGGCGGCGGCGACGACGGCGCCCGTCAAGTACGCCGTGGCGCTATTCCCCGGCTTCCAGTTACTCGACGCGGCCGGCCCGCTCGACGTGCTCGCGATGCTCTCGGCGCTGGTCCCCGTCGAGGTGGTAATACTCGCGGCGACGCTCGAGCCCGTAACGTCGCGCGGGAAGCGACCCGGCTCCGTTGGCCAGGCAATTGTGCCGACGCACACCTTTGACACGGCGCCACAAGACATTGAGGTGCTCATGATTCCCGGCGGTGGTGGCACCCGCGACGACGAGGCCACGCAGCCCTTGGTCGACTACGCCGCTAGGGTATATCCGAAGCTCCGATACTTTTTGACGGTGTGCACCGGCGCGGCGCTCGCGGCCCGCACGGGCATCCTGGACGGCAAGAAGGCGACAACGAATAAGTTGGCGTTTGACTGGGTAAGGGTTTTTTTTTTTTTCCTGTTTTTTTTCTTTGGAGGGGGGGAGTTTACTCTTTTTCTTTTTTTCCTTTTTTCCTTTTTTTTTTCCCTTTGGAACTCTTTTCTACCACCGGATGACTGACGGTTTGACGCATAGGTTATGAAGAAGGGACCAAATGTACACTGGGTCCGGCATGCACGATGGGTCAGCGATGGCAATATATGGACTTCTTCGGGCATCTCGGCCGGCATCGACATGACCTTTGGCTTTGTGGCGGCGCACTACGGCGAGGAAACTGCCGCCACTATCGCCTACAGGCAAGAGTACACTCGCAACACTGACCCTAACAACGATCCTTTTGCGCCAGATTCCGCACAGCAAGACCAATAGTTGTACATGTATCTCATCCTACAAAACTAGCTTACAAATAATGCATAGCCAAAGTCGCTCACAAGCTCATGCAAGTATCCTCTCTCTATCAGGCCAGCCAAGGGCCGACGGGCTTGCCCGCCAGATCCAGCAGCGCATCCAGTATGAAACCCGGCAAGACTTCAATCGTAGACAGGTCCCACAACGATGTAAGCGTCGTCTCTTTCGAGCACCCCGGCTTCGGCTTCCCGCCGTTCATGATGTTCTTGAGCCAGGCCACCGCGCGCGGCGCGCCCGTCGCCATGGCGCTCGCATGCTCCGACGCCTCGTCGCGGAGGTACTCGACCGTCGCGCCGCCCGCGCAGTACTTTGCGTACACGGCGTCCGAGTCCGCCACGGGGCTCACCTCGTCGTGTACCGACTTGTACCAGTAGATGGGTATCTCGGGCACCGCCTGCCCGAGGTCAATCTCGGCGAGCACCTTGACCGCGTCGGGGTCGTTGTACATGAATCGCGGATCGGTAAACATGGCCGTCACGTCCCGGTCGCTAAACACGGCGAGGTCCGCGACCAGGCACTGGTGCTTGGTCTGCTCAACCACCTCGCGAAACTCGGGCTTGAGCTCCCGGTCCACCATGGCCTCGATCGCCGGGTACTGCTTGGACAGCCCCATGATGCCGGTCGGCAGCAGGCCTGCGAAGCGGCCCTTGTTGGTGGCGCCAACCACGTTGGTGATGTTGGGCGTCGTGCCGCCAAACGCGGCCCCCGCGATGCGCAGCTCCGGCGCGTACTGCGGCTGGATCTCGGCCGCCCACGCTGTCGCCATGCTGCCCGCCGAGTACCCCCACATGGCGACCGTCGCGTCGGCCTTGATCCCGGTAATCTCCTCGGAAGCCAGCGCCGCGCGGATGCCGTCGAGCGTCGCCTGCCCCGCAAGCCGCCACGCCAGGTACAGCGCGTTGGGGCCCTCGTAATCCGGCACCACCACGACCCAGCCCTGCTCCAGCACGGCCTCGATGAGCAGAATCTCAGCCTGCTCAAACAGGGTGCCAAGGTGCGGGCCCGACTTGGACTCCCGCTGCAAGGTGTACGACGGCGCGCAGTCGGCCGACGCCGCGTCCTCGGCGACCTGGTACGAGAGCACCTTGCTCATGTCGGCGTGGTGCGGCACCAGCACGGTCAGCACGGCGGCCGTCGCGTTGCCGAGGTTGTCGGCGGTGCGGTACTGTATCTGGACCGTCTCGGCGAGATTCACAGAGTCGAAGCCAAAGACGGCGATGGAGGAGGGCGGCTTGCGGTGCCGCAGAATGGCGCCGGGGGCGGCGGCGGAAATGGAGTCGGGCACGGCGTAAAAGGGGTCCTGGGAGGGGAGGATGGGCGCAGTCCGGGGATCGTGTGGCATGGGGGGCGCGGCCGAGGCCACGAGGGCGTGGGCCACGACGATGGCGGCGGACAAGAGACCCTGGGCCAACATTGTTTTGGTTTGGATTCTGTTGTTGCTTTGAGACTAAAGATGCTGTTGCTGCTGTGAGACGATTGCTTCGACAGGAGATGCGGTTGCATATTTATACATCCTTCGTCCGAGAAGCCAGACCGCGGCTGACTGGTGTTTTTTGTCTGTCATCGTGTAAGTCCGCCCGTGTCTTCACGTGCCGCGGCCGTCCTTTACGACTTGCATCTTTCTTTCCTGTACATCATCATCTTACCCTCTGCAGTCCGGCGCATTATGCCGTGCCGGACTTCCATCTCGTGCGGGCCCCGTCTCATGCCATCCCCACGATTCAGCGCCCGACTTTGGCGCTGCTGGGAAATTGAAGCGGGTATACCGTGCAGCGAGACGGGGATACCTAGCCATCCGGGGGAAGCGAGGGGAAACGGGGCTCTTGGTCCGTAAGTCGCGAGGCAGGTAGGTGGGCGCGCAGAGTTTTATTTTCTTTTCTCTATGTTTTTGGCTTCAAATCGCTTGCTTCGAGGTTAGCCTTTTGTCCGTTGAAACTGCATCTGAGTCTGCGGGTATATAGATGGCTTCCTTTGATCTGATCGGCTGCTGCCGAGATTGTTCTCAACGGCCCGTGTAAGTCAGGCCCCCCCCCCGGTATAGAGCGACTGCCGGGCCGCGCTAACTAAACTTATTAGTCGAGCGTTCGTGCATCGGGACCAGATTCCAGTATCGTTCAGGTCCGAACGCCCCCCGCGGGGGCCTTGGCATAGTTACAACAAAACTCACTTGACCGGAATATGCCGTGTTATTGCGTGGCGCTTTCCTGTAATGCTTTATAAGATTGAATATTGGCGGCCAACCCCTGCCAGAAAAAAATCGGGTTCAAGACCGCAGATGATCAGACTAGGCACTAACTAGTATTGCATACAAATCGGTTTGGCGTCGCAGTATTACTTGGCTATGGAGGATGGGTGATTTTTTTTTTCAGCTGTTTTTCTTGCCGCGGAGATTGTGTAGTTGGGCATGGGCTTGCCGGGTTTCGCGGTGTGGTTTGTCGTACCATGGCGCCAAGCCCGAGATGCGTTCAACGCGTGGTTTTTGTCATGGCTTGTGCGCCATTTGCGCTCGTCTACCAGGACTTTTCGCAATAAAATCATATGAAAATATCACATTGAACCTTTTGATGATGACGCCTCTCGTATGGACGGTGGATTCAACATTTGTCTTCTCAGACTCGTGAGTCTCCAACAGACCCATCTCCCGCGACAGGTGGATGCCATCACTCCGGCACTAGGTAATAAATAACACTGAAAGGGGAAACACATCAGTGGAATCGGAAAAAAAATTACAAAACAGCAAATGGAAATGAGTCTTTGATATTAGTAATTGGCGGTAGCTGATTTGCCAGCGGCCGCGACTGTTGGGATGGCAGCTGGAGCTGACAAGGGAGGCGGATGGCCCAGTATGGTCATACCCAAACTGGGCCGTTCTCTGCCAAGCAAAGGTAAGCATGCAGCTCGCGAAACTCGATCCGAAAGTGGTGCTGAAAAAAGATGGCAATTTGGTATTGTAATCTATCAAGTAGAAATCTAAGAATATCAAGTAAAGAATGCTGACTCGCTTGCTTCTATGCAATGCTTAATGATAATATCTGTAATGGTGAAGGTATAAAAAAAATAACAACTCAATGTCCAAAGACCTTGGATGCAAATAAAACTAGGCCTCGTACGGGTCTCTTTCCGCCTCTTCCTGGACTTGCTTGTCCGACAGGCGTGGGTTACGAAGCGCCAGGGCAAAACCAATCATGGGCACGCAGACACATAGGCCAGCGACGCAGAGAATTCCCTGCACGTAGCTGTAGCTGCTGATTATTGCGCTTCTAATCTCAGTCCCAACCGGGTAGTCAGCGACAACCTCAAATGGGTTGTCGTACATGGCCTGAGCGAGTGTTCGGTTCGGCTGAAAAGCCAAGTTGGACTCGAGTGCCGGGTATAAGGTCTGCGTCCAGATTGCGCCGGAGAGACAGGTTCCCAGAGCACTTCCGACATTGTAAAAGGATAGGTAGAGCCCCGTGAGAATAGCTACGTGGTCGCGGCTGGCGGACGCCTGGATGGAGGCTTGTGTAGGGTAAGCGAACAGGCCTCCAGCAAGGCCGAGCAGTATCTGGGCACCGATTATACCGGTTCTGGAGCGGCTAGATGCGCCTCCAGGCTGGCTGATGAGCAGAACAAAGGCCATCATGAAGACCAGAGTTCCTCCGACGATGATGTGCTTCAAACGTCGCAGCCTGTAAACGACGAGGCCAATGAGGACACCGCTGACCACGCCGAAAAACGAAAAGAAGGAAATGATGCGGGTGGTGGTTTCGATGGAAAAGTCAAAGGCGACGATGAGCACGGTATACAAGTAGTTGGCCTGGACGTAATATGCAAAGTTGAGGAGACTGCGGACTGCCAGCGCGGCCCAGACACCACGGTCGGTGAGCAGGTGGAAGGGCATCATGGGCGTTTTTGCGTGGTACTTTTCCCAGTAGATAAATGCAGGCACGCATATGCAGCCGACAAGGAGGGGTGCAACGATGCGCGGATTTTGCCAGTGAGACGCTGTACCTCCGGCCACAGTCATCGGTGCCAGCACCAGACTGAAGGCGGCGACCAGCAAGACAAGCCCAAAGACGTCGAGCTGCGTTGAGACATGGCGGAGCCAACGCCTGGCGTCTTGCAGCTTGCTGGAGGAAATGCCTTTGGGAGACTCGAGAATGTGTTTGGGCTCTGCGACACTGCGATCCACCACGTATAACGTGACGAGCAGCGGCAGCGAGGCGATGGGGTATATGATGCACCACATGCCGATGCCCCAGCGCCAGGTGGCGAGACGCAGGACGGCCGAGGTGATGGTGCCACTAAGCCAGGTGTTGATGACAAAGGGCAGGGCGGGGACGTAGCTGAAGAAGACGCGGGCGCGCATAGAGGAAAAGTCGGCAACGAGGACCTCGAGCAGGAGGACAATGCAGGTGAAGCCGACCTGGTAGATGAGGCCGCCGGCGCAAAAGACGTAGACCGAGGTGGCCGTGGACTCTATGGCCATGCCGAGGACGTAGAAGAGGGTGGAGGCGACAACGACCTCGAATCGGCCAAAGACGTCGGCAATCTTGGCGGCGGCGGGCTGGGCGGCGACTGCGACGACGCTGCGGAGGACGTTGATGGTGGCGAGGTATGAGTGCAGGTTGAAAGACGCGGTGGCGTTTGGCGTGTAGGCCAGACGGACCTGGCTCTCGAGGCCGTAGGCGTAGCCGACGAGGAATATGCCAAAGAAGAGCCAGAAGCGCTGGATCGAGGTAAGCTGGGCCGTGACGGCGTCCATGCGGGCGACGCCGGCGGCCCGGGCCGTGGTGGTGCTGGTGGTACTCGTTCTGCTGGCCCTGCTGGCCCGGCTGGTGTTTGTCGAGGCCGGCGATGCACTGAGATGGCGACTAGTGGGGGATGCATGGTGGTGTTGTGACATGTGCTGCAGCAGCGGCTGCGACTCTGTGGGCGCCATGTTGTCGACTTGTCAAGGGACCTCGTTCTAAGACACTCTCTGCTGTGCTGGGCAGTTGATGTTAAATCAAAAAAAAGACAAACGAGAGATAATCGCAAACAAGGACAGGAGAAGAAGAGGGCACTGTGCCTGATGAGCTGCTGACAACGGGACAGCCCGAAGTGCGTCAGCCGCAAGGTCGACAGACCAGGGGAGGCCCCCTTCTCGCTAGGCAGCCAAGCAGCCTATCAAACTATGCAGTGAGAGAGTCACGAGTGGAAAACGGGGACACGTCTCAAACAGGCATCTGCTCGCGACACGTCGGGAAAAAAACTGGGAATTAGGGACTGAAAAAAAGATGGGCATCTGGTATTTGCAAGCAGGGGGTAAACGAACGGGTCGGGGTTGTATTGGAAGGTTAGTTGGTCGAGGCAAACAGCCGTGGTAGGAGAAGAAAGACTCGAGAGAGTAGAGGAATTCGTTTGCTCGAGATAAGATGGGAGAACGGATCAGATAAAGTGAAAGAGGAAGCGACGGGCATATGCAGGTCTGAGAGGCTGATAGTAAAGTACATGAATAACTGCGCAGGTGCCTGGGTGAATTTGAAGTACTTGCGTATCTCGTGGCCATTGTAGGTATTGGGTACCCAAGGCGGACAGCAGGGGTCTCAGGGAGACAGTACTGAGTAAGCCGAGTACATGTGCAGCTGGGCGGGCGTGCAGCAGCTGCCAAATTGGAGAGTGGGTGATTCAAAGACGCCACTCTACTGACTGCATATTGAATCATTGTTTCAGGACATTACTCCCATAGAATTGTGCTTTTTATCCTCATTTACTTACTTGCTTCTTGTTATGTATCATCGTCTGCCACCACACTCTCGCCTTGGCAGCTGCTGAAACTTTGTCCATGGACTTCAGCCTGCCCAGCTCGGCCCACAGCGGGAAGCCCACCCCCTCCAGCTCCAACTTTCGCGCCTCCACCTGATCACTTTCACTAAAGAAAAAAAGGCCCTCTTTAATTTAGTGGTCCCTATGTGGTGCGCCGTAATCCGATTTTGGTCCGAGACAAGCAGCAATACAGAGTAAAATAGACGAGCAACTACCCAGTCAGCGCCTCAGTTGGTGGGCAGCGCAGGGCTGCCTTTTTGCATACCGGCAATAAAAATAGCAGACACGGGCTGACGATCTGATTCGGCGGCTGTCTCGAACACGGATATACGTGGCCTCTTTTTACTCACTCAACCATCACGCCCACCACTGCACGACATCTGTTAATTACACCGCGCCGCCATCCTGCACAAGCGGCCTGGCCTCTTCGTCCCTGACAGAGCCTATATCTGGCGTCGAAGTATAACTACCTGTAACTGTTCAGCGGTCGCTCGACGGCATCACCTGCGCTGAGCTGATCAACTGACACGGGCCCCTTGACGGCGCCACATAGCTCCTTGCATATGACCAAACCTGAATGCCACACTCCCCGTCTAAATATATACAGATATAGTTTCTGCAACTATATAATAGTGAACAACTGCGGTTTTTTTTGTTTTTGCCGACCTAGTAGACAAGACTTTACCATCTTCTTATTCCTCTCTACTCCTGACCCCAGTATGAGTCATCACCGCTCCAAAGAACACATCGTTTTGTGCCTGTTCACCGCCCATATTTCGTAGACACACCTCTTCTTCCACATGTACCAACAACATCTTGAGAGCAACGCTACCGAATCTCCCGCGCCACCTTTCCTTGCGGCCATAATACGCCGCCGATGTCTTGCCCTCCTCTTCTGTGACCCCCTATCTCCCGCGTCAACCACGCGCCCAGCGCCCGATTATTCTCGTGTCTCCCCACAGCCACTGGTGGGAGATGACGTGCCGCGCCGCCTCCGAGCTCCCCGGGCCACAACCTTGCGTCATCGCCGCGCAGTGCCTGTTTGAAATATCACGGGCAGAAAAGCCGGTGCTTCTGCCATGGCTGCCAGAAAGTCGAAGCCCGTCCCCTTGCTGGGCGCCATCACGTAGCGAGCCCTGTCCGCCGGTGTCGATAAGTCCTTGGCAGGTAGCCACTGAGTAAATTTAGGCACGCCACGCTCAGCAACGTGCTCAACAGCTCATACGGGCCCAGCGCGGCTTCGAAGCGTGCCTTGATCGGGGCAAAGTCAGCCGGCCTGCGCTAATTAGGCTCCGCCACCTCGAAAGTAGTTGCAGCTTGCGCGAGGCGGTGCGCTCAATCTGACTTGCATCGTACTCGTAAATAGTGCTACAAGATGACTTGGACAGGGGCTGTGTTGAGTCCTGCTTCATCAGAGCCTGTCGTGCCTGTCATTATCTGCAGGATTGCGCGGCTGTGAGTCTACTGGCTGAGAATGGACTAACCGACGAAGGACTGCCTTTGTTTATGAGTGAGTGCAAAGCGCATACCACAACCTATCTATCGTACTGTACATCGACTTACATCATACCGTCGCTGCATGTATGAGAGCAGACTTTTGATAGGTGCTGGACCTGATGTCAATCGCTGGACTTTCAGCCGCCAGCTCTGGAGAGTGTCTAGGCCGTATTATTAATGAGCGTTTACCTGCAGAGTAGCTTGACAGCTATTTACTCTGTGAACAGAGAGTGCCCTTGACCCCCTCTTGAACGCGACCGAAATCTGCGTCCGGGCCATTATTTTATTCACTCTGCAATTTGGCCAGATCGCGGGAAGGGAGTGGGACGCACGACAGCAAGCATGATCTAGATGAATTACCGTGAATCGAGTAACTAGTTGGCCGATTGGAACCACTTATATACGGAGCGGCTGGGGTAACCACTCCGGCTGAGCATGTAATACGTCAGAACCAACTCTCCGGCATCAGGATCCCTTGCTGCCTTTACCGTGCAGCAGACGATGACAAATGCGCAGTGTCAACCACGCCTTTGCGTCCATCTCCAAAAAAAAAAAGCCATTTAACTTGCGCAGGCTACATAACCTTATCAAAAATTCACGACTGACTCTGTAAGTTACCTGCACAATGGCCAGTGACATCCAGCCCTACACCATCGCCGTGCCAGACGATGCCTTGGCCAAGCTCAAGGCCAAGCTCGGCGCCTCTGTTCTCCCGCAACGTGTCGACTTTGAAGACGATTGGGACTACGGCGCACCCGCCGCCGACGTCCGTCGCCTCGCCGCCTACTGGCGCGACGGCTTCGACTGGCGCGCGCAGGAGAGGCGCATCAACCAGCTGCCGCAGTACACGACACCCATCGACGTCGACGGCTTTGGCCCGCTCAACATTCATTTTGTGCACCAAAGGAGCGCACAGCCAGGGAGCATCCCGCTGCTCTTCTGCCATGGCTGTAAGTGCAAGACTCGTCTCGTGCGGTGCAGAGCAGTGGCTGAACAGATTGGTAGGGCCTGGCAGCTTCTTGGAGGTGGAAAAGATACTTCCTCTGTTGGTGGGAACGGCCAATGGCGTCTCGTTTCATGTCGTGGCACCGTCGCTGCCGAACTATGCCTTCTCCGATGGCCCTGTTAAGAAGGGCTTTGGGCTTCGCCAATACGCCGAGACTCTGCATAAGCTGATGCAGAAGCTCGGCTACCAGAAATACGGTACGTAACCATTCGACAACCAATTTCCTATTAGGAGCAATCATGCATCGAAATTAACCATTGCTGTGCTGTAGTCACCCAGGGCGGAGACTGGGGATACATGATTACTCGCCGCCTAGGCGCCGATTTTCCCGAGTCGTGCGTCGCCTCTCACGTTAACTTGGCTTTTCGCGGGCCTCCTACGTTCAAAGAAACGCCACTCACCTGGCTGCGGCACGCGCTGACACCGTGGTCCGCCGACGAGAAAAGGGGCCTCGCGCGCTCCGCCTGGTTCCGCGAGGAGGGCATCGGCTACAACAGCCTGCAGAGCACCAAGCCCGCGACGCTGGGCTTTGCCTTTGCCGACTCGCCCGTGGCCTTGCTGGCTTGGATCTACGAGAAGCTGCACGACTGGACCGACGCCTACCCCTGGACTGACGACGAGGTCCTGACGTGGGTTTCGCTGTATGTCTTCTCCAACGCCGGCCCCGAGGCCAGCGCCCGCATCTACTACGAGGCCAAGCACGCCCCCGAGAACGCGGCCATCACCTCAGGCTACAATGCCAAGGTACCCCTGGGCATCTCGCAGTTTCCAAAGGATCTCGTCGTGATTCCGAGGCTCTGGTCCCATGGCCTCGGGCCTATAGTATTTGAAAAAAGGCACAAGGATGGCGGGCACTTTGCGGCGTTTGAGCGGCCAAATGAGCTGGTGGAGGATCTGCGGACCATGTTTGGGCGCAATGGTGGTGCGTTTGCTGTGACCAAAGCTCTTGCCAAACTTTAATTGTGTAAACACTTGTGAACGAAGTATCCTGAGTAAATCAATGAATTGTAAAATCCAGCTATCAATTTGCGCTCTTTTGTGTAATTCGTGTTATTCAGCATGCTGCACTGCAACAAGTCATATCTTTCGGGCGGTATCGGCGCTAAAATTCCTGGACTGCCAGCTGCCAATCCACCCTACCGAGTCACAAAGCCGACGTCAGCATCATCAAAACCTCGGGCCGTACAACTACAACTCCATTAGCCCAGTCTCGCGCCCCGATACCGCGACAATGGCCTCGCAAGCGCAAGGAGCCTCGAGCTCTGATAAGAAGAAGCCCAGCCCACTGCGATCCATCATTGCCGGTTCCACGGCTGGCGCCATTGAAATTGGTATTTTCCCCAAGGCCTCCGATCTTATGCTCCAGACATGACTGACGCAAACTAGCCATTACATACCCTGCCGAGTGTACGTTTCCGACCATTGTCATCCCTTTTCCTGCGCGACTCTGTACCTAGACTTGGATCGCAAACGAACCCGAACCAACAGAAATGAAGCGACCAAATTGCTAACAGTACATGTGCAGTCGCCAAGACTCGGTCGCAATTGAACCGTCGTCTGGCAGAAGGCAAGAAGCTGCCATGGCCACCGTTCGGCAAGCAGTGGTATGCGGGCTGCACGACGCTCATCATCGGCAACTCTGCCAAGGCTGGCATCCGTAAGATTTGGTGCCCTCGGTATGGCGACGGGTGCGCCCAGATGCTGACGCCGCTCCTCGTTTAGGATTCGTCGCCTTTGATCAGTACAAGAGCCTTCTCGCCGACGAGAACGGTAAGCTCACCGGTCCGCGAACTGTTCTTGCTGGCTTTGGTGCCGGTATCACGGAATCGCTCCTCGCCGTTACGCCAACCGAGAGCATCAAGACGACACTGTAAGTCGGGTACTCCACGAACACACACGCGCGCGCGCGCGCGTGCGGTGCTGGCGCCTTTTCTGACTCTTCTCGCTCGCCTATCAGCATCGACGATCGCAAGTCGGCCACGCCGCGCATGCGCGGCTTCCTGCACGCCGTGCCCATTATCGCGCGCGAGCGCGGCATCCGCGGCTTCTTCCAGGGCTTCGTGCCGACAACGCTGCGGCAGTCGGCCAACAGTGCGACGCGCTTCGGGTCTTATACCTTTTTCAAGCAAATCGCTGAGTCGTACACGGCGCCCGGCGAGAAGCTCGGAACCGCGAGCACGTTTGCCATTGGCGGCCTCGCCGGCCTCGTCACCGTCTTCGTCACTCAGCCGCTCGACACAATCAAGACACGTATGCAGAGCCCCGAGGCCAAACAAATGTATGGCAACACGCTTCGCTGCGCGGGTCTCATCCTCAAAAACGAAGGCGTCCGCACGTTTTGGAGCGGCGCGGTGCCGCGCCTGGTGCGGCTGGTCATGAGCGGCGGCATCGTCTTCACCATGTACGAGAAGAGCATGGAGCTCATGAATCGGCTGGATCCTGAGATGAAGTATTTGTAGGGAAGATGCACGTGGAAACAGCGAATCACGATAGAATTTGGTCACTCTTCGAAAATCACTGGCCATCCATGACTTTTGGCTAGTGTTACAGATATACTACAAATTACCAGTATTCTTACATGATTTTTTAAATCCCCACCCCGTGCGCCAATCAATGCAAAAATCAAATGTTCTATGAGGTCGTGCCGAGGTTATTGCAGCCGAATCATGCCGGAGAGTCGCTTGCCGAGTCGACCGAACCAAGAGCGGTTCGGTGCCTCTTCGATCTCGCGCACCAAGTCGTCAAAGTAGGTTGGTTGGCTCTTGGGCTGCAGCATCGGTCCTTTCAGCTTGTACTACCTCTTGTATTAGCAACTGGAGGGTAATTGATGAACGGCCTCCCGCTACACCGCGACTATCCGCACATACCCGGTCCTTGAACCTGTCTTGTAGGAGAAACTGCAGCGCTCTCGCTTTAAGAATCTCTTCCCGCTCCATCGCCGGCGTGTAATTTTGGAAGCGCGCTTCCACAGTCTTGCCGAGCACGTCCTGGAGTTGATAGTCGGGCCGCAGGTCCTGCTTGGGCCATTTCGCAAAGGTTTCCGCGTAGATGCGGCGCTGTGAGAATGAGATATAGAAGTTAGTACAATTCGGTTCGCATTGGTCGCGATTGATAAGTATGAGTTTGCTGCGACGTACAGCAAGTGATCGTGTGGCCATGGTCGCAATTTGGTAGTTTCGCCTCCGCGTTCGTTGCAGCACGATCCGTCTCGAAATGGCTTTTAGCGGGAGAATCTCATACAGTAATCAGACATGCGACAGTACCGTGACCCACTGCAGATTTCACACGGTACAGACGCAGGGTATCTACTGCAATCGGCACAGTGCGAGTCTATGGGCCTGAGGCAAAAAGGGAGAACTTGCGTGACTTACGTAGGCTGGCAGCGCTGTGTGGCTGGCTAACCTCTTGGCGCTGCTCACGGGTTGAGTCGACACAGCCTACCTCCGTACTGACCTGAAAGATGCCAATCTCTCTCCCTATTCCTTGAATTCCTCAGCGATCATCTTGTTTGATCCTGCGACTGCGCTCGATTTACTTGAGCCGTCTATTTTTTTTTTCTTTGCCGTCGGTCTTACGTCGTGACCGTTTGTTTCCTATCCATCTCTATTTTGCACGTCCGAAGCGCCGTCGCTCGACCGTTAGTCTTGCTTACTTTTTCCTACGGAAGTCGTCACCGCCCCACGGGAATCAACACGATACGCACACGATCATCATGGCTGGTCGCTACGAACGAGTACGTCGAGATCCGAAACGCTACTGCGCACACCATCTAATCACATTTTACATCAGGTCAACGTCCAAGATGAGGAGGACCCCCATCAACAACAACGCAGCGTTGGCCAACCAGTCCCCGACTCGCCACCACCTTCCTTTCGCTCACGGGCATCATCCCGCACAAGACAGAACCAGGTCGACCCCGACCTTGCCGACGCATTCGATAGCGACAATGAGAGCGACGACGAGATTGATGACCGACAACGATTAGTGCGCCAGGCGGCGACGCCCGCCACGACGGCCAGTGGGAGCACGTCGCCCACGTCGGCACACCACACGCCCCCCTCAGCAGCATCGGCAGCGTCGGCAGCGACGGTGGCGTCCGCGACGACAAGAGGACGAGTCGTCGGCGGCGGTGTTGGCACCGATGGCGTGTTCGCCAATATGTCGGCACGACCAGAGCGCGAGGCTGCCGCCGAGAAGGAGGAAATGCCACCGGTATGTACACTGTGTCTTATTTCGCCATGTTGATTTTTTAGCTAAGAACTTCCTCCAGACATATGAGCAAGCCGCAGCCGATTCTGCACCACCATACTGGGAAACGACGATTTTGGCCCCGGGCCTAGGAGGACTAGACGAAGTATACGTGGACGGCATGCCCGTGGGCTCCGTATTTTCCTTTATCTGGAACGGCATGATTTCGACGTCCTTTCAGCTCGTTGGGTTCCTCCTGACGTACCTGTTGCACTCGACGCACGCTGCCAAGAATGGCTCCCGCGCCGGCCTCGGCATCACGCTTATCCAGTACGGCTTCTATATGAAGAGCACAGCCGACGGTGAGCCTCCTGCTATGAACGGCCCGGACGGCTACGCCGAGCCGCAGGACCCCAACGCGCACGACTTTCAGCCCGGCGACGTCGCGGGCAGCGGTGGTGGCGGCGTCGACTTTACCGGCGGCGAGTGGCTGTCGTATGTGCTCATGATTCTCGGTTGGTTCATCCTCATCAAGAGCGTCGCCGACTTTCTGCAGGCCCGCCGTCACGAGCAGCTCGTGATGCAAAGCCCGGATCGCGGGCTCGGCGTGCCCGTCATTGCCGAAGGCGAGTCGGCAGACCGGGTTGTCTAAGTGCGTCTCTGCAATGAGTTGGTTCTCTAACAAGCATTGGGTCGGCGTTTTTTGTTTTTTCCTTTTTGTCTTTTACTCACACCTTCGTTCCTTTAATTTATATGTACTAGGCGGAGGAGTTTTCTTTGGTACACAAGCTCCGGACAGGATGATCGAACACGCCTCGGCGTCTACGCGCGACTCGCGACTACATTTCATAGCATACAAAGCAAAGTCTCATGTTTTAAGCCCATGTGCACGCAGAACAGTGTTTTCTCGATGCTGCCGTAAACTGGATGTCAAGACAGCGAATTAAGTATTATTATCGGATTCGGTTTCATGATTAGAGATCTAAATGCTGTGCTTAGGCAAAATGCTCAGTTGCATACAAATAACAATCTGCTTCTGCAGAGATGAAAAGAGCTCATCCGGGATATATGGAGCACCAAAAATCGAATATCAGTCGTGGTATCTTTAGTGTTGGCTACACAGGCAAACAATGTGCGACGGAAGGGATGAATCGCACAGCCCAGAGGCGTTCGACCTTTGCTACCTTCACACGTTGCTGCCATCGTCAAGTGGCTTTTTAGATGCTTCTCTCTTGGTCGATGCATCGCGCTTGGCGGATGCTTCACGCTTGGGAGGAGAGGCAGAGCTGGCGGGGCTCTCGTCGGGATCTTTCGACACGTAGCTTGGCAAAGACGTCAGAGGAGGAGGAGGAGAAGAAGCAGCGACAGCAGAAGCAGCAGCAGCGGGCTTGGCTGTCTCGGCAGCTAGCGTCGTAGCGGGAGCACCGGGAGCATCAGCAGGCTTGGCATCGTCTGACCTGGCTTCGGTAGCCGGTCCGGCTTCTTCAGGGGCGGGTGTAGCAGCCGGAGTAGCAGCCGGAGCAGGGTCGGCCTTTTTAGGAGCATCGGAGTCATTGTCTTTGCTAGTGTTCGATTTGGCCTTGGCTGGATCCGGGCCCTTGCAGGCAGGGCTCGCATCCGGGTCGGCCGGTGGCGCGGGCGGCGGGACCGCGCCAGCTGAGAAGCCAGGTGGTGCGACGGCCGCGTTCATGGCCGGTCCGGGCACGGCGGGAGCACCGCCAGCCTTCCGCAGCCCCGCGCTGAAGGAATCGCCGGGGCCGTTGGCGCTGTACATGTCCGGGTCGTTCAAGGTGTTGTTCTTGACGGCCTTGTCGTAGAGGCGGGTGAGCCGCGCGACCTCGCCGCGGACGGTGACCTGGTCATCGGTGTCGATGGCGCCGTAGCCGTGGACGCCGTTGCTGATGCCGTACCACATGACGGCCGAGTTTTCAATCTCGTCGACGACGCGTGAGAGATCGTCGCGAAACATGCGGGCGCGCATGGGCTGCCCGCGTGACTTGAGAAAGGCGACGACGCCCGCGATGACGGTGTTGAGGGCGCCAAAGATGGTGATGAGCACGCGGCTACTGTTGCTCGCGCCGAGGCCCGTCAGCGCCGCGCCCAGCACCACCTGCGTCAACAACAGCGTGTTGACGAGCGTCGCGGTGAACATGTACGTCAGGTTCTGGCCCCAGCGACGATCGACGGCCCGGACGTAGAGTGACTGAGGGTGCGCACGGTGCGACTCCCCGAGCGGGTAGTTGAGCGGCCGCACACCCACTAGCTCGCAGAACTGGGCGTGATGGTCGACCGAATCGCCGCCACCGCCGCCGCCGGTGGCGGCAAAGGATCCGGGGCGTGGGATGAGCGACTGCCGTTCCTCTCCATCCATGGTCCGGAAGCTCATGTTGGTTTGGGACAGCTTGTGCTGGTCGTGAAAGAAAAGAAGAGGCTTGGGAAGGGGCCCTGGATGATGGCGACGTTCCAGCAAGGTTCCAGTCGGCTGGTTAAATGGCGCGGAGCTAATCGGCATGAACGGCTGGCTCCTACTGGTAACCGTCTTGCACAAGCATTCTTCCCTTGATCCAACGACGTTGTAGGGGTTGGTCGGCTGAGTTGTCAGAAAGGAGAGGGCGCTCTTTCCGGATAGAGCTCTACCATCGGGGAGCTTCCGCGAACCAAGACGTGCTAGCTCCCCGGTCTTGATGCTAGCCTCTTTTGAGTTTATTCTGCTCGGTGGAGGCCGGTGGCCGGGCCGCTACTGGCCATGGCTGGCCTGTAAATAGGCTGTCGGTTTAAGACATGTTGGAAATGAACCAGCGGAAACGGCGGTGGGGAGGGCTAAGGGCAGGAAAGCTTGGCTCTTTATCCGTCAGGTTACAAGCAGTGTATCGGAAGAGAGAACTGCATAGGAAGATGGTTGGGGTTGAGCATGCATCATCTTGACTATGCACGATGTTGAAAAATGGCGAGCAGTCCACGCTGATATGTAAAAGGCACTTGCAAAGTACCAAGACAGACCAACTGACGGTCAGCCATCAGCCCAGGGAGCTGGTGTGGAGCTGAAGAGCCGCAGAGGTCCCCGCACAAGCTTGGCTGGTGGCATGACCGAAATGAACAGCGCCTGTCGCCACTGAAGAAGGCTCGTCTTGCATCATTCACTGGAGTCACCGACGCAATTATTATATCACCTGTCAGGTTGTTGCTGCAAAGTAATAATTGTACATTTCGTCGCGCATAAACTCCATTTTGAGCTCATCACTCGATACCAAGATTTATCGGCCTTCACCGTTTGTCAGGGCGTCATTACTTGTGAATCATCCGACCCGTGTTGTATCTCGAAAGACTCGATTTTCGTCCATCCGGTATTTCAAACTGGCCTCGCTTACGGCATTCAGTAGGAGGCTTTTCAGATCGGGTAGCGGTGCTCTTCAAAGTGCATTTTCTACTCGTTTGCCACGACGAAACATCAAGATGGCGTGGCGATGCTCAGGCTCCACTAACAAGGAGCTGATCGAGAACATGTCGAGGCACAAACTCATCAGTGATGAGCGCGTCAAGGAAGCTTTCATAAAGGTCAGCTAGCTGGCTTTGCGCTTGGGCGAAACTTTCAGCCTTTGTTCCCGTTCTGACAGCTGTCTTCGCAGGTTGATCGCCGCCATTATGCCCCATCCCAGCCTTATGAAGACTCGCCCCAGTACATTGGCTACCAAGCCACCATATCCGCTCCCCATATGCACGCCATGGCCCTAGAGCATCTAATCTCCTTCTTGATGCCGTCCGCTGCATCGCCAGCGCCCCGTGCCCTCGATATTGGTTCCGGCTCGGGCTACCTGACTCATGTCATGGCGGAGCTGGTTGGCCCACGCGGGCTGGTAGTCGGCGTCGAGCACATCAATGCGCTGCGAGATATGGGCGAGGCCAACATGCGCAAGAGCGCAGAGGGCAGGCAGCTCCTCGATAGTGGCAAAGTCAAATTTGTAGCGGCAGATGGCCGAAAGGGCCTGTCTGAGCCAGCGCGCAAGGGCGAGGAGGAGTGCGGGACACACTGGGACGTCATTCACGTAGGGGCGTCTGCTAGTCGAGTACACGATGAGCTGATCACCCAGCTTAAGTCGCCAGGATGGTGAGTTGAGCCTTGAGTGTTACCGTTGCAGATATAACTAATTGTCTTCAGTATGTTTATTCCTGTCGAAGACGAGCATGATCGGGATTCGCAGTACGTGTGGCGCATTGAAAAGGACAAGGACGGCAACGTTTCGCGAAACAAGCTCTTCGGGGTGCGCTATGTTCCACTGACAGATGCGCCAAAGGAAGAGATTTTCTAGACCGATCTTGCCGAGGCTGTCGTGGGCTGTGCAGACTGTCACAATTTGAGTATACCCTCGTGGAAATTGCAGGCGTGCAAGGCCCACTCATCGATAGCAAAGTCGGCGTAAAGATGCCGCTTCAAGCTTTTGTACATGGCCGTCTTGCTCAGGTCAAACTTCCAAGCGTAGGAGGAGTCGACGGCTGCCTTGAACAAGTGAAGAGATGTGTTGATGCTGAGCAAGGCTACAGATTGCTCTATTGCCGCGACTGCTGTCATATCAGTACCTGAGCATGTGCGTTGATTGCTTCGAGGACAGATCAACAGAAGAAATCGCTATAGCGCAGAGGTAAGCAAGAGATGAGTGTGGTATAGCAGGTAATGTGATGCAACTTTCATTATTCGTACTGAGGCCTCTACTTATAACTATGTAACCAATACTGTCCAGATTTACCGTTGCGCCGCTGTACAATTATGTCTTTACGCGCAAACCGAAACAAAAAGAAAACCCATTGATGAAAACCCCGGTAACCAGACCGATTCTGAAAAGCCCTTGAAATAAAGTAAAAAAAAAATGTGCCAGCTCTCACGAAGAAAATCTTATGCAACGCGAAAAAGATGCAGACTCGGCAATTCTTCAAAAGAAAGATAGAGTAGCGACGATCACGGCGACACCGGCAGCCAGGGAGACCGAACTGGTCGAAGCGCGGCTAACTTGAGGAGGGTCGCAGCCACCAGGAGGGCAGGAGGGCGTGGCACTGGCGGAGCCGGCAGAGAAGACGGCGGCGGACGATTTGGAGACGGCGAGGGTGGCGATGGACGTGGACGTGGACCTCAGCGTTGCGATGGGAAGCTCGGTGCCGCATCCGCCGTGGGCGGTGCAGCCCTCACTCTCGTTGCCCACAGATGCGGAAACGGTGCTGCTATTGCCGTTGACGGGCCCGGCGCCGGTGGAGCTGCCGGTGGCTGCGGGAGGGGCCGGCGCAGAAGCTGCAGCAGCCTGCTCGGAGCCGCTGGGAGCCGGGGCAGCACTGGCAGGATGGGCTGATCCGCCAGCAGGAGGAGGGGCTAAGCCGGACGCTGGGGGAGAGGCCGAACCTGCAGTCGCAGGTGGAGTCGAAGACGCAGTCGCAGCTTTCTCGGAGCCGCCGAGAGCGGGGGCATCGCCGGCAGCAAGAGGGGCCGAACCGGCAGCGGCAAGATGAGTCGAACCGGGAGGGGAAACAGCGCCGGCAGAATGCAGGGCGGGTTCAGCTGCAGCAGTAGAATGAGCGGAGCCCGCCGCAGCAGCAGGAGGGGCCGGCGCGGGAGTGTCAGAACCGCTGGCATGCGAGGCGCTCTGTTTGGTAGCACAGGGCACGGTGATGTACTTTGTGGAGGCGGCACAGTCGCTGACGGCGGCGGGGCAGCTGGTGACGGTGACGGTGTTGGTGACAGTGACGGGGTCCTGGCGCTCGATAATGGAAGCGGAGGCGACAGAGGCCAAGACAGAGACGATGAACACGGTGTTGCGCATTCTGTGCAAGTATTTGTGTACTTGAGAAGAAGAGGAGAGGAGGTTGAGAAGGGTTGAAAAGCAAATGGAGAGGTTGGCGGATAGTTGAGAGGCTTGTCTTTGACGAGTTGGTAAGGGTAGTGTGTTGTCTTTGAGGCGAAAAGCTTATGTGTAAGTGCCGACGGTATGTATGATGCTCGAGAAGGAGAATATTTTAACGTGGGAATAGCCAAAGTCTTATTATACTAGAGATCGACTTATTATCAACCCATGCATTATACCTTTTACCGGCCATGAACCAAAATTAGGCCATGCCATCCAAGAACAGCTGGAGGTTCAACATGTTAGCCAGCGTCCGGTATGTAGTATGAGGGTCCTGGTGGGCAGATAAGGCCCCTTTTCCGACTCGCTAAGCAGCAGCTGAAAAAGGAAAGCAGCTTTGGCTTCCCAAAAAAAAAAGTAGACTTCTGTAGTGGTAGCCCTTGAACCAAATCGAGTGCTAACCTGCGCTAGAGCTCTCCAAGAGCTGAAGAGTCAAGGGCAAACAGGGTGGCGGCGACCGTAGCTTGGTGTCCCAAGGTCCGTTAGTCTGCCAATCCGTTCCAGGAGACGACCATACCGTCGAACTCTACAGCGCCAGGGACGGTCATTGAGAAATGCGGCAGCGACTAATGCCAGAGAGGCGTGGGTGCACGGAATCGGGTGTTGATGGATACAGCATTCCAGTCGAGGGCGGGTGGTGGGGATGGCGCCGGCTGGGGGGCGCTGCGGCGATGGGTTGGTTGGTCCTGTCCTGGACCGGAAACCCTCGAAGTGAGGGGAGGTTTTTAAAGTTCGATAGAGATGGCCGATCAAAAAGATGGTCTACTTGGGACATGTTTGATTTTTGCTCTGGTCCTCAATAACCTCCAATTTAATTCCTTGATGGATGGGCGTCATGCACTGTGAGGCAGGCTTCCACTGCACAGTTCAGCCCAGTCGGTTGATCATCAGGGGCGGGATCGCTGCTAGGAACCAGAAATTTGCATTCCTTTGCCCAGCCCGCGTCCATGGTACCGTACGACGGGTCGCTCACGCGTTGAGTGCCCTGGTATTAGATGCCTTGTTCCGCGCAACTCGCGTAGCGACTTCATGCAGGCTCCTGCAGGCAATCTTTTTACACTTTGAAGTCTATTTGCGCATTTAATCGTTGGTTTCTATGTGTTGGTATTTCTGCAGACCATGTTCTTTAGCACGTCGACTATTTATTGGCTGCGCGCCACGCATTGTCTCGGATCTGCGTAGATGCATAGTTAGTTGGCGGCCGGCCGATGCCCCTTGTCCCAGACAAAGCCCCCACACAGCGCCGCCGCTGCCGGGCAGAGTGCCGGAGGGGAAAAGGCTTGCAGTCTGTCAAATGAAGCACATAGCAGCTCAATAACATGCAGTGTGCTCAATAACATGATGTATATTTATATCACACTACTAATTTAGTTTTCTTTGTGTACCTCGAAAATTCCTTTCCATAAATTCCTTGGATCAGCTATGCTGTCGCTACTTCAAGTGCTGCTGCCCAGGTACCCGTCGCCTCGGCAGTGAGCATCCTGTATAAGCCGAATGCGGCCAAAGACGTCGGCCGCAAAGAGTAAGTCGGCATGAAAGCGTGGGAATTGCGCAACTTTGAAAACAGAGCCATCTTGAAGAAACAACGCTTCTCAGAGAATCGCCTTCTTTTCTTTTGAATTTCTGTAGTCCTGCAGTGTTTTCCAAATTTTGTTTCTATCATCACAAAACCGTTGCCATCCGCCTCACAACACAAAGCAGCCAAGGGGTGTGTGTGTGTGTGCGCGAAAGCTACCACGATGTTTTCGCAGAACCCCATCGTCTTTATTGTCTGTATTATAGGCTTGGCATTTGTCGCCACCATGATTTGGCTTGGCTTTTACCTGATCCGACACCGCCCCTACTTTGCCAAGCCTGGCGATGCAGAGCAAGCCGTCGTCTACGCCAACACGGCGCGCGCTTACTCGACCCCAGACCACGGCGGCAGCCAGCAGCATCCTCCCGTATACTGCGCCGACGATATCGCCTGTCCGCCGCCCTCCTATGAGGCCATCTTCAGGCGCGACACGGCCTCGACGCCCCACGAGGTGCACGTCCTCCAGCACCGCCTCGAGAAGCTCCACTGCCACCGCCGCCGCAGCAGTAGCAGTCCGGCCGACACAACCGCCGCCTGCGAGACAGCCATTCGCGACTCTCAAATTCGCGACCTTGCGCAGTGGACTGATCGATTGGAGATGCTGCGCGACGGAGGGGAGCAGGATGACGGGGATGCGCCCGCGCTGGGTCGTCGTCGGACGGTGAGGGTCGTCCGGTCGGAGCATGAACCCGCGACGCGGCCGACGAGTCTAGGCTTTGAGTTGGGATCGCCTCCCGCAGTGCACCAAATTTTGTTGCACAGGTCTGCAACAGATTCAGGCCTTTCTCAATGCGTGAGGTGGCGAAATGTCGCGCCGCCGCCAACGCCCACGGCGGCAGCGTCGAGCCCAACGCCGGGCGACATGGATCTTCGGATTGCAGTGCTGCGGGAGCAACTCATGAGAGCAGCGTCTAATAGGTACTCTGCAGAGCTATGATATTGATATTGGAGAGAATCTGGTATTCGACTACATGGCGTGTTTTTTCTTTCGATTTTCTTTTTTTTTTTTTTTTTTCGTTTTTTAGTGTTGATAGAGGCGCCTCCAGTCGAGGCATGCTTGGTGTAAGTGCAGGCGCCGCCTGATTTCAACAGCATCAGTGATGAGATTTTAGTCTTAATCGTAATTAAGTAATTTGATAATCTAATTCTTTACACGTGGTCTCATCAACTACACATACATATTAATATGAGCCAAGTTGGACTGTTCTTAGACGTCGAAAATGACAGCGGCCGCAATCAATCGCTACCCCGCCATGGCGAAATCTTATTACCCCACGGAAACTCTGACGTAGCCTCCGCTCCATCTCCGACTCGCATGAGTCCAACTTCTCTGTTCCACAGCACCCCATCTTCGCAGTCTTACACACTACACCATGTCTACACCAATCCAAAAAGTCTGCCTGGTCGGGGCCAACGGCTCCCTGGGCTCCGTCATACTCGACGCGCTCGTCGCCCAAGGCACCTTTTCCGTGTCCGTCATGCTGCGCGCCAACTCGACCTCAACGCCCGCCCACGCCGCCGTGCTCACGCGCATCCCCATCGACCCCAATTTCGACGGACCCGAGCTCGCGCGGCTTCTCGTCGGGCAGGACGCCGTCGTGGCTGCTTTTCCCCTCAAAGACGTCAACCAACACCTACGTCTCGCCGAGGCCGCCTACAAGGCGGGCGTGCGCCGCTACATCCCCGCCGACTACGGTTCCTGCGACGCCCGCAGCCCGCAGGCCCAGCGCCACCTGCAGCTGTACCGCGACAAGGCCGCCGTGCAGGCGCTGTGCGAGCGGCTTGCGGACGGCGCCGCGGCCGACGGCGCGCCCTTTACCTGGACCTCGATCGTCTCGGGCCACTTCTTCGACTGGGGCCTGCGCAACAACTACCTCCATCTCGACGTGGCCGCCAAAAAGGCGCTGATTCTCGACGCCGGCGTGACCAAGGCGTCCATGTCGACGCTGCCGCGCGTGGCGGCGGCCGTGGTGCGCGTGCTGCAGAGGCAGGACGAGACGCGCAACCGGTTCGTTTTTGTGCAGAGCTTCTGCCCGACGCCGCTCGAGGTCGTGGCGGCGCTGGAGCGCGCGACGGGCGAGCCCTGGCACACGGCGCATGTCGACTCCAACGCCTATCTGGACCGCCAAGCCAAGGCGCTCGAGGCGGGCGACGAGCATGCCCTGCACAACATCGTCTTTGTGCTGGGCGCCGTCGACGCCGACTGGACGCGGCGCGACGAGTTTGCCATGGACTTGCTGGGCTTCGAGGACGAGAATCTGGACGCCGTGGTTGGCAACACTCTGAATGAGATGCGGGCCAAAGGCTTGGCGTGAGAGTCACGAGTTGAGGTGGCCAAAATAAATACGAGCATGGAGCCGTAAATAGAATACCGCTTAGACTTGGACAAATAGATGGTTCATATACACGCGTATGTGCGGATTCTACACCCGGCTTCGGGAGTCAAGGTGGCGAGCAGGCCTTCAGCTGCAGCCGGGTTTTTGTAGAACAAGAACTGCGTCATTGATAGATGCGTGTTCTCGTGTTCGCCCTGGTTGCAGGTTCAGCTTTCATGGCTGATATGATGGTGCACCGACGATCGGACAGCCTGGTCCGAGTATAGTTCTTCATGACGTGCATCGCAGTTGCCAGAGATACAGGAGGTCATGTTTCCGCGTACAACTTCTGAATAGTTATTCAGGTTATATTAATTGACATGTTATTGTCGTTGCTTTAATATGTGACTGATGGTGAGTTGGCAGCTTATACATGCAATTTTTCCAACTTCTTCAATCGAAAATGTTTCCTTTACTGGTCATAAACTCACATGCACTCCTCCACGCCAAGACGAGCTGATCACAACCGGATCCAGTTATACAAATGCTATTTTCAGCCACATTCATACTTTGGCCATTCACGGTCCTACGGAGTGCTATTCCCCGATGACAGCTCGCTTCTTGGCTGATGCATCCAAAATAAGTGCGCTGCGGCTCATGTGTCGAGATGAGGGTTGCATGAAATCAGGTATAAAAGGGGCCTTGCACCGACAGTAAGATTGTGCATCAGTAAGACGGATCTTGCCAAATTTTTATCAACATGAAGTTTTACACTACTTCTCTCTTTCCAATCTTTTTGGGGTAAGGCTCTGACTGTGTGATCCCCCCGGCTTCACCCATCGCTAATAACACTCGACCTCGACAGCCTTGTCACTGCTAATGCGCCATGTCCTACCATAACCACCACCGCCGAATTGTGTAGCACTTGCATGCTCAAGATGTGCTTGGCCATCTCGACTGTGCCTGTGCCCAGCAGCTGTGGCGTATCCACATCGACGACCTCCTACCCGTGCTCTGAGAACAGCTGCCCCAGTGGCTGCGCGTCGACGAGCTACATATACTCCCTCGACTGGCACGATCCCACCGAGGCGCCGCCTCACCCTACCGCCACCGATGGTCCGGCCTGCCGTGTAAGTCATGACTCGAAAAGGAGGCAACGTTTTAGAGTGGTTTCTATGCTTGACAGGATGAGCGATTTGCTGCAGTTGAATTGCCGTTACGTTTACCGCCAATTGCTAACTTGATATTCAGCCCAACTAATGAATGAATGGTGTATATAACTGAAACCGGGCGTCGCAATGGCTGGCGTGTGTTGGGCGGTTATGTGGTTGGCTGACGGCGCAACACGCAGCTCCACTGTTGTGACGATAAGTGCCTTGATGACTCTTGTGTAATAAATTTATATTTTCATCACCCTCAGTTGCATATGACATGATGTGCTCAATCACGTGCCAGTTCTCCTTTTTCGCCGTGTCCATCCCACAAGTCATAGTGTCCGGGTTTGTGAGGCAGTGTCTGAGCTATCCGGTGCCGATGGAATGTATTGCTAAGCAGAGCGCTCATATGTACTGCATCGCACACGCGGTCTGATCAAGCAAAGGCATTCTCGGGCGGTGTACGAAGTAGCGTTGTGCGTGGTCCAATTACTCTTTGAATTGTAATAGACGAGTCACTTTTTTGAAACAGGGTGCAAAGCCACGTCTCTTCCGTCTCGTCCCCCGCATCAACTACCGTCCGACATGGATCGGACGAAGTCGATAGGACCAGGGCGAGGGCGAATCTGCCAACGTCCAGCTACGCCAAAGCATACCAAAGCACACTGTAAAGTCAAGGTATTGGGCTGACATGTGTCCATATCTTATAGTTGCCGCGTAGGCCGGCGACGTCATGGGCGGGTTGGTGGGGCCAAGGGTCGTTTGGCGAGGGACAAAGAGATTGAGTGTTACGCCCTTTTTGCCACGAACAACATGAAACAATGACTCGAGTACGGCGCGGCCAGATGATGAAGGCTACAGAGAGGGCGCGTAGGCCTTGATCTCTTATTAATTCTTTTATGGATTATTATTCTTCGCCCATCCCGCCTTGTGCTGCGCGCGTGCCACTTAGCGGTCGGCTCGCTTCCCTGGCACAGCCCCGGCGGCTGACGTCGCTGGGCTGGCAAATTTGATTTCGCCTTGGCTTTCCGTTTATGCCAGACAACACAACAATTGAAGCATGAGACAACACAACAAAGCCATTCCCTTTATATTATGTGTGCTGCCTGTATAGCCACAACTTGCGCACTCGCAAATCTCTTCATCACGACGCTCGTTTTATTCCTTCCTGACTCTTAAGCTCTAACTCTCGAAATTCTGCCCCGCCCTCGTGTGTCATAGTCTGCTTGAAACCTCACGACCGTCTGAGAGAACTACTGCACGTACCGAAACTACACTCTTTGGCATCACAATCACTCGGAACTGGTTCTATCTGCATCGCCTACTTCATCACACCCGTTATTCCGCGCATCTCGAACTGGATACCGCCCTATTCGAAATCGACAACAACCCAACGACTGTCAGGCCGAAATGGCCGCTGTTCAAACAAAAGAGGCGCTCTCGCTCGCCGACCTCAATCTTTTGGCAGCGAACCCACCTCAGTATCCGGAGAGGCCCGACGAATACAAGCTAGAACCTCTGGTTCTCTACATTTCTCGCGTGCCAGGAACACGAGGTAAGCTACGTTGCATAGGTATATGCTCCTACGTTCGCATAACTAACGGGTAGCAGACATCATACTCTCCCCATTCAAGCCTTCCGAGAAGAATGTCGGCAAGCAAGATATTGCCAGCTCTCTCTATTATATCCACCTCGAACACTCGAGCCACGAACTAGTCACCCCGACACCGTTTCGAAATGCTGAGACTGGCAGCACGAGCGACGGAAGCGCTTCGGTCATGACCATCCCTCGCAAGCCTTTGCCCGATAGCGCACGGCCAGTGACACCGGAGAGTGCATCTAGCTCCAAGATGAACCTGGCTGCGCCCGTGCCCGGTGGTCGCCAGCGCGGAGCGTCCCTTTCCTCGTCTTTGGCGACCGGGCCATATATACCTGCAGATGCCGCAGATCAGCTGAACCGCCCTCGGAGAAGACCTCTGAGTATGCAGGTACCTCTGGTTCGCAAGCCCGTTGGTTCGGGTGCCGTGGTACCGTCCATGGCAGTTTCTGACAGCTCGCCCACTACGACCTCTGGCCACCGATTTCGATCCGACAGTGCCGCCAGCGCTTTGAGAGAAGGGCGTGATGCGCGCCACAGCTACGCTAGTCGATCGCCATCGCCCAGAAAAAGAAGCGTTACCTCGGTGTCGCCTGGGGAGCCCTTTGCTCTGACGCTGATACGAAGAGATCCTGGTACAGGTACTCAGTGGAACGTTGGCAGAGTCACCTCTCGGCAGCTTGATCCTCCTGCTCAGGAGGAAGAACAAATTCCTGGCATGTTCAGGACAAACAGTCCTCCCGATGGAGTGTCAACGAGCAGCCCGCCCATCGATATCCAGCTCGAGAACTCGGGCTATGCCAAGTTCCGGCCCCCGCCAAGGAGGCGCAGCCTCGAGGCCGCTGGGCTGGGAGCACTGGCATCTAATGCAACTGACTACGAAACCAAGCCGCCCGAAATTGGGGTCTTTGCCAGGCAGCTCCAAATGGGCTATACCAAAAGTCTCATGTCGAATCTCAAGGACAAATTCCAGAAACTCGAAGAGCAGATCAACAAGAAGGGCCACAACCGGAGCGATAGCGATTCGTCCCAAGAACCGGTCAAAGAGCAGGCGGCACTTGCCTTTGGCCAGCCTGGTCCTGGTATGAAGCCGCGCGGCTACACATTCACCAGCCCATGGAATGGCAAATGCGATTTTCGCACCGGCCATGCTGGTCGAAGTGTGCGCTGCTACCACACGCCGCACGACCCCCAAAACATGACGTACAACCAGTTGCTGGAAGAGCAGGGCATCAACCTGCCCAGGCCGTCGGCCACAGCACTGAGCGAACTGCGCTTCAATCTTCCCAGCTCAGAACTTCTCGTGAACTCGGATCACGACGCCACAAACGGCGAGTCGAAGCTGCGTGGCCATTTTGCAAAGCTTCTCCGACCGACATCCGGGCCTGATGCAGACGACGATGATCGTGATGTCGTCTCGCCGTTTGATATCAACATTGGCGGAGAGCGAGCGGGAGGGGGCAACCGTGGCAATAGGGCCAAGCTTGGTAAGCTAATCGTCTATAATGAGGGCCTGAAGATGCTTGATTTGCTCGTCGCTGCCAATGTTGGCGTGTGGTGGGGAGCCTGGGAACGAAGCTTTTGATCCGCACTCGATGATGGAGATTTGCTTGCGAACTGAAACGTGGTTACGTTCAAAAAGCGCATTCATACTACACTTGATCTATTAATGACTGCATGTAGAGGAGCGATCGTTATAGTACAGCTTTATTTAGCCAGCGAATATTTGGGCGATTTATTCATGAATCTTACTTTCTTATAATTTTGAGCCACATTGAGTAGTGATAGCGCACTCAAGAGCTTACATGGAATACACGCCAACGTCGATATTTCATTCTAGTGTCCAGCTTTCGCAACCATATCCGTGACTTCTTTCGAATTGCTACTGCTTGCCTTGACCTAGGTAGACAGCTGCGCGACGCCTTTCGAGTCTGACCACTTTTTGCCAGCTAACCGGTGTTTTTTTGACCGCACTTGGCCGGACTTGACCGTATTTGCCCGAAATACTGGTGAATGGCGCCACGCAATATAGGGCTATCCGGGAGCCGCAGATAGCGGCCCCATTCTTGCCCGAATAGAAGAAGTCGGAGGTCTAATGTTTCGATGCCTACCGGTACCTTGGAAATACCAGTTTCATAGGCTCTTGTACTCGAATCAATAAGTAATTATGTTGTAATTTTCTGAACCTGTCCGTGCGTTGTAACTGACAAATTCACAATGGCGCAATGCGCCGCGGGCGATGGTTAACTATCTGTGATCTACCTGCAAGAGCAGCAACAACAGCAGAACTTATATATAGCCCTGGCAGAAGACGGTTTATTTCTTCATCCATCATCAATCAACTCTTCAGTACCAACAGTTCCCTGATTATCTTTGTTATCAAACTACTCTTCACCAAAGACTAGCCATGACTTTTTCGTCTACCTCTTCAAAAGTGATTGTCGCTGTCACCCAGGCAGAGCCAGTTTGGCTTGACCTTGATGCAACAGTGGACAAGACTTGTGCCCTCATCACAGAGGCCGCGAAGAATGGCGCCAAAATTCTGGCATTCCCTGAAGCCTGGATTCCGGGTTATCCAGCTTGGATTTGGTATGGACTTGTTTCACCAGAGGCGAATCTTGTAGTTGTTTCTAATCAGGTACAGGTCACGACCAATGGACCCAGAGTTGACCACCCGGTACATTCAAAATTCGCTCAAGCTTGATTCTCCTCAAGCTGCCAAGATTAAACAATGCGCAGCCGAAAACGGCATTGTTGTTGTCCTGGGCTTTTCGGAGAATGTGAACGGCTCGCTCTACATTTCCCAGGCCATCATTGATGCTGACGGAGAGCTTCGTCTTACGCGAAACAAGATGAAGGCGACTCATATGGAGCGAACCATCTTCGGAGACTCTTTTGGTGATTGCCTTGACAGTGTCACCGACACAGAGGTGGGAAGGGTTGGCGCCCTGAACTGCTGGGAGCATTTACAGCCACTGCTAAAATACCACCTGTACTCGCAGAAAGAACAGATTCACGTGGCATCGTGGCTCCCCGTTCATAAAGACGTGCCAGAGGGCGCTCTAGAGTCCATGTCGAACAAAGGTAACAATCCAGCAGATGTGCAGCAAATGGGAGCCTGAAAAGCAAGCTAATCGAGAAATTGGGTAGGCATCTCGGCCATTGCGCAGGTGTACGCAATCGAGTCGCAGTCCTTTGTTCTCCATTCCACGACCGTCATTACCCAGCCTGGTCTTGATTTGCTGGGTATCACGCGCGGCTCGTTAATGGGTCACCCTGGCGGCGGCAACTCTGCTGTGTTTGGGCCAGACGGATCCAAGCTGAGCGTCGATATCCCCGAGGACGAGGAAGGGATTGTTTACGCCACCATTGATCTTGATGACGTTCTCAAAGCGCGGGCATTTATTGACACTTGCGGTCACTACAGCAGACCAGATCTTTTGTGGCTTGGTGTCGACAAGGAGATCAAGCGTCATGTGCGGGACTTGTGATTGACACGGCATACCCTGCGGCTAGGGCTTCTGATGGCTTTCCAAGATGATTAGAACGAGCGAGAAGAATTTATGAGAAAGAGGATTCTCGCATTAGAAGTTCTACTAAATTGTCAATTTTATCAAGTCGGGACTATCAGCACGAGCCCATCTCGACTGCAGCTTTCATGGTATGTATACTTGGACTCTTTGTTCATATTCGAAATAAAGCAATGACTTAACATGTACGGCCATAGCCGAGTGAAAAATCTGGATCCCGTCTGATCTCCGATAGATAACCACTTGAGCGCCAGATTAGTAGTTGGGTCGGTGACGACCAGCGAACACCGGGTGCTGTACATTCTTTTTGGTATTTTTTTGTTCTAGAGATGTCTATGCAGATATAAGCGATGTACTATAGAATAGCTTGACAAAGACTCTACTCACTTTACTCGTTGGAAAAAAACTTATTAACAGATTTGATTTTTGGACATCCCATAAAACATAACCGTGCCATGTTTCCAGTCTTGAAAACGCGGACGGGAGTAAACATGGGAGTGGGGGTACGGGCAGGCTTGTCCGGTGCCAGGTCAGAGTGGCCCAGTGCTCGGGTCGGGCCGTGTTGTCAGCACTTTTGAGCGTTTGGTGTTCGATTGCGATTCTGCTTCGGCTATGAGCCATGGGGATCTGATTACAATGTGTCCACCAAAATCTAACGCTTTTCCCATTCGTCAATCTATCTACTCCGAGCTGTTGCTTTAACACCGCAGACCGCCTGCAAGCTGGCCCTTCGCATACCCATCGGCATTCACACCCTCAAATGTAGTATCAAGTGGCAATCCCATGCGGAAATGATGATGGTCTCTCGGAAAATTATTGTACATGCGTTCCGCGCCCAGGTGCCGATTGGCTTACTCACTCTTCCGGCGCCCGTGGAACATGACTTGAGGCAATATTTGTGACATTATACAGACTTTCCAATTCGCGAGTGTCACATATGACGCCAGTCTCATGTGCGTCTGCCACTCACGTACCTCAGGGCGAGGCTCAGGCCCAGCGCACCGCTGGCGAGTAACAGACAAGTATATTTGTGCTCTGTAAACCAAGAGTGCCATTTCTCCAGGAAGATACTTCGCGAGGTGTCTGGCTGACTCTTCACTACGGACATGACCTCTGGGAAAGTATAGGTCGGGCTGTAGTCGCCCTGGAAGACCTCATCCTTCGACAAACCTGTGGCGGATTAATATTGTGAGCTTTAGCACTTCAAGTATCAGACATACCGAGCCATCTCACGGACATGCCGAACCACCCAGCAGCTCGTCTCATGGCTTCTATATTTCTGGTAGGCAGTTCAGTCTTAATCCGATCGTAAATGGCATCCGCATACTGCCCTGACGCAGGGAAAGGTCGGAGCAGCGCATATGTCTGAAAGCATAGCGGCAGGAGACTGGCATGCCCAAAGTCTATTATCCACAGACTCCCATTCGCATCGAAGATGAAGTTGCCCGGGTAGAAGTCGCTGTAAACCAGGTAGAGTCTGTTGTCGAAAGTAGACTCGGGTCGTGGAGGATTGGCAGTATATCTAGATTTTTGAGGCAAGGTGCTCATATAATTGATGTGCTCCTGGAGAGATGCGACGTCGTTGAAGATCTTTGGCGCTTCACTATCCTTGAAGAGTGGATGTCTGGTGATACCTCCTCCGTATGGCCCTGGGGCCGCCTCAGCCGGGATAGGGATTGTGAGCAGAATGTCGACGGCTTCGGCAATACGATCGATGTATTGAAGCTGCTCTTCCCATGATTTTGTTTCTGCGAGCTCTAGAAGCGTCTTTCCTTGGACATATTCCATGACGATGTATCTCCCTCCAAAAACACGAAATATCTTGGGAACGCGGGGAAGGTTGCCACCATCGGTGGTTGAACCAGACATTGCTTTCAGGGAATCGCGCGTAAAGACTTGGGTTGCGACCTCCATGTTGTTGAAGCATTGCCCTCCACCCCCGTATTTGATGTAGAACAACGGGGAAGGAGAATCGAGCGGATACGGAAATCCAGACCGATAATGACCAGCCGCTCTGCACGCATCATTCAACTCTTCGATAGTGAGCGAATTAGCTATCCGTTGTAACTGCTCTACTGTCTTCATCTTGCCATGGGTAGAACAGTGTCGTGACGAGGGCAATGCAATGTGGGATGCCAATAACCAACTCAGCCTCTGGCTCCTCAGTATCTGGTGCTAGCCTGGCCATTGACGCACGCGTGCAGCGTATATTGTGAAGGGCTTGCTATGTTAAGCCACGGCCACGACCTGGCGGGTCTCGTCGCCTGACAGGCCTTGCATGTGCGGTTTCAACTCACAGGGCGCTCGCTGCCTTCGTAGGTTAGAATTGCAAGCACTTTGTTTTCGTGCATGGTGCGCATCCGTATAGACTATGGTGGCAGATGCGGCAAACGTGAAGATAGCACCAGGTTAGGTCAGTTGCTGCATTCTCCATTACCCACAAGACCGAGATCATTGACAAGTCGTGGAGCGATTCGTGGAAATCTAGACTGCACAGCAGCCAGCTTCAGCGATCATAAGCTCTACTCCAATCGAGAAAAGTACGATGGGGCCTGGTCCTGTCTTGATGGGAACAGGGTGTGAACTGAGAGCAGCGAAAAAAATGCGATTGGCCATGAAGGTCGCTCGTCATTTTAATAATATTTTTTCGACTATAATCAAGCGCCGAGTTGGCTGAGTGACAGTTATAAAGAGTAAAAGCAAGCAGTAAGAGGCAAACACGTGCCCACACACGTGACCTTGGAGCTACCCAATCATAGCCCGAACATTGTAATCCCGCAGCGCAACACCAGGAAAGAAAGCTAATTGAACACTAAAACGGTCCGCCCTCTCACCCCAGCTCGCCACCAAGACCTCAATCCCAACTCACTATTTTTTGCCCCTCTCCGACGGGCTCGGCACGACATCAATTGCAAGCGTCCCTTTGCAATTCGACGACGACGACGACGACGTACTCGAATAGAGCGAGATGGCGCCGGCTCTGACTGCCTCCACGGCCATGCTGGCCAGCCGCCAGCTGACCCGAGCCGCCGCGACAACCTCAAGGTCAACAGCCGCGCTCATGGCCGTCCGCGCCGCCGCGGCGACGCAGCTTCGTGGCTACGCCACGCCCAACGGACCTCCCCCGCAAAATTTCCGCCAAAGCAAGCGTATCGAGTGGTCCTGGGACCGCGAGAGCACGCTCGACCGCGTGGGCAAGTTTTTCCTCATGACCGAGATGGCCAGGGGAATGTACGTGCTCATGGAGCAATTCTTCCGACCTCCGTACGTTTGCTTCATTACCCGAGTTTTTCAAATCGATGCCCCCTTGGATTGATTGGGCATCACGGATCTCCCGGATTGCCTTCTTTTAAAGATCGGGCCCGCTGACTGGATGCCGCAGTTATACCATTTACTACCCCTTTGAAAAGGTACGCTCGCGCCTCCGATTTCAGACCGCGAAGGCGAGAAACGAAAAAAGGCCGCTATTGACACGCCGATTTAGGGTCCCATTTCCCCCCGATTCCGTGGCGAGCACGCCCTCCGCAGATACCCCTCAGGCGAAGAGCGCTGCATTGCCTGCAAGCTCTGCGAAGCTGTATGTCAAGACCCCAGACGCCCATTGGCTTGCGCCGGTCCATTTCTAATTTCTATTCTCTTTTGCTGCTACAGATTTGCCCTGCGCAGGCCATCACCATCGAGGCCGAGGAGCGTGCCGACGGCTCCCGCCGCACGACCCGCTACGACATTGACATGACCAAGTGCATTTACTGTGGCTTCTGCCAGGAATCGTGCCCCGTTGACGCCATTGTCGAGAGCCCCAACGCCGAATACGCCACCGAGACGAGAGAAGAACTTCTCTACAACAAAGGTTTGCCAATCTAATTATTGGATTTGTCATGAGCAGGACTAACTTAAGCGACAGAAAAATTGCTCTCCAACGGCGACAAGTGGGAGCCGGAACTAGCCGCTGCCATTCGCGCCGATGCCCCTTACCGATAATTGCTCTTCGCTTGGTGCGAGAGATACCCAAAATGATATTCCTACATTACTTCCCCTCTGTATGATTTAGCAAAGCTCCCCAATGGTGTGTATTCAGAAGAGTAGCGTGCATGGTTGCACGGCACAGAAGAGCGGCAGCGGACGGAATTATAGCTGTATATAGGCTCGGAAGAGATTTTCTTTGTCCTGTCCATTTGCCAGGTGCTTTGAGTTCGTGAGACCAGCAACTGTTGTCGATTCCATGTTGGTGGTGTCTGATTGAGTCATTGAATTGATTCACACAAGGTTCGTACGGCCACTCGGTGCAAGCAGAACAAGTGAGAACCACGTTTCTTCTAATCATGCAATCAATTTGTAGACACTATTTTGTACTAGTGAACGGTTCTCATCTTCTTCCCTTCAGCATTTCCAAATCTTCGGCTGCCCATACTTGCCAGCAGCAGCGAGGACAACTTCCATCAGCCCAGCAGCGACCTGGCGCATCGAGTTGTGGAACTGGGGTTTAGTCGGATAAAAAATACAGGACAGGCCGCTCTCCACTCCAAACTCGATAACGAGGCCGTTGATGCGACCGGCACCGCATGTGTGGCTGTAGTAACGGCTCAAAAACCAATCCGTCGTACCGCCGGAGACGGCATACATGGCCGCCTCTTGACGGGGCTTGAAGCGGACAGTGGTGCCGTCGCCCGCGGCGTTCATGGCGTCGGACATTGCCATGGCCGTGACGAGCTGAGCATCTAGGTCCTCGGCCTCAATGTATTCTTTGTACACGAGGCCGTCGGGGGAATCGCCCGTGACGCCACGCTTACCGTCCCATGCGGGGTTTTTGAAGTTTTGCGAAGGGTCGATCGTCTGGGGGTTGTCGTCTCCCCATCCATACAGGACGTCGCCCGAGATGGAGTGGAGGTCCAGAAACCAAGTGAGACTGGGGTGCTGCTGCGCGATCCACGCCGCGTTCTGCGACTCGGGCTCAGAGAATGGCGCCGTGCCGCGAAAGATTTCCGATATGGGACTGTCCGAGGCCGGCGGGCTGATGGTCTGGTTAAAATACCTATGGTAGTCCCAGAGCACGTCAAAGTTGCGGTTGAGATCGACGCCGATGCCAAAGTCGTCGTTGGGCGTCCGCAACGCGCTCTTGTAATTGCGATTCTTGCGCCAGCAGTTGCCCGTCTTTTGGTCATAAGCCGCACCGTCGGGATTGACCATGGGCATGGAGACAATGCCAGCCGAGAGCGCCGTTATGACCTGCTCGTGGGTGTAGGATTTGTTGCCGTATTTGATGCCGGTGCCGGCGTCTCGCGCGTGGAGCAGGTCCGCCAAAAAGTACAACATGTGGTCCGGGCCGCCGCGCTCGCGGGCGTGAATGCCGCCCTGCAAGTAGACGCGCGGCCCGCCGGCGCCGATGACGATGCCCGCGACGGTGCGGTTTTCGTACGTCTGATGAGGGGCGGTAAAGAAGCGTGCGTCCTGGTACTGCCGCGCGAGGGCCTGCAGGCCAGAGGTAATCTCTTCGGGGTTCATGATTGTCTTCATGTCGCGGTCCTCGGTAGACAGACCGCGGGGGGGGACAGTGCCGTGGACAAAGCGGTCGCCGATGCCAATGGGGAAGCCGGTGTCGTCAGGGTTAGCCTGGCTCTGGCGAGCACGCAAGGCCAGCGGCGACTTTTCGGGATAGCGGCTATATCTGGCGAGATGGCGCTCCGCCTCGATCTCATCCGGAAGAAGGCAGGCATTCGCGGTCAGATACAGCACGGCGACAGCAGGGAGAGCGGATGGAAACTTCATCATGCATATGATGATAAAGATGCTTCTGACTCATCCGAGGGGTGTTTCAAGGGCGGTTTGTAGATTTTCTCTCCATGTTCCCTGGGACCGTTGGTCTCTAGTTGTTCCAGCATTCCATGTCAGCGCCCAGCTTGCTCCTTCCTGGCATTCGGAGGGACAAGGTGGAAGCTGCGTAGCACCAGATGTCTCAAATTTCGGCGAGAAAGGAAGTGGATCGCCGCAGCCACGCACCGAGATGTATAAGTTAAGCACAAGTACGGAGTAGATTCAAGCTTGTTGCGCAAATCATAGTGTCGGTTTTGGCACCCTAGTTAGTGTCAGTTGTGTCCAGTATCATCGAAACTTTTGTTTCTTGCTTGTGCGCAACACAAGCAACGCGACGTGCAAAATGGCATCAGCCTTTTTCGTGGCAGTGTGAATGCGATTTTTTATCTTGATCTTGTACGGTTTTTCGGATCATTGAAGCACACAAAGATGGTTTACTTTGCCAAGACCTGTCCGAAGAACAATGTGTTCATTGTGGCCAGTGGTTTGTATTCCGGGCTTTGGCGTAGTTGGACGTGACAGAAGCAACTCGCGTCATTCATTGGCTGGAGGCGCGGCGTTGGCATCCCCATAAAGCTGGGGAAGGCCCACTGACGGAGCGAGAAGAGCTTCAATTGCCAGCTTGGACAGGCCTATCCAGTTGCAAACGGGTGCTATCATCTGTGATACAAATTCTCGTGCTCGTCTAATTAAGGTTTCTCAGGTTTTACACTGATGTACTGTAAGATGATGGGCAAGGTGTTTCTGGAACGTATAGGTGATGGCAATGCGAAGTACCGATGCCAGCCGTTTCGGGTCGGGGGGTCAATACCATGCTCAGAGTGATGGATTGTTTAAGTGTCCGAAAATGAGTCTTTCTGTCCACAGGTGCAATATTCAGTCTTGTTCTCAATGCTGGCCGGATCTTGTGCAACTTCCTGTCTGGTATCGTGTAAGCACAGTGGGCTCTGACTCGCTCGACCACGTACCTGGAGTGTGTTAAGTTGAGATTGGCTGCCGGCAAGCCCCCCAACAGTGCAAAGAGTGAGAACAGCACCTCAAAGTCTCTCAAAAAGTCCCGATAAGACACAAAAATAAGAAGATTTGCTCCATCTTGGCCTCTTCAGCCCTCACGAACCTCTGCCAAAATCCGAAAACTCCATGCAGGGTAGCTCATAGAACAACGACCAGCCAGCCAATCACCGCCCCAGCTTCTCCTGCTGAGTAACCCTTTCTGGCAACATCACGTGATCTAACACCGAGCAAGCTCCTTCCCAGGCAGGGAGCTATTACTGTGGTGGCCTGGTTGGCCTGAGCAAGCAGAGTTGACAGCGAGAAATTTATTACCATCTTCCAAGTCTCCTCCGTCCACTCTCCCCCCCACGACGCCCCGACGAATCCCGCCCGCATCGACATCAATTGCTCTCGGTCTCATTCTTTCTTGTACATTTGACATTCCGACTACATTTGATTTCATCCCATTTTTCTCCATTCGCAAAAGAAAGAAAACCCGCCCATCATGTTCCGCACAGCCGCCATCCGCTCCGTCACCCGCGCCGCCTTTGCGCCCGTCGTCCGCAGAACAACTCTCGTCGCTCCCCGCGTGGCTGCTCCCATTACCCTGCGCGCCGCTCAGAGCTTTGTCCCTGTCCGCATGTACAGCGCCGGCGGCGGTCTGAAGAAGGAGGATGTCGAGGGCCGCATCATGAGCCTGCTCCAGGGCTTCGACAAGGTACGAACGCTGCACTGCAATACACTCCTCTTTCTCTACATCTTGAGAGAAGTCGTGAAGAATTCGATCTGTAATCCGTGAAGAGGAATCTCTTTGGCGGTGGCTTGCCTGGGCCGATGGCAATTGATAGCATCGAGTCGCCGTTGCTTCAGACTTGCGTCGCTGATGGAAGTCCTGCCCCTCCTGATTTTTCAATATCGAAACATTGCATTCACCATTGCGCGATTGCTAACCCAGCCTGCTGCTACTTAGGTCAACGATGCTTCCAACGTACGTCTTTCTCGCCATTGATGCCACCGACGCGGCTGCCATCTCCCCCCTCCATTCCGGTCTAACCCGAGTCTGAACACAGATCAAGCCCACCGCTCACTTTGCCAACGACCTTGGCCTCGACTCCCTCGACACCGTTGAGGTTGTTATGGCTATTGAGGAGGAATTTAGCATCGAAATTCCCGACAAGGATGCCGACACCATCCACTCCGGTAAGCCTTGACCGAACGTGAGCATGGGATTAGGACCCGGGTGACGCTAATTGCTTGTTTTTCCGCTTGTAGTCGACAAGGCTGTCGAGTACATCCTCAGCCAGCCTGATGCCAACTAAGCGAAAGCCGCTTCCTTCCAAGACCACACAGCTCGCCAGCGTCGAAAACGTTGCGAGCGAGCTGCGTGGCTTGACGGCGAATGCCAACATCTACAAAATAAAGAACCCCCAAATACCACACAGTTGTACAATATTTACAGGCGGAGCGGTTTTATGCGCAGCAAAGCATGAGTAGAGGAGAAATCATCTACGTGTGATGGAAGCAGGGGAGAAATGACGGAGTTTTTGAAGAGGGACTAGGACCCGGAAGATCTTTTCTACAAGAAATATAAAGGATTTCTGTAACATTTCACATCTCTGGCGTACACATTTCATACATACATGCTTGGCTACTCGCGATTCCACCAGTCTTCTGAGACACGATGGTTGACGATTCGTGGTGGGCATTCTGAGCTGCCGACTGTCATCAAATGGTCCGATGTACTACTGCTTGGGCATTCTCAGACACATTGTTTGTACCACCATAAGTATGATCGCAACATGGACATCAAGAGTAGCTGCAAAAGTGTAATGTATTGCGGGATTAATACACAGTCTCCCTTCTATAATGTGCCACACGGCGAACCAACTACTCAAAACAGACATTACAAATAGCCCCATGGTAAGCTTGCGTGCATCATGATCCGATTTGGTTGTAAACAAGACAGGCATAAAAGAGAAATAAAAGGCCAAGGAACGACAATAGTAAAAGCAAGACGTGAATCTGCAAAAAAAAGAGTAAACAAAGATGGAAATCCAAGAATAAAAAAAGAATAAAATGAAAAGAAAACTGCATCTGTTTTTTCTCTCTTGTCAGAAAACTCCAGAAGAAAAACACAAAGCAAATGCAAGAGCCCAACCGATGGCGACAAGAACAAAACAGAATACAGAAAGTAGAAGAGCAAAGCGCCGTCCAACCGAGACTTTTTGACCCGTCCCTAGCAGAGGATCGAAAAGCATGTATAGAGAGAAAGAGAGATGACCCATCCCTTGTAAATTTTCCATTCTCGACCCACGTCTTTTTTCCTTCCCCTCTTCCATAAATGAGTGCCAAAACATGTGCTTCCTTGAATGTTTTTATGGTATCCAAGTAGCATAAATAGGAAAGCAATAAACGCCGGTATCATTTGAAATGTCGAGGCAGCAAACAACATATGGCGACGCAGAGACTGGGTTAAGACCACTCCTTGGGTGCATGTCAGCCATAGAATGTGTCTAGAGCCACGTGTGTAGCAGATGCTGTTTTTTTAACGTCTCATCAAGCAAGTGGTTCGACGACGCAAGTGTAGAGTGTGCGCAACAGGATAAGCAAAGCCTCCATCACCGACCGTTAGTCGATGAGTTCTTGCTATCCTTTGTCTTGCCATCTTGCCCTTTGCCGGTAACGGCACCGGCGTAACTATTGAAGCTGCTCATCCCAAGACCGGCAGAAGCTCGCTTACGCATACGTGCAGCAGCAACCGGGTCGTCCTCTTCCATGCTAAAGACGAAGGCAGGGTCTTCCTCGTCGATGGGAGTAGTAAAGCGACCAGTGACAGACGAGCTGATGCTACCAGTAGACACATGGCGTTCCATGGCACGGTCCTTTCCCACTGGATGGGGACCTACGGTCCTTGCAGATGCGGGGTGTAGACGCGGGCTGGAGCTGGTGGTAGCGTCGTCAATGCGACTGCGTTGAAACTGCTGAGAAAGAACAGACATGGAGTCGCTGCCAATTCTTGCGGACGATGGGCGGCCGGGTGCACTGGTGCCGAAAGCTTCATTACCCATGGTTTGAGCGAGTGTTGAATTTCGTAGAGGGCTACCGACGTGGCCAAAGGGGGAGGCGGCGTTTCTGGCAGAGCGGGATAGCTCCTCTTCTTCCTTTTGGCGTTGGAAAAGAGAGCCCCAGCGGCTTGGGCTGGAGGCCAGGGGACTTCCATATTTGGAGAGACTCTCGATGTTGACATCATTCTCCCCCCGCATAGACCCTCTTCTGGCCTTTTCAGCCGGTGTTAGAAGATCCTGAAGGTTCTCTGGGACATAGTTTTCGGGCCCATTGTCACCAGCATCGTCGCCGAAAGCGAAGCTGGCTTCCCAATCGCGATCGACGTTTGTCTTTGGTACACTAGAGCTAAGCATCTTGGGCTTGGCGTATCTTGACGAGTGCATGGCCCTCTTGCCAAAGTATTCTTCGGAACCAAACGGATTTGAGCTCGGAGGACTGCCGGCTGTAGGGAATTGGTCCGAGTAGCCAAAGGCTGAGCTGTGCAAAAGCTTGAGGGTATCAGAAGTTCTCGAGTCCTTGACGTTGCTAAGAGAAGAAGCCGGAGATTCAAGACCGAATTTGGAGGGGACTGATGATGGCCACGGAGCTGCGGGAAAACGTGCGGCGTTGGAGATGCCATTCGAGTCGAATGAGGCGGGCATTGGGGCATCGAGAATGGACAGTCCCTTGGCGTTAGCGGGGGAGAAAGCAAATCCATCGCGAGGCGAGCCGTAGCTCTCGGGGAAGGCAAAGGGAGGCTCGGAAGCGTGGCCGTTGTCGAGGTTTAGCTGATGATCATGGAGCTGCTGTCGGCTCTCGGAGAGGTAGCTGGGGAAGGCAGACTGATCGGCCTCGTAGAGTGATGTGGTGAGGGCGCTGGCGGAGGATTGATTGTAGGTAGTGTTGGCGGCGGCTGAGGTCGGCGAGGTCGGGTCAGCGGGGCTGCCAGCGAGGGGAGTGGTTACGATTGTGAAGCCATTTTTGCCGTAGTTGACTCGGCGGCCGTCGGGGAGAACGTGGATATTTGCGCATTTCGGGCCGAACTTGCAATTTCCCTGATATCAATGATTAGTCGGAGACAAGTCGGAGGTTTACCAAGACTCGACAGAGCTTGAAATATAAACATAAATAATGAATGAATTAGTATGGGCTCACCTTGGCAAAGTATTTGCAGACAGTCTCGGATGCGACACCCAGCTCGTGGCTAAATGGACAGGCATTGCCAGCCTGACAGGCGCCTTGACGGTAAAACTTGCAGGGAACATGCGAGGTATCTGTGGCAGAAATGACGAATTAGCTTTGATAAAGAGGCCGAAATGGCAGATTCGAAATGGATTGAAGATGCAAGGGGAGGCGCGTGTTGGGTAAAACGTTGGCAATTAGTTGGGTGACCAGTTGGCCGGATCGCAGGGTCGAACGACGGACCGGCCGAGGGCAAAGTCGCGGCAAAAAAAAAAAACGAGGGCGCGGCGCCGTTGGGCTCGGAAGCTGGGGCACGAAGCGCGGAGGCAGAGGGAAGGAAGGGGGCGAGAGAAACGTACTGGGAGGACTCCTGGGCATGACGGACGAGGTTGGGCGAGTGGAGGAGTTGGCGATGCTCATGCTGGAGCTGCGCGCATGGCGATATTCGGGGGGCATGTTGGCAATGGGCGGCCGTGACGAGCGTCGTCGGTGGGTGGAGGAGGAAGAGTAGGAGACGGACGAGGCAAGACGTCTTGTGTGACGGTGGAGAGAGGGGGGAGTAGAGGAGGGGGAAGGCGGCGAGCGAAGTGGGGGGAGGAGAAGAGGAAGAGGGAGAGGAGGATCACGACAAGTGGTGGTGGTGGTGGTGGTGGTATTGCCTTGGGGGAGCTTTGTGACGGCTGCGGCCCTTTGAGGGGAAATGAAATCGGGTGGTGATGGAGCGGGAGAGGGTGGACGACGGTAAGGGAGTTGTAGGGGCTGCGGTTGATGGTGATGCTGTTGCTGGTGTTGCTGGTAATGACGCTGCTGATGGTGATGATGCTGCTGTTGCTGCTGAGCTGACTGCTGAGCCGCCTGTAGGGCTGCCTGCAGGGCCGCCTGTTGTGACTGTTGAAGATGCTGTCGCTGGCCCCTGTGCAGCGCTTGTGGATGCTGTCCGTCAATGAATCCCCCGCTATCCTGCCCTTTCCCAGTGGAACGTCGTCCCCTGTTTTCCCGCTCGCGCCCAAGCAGCAGCCGCTGTGAGTGCGGTCCGCCCGTCCACTGCAACACTTCGGCAAATCCCATGTCGGACGAAATGTTGTCGATACGCGGATTCGGAACCGGTAAAGGAAAAAAAAAAGGAAAGAAAAAAAAGAAAAAAAAAAAGAAGAGAGACAAGGAGAAACTAGTATTGTATTCCCGTCGTTTCTTTTTTCGCGCTTGATTCGCCCACTACTGCCAAGACCATCACTCGCTGCCTAATCCTGAATCACTGCCCCAGGCTGTCGTCGACTTGTCGCCAAGGGAGGTACCCAGAGAGAGAGAAAATTGTCAAACGTCGAATATCCGTTCTTGTCAGACTTTTTTTCCCGTCTTTCCCGCAAAATGCTGCACAACGTCACGGCTCCACGCTGCTGCTTGTGGTGGTCGCCGAATCTGTATGCAGTATAACACGTGGTTGGTCAGAATGCAACCGTGTATAAGTCGGCTGAGCAGGACGCGACTTGATGCAAGAAAAATGTCAGGAAACAACCAGAAAAAATGAGAAAATCGAACAAGAGAATAAAATGGAGCAGATTTTGGAATAGACATGCGTCAAAATCTGGGGACATTTGCCATTCTGCCAGCTGAAATCGGACGGAAGCCCCCAACTAGCCAGACAGGGCGTGGTATGCCAATACTGCGGCGGTATACTTTGCTCTGGCGCACAAACACTTGAAAAGAGTCGTCACTTACCAAGAAGAAAAACTGTAAATCTAGATTCCCTGCAATCGAGTACCGAAGGAGGAGAGGCGGGAATAACTTTGCTTTGTGTAATCGTGATTGTAAGAGACTTGTACCGGGCTTCTCTGCAAATCTGTTAAAATGGCGGAACTATAAAACATGCAAACTTGCACAGACAAGAGAGCAACAAAGAGAAACACAACGAAGGCCTCTCGGCTCAACAAGGGGGCGCAGCCTTGGTCTTATACCAGAAACACACTGCTGAAAATTCCCCCATGTAGACACAAATAGTGTGCCTACGCGACCCGTGGTGGTGGTGGTTTGTAGTAATGGTGGGAGAAGACGGCACGGTAAAACTCGTCCGTCTTCGCCAATGCTACATACATACGTAAGTAGGTAGGTAGGTAGGTAAGTAGGTAGGTAGGCACTGGTCCCTTTCTCCTGCGCCTATGGGATCCCTTGGTTAGGCCCATCTACGTAATAAATCACTGAGTCTCCTCTTTTTTTTTCTTTCTAATCGGGATGATCAAGGATCATGCAATTCTTGGTACATGTGCATCCTCACCTTGTTAGACTCATCACTCGCCTTTTCCTCGCCACTTGCCTTTGCTCGCCACTACATCACCTTTGCACGGTCAAGTCAGTTGTGTAGACACACACACGCGCGCACTCACCCATGACAAACATGACGCAGTGAGAAAAAAGTACTCGACGGAAAAAATACAACAACAACAAGAAGAGCCATGGAGGACCACCGGAAAGAGAGGAAATCGAGTGCGCGCAAAGTCATTGCGGACTGTGTTGCGTGAGGCGCCCCTTCGTCCCAGGTGTGGACATGTGGCCGCCCCCTCCAACACGCTTGATACCTCGCCCCCAGCCGGCCGTGCCACGATACGATGCTGTAGGTTTTCTGTTTCCTCTAGTTTCCAAACCAGCGACCGCCCTTTTTTTATTTTTTATTTTTTTTTGTTACCCTCTGGTCATGGGTACTCGCGGTATCGTACCGAGAACCCAGAAGTTGCAAGTTGCCTAGTGGGCGTCTATGGATGACCCCCATATATATTCCGAACATCACACTCCCACTAGCCAGACTCATTCATTCCTCGCTGCCTGGAAATTCGGAATGGACACACACCCTTTCAAAAATCACCACGCGTCATCTGCACGACGATAACGGCACTATCTGATGTAGCTGTTTTTGTGTGCTGACATCTTTTGCTTTGAGCTTTCTCCGCTTTATTGACGCAGGGGAGCTGAAGATGGATTGTCTCGCCATGAATTGACTAATACAAGGGTAATGAGTTGCCCGAGACCTGGTCGGCGAAAGGAACACTCTTTAGAGACGAAGCGAAACTAAGGCCGGATTCTGCCCGACGCGTCGTTTCTTGTACCTTGATCCTACCATGACGATTTTTGTCGCAAATAACTCGTGGCTCTGGTCCTTTTTGGGGGGGTATGCATTGGCTCCCTGGGGGTCATCTGCCCTCGTTGTCGTGAATGACAACACCGTCTCAAGCTTGTTTCCGTACAGTACGTTTGTTTAGTAAACACGATTTTTTTTTGCGGAGACTTTCAAATGTTTGTTTCTACGAAATCCAGACATAGACACCATCTGAGGCCTCTCCGAGGGTTCGTGTACAGTGCGGCATCATGACCGCCGTCAAAGTCTCGCACCTTCACTCCATCGGCCGCCCAGTACATGCAAGAGACGAACTATTCCACGGCACTATGGCGTAGTCTATCTCGCATACATGCACAGTCATGTACGACTGGTAGATTGCAGATGCCAAAGACTCGGTGTCTCCCTGTTTTCTCCCCGGAAAAACTTTTACAAGTGCGCGGCAATGCAGCTGTGATGGTTGCGAGCCCGCTACGAAGATGATGCAACTGCCCATGTACTTGGAATCATGTATGGCGCACATTTCTCGATCAACCTCGCGTCGGGCGCGCTCCGAAGCAGCCGTTGTTGTGAGCATCACCTGTTTCCATGGTGCGGAATCGTAAACAGTTCGCTGCAAAAGTTGCCACCGCTGCCTCGACATCTGCTGATCGTCCCCTTCCCCCCCTTCGTATGCCCTATCCTGAACGTTTACATCTATAGCTTGTGATTTGCCAGCGATGCCCACAAGATCTGATGCTGCGCCGAGCTGCATAACGTCAGATTACAAAGGGTTACGAATGCAATTTGACCCCAGGTTCATCGGATATAAGCCTCGACGAACCAACCATCTCTCGCCGTGCTCATTGCTGATAGTTTAGGTTTTTGTGGGTCCAGTAGCTCTCAGCTGACAATGCCCGTACAACAAAATACCAAACCATGAGCTACTTACTTATCCCCTATTAATAAAGTTGGCTAACTAACTACACAGCCCTCACCGCATCGCCGCCGCCTTTTGCCCAGTGCAAGTTGATCGCCGGAAGCCGTGGCTCGCGAGGCGCAACGCCCGCCCCTCCCCCAACCTCCATTAATAACTTATTCAAGCCGTCGAGGACTAAAGGCTCCGGCGTCGCCGGAATGCTTGGTTTCCTTTTCGCTTCTGCAGCTCATCACGTTCACCACCGATCAGCCCGGGTTTCCCTTCTTGGGGGGGGGGGGGCCCTTGTATGGGGCCCTTTGACAGCTGAGCTGCAAGCGCTCTTGCTGATTTCCCCGCGCTGCATGCATGGCAGAAAGCCCGTGGCGGTGGCGGCTCCCAATAACGTTGCTCGAATTCCAGTTATAGAAGACCACACATACGGGCGGCGGTGGTTCACTAGATAAGCCATGGCCCATATAAATAACGGCAGACGCGGCCAGCGGCGCGGCGCGAACCACACAATGCTAGTTGTCCCGTACTGAGACTAACTACTCAACAGCTGAATCTTTTAGTCTCCTTTGTACATGGGCAAGGGTTGTAGGTTGCAGCGCAGGCCGGCTGTTTTGCAGCGGCCGCATCATCACGAAGAAGGCATGCAACTGTAACACAGCAGCACGTCTTGTCCTCCCTCGGCCGCTCGTCCCGATATGCCCACTGCGTTTCCGGTGGGCTCTCAGAAAAAAAAAAAAAAACATGAATGAATCGCGCCGTCCCTCCCCGAACACAACCCCAACGAGCGACACGTGCCGTCAAAAGGGCTCCTTGGCAGTCCGAGACAATGATGTGCCGTTGGTGGCATCGGCAGTGGGGAACGCACTACGCCATCGCGCAGGCCACACGGGCAGGTGTCCGGGCAAGTCACATCTCACATCTTTTTTAGAACCTTGCCGGAAAGGAAGGGATGGATGGATGGATGGAATGGAATGGCAAAGATGGTTGGGATGGGCGGCTGCCTGCGGCGGCGCGGGATTGCCTTTCGCCTGTCAAGTGTCTCACGGAGGAAAGCCCATGCATGATCCTGCATGCTGCACCAGTACTTGACTACTACTAAATTGCCTTTTTTTGCAGTCTTGGCTCGCTTGCGGGAGGGGAGGGGAGGAGGGGGGGGGTGCGCATTCATCTCGTAACGCGCATGCATGCAGAACAGTGGCATTAGCTCAAAACGCCTGCATGCATCGAGCATGCCCGATTTTTCTAGTCAACTTTGTACGAATGCTGCTGCACGTCGGTGCGATTTACTTCGTCTAATGTGTGCACTTGCATGCAGCTCTCGCGCTGCAGACAGGTCGGTCGGGCTGCGGTGCATTAAAATCCGTGTGCCCAAGGTAGCATTGCAGACCCGGGTCATGTTCACGAGAGCGAATTTGCCTTGAAGACTCGTTGTGAGCCATAAGTAGCTATGCTGCCTACCCAAGTTTTTTTCTCTCTTATTATTATTGCTCGACGCAATTTTCGTCGAGTCCATGGCTAAGCCTGGCGTTGCCTGCAGGCCAAGCCACTTGACCGCATTTGACTCGTGCAGAACATGAACTATTTGCAGAAGACCCCATCTCTTTCAGTCAGCTCGACTTATTATATACAGCGGACCGTTGACGCTTGCGACTCGCGGTCGTCAACGGTGTGGCGAGTGGCGTAGCTAACCCATCCACACCAAATAGCCGGCCCTCATGATCCTCGTCCATGCCACCATGCCCATGTACTCGCAGGCGACCTTGATTGCTTACCTGCCCTATTCGTAGTCAATATTGGCCATTGGCGGAATGAGCCCTTTTTTAGCTTTAGAGCTAGCGTTTAGATAGCCAGCTTGCTCAACTACCGTGCATTAAATGTAAATCAGGGAAAGGAATCAACCCAACCCATGCCCCCGCATGATATGCTAGTGACAGGTGCAGGGCATGGTCTGGCAGATCGCTGGCTGCTGATCTCGGTCTGAATCACATCAGCCATTGGGATTGTCGCTGCTTGATTAATGAAGCCCTTTCGAGTCGGAGCGGTCCCCGACGGAGCCTAAATCGAGCATCATGCATGTGTACCCCAGCAGGCTCCCAAGATTTCATCCTGATCTGCGCATGCCTCGCACTTGGTCTGTTTTTAGATATTGCGCTTGCTATTGCCACCGAATACCAGAAGGAAGTGTAATCGCCGAGAAAAGGAACAAAGCTGCGGCCAGTGCATGTTTCAAACGTTTCCGTCACGGCGACTCTGGTGGTGGTGGTGGGAATACCAACCCCAAACGAGAATAGCAGCGTAGTCCTCGTCACCACCCCCCCTTCTGAATTTCCATTGTACACGAGTGCCATTGTACTTGTAGATATAACTTGTCGGATCTGTCTTGACGGGTGACCACATGCCCCTCCACACCTTGCCGAAGGTGCGCCTTGGCTTGCTGCCGACGGGCGCTACGCCGTCCCTTGATCAGTGAGTCTCGCTCAGCTGGCCGACTAGTTCTTTTGCTTTTGCGGCATACCATATTGCTGTACTCCGGAGAAATGGAATGTCCATTTCCTGTTTCATCGCCATGCATATTTCATTCCGATGCGACTCGTCATGCTAACAACACCTTCCTTGTGCGGTCCCTGAGACTTATCAACACGCACAGGCTCGTATCGGCATAATGACTCCTGGCAATAAAGTCACAGTATAGACTTTTGAATTCTCTAGAATATCATATAGACACAGTTGTTTGAGCGTTTTATTTCCATGCTTCTGCCTGATCAGGTGCTCCGGGTGATCTGTGTCGCAAGGCAGCTGCCTTTTTTTCCGAAGCGGCCGTCCACACCACCTGGGACTCGACACGTACATAGCAATCGCATATCATCTTTCTTACTCGAGACGCAACATTTGACATTGAGCCGGAGAAAAATTACACCGGAGAAATGGCCGCACCTAAACTGTACAGAAGGCAGCAGCATATAGGTGACAGTGCACACCACCATCGGTGCACTTTAATTTCCTGCCTCATTCGCCACATGTTCATGATTGCATCCTCGCAACACTCGTATAAGCCACAAAGCCATCGCGCTCCTGTCAGCCTCTTGGCAGCCCGGGAGAGCCAAGAAAGCATGGAGACGGCTGCACCTCTTGATGCTGGCCAGCCTGCCGCCGACGAAGGGCACCGCAGACCTGGGAGCGGCGTACAGCCACTCATCGTCCTTTATACTGCGAGATCTGCCAAAAAAACGGCGGAGTTTTCTGACCTCTTTCCCACCCTCTTCTCCTACCCGCCCGCACTGTTCAACTCTGTGAGCGGGCGGCACTTTTTTTGCATCCCATGATCGCTGTTGTTGACCCACCACTGACGTCTCTGGTGTAAGTGCAGACAACCTGTTTCAGTCAAAACTCCTTGTGTACTCAACCACACTGGGGATGTGTTCATCGACCATTGAGTTTTATGTCTGAATGGGCAAGTCGTCGTTAGGGTTAAAAGGTGGCTTGAAGCTGTGCTGTGTACAACGCGCCGAAGCTGCGCGGATGACCACGGGCGACAGGGATTCTGACAGTTTCTTTCAAAGAAACAGGAGGCTGAATTGAATGAAACCGAGGCTTGATGGTACTCGTCACTTTTCCTACATGTGATGTGTGTTTCGGAAGTTTGACGAGCGCCTGCTTGACGGAAGGTAGGTGCAGAATGAAGGGCCGCCTTGGTGGTTGCTGCTAGACTCTGGGATTGCAGCAACAGTCGAAACGAACTTGAAGGATTTCTCAGTAGCTGGTGATTGAAATGGGAGTTAAGAGGTAAACGAAATATCTCATACAGCCTTGGGCAATTGTCCCCTTAGTTCTCTTGCATCTGGACATGGTGCAAGTTCAGATGCACGCACTTTTACTCTTGGCCATTCTCTATGCGCGCGAGAATCCGTCTGCTCGGGAACATTTTTCTCTTAAGCAGTTTAACCAAAGAGGGTTGTTTCTTAAAACGATTCCAGTATCCGCTCTTAAATACCTCAATGTTGCCTACCTAGCTTGCATCCGCCTGGTTTGACGCGAAGCAAAGTGCGGAGAGATGCTGAGATGCTTGAGTGCTCTCGATCAAATCCTCGGATCCATCGACAAGGACAGTAAGATAACTGACCTACGAAAAAAGATATATGTTAGCGAGATTGCCTATGATTTCGTAATGTGCTCTCTTCCATCAATCTTTCTACAATCTTTCATCGCGCGGTTATTGTCGGGCACATGTCTCTGTTCACAGCTTCTACTCATTCACCACCTGCATAGACCGAATTTCAACGTTCTATATATCTTGATGTGCCATCCAGTATTGATTCGGTACTTGTAGTTTGTTTGATTGAATTGCTTGTTGACCGTGGGATCAAAGGAATGCCGGGGTCGTGAATGAACACCTCGAGCAGAAGGAAGCTGCCTCGGCGAGGTCGCCGGAGCGCCAACGCGGCACCAAATCTTCATCGTCAAAAGGGTGATTAATATGTCTGAAAGGATTTTGAATAAACCCGCGACACAGTTACCGACGCCGAAGCCGTCGAGGGGACCAGAGGTCGTGTAAGTTGATCGCCGTGACTCAGTTTGACCTTGCACGTCCCCAACTGTCCATAGGCACGCCGGTATGCGTATTGTGCCCAGCCGTGATGTTAGCACCCTTACAAAAAGTCTTTCCTTTCATTTATAGCCAGTAGTTATCTCTTCTTATTCCTGCCTCTAGCTTTATGTAACCTCTCATTAGGTATACTTCAGATCTATACTATTCACTCTTACTATTTCTTATCCCTTTGGCTGTGGAAAAGGAGGAAATGTACTAGATTCAACCCATGCAATATATCCGGTCAGGAAGTCGTCCCCGGTACAGGCCAGCGCCACGGTACTTTTACGATCGCTCGAAATGCGCACTAAGCAGAAGTACCTGGACATTTTCTGCTGCCCGATTGGACAAAGCCCCTGCAAAATACCTGCTACCACTGCTAAAGGTATAGATAGTACGGCTTCATCTATATACATATCTTTACTCTTCTTCCCTAATCCCCTCCAAGGCATTTCTATTTTTAGTCCGCTTACTTTTGCAAAACTAATCCGTACTACCACTACTATCTATAACTACTGCCTAAGTCCCCCAGCTTACCGCCACCTCACTGTCGGCCTGTCTCATGACTACCTTGCTCAGACTAACGCGGTCACTAAGCGCGATCACGATTCGTATCCGCCCCGGACCGCCCCGGGTCCGGGGTGCCCCCGGCTGAGGAGGAGCAGGACAATGAAAACGAGATACGCCCAGATTTAATCAAGTACCGGCTGATTAGGCGATCAGATGGTTTCACTTATATCACGATAGCCCTAGCATTTCATGCAGTGGTGGTGATATTCTACTAGTACTGCACGTCCAAGCATGAAGAGGTCTGCAGGCGCCAACTTACGCCGGCCTAAATACTCGGGGGCGCGGCACGAGTAGACAGCCTTCAGCTGAATATAAGGTTATGAACTGACTCAAACAGAGCCCCTGTAAGAGCTCGTAATTCCACCCTAGCGTAGCAATGCAAGCCGCGGCTATCCTGTTAGAAGGGGTACAGCGCGCTAACCCACTAATCTGCTACAGCTTCAGCAGCAGATCTCTCTTTGTAACGACCCCCTTCCGGCTGAATGATTCAGTATTCCACGAATCATTCGTTAGCTTTTTAATGCTTAAGCATTTCATTGACAACATTTTTTTCTTCTTTTTTTTGGGGGGGGGATATTTTTCAGATTTACAGAAGTATTTTCGCGCCGCAACCATGCATGCACAAACCGTCTTGCAAGCATTGTGCCTATTGACATTCTCCGATGTCATACAAGCACAGACGCTGGCTATCAACAATGTCGGTGTTATCGACATGACAACCGGAAACGTCCAGAAGTCGCAGAATATCCTCGTTGAAGACAATATGATTGTGAACATACAAAATGCAGGTTCCAATATGAGTGCGGCGGAAAGCTTCGATGCCTCGGGCATGGTCATTATGCCAGGCCTCGTCGATATGCACGTTCACTTATTCTTCACCAATGATCAATCGCAATTTGCAACAACGGATATCTCGGTGCTTCCCCCGTTGCTGGCCAACGGCATCACGACTGTTCAGGACCTCGGAAGCAACTGCAACGCTATCAAAGACACAGCCAGGAGAATCGTGCAAAATCAACAACTGGGACCGCGCATATTCTCAACGTGCGAGATGCTTGACGGCGGGGACTCGCCCTTTGAGACGGTGAAGAAGTTGCAGGACCCTCGACAAGTGGAAACCGAAGTTCAAAAACTCATGGCACAAGGTGTCAACAAGATCAAAGTTCACCTTCGCCCGACTGAGCAAGTGTTTGGAGCGATAGCCAAAGCATGCAAAAAGAACAACATCATGTTCGGCGGACACGTGCCTGACTCGATCGACGCAACAGAGGCCGTGAGACAGGGATTCGGTTTCATCGAGCACATGAGTCGCATTGAACCGAACAATCAAAGCCTAATCCAGGATATTGGGGATAAGCAGCTGTGGGTTACTGGCACGCTCATCCAAGGGCAATCACCCGTTCGCCTCAAGCTTGCCAATGACTTGAGAAAAGCCGGTGCCCGGATGCTCGCCGGTACAGACTTGCCGCAAGGCCCAGGCCTCTGCCCGAATGGTTCGACGCACACGGAACTCAAGCTCATGGTCGACGCAGGCTTTTCGCCGTTGCAGGCGCTTCAGACTGCAACGACCAACGCGTACGAGTCCCTCAATGTGCTTTCCAAACTGGGGTCGATTGAGACGGGAAAGGTGGCGGATATGGTCTTGTTTAATGAGAATCCGGTCGAAAATATCAACAATCTGGATACGATCGCTGGAGTCGTTGTTAATGGCAAGCTTCACCGGAAGAACGAGCTTGACAAGATGCTCCGAGACGCAAACCTCGCCGAGAACCTACCGTTTGCGTGCGGTGACAGGAGAGATTTGAAGCCAAGGAATACGTGTTGTTCGGTATAAGCCACCGCGACTTATCAACTAAATGCCAGGGGAAAAATTTCGTCACACCTTGCACTTTGAAGCTGGGTGAAGGCGTACCAGCATCTGCAGGCTGCTGGCCGGTCTGCTAGTTAGTTAAGCAGTCACCAAACAATCGAAAACTATAATTCTCAGTTACTAGGATTCCCACATAGAAAATATATTCTTGCCACAGCTATCATCGGTAAAGTTACGTGACCATGCTATAGGAGTTCAGCGTGGAGGCTTGTCGCGTTTGTAGTTGCTGATACCTCACTTTCATCTCAATTTCCTCTAGAGGCGGCGTATATATATAAGATTATTACAGTCAATTGGCGTGTCTAAAATTAGGCTCTGCAGCGTCTTTACGCGTAACATGGCCACGTTGTGACGGTTTAATCACCGCGCAAAGGTAGTGAGCATATAAAGTTCAACTCATTATTAATCCTTGATCGCCATTCTATCAAGTAAGCGGAACTCTCCATGTGATTGGAATAAGCATGCATACAATTTGTAGAAACACTCCCAGAAATGAGGTGTGCGGCATCTGACGCTGACTAGACTCATTATGAGTCATATCGACTCATAGTGAGCCATTTATGGCCACCCGCACCCCAAGGGTTGAGGCATGCAGCATCTGTATAGTCCTTGTGCTGTCGAGAAAGAATGAGTTTGAATGAGTCGACTCAAAATTTGTGTATATCAGTGATTCCAATCTTTCCTGGTTCTTTCTTTTTTGAAGGGGCACTACATCAAGGTTGATGAGATGCGGCCGTTGGCGCACCACCGAACGCTATGAAACGTCCAATGCCCCAATGCCCGTTGAAGAACAATCCGAGAGACTATAGATTGATTAGAATTGAACAGTCCAGTTGAGCAAAAGTCCGAGTCGAAAGGAAAGAAAACTGTCGCACCAGTACCAGGCCATCAATTGAACGCCAGGGTCGGCCGTTGAGATCTGCGCTGAAAAGAAAGACAGCGCCCGTCTATAGAGGGTTCTACTATTATAGGTACATATTGAAACGAAAGGGACAAGTGCAAAGCTTTTTCAGCAGTGAACAACTGTACTTTATTTGCGTGAAAGCATCTCTCTCAGTGCGTCCACTTCTGCTTCTTTTCGCGCCAGCTGCAGTTTAAGCGCGTCCCTTTGGTCAGTCATGTCGCTCAGCGAGTGCTCCAGATCCGAAATACGATCGAGGCGCTTTTGCCGGTATTTTCTAGCGGCCATGGTGTTTCGTTGGCGCTTAATGACAGTCTGAGAGTCTTCCTCTTCCAGGTCCTGGTCAGGAGGCGACGGCAGCCTGCCTCTCTTGCGTGTCGAACCGCTCGTTGTGCTCGCAGGCGAGTCTTGTGGCTTGTACGCAGGCGCGCTGTTTGATGACAAAACTTCTGGCGCAACAGCCCCGGGAGAAATTGACAGGAGGTCAGCGGCACCTTCTATGGTACCTGTAAGTTGGGGGACGACAAGGTGCGGCTGTGTCGGTTGCGGGAGTATCGTATAGTCTGACGCAAGTACATATGGTTCATCTCCATTCACGAAGAATTCTGACCCCCCGAATTAGTTTACATGAGATTTTTGAAACGCAAGTTCCCTCCTACATACCTGTGGGATCCATGCCGGCTGGTGTGTATCCTGTGCCCATGAACTCGAGGATCGACATGTTGCTCGTCTGATGCGCCGTGGGGTTACGCAGCTGTCTTGAAGCGACCTATGGAACCGGGGCAAGTGCTGAAAGTACAATAGAAAAAATGCACTCGAAGGTTCCAAGGAGTTAACTGGGATGTATGAGGAGTTAAGCCCGGCCGTTGCAAGTTGGCGGAGACAGTGAGGTATGGACGAGGCAGTGATGAGAGGAAAGCAATGTTGATGGAAGACGGTGTAAGAGAGGTTGTCAATGGTGTCGTTGAGGAAATTGTTTAAACGCAGTGTGGATGGAGGATCGAAGAGTGTGGCCTCTCGAGGCCCGTTCTTTATGAGTTTGCGTCGGCTGTACGGATTAAAGATGACGGCCAATCCCATTCGGCAACTCCAATCGAAGACACGCATGAATATGGATGGAGAAGCGGGTCCGGCCGGCGAAGTCGGGGTGACGGGAGGCGTGCGTCTAGTAGCTACGAGACTGGTGAACCCGGCGCAACAGGCTAGAGCTAATAAAGAAGAAGTCTGGCGGCGATGGCGGTACAAATACACTTGAATTCATTAATATATCTTGCGGAGTTGAGATGTGGTTTTTTTACACGGGACATCAGCGTTGCGTCGGTGCTGTCCCAGCACATCATAGGCTCCCGAGTCCTATGTAGACGCTAACCAGTATAGAGCTCAACTTTGCGCAAGACGCCGTAGGGCGCGGTGCATGTTTGGAACCGACTTGTCTACCTACTGACTCATCGAATTGGTGCGTGCGACTACGGTAACAACGTGCAAAGGGCACCTCGTGATTCAACATCAATGTATTGTCGCAGAACCACGTACAGCCATGCCCCGAATTCATCGAGCAGAGGTATTAAACGATGGCCGATGAAACTTTCTTTGTCAGTCGAGATTGTGGCCCCCCAAGATAAATAGTGACAGTCTATAAACGTAGAAACGACTATTACGTCAAAGTGTGCCAAGGGCCATCACGCCCTTTTCATTACGCTAGTGCATGACAAACCACTACTCTTCACAATGCAAAGCACAGCATTCCCACAGCATACATGTACTCTGGCCATCTTCTCTGCTTTGAAACTGGCTGCTATTGAGCTATTTTTGCTCATGTTCGCATATTTCCTTTTTCTTTCCCGTCGGTCTCGATCTATAAGTGGCCCTGCCGGACCGCAGGCCACGCTGTGACTGGTTGACTTACACGGAACCGAACGCCAAGCCGCAATGTAGCTACATGTGATTTTGTTCCTCTGGAAACACGAAAAAAACAAGCACCCGGTGTTCGCTGGTCATCAAAATTACCCCGAGCCCAGGAGGAATCGAACCTGGGTCTCCCTACCCCTTTCGGGAACGGTTCCACGTGCATTCGCGCTGTAGGCACCAACACAAGTTTCCCCGTCAGTCACTGAAGGCATGCTAAACCACTGCACCGGCTCAGGTTGTTTTTGGAATGGGATGGCCAAAAGTTCCGTATATAAATCCGGAGCCTTTTCAGGGCTGCTCTAGATGCATGTCATTAACATGCAACTGACAGTGAAACGTCTGATAACCAATCAGACCAAGAGGAGCGGCTTTCTGTTGGTCGGTCGTGATTTGTTTTCCTTTTTATGCATCGATTTGCAGTGATCATTGTATTGCAGCGGTCCAAGGATTCTGAAACTCTCGTGGCCGGACGAGCACGATGGCGATACTTTGCATTCTAGCGGTCTTCGACTTCTGGGTACGAGGTTACCTTTGGAGGAATAAGAGAAAGACTGAAAGAATAAAAGAACACGCGCTGACGGGGGTGGGGGGAGGTTACTTATAAACTTTGCGCCACACAACCCCCACCTAGGCGCACAAAAAAAAGTATGGGCTTGTGAAATACTATTGGTGTAGCTGTGCGCCATTATGGAACCAACAAGGCTGAGACGAAGGAGCGTCTCAGTCCACTAATAGAACGCCAATGGAGGCGTGGGACAGCCAGGCTTCCAGAGGATGCGATACTATGAAGTAATTTCTATCTACTCTCGTCAGCATCTCGGCATCAGGCATTTATGACGAGACGCCTAAACATGCTTAGTAGACTTAACTCAATAAGTCACGCGACTTGATGGGGCAACCGAAAATAAAATTGTACCTTGATTGGAAGCCTCATCATGGCGTGTGCCTACACCGCCAACCGCATTACCCACGTTTAGTGAGCGCAGCGTACGAGAATGTCGACTTACTGATACAGATTGCCGGTGGCGCCAGCGAGGTTGAATATGGAACGTAGAGGACGGCTATATAGGCTACTGGTATTCCCTTTTTCCTCCGTTAAATACGACATGACTTCGATGCCCTCTCTTGTAGGCTGCCTGGCATACGGCCTCCAAAAATGGAAGCACAGCCAGTCGCAAGAGCAGACGACCTATCCTATTTTAAGAGACTTTAGTCCACGTAAGGAAAAATGAGCAGGTTCTAGACTGCTCACTCGGCTATGGCCGTACAAGTTAGAGAAGGCAGCATATTTTACTTATAGCCGCTTGAGGAGAGTGCTTGCCCCCCTCGGAATTGAAAAACTCCTAGTTCTTGCCAAACTATATATGAAAATGAGTCCGTTTCGGCTATTTGCACCAATTGCAACTCTTTTCTTCTATTACAATATATACAAAATTGGTGATACACGCGCTTTCTGTACGCTGCATATCGCTTGAGAGTAATCATCTCCCAGACAGACGCTTTTCGATACATCGCAGAGGCATGTACAACAGACCACTGCAGAAAAATGCAAGCTCGAAGCCAATATCGCCTGTGTGCTTTGCGATAGGCCCAACAAAGTACGCCTGGTTCATGGCGGGCACGATGAGACCCCAGGCCAACAGTCCCGCGCTCACGGCAGCAATGCCGAGCGGTAGCCTTTTGGGGTCGCACCAGACGGCATGGTCATAGGCCTCGGGATCGCGGCGGCGAAAGACGACGTCTTCAACAATGACGATGGCGCAAAATTGTGAGGACCAGTACCCGATGAGCGAGACGGCATTCTCTAAGCTTACAAAGAAGTTGTCGACAGCAAAGATTGAGACGACCACAACGATGACGGTAATGAGAAGAGCAAACACATAGCGTGGCACGCGAAGGAGCCAAGGAAGCAAAGTCTGGAAATTCAGCGTGACGCTGTAGAATGTGCCGCAGGTATTGCCGAGGAGGGTGAGGGTCAGAATGACGAGAACAAATTTGCCAAAGTCGCCAACAGGCGCAAGCATGCCGGACAGAGCACCGCCGACCAGAAACTTGTCGTACTGGGCTTGCCAATCTGGATTGTTCGGGATTGCACCAGCGATGGCCGCACCAAGAGTCATGAGAAGAATAGTAGGAGTCATAAGACCAAGATAGGTATACCAGTACACTCGCCATCTGACGGGCCATTAGCAAGCACTCAGCGGCTGATAACATAGCTTGGGCGGCACTTACGTTGAGACTTTGGGGTTGAAATAGGTCGACATGTCGCTCACCAGCCCGGCATAAGGAATCTGATAGCTTGCTACAATCATGCCAAAGTTGAGGACGTTGGCAGCGGTCGCTGGCTGGGGAGGCGAATGTTGTTTCGCGAGACCTGCGCCACCGCATCCAGCAGTGATTGTGATTGCTATGACAGCAACGACAAAAGCATAAGTCTCGTAGATGTGCAAAATCTTGAAGCCGCAAAACGATACGATCAATGAAATGATGCCAATGATGACAATGCCGGCGGTGGGGGTTATGGACCCGTTGGATGCAGCGGCCAGACACTGCCCACCGGTGATGAAAATGATGACTGTGAAGCCAGTCATGGTCGCCAAGTTCAACAGGACCGGGATGGAAACGAGATATCGACCAAAAGAGTAGCGCGCTTGAATCATTTGCCGCAGACCGGTTTTCGGGCCCAGCGTCGACAGGTATCCGGGAATAATGCAGGAAAGAATATTGAAGAAGAGAATAACGAGCGCCGAGTCCCGCAGACTGAGGCTGTATGCCAAGGGCCCCAGCATGCCAAATGTGATTCCAAGAATGTTTGTATTGACCGAGGTCCAGATTGTCGCAATGTTGTAGTACCGGGTCGATGTGCGCTCCTCGAGTGGGATGGGCTCAATGCCGCGCGCTTCGACCCGTCCATAGCGAAGGATCTTTTGAAAGGTCGAGGGCAGCGAAGACACACTACTTGGCCTCGAGGTGGCCTGCTCCTCGTCGACGGGCTGACTGCTCGCGTACTTGGGTTCTGATTCAGTGCTCATGATGCCTAGTATAATATATCGCGGGGACAAAGTTTGGGCCCCGTCACAGCCTGCTAGTGTCAAACCGCGTTGCGTCCCAGTTGATGGTGGCCCTGGGATAGGTAGCCGCGTCGTGATATTGGGTTCCGGGTCTGCACAAGGGGGGGGGGGGGGGGGGGGGGGGCAAAAGCGGAAAGCCTCAGCTGCAACGGCTCCGCAGCGGTACAGGTCTTCAAGACCAACGAGGCGGATGTGCCAGGACGCAAAGGTTGGGGGGATCGGGAATTTGAAAAAGCTTATAGCCCCCCGGGGCGACGGTAGATTTGCACAGCTAAGTGCCGAACAGCATCCACAAGACAATGCAAAGCAATGCAAAGCTTCTGGCTGTTCTAGTATAGGCAAAGAGCTCAGCAGACAAGATGTTGCCGCAGCGACTTTTGGCAGAAAGCTGAAGAAAACTTGGCGATGATGATGATGATGAAGAAGAAGAAGAGGTCCAAGTTTTTCATCTACTTCGGTCTCCTCCACATGGTAAAAACGGAACGAACTCTGGGGCGCGACCGGTGCTTGTGGTGGTGGTGTAAGTGGATCGATCCCTTCGCCGTCCGCCGTCTCCGACCGTGGTTTTCCGCCACAAAGTGGACAAGAGGGCGAATTGCGCCAATGGTATTTGTTCTTTTCTGCCGGACTCGCACTCGTTTCTTTTCCTAAAAAGAAGCGATTCTTCGACGTACGAGTAATAACAAGTTGTTGTCGCACTTGACTAGTATGTCAAACCATGCTCGGTGGCATGGGTTGGCACCAAATCCACAGTCTGGCCCCCGACTTTGGTGCTACCCTGCCCGTGCGCGTGGCCAGGATCTTGTGGCCTTTGTACTTTGCCCTTTGCCCTTTTGCCTGTAGGCTTGGCTGGCAGCTGCAGCATGCCAGCATCATTATGCAGCACATTCACATTGGACAGTGACAGGCTTTACAGAAGCTGTCTCGGCGCCACCATCCGAATGCGTGGTAGGCTGGCACATGTCTTGCTGGGGAGCAAGAAAAAAAGCCAAGCGCAGAAAGTGTAGCGCTGAAAAGCGCCACAATTCGAAAGGGCGCAGAAGGGGAGATTTTATTTTAAATATCATTTGCGACAAAGTACAATCGGCGTCGAGAACATAGTCCGTCGCAGGTCATCACTTCTCACCGCTGGTCGATTGGATACAGCTGGTGCAGCTTATGTGTGGGGGAAGCTGTAGAATCAGTACGAATAGGCCACACGGCAACGTCCAATCACTTATTATCGAGCTTGTTGATTATCGCTTTGCATCGTGAGTCCCCAGCGAGGTATGACGAAATGTACTCAGTGCAGCAGTCAGCAGGCCGTGCAAGCCGCGCTATTGATTCCGTTGTCTCTCTTTTCCGCTCCTAAATTTGAACACGATCAACCTCATCATAACAGTAATCATTCAGCCAGTCGTGCCAGGAAATGGAGGAATGTACTACTTGATAGCATCACAGAGAGAGTTCCGCCGAGACGTGAACTGCCGTAACTTTTGGCCGCCGGGGGGGGGGGGGGGGGGGGGACCGCGGCACGCGCATCGTCCAAGTCAGACAAAGGCCGAACTGAACAAGAAAGAAAAAAACATGTCGCAAAGTAGGGGTCCAATGCAGAGGGCGAGGTCTCGTGAGACTGGCAAAAGCAGGATGAGATTGACGTACGCGAGGCTGCGGTGTCTTGGAAGCCGTTGGTGATAATGAAGAATATTGTCAGCTTGGCAGCAGTTCACGGGAGCAACTTTTCAGCGCTTGGCAACTTGAATCATGACCACCATCAGCAAACCCCCAGGCCGGGCACGAGCGAACCGGCAACAGTTCTGCCGCCACAGAAGCCAATCAGAACAAGCCCCTTGTCATTGTTTGGAGATTAATTTGTCCAACGGTCGTACATAGATCTTGTCAGCTTGTGTTGCACAGGGCGCAACGGAGAAGAAAATGTCGTGCTACCTGAGCCGACACCCCTTGAGGGGGCCTCCAGAATTCAATCCTCTCAGGTACTGGCTATCCACGGGCTCTTGCCCTCATCTCTTCCGGCGCCTCAAAGCCAGTGTTTTAGGTTCATTCCAGTGGTGTTTCTACCGGCTCATGCCACCTCAAAGTCGTTGAGCGGCAAGGAAATTCGTGAAGCTGCCAGTGATTTACACTCACTGTGATTACCATGACCAGACTAATGCATGTCTCTGACTGGGCTTGGCACATCAAACCTGAATCATACAGTTCATATGAAATTGATTGCTGAGAAACACAATTACATCACCTTCTTTCCCCGGAAAAAAGATGCCAGCGCTCCCATTATTCCTCCGAGTCCCTTTTCTTGCGAATCCATCTGAAGGCCGCCTTGGATCCAGCCAGGCAGCTTCTTGCGAATCCTCTCACTCGTGTACCTCTTGTCCAGCAGCACAATCGCTGCGTAATCACCTCGGTGCCGAATTGCGCGTCCAATACTCTGATTCACTGCGCGCATACACGAGTTTTCATAAAAGTCTCGAGCGACTTGCTTTGCGCGACTGCTGGCCTCGGTCGGTGTGATGCCCCCGCGCTCCAACAGCCGAGTCCTGGTCGAGGATTCAATGTATTCCATCTTGGCCCTCCACTCTGGGGAAGCGACGTTGGGGTAAGGAAGGCCTACCACCGCCACTAATCGACCAAGTCGGTCTGAAAAGTTGATGCCCTCGGACATCTTGCCTCCGACGACGCTGAGCAGCAGGGCTCCGCCGCCGGCCTGGGATCCTAGTATTGCCTCGGAATACTTTTGGAGCACTTCATCGCTAGACGCGCCCTTGCTCTCTTGCAAAATCGTCTTCTTGGACTTGAGCCGCTCCCAAGTAGATTGGGCATCTCCTGCTCGCTTCTTCTTCCAGACTTCCACAACTTGATCAAGGTAGCCATAGCTCGGGAAGAAAACGACAACGCCGTCTGGGACGATGGAACACATATTTAGTATGGCCAACCCAAGCTGTCCAATCATTTCCTCATCACCACGCCGCTGGTAGCTAAACTCAAACGGCGGCCCGCCCGCTCTCGACGCAGCCAGTGTGCGGACGCAAAGATTCGTAGATGGGATAACGTGACCACAGCTCAAAGTCGTGATTTTGGACTGGTCAAGAGCGGGAAATAAATGGTCTTTGTAGTCTTCAAATGGAGACATTGTACCACCCGCCAGAATGACAGCTCTTGCGCTCGAGGCAATAGAAGAAAATGCGTAGGTGGGCGACAACAGTAGATATGATAGCTGCACATCTGCCTGGGCTCCAGAAAGCTTTTGGTAGAAGATGCGACCTTCTGAGCTCAGATTGGTAAGTGCAACAAGAAAAGAGACGAATGTGTGCAGTACTGGTGTGCTTGATTTGGGAGCATGCTGCTTTCCGTCTTCCTGTTTGCTGTCAACGTGGGAAGCATAGCCTTCGATCTTGTAAGCGAGCTTGGACTCATGTATGTATTGAATCAGCTCGAACATGTTGATTTGATCAATTCCCTTGGGCCTAGTCAGTTCATTGGCGTCAACTATTCCATTGTCGTGCTGTTCAAGGTCAGTATCGAACTCATCTAGGGATCATCAAACATTGCAAACCTTGGCATTGAGCGTGGTATTCATATACTCGCTTAGTCCTTCGACAACGCGCCCGACTCGGCCAACATTCACGCGATTAACACCTTTAAGCTTCTTTCCAAACTTTCGCACGTATATGCCCAGCATTTCTCGGCATCTGCGCAGGTCACTCAGCTTCAAATCAGCCGCATACACATTTGACACGGCGTCCATGATGTTGTGGGCTTCGTCGACGATGACGACATTCCCTTCGAGTTTGATGCCCAGCGCGTCGCGAGCGCTCTTTTGCAACAGTAATGGATATGGCAGTGTCACGATTTCTGCCCCAGGCAGTGCGGTTCGTGACGCATAATACGGGCATACTTGCAGAGACTTGCCCAGCTGATGAAGATCCTCAATGTCCGGTATTGTAGCGAGCGCAGTGTCTCTGAATTCGTGTGTCTGCGCCAGGAGTTCTTCTCTGGGGACAAAGTCACATTTACGACTGGACTTGGGCTGCTGCAGCTCCGCGCACCGATCATTGATGGCTTGAACGGACTTCAGGCGTGATACGCTGGGATTGATGCAAAGCTTCTGCCGAGAAGATAACGGCAGAAGCTTGACAAGCTCGTCTTGGGCCTTTGCGTCAGCGCTGGACAGGCCTTCTGGTAGAGACGCAGGGAACTTTGGTCGCCGCAACTCCGTGATGAATTGCGAGAGCTGCGAATGCGTTCTGGAAGTATAATAGATCTACGTATACAAGGTTACCGAGGGGATTCACGTCATTCGTCACGGGAGAAGAGGATCGCACCTTGATCTCCTCTTCTAGTGCATCACTCTCTTCGTTTTGTTGTTTTGGCCCACCAAGGCCCATCCTCTCGAGAACATCGCGCGACTCTTTGCTAAGACCAGAGAGTGCGTCTTTCGCTTGAGACGTGATTCCCTCTTCACCATCCCAGTCATCTAGCATCCATTTTTCACCATCATCTTCGCCAACTTCCCGGCTAGCAACAGCGGCCTCGAATCTGCGCTTTTTGCGCACGCGTTCTTCGCGGGCTTTTTCTTTCAGCCTCGCATTCTCGAGTCGCTTCTCCCGATCTTCCCAGGTTCGAACTAATTCTTGTTTCTTCCGACGTAGGAGCTGATCAATCATCCAATCAGGCTCATCTTTGAAGGATGATTTGGCTTCTTCCAGTGCCGCTCGGTAGGCGGACGATTTGTGGTTGCGCAGCCATGTGAGAGAAGCACAGATCAGGGAAAGAGATTTTCCCTGAGAATGATTAGCGCTGTCAGCTATATGAGATGAGCTCAATGAGTCAGACAGTATGCTACAATACTCTCTATGCTTGTGCTAATACAATTTCTTGATCCTGAAATTAGACTCTCGTTGATGCGAGAAAGTACTTACAGTGCCTGTTGGGCTCTCAAGTATGCCGACCTGCCCTTCGCCTGTTTCAAGCACTTGGTAAACAGTCCTCATAAATTTCTCTTGGACATCGTATGGAGTGAAGGGGTGATGAAAGTCGATTCTGGTGATTCCATCCTCTATACTCTGCATCTTTGGGTCAGATGCCATCGTCACGCACCAGGTGCTTCACGGTGCCCCATTAGACGACGCGCCAAGTAAAGAGCATCGCCTTTGAGACGAGTCCGATAGGTGCGCCATCATTGGACAGATGCACGAGTGACCCGCTTTCTCATAGTGCCCTCTCAAATTGATGGATCACGTGGCTCAGAGTGGCCAAGCTGGGATCCACACCACAGGAACACTCAGTGCCAATTGGTTTAGGGCTGTGCTGCCCTCTCGCTAACAATCTTTGGGTGGGCTTGCTAGTGTCCAAGGCGCAAAAACATCACCATCCACTTCCAGACCAGGACGCAACTCAACCCGGAAGCGACATCAGCAAATACCGTCGCCATGCCTACCCGTACTTCGAAGACCCGCAAGCTGTAGGTTCTATCATATCCCACGGAAACACATTGGATTCGATTCGGGTGCATTGCTGTGCCCAACGGCGATATGTTCGATCGATGCTGTGGCCGAAAAAAACTTGCTCGACATGTCGACAAAAAGCGACAAATGGGGCTAACATATCTTCTCTTGACAGTCGCGGCCACGTCTCTGCCGGACACGGTCGTGTAGGAAAGCACCGCAAGCATCCAGGTGGTCGTGGTATGGCCGGTGGTCAGCACCACCACCGTACCAACTTGGACAAGGTTCGATACGCCCTCCCAATACTTCTCGACCAGACGACGACGATATCCGCCGAACTTCGATGCTAACAACTTGAAATAGTACCATCCTGGTTACTTCGGTAAGGTCGGTATGCGCTACTTCCACAAGCAGCAGGCGCATTTCTGGAAGCCCGTCATCAACCTGGACAAGGTACATATCCCTCCTTCGCCTTCGGAACGACAGATGTCGCATAGTTGGACAACGACCCTCAAGTTTAAACACGGAGGACTTGGAAGATTGGGCGACTTGACACTATGCGCATCTACTTTCTGCAGAGCAAGCCTGCGCCATGACTTGAAATGCTAACACGTATGTAGCTGTGGTCCCTCGTACCTGCCGAGACCCGCGACGCCTACGTCTCTGGCTCCAAGAAGGACACCGTCCCCGTCCTCGACCTCCTCCCCCTCGGCTACTCCAAGGTCCTCGGCAAGGGCCGTCTCCCTGAGATCCCCCTAGTCGTCCGCGCGAGATGGGTCAGCAAGCTGGCTGAGAAGAAGATCACCGAGGCTGGTGGCGTTGTCGAGCTTGTCGCGTAAGGGAGCTTTGCTTGGGAGTCTGGCATGTGGAATTTTTTTTGAACCGGTTTCTTTCAGACGGCGGAAAAAAGAGAAAAGGCCCTGAGTAACCCCGCTGTGTATTTATTCTATGTTACACGGTGAAAATGGGTATATGAACAACAAGGCCCGGGTTGGTCGGCTTCGAGCATTGCATACAGGGACTCTGGAAAGGAGTTTTAACGAATACAAAAAAACAAAATTTTCGCCAAAAGTACCAAAGTTCTGCTCCGATTTCATGATTGCTATGATTCATCATCGCGCTATATGCCCTTGACAGCGCGCGAAATTCAACTGCCGAAATTCAACTGCTTATGTTATGGATGTATGCTTGATAAAGACGCCGGTCCCTAAGGATGTAGTATTGTCCCAAGCCCAAAATCGTTGTCGCCCACGTAGAATATCTTTGCTATCTTACATGTCTAAAAAAGGAACTCTCTTGTGCTTCATGCCTCCAGCATATCCATTTCGTCATCGTCGACCATATCGTCCTCGGGCGGCCGGTCAATTCGTAAAAGTTCATGTTCCAAAGCTTCTTCAGCCGTTATGCGGCGAGTCGGGTCTAGCTCCATGCACCTCTCCAAGAAGCGTACGGCCAGCCTTTCCTCATCCGTCAAAGGGTTATCTTCTGCTCGGCAGGTACTCCACAGGATAATCTTCTCCATCGTGAAGCCCTGCTGTCCGACAGTCGGTATCGTGGTCTCAAAGACACAGCCATGTAGCAAGCCTGCGTGCTTCATTCGCTTAGAACCGAAGATGGTGGCAATCTCAATCATGGCTTCGACGTCATCAGCAGAGTTGAAGAATGGAAAACGCTTCGACAAAATGGTAAGTAGAATAACACCGGCTGACCAGATATCGATCGCCGTGGTCTGCTCGGTGCATTTGAAAAGTACTTCTGGTGCACGAAAGCCTCTGGTACCTGCACGGTTGGCACGCCGTGACGGGCGAGTATCTGACTTGGGGTATCCAACCTGTTGTGTCGTCGCGGTCTGGGCCCAAACCGAGACAGTTTGGCGGTGCTTCCGCGCCTCGCGACTTTCGTGGCAAATGCAGGGTTTGCTGTCTGATCCTTCTCGCTCTGCCAATCCGAAATCTACCAATACTCCGTGTTGTGTGACTGGGTCGTAGAGGAAATTGGTGGGCTTGATATCTCTGTGGAGTATCTTGTGTTGATGGACACTCTTCAGAGCTGTAAAAAGCGACCGTAGATAGATGGCAATATCCGGAACTGTCATATCCCGGAAATAGGCACGAAAGTCTCCATGGCGAAAGTATGGCAGAATGGCTACTACTTGGTCTGTTTGGCGAAACGCTGTAATAAGAGGGCAAACAGATGGACACCGTCGCAGGTCGTGTAGAAGCTGAAGCTCGTTGTAAATGCGCGCTGGACTTGACGTGACGTAAATCTTTTTTATGGCCACAAATCGCGACTTCTTCTTCGCACGCTGAGGTATCTGGTTTGAATCCCGTTTCAATGGGGGCGGCGTCCACTTTTCGCTGTCATCTTCGAAATTCCAATCATTATCGTATTGGTCGTAGCATAAGTCTTCGGCCTTGAAGACGGTAGAGAATGTGCCTGTGCGTGTTAGCTGCGTGCCATTACACTCAGAATGTAAAATTAGAACGTACCCTCGCCGATTCGCTTGATCAACCTGTATTTGTCGTGAAATCCGGGGAAGTCTCTCTGCAGCTTGTCCATGTCTGCCTGGACACTGTCCTCGATATTGTCTTCCTCGGAGCTGTCGTCGTATTCCACTCTTTGCTCTCCTTCTTCCTTTTCTCCCTCGAGAATCTCTTCTTCGTCGTGCGTTGCACGGTCCAGCTCTTGGATGTGCTCATCATCGAGCATCATCTCAGTTTCCTCGGTAGCAGCATCCTCATGAATGTCGAAGATCTCTGCCCGTTGATGCATTGCCATGGTCATTTTGAAGATTCAGCGTGCTCGAATTGGACGAGAGAATAATTAAAGGCGCACAATTGACGCGAACAGCTGCGCCTATCAACAATCGCCGCCAGGGTCCGCGAGCAGTGTGCAATCTGTGGTGTAGCTGTCTCTTTAGTGGTCGGTGATTGCCACGCGCCTTGGCCGATGGAACCCCACCAATGAAGGTGGGTGGCGCGTCCGAACAAAACAAAAACATCGGTTGCTAAGGGACCTCCACCATCATCTTCAGCATTTCCCAGTCTTGTGCAATAAACGCCGTTTTTCATTTGCGCCAAAACGGCCTGACGAGTTGCAATCGACACTTCAAGTAGGAGAACCCTTATTTTTCAATTCGTCCAGCCTGCTTGAGCCCAACTCACGACAACGCACTCGCCCCCGCGAGCAGCGACACACAACATCATCAACATGGCGACCATCAACTTCGACATTAATGATGCGCTGAAGCATTACATGTCGGATCCTACGGCGATTCCCACACCGGAAGCCGATGGATCTCTATTCGACTGCGAAAATGATCCCGAGGCTCTCACAGTCCAAGTCATCAATCCGGTGCTGAATCCGATCGTGGACGCCATCGCAGATAACCCCGACGCCATTATGCGAGCAACAAATATTGATTCGTTACAGTTTCTGCTGAAGTAAGCTGAGCAGCTACCCTCAGGCCCTAAGTTGCCTCACATCTAACATGTACACTTGCCAGATATACACAATACATTCCCCCACATGCGCTCAGCAAGATCTTTGATGTTGTCATGAGTGGCCTCAGTGCGGAAGCCGACGCAGTAAATAATGACATCGAATCTCCTGATGAGCAAGACGCCATCGCGCACCACAAGCAGCTGCTGGAAATATACGCTTTCTTGCTGCAATGGACCATTGCCGGGGTGGAGGCAAAGGCGGCAGAGAAGTCCTCAACTACTTCGCTCGCACGAGGCCGCGCGAAGCCGAAGAAGGGCGCCGCCAAAGAGGAGACTTGGGACTCTGCAACGCAACTGCAGGCAGCTTTGGATACTATGTGCAAGGTCCTGAAGTTGAAGCTATCCAAAATCTTCCTCACGACGAGCGAGCGCGATACCTTCATTAGCCTTCTTACCCGACCTGTTTACATGGTACTCGAGAGTGAGCAAAGAGTCAAAACCACTTCTATTCGCATGCACAGCTTCAAGGTTCTCTGTATGGCTGTCAAGAACCATGGCCATGGCTATGGTAAGCCTGCCTTTCAACCAACTCATTTGCGGAAATGCTAATCGCTGTAGCTGCGCAAATCAATGTCATCCAAAATCTCACTTATTTCGAGCACCTTTCGGAGCCGATGGCCGAATTTCTCCATATCCTTGCCGACACATACGACTATCCTCAGCTTGCTGACGAGGTTTTGAGAGAGCTGAGCAACAAGGAATTCAATTCCAACGATACGAAAGGTCCCAAGTCGGTCTCGACCTTCATTGCCAAGATCTCAGAGCTTGCGCCCAGAATTGTTATCAAGCAAATGACTATGCTTGCGAAGCAGCTCGATAGCGAGGTCTGTGCTTGCCCAAAACAGTTTTATTCGCTGAAAATGCTGACCTTTCAAGTCGTATACTCTTCGATGTGCTCTTATTGAAGTGTGTGGCAACATGATTGCTCATTTGAGCATGCAAGATGAGCGCGGTGAAAACCACAAGACCCAGCTCAACGCTTTCTTCGATGTATTGGAGGAGCGATTCCTTGACATTAACCCTTACTGTCGATGCCGTGCCCTGCAAGTCTACATGAAGCTTTGCGATCTCGAACAAAAATTCCCCAAGAGAAGGCAGAAGGCCGCCGAGCTTGCTTGCCGTAGTTTGGAGGATAAGAGCAGCAATGTTCGCAGAAACGCCATCAAACTTCTGGGCACATTGATTAAAACTCATCCTTTCACTGTGATGCACGGTGCTCAGCTGTCGAGAAAAGAGTGGCAAACGCGCCACGACAAAGTCGAAGAGGAGCTTACTGCCCTGAAGCCGCCACCTGGAATGCCCGGGTTCGGAGACGAGAATGCCGAGAGCAACGTCGATAATGATCTTCTTGATGACCAGACTCAAGTCGAATCACCCAAGAAGCCGTCAGCAATGACCGACGAAGAGAAGCTTGCCGCCATCAAGAAGGCTCAAGAGGAAGCTGCCACTGGCGAAGCTATCGAGAAGCTCACACTGACGAAGAGATATTATAACGAGGCTCTCAAGTTCATTGATGTTCTTCATGATGCCACTAGCATCATCTGCCAGCTCCTGGGATCGCGCAACAAGAGCGAGGTTATCGAAGCCATCGACTACTTTGAAGTCGGTGATGCTTACAACATTGAGCAGAATAAGGTCGGTATCCGACGCATGTTGAGACTTATCTGGACGAAGGGCAACAGCGACGAGGGCAAAGGTGTTCAGACTCACTTGATTGAGTGCTACAGACGCCTATTTTTCGAGGCTCCTGACTCATTTAGCCCCAACGATGCCTCTAATTACATTGCTCGCAATATGATCAGTCTGACGTTTGGCGCAACTTCAGCCGAGCTCACTTCTTTGGAGCAGCTCCTCGCCACTATGATGAAGGGTGGCATTATCCCTGACGTCGTTGTTTCCAAGTTGTGGCAAGTCTACGGCGTTCAGAAGCGCGATATTTCGAAGAGTCAACGTCGTGGCGCCATCATTGTCCTGGGAATGCTTGCAACTGCTGTCCCCGAGATTGTCGTTGGCGAGATTGAGACTATGCTTAAAACTGGTCTTGGAGCTCACGGTCGCAACGACCTCCAGTTGGCCAAGTACACATGTATCGCTCTCAGACGAATCAATCCCCTGGGTCGCAATGCAAAGGACTCGACTGTCAAGTTCTCGCGACTGCCAAATGACCACGCCGTCTGTGTTCGCCTCGCTGCCATTACTGAGGTGCAGTCGGAAAGCAAGGAGTGGTATGGCGTGGCAGAGCAGGCCATCAACGCCATCTACGCTGTCTCCAAGCATCCGGATACGCTCTGCTCTGAGATTATCCGTCGCAAGACGAGATATGTCTTCAGTAACCCGCAATCTCGCCCTGCTTCGCGTGATGAGACTCAGGCAATTGACATGACAACAGTTGAGAAGCCTCGTAAGCGCGACAATGCTGTTGCTCTCTCACAACTACTCTTCATTGTGGGCCATGTTGCTATCAAGCAAATTGTGCACTTGGAGCTCTGCGAACTCGACTTTAAGCGTAGGAAGCAAGAGAAGGAGAAGCAAGCGCAAGCTGAGAAGGAGAAGGAGAAGGAGGAAGGCGACGAACTGGATCTTATTGGCGGAACTACCGAGGATGATTTCACAGAAGCGATGACGCACATTCGAGAGCGTGAGCTCTTGTATGGACCAAGCTCACTTTTGGCAACATTTGGACCACTCGTGTCGGAGGTCTGCGCCAACAACACGACATATGCCGACAAAGGACTGCAGGCTGCGGCCACGCTTTGTTTGGCCAAGCTCATGTGCGTTTCGTCAGAGTACTGTGAAACGAATCTCCCTCTATTGATCACCATCATGGAGCGTTCGCCAGACGCTACTGTGCGCTCAAACGCAGTTATTGCGCTTGGCGACATGGCGGTCTGCTTCAATCACCTCATTGATGAGAACACCGACTTCCTCTACCGCCGACTTGCGGATGACGATGTATCCGTAAAGCGAACTTGTCTGATGACTCTGACATTCCTCATTCTGGCCGGTCAAGTCAAGGTCAAGGGTCAACTCGGTGAGATGGCCAAGTGCCTCGAGGACGAGGACCGCAGAATCGCAGATTTGGCGAGGATGTTCTTCACCGAGCTCAGCACCAAAGACAATGCTGTCTACAATCACTTTGTGGATATGTTTAGTCTGCTTAGTGCCGGCAAGATGGAGGAAGAGAGTTTCAAGAGGATCGTCAAGTTCCTCCTCGGCTTTGTCGAAAAGGTATGCTGTTTTCCGTGGATTTTTAAGACTCTCGCAGGCTCTAACAAAATTTGTAGGACAAGCATGCGAAGCAGCTGGCCGAGAAGCTGGCGGCTCGACTTGCACGCTGCGATAGCGAACGGCAATGGAACGATGTGGCTTTTGCATTGGGTCTGCTGCCGCACAAGAATGAGGAAATCACGAAACAGGTTTCTGAAGGCTTCAAGCTAGTTCAGGCCACTGCTTAAGCGATGGGGGTGCTTTTGTATATACATTTTTGATTATGGCCGGCCACAGATGATGGGGCCTTTTTGTTCGAGAACTTACTTGGCTTGTTTGATAGATGATTTAATGGGAAATGATATCTTGGCTTGATTAAGTTGGTGCAAAGGGGTTGGCGGCGAGCTAACCATCTAGCCTCGTGAGGCCCCTCTCGCGATGATGCATGGCGGCGTCTGGTGCAGAAATGCACTGCACAACGAAATCGTGCAACAGGTGAGGCCATGGATCCTCCAGCGAAGCTTTCTTTAGTCTTCAGCTGCAGACATTCTTGCTGCCCTTTTTGGGCCGTTGGACAGTACAAATCTTGTCCCCAGCAGTTCAGGGTAGCGCGGCTGAGACGGCTTCTTGCCTAAGCTGCCCTGGACCAGCAGCACCGAAAGACGCCAAGGGCGCACAAGTGCTTGAGACAAAGCATCTAAACTTTTCGCGGCAATGAGCTACTGGCAATCTGCATCTCCTTGCAGCTACATATACTGGCGCCGGGAAGAATAGAACACGTGGCATTTGATGCAGGAAAGCTAGAGCCCACAACAGGTTGGTTTTCCGATCGGGTTATAGCCGTCTAATGCCCATCTTTTGTTGTGTTTTGATGACCCTGCTAGGCCAGACAGCTGTAAATAGAGCTTTCACTAATAACAGCCTAGGTAGCTCGCCCCTGCTAAGCCCAAACCTTGTGGTTGCTGCAACCACGATGTGTGGCTGGCTCCTCCTCCATTCGGGGTTGATTTAGAGACGGCGGAACGGAAAGACCGGCAAGGCTCAAAATAACAGCATAGCAATTCTTTTTTTGACACAGCGTAGTCGACGATAACGGACAGCCAGGCGACCTTGTATATGCAAGCTCAGGTAATAAGCCGCTGCCCAGTTGACTCCTACGTCACGTGGCACAGCCACACGAGACAAGGCAGCCACCAGCCCCCTCTCGGGCGCCACAGGAGGCCACGCTACCAGCGTCAAGGTGCGGTGCCGCACGACTCACGAGTCGATGAGCAAGGCTGCACAGCTAGCTTGACAAGTCTCACCAATAGACAGACCTTATTACGATTGGCTTATGAACTCCGCTGCCCGGCACCACACAAGAGGCGAAACCCACCTCGCCGCGACCGACTACTAAAGTGGACGACTGCCCGCCCACCTTCTGGCCGACGACCGCCCAAGCTCAGCCGCTTCCGGTTAAGTACCTAGGTAACTCTGTCTTGAACAATAAGCAGCCAAGCTCTCCCGTTTGTCCACAGGCCATTGCGCGCCGCTTGTTTGCCCCAGCTCTCAATAGCTCCACCAAAATCTCCCCAGCTCCCAAATCACAACCATAAACAGCCCGGCATTGGTCCGCACCGCGCCGCATCCAGAAAACGTCGCTGCGCTATCAGGTATTCCTCCCACGTCCTGCCTGCATTGCTGCGACCATTGGCAGCTGTACGGCGCATCAATTCCCCCCCCTGCTCGCACCTCCCCATCAACCGGCGCCCGACAAGGGCCATGGGCAGCATCGGAAAGCTACAAGTCTGCGCAAACGAAGAACCAACAAGGGGAAGAGAATAACCACCTGACCTGTACGTTCCCATCGCTCACGCCGTGAATATTCACGCTCGTCGCGACGAGGATCAGCTGGGCTAACACGCGATTGCAGGACCTGGGTGGCTCTCACCATCACGCAATCGGGCGCCTCCGCACCGCGTGCTCATCCAACACCATGTACGACAAGGTAGTATCGCTAGGCTCGCGCCTGCACTACCCAATAACAATCACGAAACTCGTCAAATCGCCCGGCGACACAATTAAAAAGCAGGAAAACATTATTGAATACAAGTTTTCATGGCGCCGCAGGGTTGGCGATGACAACTGGGTCGACGAGACTACCTACACCGAGTATGATAGTCCGGCCGAGGGCAAGCTCAAAGAATGGCGCATCAAAGAAGGCCAGGTCATCGCTGCCGACATGCCTTGTATGACGGTCGAAGAAGCTTGCGGTCACGAGGTGCAAATACAAGGGCTGTGCAGTCTCTGCGGCGCTGACATGACCGAGACCAACTGGGCGTCGGAACAGCGCGATTCCGAGCGAGCTATGATCAACATGACACATGACCAGACAGGCCTAATGGTCAGCGAAAACGTCGCTCAAAAAGCCGAACACGACACGCAGAAGCGCCTGCTCCGACACCGCAAGCTCAGCCTCGTTGTTGATTTGGACCAGACCATCATCCACGCCTGTATAGAACCAACAGTCGGCGAATGGCAGCGAGACCCGTCAAATCCCAACCATAGCGCTGTCAAAGATGTCCGAAGCTTTCAGCTCAACGATGACGGCCCTCGTGGCCTGGCCTCAGGTTGCACTTACTACATTAAGCTACGACCAGGTCTGAGCGAATTCCTGGAGGAAATATCCAAGATGTACGAACTCCATGTTTACACAATGGGCACTCGTGCCTATGCTCTCAATATTGCCAAAATCGTGGACCCGGACCGGAAGTTGTTTGGCAACCGTGTTATAAGTCGAGACGAAAACGGCAGCATCACATCCAAAAGCTTGGCTCGGCTCTTCCCTGTCAGTACAGACATGGTCGTTATTATCGATGATCGAGCCGATGTCTGGCCTATGAACAGGCCGAACCTCATCAAGGTTGTGCCATACGACTTTTTCAAAGGCATTGGCGATATCAATGGCAGCTTCCTGCCCAAGCGCCAAGACATCGTGCCTGCTCCAGCCAAGTCCAATGGCACCACTGCGAAAGCACTAGCCCAAGCTCCGAATAAAAAATCGTCAGAGGATCCTACTCCCTCGAAAGAGGACTCTAGTCTCGAGGACCAGGCTGCCGAGCAAGAAAAATCATTGGAAAAGCAGCTGACGGACAGGCCGTTGTTGCATATGCAAGAAGAACTGGACAAGGAAGATGAGAAGACGGCTCAAGAAGCGGAGGGCACAGATGCCGGCATACCGCCTCAGCGACATAATGTTCTCAGCGACAACGATGAGGAGCTGGTCGCTTTACAAGACCATCTCACAGACATCCATACATCCTTCTACGAAACATATGACCGCAGACGAGCAGAACGTCAGCAATCTCAACCGACTCGCCCTCCCAGTCATAGTAGTGCGCATCGCAGACCTTCTGTAGATGATGGCGTGGATTTGTCCATGGTACCAGATGTGGGCGACATCTTGGATGAGATCAAGTCAAACGTGCTTTCCGGTCTGGTCATTGTACTGTCTGGGCTCGTACCACTTGGTGTTCCAGTTGAGGAGTCTGAAATAGGAATGCAGGCTCAAAGCTTTGGCGCCCAGGTACTTAACGTGATATCGAAACGCGTCACGCATCTGGTCGTATCCACGTCGACTCCACGTACAAACAAGGTCCAGCAGGCTGCAAAGATACCCAGCATCAAGATTGTGAATCAGAATTGGCTCATAGACTGCCTCAGTCAATGGCGACGCCTAGACGAAAGGCCCTACTTTCTTGCCATCTTGGACGCTGATCGCGAAAGGTCCGACGACATATCAGAGCCAGCTTCCGAGGCTGAAGATGCCGATGCAGAAGCCAAGGACCTCAAAGATTTTGACTGGGATATGGCGGACAAGGATTTGCAAGATTTTCTGGACGATGATGAGGAGGACGACTCTGAAGGAGACGACGGCAACGACGGCGATGAGTCGCACAATGAGAGTGGTTCGATATCCGAGAACGAGAGCGATGCTTTGGAGAGCCCACAGAAAAAGGGGTTCAAGCGCAAAGCTGGCGACGTCAAAGCCGACGACGGCGACTCGGATACGGACGGGAGTGTCGCAGGCGAGAGCGTTCTAGCCAAGAAGCAACGTCTTTCTCGCAGTCGCGGCACATCAGCTTTGCGATCTGTACAGTCGTCCAACGAGAACTTGGATGGACCCGACGAGGGCGAGAATGGAGCTGTGGCGAGACCCAACGGCCAAGATGAGGAGACAACTGCAGATGAAGAGCTCGGCTTTGATGAAGAAGATTTGGAGAGGGATTTGCTGGCTGAATTGGAAGCGGCTGGAGATTGAAGACGTGTCGAATCATTATGGCAAGCGAATTTTGCCCTTTGAGCTTTGCTGTCTATTTTGTTCCATTTGATATATTCCCCGACTTCATTTTGTCGACCCCGAATATATATAGGCGAAACGGCATTATCTGGTGTTTGGGTGTGCGTTCACGCGGGCGGGGGTTGTATCTTGGTATTCTTTTATTTGTACGTATCTACTCATTATGGGCACAATCTGCACACAACTATGTATCTTTCTATTTGAGCACTCTAAATCTTTGTCGCATTACACGTCTTGTGCCAACGGCTTATACAGCCCATTACATCAACAACTACACAAAAACATATGGTGTAGCTTCCGCATGAATCCTGTCAAACCAAACAAGATCTAGGTCTGGGTCCAAGATCAAACCAAACTTGACGGCTCTGTCATTGTCAAACACGAATTCAGCTCGCACGGGCTCATCGTCGCTTGGCAAGCCGCCCACGCTCTCTCCCGCCTGTGCGTAGGCCAGGTACTTTGTTTGTCCGGAGACATGCTGGAGCGTCAGCGTTGACGGGAAAGACCGATCGCGAGCGTCGATGAAGAGCTGCGCATCGCGGATCTCGACACGAAGACCACGGTATCCCGGGTTCCAGTAATGACCCGTGTAGGAAGTCAGCGGCATTTGCTGCGGCTCTGCCTCCTTCGTCTTGGGGTTTGTCCTTGAGGGACCTTGACTGCTTGGCACCGTCTCATTGACTCCTGCTTGGCTTTCCACAGGCCCCAGGATGCTGTCAATGAGAGCCTTTTGTAGGTGGACGGCCACGGTGGCGGCTTCGAGGGCGTTGCCGAGCAGCACGGCGCCGAGCCGCAGGCTCGGTACAAAGAAGAAGCGGCTGCCAAAGCCCGGCACGCCGCCGTTGTGGCCGATGATGGCGTGGCCACGGTAGTACTCAATCATCAGACCGGCCGAGTAGAACCGCGGCGACGACAGCGGCTGCACGTTGGCGGAGTCTGGATTCGGCAGCGAGCGCGTCTTGGTGAGCGCCGCGTACACGGGCTTGGAGACGGGCGGCGCCTGCTGGTGAAGCAGGGCCTTGACGAGCAAGAGATAGTCGGCGGCGCTGGTGATGATGGACCCGGCGCCCTGGCCTTCGGGGCACTCAAGGGGCGGGAACTCGCGGTGGCGGTTGGCGGAGGCGTCCCACATGTGGCCGGAGGCGAGGCGCCCGCCGAAGCCGCGCGCGCGGCTCCGTGAGGGCTGCAGGCTAGACGAGGACATGCGAAGAGGCGCAAAGATGCGGGCCTCGAGAAAGTCGGAAAAAGGGGTGCGGGTGACGGTCTCGACGAGGTGCGTGGCGACGGTGTACATGATGTTGCTGTAGATGAACCGGCTGCGGATGGGTGCGCAGAGCTGTAGGTTGCGTAGGTTCCGGGTGACGGAGCGGGCGTCGTCTGGGCACTCCGAGTTGACGCCAAAGTAGGAAGAATCATGACTGCATTTGCTTGTTAGTTCCTCGATATTGCGGTGTTGAGTGAGAGAGAAAAAGGGGGAAAACAAGGATGAGGCAATTGGACGGGACGTACCTGGGCAGACCGGTCCTGTGGCCAAGAATGTCGTCAATGGTGACGTGCTTGGTATACTCGGTGTCAGCCAGGACAAAGTCGTCGGGGAGGATCCGGGAGACGGGCGTGTCAAAGGTGATGCTGGGATGCTGCTGGTCATCCTCGACGAGAAGAGCGACTGAGATTGCGGTCAGAATCTTGGACGACGACGCAATGTCGAAGAGGGAGTCGGCGGTGCAGGGCTCGGCGGACGCGACGGAGATGACGCCAAACGCTTTGGACGCCGTGCTGTTTTGGTGGACGACGGCAATGGACAGGCCGGGCACGTGGAGCTGGTCCATGAGGCCTGAGACCTGGATATCGAATTTGGCAGATTGAAACAAGTCCATGTTGACTTGCTTTGGGCGAAATGTCTGGACCGAACACAAGAACACGTGAAACTTTGCAATACGAATAAGTATCGTGAAGAGCGATGCCCCCAAGGCTGTGATCTTTACAGAGAGGTAAGATTGGGGCTCGTGCCACGATGAGGGCAAGCGGCTGTGCCATGTAAGGTAGCCATGTAAGGTAGCCAGCTGCGCAGACCCCGCTTCATCCCATTCAGTGATTAATAGAGAGCCATGCGGCTGAATTTCAGCCGCAGCGGGAATACACATTATAGTAAGATCTAATATTGATTTCATGATTTCCATGCGCAAGTCAGGTTCGAGCTGTAGCTCAAACTACGGCATGTGTTAGTTGTGCCCAGATGCTCCGCAGAGTACGAGCAGTCTCAGATAGAGAGGCCGAGTCAATCGTTGGTCACGAACTCACAGACTGAGAAATAAGTGTAAATCGCATAGGAGAATTGCATGTCGCGATTCTGTCGCGGCGGCGAAGGGCTGGAAATAAAATCCGGGGCAGTCGCTGAATTGTCCCACAGGCCGACTGCGCAGCCGATGTCTGCAGAGGAAGAGAAGACATCGGACGTCTGATGTGGAGAGAGTCGAAAAAGCAAGGGTCCAATGCGAAGAGAACGCCAAGAAGAACAAGATTAAACGACGTTTGATGCCAAGCAGGCTCCGGCCACCGCCATCTCACCGCACGACGGGCAAGTGATCAAAGCCTTTGTGGGCTCGGAGAGCGGAATTCCCGTGTCGGGATACAATGATATCGCACACTATCCGTGATACTCTTTTATATATGTGATGGTGTGCTAGTGACTGCTAGTGTGCTATTGCCAGCTAGTGCTTAAGCCGGCCCGCGAGACCCTGATCCGGAAGTCTTGCTCACTTACACCGGGGTTCTCTCGCTCATGCCCAAGCGGCCGGGAAAAAGTGCTGCAAGATGCGGGAAAACGGCTGAAGTCGCATGGTCAGCCGCATCGGATTGTTCATTCCCGCGCCGTTGAGTGACAGCTCAGGCAACTCCGACACTTTCCTTCACACTACTACTCGGTGTATGCGAATGAGCAGAAAGCATAATCAGGCTCTTTCGCACCTCCTGTATAAAGGCAGCACACGAGCCTCGGGGGCTGCATCTTGTTGAAGTAACTACTAGGATTTATTAGTCGCTGGGTCCTCATTAGCATCCCTCAAAAGCACCTTGGTGAGCTTGCGACACTACATCACTTACCAAGCGCGGGGCTTCGACAACATCCTCGAAGCTGTTGGCACAAAACACCTTTGCATATCAGCCAGCAGGCCTGCAGCCACTTCAAGACTCACTCCGATGTGTACCTTTAGCGGCTATAACCCGGATACTGAGATCCCCGATCTCGCGGGGAAGGTCTTCCTCATCACCGGAGGTAAGCATCGCGGCCAGCAGCATTACCCAAGATTGACCGCCTAACACGGTATGCGAATTCAAGGCACAAATGGCATCGGAAAGACTGCCGTTCAGGAGCTCGCCAAGCACAACCCCGCACACATTTACTTTACCGGGCGCAACCAGCAGGCCGCCGACGCGCTGCTCGCTTCCCTGCCCGCGGGTGCGGCCGCCACCTTCATGCCTTGCGACATGGCCTCGCTCGCCAGCATACGGCAGGCCGCCGCGTCGTTTACCTCGCCGCGGCTCGACGTCTTCATAGCCAACGCGGGCGTCATGGCGACGCCGCCCGGGCTGACGCAGGACGGATACGAATACCAGTTTGGCGTCAACCACGTGGGCAATATGGCGCTGCTACTGCGGTTGCTGCCTGTCATGCGGGCGACGGCGGCGGCGCAGGCGAGCTCGAGCGGCGACAGTAGCAGCAGCGCCGACGTGCGCTTCGTGGCGCTCACATCGCTGGGGTACCGCGCGCACCCGCCGGCGGGCGTGGAGCTGGCGAGCGTGCGTACGACGCAGGAAGGCTTCTCCATGGGCACGTGGGCACGTTACGGGCAGTCCAAGCTAGCGAATATTCTGACGGCGCGGGAGCTGGCGCGTCGCTGCCCCGAAATTACGTGCGTTTGCGTACACCCGGGCGTCGTCAAGACGGGGCTCGTCACGGAGCTGGGGTACTGGGAGAAGATGCTCGTATACGTGACGAACCCGGACGGGCTGATGACGCCGAGACAGGGCTGCTACAACACCGTCTGGGCGGCGACGGGAAGGGGCGTCAGGGAGGCGGTGGCCGAGGGTAAGGTGGCGTTTTTCGAGCCGGTGAGGACGCCGAATGAAGGTGACGCCAAGTGTTGGGATGATGAGCTGGCCAAGGAGTTGTGGGAATGGACGGAACGTGAAGTCGGCGTCAGGGCGTAGATGACTTGAGATTGAAAGGATGGCTTTGGCAATGGTGCTGCTGGCTATATTCTGTGCTTATTCTGTTAGTCTGCCATGCATTTTGACATTGAACTTCGCTGCGGAGGAGCATCGTATGATCCATAGTCGTGTCATTGCGAAAATGGATGATTTGGTAGAAACGTGGTAAATGGATGGTTGATTTCTTATCATTGTACACTCCCCTCACTTCGCTTCCCCTTATACTGCCTTGAAATGTGTCTCTTTCCCCTTGCGTAAGCTCTTCTTCCTGAGATAAGAGACACTGCATGGTATATGTACACAAGGAGTCTTTTTTAGGCGGACAAAGTAATCCTATTCAAAACGGCTGTAATTATTTGGAGGGAGCAGGGGCAACGGTGAGAGTCGGTCTCACGAAGCTGTAAAAGATTAGTAAACTGTCTATGTGTAACCAGATGCGGCCTCTGGCAGAAATTGCACCGGGTAGGGTGATGACGTACCGGTCGTTGTGGTAGATTTTTGTGTTTTCGCCCAACAGCTCCTTCTCGCGCTTCTGGTCGGCCCAGTATCTGCGGACCTGGTCACGGTCCTCCTCGGCCTGGAGCAGGGGAATCAGGCTGATGCGAGCCCACATCTTTTCGCGGGCCAGCTCGCTGCAGGTCGCAGACTGGTTAGCATTCTAAGGGTCCAAGGACTAGTCGGTGGGTGTTGCTGTATTGCTCGACGTACTTGGCTTCGCGGATGCCGTGGAAGAGCTTGTACCAGCCGTAGCTCATGACGATGCCCATGCCAATGAGAAGGGTCCCGGGACGAAAGCCGCGGGCGGGCAGGTTGCGCTGTGCAGGAGAGCGTTAGAAGAATCCATCACGATTGCTCAATGAAGCGAGGCCGCTAGATGCGCTGCGCGAGCTAATTGTCGTCTGTTGCGTAGTGCTAGACGTCGCAAGTACTGACGAAAGCATGTGTGCGAGAGATTGAGGCGCGGTGAGTACACACCTTGTACTGGACGGGCTGGTAGCCGCCTCTGGGGGGCATGTCCTGGGTCATGATGGGCGAGTTTTCGGGATGGTCGATGGGGAGGCGGAGTCGGGAACTGCGCGACGCACTGGGGCAATCGGAACGAACAACGGTCGTTTAGGTCCGTGGAAGTGATGGAAGACCCGGTTCAGTTGGAAAAGGGACGCGCCGAACTGTCAATCGATGTCGTCGGCTGTCTCGTGTAGTCGAATGGCGGCTGAGGAGCTCTGCTGAGGCGATTGTTTTGCGTGCCTGGCGATTGGCCAAGTAGAAAGAATATTACGTAAGCAAGGCTCGACAGGGACGTTTACGATGGCACCGATAGATGCAAAGGAAGGTACATTTGGTGAGTGAATATATATGACCTTTGTGGCTAGTCACTTGTCATTTGAAAAAGGTTGCTACTTCTTGAGAAGACATCAGATGCTATGAAGTGAAGCGTGGTGGGAGTATCACAGCTGGTCTCCTCGCTAGGTTGGCAAGATACTACAGTGGGTGGCAATAAGTATTTGACCCCCTCTAGGTACCGGTTTTACGCCGACGCTAGCCTTGAAAAGGCAGCTACAGCATGCCGCTTTGAAGTTACCAGGGTTAGGGTTATTTTACCCACTATAACCCACTATAAGTCCACTATAACTCTACCAGGGTTAGGGTTATTAGCTCTAGCTTAAAGCAGCATTATTCTGATATTCCCATTTAGGTAAGACCTCGGCTGCGATACCTTGAGGGGGTCAAATACTTATTGCACCCACTGTACGGAGTAGACAAGCCAGACTTGAGATACCATAACTATGACGAAGGCATGTAGTCGCGAATAATGAAAAAAAAAAAAAAAAACGCATGTCTATGATCTCAGTCACCCTGCTGCTTCTGCTTATTTGCTTTTGCTGCTCTTCATAATTGCGTCGAGTCTTTTTGTTCATGCCTACTCTGTACATCTAGAATCGTCTCAGGTTGACGGACAGGCCCCCCCGCCAGCACATCGGATACGACATGCGACATGCGACATGCGACATGCGACACCTGCCGCTTCCCCAATCTACTCGAAGCACACAGCTCATCATGTGCTCTCCAAGCCCAAAGACAAAGACCTGTATCCTATCGCCAGTGATGCAATTCACGCAACACGGGACCGCTCATAGGCACACTAGAGAAGCCACTAACAGAGCCTCACGACTGTTAAGCCGACTCCAGCCTTTTTCGCCCGCTCCAAAAATGTGTACCCAAAGACTAACTACTGCCAGCCTGAAGCTTTGAGGATTTTTTTTTCTTAAAGAAAGGCCAGGCTGACCCCGGGAGTCCGGATTCGGACCTACATGCAAGTGTGGCATGGTGGCATTGGCTGGAAAGTTTGTGCAGATGCGACGCGGGACGGGAAGAAGCAAGTGCAGGCAGAGGGTGCAGGTGCGTGCAAGTCTTTGGTTATCTTTTGGGCTGATGAGTTTTTGCTGCTCTCGCGCACCAGCACGCCATCGTTGCACAAGAAGCCCGAAGTGGCTTTGGAAAACGGGGGAAAAGTCAAGCACAAAGCTGAGTAGAGACAGCGGTGTGAGTTAAATATCAGAAGAGGCAGGTTTTTTGGGAAAAGAGAGCTACATCATGATGGGTCTGGCATGTGTGCGGAAATGGAGATCACGCTGCTATAGCCACCTATTTGTACCAGACCCTCATCCTGCCTGCAACTTGCTGCAAGCCCATTCCGTCTCCCGATTTACAAGCCTCATGGGGGCGAGAGTGGCTCCATGGGTGATATGGCCGGTGGAAGCCCGAGGGCTCGCAGTGATAATGTACTGAAACAGGCAATGGGGGCCATTTCCGGCGGCCCTGTCAATAAATACTTTGCCAGTATCCGTTATATTAGTTATAATGGTCTCTCGGCTTTGGCCGAGATGGATACGCTGGTTTGCTATTGGTTGAGTATCTATATATTTTTTGGTCAAGGGCTACGGCGGCAAGTTCGTCTTTATTAAAAAAGCAGATGAAAGATGCGAGTCAGAGCAATTCATTCATGCCCCTGGTACTAAAGGATCCTCAGCGGCTGAAAGAACGGTCTAGGACACCCCTCGTGGCGACTCCAACAAGCTGGTGCGCAGCATGTCATTGGAAAGGCTCAGTGCTGGAACTTGCCTTATCTCTCTGCGTCCTAACTTTTTCTTTTTTTTATGTGCCTTTGAAAGCCGCTACAACCACCCGTCAACTAACAGAAATTAGCCCGCCGTCCGGCTTCAGCCAGGGAAATCCCCCCACCACCGCGAAAGCTCTAGTTAAGCCTTGCTTTTGCATATCCGTGGCTCGTCGTTGATCATCTGCTCACGCCGTTCCTTATACCATTTTTTACAAGCTCAAGTTATGATTCCCCTCTCGGGCTTTTCCCTTGCCAAGCAAGCCTTGCAGCGGGCGTCGTTATCGCGCCAAGTGCCACATCCCGAGCAGCACGACATGCGGCGTTTTGTTATTAAATACGCAGCTTCTCTTTTTCGCATCCTTTGCTGTTTGTGACACCCACCCGGTGGTGGAACGCCCAAGAGCCGAGCTTTTCAGCAAGCGTTGACGAGGCAGGCCGCGCGCAAAACAGTTTCGGGCTAGACCGACTCCAGAAACAGATGGTGATCCCCGACCGCGCGCGTCAAAATGCCACTAATAAATAACTAGAACAAGCACGACAAAAAGCCACTAATAAGTCAAGTACCCCGAGACTGGCGTGACTGGCGTGACTGGCTTGACTTTGTCTGCCCTGCCGCAGAATATCAGTAATGAACTATTATGCTGGGCCCCGGCGGCACGCCCGGTATGGCAGGATATCTTTTCTCTTTCTTCTGTCTGGCTTGGCTCGGCAGGGATTGTGCCGTGGCTTGAAGCCTTTGGAGATGGGCACACCCTCCTTCCACACCCTTGTCAAGGTCTCTCTTGTCTCTCGCTCCAACAAGCGTCGCCTAATAATGATCAATTTGGGCTTTTCTCACATGTTGTTCATCGAGGTCGGTCTGCTCATCACCTCAACATCGCACACACCCCTCCCGGAGCCCATGTCTGTAAACTTCCAAGCTAGCGGGCCCCCGTCTTGTAAATAAAAGTTTCCCCGCCCGCGAAAAGCTTCATTGGGCCGTTTATAGGCCGATTGACTTTTTTTTTGGGGGTTCTTTCATCAGCTCTTTGCTGCCTCGGGCCGGCGACTTGGCTGGCTCGTTGTCTTAGTTGAACCTCCTCCTACCGCCTCGAAACCTTATAAGACGACGCTTGCCGCCCAACGGCATGTCATCGCGCCCTGCCTTATACCTGTGCTGATAACCGTCTACCTCGTTCGCTTTACCCAACATATTTTATATTATGCCCTGTCACACCTAGTCTGAGACGCAAACCACCGACGTTTTACTCATCTACCCATTGGCATCTCACGCTGGTGTCTACAAAAGAACCCACGCTCCGACCTGTTCTTTGCTTGCTTTCTTTCAAACGCGTGGTCCCTGCCCCCCCCTCAGACATCACACCGACTTCTTGCCATGCTCCGATAGATAGAAGCCAGCCATCAGGCGCCGACTTGTCCGGTTACACTGCCTGCCACTGAGTCAGACAAACCGTGCATAGTGTTGACACCAACACGGCGGCACACTACACCACACGACGCATCTTGCACAATCCTGCCAAGGCCCAGAACCAGGCAAACTGAATAGCAAAGAGTACATATGGATCCTCAAGCAACAGACCAACGCACCCGCAACTCGTCATCCAAATCCCGTTAACAGCTGGGAACTATTCCCCCAAACCACCACCACCACCACCACCACCACCACCGCCATCACTCCTCTATAACCACCACCAGCCGAAAAAAACATCATGTCCATGTACTCAAAATTCTACCAGATTCCCTACCCGTCTCACAAGTCGCCCATGGACGGCGACACGGCCCACCGCGACCTCGACTGGGCCTGCGCCGCGCAGACGGACCGCATCTTCTCCTTTGACGTGGACGAGCGCGGCGTGACGCGCGACCAGAAGCTGCACCTGCTGCAGGCCGAGTTCTGGCCCGCGCTCGCGCGCTGGGTCGAGGCCCGCCAGGAGGTGCTGCCCGGCGGCACGCTCGTCGGCGGCTGGTGGCGCGCCGACATGATGGGCATGCTCGACTGGTACCGCGACTGCCTGCGCATGACGCCGCGCTGGGACGACGCCGTCGTCGCCCACGCCGACGGCGTCTGGCGCGACGCCCTCCTCACCAGCCCCTGGTTCCACTGGGCCGAGTTCTTCCCCCTGCTCAAGGAGCCCGTGCTCGACGAGCGCGGCAGGCCCGTCACCGACGCTCGCGGACGCGTGCTCTACCAGGACAGGGACCCGCGCCAGGACGGCATGGAGGATGCGTTTATGGATCTCTGGGAGGCCGTCGCCAACGCGAGGCCGCTCAAGAAGACGGCAAACGGCCAGTTTATCCTGCCGCACATGCTGCCGCCGTGCTATGAGATGAAGCAGGCGCAGCGTCGCATCAAGGCCGCCGCGACAGAAATTGGCCCTTGCATTTCGTTTTGATTCCCACCAACGTCCAGTCTGATCTGTGGGCGTGACTCTTTCTAAATGGCCATTGTAACATTCCTAATTACTCTGCATATTTAGCGTTTGGCTCCTCTCCCTTTTGTTGGCTTCCAGTTCAGTTTTGTATTGCATCGGTTCTTGATACAGGGACGCCCTTGTCCTTTTCTGCATAGCGAGCGAGATCTTCGTTATAATATACCCAAAGAAATGTTAGAAATTGCACTCTTGACTCTCACTGGCCGGAAAACAATATTATTAATTCTATTGTGTATATCTATCATATATGCAGTGTGATAGTCTAGCCCAAGGAATTATCCCCCGATTGCCATCTTTACCCATTGTAATCCAGACTCGTTCCCACATGCTAAGCATCATCAAAGGTTGATAATAAACAGACGCTAAGAAATCATACCAATCGTAAAGAAATTATTTCATGCGCCACTTCGGACCGCATGGTTCCTCCGAGCCTTTTCTTTTTCGAGAACCAAGTTGTCGAGCCCTTCACTCAGCTTCTTGGTCACCATGTCTGGATCGGGCTCGTCACCCCCAACAAAAGTCCAACTTTCTTCCGTGTCCTCATCATCCTCGTCAGGCTCTGGCTGCTCGTTCTTGCCTGCCTTGCGCTTAATCAAACTCGTAGCATACTCCATGTCGCGATAGATTGATTGAATCGCCATATCGACGCCATGATCCTATTCTCTGGTCAGTCCATCATTTCAAACAGCGAATGACGAATGCGAACCTTTCGTATCTGCTCGCCAAGCACCCTGGCCTTGACAATCATGCGCTCATTGCGCGTCACTTCCCAAAGTGCCCTGCCAAAGCTGTTGGTACCCCATTTCTTCACCCATACACCGACTCCAAGGTCCTCGACGCGGCTGGCAAAAAAGTACTGGTCGCCAAAGAAGGGTCGAATGATAGTGGGAAGACCAGCTCTCAAGCTTGCACCAGTGGTACCGGATCCTCCATGGTGCGCCGCAGCATCGATTTGCTTGAACAGCCAATCATGAGGGGCGGATTTGATTACATGAATCTCGGGTGGCATTTCGGGTTCGTCAGGCCGTGTTTTGCTTGGGTCTTCCTTCGAAGAGATACGGTCAGACCATCCTTTGGACAGAATGCATCTCACATCCGCTCTCAAGACCGCGTCAATGACCTCCTTGGTCATTTTGGCGGGATCATTGACAATAATGGAACCGAAACCAACGTACACCAGCTTCTTGCCATCATCCCGTGCCTTTTGAATAAAGTCGGCAAGCTCTTGAGGAGGCGTATATTTATCTGCCTCATCCAGGAACCAGTACCCAGTGATTCGAATCCAGTCGGAAAAGTCGAGCGGTGGTGCCACGACACAAGGACTGAAGTTGTACAGGAATGGGACCTTATTCGGTTGCATCTTTTCCAAGCTGGTATTCGGCAGACCGAGCGTCTTGTTTCTCCACCGGTTAACTTGTTGGGCAGTGGCCTTCCAAAAGATATTGTCAAACATGACATAGGTCATATAATTGTACGCACCACCCATCTTGTGCTCAGGCATAATGAAGGCATGTGGATAGGCGCGCGTGCGGGTCCATGGCATGGTGAATGCTCTGAAGTAGGGGATCCCCAGCTTTTCCGCAATGTGTATTCCTGCCATCGCCGAGGGAGACTCAATCAGTAGATCAGAGCCTTCGCAGGCTGTGTAGGCAGAGTCGAGAAGCTCATCCAGCCAGCCTCGGAAGGTCGAGTTCGCCTCTCGCAAGAATGCTAGCGTAAATGTACCATTCTCGATGCAGAGACGCATAAGTTCAGCTGGGTCTCCTTCGACCTTTGCAAACTCAATGCCATGAGACTCGACCCAGCCTTGGAACTCTGCATGAGTTGCAATGCGAGGCTTGTGCCCTTCTGCCAGCAAGCCCTTGCACAGGGCAATATATGGCTGAACATCGCCCCTCGAGCCAATCGTCAAGCAGGTGATCTTCATCGGAGTAGACGGCTTGAAGCTCAAGAATGACGCGTCTGTATCCTCGAGCAAGATTGTGGGTGCATTTGGCAGGCTTGATACCTCATGAGGCAGCTCTAACTCATGCTCAGGATATTCTTCCTGTCGAGCAGACTTGAGCGCATCTCTTTCAGCCATGTATTCATCATCATCCTGAGCATCTTCAACCTGTGTGTCAGGCCCCTCGAGGAAGTGATGTGTCTCCAAGTCTTGCAGCAAGGTAACGGCACAATCGTCACGAACGTCACTTTGTCTGAACTCAAAGAAGAGCTCTTCGTGCCCGCGAATGACTAGAACAAGGCCAGAGTAGCCGAACCGAAAGCCCTTCTCTTTGTGGACAGTCTCGATATCCTTAAGCGGGAGAATCAACTTGGTGCGGGTTCCAGGAAGAAGGCTTCGAAAACAGAATGACTGATTGCTGATGTATATCTTGCCGTACAAAGGCAACACGCGCAGTATGTAACCAAAGTAGGTAGCCTGAAGTCTCTCTGTATCGGGCAACGCAAAGTGTGCCCGGAATCGCTCCATGGATGTCTGTATTTTCCCATCGGAATCTTCCTCAAGGTCGTCGTCATCACCTCGGAGGCCTGCAGGCTCATCATAGTGCTTCCCGCCGCCTTTCCACATGCCCGACACCTTTTCCACGTAGCCCATAGATTCGGTGGCTAGAAGTGAACTCATGCGTTTGCTCGTCTTGTTCAAATAGTCGGCAAAGGCACCAGCCCTCTGCAGGGGATACGTGCCCATTTTGGTGATACTTTGAAGACTAGGTGTGAGAGGTCGGTCCTCATCACGCGCCTCTTGCTCATCTTCCTGGCGCAATTGATCCAAATGCCCGGTTGTTGCGGCATGGCGGGCAGGGCGAAAGGTAGCGTCACTTCCAGGTTGTAAAATCTGGCTCTGGCTGAGGCTCTTTAAGTGTCCTTGATCGGTAGGCTGCGAACGCATTATGGTAGGTCGCTGGAATGCGCCACTACCATGCAGAATCTGGCTCGCGGATGGATCTTCAGTCCCAGATACATGCAGACTCGAAAAGCTGGGCTGTTCCATAGAGGACTTTTCTGACTGCAAATTGGAATCTGATGGGACAAACCCCGTCCTTGGAGTTTTACCTCCGTCAGAAAGTCGGCTGCGCGGCCTCGAGCTACTGAAGCTCCTGCGTGGACTGTGATCGATGAATGAACTCGTAGGTGGTCTTGATTGGTCACGACTAGATTGATCCGTGCCTTCAAATCCATCTCTGCTAGTCCTGGATGAAAACTCGACACTTCCGCGAGGACTAGCGGTTGTCGAACGACGCGGCGAAAGCGGCGAGAGGGTTGCTTTAACAGTGTCATGAATTTTGCCAGTATGGATCTTACCCAGTCCGGTCTTGGCACCTGAAGACGTACCAGCAACAGCCTGGTCTTTTCCTAGCTGTTTTCTAGCTGTAGAGTCCTCGACAAAAAGCTTCAAGACGTTGATGGCTTCTTGGCCGAAGGAAAAGAAAGAGAAAAAATACTGCGAAATTAGTACGAATGGTGAATAGTGGCAGCGATATATGGTCTTACCTCGTCGATCGCATAAGTCTCGTCATTGTCAATAACGCGGATTTTGCAGGTATCGGAGAACTCGACCATTTGGGTATCTTCAACATCAATAATGTTTTCAATGGGCAGAGAGATCTTGACACTGTCACCGTCATTGTGGCTTCTGAATATGACCCTCTGAAGGCTCTTGACCCATTCTTTGGCACTGGGCGCGCTGTCGGCTCTGAAGTTGTAAGTGCGCTGACTGGTAACGACCTCAAAGTGCAGCCCGTCCTTGTCCCTGTCAGTGACAGATGCTGAGATGCCGAATCTGAGATCAATCTGGCCATGGGGAAAGTATAAGTTTGTAGCATCGCGATAGTATGACAGTACATCGCCTTTGAGACGGAACCAATATCGGTTGTATTTGGGGTTGCGTTTGCCGCTTTTTGACAAGTAGCCAGATTTAGCCACAATGTTCTGTAAAGATGTTAGTGGAGTGCAGGGGAGCGTGTTGCGCGCAGCGTCGGCATACCTGTTTCTTAGGTAAATAAGCATAAAAACAAATATGTTTCGATGTGATGTACAAGAAGCCCTGCAAAAGGACGCTTTGCAAGAGCCAACAGGGGTACTCTGCTTCGTGTTAGCGGTTGCGGACAGGGGGGGATGTAAGTGTCAGTAAGCACCTTCTATAACTTGTTCAGGCTCACTGAAATCGAAAATCTCCATCAGACGACGAGCCAGTGGACTCGCCTCATCATCATCATCTTGTGATTGCGGTATATCGGTGGAAGGTCTTCGTTCAATATCGAAGCTGGACCGGCTTGACATTTCCGCTCTGGCTTGCAGCATGCGACTCATGACCGAGGGTCGGCGAGCCATGGGCGCCATTGTTTCGGTAGAGGGGGAAGCAGGAGTCTCGCTGGCATCGCTGGACTGACAGAGCTCATCGGTAAAGCGATCTGGCTGGGATAGCGTGCTTGGTTCGCGTTTGGACTTGGACTTGAGCCTTGGTAGGGTAGCAAACGACTTGAGTAGTCTGTGTTTAGACAGGGTTTTTTTGTGCTTTCTTGAATCGGGTCGGAGTACAGTCGTTTGCGAAGTTGTGGGAAGGCCGGACGGTAAATCCTTGGAGCCGTCGTCCTCGTCACTGCTGTTACCGTCAAAGCGGGTATGAAAGTCGACACGGGAGCCGGCAGCAGCAATAAGACCGAATATGCTCTGGTTCATGTTGACGGACATTGGGTTAGCCGTGACTTGTGCATGCGCCTCGTCTCCCGAGTCGTCGCTATCTTGGAGTGGCTCTGGGAGATCAGGCGTCGACGAGGACAGGCCGCGGGCTCTCGTTGACACCTTGTGAGGACCACGCCCATTGCTCTGCAGGCCACGATCTTGGCCGCCCGAGGCCGACTTGGGCGGTGAGGTGGCCATTGTTATTGCGAAAGTATATCGAGGAAGAAGGTGTAGGTTTCGAGGGGAGATTGAATATTGTGGTTAGGTGGTTGCGTGTGTGGCGGCCGAGAGGTGTCCGTGGCGATCTTGGGGCGGTCGGTGGTAAGTGCTGCCTGGGTGCTACATGAGGCAGGCCGTGGCAGGGCAGGGAGCAGAGTTGGCGGCGGTGCTGTCAGGACAGCGGAAAGTAGAGTCACGCTGGTGGCTTGCAGTGTTGACGGAAGCAACAAGACGGTGTATGCAGAGAGATCGGGAAAAGATATACTGGCAAACTGTTAGTGATTGAGAGAGCAGGCAGTGGGGCGAAGGGCTCCTGGGATGACGGCCTGGCGGTTCATGATGGGGAGCTCTTGTGACGAATTTGGGTTTGGCGGCATCGGGCCATGTGGATGGCCACTGGCGAGATTGGTTGCAGCCGTGATTGGCTGCTGGCCACGACTTGGTTAGGCAGCCTGACAGCGTGCCAGCACTGCGCCTGCAGGTGAGGTGCCTGACTGAAAATCTTCTCTAGATAATGTTTTTTTTTTTTTTTAGTTTTCAAAACGACAACATTCTCGCAATGAATCTAACTAGTATTGCGGTCTGCTCTAAACACCCTGTATTATTCTGTAGGTATTGTACTCGAGACCCGCTAATTCCTACTGGCCGCTTCCTCTAAGTTAGAGGATCCCACCGTTGAAAACAGATCCACCAAACCTGTCAAACGAAACCGTGTAGGTACCTAGGTAGGTATGTACCTCCAGCCTCTGGCCTTCCAGGCTTCCAGGGCATCATTCGCCTGCTGACGCTCTACGACGGGTTCATGCCCTACCATGTGACATCCTACAGTCGCATGTCTGACCAAAAGCAGTCAAGTAACTGACGAAAGCACGAGCAAAAAAAAAAGAGACTAATTTGCCCTTGCCATTTGTCTTTTGTTGAGTTCCTGTTTTGCTTTTTCATTTGTCCTCTCATCACAGCATTTGGAAACATAGTTGTTACCCCTTCGGAGTCATCAGCCAGACTGAACAAAAGCACCTGATAGCAATGTCCGACTCGTCAACTATATCTTCAAAACATCTTGCCACTGCAAAAGCAGAAAATCGGGATCCCAACACTTCCGCACATGTAATCCCTCTCCCAAGTTCTCAACACGCCGACCTCGCCCGCCGGCGTAGCGTGCAGCGGGTTGGTTGGGTTGGCAGGCTGACCAGAACACTCCTCTGCCTGCAGGCTGTCAACCGTCTCTGCCATGCCACCCCAAGCACCGCTTTACTCTGCCCAACTTGCCGTTCTCATGCACGAGCTGCATGAATCACCTCTTGGCGCCACAATTTGATTCTCCATCTCGAGATCCTTTATTACTGCCCACACTAGATACGTGCTCCCACCACCATGGCCGCTGCCAACACCCCGTTGTTCCCCCCCGCGCTCATCGGGCCCGACGCGGCATCGGCCTTTCCGGCCGGCTACGAGATTCGTCCCCTCGGCAAGGATGATTATGCTAAGGGCTTCATAGAGTGCTTGCGAGATTTGACATGGATGGCGGAAGTGACCGAGGACGAGTTTAAACAACGCTACGACGAAATGGACACTGGCGGCAAAGGCCCCTACTACTATCTGGTCATTGAGCACGCCGGTCGTATCATCGGCACTGGCTTGGTCCTCGCCGAAAAGAAATTGTAAGATTTACACCTGCATCTTGGTTCGACCACGCTGATACTTACTAGCATTCATAATCGCTGCACCGTCGGCCACATCGAGGAGATTTGCATCTCCAAGGACCACCAGAGCAAGGGCCTGGGCCGTCTGCTCATGAATGCACTCAACTCCGTCGCAGACAACGCCGGCTGCTACAAGACTATCCTCAACTGCAGCGAGCAGAAGCAAGCCTTTTATCGAAAGTGCGGCTATGACAGCTCTGGCTCGGAAATGGTCAACTACATTAAGGGCGCCACGACACCGCGATGAGAATAGCAATGTTATCAATGCAAAAGCTATAGTCTATTCAGAGGCGCAGCAGAATCTGGTGCAAAACAGTATACCAACTGTCATTTTGTGAAATCAACACCCCGCTCCACCGTTATAACATAAAAGTACATCAACACAGTAAACGCATTTTTCATCAAGTCCACAGACACAGCTTCCCGCTGCCGTTTCCACCGGCCACCCAGTCCATGCTCGGGTGGCAGTGTGCAACCGCCGGCACTGCTGTAATTCCATCGCCACCAAGCTGTGCCAGTTGGCTTCCATCCGATGCAAATATGTCAACAAAGCGATTCATGTTGCCGATTGCGAACTTTTGGTGGCCATCCTTGGGACGCTGCTGCCATTGCGGCTTGAGAATAGTGACCCATCGGCCGGTCTGATTGTTGTGCCGTATAATGTGCGCTGGCTCAAGATCTGACTCCGCAATGTCTTGTCCCGGAGACCATTTCCCAGCCTCGGCAAAGTTGTATATTTTGATCGTGTCGTCGTACGACGACGTCGCAAGCTGGCCCCCCGCGCTCCATGAAGCGTGCGACACGGAAAGTCGTGAAGGGTGCTCTCCCAGCAGAGCGGGATGCCGCAAATCACCCTTGCCAGTGATCTTCCGTAGATCCCAGATTTTAACTGTCCGATCCAGTGAGGCCGTGGCCAAAAGGTGCGGCTGTAACGGGTGTAGCGAGAAGCCGCCGATTTTCGACTCTGACAAGGTCCATATCTCTTCCGACTTTGGTGCTCTGATATCATAGCGTCCCACACTGCCGTCTAGGGTGGAAAAGTAAAGAATGTTTGGTTCCGTTGCGGCTACATCAAGCGCAGTAATCGGCAAATCGTCATCAGCATCTGCCGGAGCAAAAACCTGGGTGGAAATACCCTTCTCCAAGTCCATTTTTCGAATGGACGAGTCGTACGATGAAGAGTACACTGCATTGGCGTCTGTATGTGAAAACACAAAAGACGTAATGGTCCTCGTATGTGTTTTGAAAGCGGAAATTACTGGATCAGGGATATCGATCTCGTCATCGTCGTCTACCTCTGGCACAGTTTGGGAACCATCGAAAACTCCCATTGCACCTTCTTTATCACCGGCGAAGATGATTGGCTTATCCTCTATCGGGTGAAAACCGAGAGCGTAGACACGCTGCGGCGTAATCTTTATGTCTGTGACCGTAATGAGTATTGAGAACTTCTCTATTGTATGCGAAACATACCATTGGGGGCCCAGTGCTCGTATAATTTGAGAGAATTGAGGCGTAGCCGCAAATCCTTTAAGCCTGCATCCGTAGTCTCCTTGATGTCGTCTTCGGAAAAGGTCCGCACGCCGGGCTCTGCGCCCCGGAAGATGCCTGTGATCCCAGCAACGCTGCCCCCGTATTTCTTGCCGTCGACGACAATGTCTCCGATGTTAAGATCATCTCCAATCCTCATCTTTTTAGCCCTAGACTTTGCTGCCTCAAACTCATTCTCGACCTCTAATTTCCGCTTCAGAGTGTCATTATCGGCTTCAATGCCTGCCAGGCGAGAACTCATGCGAGTCGGCCTCGCAGGCTCTTTTTTTACCTGTACCGCTTGAGACCTCCTCTTAGAAGGCGCTTTTGGTACTGGTTTATCAGGTATGACTTTTTTCGCCGTTGCCGATATGTCTGTAAGCAAAGCCTTATTTGCCGCAATGTTCTCGAGGCGCCTCCTCTCGAAGGCGCTCATCTCGGCAGGTTCCTTTTTGACAGGCATTTTGGGGTAATTCGGCGAACCAGATTAAAGAAGAGATGAGACCAAAAGAATGAAAATTAGAATCAAGAGCTGCACACAAGCAAGATCCTCATAGCGAGCAACACATAAATTGATAGTGAATCCGGAGTGGCGTCGCCAACACGTGAATTGAAAGTGAGTTCGGAGTGGCGTCGCGTCGCGACGTGCCAACCAGGCCCACTTTGTTTAAGTGGTTTCTTTTTGGCGCGAAGTCACGGGCCAGCTTTCTGTCGTTGTAAGCAAAATTCTTTGATGGCCCACTTGCCTAATCCAAGTACCTATCAATAAGGAGACTTCATACTGAATAGTTACCAGTTGAACATATCGAGACGGAGGGCTGTGTCTGAGACTTGACGACATGCCGCCGAGTATTCTGCCATTTCTGTATCAAACGAGGACAATTCAACATGGCCTTCGCCCGTCAACTTTTACGCGGGTCGTCAGACTAGCGCATTCGTTCTCTCATAACAAGCCAAGCTATTCCATCCCCTTTGACTGGGAAGATGATCCGCATCATGACGAATTTTCGGCATCAGCTTCCTCACAGTCGTCAACCATCACCCCCTCGGAAGCCGAAGTCTTCAAGGGCATCTTTGACGAGATCTCGCAGGGAAGAATGCCTGTTTCCAAAAAGAAAACCGCATTCAATGCGATGAGGGAGCACGTCGCGCCCACGTCAGCAACTGGCGAGGGCCAATTGGATACCAAGGCCAGATCAATTGTCGATCAGGCAAGACTGACGGATTTTCGCGACAAGTTTCTGAGCCGATACCCATCGTCACTTCGCAATGCCGCGCAAGTGGCATTAGGCCTATTTGAGGTGCCTGCGAATGAAGAAGGAACTCGCACCTTCATGGAGCTTAAAGAAGCAGATGCTGCCAACTGGGCTGAACGGGTCATGTATGATCAACTGCGATCGGAGGAAAGGGGGCGTGTAGATGGTCTCATGAACGACTGCGCCACAGACACTGAGCTCTGGAATCTGATGGAGCGAGAGGTCTTCACCCTACCGAAACGGCTTGGAATTCTTCAAGGCGATGTGGCGGCTTCACCCAAAAGTAAGAAGAAGAAGAAGAGCACCAAGACAAAAGGAAAGTCTGTGGCAGAGGAGCCAATCGATGATCCCGCTACTTCACCCGAATCAAACTCGGAACGACGCCTGATGGACATTCATGGGCGACTCTACCCTCATTTCATTTACAATGGTCTGAAACTCTTGGATACAAAGTTTAAGCGCTCTTCGCCCTACACTTTCGAAATTCTCCCTCGCGTCAAGGAGCTGGGCCTGCCATCATACGTTCTCGGCGTGTCAACCTCTTTCTATTCTAGACTTGCTTCCCTCTACTGGACCAGGTTTGGCGATTCAAATGCGGCGCTGAGTGTGCTTCAAGAAATGCTCTCTTCTGGTCTGTATGCCAATGACGAGTCCATGGAAGTGGTGGAGAGTATCCGCGACCATCTCCATGGATGTACCTGGGGCGCGCAGGGACCATTTGTCATGGCCATGATGGAATCTTCGCCATATGATGCAAGCCTATCGCAGAGGCTCGAAAACATGAGACGATATATCCGGACTTCGATCGCTCAAGAAAGGCAAGATGGCGCATGAGACGCGACCACGACCACCTCCTGTATTTCTATGGCAGCTGGCTGCATGTATAACTCCCTTCTAGTATTTTAGCTGTATACTATTTGTAGCATATTCATCATATTTCTCATATCTCACACCGATCAGATGATTGCTGAAACATTACATTCTCATCTGCGCGAAATTGTATCCGGCTACGGAAGAGCTGGCCGCCTACTGCGAGGAGTAAAGAGCCAATATCTGGGGGGGGGACGGATACGTTTTTATGCAAGTCGAAGTGATTGAGCTATACATATCAACGGCAAACAAGCTGCGCCGACATACTTTGTAGAGAAGGTAATGGCGCAGACAGGCATTCTGGGTCTGGATCATCGCAAGCCGCAGATTCTGATAATAGGTCCCAGGCAAAATAGACCCGTGATCCAGAAAGCAAGCACAACGCAAGAAGATCCATCCACAGTATTCCATGAGCGGCGAGAACTGAACTGGTTTAGCCAGCCAGGAACTTTCCCGAATCTATAACCATCCATTTTGGGATGGTCTGGTGAGAACCCCCAGAGACTCGGCAGTGAGGCCATGACAAGGAAAATGTCAAAGCTTGAATCAGTCTATGCTAGTTCCCTTTTTCAACCCCGCCACGGTGAACAAAAAGGAGTTGTCGCCTGGTGTACAGGGCTGCTGTGCTAGAGGCTCTATGGCGGCGCTAGAGCAGGTCCGGTGGCGGCAAGGCGTTCAGCTCATTTCAGCTGCAATTCCACTTACACTGGCTAGACCTCGTTCGATCACTACGCGGAATGAAAGGTTGTGAGCGTGATTGGGGGTCTTTGCGCTCTTGACCAAAGTCTTTATGTGCTGGTTACCAGATCAGATGAGCAGCCAATGACGCACTACTACAAACTTTTTGATTAGGATGGTCAGTAAAGTGATTCTTGGAACTGTGTTGCATAGTAGTTGAAAGAGTTCTTGCAGACTGTTTGAGTACACAATACTGGCATATGCGAGTTGCTCGTGCTTGCAACGTAGCTCCGGTCAATGAGCTCGATACTATCAGCCTTGAGATTATTACTCCGCAAGAGGAAATTAAAAGGATACAATCTTCGGAAGGGATACCAACCATTGCCGTGATTTTGACTCATTGAGGCGCCAAAATCAGACACTTGTGACAGCCACTCCACAGGAAATCCGCAGGCAAACGTCCCCATCCAAATGGCTAACTTGATTCCGCACATTTTTCAATCAGGGTCTGTGAGTACTGGGATCAGACAAAACGCCTTGTATGGAGCCAGAGAGGGGGGTCAGGCATTCTCAGCCTCATCGAGAGTTGGGCAATTCTCGGCCCCCGGTTGTGCAAACCAGCCCGGTCTAGGCAAGGCTGCTTCGAAGCTTTCAGAGAAATTGACCAAAAGCAGAATCCAAGTTTAGTATAAGAGGAAACAAGTGTCTTTTTAGGTGTTGGAGGACCAACCAAGGTTGCTGAGCCCGCATTTTGTTGTTCTTTCCGTCACCTTGCAACTGCCGTCGATAGTACAATTTGCTCTTTCGCTTCGTCTAACCCAACACTATGGCTGATCACATTCAAGAACAAAAGGCTGTCCAGGAAAGCGCACCAGCTCAGCAGCAAGCCCCTGCACAGGCGAGCGCACCAGTTCAGCGAAACGGCGTCGTCAACGACCAAGACGTCAAGTTCTGGACGGATAGGGCCAACGACTTTCTCGCCCGTCCATCGGAGCACATCCACTCCAGATCGCCAAACGGCGCTCAGTCATGGTTTGCCGGGTTCTTTGACTGCTTTAATCCCATTGACACATGCTTGATCACCTGGTGCCTTCCGTGCGTTACCTTTGGCCAAGTCCAGCATCGCATCCAACGTTCGGGCGAGCTTGAAGGATTCGAACCCCTCAACACCAGCGTAAGTTGCTATCAAGAAAAAAAATAATTCTCTGGGCTTCATGCGCTGATACGAGGCTCACGATAGTGCTTGCTGCTCTGTGGTGCGGCCTGCGTCGGCTGTTTTTGCGTGCCGGTCGCGATGCAGCGGCAAATGATTCGCGAAAAATACAATTTGGAGGGAAATTGCATCGAGGATATTGCGAGGACGTTTTGCTGTGGATGCTGCTCCATTGTGCAGCATGACAAGGAAGCGCAGCATCGCGAACGGCTCTTGCGCCAGGGCAGCGTCGACGAGCAGTACAAGACGACTCCTGGCATGAGCTATCCTCCTCAGTAGGGTGCGCTGTTGGGCTGGGGTCATGAAAATGGATTTGAAAATGATTTGGTCAATATATTATCGATAATTTAATCTTTTGATAGGCTGCCTGTTATTTATTTATACCCGTTCTTCAAAGCACTTTATTTCGTCTCCTCTGGCGGCGCAGAAGCCCAACTTTCTTCTATTTACTGGGAGAAAAATTTGGGGTCACAGCTTAAGGTACAAAAATGAACTGCTACAACAGAATTGGTCAAAGCGCCAGCTTGCTTGATGCCAGCGTCCAGGTCACAGCCTGGGCTGAAATACTGTGACATCCTAACCCTGTTAGTTTAAACATATTTACGATTGCTCATTCGCGTCGCTCTGTGCCTCGTCGCTTGTTTCTCGTCTGCCATCAGAGATGAACCTGATAAACCGTAGAACTATCTGAGTACATAAGAACCCTTGCTTAAGTACGCGAGTGACTTACACGTGAAGGCTGCTATGACTCACGTCTTGCTAGTCGCTAGGTTCACGGGAGCAATTGGCTCTGTCTGTAAAAACAAGTCAACATTCATATTGAACGTAAAGTATCAGTCTAACTGACAAGCTCGTTCAAAACCGGGGTACCACAATGGCTAATCTCGACAGCGACAACATCGCGATACAGGACAGCACCACTAGCTACTTAACCGGGCTTCGGCAAGTCGGCCGCATTTTCCCGGAATCCGTGCAACACACACAATTACGGCGGTCTCAGCACTATCTTGTCCCGAGATGAATCACGCCCAACCACCTCTACTTAAACTATGCCTGCCTCGTCAGCGGAAAAAGGTTGAGGGGCATTCGACATGTGGCGACAAATCCGTAAAGGACTGGCTTCGAGGCCTGACTTTTACATACCCGCTGACGGAAAAAGAAGCTTTAACGTAGACTTGATACCTTTGTCTTCCTGAGGCTCACATTTGGTTGTATGAAATGTCCCCGTGCAGCCTGTCAACGGCACAAGGCCCCAACCAAAAGAGGCTGTGAAGGCAAGGATCTGCTTACCCTGCACGGAATCCCTTACTCCGGACCATGCCATGGTTACCTCGTTTTGGTGATATTGGTAATCGGGTGGGGGCATTCACATCCTTCGGCCGAACGCGAGTGGCTCTTACTGCCGTAGCCGGATTGTTTAGAGCTCTATAAATGAATGGAGCTTTCCGCTGGAGCAACCGTGCTGCCATCTCCGGTTCACTTAGCATCTAGTTACCCCTTTGTCCTGACTTGACAACTTTTTCTTTACCCGAGCTGACAAAAAAAAATGTCCGAAAAGATTGTCTTGTTTGACCTCCCCAGCAAGGAGCCGTGTGTCGCCTGGTCCCTCAACCCGTGGAAGAGTAAGTGCGGGGATCGAACCGGATAGTGCCGGGCACTAACAGTATACAGCTCGCCTGTTGCTGAACTACAAGGGATTGGACTACGAAACAAAATGGGTAAGCTATACAAATGTACCTTGCTTTTGATTTGCTGACAGAAGCTTCAGGTCGAGTACCCGGACATCAAGCCGACGTTGCAGCATCAGTAAGTGTGTCATGGCTTCGGTAGGACGTTTGTGTTGGCTAATACTTGATGAGTGTCGAGCCTGGTGAATCGCGCTGGCCGTACACCATCCCCGCCATCAAGTTTCCCGATGGAATCTGGTCCCAGGATTCGCGAAAGATTGCCGACCTCATTGAGAAGCGCTACCCTGAGCCGTCTGTGCACCTCGATTCCCCTTACCAGAGCCGGATCGAGGAAGTTGTGCCCAGGGCCTTTGTACCGCTCATGGGCATTGGACTGAACCAGATTCCCCGACGCTTGCTCAACCCCCCCAGCGTCGAGTACTGGATCAAGGACCGGACTGAGTTTGTCGGATCCGACCTCGCCGAGCATGAGGCCAAGAAAGGCGGCGAGACTGCCTTTGCAGCGGCTGCGCCTGCTCTGAAGGAAATCACTGCGATGCTAAAGGAAAATCCTGATGGCCCCTTCTTCAGTGGCAAGGAAGTGGTCTATGCCGACTTTGTCTGGATCGCTGCGCTTTACTTCTTGAAGCGCATTGGCGATGACGTTTATGAAGGCGCTCTCAACGCCTCTGGTGATCGCACGGTGCACGAGAACCTGCTCAAGGCTGCTGAGCCCTGGCTGAAGAGAGGCGATCACTAGAGAAAAAGAAGAATTTGATGGACTATGTGAGAATTAAACTAGGAAGACGCGTTGCAATGACAATCGAGGTGCAATAGAGAATAGTAAAGTATATGTCATATCGTAGCGACTGTGTTAGTTTCTCATTTGATCTTCGCAAATGTTACATCAACTACGATGAGAGAATAGTAAAGTACATGACATATCATCGCTACCGTATTAATTTCTTATTGGATCTTTGCAAATTTTACATCAAATGCCGGGCTCTCGACAGCCGTTACACTTCCTTGCTTATCATGTACAAAAACAAACTCACCCAAGCTAAGATAGTCGTAGGATGCCTGATCAAAATTGAACCACGTCTCGCAGCTTCCATCCGCGTAAAACAGAGCTTCGTCTTTTGCAGCGTTCTGCTCATCAGTTGTGGTATCGAAATACGCGCGCCACATGGTAACAGTGCTGCATCGATGTTGTATGCTTCTGGCATGTTTCTGTTCAAAAGGTGCGTCGCTGTTGACGTCGACCGGGTACATTCGGCCATTCACCGGAATGTTTTGGAAAGTCTCTGAAGCGGCGCTGAGGCTGTACCTGGGAAAATTGGGCATTACATCGAATCCGCGAACAAGGAATTTCTTGATGACAACTCCGGAGCCCTCGTCTAGGGCAAGTTCCAGGGTGGAGTTTGTCAACTTGTCCTTGTAAATTCCAGTATAGCCACTGGAGGAAGACACCTCATCTCTAGCAGCCTTATCAATGGCCGAAACCAAATTTCGAGCAACCGTGCTGAAGATTTTGGTGCGTGTGTTAGGATTCAGAGTGACTTCCTCACCCCCAGACAAAACCGTCATCACAATGTCATAGTCTGTGATGGCTCCGATCAAGGCGTGAAATAAACCAAAGTCCCCGCTCTTTGTATAAATGTCAATCAGGCGCTTGTCTTCAGTCAAGGTGTTGCTGCGGAGAATCTCCCAAGGGGCGCCGACGGACATTCCTAGGAACGATGTGTGCGTAGTCGGCTTCATCCAGTCCCTCGTCTTCTTCGCAGAGAGGAACTTGTTGGTGATGATGGACTCAGTAAATGATATCATGTCCACAGTGCTGGAGAACAAGCCTCCAGCTCTGCGTTTTGTCAGCAAGTTGCCATTTAAACAAGACGGTGGGAGATTGCTTACGCTTCAAAAACTCCCAGAGTGACGTTCCAGGTAGACTCCCCTTTTGGCACAAATCCAAGCTTGGAAAACATCTCCACCGGACCGTCGAAATAAGTACTGGTCATGTTGGCCACGTCGAAAATGCCGGTCTGGGCCACTTGTTTGAATCTACTTCCGGTCGCAGATTCAATAACCATGGCGAGCAGCGCATACCCAAGGTTGGAGTATAGAGGAGTGGCACCGGGAAGCTCGACTAGCGGCTTTCGATTAATGGCATCGATAATATCATGCGATGTACACTTTTGGGTGCCCAGAAGCCCAGAACAGGTCGGACCGGTGCCGTTGCGAACAGCGGGAAGGCCCATCTTGGTCCATGGGCCGTCTGGAGTGAGAGCCAGGTCGAATGCCACTGGACAGTGATTAGAGAACAAGTATTTCTAGAGTCAGAGAAATGTCGAACGTACTATCGCGAGGCAAGCCAGATAAATGTGTCGCAAGATTTGCGACACTGATATCCTCCCATGGAATCCTGTGAATCGAGTTTGGAGAATCCCTATTCTTTGCCAGGTCGGGCAGGTATTTCAGCACTGACGCATGCATGTCAATCTTGCTGCTCTGTAAAGCAGATAATGCAGGCATCATTTTGGATATGCTCCCAACGCGATAAATCGTATGCTCATCAATCACGGAGGTACCTATGTCTGACAGGACCGGTGGGGTGTAGTGATAGTTGAAGAGTAGGTTGTCTTCATGCGTCGACTTGGCCGCCACGGAGATTGCACTCGTATGCATGCTCTGCAAAAAAGTTGCATCCAGGCTGGATTTTAGCTTGGCGATGGCTTCTTGGACTGCATAATTCTGGCTGGGATTCTGCGGCGCAGGGAGTACACGGCCGAGTGGTGGACATGCCTTGGCCTGAGCCAGGCCAAAAGTCGACGACGCTACAAGAGCGACAGCAAGGTTGTGTAAACAAGGCATAGAGGAGGCAGAAAAATGGTAATTTGATGGTTTTGGTGGGAGCTAATATCATGGAGTAGAAGCTGCTGCTATATATACATGTTCAATGCCGTGCTAACCGCCGCTCGTGCCGTGGTCAGACATGCTCTGTAAGACTGCTCTTGCCATCTTGACCTGGCAATGCGCAATCCTTCTCACGAGAATATCCGCAGCAAACGAGCTATTCCACCCACCGTATGGCTGAGCGTCGAGCATGAATCCACTCGAACATATGCTTGGTTGAACAGTATCCTCCTTCGGACTACAAGTGCGAGCGGCAACCTCGATAGAATGGCAGTGTTATGATTCATCTCTCCAATATAGCAAGCCGCGCGGCACATATTATAATTCTTTTAAGAGTGCCTAAAAGCGGTGATGTCTCGATTTGGCAAGTTGCCGGGGTAGACTGTGGCACCGCATCCCTGCAAGATTGCTATTTAATGGGAACGCGCAGCGCCAACGCGCCAACCGGCGGGGGCCCTGGAGTCCGAGGCTAAGAGTCCGAGAATCAGCAAGGCCTGGCTTAGTCGCTTTGGAACCACAAAGTCTAGTAAAATAAAGGCTTAGTGCAGAAGATCATTATATTTGTTATTTGATATTCAACGGTACAAAAATCGTTTACCCCAATTCACGTCCCAGTTCTTTTTTTCCCGCATCGCAGTCGATCTCTGCCCCTCCAGCAGTTTGCACACGAACCACTGAAATGATCAAAGTATACCAATACAGCAAAGCTCTTCTTTGTGGCAGCCCCAAGAACCGATATGCGGCAGCAATGACTCGATTCCATCTCTTCACTCAATTCATTACTAGCTGTTTCAACACCCAAATTATTTGTGTAGACTTTAAACGAACGAGCAACTCTCGGGGCAAGACATCATGCATGGCCTTATACAGTGGGTGCAAGCCAACCACCAACTCAACCCAAAAAGTACCTAACTGCGGGCGCGGGGTAGAGGTACAGTAGCTCCAGCCCAACCAAGATATCGGGCCTCAACTTATTCACTTGACTCTCTCTGACAAAACAATAGACGCTCATGCAAACTCCTTGCTCTTTGCTTGTTTCAAATCAGGCATTGAAGTGGCGTAAATCGAGAATCAAAATGTCTCAAACCATTACCTCCACGAGAAGCCCACTTCACGCATCTGCTGCGCCGAGAGACTTTGAGCTGCGCACTGTTGCTGGTGTCGGAGCCTCACAAACGGAGCGCAAAGCCGACTCTGAGAGCTTTCAAGAACAAGGCCTTGTCTCGGCCACAAGCCAACATGCAGGCGACAGCGAGCCGCCTCCAGATGCGTACCATGTGGTAGAGCGATGGAACAAGCCCCGCGGGAATATTGGCAAAATGGCCTTTGCTTTTTTGTCAGCCATGGTCTCTGGAATGAATGATGCCGCAATTGGCGTACGTACTTGCAAGAATTATCCAACAATTTTTTTGCTGCTCTGGATTGCTGGTTGGCTGACATTCAGTCTTCTTGAATAGCCTTTGCTGCCCTATGTAAGTTGATGGCAGCCCAGCCCCCGCCGGCGGGCAAGTCCACTAACTCGGACGTGCAGCTCGAAGATTACTACGGTCTCGGAAAGACTGCCATTTCTCTTATATTCTTGACACCTTTTCTCGGATACTCTGTTGCCGCCTTCACCAATGCACGCATTCACGTCAAATTTGGGCAGCGCGGCATCGCCTTCATGGCGCCCCTGTGCCACATCATCACGTATGCGGTTCTTGCCTCCCACCCGCCCTATCCCGCATTGATAATAGTCAATGCAATTAGCGGGTTCGGCAACGGACTGACTGATGCCTGCTTCTGCGCGTGGATCGGTGCAATGGACAAGGCAAACATGATGCAGGGGTTTCTGCATGCATGCTACTCTATGGGGGCGCTGTTTTCGCCTCTCATTGCCACTAGCACAGTCGTGAAAGCCGGACTGCCATGGTTTACTTTCTACTACATCATGGTAAGTAAGCTTGAGTGTGGCTCTGCAATCAAATGTTTTTGCAAGCGAATAACTTGGGCTTCTTTGTAGGTGGGCATGTCAGTCGCCGAGCTCTGCGGCCTCTCTTATTTCTTTTGGGATAAAACAGGCAGTGTATACGAAGCCGAGCACAAGCGGGAGAACCCGAGTGCTACTGGCGCTGGCACCAGAGAAGCTATCAAGTCTTCCGTGACGTGGCTCTGTGCATTCTTCTTTTTCGCCTACATGGGTGTGGAAGGTGAGTTGGCACGAGATGAGAAGGCAAAGACAAGAGTATACTGAACGGTGTTGCAGTCGGACTGGGAGGCTGGGTCGTCACATTCATGCTAAACGTCCGCCACGCTTCACCCTATGCTTCGGGAATCTCTGGATCTGGCTTCTGGGCCGGCATGGCCCTTGGCCGCGCTGGCCTCGGACTTGTCACGGAGCGGTTCGGTGAGCGCCTCTGCCTGACCATTTATTTGGCCATTTGCCTAGGCCTGCAGCTTCTTTTCTGGCTTGTTCCAGAGTTTATCGTTTCCGCCGTGGCGATAGCATTCTTGGGATTCTTCCTAGGGCCCATGTTCCCTGGAGCGGTCATGATCACAGCGAAACTGCTCCCCAAAAGAATACATGTGAGCGCAATTGGTTTCGCCATGAGCATGGGTGGAACGGGGAGTGCCATCTTCCCCTTCATCATTGGTGCTATCGCGTCCAAGAAAGGTGTCACTGTTTTGCAGCCGATTATTCTGGCACTTATTGCAGTGATATCTTTGGTGTGGTTGAGTTTCCCGCGTATAAAAAAATGCGCCTAGTTTAGAGGAGCTAGACATGAATAATCACCACCTGCAAATGTGTTTCATGACCAGTTGAAAAATGAAAAGTTGGATATCTAACATGAGTAACATACATTGTGCCAAAACCGAATAACTAGCAGATAAATGTCGTAAGTGCAATGCAGTGATCTTCTAAGTCTGTCGCTCGACATGATCCATGTTGCTGCCGTCAACCCGCACGCCGCCACCCTGGGGATCTCCCGCAATCTTTGAGTGTTCATCCTTTTGAGCCGCAAGCGCCTCAACATCGATACCGGCTTTGCGACGAATCTCTTCCATCTTCTCGTCGTCAGGCCGGACCCATTCAGTGCTCTTCCAGGGAGTGACGCGCTCAAGATACATGGTATCAATCTCTTCGATTGTGCGTCCCTGGCCTTCGATGACGAGAAAGTACACAACAAAGGCAGCAACAAAATTGCAAGCGGCAAAGACGTAACCATATCGATAGTCAATGGCTCCAGTGATAAAGGGGGTAAAAAAACCGATGCAGAAGTTCCAGATCCAGTTGGCCGCCGTGGAGATGGCCATTCCCTTTGCTCGGTACCGTGAGGGAAAGATTTCGGCCTGGATGGTCCAGATCATTGGACCCCATGTGGTGGCAAAGCCAACGATGAAGAGAGCAGCAAAGACGATGAGGACGATACCCGGCGTGGGAGTGCGCTCCGGGTTATTGTAATCCAACACGAAATGGCCGACGGACGCAAAGATGAGGAAGCAGACGAACATCCAGATGGAACCAGCAATGAGAGACTTTCTGCGACCGAAGTGCTCCACAATATATAAGCCGAGGAAGGTCGCGACGAAGTTGATCGTGTTGAGGATGATTTGCGTGATATAAGAGTCAATATTCACGGATTTAAAGATGCTTACGCCGTAATAGAAAAAAAAATTCGCGCCGGAGAGCTGCTGTAGAGATTGAAGCCCAATGCCCAAGAATAAACGATAAAGCATGCGCGGTGCTTTCAGCATGGAAAGGAATTCGGCCATGTGGCCCATCTTGATTTTTGACTCTGCGTGGAGTTTGCTCTCGATCTCGGCGACTTGAATGTGGATTATATAATGATTTCTGGGAGCCCCATGAACATCACAAAGAGTTTTGACGGCCTCTTCTGTCTTTCCACGGCGATAATTGAATCGGGGCGTCTCTGGGAAGAAGAGAATGCCGATGCCAAGAATGAGGGTCCAAATCCACCCCAAGCCGATGACGATGCGCCAGCTGCCCGAGTTGTTCATCTGGTGGTGGTATGTGCCGAAATTGAAACAAGCAGCGAGGAAAATACCCATGGTGATGAAAAGCTGGTATGCGCAGACCATGGCACCACGGATCCAGGCGGGCGCGGTCTCGGCCTGATACATGGGGACGAGAAGACTCAGTGCGCCAACGCCCAGGCCGGCGACGAAACGGCCCATCATGACCTGGGTCCATGCTGTGACGGAGGCGATTTGGATGACGAAGCCAACCGCGGTCATGAGGGACCAAAAGGAAATTGAGAGGCGGCGGCCGAATTTGTCGGCAATGGGTGCGGCGATGAGCGCACCAATGAGGGTGCCAATGGACAGGAGAGAGACGATGAGACCGGAGCGCACTCTGCTAAAGTGGTAGTTTCCATTCGAATCGAGCTGACCGAATCGCTCTAGAAAGTCTGGCATTTCGAGAAACCCAGAAATCTGACCCGTGTCATAACCAAAGCTGCATGCGGGTTTCGATTAGCAAGTTACCATCATAGGAGATGATTGCTTGAGCAAGACTTACATCATACCACCCATGGAGACGAGACATCCCATGGCCAGCGACTTGCCGGTCAGACGCGGCAGCGGCGAGTAGTCAAGGCCGGACTTGGATGCGCGGGCATCATTTTCGCGGCCCTTTTCGGTATTTGGATTGTGTTCGTCGAATGTGACGGAGCCGAGTCCGATCATGATGACGGTAGAAACGTTAATTTCGGGTTTCAGTCAAAGGGATTGTGAAATTGCCCCCCGGGTGATGTTGGTATATCTTGTAGTTGATGTAGAGTGTGGTCAAAGCTCTTGGCAAAGCGAGATGGTGGAAAACCTGGGGGAAAATGTGCGCAGAAGCTGGGGAGCCAGGATGGGAATCTGGGGATAAGGGACGAGTATAAAAAGGCTGTGAGGCAACTAGCCAACAGGACTCACAAGGCGAAGAATTAGAATTATAAGCGGGATTAGTGTATAAAGCCAGAAACAAAACTCGGGGGTCCCGGTCTTCCGTAAAAGGCTATTCTAGACCAGGCAAAAATTGGAGACGAGATGCTTTTCAAGGGCACGAGACCAGCGGCAGTGAGTCTCTCGCAACGCGCCAGCTTCAAGACGTCATGATATCATACTCAATCGCGATGAGGCGCACTAAAAGCAGGTAGGTAGTCATGTTCTTGGCGCACCGCGGGGGTGGCAACGCACCCCAGGGAAACGCCCTGTCGCTTTTGTCTACGTAATCATCTCGTTTCTTGCTAATCATCAAGACATTACTCGTGATTCCGAAACCGCAGAAATTCCGCGGGCGAAAAAAGGATGGCAAAAGATGGGCATATTCGGTCCTTTTTCTCTCTCCGCCGGAGTGCTGGCAAAGCTGGGACGTGGAGAAGGGGCTCGGGGACAACTTGCCAATGACGTCTGGCGTTGGATTGGGGGCCGGAGACGACGTGTGCTCCACAGCCGCTGTCCCCGGGTTGCCGGAAACGATGGGATGGTCGGCTTTGAAGTGGCATGTCTCGGTCAGGGATTGTTGTGCGGCAGTACAAAGTATTGTTCTAATTCTACGTACTGAATACATGCAGTCAAGCGCTGTCTCGGCCGAAACCAAGCATGACCTTGGAACCGACTGATTCACTACCCCCCACGATCCAAACTTTTGCGGCCGTCGAGCCGGGAATCCATTCTGACCTTATGCGACGTGGCGACCAAAGGCGTTTTCAGGTTCTTCTAGAAGCACAAGGTTAGTGGGCGACGGCGCCTGTTGCGGCCTAAATTATTTACGGGGCCCCGATGAACGGTGACGGAGCCGGTGATGCCGGGCTGGCCAATGTCGTCACCAGCTCACAAGCGGTGCAGCCCACTCCGAGTGAAATATGTTGCCCTTTCTTTTTGTCCAGTTTTCCTCCCTTTCGTGCCTTTCTGCTTACGGAGCCACCAGACACATTACTTAATGGTTAGTCGAACCCCATCCGTGCAAACAAGTAGGTATCATCGAGGCGCAACTTCTCAAGACCGTGGCCATTTCCCTTTGCAAATAGTCATCGCTCGCATAAATACTATCATGCAAAGTTTGTGATTCGTATCTGCTATATGGTGCCTTACTAAAACGCTTCTATCAACGCCAGGTAATATATATCTGCCATAGCATCTTTCCGGATGCGCCGTGCCCCTCTATGCTTTGCTCAATACCATGTATATCCTGCAATGCTTTCTCGGCCATGATCCTTTATACTCGTCACCCTCTTCTTTTTTCTCATTCTCTTCTGCTTCTATTCCACCATTGTAATCTCTCATGCTGTAGGAATGTGCCCCTCAACCGAGCTTAATGCCGCTAGATTCACTTCGCCCATCCGTTCCAGCGCCAGGTGGCCTCTTTGTTCTGAGAGCAACGTGACACAATCAACAACATCTGCTGGTTCAAGCAAGTGCCATCTAGCCAGTGTAACCTTGGTGCTCGGACCGACAGTAACAGTGAAGACGTGATCAGCATCCAGCACGGAGCCGGAAACTCCATTAAGGCTGCGAAACATGTCTTCGTCCGTAAAGTCATCACCTGAGCAAAGAGCAAATTCGATTCTGCCAGCATTCTTATCACCTTCGTCGGCAACAAGGCCAGGATTATGGTAACGGCTGATGAGACGCTTCACAATCTCTCCCTTGTTGATGAAAGTTGGCCGCACCTCAATGTTCGCCTTACCAGCCATTACCTCCACGTCCCATTTCTTAGCCACCGTCTCTTCCACCTCCTTGTGAGCCACTCGTGACATATGCAGGCCTTGCTCGGGGTCGGCAAGACGATAATGCCACGTGATAGCGCATCTCTTTCTCTCTATAAAAGAGCCTAACAATGGTGTCAGCATAAATCATATAGTTGTGTAGGGTTGCCTATACAGATCAGCGTACCTGTGACCTTGTCTGTGTATTTTTGAAAGACATCAATAACCTCGTTTTGCCAGCCCATGTCGAACTTGTCTGCTAAGTTGATCCATTCTTGGGAGCCGGGGTCTCTCATAAAACTCCCATGCTCCGCAGAGAAGCCAAGCTCAGGAATGTGACCCAAGTGCTGAGTGAGGAACTCCTGATCTCTACCTGAGATAATCCAAACAGAATTACGAGGCTCAGCAGCCAAAATCTTGAGCGATTCCAGCAATTTCTCTGATGGAACCGCCGCGCTGGGCTCTCGCACGATAGGCGTAAGTGTTCCGTCATAGTCGAACATGAAAATACGCTTTGAAGCTGCGCGATATTGAGATAGCAGCAGGGCACGGTCAAGGAGAGGCGTGGAATGTTGAATAGATTTGTCCCCGAGAACGCTGTGGATTCTCCGGATGAATTTAGTAATCCAGGACTGAACAGTCTGCGTCGTGACATGCTCGTATAGCCGGCTCTGCATCTTGGAGCGCGCATCATCGGGCATTGTCAACGCACCGTTGATCTTCCCAGCGACATCGGTAAGGTCCCAAGGATTGATGTGGATGGCATCGCTTAGACTGGCAGCTGTACCGCTAAACTCCGACAGTATGAGCGGCCCATGCCCATCCTTTTGACAGACAACATACTCCAGGCTTGTTGTGTTCATGCCATCTCTCACCGAGGTAATGAGACCAATGTCAGCAGCTCGAAGCAGCGCAAAATATTCATCTTGGTTAATGTATTGGGGGTAGTGCTGTACAGGCGAAAAGCCCAGGCTTCCGTACTTGCCATTGATCTGCATGACAAGCTCGTTGACACGTGTCGAGGTTTTGTGCTCTCCATCCTCCTTGTCTGCAACCTTGTTGGTGGGCGACGTGACCTGGATAAGGACGACTTTTTCCCGCCACTCCGAGTACATTTCGAGGAAACGGTCAAAAGCCTGGAGTTTCTGGACGACTCCTCGAACGCTATCGAGGCGGTCTCGGCCAACGATGATCTTTTTCCCGGCGTACATCTTCTTAAGAGCGTCATACTTCTCATCGACAGACGATGCCCAGGCCAGCTTTTCCACCTTTGCGGCATCGATACCAATCGGAAAGACGCCGACCTGAACTCTACTGCCATAAGCGTCAACTCCGAGAGTGTCGGATGGAAAGCCTAGAATGCGAGTGCAACAGCTGAGAAAATGGCGCGAGTAGCTGTAAGACTGGAATCCGACCAAGTTGGAGCCGAGGATGCCTTCTAAAACCTCTCTGCGGCGAGGAAGGCAGCGTAGAAATTCACTGCTTGGAAATGGACAATGCAAGTAGAACGAGATGTACATGTTGGGCACTGCTTGCCGAAGCATGCTAGGGAGAAGCATGAGGAAGTAATCGTGGATGATGACAATGTCGCCTGGCTTGTAAATCTCGAGAATCTTTGCGGCGAACTTTTGGTTCATTCGGTAATAATCAGCCCACTCGATCTTCTCCTTACGACCGTCACTCGGCTCATGCTGCTTGTAGTGAAAGAGGCTGTACAGGTCACGATGAGCATAGCGGCGCCACCGGCCTTGGTCCCGTAGCATGATTCCGTCTGGCGTAATTTCATCTTCATCGGCGAGCCACACAGGAACAGTTCGAATCGTCTTATCATTGGACAACTGATGCTCTAGGCGCTCCTGGTCGGCCTTGGGAAGCCACAGACCGTCCGACGATGGCGGGGTGGGAAGTTGCGCAATGCCGTCAACAGGAATTGGGGCCGATAGAGGGTTGAGAGAGGATACGCCTACAGTTGTAGATCTGGGTCGTTGAGGTTCGGGTTCGAGGGGGCCTTGGGGAGAGTCTATTTCGCCCGTCCAAGAGACAACAGTATGCTTGAAAGGATTCGCGGAAGAGGAGAGGTAGGCGAAAGAGTCGAAGAGAGCAGACTGACCGCCGCGAGGTTTGAGTCCCTGTGGAATACTTGCGTTAGATTGAATTTAGTAAAGACGAGGCAAATGAGCCCGATGTATAAGGAGCCGTATTCCCCATCGAAGGCGTTGGCGCAAACAGGCCGGGATAGTGGCAATAGAGGCATTTAGAAGTGACTTACCCAGTCACCACCTTTGCGGTAGGTTAGTGCATGCGGAATGTTGAAGGCAGCTGATATGATACTGCCGCTGAGCGAAAGTTCCGGGTTGGCAGCTAAAATCTCCGAAAGCGACTCGCGGCGAGCCATAGCGAAGGGGTTATGGCCGCGAGGTGTTGGCAACGATGGGCAATGTGTGAGTGTGTTTTGCGATGCGGGGGAGGGGGGGTGAGAGGCCACTGCTGCCTACATGGACTTCGAGAGTCGGGTTCTACCGCAGATTGCTGAAGTCCCAACACAAGCGGAAACGTCTCCAGTGTTGGCGAGGTTGAGTAGGCGGCGTGTGCAGAGAAGAGCAATACAGGTTGAGGCAACACTAGGAGAAATAGGATGGCAGCATTTATTAAATTCACATGGGAGCAGGGGACGCAACCAGAAGATAATAATTCTGCAGCGGCGGCGCGGCGGCGGCGGCGGCGGCGTGTGTGTTGGCGCCCCTCCCACGTTGAAGCTAATGACTGATTCTCACCCATTAATGGCCAGTGAGCTTGGTGGCTTGGAGGCTCCTGCGTGCGCTAAAAGGGGGGTCACCATTCACCGTACCGCTATCACATCCAAGACAACAGCGCTCTTCAGGGGTTCGATGCGCGCTAGCCCTTCCTTGTCACGCAGTCCCGAACCTAACCCTGCATAATGTCATTATTGGTACCGGTTAATCCAGATACATTGTGGTTGGACCTTCTGGTCTCTGCAGCAAAAGATGGCTCTATCTTCATATAGGCCGCCGATGGTTGGGCTATGCAGTATGGCTTGACAACTGCCAGAATTACTCTGTCAGGGCTCGCTAGGTAGGTACAAGTTGACGTAGCCTTGAGTTAGCCTCCGCAACAATTTGAGGAGGAAATGACCCGAGCCACAACAAATACCAACCCCTGCTGTGCTACTGTGAATCTTTGTCTTAGGAACAAAAATAGACGCTTCTGCCAGCGATAACCTTGCATTTGCTGAATATGAAGGACTTCATCTCCTGGCAAACTATCAGCGCACGTGACTCGGTCTCTCCACGCAAGTTCGCCAGTGGGTCATGCACCCGCCCGCCTGCTGCCCACACCATACACTTTTCCGCTGCTACTGGTAAACCATCGGCTTCACCTCGCTTCAACCTCAATTCCCGGACATCCGCCGACAATCAGCCATCGCCAAATTTGTTCGCCGTCGTTCGTACTTCATGTCTGCATCTCCACCGCCTCACCCGTCTCCCCACACGACGGCGCACGCATACGCCAGCAATGGTCTAGAAATTCTGCAGGCTGCCAGCGATGCAGCCCAGGCCATTCAAAACTCAGAGGCCTTGCAACATGCCGCAGCTCAGGCCGTCGGCCAACCTGGCGTCGCGCATCTCGGTCCCGGCGTCGAGATGCCTTCGCCGCACATGGTGTCTGGTCAGACCGCCATGATGCGCGATCCGACTATCAACCCCAAACTCACCCGTTTGCGACGCGCTTGCGATATGTGTAGCATGCGAAAAGTCAAGTGCGACGACTCCAACATCCCTTGCCGGCCCTGTCGCGAGCTTAACGTCGACTGCACATACAACCGCGAGACCAAACGTCGAGGGCCGCCCAATAAGCACGCCGAGGCCGCCAAAGCCGCCAAAAAGTCACGGGTCGAGACCCGTTTACCTGGTTTCGCCGCGTCACCATCGCCTCAAATTGCGGCCAAGACGCTATTGACGATCTCGTCAGATGCTGTTCTCGATGCAGAGTCCATCGCGCCAATGCCAGTTCTGGAACTCCTCGTCGACGACTTCTTCACCTATATTCATCCTCTTGCGCCGTTCCCTCACGAACCCACATTCCGTCAGTCCTTTGCGAACCGAGAGGATCGAACGCGTCCCGAATTTCTTGCTCTTTTGTCCAGCATGATCGGTGCGCTGGTCGCGTCCTTCCCTCGCTGTGTCAGAGACTACCTCAAGTCACAACACAATACGCACATATTTCCAAAGGCTGTGGTCATGGTGGATAAGTGTCGTGATATCGCGCTTCACACTCGTGGTGCTCGGTGGCCCATCAAACAACCCAAGACTCTGGATGACGCCATGACCAGCTACTTCCTCGGCCTTGGTGCAGCATACACCGTTCATTATAATGTTGCGCGCATTTTTCTTTCAGAAACCCTTACTTTGATTCGCGAACTTGGTTTCACACGACCTAAGCACCAGGGCGAACTCCCGAACTTTGGACACGAGACCTATGCCAACGAACCCCTGCCGTTCAACCACGTCAAGGACCAGATCGGAAAGAGGATATTCTGGTGTTTGCTGCTTGGTAATAGGTAATTCTTGCTTAATGTGGCTCTGCACCGCAAATGCTGACACTCATCAGAACATTATTTCAGCTCACATCGCACAACGACATGGTTATTGCGCCATCCACTCCGAATCTCCCATATCCACAATACCCCGAGAATACTGACGACATATGCATACAACCCAACGAAATCATGCACCAAACCGATGGCAGCGTTACTCTTCTCACAGGATTTCGCTTCGCCATTGATATATACACTACTATGAATGGCATTGTCAGCCTTGAGCTTGCGTACGGCATGAGCACGCTACCATGGGCCGATCAGCGCATTCTACTACGAGATGGCTTAATGGCCGCTAAGAGTATCATCGATAATCTTCCGCCAGAGCTTCAGCTGGGCAGCTCAAGCGCAGAGGCAAACCCGCTGGCTAGCCTCGATGAGTCAGGCATGCAGTACGTGCCGCCGGTGTGGCCCAACGTGCAACCCTCGCATGACCTCCGCAACGTGATCAAGGCCCACCCGGTCCGTCGTCGGCAGCTGCAGTACGAAATCCAAAAGGCAAACATATTCGTGTCGCAGCTCGCGACGCGTTCGTACTTTGTCGAACTCTACTTTGACCTGCGCGACATCCACTTGACCGACCATCCTGACGCGGCCGAGGATCAGGCCGAGGACAGCAAGGCGCTTGTGCACGACAGTGACGACGGTCCGGCCGGTGACGACAAGGAGATTTACGAGCTTATGTCAACTGAGCGCGAACTCATCGTGCAGAACCTGCTCATGGTGCTCGGCTGCATCTCGCAGCGCAACCTTGAGCCCAACGGGCGCTCGCTCGTCGAAAAGATTCGCCAGGTCGCGTCGACGCTGCTAAACGACGCACCACACCGCAAGGGGCCACTCGCCGTTAAGTCCGAGGCCGCCCTCGAGCAACTCATCAATATTCTTGTCAAGCTGGAAAGGACAGGTCCCGTGGGCGGCAGCGAGGCAGGAAGCAACGGCACCGACCACAATTACATGACGGCCGAGGACGAGGAGGCTGAGCTCTTGCACTGGGAGGATCTCCGGGAGTACCAGCTGCGGTTTGCGGCGGCCGGCGGTTTCAACGGGGAATTGTAATCGATGAGACGGGAAAAGGGCCTTCTTCAATTGACCGTGTACATTAGGCGCAGGGACTACATGCTACGGCCGGGATTGTAGAACAAAACATGAACTAATTGATGGCTAACGAAGATGCCAGTCGCGTTTGTCTATCTACTATGGTTGAGCTTGCTAGCTTTACGTCCTGAGTCTGGGCTGAAGTCAATCGCGAAAAGTGGCGAGCCATCATAATGGTGGAGCATGCAATCATGTATATATTCGGTATCGTTCATATCTTCGTAGCGGCAAAGCAAACTCCTCGCACGAGCATAAAACCATTTGGCAAAGCCCCCAAAACCATCCTGATGAGAAAATCGGATAACAAACGGAGCTGAATTGAAATTGGGAAAGGGGAAAAAAAGAGCAGAACAAATAGCAAAAAATCGCTTGCATAAAACAACACCAGTAGCCTCCCAAGCGGCATTAAAGCGTCATTCTGGAAAAAGCACATAATAGGAAATAAGAACCCATCTTGGGTGGAAAAATCTTTGGGTATCAGAATCAACAAAATCATCATTCGCAGGCAGATCCTCGGACTCATTGTCGGCTCTGCTGCGTCCCCTGAAATGGACACTGTCATGACGTGAGAATTGCAGACAAATCTGTGTACGTGGAACCATGGCATAAAACAAATACAAAACTGGTCAGCCGCGTGCAGCATCCTCATCAGCCCACGATATTCATACAGTGATCTCGAGTTCATGACCATCAGCCAGCTGACAAAAAAAATGGGCAAGAAAGGAAAACAAGCACGCAAAGTGGCATATTCAGAACGTTCAAAAAGTCATTAGTCATCACGACGGAAACCAGACCTCGAAAGTCAAGGAGTCCATGTTCTCAAGTCGATTCAGTAAGCTGCAGCTGTAGAGCTCTCGTTAGTAGCAACAGCAACAAGAGCATCAAATCGGCTATTGGCAGGATGCTTTTGCTGCTGCTGGGGCTGCTGCTGCTCACGCGTAGGGAAGCCAGAGAAAGCAGTAAAGTTTGGGTGCACCATCTTGTCGACCTGCGCGGCCCTGCTATCCTGTGCCAGTGGAGCATCCCTCTGCAGTGCAACAGGACCGCTATACCAGCCGTGTCGTTTAGCTTCTCGGCTCGTGGCCAACGACGGAGCAGACATTGTATGCTGGTGGAGAGAACGCGATGGAGGAGGGCCATAGCGCTCACGCGGAGGTTCCTCGAAACGCACGTGGCCATGTACACGCTCGGCTTGGGCCTGCACTGCCTTGTTCGCCTCAGAGGCCCAGCTACCTGCGCTGTCACTCGGAGGAGTGCGGTGTCCGATATCAAGCCTGTTGATACCACGCTGGAGACTGGCATCGTACATGTTCAAATTGCGACGATCATCCGTAGGAATAGAGTCAAGTTGCGCGTTGGGCATGCGACGCTGGTACATGTCGTGCTCGGCAACCATCGGAGAATGAGTGCGACGAGGCGGCGTTGGAGGGCGCTGAGGAAGAGGGTCAAACGATTCGATTCCAGGTAATCGCAAGTTGAACTGTGTTGTGGCCGGAGTGGCCATGGGTGGAGGCGGGTTCGGATGAACAGTCGACTGAGCATTGAGTGGTGGCTGCTGACCGTTCAATACGCGGCTATCGGGATGCCATGTCCGTCTGCGCCAGCCATCGTCTGCACTGTTGCTAGATGTGCTATCACGACGGCTAGACCATCCTGGAGCCTGTCCTGCTGGAGAAGCCACAGTGTGGTGGTTCGAGGTAGAGAAGGCGCCAGCATTTGAGCTGTTCACAAGCGCTGGGCCAAATGCAAGTCGACCTGGAGGAGGCCCATGAGACTGAAAGGGCGCAATACCGGACGGCACACTCAGACGGCGCCCTGACCTCCTTTGGTCAGGCATATACATGCTTTGAGACCGGGTATGTGAGTGCGAGTGTGAGTGTGCTGACGTTGTCGGAGATGCCATGCCAGAAGGCCAGCGTGGACTACTCTGAGCAGTAGAGAATGTGGCTGATGTCGGAGTACTGAAATCGCTGGGAGAGTGCGGCCTGTAGGAGTAGTTACTGTCAACACCACTGCGGTACGATTCTATTGACATTCTCGATCGCGGATCTGACGGCATAACCAGAGGCGCAGGCCGCCGGCGGTCTGCGTGCATGGGTGTCCCGTAGACTGAGCCCATGGACCCCATTGAATTGATACTGGAAGTCGACAGTGACTTGGAGTGGCCGCGAGGTGGCCCACCAGCGCTACCACTTGTCGATGCGCGGGCTCTATTGCCAGCTTGTCGAACTCTATCGGTGCGCATCTGACGCTGAAATCTAGAACCAGTGGCAGCGAGAGAGTCATTGGGGATGTCTTCGTTGACATGTACGGTTTGAGCGTGCTGGCGAAGGTTGTCCAATCTAGAAAAACGTCGAGAACAGTGGCACTGAAATGGGCGTTCTCCAGTATGTTTTCTTCCACAAGCATTAGTACGAGGACATTAGTACGAGGACAACTAAGAAACTGCCCGTATGGATTGGGACATAGAGCATACCGGATGTGGCGAGCAAGATGTTCACTTCTGGTGAAACTCAGGTTGCAGGGAGGAAAATCGGTGCAGTAGAAGCGTTGCGACTTCTTCTTCTTGGATTTTGTTCCGTCGCCATTCACACTTTCGCCATCAGATCCGCCGTTATCATCGCCAGCACCTGCTTCATTATCGGAGTCCTCCATGTCGACATCCATAGAATCTCTATTCGGCGACGTGGTGGAAGAAGAGTGGGCGTTATCTGAATGTGGCTGCTCGTTTTGCTGGTGACGCATGTCATTCGAGGCACTAAAAGTGACTCGTGTCGGTGTCCTGCCATCGTCTTTCGGTCTGTCATTTTGCGATTGAGGTGCCGTGTTAGGCCGCGGCGTGGCTGGAGATGAATGCATGATACTGCTTGTGTCCTTGTGGTAATAGTCAGTGTTTGAAGTATTTACTGGCCGAAAGGCGGCGGCCATCGCAGATATCGGCGATGGCTAGAAAGAGTTGGCCGTCGCAGGGTAAATGGCGAGACCAGAGGCGCAAGACTGGCAACGTAATCGAGGCGCTGGTGTTTGAATGAGTGCTGCTGCAGTGAGGCTGAGGAGGGCGCAGTCGGCGCGGGGCGAAGATAGCAGCGACGTGATGATGGAGAGACGAGAAAGAGTGCAAGCTTTAGGCGAACGATAGGTTTGCACGTCTAGTGACCTGTTGCGGCAAAAGTCCCTGCTCTGTCCGAGACAAGTGGTGACTAGAAAGGTTGGCTGGCTGACAGCGGGAAGTATGATTGTTTGCGTGCGTCGGTGTCTGGGTTGGTGGCGACGGGAAAGGCCTGCAGAGTGAAGCGGTGCGAGCGACGAAAGAAGAGGGGATGATTCCGAATTTTTGCGTCTTTGCAATGACGCTTGCCGTATTGACCGAGGGATGAGAGGAAAGAAGTGGGAGGAAAAAAATCCTGTCGAGTGTCGAAGAGGCTGGCTGGGTCCGAGGGCCAACGACGGATACTTGGCCTGAAATTGAGTCAGGGCAAGCGGCCAGGGGAGGAGGCGGGCAGGATAAGCGGCTGCGGCGGAGGGGCAATCAAGACAAGAAAGAAAATGGCGGCAGCCCGGGGCTTGGAAAATACGAGACACGGCGTGATTCGATGAAAGTGATGATATGAATAAAGATCCGGGTTGCAGGTCAGGTACAGAGACTAATAAAATGAGTAGAAGAGGCACAGGATCCAGACAGGAACAGGATGCAAGATGTAGAAGAAAGGACGGGCGATGGGCGAGACGAGCGCAGAGAGGCAGGGGCTCAAGACTCAAGTGTGGCGATAAGTGGGTGGGCGGAGACAGGTGATGTCTTTGTGGTTGCTTTTCCCCTCGAACGCACGTCTTGGTGGGACCCGGATCCGGGGTGGGACAGGCGATACCAACCACCGCCATCAACCATGGGTGAGCGAGCCACAAGCAGCCCTTTCAGCTGGAGCTAGCTGATGATGGACTACGGATTATGATGGCTGACGGTTGCTAAACCAAAGCTTAAGAATTTTAACCTTGCGGGCTCTTGGCTGCTAGAGGGTCCTCCATCTTGCGCTGTTGCCTCTTTAATAATAAGCGACTTGTCTCACCAGACGAGAGCAGATCACACAAAGACAGACAGACACACGTGCGGTGATTCAGTGTTAGGAAAATTATAAGTATGTCTCGATATAGCAGCCAACTAATAAATCGTTACTGGCAACATCCTGGCCACCTGGCTGGGTGGTGGCTGCATTTCGCAGGACCGTGTGCCAGCCTGCGTTTCGCGTGTAACTCTATTTTGGCCAGTGTAGAGCCGAATCCTTAGCTGCTGTGCTCACCCACGACTTGATGTCTCCGACCATGAGCAGGATAAACATGCATTGTCAACATGTCCAAAACACTCACCTGCACTCGACAAAACTGGCAACATCTTGCACACAAGACTCGTTTCTCTCGTCATGAACCAACTTACATGAGGAGGCTGGCGGAGCCCGAACCCTGCTGCTAGCAAGGGACAAGACGAGGGCGAGCCAAAATTGGCGGGCAAGAGGGGTTGAAAGAGCAGGTGGCTGCTCTTGGACCACAATCCATCGAACCTCGACCACCACCGCTTTGCCCACTTGTTCCTGGTGAGATGCAAATGGCAAGAGCCCGACCCAACCCACTGTTCAACTACTTGCCTAGTCAGTGCCTTCAGACGACTATGCAGTGTCAGTTCCTTGAACTCGCGCGGTGTCCTGCCGTACCTAGCGTTAAAGCACGTCGTCAGCTAGGTGGTGGTGCCTGGGGCTAACAAAATGTCGCCAGTAACCAGGCAGGTTGCAAGCGCATTTACAGAGTTGGGGGGAAACGGGCCCAGCCAGGCCACATCATGCCCTCTGCTACCAAGCTTTTTGTGCTTTCCTCCCGTTGGATGATGAAGTAGTCTACCTACAGTGGGAGTGTACCAGTTGTGCTGCGTACAATGCCCGACCCAACCAGCGCGTCCGAAACGGTACTGAGTCATACCCAAGTCGCACGCAGGTAGGCCAACCCCCAGGTGAGCCATGCTGTCCGACGTAAAGGTGTCCGTGGCTACCGAACGCAGAAAAGAAAAAAACACTGACGCAGAGCTCATTTACTCACTCAGCGAGCACCAGCGCCAGGCCAGGCTCGGTAGTGCTGCAGTTGGATGCCGCCACACAAGAAAAGGGAAAAAAAAATTAAAAAAAAAAGGAAAAGAAGAGGGGCACACAGGTCCTCCGGCAAGGTACAGGTCATCTGCACCAGCCTAGCGCAGTCCGGCCAGGTACACGACGCCCAGCCAAGTGGGGGAGGGGTCGAGGGAAAATCTTGGGCCCCAGCGCCTTTGCTTGCGTATCCGAAGACGTTCTAACTACCTAGGTACCTTAGTTACCTACCTACCTAGCAACCTAGGTACTTATCCGTACCGGTGGATAAATGTAGGTATCTAGGGTGCTCTGCACCGTCAACCCGGGCTTGCGTGCCTCGCTCTTTTCCATCCAGCAGCGTCGTTAGATGCTCTTTTCTACCGCCCGCTGCAAATACCTAGGTAGAATACCCGCCAGGGCAGGTGACCGGCCGGGTTTGTCGGTCGGCTGGGTTGAAACCTGCCATCCATCGTTGGCCACTTGCGTCTCCACCCGCCCTGCTCTGCCCTTTCTCCCCACCATCTTGATGCTGCTTGTGGCTCAGCCGTGGGCCATGAGTTGCCTGATAAAGTCATCGCCGCCAACAAGCTCTGCCTGCATACCACTGGCCGTCCGTCGGTACACGACATTGAGTCGGTCTTCATGCAGACCGCGAATGGTATCACCACCCCGAGCTGATTCGCCGCCTCTCATGTCGCTTACTTTGGTCTCACCCGCTGCAAGTCGTGGAATCATGTGCCAGCAAGTCCCAGGCTATTCCCGCCGAATACCCTTCGGAGAAGGCGCAGGCACAGCACCGTCCCCATGGGCTTGTTGGTCACCGCCACGCTCTTTCTAAAAGGCTTCAAGTACACTGTTTCTACACCATACTTTACCATCGTCAGCGTCATCTGCAGCCCATCAACAACGCCTGCATTGATCTAGGTAGTTTGTGGACACCCCGCCAGATGGCCCCTTTTCTAGCTGGCACCACCCGTCGCAGCCACCCTCAAGCCAATCTATACTAGGCATTCTCAGCCTCATCTACAGCGTTGTAACTACATGGTCGACCCCGGGGCACAAGGTTTCTTCGCCCTTGCTTCAAAGTAGCTTACTAACTCAAACTTTCCCTCGCCAGTTAGTGCATTACCGAACTTGTGTGGGTGGTCGATTCTGCATCGCCGTTTGCGGAATGGGCAGGCAAGAATCTCGTGCCTGAATGTGGCCTTGATCAGCTAAGTCAAGAGCTACGCCTTGTCAATTGCCCGCACGCCTGTGGCTACCAGTAGCCCGTCATCCGGTCATTTCGTGTCGGGCTGGAAACTCGGCGCGATCGGCTTGGCCCTCATGGACTGACAAGCGCGGCCGAGCGGGAGCCAAGGCCAGCTGCGATGCTCGTCATATAGAATTACAAGCAACGCAAGAAGACGCCAGCCCACTAGACGATCATTGGTCAAAGTTCCCATCTCACTTTGAGGGGGTCTAGTAGTCTTACCTGCTTTCTCAACTCGTGATGAAATGATTGTTCAGAAACACCCTCGGACTGTCGCAAGCGGTGTTGGTGAGGTCGTTCGATGACGCGCAACAAAGGCAGTGCTAGATTGAGCGCAGCTGACTACCAACGGTATTTCCCTGAAAGGGAAACATGTTGGTATTCGCTCTGCCGTGTGCACGTAACCATGTCCCTGGTAAGACCGGAAAGATCGTCGTCGCTCACCCTTCAACCGTACACAGCTGGTTGCCGTGCATTCCAGTGCATATGCCCGCGTCCAATCGGGGCGGCCGGGCATCTCAGGACAAACCCTCCCGCTGCAGAGCTGTGAAAGGGACCTGCAATGTCATTCAGAATTACTTGTTATATATTTATAAGCTGTCGCGTGCATGGGAAGCATATGCAGCCCTCGCCTACTATCTATCTAGGCAGCGCAAAGAATATTGATTACGAACAACTCAGGTGTTCAATCTGCTTATCTGACTCGCTTGCTTGTTGGTCGTCAGCAGTAGCTACTGCTATGTGTTGTGTTTCTGTTGTGAATGCCCAGCCACCTCGATCCCCATGGCTGGCGGGGGGAACGGTCATCCATAAGACCTTGGTTGTCTTCAGTCGCTGCCAACGCAGACGACCACTCACTGCCATAAAATATGGAGTGTTGAGGGCGCTCCTTTTTACTTTGGCGATGATGTGCGTTTCCTGCTTGTAGTTTCTGAGTACAGATGGGACACCACACTGCGTTGTGCTCCCTGTGGCGCATGCATGCACGTAGTATGCATGTCGGTCACGCTTCGCTCCGCAGCCAAACGCCATCGGCAAGGCATTGATCCCCCACTGTGACCAGGCCAACCAGGCTGCGCCACGCTGCTTCTCTTGTTTCATTGCCGCCTCGAGAAACCTGCCTTGGTATCATGGCCATCTGGCTTGGGAATAATCAGCCCCGCGGCATCCTTCTGTAACGACACCACCACCACAGCGCCTGGGCCTAACGGCCGAATCAGCCTCTAGTGCGACTCACAACATAGGAGGATGTCGCCTCGCTGATCCTCGAGCGTACAATGAGAGAAAAGGGTTATGCGAATAAGTAGGGGTGTCCTGAGCTGAGCCCATACCATACGTCTGTTCGTTTACACCGCGAAGCCTGCATTTGACTGCAACATCGTCTTGTTGGACTAATTAATCATGGAAGCCTGCGCTATCAGAATGGGCAAGCCCCCTGCAACCCTCGTCGGTAGGGTCTTGTCTCCGACGCTTATATGGTTCCCATCATGATTTAGTCCGGACGCCCCATTCCCAGTATACTCAGTGTGAAGTTGACAGGAACAGTGGCAGGGGCAGGGGGCTGCCTCACAAATTCTCTGATCATCAATGGCCCTGGCGATGCAACGCTCTCTTCGCTCAGCCCTTCCTGCCCCGCCTTCAACGAGGTCAGAGCACGAAGCACCCCCAGCCATCTTCCACCGAAATAGATTGCTTTCCCCGTTTCTAATGGAAAAGTTGGCGCTCGGCTTCTGATAGCTCGCGTCTTCGTGCGTCCGCCAGCAGCCCGAGACCCGTCGACTTCACCGCCAGTTCATACATTTCCCCGCCCCCGAGCATAGCATAGATCCAAAGGAGGCTCTGCGCATCCATGTGCCTCTTCCATGCAGGGATTTTGACACAAATTGGCCTCGGCGACGCCAACCTGCGTTCCGACTATCCAAACAACGCAGTTTGATTGCATCAATTGAAGGCAAAATAGCAGACTAGGGATAAAAGATGGGGTCCTTCATGCCACGTTCTAATGCGCGCCACAGAAATGCCGCGATTTGTTTTTGATCGTATCATTCCGACTTCAGACAACTATTGTCCGCAACATGCGTGTGCCTGCGGACGGGGTCCACGGTGTTATTTTACTGCTCATGCACGATGCCATCGGCTGCAGTAAAACAAAAAATCGAGGGTCTCTATGCAAACTAGGGCAACTAGCTTGCCTACCAAACCTACCTAGTAAGCTGATCAAAGGCACACTGTCGTTGAGGCCAGCGACGGCATGATCGGCATGTGTAAAAGACAACACGAGGATGTCGTACTGGTGCATGTTGTTAAGGTGAAATGCAAGTCGACTCGATGCTGGGGTAACACATCTACGACTTCGCCTAATTGTTGAGACATTACACAGTCTGCGGTTCAACGCTGCCTCTTTTGGAAAGAAGCCCGTGTTACGCAGATCAAATATATCCTAGAGTTTACGACTTTATGGGCTTTGAGTGAGTGCTAGGTATTTCGTGCAGCTATAAACACCAACGCCTAGCTGTTGCTGAACAAAACAAAACTTGAAACGACGAATGCAAAACGCGGCCTCCAATATTCATCTGGAAAACTTCCAACGCAAAGTCACACCATGAACCTTCTTCTAAACATCCAACATACTACGCACTTGCTGTGGTGGAGCGGACACAGAATTCAGTGTCGATGTGCTGTTCTCTCTGTGCGCCGATTCTGGTCTTTCTGACGTATGCCGTCCTCTGGCAGGGTCTGTGTATGCAGGCGGAGGCCCCTCCTCGAAAAGTTCAGCTTCTCGGCGAGCTCTCGCGTCATCAACCTGGCTGTTGGGGAACAAGATTCCCGCGGCGGACTGCACAACTCGCTCCGATTGTCTGTGCTGTGACTTGCCCTCGTATCGAGGCAGAGGTGCGGTAGAATGAGACTGATTGCTCATGATATCCCGTACCCCTGCTCTATCTTGGCGGGGGTTAGCAGACTGTCGTCGCGGCATATTGGGAAGTTCAATTCCATCGTCAACAGCCAAACGGAGCGCTTCTTGTCGAATATGCCTCTCCATCTCATCCTCTTCTCTTCGACCAATGCCACGCTCGCCTCCAACTTCCTTGACATTACGCAAAATACGCTCACGTAAGGACAGCTCTTCATGTTCGCCTCTCACACGACGCCACCATGCAGGCTTTCTTACAAGCCCCAGCTCACGGTCAATGATTTCTCCTCGCTCACGACGCTGTCGAATCAAATCCTTGTCTTCGTTCGGACTGGCATAACCATAGATGATCTGGACAAGCATGATGGCAAGCGATGGTCCAAATCCCCAACCAAACTGAACCGGAATGACACCGTGAAATCTCATTAGAGATAGCTCCCAATTGAACGACATGAAGATCTGATAGGCGATGAGGCCTCCCAAGAGAGGAATGGTAAGCATGAACCGAAACGGCACTGACTGTACCAGTCCAACCGATTTGTTCAACACTCCGCGGTTTCTGGGTTTGTAATGGAGAATCGAATGTCGCAAAGAGAAGACGATTGTGAACCAAGAGATCACAAGGCAGAACGCACCGGCCTTGAAGCGTCCACTGAGTGCGGATGGAATAGCAACGGCAGCAGTCTGTTCCGGGGAGCGCTGCTTTTCCACAAACGACCAGTTTCTGGGCACAACGAGGAAAAAGTTGAGCCAGGTCCAGAAATAGAACCAAATCGGGAGCCAGAACTCGATTTTGGACCGCCTGTCGTCCTCACGTAAAACAAAAGGATTGGGGTCAACGAACTGTCGTTCTTGCCAGCTGCCCCAGTGTCTAACTGACTCCCATACCAATGCCGTAGTGCCCTGGCAGAGTAGAAACCAGAAAAAGACCATGACAACAATGGGAAGCTCCTGAACGCGATAGCGATCGACATCGACGTTTATGAAAAGGCTGATGAGGGCGCACGCGCACACAAAGCATGCCCAGTACCACTGCCATCTCCGTCCGATAGGAAAGAATCGTTTCGTTTTCGGGAGGTATTGTTTTCCGTGTTTCGTCAAGACCGTAACCGTCAGCACGAGTGCGATTCCGTAGGCAACGGCAAAACCAATGCCGACATAGCCACGGGTAGAAATGTTGTCGACCGCATGATAGCAAGATGTGGAATTGAGAAATGTGCCATTAGGAAACAGCTCAACTGGTTGGTATGGCCTGAATGTCAAGTAGCAGTTCGACCCATTGGACATTGTTCCATTGCTGTAGTACGTATAGTTGAAGTGGTCCAGCGTCGATAATGGAAAACGCACACCACCAAGGATAGTCTCATTGTTGCCGTTACCTGCGTCCGGCCAGGCTAGCTGGTCTCTGGCGACAAGCCTCTGTATTCCGGGCATCCTGTTGTGGTACGCCTTGTTGGAGGAATGTCGCAATTTCGGTGCTCACAGAGTTGTATGTTGTCGTGGTTGAAATCGGTCGCTGCGATAGCAATTGCAACAATCACGCATGATACGCAAAATCAACCGTGCAGATCTCAGCCTTTCACATGAAATGTAATGCGGTGTAATGGGGAGGCTGGCAAAGATTGGAGATAATGTGAGCAAGAAATCTCATTGCTGACGCGGAACTCGCGGAGAGAAGGCTGGACGATCGGGACCGGAAGTACGGAGTACCGTCCCAGAATTACAGTGGATTTCGCTACCACCCGTAGCAATAAATGGCTCGCCCGGCTACGGGGAGCGCTGACCACACTCGAGTGACCTCACAGCCAGTGCTTTTGCGGCACTCTCGGGCGTTCTTCTAGGCCCTACCTCGACACCTAACCTACCAGGGGGGGATAAAAAATAACCAGCCCTCGTCGATTCTCGATACTATCTTATTTATTACGAATACACGCGAGAAAAAGTAAAATAATACTTTTAAAAATATAAGCTAAGTATTTAATTATTTTTATACTTATTATACTTTTTTTCTATTTATTTAAATAGTTTATGTCTATAAAAATGACGGTTTAGAAACGAGGTGCTTTCTTAGAAGGGCCGGTTTAATGTGTCCCCTACATGCCTACCTAGGTATATGCCTACCTACGCGCGCGAGTGTTTTTTAACACAGCAATAATACGCTGTCACGTAGAAATTGTCTTTTTGCTGTCTAGTGAGACTATCAGAGCATCTAGCACGTGTAGGAGTTAATCTAGATTTATTCTAACATATCTAAGCGAATTGACAGTGTTACTAGTTAGACAGCAAGGAGATATTGTAGTTAAACGGGAGACGCTGTAGGGGCTACCTATGTCAGAAAATACCCCCTCCCTCCGGCGTAGGTACTTAGTACCTTAACACAGAGACCAGGTGGGGCAACGTACCCATCCATCAGAAGTTAACTCAACTCTGCTATTCACGTTGCTCGCGTTTTGAATAAGGTTTCCTTGAACCGCGCCAGGTCGCATTGGACTGCCGCAAAGCCGAGCAGTTCTACATCCGGCCTTTTCACTGCGGCGGTGCATTTTACGACAATCACCCCTCCTCCACACAATATACTCGATCGCGACAGAAATGGCTGCTCCAACGTATTGGCGCCCAGCAAGCCCTCAAGACGGCAGCGAGCCATCCTACATCGACTACGAGACATTCTTATCACCCGACTTTTCCGCAACCTCTTTTGCGAATTCCCTAGTTCTGGCCACAAATAATCCCCAAGATACGCCTCTAGACCTCTCCACGCCCCTGTCCCGTGTTCTCTTTGACGCGCAAGAGATTGACTCACACATCGACCTTCTCACGACCCGGTCGGCCGTTCCCCTCCTAGAGCACACAGGCTCGCAAACAGCGTCCAGTAAGAGAATAATCAATGAGCTCGATGCCCAGCTGAGCAGCCTGAATGGTAGCTACAAGCAACTCGAGAAGGAGGTTATCGATAAGCATGCTGAAGCCGAAGAGGTCCGTCAAGTTGCGCTGCGCTTGTGGGAGACACTTTCGCTCAGTCAATCAGCTGCCAGATGTTTTCAGCTGGGCAAGACGTTGGAGGTCCAAACAGCAGAGCTTGGAAGCTCTGGCTTCGATGAAGACCACAGCGCGCTAATACGCTGCTCTTATACAATATTATCACTACGCGAGATTCTGGATAGCAAGGCGCCTGGAGAGGAAGGCCACGACCTCCAGAAAGTCGATGCAGTCCGCAGTCTCCAAGATACTGTCATGAAGCCAATCGAAAGATCCGTCCGCGAAACATCTGAGCGATACGTCCGCGAGTTTCAAGTACCTGAAATAATGAGCTTTGCCCAAGTTGAGCAAGCCAGAGCAAGGCTCACGTCCGCCCTCACATCACTTTATTTACTATCGCCCACACTAGGTTCAAAGGCCGAGAAATGGACTCCGCGACTGCTGGTTCAAGCCCTCGATACGTACATAAGATCGTCTTTGCAGACAAGTATTACTACGTTAGCGCGCTCTCTGGGCCAGCTTTCCAGCCTCGACAAAGCTCTTGGAGAAGTCACAACCAAGTGCCAAACTATTGTGGCCTTGGAGCTTATACTAGATGGAATTAGGCCACCAGCTCATCCCTTGCTCGCCGTATCACCCGGTTCTCATATGCCAAATCTCCTCCAACCTCTGTTGGGCCAGCTGGAAACAGGCTCGCTGGCATCATACTTTTGGCGGACTATGGCGGGTAGCCTGTCTACACGTGTGCAAGACATTGTCGCCCGTGGGGGTGTTGTTGCTAGGACACTCAAGGCCAACAAGAACAACGTCGGCGATGCAATAAGACAATCTGTGGGTAGAGGTTCTCGACTTCCTTCATCGTTCGTCGGACCTAAAACAAAGGCCAAATCGGACATTAGTTGGGATAGAGAAATCGCTGTGATGGTTGGTAGTGTAGTCAACAACCTTGGCAGGTGATTTACGAGCAATCAATCAAAGCTTAAATGCACTGCTCAAATTCTTTCTAACGACACAGTCTATGCAATGCACAATCACTAGGTAGTTGCTTCTTGCTTAGACACCCCGACATGCATGGTGGGGCATTCAGCAGGTGCCGCCTGACATATAAACAACGTCCTCGTTGTTAAGGTCCTATAATTATATTTAAATTCCCGGGTGCCTTTCTTAAGGACTTAAATTACTCTTTAGCTTATTACTCTCTGGCTTAAATTGATCTATGGCTCTTCTAGCCTATAATGTGTGCTCTGGCTGGTGCTCTTTAGCTGGTGCTCGTGGGCTGGTGCTCTTTAGCTGGTGCCTGTAGGCTGGTGATCTTGATGATGGTGCTCTTTGGCTGATGATCTTGATGGTCCTGGTGGAAGAGGCCCTGGTGCGTTAAGCTAGTAGACTTGGTGCTCTGTGGCTAGTTGCTGACGGGCTAGTGCCTTCTGGCTGGTGTCTTGGTGACTAGTGTCTGTCAGACTTGATAAAATGATGATGATTAATGATAAAAATGGCCTAGATAGACTGGTGTTACTACCACTTTGTCAGGGAAGAGGGAGGAGGTAATGATGTTGTATTCTCTGGGTTCTGTGGGGGCCTCCACAGGGCCCAACATGCTTGCTCCTTTAACACTGCCATAGGGATAGGCTGCCATAGCCAACCACGTCAACACCCCGCACTACATAGGTAGGTAGGTAGCGACAGACAACCCCTCCAACAGCTACCTACCTACCTACTTATCCAAAAAAGCATTGTTTCCCACATAAGTAACCTTATAAGCATTGTCATTTATACATTTCTTCCGGAATTCATTCTTCGTACACAAGCCATGCCTCCTCATGAAGGTCTCGTACACCTCAAGGAATACGACATCAAAGACAGCAATATCGAGCTGATTGGAACCGATATTGACCATCAGGTCAAATACAAGTCGGCAGCCGAGGAGCCCGCTTGGCACGTTGTCGGAAAGAGGCCAGGCCTGCTAATTTGGCGTATCGATAGCTTCCAGGTTGTTCCATGGCCTGAAGAGAAACATGGCCAATTCTACGATGGCGACAGCTTCATCGTCCTCCACTCCTTTAAAGTTGGCAGCAAGGATGGCTCCGAGAAGCTAGCCCACGCAATCTACTTTTGGCTCGGCAGCCACACGTCGCAGGACGAGGCTGGTACCGCCGCTTACAAAACTGTCGAGCTAGATGAGTTCCTTCACGGCGCCGCATCGCAACACCGAGAGGTGCAATCAGCCCCTTCTGATGAATTTCTCGCCTTGTTCCCCAAGATTTCCATTCGCTCCGGCGGTGTCCGATCCGGATTTAGACACGTCGAGGAGGCGCGCAAGGAGGATGTCACCACTCTCCTGCGCGTCTTCACCAACCCCGGGTCCAAAGCCTCCAACGGCGTGGTTGTCCACGAGGTTGAACCCACCTACCACAGCCTCGACGACGGTGACGTTTTCATCCTTGATAAAGGCGACAAGATCTGGGTCTGGCAGGGCAAGAGCTGCAGTCCCATGGAAAAGGCCAAGGCTGCCCAAATCGTGCACGACATGACTCTCGCAAAGCACATTGATGTCGAGGTTGTTGCCCAGACCGAGTCGCGCTCGCGTCGTGTGATTGATCTTCTCGGCGGCGATGCTTCGACGCAATTCGATGGCTTTAAGCAGGGCCGCCCAATTACTTCCGGCAACAAAGCTTCCATTGCTTCCGGCCGCTCGAAGAAGCTATTCAGACTTAGTGATGCCTCTGGACAACTTTCATTCAGCCTTGTCAAAAATGGAAATGTCACTGCCAATGATCTAGATGGCAATGACGTCTTCCTCTTGGACAGCGGAGAGGCCGTCTGGGTGTGGGAGGGTCAAGGTGCAAGCCGTGCTGAGAGGGCCCAGTGGTTGCGAGTTGCCCAGGCATACATTTGCCAACTGGCTCAGCATTCTACAGATAGCCATCTTATTCCTCTAGCCAAGGTCAACCAAGGCAACGAAACAATAGCTTTTCAGCAAGCCATTGCTGCGTAAATCGATTTGTTTAGGTTTCATTCGTGTTCACAGCATACATAGATGCAGTCAGGATCTGGTTCCACAGAAATCGCATTGAATGAACTAATACAATCCTCAAACTATCCCGTTTCGATTTTAACGGGACTAGCATGTGTTATTGTATTCAGGGTTCGGGAGAAGCCTTATCGCTGCCCTTGGGTACATCAACTATAGCTGTTCTTGTCCATATGTGCTTTGCACCCGTAACATTGAGTCCCTCCACTGCACCACCTTTGATTGAGACTGTGGGTTTCAGGGAGCCATCCGGCAGGGCGATAACGTGCGCGATTCGTGCGCCGCAAGTATCACAAAAATAGCATCGCATGGTTCCTCCAGTTTGAGACGGTCGCGGCCACATTTTGAGCCTAGCTAGTATGTCTGTTGGCGGTGGCCAAGTTCCCTCGGTAGGAAATATTGCTGATATCCCAAACGCAGACGAGGACTGCTTGCGACACTCCAAACAGTGACAGAAGTATACCTCGAGAGGCTCAGCCTGCGAGGCGCGAAAGTCGATAGTTCCGCATTGGCAAAGAATTCGCATCCTGTCGGGGCCATTCGTATTCAATTGAAAGATAAAGTGTGTCTCAAGGAAGATAAATAGGTAAATTTTAAGAAGGAAAGAGAGCCTGTGAGTCTTCAAACGAGCTGAAAAAGCACAAAGTTTCAGCTGTTATAGCGGCGTTGAACACCGAACTTTACTTTTCGGGTACATTAATCACTGGTATGTAGGTAGCGATCGACTGCGGAATAGCACGGTCCGCTCGGAATCAAGGTATTCAACTTCTAATCATAGAATTAGGAGTTGTTTACTGCAGTATTATGTAGTTAGACTCTCCGTAACCAGTATATAAGGGCAGTGTAGAATCTCGCTGACTAAACGAGCCCCGAATTTTACAACGTCCGATTTAAATCTTAACACATAGACTATACTTAATTAAGAATATCTATATAAGGTCCCTATATAGTTTTATAAGGGATTATATATAGATTAGAATAAGCCTATATTATATCTATATTATAATTTTACTATATTATTTTTTAATAATTTAGCTTAAGCTAATAATAGAATTAAAGCTATAATAACTATTAAACTAGTATTATAAATAAAGTAATATAAGGCAGCTAGGGAAGTAGCCTAAACTAAAGGCTAGGTAAGAACCTACGCTTTACCTAGTTAAGATAGAAGGTTATATAACTATATAAAGATTATAAATATACTATAATCTAGTAAACTATAAAGGATTATAGACTTAATATAAGCTAATAATCTAAGGTCTATAATAA